CCTAACCCTAACCCTAACCCTAACCCTAACCCTAACCCTAACCCTAACCCTAACCCTAACCCTAACCCTAACCCTAACCCTAACCCTAACCCTAACCCTAACCCTAACCCTAACCCTAACCCTAACCCTAACCCTAACCCTAACCCTAACCCTAACCCTAACCCTAACCCAATTGGAGTAACTTTAAACAGTCCTCCTAATGAGTTAAATGTGCCCTTGGGCCCTAAGTGGTCGGGGTCGTGTGGACTTAAGGCTCTGGTCCTAGCCAAGGAGAGCGTAGGGCTGTGGGTGGTCGGGAGTTAGGAGGGTTATAAATCCGCTGTCTATGTTCTCACGACGTCTCTGAGAATTTTGAGAGGGATGTAGGAGGCGGGCGCTTGGTGGGTGTCGCATAGGCGCTGGGCGTGCTTGAACAGATTGATATATCCCGTTAACTAGCGTCTTTGACTGCTTGTCGGATTAAAGGTAGTAAAAGAGATGTATAGGCTTAGCTACGCACGTTTAACCGGGTGGACGTGGGGCGTTCTAGGTGTAAGGTGTGTGTAGTCGTTGTTTAAAGAGCTATCCAGCCGAAGCTAGCTATAGCAGTAGATAGTGGCCCAGGTACGTACGCGTTCTGGGTTGGTAAAGGAGGTGGGGGAACTATAAATCCCGCTGTTTATATGTTTGACAGCGTCTTTTAATGTTGAGGATTGAAAGAATAATTAGGTGGTGGTGGGAAGATAGTATACCTACTGTTTATATGTTTGACGGTGTTTTTGAATGTCTTAACATGCGGCAGCGGCTATGGAGATATATAGTAGTAACCACTTCAGTAGAATTATATACCAGTGTATAGCCACTCCTATGGCCATCAGTATCCTAACAGACCTGGAGCACGTAGATATGTTAAAGGTCTACTTAAGAGCACGTAAGGGTTCATACAGAATAAAGACGACTTACGTACAAATGTAGCTTTTATAATCTCTTGGAGTTGTAGTTTTATACCATGTATTTTTCAATTCCCGCCTTGTGATAGTATATCTCCTCGATTCGAAATATTAGGCAGTTTCGCTCATTGACTTAAAAAGAGTTATGTGTTAATACTACCTACCACCGCGTCTAAGGTGAAATGATGCATTGCTCATTGAATATCTCCCTTACATGTGAGGAGATTTAAATCCGTAACTGGATATGTTACTTTTTGCCTAGTTAGTTATATCGGATACGGTCAACTATCAAATATTTACCTAGGGCTATCTTAAGAACATTAAATTTAACCAGTATATCTATCCTTCATTATATCTACTAACATTAAGTCCCGACCCATCTTTTCGCGACACATTCAACTTCAAAAAATGTCTTCAAGGTCGAAAGTTGATAAGGTGATGCAGTTTCACGTGACGATGGCGACATATTTGAAGAGTATGGCGAAAACTTATCACAATGGCTGAATCCTTGTGGAACAACATGTAACAATTCTGCCCCTCTTTGACAGAGCAATTGCTTGACCCTCCAAGAATGGCTGAATACTTACAACTAATTCTACCCATTGCATTATAGGAAATCATGAGCAAGGAAGGGAGGATCAGATCGGTAGCTGTTGTCGGTGCAGGTGCAGCAGGTATTGTCTTATTTGCATGCGACATTGATCACTATTATCTACTGACTAACATGGCTGAATATAGGGGCTGCCACGGCAGCGGCTTTGAAAGCCGAGAACTATTTCGAGAGGATCCAAGTCTATGAGAGAAGGGAGACTGCAGGGGGAACATGGTACTTTTATAACCCCATTCGCCCCATACACCTCACCTACTTATGATAGACAGGATCTATGACTCGGATCCAAAGCCAGATCTCCCAGTTCAGCCGGGAAAGCTACCAACGGATCTCGATCCGCCCCTGGAAATCCCCAAGGGATTGCCCCAAATCACGACTCCCAACCAACAGGAGCGGTTTTCCAAAACACCAATCTACAACTCTCTAACGTGAGGACACGCAATCAAGCCATACTCAAGTGTGAATTCGTCAAAATTAACAAATGGCGTAGCACCAACGTACCTGACATCGCCATGTGCTTTTCCGATAGAAGGTTCCCCTATGGACCGTTCGTGCCCCATCACGTGCCACGTCAGTACGTCGAGGGCTACTTCTCACAGTACAAGGCCGATGCTTTCCTGAGTCTGAACACCACCGTGGAAGACATAACCAAGTTAAAAGGGGCCTCTAAGCACGACCTAGATACGTGGAAACTAACGCTCCGAAAGTACGATCCGACTCGTCATGTCGATATATGGTGGGAGGAAATTTTTGATGCCGTGATACTAGCAAATGGCCACTACTCCGTCCCTTATGTACGCACTTTTCCGATCTCTTTCCTTTCCTATTCATTTGAGACTAGCCCCTCTTACTTCCCCAATCATCCCGCAGATACCCCGCGTCACTGGTCTCGACGCCTACATCCAGAAATTCCCCGGCCGCGTGGTGCACTCCAAGTACTACCGCTCCCCGCTTCCCCATACCTCGCAGCACGTCCTGGTCATCGGCAATTCAGCCTCGGGCCGCGACATCACGACTGACCTTCTCTCATGCGCTTCCCTCCCTGTGTACCAATCGCGCCGGTCGCGGTCCCGTTGGGATGGCGATGCTCCCCCCTCTCCTGGGATTCAGTGGAAGCCCGTTATCACGGAATATGATGCCGACGCGGGTACCATCGTGTTTGCTGACGGTACAACACTCGGACCTGGCGAGGTAGATACGGTGATCTACTGCACCGGGTATAAACCCTCATTTCCGTTCTGGAATACTTGTAGTAATGGGCAACCGCTATGGGACTACACCGCCGACCGGCTCGTGGGGAGCTACTGGCATACCTTCTTTCGCTCACTCCCCACTCTCGGCATCGTTGGGCTCCCTCGGGTCCTTACCTTCCGGAGCTTCGAGTATCAAGCCATCGCTCTCGCACGCATCTTCTCCAACCGGAATGCTCGGCCCCTGCCCCCTCTCGCAGAGCAAGAAGAATGGGAACGCGAACGCGCAGAGAAAACCAAGCAACGCGGCACGAGGTTCCATGATATACGCTGGGAGGAAAATGGACGCGACACAATCAAATTTCTCGATGGCCTATTTAGGATTGCTGGGCTAGGCACCTTGAAGGGCGAGGGCAGAATACCACCTCCGCTGACGAAGGAGATGATTTGGGCAATTGAGAATATTAAAAAGTACCCCGAACCTGGGAAGGACAAGGATAAAAATAGAGAAGAGGCGGAACATATAGATGAGAAGGAACGAGATGCTATCCTATCAGGAGATGATAAACCCACCGGCGGTCTCGACAACGGGTGGGTATATGTCGATAGAAAGTATGCCAATTTACTAGGGTTTATATAGAATCCAGATGAAATGACGATGGGCGGGTGCTCGATGATATGCGTTTGTATATATACTTCCTAGGTAGACACACATTCACATACATGCCTACCTCCAAGTCGTGTACGAGGTTTATTCATATGGTACCATAGCATTATTTTTGATACTTTATGCTCAACCTACGTCTATGTTTCGAGTCCCAAACGCAGTACGTATATTACTACATTGTCACGCAATATATAGCCAGGCTTATACCAACAAGGACTTCGCGTCGAATAGGCATACTGAAGAAGAACGATAGGCTTGATACGGCTCTTTCGCAATTTCCCTGCCGCGCATTGGATCCTAAAGCACGCTCAACTTAACGTACACCCCCTGGAGAACGCCGGCTAGCTTTATACTTGACAAAAACGGAATTCGTGCGAGGAACAGGACCTCAAGTGGGAGAATGCACGTGCGTATCAAAGACTGCGTTCTTCCAGCCGCCCGCATCAAACTGTTCGATGCGGTCTTGTGCCTGACCAGCTTCCTCGTTCCATATCTTGACAATACTACCAGGGGCGTAGACACCCTTGAAGACACCACGACCCGGCTGTTCGACGCCAACCCTCGTATATAGGTCTGGGTCTTCTGCAGGCACTAGTCTCGCTGCGACAGCTTTAAGGAACGTCCATAGATCCTTAGGATTGGCGATGCGCGTTGCCCGAAGCCGCTCTCGTGCAAATAGCAGCTCGCGGTTTGCTGCATGAAGTAGGTCCCCGATAGCGGCGGCGAGTTGGGCTTCCATGGTAGCTTTGAGTATAGAGCGTAGGAACGGCTTGATGAGCCAACCCAAAAATGCAAATTTGCTCTTCCCAAGCTTATAGTTCAGCTTGTGTACCCTAACCTTCACGCGACGTAGTGTCAGGACATGCTCTAGACGCTCGCGGCATATTTCAATCTCGAGATGGATATCAATACCACGTTCATCTAACGCGAAGCTCATGATTCCCTCATCTGCAAGACGGAATAACCCGCTATGGGCACGAAGCCAAAAGCCAACCTCGTCCGCGCGCGCCGAGAGGCCATCAATCTTAATAAGCATCAAATTTTTGGTACTAGTGTTGGTTCGGAAGCGGGCTTTTCGAATCTCGACATCGTTATAGGTTTCGATCTTCAGTCTATACGGAAGGAACGAGGTATCGTTCACTGTAGTTCCAGGCTCAATGATGAGATTTTCTAACAAGAGGTCGATTGCTGGTGTACTGAGCTCGAGGCGGGGGACCGGAACGTGCTGCACAGCAGTAATGATGAGAGGGATGAAGACGTTGAGAGCATCATGAATCAGCTCAGTGTTTGTTGCTGATCCGGAAGGGGAGAGCACGCCGAAGATGCGCAGGGTGGTGGTTGTCAGGTTGTGAATATCTTCATCTCTAGCCACACTTTGGAATGTAATGGATAATTGGTGTAAAAGCTCATCAATGTCTTGACGTAAATCGCTTTCTGTCCCTACTTGTCTACTTTTCTCCTTCAGTTCCTGAAGCTTTTTGTCGGCATTGTTGAAAAAGTCTGGGTCCATGAGAAGGTTTTGCAAATTGTCTCCGATATCCTGAAGCAGGTCTTCAAATTCAGGATCTTTGTCCTTATGGCTCATGACCTTCCTTAGAAATGCTTCGCATCTATCCCATTCTTCTGTGTCGCCGAAGCTCTTCACAAACTCCCAGAGGTTGGTAAGAGCACGATCTGTCTCCTGATTCTCGTGAACATCATCCTGGGCGACCTCCAAGACCTGCTCCGCGGCACGAGAGTATACTATGGCATAGCGCTTGATGAGCAACGAGAGCGTTGACACAGACTCTGAGTAGTCTTTGCGCTTTCGAAGATTCAACACGACTTGCTGAAGCCGTTTTAAGAGCGTCTGGCCTTCGTCACCGAAAATCTTATCCTTAGCGCTCTCTATTGTCGTAGTTGCAACCTCGGCGCTCTGGTCAGCGACAATATTACTAGCATCCTCAAATTCATCCTCAAGATTCTGTGCGGTGGGAGGCTCTCCATCACTATCGTTTCCGGACTCGGCTAGACTTTGTTGCTCCTCGCAGGATGGCTCTAGTTGTTCGCCTACTTGTTTAGCAGCGCTACTTAAGGCGAAAGCTGAGTCACTGAAAATCTCTCGGCCAACGATATTGAGGTCACCAAGAAACGTGCGGAAGTCTGGGTTGGTAAGTAGTAGTGAACCTACAGTCCGCACGCTTTGGTAGGCGACAGCAATGTCCGCTTTCGACTTGGATTTCTTAGCTCTCGTGGCAAGATCATCAACATCGACGGATATGCTGCTTTTGGTTAAGAACCAGATGAGATCCTGAAGTTGATCATTGCCGTTTTTGTGCTGCAGGAGAGCGATGAATTGCTGAAGCCATAGCTTGGTAAGGCGCACTAGACGACGACCGCTATTGGATAGATCTGGGTTTTCGGGATTCAAGATGTTACTCGCCAACAAAGTGCGTAGATTAATAATGGTCTGTTCGGTAGTGGGCATATATCCCTTGCTCAAAGCTCTGAGCATCTGATAGCTGTGGAGTTTGCGATAAAGCTCTCGCTGCAAGTGAGTGTCCTGCTCATATCGAGGGAGCAACGGTTCGCGTTCGGGATCATGGCTCTTCTTTCGCAAACCAAAACACGAAGACATCATTGTTGCTGGCTGATCCTCAAATTACTAGTCTTGTGGCAAAAGGATTATTTCCTTCTTCTCTTATACTTGGGAATGATTTCCTGTTGTAATGCATGGCAAGCTCTGATTTTCCTTTTTCTCTATTTCTCTGTACCCCAGAAAAAATGGCAGCATACGATGTTGACAATGTTGACAAGCTTGAATGTTGACGAATGGATGACGTCTACGTGTAGGAGATGCCAACTGGAATTGCTACGTGATTTAGGTTAGATTAGGTACCCTAGGCACTTACCTACACCTGGAAACCGTTATCGATATCGATGTTTCAGGGGAGTTGTACAGTACTGTTAGGTACCTAACCTGCCTACTAGGACCTAGGTAGTAGGTACTAGGTAGGGTAGTACTAGGTAGATGGTATGTATGCAGTGCTAACCCACCTAGGTAGAAGTACCATTGAGGTGACAATGCAACCGGGATTGGCCGGAATTATCATGTAACTAACTATCTCCAGGATGTAAGTTTCGATTTTGACAAGTGAATCATCCATGTTACATTTTCTCTTATGTATCATACACCTAGGCACGTAACAAATGGTTCACATTTTATTTAACTTTATGTATACCAATGAACGGAACATCATATCATACCTACATACATAGTATTTGTAGCGTCTGAATATACCCCACTCTTGTCAGAATAAACACAGTCGTATTCAACTTACCCCTTACTTTACTCCTAAGTACCTAGGTTAGGTTAGAACGTACGAGCCGGTCATAGATCCAGCCCGACTGTAGCATCGCTGTCACTACCATGCCCTAGGCCTTATTATCCCGACGAGCCTAAGGCCCCCGGGTTCGCCTCATATTAATATCTGGATATGCAGGCGCTTGCCTGACAGTTTTGTGCCAATCCTACCAGCCACTCACAAGTGTCTTCCGAGGGCATCGAATAAAAAAAGAATTCCCCTGCAGTTGAGGCCAGCATCTCCTGACGACACGTAAGCCAGTGAGCCTAAACGTCAACAGCTACGCCTTTCAAGTCTGGTATTGCAGTTGCATGTGTAAGCAGCTAAGATGGTTATATAGCCGCATTTACTTACGCCGAATCCGAGGTGTGTCGAAGGGGTCGGCCCCCGCGGACTTGCACGGAGCTCATTTGCTTATGGACCACCAATCCTGACTTGCCAATACTCTCCATGGCTTAATCGTAACTAAGCATTATTGTCTGCGCATATATGTATATGGCCGAGTTATTGTATTGACTGATTGTACTTAGGCCAGGACCTGTAACTACGTAGGTGAGTGTTAAATCTGATAGCTTCTTCAGCTGCGTCTTGGCCAGTACTTTTACTCCCCTTGATATTGTGCCTACATCTTGGCCAAGAGTACATAGTACCCGCGAAACGGAAGAAAGTAGATAACGAATATATAGATCAGATTGAGTATATTTTAATGTCAGGTAACTATGATCATGATAAAAACTACCTCTGGTTACTGGACCATGACTTCGTCTTGTCTTATCGGTGTCCTTCAGTGATTGCACACCCTATCTGCCCGTACGAGTGATCCTTCTCTGCATACCGGGTCGATCTTGCGCCCCACGCTGCTTTCCTAACATTGTTCGCGTCCTCACTCCTCTTGCTACTTACACTGTTCGCTCTCACGCGATACATCAGCTTTTTTACCTCAGCCATGACCCTAGGCCTCGTCTGCAAGGTTCTAGGATACGTGGGTGCGTCATAAGCTGGTAAAACCAGTGGTCTCTGAATAGGTTTCTTATGCAAATATACTCTTTAGCCGTTGCCCCGGCCTGCCTTGCTACAGACATTTATCTGTGTATGCGGAGAATCGTGTTTGCATTTGGGTCAGAGAACTCCCGGATCCGCGCATTGTACATGACACTATCACTTCGCTCTGCTTCAATTTTAGGGGTTGTGAGAAAGAAGCAGGTGAACTAGGCGTATAATTACTAACACCGAGACTGACATACCCCTTTTCATCCTCTGCGACGTAATCTCTCAAATCCTCCAAGCTGCGCGCGGTGGCCTCGTTTCCGTAGCCTTCCACTCGGGTGAGCCTACAGACCTAGATAATGATATAATGATCGCGATCCTCGCGTTCCAAATCTTCACGCTTCTCGCATTCCTCCTCCCTATGAACTTCCTCCTTACACCCTGCGTCGATAGCATACACTCAGTCCCGCTGCACCGGACTAGCCCCCCTCCCTCGCTGCGCTTCAGCGATCTAGTAGGCTCTTTACTCGGTGCCGGCGCCATGTCCGGTGCCTAGGAGGAGCACAAGTTTGAGACGGTACCGAAAATTCAACCTCGCATGCTGCTACCAGTATGGGCGAGCTGCAGGGAGTCAGTCCCAATAGCAATGATGTCGAGCGCGGCACTCGGCAATGCCACTGGGGTAAGGCTAACCCTTTAAAATATGGGTTTAGACAGAGAATGCCGCTATGAGTCTAAAGATACAGGTTTACCTTCAGTGTTGGTAGTCTACCCCAACCCCCTTTTTCCCCTATTATCTTTTTATACCCACATTGGTATATCAAATGAAACTATTCATTACCAAAGCTCCTCCCATTCATTTAAATATACAATACGTTATTCATTGACTTTTGATACAATAGAGATGAATTAGCGGCTTCCTTTTTTCAAGGCCCGGGGGGAGAGCAGTTGCACCTGGAAACGGGCGCCGAAGATGGTCGGATGTCTAAGGTGTATATTTGCAGGTAGAGATTATATGATTGCCTGACAATTACAGAGGCTTACAGCACGATGTAGCATCGAGGACTCACCTCAAGCAGATCGAAATTGATTAGGCGCCGCGGTGAGAATGTAAAGTGCAAGTCTAACTTCACAAGGGTACATCCGGGCACTGGATTTAAAACAAGGTGTAAAATTTAATTGAATGCATTTACTGAACTACCCAGTGTCTTCCTAACTTCCTAGGATGGACGCAAAGATTCCTCAATATGGTCCTCCGGTGGAGGGCGCTCTTACGACCGTTCAGTGGGACCGCGAGTTTGCATCTAGAATGGGTAGGCAGCGAAAAGCATGCACTTTAAGTAGCTTAACTCAACAGCTGGTCGAACTCTGTCATTATGTGCTGTGAATGGCTGCTCCAGGTTTTTGCTTCATGTATACTTCTTTTTCTGTTTCCTCCTCTTTTAGATTCAGCTCAAGGATAATATAACCTCAAGTCCTCTTCTGGAACCTCTTTACCAACGTTCCTCATCTACCTCTAGGTAAATGTTGCATCTCTAACTATCTCAAGGCGTAGAGGGGCCTGATATAGCCTAGAAACTGATATCAAGGCCATTGAAGTTCGTCGAGATCTCTCATTAAAAGGGTGAAGACTGCTATGGTGTACCTTGGTGCAGGAAAGCGGTTAGACTGTGAGAATCATGAGAGCATGGTCTGTCTCACAAATTTTATACGATCAAGGCCGTAGGGATGAAGGGAAGAGGCAAAGTCTACAAAGGGTTTTCCCAGTACAAGGGGAGTTCAAGGTGGCGGTGAGTTGCTGTGTGAGTAAACTACGAGGCCGCCTAGCTGGACTCAGCATCGAGTGGCAGTACTTTGGATTTGTCTTCGAGGAATTCGTGTCTGTGCTTCACTATCGCTCTTGTGATGCGATCGAAGTCCTTAACTTTGTTGGCTCTCAGCTCGTTAAGAACCTTCTTGAGGCCTTCAATGAACTTGTTTCTTGCTTCTCCAGTAAACATGTCGGCTGAGCCAAGCTGGGTGATGATTTCGGCTTCTATTGAGACACGATGGGGTCAGTCATCCAAAGGGGGGGATGTTTCGAAAAAGAAATGACAGTCGGGGAAGAAAGTACAGAATTCAAAACTTACCTTGAAGCACCATATTCTCAAAGTGCTGAAACTCGCAGTTACTGGCAGGGCAATGTTCTCCAGCCAACACACGCGGACACAGTGGTCGCATCGGATCAATTTTCGAGCTATAAGTCATTGACTTGAGGCCACCGGCCACCTCATCAAAAAATCTAGGGTGAAACCTGTATGCACGGAAGTAGCCAAGAGGACTATGATATGATAGTACGTCATTCAGTTGTGAATTTTTTGGAGGTTCATTCTGCATAGAAGTTAGTAAGAGATGCTCATCAGATGAGCTATTCTGTACTTCTCCGCTAGAAATCTCCGGCACAGACACCGTCAGTTCATGAGCAGGTTCGTGGATCTCATCAGCTGCAGATGGCATAGACTGCTCCTTGAAGGGTGAACCATTCGGCTCCTGATATGAAGGATACTCTTCCGCACTGTTCTCAGATCCTGCCACGCTGATGATATCCTCAGCATGTGAGGCTGGTGCTTCCTTTGGTACACGTATTTCATGATCGATTAAGGATAAATCCTCCAGGGGCGGTGGCTCTAGAGTGTCCATCTCAGATAAGTCTTGTCCCTCTGTTTGGACTTGTGAGGTATTGGTCGTATCGATCGTCTTGTCGGGATACGGTCCACTATTTTGAGGAGACACGTTCGTTGAAGCGCTTGGAGACATTAGGTTCCCATTAGTAACCTCAAGGCGTGGACCTTCCTCAGTCGGGGTAACATCTTGTGATGACTGGACCATGACAGCGATAGCGGGGGGTCCATTGTTTGCTATGGGGTTGGAGACAAAAGAAACTGGAGCCGTTTGTCCCTTGGTCGAGACAGATTCTTGGTCATTCTCTGCCATAGTTACATCGACATTCTGTTCCAGGCTTCGGCGCTGTTCACTGAGAAGCGATGACTCAGGGGCACGCAAGGTTGCGGCGGCGGTAGTCGCTGAATATTGGTTAGTTTTATGGTACGGAATATGAATATCAATATTGATATGCAGGTGGATAGCTGTGCTTGCAATAACTCACAAGGAATAAGTTGAGCTTGTGCATTTATTGCAGCGCTCGCCTCAGCATTCAATATGTCGAGCTCTTTTTTTAACCTCTCGGTCTCTGCAGCCATTCTTTCGCTTTCTTCCTTATTAAGTTGAAGCAAAAGTTGAAGCTGGGCTCCTTGGGCGTTAGTTTGCTTCATCTTCTCTTGGCAGTTCACCAGAGCAGCTTGGATAGCGGGCAATTCATAACTTATGATCCTATCACGTCGCCCAGTGTCAGCTTTCTTGATTTCCCCACGTGGTTTTAAAACGTCCAGTGGCTCTAGCGGTGTCGTAGCTTGTATCGGCGACTGCTGAGACTCGGGTGAATGAACGAGGCTTGGCTTTTTCACAGCCTTCTTGGCTTCAGCCTCAGCAATTAGGCGCTTTGTCTCCTCGATCCGCTTGTGTAGCAAATCAAGCTTGGCCCCACTAACTGGCGGAGTTGGTACAGTGCTCGATCCTGGACTAGGGCGTGGCTTTCTGTTGGAGCTGTCGGATAGTGGTGGGAACGCTCCAAGGGAAGCTTGACGAAGAGGCTGGTTGATGATTTCGCCAGACGAGTTAGGCTCATCAGTAGGAGAGCCAATGTCCATCTCAACGTCTTCATCGTCACTAACGTCGATAATTAATGTTTCTTGAGTACGTGATCTCTTAAGTGACCCGGTAGGAGCGGGATAATGATCGAAATCGGAGGCAACTGGCCGTTTCAAATTGCGGTTCATGGACTGAACAGGGTGTGGGGATACTGCTAGGCCTGGAATATTGACTTCTTTCGATGGCGCTTTCACCGCAGGACCTGAGCCCTGATTCAGTGCTGGTAACGCCACTACGGGGCCTACAGAAACCTCCTCCTTGGATCTTATACTGGTAGTAGACGGGCCGTTGGTAGGCGTGGTTGAAAGCGTATCAGGTTTTGCCGGACCCTCAGATAGATTCTTAGCCGGCACGTTTTTGTCCGCCGCGGCCCTTTCTTGTGATCTCTTCAAAGCTGCAAGTTTTTGATGTAGTAGTGCATTATTCTCAGCCCGAGTTTTTGCCTTCATAGGTGATGCATTGGTAGAATTCGCCAGGTTTACATCAGCTGGTGTGGGTTGGGAAGAGGGAGTAGGTGCAGAAGGCTTCGTAGCAGGTGTGGTCTTCTGTGCCTTTGCCGCCAGTTTTCGGGCAATCTTATCCTTGCGTTCTTCGGCAGCTGTCTTCGTAGTTGCTTTGGTATCAGTCGCAGCATTGGTATCCGTGGTATTTGCTGTAGATTTGGTAATCGTAGGCTCCTTTGGCTCCTTTGGCTTTAGTGCAATCGTTGAAGGGTTGTCTTTGGGTTTCTGTGGTTCGACCATAGCCTTCGGAGGGGTAGACACAGGCATAGTTGATGCTTGTGAATCAATTGTAACCTTTTGTGCAGCAAGATGTTTCGGTAATGATGTGTCGAGACCTAGGTCAGTGAAAAGGCCCTTGATGAACTTCTCATCAAAGCCTTCCTCGATATAATGTTGATATCTGACCTTAAGGGGCCATAGTGCTAAGATAGCCTCTTGGGCCTTCTTCTTAGCCTCTGATACAGATTGGAAAGAGGGAGCAGCTGCGGCGTTTTTTGTAGACATCGTAGATTCAGAAACGGTGATACTTCCTCTGACAGTGGTATGGGTTGCGCCGTTAGAGATAGTCGGCAATAGTTGATGTGTGGACGACGTATTTATTCCTGGCAATGAGTGCATTGGATGATGGGGTGATATGGTTTCTGTTCATTGTTAGATTGCGAAAGAAGAAAAGAAAACTCCCATTATTGCAGGATCGCTGGAAGAATGTGCGACTTACGTTTGGCTCCGAGCGCATTGGGCTTGCTCACTGATAGTTTTCGTTGAAATTCTCGAGGCGACAGATAAGGTGAATAAGAACCAGACCGTTCTCGTTCTGGATACGTAGGCTCCCAGTTATCACCAGGAGAATATTCCCGTTCCGCTGTAGGGAACGATGTAGATGTGCTATTAGTGATAGCACCGCCTTGTGGTGTTCCGGCATCATATATTGAAGATCCATCTGCATCACCTACGCTCCCATTCGTATTTTCCACAATGCCCTGTGCTTGAGGAGATGGGGGGGCTGGTGCAGTGATGACAATTGAATCATTCGGTTCATATAAATCGTCAAATTCGCCTTCGCTAAGCTCTCCTTCTTCAAGTAGGTATGTTGGTTGTCTCTGGGATGGTGGAATGCTGTGTTGTTTCCCTGGGGCGTTCTCGCGAGTATTGTCTCGTTCGTGTGAAGAAGCAGGGGTCTTCTCTTTTGTCGGGGAACTGTTGGGAGGATTCTGTGCAGGATGTTTTGCAGGTTGCGATGATGGGTGCCATGCGATGTTGGTCTTGGATCGATAGGATACATGAGGCAAAGAAGCGCCCAAGCCTAAACCAGGTATATTGTTCGCATTGTATTGGTATGAATTGTTAATAGATGCAAAGTTACCAGGAGCCATATTGGGCTGCTGGAAAGTGCTGTAGTAAGCCTGTGGGGGGTTCAAAGAAGCCGATGCTTGGGTAAAGGGTTGACGAGATTGAGGACGAGACTGCTGGCCCGGGTAGGGGCCGTGCAGGTCAGAATGATCCGCCATGTTAAGGAAAGTAGACGCGATGCATGAGGGAGTTCGTTCACGAAAGTGAATCACCGACTTAGTATAACAACCAAGGGAGTAATTATGCCTTCAGTCTACCAGCAGGGTGGTGGATATGCTCCGTCGTCAATTCCTGAAAATGCCTGTGCACAGGTTACCTGACCTAGAGTAAGACAAAGGCGTAATCCAAAGACTTGTAAGGGTACGTTAGCATCGCAAGAGGCGTTGACGCGCGTTGGTTCAAAATCACAAATCGTCAATCGACATCAAGAGACAGCCAAATACCTCTCTAAGGATAACCGTCGAGGCGATTTGAGATGATTTAGATCAAAGGTAGTGACGCAAGACTTGAGTTTTCTTTCTTTCAGATAGATGCGAAAGAGCAAACGGTATTGGAATCGTGCTTCGTTCAGAATATTTCGCGAAAGTCGGAAGGATTGATTGGATTGCAGATTGAATTTCAGATTGCCGTCGACAAAAGAATAACAAGGATTTGGCTCCCGATGATTAGGTTATGTAATCCATTTTAGTGCCTAACATTTAAGCATCTGCAGAGTCAGTGCAGACTAGTAAAGGTAAGTTACTATGTACCTTAATATTATGATTTCAAGTTTAAACCAATCGTAATAACTACCAAGGAACATGTGACTACCTAATAATTACATAACTCTTTCCCTTTTCTTTTTCTATTTATACTTATAAATAAATGTAAGTGAACTTATATATTAAAAAAATAAAATTTAAGAATTAAACCTTATTATTAAAATGTTTTTAAATATATAATTATAATGTTTTATATTTTTTTTTTTAACGTATTTACCATTATTTATTAAGGGGGGATAATAATATTTATTTTAAACATTTTTAAACTTCGTTTTAACAACGTTAATAAATTTTAATATAAACGTTTTTAAATTTATTTTAATAAATTTAAACTATAAGTTTATACTTATATACCTTTTTAACCACATTAGTTTTTAACTAATTACAATAATTAAGTAAGTTAAAAAAATAAACATAAACTTATAATTTAAGCTTATAATGTTAAATTTTCGTTAAAACATAATTAATTTAATTAATTAATTAATTAATTAATTTAAAATATTTAATTAAGTTTATTTTATTTATTAAAACTATTAAACTTTTAATTAATTCGAATGTAAAATTAAAAATATCCACAAGTTATAAGTTATAAGTTACTTTATAACCGGGCCAAATCAAATTATTATTAACGCGGCGTTTCACGCGATTATAATAAATAATAATCGACACGCCTTAAAAGCCTTTTAAAAAAACCTTTTAAACGTCGCGCTTTTTAAAGCCTTTTAAACGTCGCAATTAAATAAAAAATATCTTTAAAGTTAAATATTACAATTATTTTTATTAAAAGCTTTATTTAAAACGATTTAATTTAATTATTATGTTATAATTATTAATAAATATAATAATTTTTAACATAATTTTAATTAAAATAAATTAAAACATCGCGTTTTTAAAAACCTTTTAAACGTCGTAACTAAATAAAAAAAGTTTTTAAAATTAAATATTATAATAAAATAATTACTAACTTAATTTAAAATTATTTAATTAAGTTTTTATAATGTGATTATTAACGAATATAATAATATTTTAATAAATTTAATAAATTTTAAGTCTCGTGGTAAATATTATCGTAATTTACGGTTTTTACTTAAATTAAAAATTAAAAAACATCATTTTTTTAACCTTACATGTATATGTGTATAAGTTAAAAAAAAATATGCTTATAACATAAACGAGCGTAACCCGATTATTTTTTAATTTTTAAGTTAAGCTTATTAAAATAATCTTAAATTATATAATTATTTAATAAATATTAAAAATAAGTGACGTTATATTAAAATAACGATAAAATATTAAAAATATAATTTTTTAAAATAAAAAGTTAATTAAATAAATAAAATATAATGTATTTTATATAAAAAATAATAAAATAAGCTATAATAATTAATAAATTATAAGCTTTTTAAATTAAATAAACGGTTTTTAAACTTTTTAATTTAAATAAATTAATTATAAATTTTTTAATTAAACAACTTTTAAATAAATAATTTTTAAAATAAATAACTTTTTAAATAAATATTAACTTTTAAAATAAAACTTTTAATTAATAATAACGTTTTAATTAATAAAAAAATTAAAATAATTTTAAAAATAATAAAAGTTTTAATTATTAAAAAAAACTAAAAATTAAAAATAAAGCTATTATTATAATTTTTCCGGTAAGGGATTATCAAATAAATGTAAGTGAATTTATATATTAAAAAGATAAAATCTAAGGATTAAACTTTGCTATTAAAATGTTCTTAAATATATGACTATAATGCTTTACATTTTCCTTTTTAGCGTACCTGCCACTATCTCCTACATGTACTAGTTACTGCTACATAGGTACTAGGTATGTACTAGTACTAGGTACCTAGTACTAGGTAGACCGTAGTACTAGGTATTGTGAACAATCTATTAACTAGGTACATTGTACTATTGTAAGTAACCCGAGTCATCGACTATATACTAACCTGCCTAGGTACATATTGATTGATGTGCCTATTCGTACATAACATTGAACACACGCAAACAGTGAATGGTATATTTATACACAAGTCATCATCATTGAACTTGGAACATTGATCGGAATTTATTAGAAATTTGAACCCAACTGGTCTCTAATACACATATCTGAAGTTTGGGTTTTCCCGATCCGTCAAATCCTCAAAAGCATGAGTAAACCTATCATCGTGAGCCTCGTTAACACCAGCTGCAACCAATTGATCTCTCTTCTTGTTCTGTCTTGTGAGATGGAAACGGAAGAATAACAGAATCAGAACGAGCGACGCGTAGCAGCCAATATGAATTGCGAATGCCGTGTAGTACTTGGGAGCCTCACGCGAGAGGAATACTTGAGGGCCAATAGCATTGCCAGCCGACCAAAATATGAAGTTTGTGGCCACCACAACCGTCTTTTTGGTCTGTCCGCCGACATTTCGAGACATCATGGAAAGGCCCAAAGTTTGCGCTGCCCAGAAAGACAGCGTGATATAGTAGCTGATGAGCAACCCTACGTGCTGGGCGAAGTTCTCGTTGGGAATCGTCATTAGAAGGACAGTGCCCACAAAAGATCTAATTAAATTCCGTCAGTCAAGACCGCGCTATATTGAGGGTAGGATGGTGTCATATCACTTACGGAACAAGAAACCCTAACATGATGAGAATGTTCTGGTTGAACTTCTTCACCAACCAAACTGAGCCTAGAAGTACGATCATGACGTAGGCTCCAAGGACGATAGAAAGAAGTTGCGTTTGAAGAATTGTGAACCCCAAGCTGCCATTTATGATAATATTCGCGAAACTACCGAGACCGCTGGTCGGTAGGGTGGTCGTGAACTGAATACCAGCATAGCACCAGGTCTGGGGATCAGTCAAGGCGTCCCAAACTTGCTCCTTTTTGAAGGTGCGGTTCTGCAAACCGGTCTGATTTCCTCGGACACGCTCGACCATCAGGTGCTTGTCATCCTCGCTAAAGCACTTGGCACGCATCGGAGAATCGGGCATCCACCAGAGGACAAAAAAGCCGAAGATAACGGAGACGACGCCGTAGGCCAAGAATAGCCATTGCCATGACTTCAAGGGCCCGTCCGTGATCAATGTAAAGCAGTAGGCCAGAAGTCCACCGACCATTTGCTGCGCGCCGTTCATCATGTACCAGTATGTAACCCTCGAGGCTTGCTCCTCACGCTTGTACCACATAGATGAGAGAACCACGAAGGCAGGCTGGCAGGCTGACTCGAAAAGACCGAGTAGCGTGCGAACCACCAATAGGCCGGCGAAGTTCTTGCAGGCGGCATGGCAACAGAGAACGATACCCCAGCATATGATGGAGAAACTCAGGTATTTGGCGACAGGAACTCGAGCAATGATGAAATTCTGTAGACACAGTTGTTAATTTACTACCCCAACAACTTGGAACAAGGGTATGTCTCACCTGCGGATACTCGACAACGAGAATAGTGATATAGATACAAGTTGTAAGCCACGGAAACTCCGGGCCGACCTTGCCATCAGGAGTGAGCATGCCGGTATCCTTAGGAAGGCCCATGATCGAGGAGAAAGACAGAGTGCCTTTGTCGAGTGATTGAAGAAAATATGTAGCAATCATGACTACTAAAACACGCTTATCGATCAATTTTCGAAGCCTGATGTCATCTTCTGGTGATATTTCAATCATAGCTCCCGACGAATACTTGGCAACTTCCTTGTCGACCTTTGTGTAGTCTGCTCCTCCCGTCTTCCTCTCAGCGTCGCCATGTTCTGAGCTAACTCGCTCTATCTCGGCTGTTGAGTATCTCTTCGGCTCATCATCCTGATGAGATGTTGTAGCTTGAATGCCATCGGCGTCGGGACCTTTGGAGGATGACATGATGATGGTTATAGGAGCACTCAGCGAGCTACGCTGACAAACAAAAGATTTTGTATAGGACCACCAAACACGCACCCCGTGAAAACAATGTGGGCTGGGAGTAGATGAGAAAGAGAAATGAAGTGGATGCGAGAGCTGAGTGAAAGATTAGACGCCTTCTTATTCACGGCTCGTAGTAATAACTTCCGACACCAGCTCGTATGCTGTCTTGTTTTATTTTGGTTATACAACAAGGGGTCGATGAACAGGCGATACCAAAAACGGTGTTTTATCCTGGGGTACGAGACCAGCTCGTCGGGTCTAAATCAGGTGGAGTATAGCATGAGTATAATCATTTGCCTATCCTCTGTGTATCTCCATAGCCATTCTCCATGCTCATCACTTAGTCTTGTTCACCGAGGAAATCAGTCTGGGGTTTCTCTGGGGGTCTACTGGGGGTTTACTGGGGCTGATTCCAAAAAATCTGGGGGATGGGGACTTAGGGGCTACGATACCCCAAACTCCAAAACCTAGAGCCCGGAGGGCTGTGGATTATTTGGTCACCTTGTCTGGTTCAATTGGGCTGAACGGAACCTCCTAGCTGTTTTTGGTGATGTGAGGTTGCAAGCCCGGGGGATCTTCCCTTAGAAAGTTAGCCTCGGTGGTAGCTAGGCCGATGTCTTTCAAGAAGTCGGAGACAAATTCTCCATCCAAAGATGATATGCTTAGCGAATAGCTTTCCTCGGTCAAAATAAATCCGTACTCTTTCGTATTTGCTACCAATAATGGCATATTCTTAGCTTGTATATTTTTCACAATTTTGGGTGCAGTCGTAGATCGGTTGAGAATTGTCACGAACTAATGCCCCCAACACAGAGTGGAGTGAAGCTGAATGTATCATGCATTGCACTTGACTCCTCCTCACGGGGGGATATGTTATGTATTGTATCTGTCCTTCAAGATTTCTTAAATAATCATATTCAAATAGGATTGATAGAGTAGGAATCCAATTCTTACCTATTGATTTACATGCTACCAAATAGAAAAATACACATTAACTACCTGTCTGTTTGTATACAAGACGATCCTATATATGGCAGTCTCCGTCTAATTTTCTGAATCCAATCATCTCAATTCACCTTTCCGAAAATGCCGTTAGAAGTTCATGGAATCAAGTCCAGCGATGTTCACGCTAAAATCCGACTGCTTATTGATGGGTTAGTGAACATCAAAGACGCGACGGGCGAGTTTCTTATGACATTGGAAGATGGGAGAGTAATCGATACCAAGGGATGGAACGATTGGGAATGGACTCACGGAATCGGCCTCAATGGAGTATGGGCATACTACTCGCTAACTGGCGAGGAGAAATACCTCAAAATCATTGAGGATTGGTTCGCTAACCGATTTGCTGCCGGCGGCACCACCAAGAACATCAACACAATGGCCGTGTTCCTAACGCTAGCCTACGTGTATGAGAAGACAAAAAATGAGACATATCTTCCTTGGCTAGATAGCTGGGCCGAGTGGGCATACCACGACTTGGAGAGGACGAAATATGGCGGCATGCAGCACATTACATACTTAGAGGAAAACAACCAACAGTTATGGGATGACACGCTCATGATGACCGTCCTGCCCCTAGCCAAAATTGGAAAGGTGCTTAACAGACCGCATTACATCCAGGAAGCGAAACGGCAATTCTTAATTCACATCAAATACTTGTTCGATACCAAGACAGGTCTATTCTTTCACGGCTGGACGTTCCATGAAGGAGGCCACAATTTCGCAAACGCCCTATGGGCGAGAGGGAACGCGTGGCTAACGATTGTGATTCCCGAATTCTTAGAATTGCTAGACCTTCCCGAACATGACCCAATTAGGGATCACCTCTTGGATACACTCAATGCGCAGTGCGAGGCACTGAAGCCATTACAGGCACCCTCCGGCTTATGGCGCACGCTTTTGGATCATCCAGAGGAAGAAGGGTCGTATGTTGAATCGAGCGCGACGGCGGGCTTTGCGTTCGGAATTCTCAAGGCTCAGAGAAAGAAGTATATCGGGAAGGAATACGAAGCTACTGCATTGAAGGCAATACGTGCAGTGCTAGATAATGTTGACGCCAACGGTGAACTTCAAAACACATCGTATGGCACGGGGATGGGCCATAGTTTACAACATTACAAAGATATTCCCATCACAAGCATGCCGTATGGGCAGGCTATGGCTATAATATCTCTGGTGGAGTTTTCAAGGGTGTTCATATAGGCTACCTAGGTATCTAGTAGACAGGTAGAGGGTTGAATTGCTTCATCTAAGGTGTAATTGAGATATAAGCCTTCTCCTAACCCGCTCCCTCAAGTCCTCAACGTCTTCTTAACGTCCAGCTTCGATTAGCATCTTCTTAACCAAGTCAACCTCCTCCGCCGTCCCACACACTAGCCCGGCCGTTTCATTTATATCTCTCAAGGGCGTATCTAGTATGTTCGTTCCATCATTTGGGTCGATCGCTTTCCCGCCGGCACACTCAACAATCAGCGCAAGAGGGAACAGCTCATAGAGCCGTCGTAATTTTGCCTTGCTAGTCGAGGTCACGGGCGAGATGTAAATGCCGTGGCCTTTGACTAGAGCATGAACCACGTCCGGGACGAGCCCCCCACTATAGCGCAATGTGTACTTGTTCTGTATGAAGTATGAAATCAATCCCATGTACTTTTCGTCCTCTGCCGCTGCTCGAAGATTTGCGGGAGCGAAATAGCGGGTTTTTACGGGCATCTCTGTTAACCGCACAGTAGGCCGAATGATTTCACTATCACGCCCACCGTGCTCGCCAACTCCTAGCTCGAGACATAGTGGCTCGGAACCGGGAACGCGCAATGCGATGATGGCTGTGGTGCGTGGCCCGTAGACACCAAGCACGGCAGCCACCTGCTTACTTGCTGGTGGCTGGTTGAGGGCTGTCTTCCCTTGCCAGATGCCGATGATGGTTCCGACAGTCCAGTTTGGCGCTATGATGGAACTTCCATCCAAAGGATCAAAGGCGACTGTATAATGCTCCTTGGGAATATCATTAGTGGATTCTTCCTGCGGACTGCCAGCATTTCGCTCAACTGGATCTTCTTCGCTGCTGGCAGTGACCACGAAAGGACACCGTGAGATAGCGTCTCTGATACTGTTCTCGGCCAATACATCTACATTTAGTTGGTCATCGCCAAATGCATTCGCACCGCCTGCAAGAGACACATGATGCGATCTCTTTAGCGCCTTTGCAATGTCGAAGATGCAGTCGATTAGAGTTGGAAGCACTGAGTCAATCAACGCCGAATATTCCTGTGACGGAATAACAGACCTAAGGTATTGTGTTGGATTAGGCTTTTCCATGGCTTAGATGCCTACGTGGTGGGTGAACGATCTGGAACTTTGAAATACCTCAAGAGTCTATTCGTCGAGGAATATGTAGATAGTAATAGATATCAACTACCTAGGTAATGATTGTATCGAATCTAGTTAATCTTCAATTTTTCTTACTCAAGTGGAACTTCTGAACCTTCGAGTGTTACATGCTATCTTAATCGGTACATATCGGATACAAGCTGTACTAGGTATGCAACTAACGAGGTGAGACGAATTGTTCACTTGAAGTTCACCTAGGTCAGTAAATAGGGGTCACCACAGCCACTTCCCGAGGCTCACCTTACTGTCCTAGCACAGATCCAACTGCCAATTGATTCCGACAAACGTGAAAGAGAACTGGGGTCAATGCCTTGAGATATGGCAGTCAATGTTGTAGCCCCAGTGCATAGTAGTAGTGTATAGGGCAGTGCTATGTACGGTAAACTCGCTTCGACACACCCACATACCTACCTAGTACATAGTGTTAGAAGAAGTGGGTGAACCTGGACATAGAGGATCATGGTCATTGGAATGCCCCCATACCAAGAGGAAGAGATTTCCATGGAACGGAAATAGTTCTCATGATCAAGTCATCACTTCCGTGATCCGTGATCCGAGTTCCGACGACCCTCTAAGTGCCTAGGTTAGGGTAATGATATTCGAGATCCCCCCCCTGACTTAAATCTTCATAAATACCTGACTGCTGTCGGGACATATCCTTAGATTGAAGTAAACCTCATCACTTTACGCTTTTAGAAACTTGCACTTGTTTGTATACATTTTATTGCCTAATATAAAAATGCCTAGTCGTATCACACCCTCGTCGGAATACGAGGAGTCCTCGAAAGAGTGTGGCTTATTACGATACTATTCCGTTTCGAATAATGGATTTCTCCCCCAGCGCGAACCATTGAGGCGGCTACCACACGCCTATTATACCCCATGGGAGGCCATACTCGACGATCTCCCATCTTTAATCAAGCAGAGAAGAATTCGAGAAGTTGTGGACAGCACACAGGTTTTGTCGACAAATAAACTACACACAGAGGAAGAATGGCGTCGAGCCTATGTGGTTTTGTCCTTTTTAGCCCATGCATATATCTGGGGTGGTGACAAGGCATCCGAGGTACGAAGTATTCTTGGAAAATACTAGGTAAACCTCATACCCATGGCGACTAACGAAAGAATAGGTACTCCCTCCAGCAATATCAGTGCCATATATTCAAGTTTCGGAGCATCTCGATCTTCCACCAGTTGCAACATATGCTGCGCTCAACTTGTGGAACTTTGTGTGCAGTGGATCCGACTTCCGAGACCTTGACAGCCTCAAAGCCTTGCATACGTTTAGTGGCACGGAAGATGAATCATGGTTCTTCGCCGTGTCGGTGGCGATGGAAGCCCAGGGTGCCTATATAATTCCGATGATGCTCCAGGCACTTGACGCTGTCAAGTATCGAGATTACTCCGTCATTACCACGGCTCTAGAGGAGTTGACGATCTGCATCGGAAGGATTGGTGAAATACTGGGTCGGATGGACGAGAAATGCGATCCTATGGTCTTCTACCACCAGATCCGCCCATTTCTAGCAGGAAGCAAGAATATGGGTGCCGCTGGCCTTCCAAATGGGGTTTCATTTTCGAATGGTGACGGTGAATTTCACTGGAAGCAGCTGAGAGGCGGTAGCAATGGGCAAAGTTCTCTCATTCAATTCTTGGATATTGTGCTTGGAGTCGAACATAAGTCGTCCGGAGGCGGGGTGAGTACAAGTCCGGGCTCTGGATCATCCTCGACAAGCGCAACAGGGGCAATGACTTTCCACGAGGAGGTTCGCCTCTATATGCCGGCGCCACATAGAGAGTTCTTGGGGTATGTCTCGAGAATGGATAGCCTTAAGGAACTCGCTAGAGAGCCGGGAGATTCAGAGGAACAAAGACAGTTCCAACGAGCATTTCATGCTGCCACTAAAGCTCTCGGTGATTTTCGAAACAGACACATTCATATCGTCACGAGATATATCATAATACCGTCGAGAAGGCCAAGTCACCTTACAACGACCAACCTCGCTACGGTATCGTCGCAGTCTAACCAACGGCAGGAAGGCGAGTTAACTGGGACGGGAGGGACAGCATTGATACCCTTTTTAAGACAGACGCGGGATGAGACGTACTTAGCAGGAATGGTAGATCGAGACTAGATAGAGATATAGAGTAGATACCCAACCTATCTGAGATAGGTAGTTGATAGATATTATGTTATGCAATATATATTATGAATTTTGAATTGTCTTCATCTCGATAATCAGATCGAGTCAAATGGGCTTCGAATACAGATACATGATACATACCAGGGTAACTAGGTACCGGTACGAGCAACCCGCGAATTTCGTCACGGGTACTATGGGGAGCTGTGCTGGTGACATGAGGCGGAGCTGACGAGATGCGGATGGTAGACGCACTGATGCTGTGATGGGGACATCTGGAATTAGGAGGGAAAGAAGCGGGTAGTTAGGGGTATTTATTTACATAATAGCTTATTTACATAATAGCTTAGTTATTAGTGGTGGTCTGTTCCGGTTTCTTACTTCCGAAGTTCCGATATCCGTTATTCGGTTATACCCCCCTAGTGATGCTAACATTGAACCTTCAATGTTGTAAGTATGTAGTTAATAGATGTACATACATCATCTTCATCCGACAAACAATGCAAGCAGAACAAACACCCTTTTCTATAGGTAGTTTCTGATATCCGTATATTTCACCCCGTTCCGATCAATAAACCACTGTATTCGCGACCATGATTCGCACTCGAGTTTCCAATGCCTGTGATGTATGCAAGCAACGTAAAGGTAAATACTCAGGCATTAATATTCAAATCTCGTTCATCTTCTTGCTTGATCGAATATTGCCTTATAATTGACCAATAAATTCTAGTAAAATGCGACGGGAATTTACCTTGCAGCTATTGTAAAAATAGACGAGGCAGTTTAACATGTCATTTTTCTCCTGCAGCCCGCCGTCGGGTGGTAAGGTCGCATCTGGCTTCCCCCGAATCTTCCGCAACGGTTCATTCATCCGTCCAGTCATCCGTTCCGTCCTCTGCTAGGCCCGAGACAACCCCCGATATTTCTGCTATACCTGTCTCCGTAAAAGAGTATGCTCGCACATCAGATGATGTCACCCGTCATAGTGACTTCTCTGCTGAAGAAGAAGCAGATGTACCTCGAGAAGCACGCTTGTTGTGTGATGCTCGGGGCAAGTTAAGTAAGTACGTACGATGACGGAAAGAAGTCATTGTTGTTTGCTACCTATCCATGGATCTTTATCGCGCATCCTAATTGATTTATCCGTTAGTTTTTATTGGAGATTGCGCGCCACTCTCCCTATTTCAAACCGTACGTCAAATTGTGACCTCTCGAGTTGACCCGAACGGCTTTACGCCTGAAACGAGCCGGGTCTCCATGCTGGAAAATGCTGGTTCTCATCCGCTTGTTTCGGTCGGCAGCAAAGAGCCGCCCGTGGATGCCGCCAGTGCTGAAAGGCTGGTATCTATTTATATATCAGTAGTAAGCACCTCACCCTAGGTACCCAGTACCAGTTTAATCGTGCACCATTCCAGTGTGCAGAATGTAAGTACCTACTGTTCCTCAAACTAATATATCGTAGACATCTGGGCTGGTTGATCTTTTCGACAACATATCCCTTTTGGATGATATATTAGCGTGGTCTACCAAAGGAATACCAGAGGGTGCAGCCTCTGCCGTGAATTACTTGGTACTCGCCATTGGATCGCAGTCCGTTGACGAGGAATCCTCAACCGCATATTTTCAATACGCGAAGGCATTGGCCTTGTCATCCCTCGATGGAGATCTAGGTATCGAGACTGTCACATCCTTCGCCCTCATAACTCTATATATGCTCAGGGCATGTCAAATCAACGGCGCCTTTCTCTTTTTTGGTGAGTAATTTTCAACAAAGCCCATGTAATGCTCTTATAGCTGAGACAAAAAGGTATTGCTGCACGAGCGGCATATTCAATTGGTCTACATAGGACAGAAGTTAATTCTCGATTCGGAGTTGAGATGCATGTTCAAAGGTATGGACCAGCCTCTACTGCGGTCGAAAATTATAATATTGACAGTAATAAGGGATCGTCTTTGGAAAAGTTTACGAGTCCTTGATTTGTTCCTCAGCATATCCATGGGTAGGCCACCAACCATGTCGGACATAGATTGTACGGTACCTTGTCGAGCTTTAGATGCCAATGGACAGGAAGAATTTGATCTCTTGAATGCATCGGTACAGATACTTGCGATTACGGAAGAGATTGTCCTTCGTGTGTACTCGAGAAGAAAAATCTCTCTTCAGCTCACAGATGGGATCTCACGCCAGCTTCGAGATTGGTCAAGTAGATGGCTCTCTCGTCTGAAAGGGATTATTTCCGGCTCACCGAATGAAGATAAAACAGAGGTAACTGGGGCATGTCAAGTCATTTCATCCTACTACTATGCCGTTATGCTTGTCGCCAGACCCTTTCTCATGTACGAGTTGTGTAAGCGCCTACCTCAAGATGCTGCCACGGCCGATACGCTCGGTGGTAGTAACGACAACTCGGGAAGAGCAAGACTTGCGAATGCGTGTATTGATGCGGCCAGCTTGATGGCTGAGTCAGTATTAGACCTCGTGAATCAGGGGCTGTTGGATGGACGAATGCCGCTAATTGTGTGAGTAAACAAGTCAGAGCCTTTGACCCTATGCTAACCACCTCTTAGTTCCTGGCTGTTCGCATCTTCTTTGGTACTTGGAGTTGGGCTTCTCGGTGGATTTGGACGTATTCTGGAAAAGTATGCACACATGTCCATCGCCGCACTGGAATATTTTGCGAAAAATGATGCGCACGCCATTCAATACTCACTGATTGCCAAATCCTTGTTGTCTATTGCGATGAATTATCTTCAGCGGCGGGATGTAGATGAGCGTCTTCGAATCACAGAGAGCTCGTCCCAACTATTCGGGTTGATACCCAAGGAGCACCCACTTCGAGAAGACAACATGCCTATCAACACCACCGGATCGGCGACACTTATATCAGACCCCCACAGAAGTAACATACCTCCGAGTTCATCAGCTCAGGAAATGCTAACTTCCCCTTTCCACGATATCGACCCGGCTCTTCTTTCTTTAGGCTGTTCGCTTGATTCAGCGTCAGGTACCCCCTTTACAGGAAGAGACCAAGAGTATCAGGCAGAGCACGTTTTCGGGGCTCTCAATCTCTTCCCTCTATTGGATGGGAACGGCCATATAGATCTTGCACATTATCTCTGAACCAGGTTGATATATAATCTTTTCGGTCCTTTGTACCCCGGGCCCTTTGAATATGCACAAGTACAGGAATCTTAAGAGTATGTCGAGTCCCAAGCGCTTATAGGCATGGCTTACTTACCTATATAGATCAACTACCTCGGCACTAAGCATGGATTATGAAGCTCGTCGCTACATCGCCACCCCCATTCTTGGAAAACGTCGACGGTTCCTCGGGTGCGATTGGCATGTGGACGGCCATTTTCCATCGAATAAGACCGTTGCCTATAAATTAACTACAGACCACGGACTACCTAATTTCACCTATCCTCGGCCTAATAGTAAAGAGTTGAATATAGGATGCAGACTTCTCTGGTCCATCCCTGCGAATTCGATCACGAATCTTTCAAAGAATAACCTAGTAAATTGTTGCGGCTGTCATAAGCTCAACGGACCAGACACCCGCAACTAGTGAACCAATAGGATTGGTACGGATATTGCGCAATCTTGAGATACCCAGGGCTGTTTGACTGCAAACTAAATCCTTCCATGCATGGCACAGCAGCATGCGGACCGTTCCGCATTACTAAACTAGCAAATAATATGAGGCAAGCTTTTAGTCGTAAACCCCAGCATGTTGATAAGATATTAACTATTCGGTAGGTATCGACTCTATATAGAAGGTCTGCTCTAAACTTTTCCCGTTGAATAGGAGCTCAGCCGGGTCATGATATATCGTAGAGGATGCTGTCAGCGAATGTGTCTGAATAAGAATCCATTTTGGGCGAGAATGGATTTGCCGAAGATGGAGGATGACTTGTGAGTGTTACTTTACTAAGCTCACCTACTAGGATCTACGAAATAATGCAGTACTATCCATGTAGACGAAGCCAATGGAATCAACCATCTCACTAATCAACGTCCGGCTATGCATGATTCGTATATGTAAGGCCGTCCAGGTAGGAAATTCCCCAATCACACGTGGGCAATAACCTCTAGGAAGATTCCCATTTTCGAGCTTTGACTATGGGTTAATCCTAGACCTCAAGGAAAGACTTGATAGGGCCAAATTAAGACAGTGGAAAACGTCAATGGAACGCTGTGGTGTGACATGCTGATGCGTATGAAGATCCTTTGTGATTTTTACGGTCGTGGCTGTAAGACGGGGGGCTCTTCCGATGTGCGTGAATATCATTGTTGCACAATTTATCCGGTCCTGGTTTTGCGTGACCGACGACACCGGAAGCGACGTGCGTCTTCATGCTTAAGCTACCCAGATAATATAAAGAGGTTGCGTTACACTGAACCTTCCAATGCCGTCGTTACGTTCGGCGTTGGGACGATAAACGCACCGGAGATAAAGCTAAGGTTAAACAAATTATCTCTACGATGGATTCCCACCCCCCTTTACTTCGTCATCACATAATCCCTTGACCTTTCTAGTATATGGTTAGGAACTTGCAAGCACTATTATGTAGCTTGACCCCGGCGACTTCAGCAGATACCATAGAAGAGCGTCTGGAACCTCTCCACTCCTCCCAGAGCATATTGAACTGGAACCTACCTCGGTACTATAACATCTCTAGCAAGGCCATCCGAGTTTCCTCCTAACCGAAGTAAGACTACCTACGAGCCAAAACTTTCACTGATAGGTAGTTGCAACTGCCGATGCTCTACTATGCTGGATTCCAAGGGCCAGCATCTAACATGGATTCATACGATGATGATCAACTGGGTTATCCGAGAATCTATACCTCCAGGGGTTGTCTCTAAATGGAGGTATATCTATTAGGAGTTTGGTTTGGTTTGAAAGGTTTGTCCCAGAGGACCTGAAGAAACACGAAGCTTCTTGTAACCTAGGTATACATCAGCATAGTTGCACGTCATAACATAACACTGCGAATATGATTACAGACTTCTTCATCCAGTTGTTGTCACGCCAATGGCCGCTAACATTGCTCATATTGTCTATTCTCTACTTCACAAGATGCTACTTCAATAGAAGACTAAATCGATATCCAGGACCTCTCTTAGCTCACTTCACCGATTGGCTCCGGTTCTACAAGGTATGGCTACGGCGGCCCGAGCAGTGGCACATTAAGCTTCATGAGAAGTACGGTGATGTTGTGCGGCTGGGACCAAACGTATTGTCGTTTGCAAACCCAGACTCGATCAAAGTCATATACGGACTCGGGAAAGGATTTACAAAGGTAAAGCTTTTACATGACTTCAGTTAACTTATGAGGCCTCCATTACTAACAGATGAACTATTAGTCGGACTTCTATCCCGTTCAGATGGCAACGGCAAAGGGTCAGCCACTTCCCACCCTTTTCAGCACACAATCGGAGCACTTCCACTCGCAATTAAAACGGAGTGTGAACCATGCCTTCAGTATGTCGAGCCAAATGCAGTATGAGCCGTTCTTTGACTCAACGAATGAGGTGTTCCTGGATCAGACGGACAAGCGATTTGCGTCTACAGGGGAAGTATGTAACTTTTATCGCTGGCTCCAGTTTTATACGTTTGACGTGATTGGGGATATGGTTTACTCAAAGCGACACGGCTTCCTGGAATCCAACGTAGACGTTGATAATATTGTCCATGATAACGCGAGACTCTTCGACTACGCCGCTCTAGTAAGTTAACCCGATGGAAAAGCTGTTCAATTGAGTAGGCCTCTGCTAACAATGGTAACAGATTGGCCAGATTCCTGTACTTGACAAGCTGTGGAATAAGAATTTCATCAGGTTATGGGCCGCCAAGCACGGCATTGGTGAGGCGACGTTTGGAGTAGCACGCTTTGCCAAAGCTCGGCTGGCCGAGCGGCACCCTTCCGGTCAAACATTCTCAAAGGAGAACTTCGCTTGGGAGCAGACCAAGGACACCCCACCTGACCTTCTATCGCATTTCATTCAGGCCAAGTTCGAGCGGCCGGATTTTTTCAACGACCAGCTGGTCATGACTATGTGCGTTTCGATGGCGTTCGCCGGGTCGGAGCCTGCAGCAGTTTCACTTAGTGGTGTCTTCGCCTCCCTCTTGCGACACCCGCAGTGTATGAAGAAACTAATGGACGAGTTAGACGGCAAGGCTAGAGAGGGGCACTTCAAGGATAACCAGACAGGGCTCATCACCTGGGCCGAGATTCAGAGTCTGCCCTATCTTGATGCATGCATCAACGAAGCATTTCGTATCTATCCAGCGCCGGGTCTCCACTTTGAGCGCGTTGTGCCAGCGGAGGGGGTCGATATAAACGGTGAATTCATCAGGGGCGGGACGATAGTTGGCTGCAACGCCTGGGTGATACACCGGCGCACCGAAGTCTTTGGTGACGATGTCGAGGTTTATCGACCCGAACGCTGGCTCATCGATGAGACCCAAGATAGGGCGCAAGAACTTGCGCGGATACGGCGAATGAAGAATACCCTGATGCAATTCGGAATGGGTCCACGGGTCTGTCTCGGGAAGCACATTGGCCTCATGGAGATGTACAAACTGATTCCTAGTGTATTGAGACGGTTCGAGGTGAGTTAAAGAATCAAATCTTATTCCACACGCCACTTCGGCCACTAATACTTTTCTATTCCTTTTTAGCTGAAGCTCGAGGACTCGTCCAAAACACCTCAATTTTGGAATGGCTGGTTTGTGAGGCCCGTAGATTTTCGAGTGAAATTCATCAAGCGAGAACTCGTACAGCCATTGTTAGCTTAGGCGTTTACTTGCTAAATGGTTAGTATCTCGTACGTAGGATAATAACCTTCCGTGGGTTGAATGAGTTTTCCATATGGAGATTTCTCGAGATGGTAACATAAGTATAACATAAGTATAACATAAGTATATACGTAGACGAAGTAATGAATATACGACTTCCATTTCGATTTCATGATACTTGTTCCATGTTAGGCTTCTTGGACGAAGGTTTGTCTGGCCAGGTACACTTCGTAGTATGGGTTGTATCAATAGGGGTAAAGATAGTTACCTAGGTACCTAAGGTTAGTAGGCTGGGCGTTTATGTTCGCGATCTATTTACCCAAGTATCTAACGTGTATATCCTCCTATGTACCAATTTGAACTAACTGTGCTACATAAGACAATGCCCCCTTCCCCTTTACGTCGGCGCAACGTACCTAGATGATGACTAAACTCGCCTTATTCGTTGACGTCATTACAGCAAATTCGGTATATGCATACTTCCCTGTAGGTATATACATAGTAGTGCGTGTAGGTAAACTTGAATACTCTCTTTCATTTACCTTTTTTATACCGTGTAGCTTCAACATTTCTTATAGAATCTGTGATGATAATAACCCTAGGTACTATACGCAACTATACTCTACACATATTATACCTACCTCCATCACAATAAGATACAAGATGCCAATCGAGTACCAGCATACCAAAATCCCAACATGTTATGCCACATGTAGCATCGGACACAAGGAATCTCAGACACTGCCCCTGAAATTCAAGGCTATAGCAGACGCTGGGTTCGATGCCGTTGAGCTATCGATGCCTGATATATTGTCATATGGGAAGATGCTTCACGGTGAAGAACCAGATCCCAGGGACTATGACGCCCTAGTTGACATCGGAAAAGCCATAAGAACACAAGCCCGAGAGCACAATCTTATAATCCTCATGCTGCAACCCTTTGCGAACTTCGAGGGCTGGCCAAAAGGTAGTGAGGAAAGACGTGATGCGTTCGAACGTGCAGAGGGGTGGATGCGCATCATGGAAGCTGTCGGCACCGATATGCTACAGGTCGGGTCCTCAGATGCGCCCGGGATATCATCGTCACTTGATGACCTCGCTGGAGACTTAGCAGAGCTAGCGGACCTTTGCGCCGCTAGGGGACAGCGTATCGCGTACGAGAATTGGTGCTGGGCTACGCACTCACCAAATTGGAGGGATGTGTGGCGTATCGTCGAAAAAGCAGACAGGCCTAATCTCGGGCTATGCCTTGATACTTTCCAGAGCGCTGGTGGCGAGTGGGCGGACCCAACCTCGAAGTCTGGGATGCTTGAAGACGTGTCTCGGGACAAACTTGAAGCTCGATGGAAGCGAAGTTTAGCTGACCTGAGCGAGACCGTCCCGCCCGAGAAAATACACCTCCTACAGATCTCAGACGCGTATAAAATGGACCCACCGCTAGAGGCGAAGACAGACGGGGAAGGGCTACGATCAAGAGGTCAGTGGAGCCACGACCATCGACCGTTGCCGTATGATGGTGGCTACCTACCCGTGCAGGAGTTTTTGAACGCTGTGCTGAAAACGGGATTTAGGGGTTGGCTATCTATGGAAGTGTTTGACGGTCGGGCATCTAAGAAATACTCTGATATGCTTGAATTCGGCAAGAAAGGAATGTCGTCATTGGAAAAGTTGTTACAATCGTAAATTCTCAGGTTAGTGTACCTATGTAGAGGAATATCGATAGCTCGCTATCAGCACCATTTGGACATATCTAAAAGCATCCTGAGATCGGAACCATTTCGTTAAATAGAATTGGTAAATAATACTGGTTTAGGAATATTTGCATTGATATCCGGGACGGTAGTAAGACAGTAAGACAAATTCTAGGGTTTGATGCGACGTCGATGAGGTAACATGTAGAACTGATGAGCAAATCGAAGATAGACTACGCTGTAGTTAATAAGACTCATGAAAGGTGTGAGGCAAAGTTGTCGAGGGTGTGAACATGGAAGACACGGATGTCGTTGTCAACGCCAATTAGAATTGTGCATGCATGATATAAAAGTTGGGATTGAACGAATGATACATAAGTATTTACCTACCTAACCTAACCTAGTAAGTTTTGACAATGATGGCCTTGTTTAAAGCTTGATTATGGAAATACAGTACGGTACGCTAGGATTGGCTCGGTTGAGGCTCTCATTTCCGACGTGTACCAAAGGTCATTAGATCCGACAGGGCAAACTGAACTCTTTGCATCGGGGGTTAACCGTAATAAGATAACTACGGCGTATAATGATACCACAATGCGTGGACGCCGTGGAGTAACGAGTAGGAATCGAGCTTGATACGGGATTAATAACACATCCTTTGTATCCAAAGCGTGAGTTTTTGAATAGTATTCGTAATTGGCTTCCACATTATTGGTATTGGTGTTGATGTTAATCATTGAAAGAGATTCCAACTTAACAAAGTCGATGTCAACAACTACCTATCTTGCATATGCTGTGCAACAGCCTGAGCGGCCTAGGCATGGAACCCTAGTAATCATTTAGTGATGGTGATAGGGGGGCCTATGAATCTAACGACTGGTGGGCAGGTGGATGTTTATAAGCAAGGGCCAGTTGACTTCACCGCTGACGAATTACGAAATCATTTTTATCTCCGGCAAGTTTCGCCATCTGCCTAGGGTTCTAGGGTCCTAGGGTCCTACCGTCCTAGGGAGATACGGACCGATAAACAAGCTTAAAAGGTGACATTAACTAGAGCCCTAAGAAGGCGTGCTAGCTAGGATTATGCAGTGATAAGGTGCACCATAGTACTACAGTGTACAGTCACTACTACAGTGTGCCACTTGATTGAGGAAGTACGAAGATATGTTTGCCAGGGCCTGCGTAATTCCCTGTTCATAAGGCACCACCTACCTACCTACATGTCTAAATAAAACTACTATAACTAGAACATATGCAGAAGGTAAACATATTCTTCCAAGTCAGGAACAGGTACAGGAACAGGTACAGGAACAGGGAGTTCAGGAACAAGAACAACTAATACAACCAAAGTAGTCAAGCAAATCATAGAATTCGTCTTGGTATGTAGTCAGATTACTGTTATTGTTCCTAATATATTATGCATATGCGTTAAGCTCTATGTGCCGATCCCTTCCTACATCCTGCTGTGCTACCATTGGCTTCTCCACGTCCTCCACGTCCTCCACGTCCTCCACGTCTCCCCCGTCCAAGCGTCAAGACACCAAGCAAATACCTAGCCTAGGTCAGTAGGTTAGCCAGTTAGTCCAAGATCTCTGCCCCGAGCGGGTAAAGTGAGAGACAACTCACCTACCTAAACGGGAAATCCCTGGGAGATTAGAGATATAATCTGTTCGCGTCCGTGGGAGCTATTGGTTATAACTTATAAGTGGTTATATATCTGCGGATTTCATTAAGTAAGTAGGTATGTAGGTCAATAGTGTTGCTGTTGCTGCTGCTGCTGTTGTTGTTGCTGCTTTCTTCACCTTGTCTTTCCTGCACCTATCAACTAGATCGGTAAGGTAGTCAGTCGAGTCTGTCTAGTAACCATGAGGTGCTCCGTGGTCAGCGCCTTAGCGCTTGCTCCCTTAGCTAGTAGCTCCAAGATTGTCTATAGAGCTGACAACACCACAAGCGCGTCGACAACGGCCCCGGCCCCGACAGCGACAGAGCCTTGCGCAATTGTAAGCGCAACATGGGCTGCCCAGATAAGCGCAACGCCTACGCCCATAATTGAGGCGTCAGTCGCTTACGATTGTCTCAATTCGGTCCCAATCAACAAGGGTGGCGCCCTCAAATTTATTGACGAGCTCATACCATATGTTGAGTGGCAGTCTGACACCGCCTTCAAGAGGAATCCGCCACTCGATTATTCCTACCCTCCCACCGACCTCTGGGCCACGATCGCCAGGGTAAGAGCGGACCTTGAAGCAGACAAATACCCTAATGAGTACGCATGGCAAGCCGATCTATACGCGAGTTTATTTGGACCGGCGCATGATGGCCATTTTGTAGTTTACCCCGACGCTCTGTCTGCTGCCCTGGAGTGGCAGAGGCCCTTTGCCTTGGTTTCAATCAGCGAAGAAGGACCCGATGGCTCTGCGCCAGTGATCAAGGTGTACGATGACGTCGTCTCTGGCGTAGAAGCACCGTCCACCGTAAAGCTCATCAATGGACTTGACGCAACTACTTTTATCCAAGGTTGGATTAACCAAGCCTCAGGCAATCAGGATGCAGATGCCGCTTACAACTCCATGTTCTTCGAGAAAGCGTTCGTGGCCGAGAACAAGAACCAGGGCTACTTCCAAACAGGAGGCCGAGTGAGGTACAGTCTAAGAACGATAACCACTTGCTAGCTGCTAGCTAGTAACAGTATGAGGCTAACAGTTAGTTGCGCTTTAGATACATCTACCCTGGCAACATCACCTCTTTCACTTTTGAAAACGGAACAGTATTAGACCTACCGAATCAAGCGAGACTCAAGAATGATTGGACTGGTGTCGTCGATGGGCCGTCCTTTTTCAAAGTCTTCTGTTCTGGCGCCCGTTCCAGTCTTCTGGAAGAGACACCAACGACCACAACGTCGGCACCGCTTGTACCTGCCGCCACAAACGCAGCCCCTATCGTAGGATACCCCGACCCCGTAATCATATCCGCCGACTCCTCCATCTCCGGGTACTTCATTGATCAACCCGGCTTCGAAAATGTCGCCGTCCTCGTTATGCTCTCCTTCTCACCAGACGACCCCGTTGAGTTCCAGCGTGTTGCCCAAGACTTCTATGCAGCTGCCAAGGAGGCTGGGAAGACGAAGCTCGTTGTCGACGTACAGGCCAATGGTGGTGGATATATCTTCCTCGGGTACGATGGTTTCCGTCAACTATTCCCCGACATAGTTCAGGAAGGGTTGGGCCGTTGGCGGCAACATCCTGGGTTTGCAGCCATCTCGAAGGTATTCTCCGACATATCTGAAGACTTCAACCCCGACACCGCTCGTCCCGATATAATCAATTCCTATGAGTCTGTTTTCAACTGGCGATACGACCTGAACATCACGGACGAGAACTTCACATCCTACGAGGATAAGTTTGCGCCTCAACTATTCGGGGGTGACACCTACACCAACCTCATGCAGTGGAATTTTAGTGACCCGTTAAGCACCATCAACTCAACTTACGGTTTTGGTACCGATATAACCGGATACCGAAGTCGCCAGAATTTCACTCGACCGTTTGGTGGACCCGAAAACGTGGTGCTTTTACTCGACGGATACTGCGCATCGACATGCACATTATTCGCCGAGTTTCTACGAGCGAACGCTGGGGTTAAGAGCATTGCTATGGGTGGACGACCGACCAAGGAAGGCTTGATCCAGGGCGTAGGCGGCGTAAAAGGCTCGCAGAGCTACGGCTTCGCCGACGTTTACCTGCAAGCTCGGACCGCGCTTCGGTACACGAACGATTCGGAAATCCAGGACACGTTGCGTAACTACACGACTTATGTCATCGACCGCAGCACGGCGGCTAGCTTAAATGTAAAGGATCAGATCCTCCATGGTAACCTCGAGGATGGGATCCCTGCCCAGTTCGTCGTCGAGGAATCCGACTGCCGGCTGTGGTGGACCGCGCCGATGGTTGGTGACATAACAGAACTGTGGAAAGCTGCAGCAACAGCAGCCTTCAAGGGGGGCAAGTGTGCGTATGGCGCTATTGACAGCCCCCCAAGCACAACAACACAGAGGAGGGTACCCTCTGGCCCGGCACCATTCGACAAGCCGAGATTCCCGGTCCCGAACACGATAGGGACAGTTTCACTACCAAAGAAGCGGGACATTGTGCAGAAGAGCTCAGCCTTCATGGCCAATCAGTTCATGAAAGTCGTAGACTAGGACACCATTTCATCTACTGTGATGAGCGTCGCAGTTTGGCATATACGGATTCCTTGATGTAGATCCACCTCTATAGGGTAATGTAGATGAGAGACGATATTTCAGGGCATGTAATGTATGGAACAGTTTAAATAACGCTATTTTCGCCGAGAGTTTCCCACATTTAACATTTCCTCGGAGGGTGTGCCGAACATTGTCGTGATTGACCTATCCTTTGCAGCTTATAATTCGCGAGTAGACGAGCTCGTGTACCTACCTGCCTCCTAAGGTTAGCCAGGCACAAGTACATCTAACAAATAAGCATTTTCACTAAAAAAAAAGAAGGAAAGAAGAAAGGAAGAAAAGAAAAAGGAAATAATAAATCCCTCACTCTATCATAACGAAAGGAGGGTGTCCACCATATTCACCCATCATCCCCCACCCACCCCTTTTCCCCTTTTCTCCCTCTCCCCTCCACCCCCCACAGGATTTGTAAGTCGCCATCTCCTTAGGGTCTCTCTAGGGTAGTTACACGTATGCTAGCACTTGTACCCATATTCGAAACCTAAAAACTCTAGGTTAGCGCACTGATGCGAATAATTTGAGCTGTTCCTCTCGGCCGAGGATTATATGCATGTTGGTATTCGGCCGCAGTTCTTCCCTGCTTTCCTTTCTATAATCTAGAGTCTAATAAGTCTTGGATATCAAGCCTTCCTTTCTTCGGTCCGTTATGCATTCCATGTATCTAGCGCAGCGGCTCCACGGCCCCGTAACGTTAGAATTGTGATCGTGAAGCTTATAGGTGAAGATGGGGCGGCACTATACCTCTCTCGAGTCTTCCCGCACTTGAACGCAGATCCTTAGTCCTTGACAGGCATCATTAGCATGCGTCTAGCGGGCCACGGTCAATAATCTTATATAATAGGACGAGCATTTCACGCGGCCGCAACTCTCGCTGTCTAGCGTTGGCAAGTATATCTCTTCTGCGATAAACATTTTATCTTCCCTACGCAACTGAATAGGTGCCTGCCCTCTGTTATCATTGACTAAGGTCCTCGCACGTGCTAAGTACATGAGTAGGGTTCAAAGCGGCGCCCTATTTTGCGAGTTATGAAGTACAAGGTGTGAATCAGCCCTACGGGAACAGGCAAATTATTAGCCTATAACATCTGACTGTAGCCCGTGTAGCCAGCCTAGGTAGGTTAGTCAGTACTATGTACTGCATGTGAACGTCACTATATACTCATCCACGTGGCTTGGTTGTATGGTCGCATGGATAAATGTTACCTGTGTGTGTGTTCCGAAACATTTGCTTTGATGATTCGATGTGTTTATTATGTATGTCTGTCGGTTGTCGGTTGGTTTGTCGTGCTTTTATGCCTGTTCCCCTGTCGAGGATCAGATATGTTAATGTACATCATTTTCTTCAAGAACATGCATACATACACATATAAGCAACATGTAAGTCATCGCCCTTATTAGGGACAAGCGTTCACAACTCTCCACGTATTTCCCCTTAAAAACATCCTAACCTTAGGTATTACAGCGCTTGGCGCTAAGTCTAGTAGTTCGAGATGCTACTGTACAGATACTGCGTAATGTTAAATATGGTAAGTCTCTAGAGTTAGTCCACCTACGGGCATGATATACCTAACCTAGTTGCATTAGAGCCATGGTAAGCCTGCGTGAATCTACAACGTCCACTCATTCTTACTTTTACGAGGGACTAGGGCGCAGGGACACTGCATACCACACACAATGCATGCTACCCTGCCATCATCTAGAAGCCTGGATGAGGAAAAAAAATGAAGTGGTTAAGGGTTCAACCATGCAGCTTTCTATGTCATACAGTAATCTTTTCGCATATACCTAGCAAGACCCTTTACCAACAGCATCATCGTCTATGCATACAACTAGCGGCCGAACTGTCACTATTGCAGGATACGTTTCAACTTGACTTTGCTCCTATCTTTTAGCCAGTAGGAATCGGACCGTGGTACCCTATCCACATGCCTTTCCCCAGAGTAGCACCCGCTGCAAATGTAACTTGGCGGCAGCGCCTATTTCCCACCCACTCTCCTTAGTGTAGACATTCCTGTCATAGTTAGGACCCATAAGCTGCTTGCCCTTCCAGGGTTCCCCTACGACAACGTGTCCGGGGTCTTGGTCATTGAACTAGGAACTTTTTTCTTTTCTTTTCCTTTTCTTTTCCTCTCTTCGACACAATGGATAATGGAAGCCAAGGAATCGATCTGCCCACCCGAATCGATTTTCTTATCCGACATGCATCGGCTCCCCAGGTATATTCGGAGCGTGCGGCATGACAGGACTTGCCGAGAATCGGTAACGGTTAGTGTACGATTACACGCTCCATGACCCGACGACGCAATAACGATCTCGTTCACTGGAACACGTTACTCAATACAAATTTTTGATGAGCAACCTGCTTTCAACTGTAACCTACCGTTGTCTCCAATAGCAAGGAACGTTGTAGGGGTGGTGGATCCACGGGGTTCTACACCACTTAACACGACAGGTGGCAGAGTACAAGGCGGCCTACGAAATGAGACATCGAGTACAGGAGATTTATTTTAAAGTACGCTGCCGAAGACACCGCTCGGTCTCGTAAAGTGAAAAGGGGGAGGGGCAGTTTGGATCATCAACCCATAAGTCACACCCAGTATGAGTCGCCCATCAGGAAAAGGAGAAATGGAGGCCAAAAACCAACGATATGTGAGTCAAATGAAAAGCAAAGTTCTCCTATTCATTGTTGTCTAAACGTTGAAAAATAAAACTAGGATGATGATCATGAAGAGGATAGCAGCAACTCAAACTCAGACGATGAGTCGATGGACGAGAAGCTAGGAAGGACGCCGAGTATTGAAGCCTTTGGCTACCATTACCATGCCTCAGGGAAGATTTTCTTGCCTTATGACAAAGATGAACGTCGCAGAATCGAGCTTCAGCATAAATTGTATAGAGTCTGTCTAGATGGTGCGCTGACCTCTACACGGCTGCCGCTAGATACGGCCAAGATAGTGGACCTGGGTACCGGAACTGGCGTTTGGGCTGTAGAGATGGCAGCACGATATCCTCAGGCCCACATCACAGGTGTAGATGTATACCCCATACAGAGGAGAAAAGGAGTTCCGCCGAACGTCGCCTTTGAGATCGATGACATAGAGAACCCGTGGAAGTTCCCGGACGACTCGATCGATTTCATTCACATGCGCAGCGTAGCTGGCGGTGTTCGAGACTGGGTGGCCTTGTTTCTCCAAGCATATCACAAATTAAAACCAGGAGGGCTTTTGGAAATGTCGGAGGTTGCATTGAGCATATATGACTTCGATGGCAAGTTTGCTGAGGCTGAGCTGCGCCCCGACTTCATGGATGTATTCTACCAGTTCTCTAAGCAGGTCAACATGGATTTCAGTCCGGTAGCTGATGTACCAGACTGGCTGGTCGAGGCCGGATTCGAGAAGATAGTCCAACACAGCGAGATACTTCCGGTTGGATATTGGGCTCAGGATGACAAATTAAAAGCACGACAGACTCTAATGAATGCAATCACATCTGATCAATATGGTATGCTTCTCCTTCCTTCCTACCTTCTCCCCTTCTCTATTTATTTTCCTTGCAAACACGAAGAATATTAATTCTAACCCGGAAATATTCAAGTGTTACATGGTCTCTGCAGTCTGTTATTCCAGACTGGGGGGTACACAAAAGAAGAATATGAAGCCATTGTGCCTTCGTTTCGGCAAACCCTCACTCAACCAGGGATTAGGCCCTACATTAGAGCGTAAGCGAGCCCCCCTTTAAGCACCTTTCAGCTGGTATTAATATGTACATAGTGTTTTTACTACAGCAAGAAAGCCTCGGGCGACGGAAGACGCGTGAAAATACTTATCAGGTTGCTCTCATATTTGGGAACAATACCCTACTAGTCACAGAGGTTATGATTGATGATCTGCACGACATGACAGAATAAAATAAAACATTCACAAATATTTTTTGTAAATGCAAATGTGCGCGCCTAGGTTAGCCAAAGCAAGCTTGCACATGAAATCGCCCCTTTCTTTACAGGAAACTGCCTAGTCCAGGCATTTTACCTCGTCTGCTTAATGCTTACTTGCCTAGATTTGACCTTTATTCATTAACTATGGGCCGGCACCGGTCATTGTTCAAATCTACCTCCTTTGGTATAGCATTCCTAGATGCTCATTGGAAATACTATCATATTCTACATGTCATTTTTGTTGTCACTGCTTAGTGAGAGTCAATACTTATTGACTGGTCCTCATTGATAGAGTTGCGGTAATATGCACCCATCCTGCAGGGCCGGCATTGATCGAGCTCATTTCGGGGGAAGGTGATGGCGAGGATGGGGTTGAAAGGTCGTTGTGCCACGCGTATCTACATACAAGACACCTAGGTACTTATTCATTCCCGGTCATCACTGCACAATGGAGGATCATGTACGTTGGGGCTGTATATACCTCAGATCTGCACACCATCCAACAATGCGTAAATCCTATGTCAAATGATTATTGATTTGATCACCCATATAGCAATAGTCCCATGATCCATGGACTGCCCCTGAGTTTGCTTGATGATATTATATATCCATAATTCGTCGTAGAATTCGGCATTCGGGTCGTTGGTCGGAATATGATACATACTGCGGCCACGGAGTTAAGGGGCATCCCTCGGTCACCTCCCGTGAGTTTAAAACATATACAACGTATGATACTCTACTGCAAACATATAGTCAGACTGTCTTCCGGCAATGTAATCCGGCAATTTTAGTAATGACAATATGTCTAGGGCTTGTTGGTACGTGTCAGAACCAGAGACAATTTCAAGACATAAATGTTCTCGCTGCAAGCTTAGGTATACTAAGCGAACAAATGAACAGCTGTGAGTTTAGGATTCAACACCTATTCTTAATACCTAAGACCTAGTAGACACAGAAACATGTCTGCCGTTTTATGTATGGTAGTTAGAAAACCCTTTTCGGAGACACTACTTATGGCACCTACCGGTAGGTCATTCCTCCTATTATACGCCTCAATCATGACAGCGTACTTACCTGTACCTACTTTACACCGCCATTTCAAGGAACTTTCTCTAAGATGGAAGGTCCTCCTAATATCACGATTTCCTCACAATACATGTGTTGCTCGGCATCGCCCGACAGAAGCAGGGACAGTTAACTCAAGGCCCTGAGCTTTCCAAGAATGCCTACATATTAGGTACTTACCATAGGCAATATACAAGTCTCGAATTGATGTCAGGTACATCCATATACCTTGTAAAAGTCTCTAGTCATTCATAACAGCAAACTCACGTCACGATGACAAGCTATACTGCCCAGATCAGCGGCTCTAACTAACTAGTCATCCCACTTTTGGAAGTCTATCTGGCTGGTACAACTACGCGGATATTGTTCCGATGCACGATATAGTTGGAGCGTTTTACTCCCTGGTTAATGGAACCTTGTCCTGCACGGTTATCGTGAAAGATGTCGTGAATTGCATCTTCTACCCCAACAACGATGCAACCAAATCGACTAGGTTAGGTACCTAGGTACCTACCTCCCTGGAGACCCATTATTCGAATTCCTTATAGAGGGGATAGAAATAAGGAATGAATAGTGATGTATATTATTTGAGCATTGGAGTCGTGGAGATTCGTTACTCATTGGTAGTCCAACTATTGGCACAGGAGGTACTCGGATGGCGCCAGGTTACACCCACAGTGTAGAGCCGACAACGTATCGTATTTTCCAGATCCTTTGCTCGTACATGACAGCCAATGGTCAAACATCTTGAACGAGGAAACTCCGTTGCTGCCCAGCGTACCATCTATTCGTTAGGTACCTAGTAACTACCTACTATTAGGTGCAGACCAACACACATGGTACTTATGAGAATTGTGGTTCGGTTGATGGGTCGAGTCTGTATACCTAGTACCTATCCGGGAAGGTACGCCGATATGGAACAGTCGGATCAGCAGGTGGATAAATCTGGAGTTAAGAGTATATGCCACGCTCTAGGATAGTACTTGTCACTTGTCATCGCTACTATGTATGCAATGGCTAGATTTGTTGGTGATGAAACTCTGGGGTAATGGGGTTCAGGGGCAGGGAGGTAATCAATGTTATAAACCCTACAAAGCCATTATCAACATAACCTTCCATTACCAATCCAGCAGATGGTAATGGTAATACACCCAAGGTGAATCGGAGCCAAGCCAAGCCAAGCCAAGAGCTTGCGATGTAGATCTCGAAGACTATGCATAAGAAGAAAAAAGACTAAGAAGACCGCCTTTTCACGCTTGCGCTGTAATCTGATCCTGGTTAATTTTGAGAGAGAAATCCACATGCGGCGTGCCTTGGTGGATTGAGCTTGTGGAAATGATATCAATATCTGTGGCATCAGAGTAAGTTAGCCGATACAGAAGATATAAAAGAAAAGGACACCCACCATTGTTAGCGTAATCGAACACGTTATCTTCTCGCAGACCACCCGAGATCTCGATGAGGAACTCCCGCTTACCCTTCCATCTTTCTCGGAGACTTTTCGCAGCGATTTTCACGCCTTCGCCAGTGAAGTTGTCGAGCATGACGATATCAGCACCCGCGCCGATGGCCTCGTCGGCCTCCTCTTCATTTTGTACCTCGACCTCAATTTTTAGGGCAAATCCGCCCACCATCTTGGCAGCTTGCACAGCGTCCTTGATACTACCGCGACTCCACACATGATTATCCTTCAGCATGATCATGGAGCTTAAGTCCATACGATGCGTGTCCGCACCACCAACCAGCATGCCATATTTCTCAACGAGGCGGAACCCAGGTGTGGTCTTGCGAGTGCCGGCCAAGATTCCTTCGTATCCTGCGCTGCGCAAGCTCAGCAACATGTCGCGGCTAACGGTGGCGATACCGGAGCACCGAGCTAGCATATTTAAACCAACACGTTCGCCTAGAAGCAGACCGCGAGCAGGGCCCTTGACGGTAGCAACCTTAGTCTTTCCCGAGCCATCTTTAGGGCGATCAATGTAGCCTCCTTCCTTAGCGTGCCACTCAACCTCGCAGCCGCACTGGTGGAAGACTTCGGTGAAGAATGGAATTCCAGCAATAATACCCGCACTCTTTCCCCAGAGGGTGGCGGTACGTGGATGCTCACCAACAACGAAGCCAGCGTAGTCATATGATGGTGTATCCTCGGCTAGCCATGCGGTGACTTGTGTTTTCCAGCTTGGAGGTAGGAGATGCTCCAAAGAGCCGTGGTAGATGGGTTGATCTTTATGCATTGAATGGAGTTATGGAGGGGGGTTAAATAGGCGTATTTTATGATTATCTTGTAAAATGCAAGTTGATATGTGATGGATATGTAGTAATTATGATGATGAGTAGTAAAATGCCTCGACAAAAAGGTAAAAAAGAATGAAGAATGAAGAATGAAGTCAACAATGTTTAGTCAACTTCGGATGCGTTTAAGCCGTCTTGACCCGTTGACCCGTTGACCCGTCCCGTCGCTGGTGGAGGTGGAGGTGGAGGTGGGGGCGGGGCAATGCCTACTGGTAAATAAATAAATCACTAGCAAATGATCATAACGGTGGAATTTTATTTACGAGTATCTGGTGTGCATTTATGCACTTATAGTTGATAACTGAATACCTCCTATTCACATCCAGATCCCATTGACCGTTAGGTAAAAAGAAGTTGGTATTATAAAAGAAAAAAGAAACAAAACATAGGAAAGAAAACAGAACTCAAGCGGCAAAATCATAGTACTGGGTATTTCCTCACTCCTATACGCCTTTTTTTCTTCTTTTTTTCCCCCTTTTTTATCTCTTCATACCCATCCCGAGTTAACTTCTACCCACTTCCAACCACTGCATTTGACGTCGTTCTTCGAAGTTTACCCCATGCATATGATGAGCCTCACTTTCTATAGTAACGGTCCCTCTTTCTTGCCTTCCGTAGTAGTTGCCATATCCCGATCTTGCTCAGCGACGCCACACAGTCTTTCAATGTCTCATTTGATTTAGCCTTAGGGGTCTGCATTGGGCGATCGCTTAGGGCGATGACTCCGGGTGTCATTGCCGCGTCGGCCCCCTCGCTTGTCTTTACGTGTCCGATCATTTCGAGAACTGGCATTATACCAGGGTTTATTCTTGCCTTGAGGGCTCGAGTTATCTTGAGGGGGTTGGACTTCGAGATGATGCTGTATAATTTCATTGGCCATATTAGTCGTTGGCTTATTTTGTGCATGGCGCCGTTTGGAAGCTGAGTCACGAATCGAAGAGGACTCAAATCTATCAATTCGATAAGCTGCAAGAGCTCCAAGGCTCATTTGTGCCTGAAGGCTTAATTGAGCCTCATGATGCTCCTGAGACCCCTGGGTAGGCTGGGTAGGCTGGGTAGGCTGGGTAGGTTGGGTAGGTTGGGTAGACTGGGTAGACTGGGTAGACTGGGTAGGTATAACATCTGAAGTGCTCGGGCGGTATCGAAATTCCTGCGGCACCCAGTGGTTCAGAGGGAATTTAATCCCGAAAGGGGCGAGCTGTGTACTCAGCTCGATACAATAGTCGAATTTGGGGTTTGGGTGAAAACTGTATCGATCATCCGTAGGTTCTTGTACCATGCCATATCCACCTGTATTTCCTTTGACTTTTTTGGCGGCTGATGACGAGCCTGTGGCTATCATTGGTACCATGGATGACAGGAACTCCGCTGGATGATATGTATCAAGTTGTTTGAAAGTAACTTCGTTGGTTTCGTATGGGAACATCGTGCCGAAACGCATCTCACAACGAACACCACTCTGCACGTACTTGCTAACCCACGCTTGCTTGACTACAGATAGTAATTCATGTGGTTTCTCATGCACAAGGCGGATCACAAGTTTTCTTGGGTGTTCGTTCATGACGATACCGTACTCAGCTAGCTCTCTGAAGCGAATTCCCAGGCCACGTAACGGTATGGCCTGAAACTCACATGTAACTAGATTGTTACCTGGCTCCAGAGGTTGTAGTGCCATGCCAAGTCGGAAGTCAGGTGAGCTAATGTTGACATGTCTCTCGTTGGTATTGACGGCTATCATATCGGATGATGCCATGGTAGGCCACCAAATTGTTTTGATAGGGTTATTGAAGAACTATAACGGCGAAGAAATGTGAGCTTGGTAGTGGGAAGAATTGAAAAAAAAAAGGCACAAAAAGAATAGGATAGGTAGGTGAAGAAAATACTAAGGTGCGAAATTCTGTGTGCGTAATTCGATAAACACCGTGGACCTACTTGGTACCTTAGGCATCATATAAGGTAGATAGGAGGTATGTACGCTTATCCTGTAGGTGTTACCAGTTACTCCTTAAAAACTGGCATTTCTTAATCATATTCGTACCTTAGGTATCAGAAATATGAATGAGCATCTGTCCTGGGCATGCATCGCCGTATTCTGAGCATCCTAAGGTGAGCTGCTCTTCTAGCTTCATGATGAATATTCCCCTCAGACAGCTACTCGACTACCTAAATGCCTACTCAGGTTAATCTGATGTATAAAGAAAAGATTAACTTGCCACTTTTTGACTAAAACGTGCCATATTTCACCTGAGGCGTGAGTACCCAGTTAGGATTACATTGCTGAAGCTCTTTGATCATTCATAGCTAACTGACTTGCAGATGGCAGTGCAAAAAACAGCCGCCGGTACAAAGAAGACAAATCGGTTTATACAGTGATATAAGCAAAACAGAATGTATCTACAAGGAATATCAAGTAAAATTGAAGGAAAATCTATATAATGAAATGATCGCTATCTATATTGATGTGAACAGGGAAATATAAACGCCGCCGATGCAAATGCTTAGAAACGAGTGAACCCTAGACCACGCTATGCAACATGAATGAATGTCCGGAGAAATGAGTGAAAAGGAAAAAGAAGAAAAAGACTCCATAACTGCCCCCTTTCTCTGAGCTTCCGTGGCTACCAAGAAACCATTTTGATGCATTTAGCTCCTCAAGAACCAAGAGTCTGTGTGTTAATGAGAGGTGACGGATTGGATATGGTAACTGAGGAAGGAAAACTTCCCCAAGTTGCACTTGAGCTTAGTACCAAGTTGGGGATGAAGGCCAATGTCGTAACATGTTCTCAACTGCCTGAGTCCACTCATACTCAAAGCATTGGGCGAGTTGATCGGCCTCTTCCTGTGTAGGGTCACGGCCACCCCACATCTCTCTTCGCCAGGCATCTGCCTGTGCATAGGTAGGAATCAGGCCCCTGAGTTCGAGACAGTATTAGAGTTGATATGATCTAACTTCTCGAATAGGAATATAATGATTTATGTGAATATTGACTTACTCGTCACGGATCTTGATAAGACAGAGCCACGCCAAGTTCCAGCTACGGTTCGAGTTTGGGTCATTCGTAACCAGATAATGTGCCTGGTTGACCAGATCCCCTGAAATGGGATAATTTCGCGTTAAGCCTCTTAGCTCCGTGAGGAACTGGTTGCTGTTGACATAGTAGTCCCACGCAGAAGTCATAGGCGCCTGGAATGCTTGGGCATCTTCTTCGTTCTCGCAGCTTGCAGCCACTCTTTCGATTCGGCAGAGTTCGGTGAGCGTGTTTACCCTGTGCGTACGGAGCGACTCGATAAGTTGCTGAACCGAGGACTGTTATACAATATATCAGTTTCAACAACATTTAAACAAGAAAACATGGTGCTGCAAAAGTTGATAAATATGATATCCATGTTGATCATATATCAGATTGCAAGGGGACTTATACGAATTGGAAACCATCATTACGCACTTGTCTGCCACTGCGAGAGCTTCCGTGGCCATGTCGTCCAGATCTTGATGATGACATGGTTAATGATCAAGTCGTAGCTCCAAATATTTTGTAAGTGCTTTTGATCTTCGAGAGAATTTTGCCTGTGTGGCGTTCGATGTCGAAACTTATATAAGTTTAAGATTGCGTCTCGAGAGGGTGTAGGGGTGCTTGATGGAGTAGCTTGGTCTGTGAAAAGTATGTTGTCTCAACTGGGAGACTGGACATGTTTATATTTCCAGCCAGGTCTAAGATCATCCAGAGGCCTCACCACATAAATCAGTCTTCTTGGGAATCATCTACAAATTTAGTGATGGGATAGTTGAAGCCTCAAACGATTTCCGAAGTTTTGCACAGCAATAGCCCAGAGTTGACCCGAGGAGGTCATCCAGATGACTACAACTCGACAGATTATCTGACATTAGGAGCTATATTGAGGATAGAAATAGTCATTCTCGCGGGAGAGTAGTTAATATTTCTCCGATATTCTACCACGGTCGGTGATGATTATCATGGAAATTGCTAGAGACACCCTATCGGTTGATGTTTGTTTAAGACATGAAGCTATTAGTATATGATGATGAGCCCGTATAAGCGTCACTACATAATGGGGCTCTTTCAACATGAGGTTCTTGTGCTAGGGTGAATCTAGACTAAACGACTACCAGGTATTTGGGTCTATTTGGAATGAAACCCCAGATAGGCGGTTCTCCGTGACGCTGCTCATCCAAGGGTGAGGCTGATGCTGAGTGCTGACGACAGTCAGTCTCCGTCATGCTGGGATGCGTATCGCTACACGAATGCTATACTGGCCACTATACTGTATGGAGTATAGAAATAGAAGATGAATGCTACAAGCCGAGATTCGCAGAGTCCTATGTTAGTGAAGTCTCCCGAGCTACATTTTTATGGGAGACTCGTGGGCATGGCATTTGGGTCTGGGGTGGGGAACCAGAGGGAAGTGGAACGTTGAGAATCGCAAGTTCGATATAATTCTATAATAATACCTATAGGTTTTAAAGGGGATATTGTTTTTCGGCATTGAAAGCCAAGTGTTAAGCCCATACCCAAGTCACTGTCGATAGACTAGTATAGACTTGAGGTTATTGTAAAAATCATGGAAGAACTCCGGATCGGCCATTCCGCTTGTTCAAAACCGAGTAACTACCGAGAGGCAAATATTCATTACTATAGATTGCGCCAGTCAGCATTTGGCAGCGTAGGGTTGGGGAAGTGAACCCACCTAGGACCTACTATGTATGTATATGTCCTATACGTCTACGATACATGCTGATTACAATTTTCGATTCAGTACCTACCTACCAATAGCGACCCGCCAAAATCCACTCCATTATCGGCACATGCACAGTTCTAGGCCAGTCGTTCGTTAAGATGATCCTTGCGAGTCAAGATATGATATCCTATGTAGCTGAGGTTAGCAACATCGTTGAGGATTCAGCGAGATGGAACCACTCCATACAAGCAGGACCTAAAGCCAGCTGGAGTAGGCGTAAGATTCCAGGTAATCGGTAAGGTAGGTAGGTATCCTCGCATAAATGCAACCCTCTTAATGCCGAGCCGCATCTTAAGGAAACTAATAGGTTTCATCGAATAGGTGGTATTTTGAATAAGTATCTTTTGGCATTCCGGGGGTCCTTGAATCCCATGCTACAGTAATCCCAATCTGTCTGTTCGGGGATGAACTCCGTGCATACCCTAAAGCATTGATCGACGTGGAGGCTCAAATAAGGTCAACGTATAGCATAACTACCTTTTTCAACGGATGGGATATAATTGGAAATAGGTGCCATCCCACAGGTTCTGGATTGGATCATCAGCTATCTGCATAGGGCGCGTGCACCCCTGTGAAGATCTCGAACGCTTACATCAGTATTCCAATCACTCATACTCTGGGTGGGTTGTACTTTTCAAAAGGATAGATCCTCTTGGGGAGATTTTCGGCGGCCGCGTCAGAGTTGAAAATGCTCTTTTACACACATATGGTTCGTTCTTCCATCTCACAGACTTGTGGAATCGCTGACGGAGGATCAAAGAATTTACCTTTTTCTTCAAGCATTTCCAGAATAACAGTCGTGTAAGCTGTGACTACCTAGGTAAAAGTAGTGGCCAATGCTTGAAGCATTAGTTGCTTTTTACAGTAAACCAATGGCAGCCCTAGGTTAGTGATTGATGAGCTGAATTGTCGCTTAGCGGATAAAGCTGGGGCAGTGCATACGATAACTCCTATTGGTCTACCTAGACGCAATAGTAGCTATTTTCAGAGCGGAACATGAGTAGTTATTACCTACGACGTAGTAGTAGTAGTACCCTTGCGTTACCGTGGTTTAAACGCTTGAAATTCCCATATAGCTGAACCAAAGACTGTGTTTAGGAGTCATATATTGCAGAGGAATTCAGAGATTGAGAGTGTTTCCGACTAGGTAACTGTGTAGATTTGGTTTGGATGGCTTGGAGATCTGCTCTCGTAGCTACAAGGTACAAGGCGTGTTCCATCATTAGTACCATGAAGCTTAGATATACTAACCTAACCTAGACACCTTCGCAGATATCATTTCAACGTGAAAAGGAGGATATGAATCTGTATGTACAAGTGGCAAATTCCTTGATTTCAAGGCTCATAGCTACCTCTCTAACCTAGCAACTTGCCGATGAATAGGCGTCACATCTCATCCACCATGATATAAACAGCTGACCTAGCAATAGCATGTGAGCATACAAAGAAATTACAAAGAATAAGCTCCAAATCTCATCTTATATACCTGTACTTTATAGTTGATTTCTTTTTGTTCCAACTCCGTGCTTAGTATATACGCCCATTATCATTCATCGTTACTCTTCCAAGGTTAACAACGCCTTTGATCAGCACCATGTCAAAAATGTGATGGTTCACTGGTTGAATCTGCAATGTGTGTATACACCTGGTAGCTAGCCCTGCCATCTAACCTTTTAGCGTGTAAATCATGCGATCTTTGGCGGTGCCAGGTGGGTATTCCGAGTTAATGCTCTCACATCTGACCGTCGTTTTCCATCTACTTCAAATGTTGAATAACCCCCGCATTTCTGGAAATGAACAGTATAATGTGATAAGGACACGCATTTGTCATTCGACAACCTATGACCTAGGCGTGACACCCGGAGATATATAAGCTGTCATCATTCCATTGGGATAGCTTCCCAAGTTGGCGGTACCGAGTCTAAATTCGCGTAAGCAAATATCAGGGAAGAAGCCTTCCCTATTCGGTTATCGGACTCAGATATTACACAGGGTTGCTGTCGGAGGCTTCGTCGACTACGGTTTCCTCTTCGTAACCGTCATCCGTGCTTTCAAGGCCTTCGCCATGGATAGCATAGCTTCCAAGCCACCCAGCAAGGGCAATTCCCGCAAATAAGCCCCAAGCTAGAGCCTCACCTTTAGGTCGCACATAATTAGAAGCAGTGTAGAGTCCTCCAGAAAGGAAAGGCCCCACGCTTCTCCCGGCGGCTGAAAGAGTCTGCGCAATTCCGTTAAGGGTACCTAAGCTTGAGTGCGTCGGCGCCGAATTGGTAATCTAGGTAGGTGGCTGTGTGTTAGTGATTTATCTGAAAGATGTGTCTGTCACAAAAAAAAAAAAAAAAAAAAAAAAAAAAGAGAGAAAAAGAAAAAAAGAAAAGAAAAAGCTTACTAGTAGCATCACGCTTGATAGGCCCCCAACAGCGCAGATATTCTTGATGATAAGTACCACCCCAATCTCCAGATAGAGCCATGTCTTGCTGTTGCCTATGCCAAACGGCGGGTTGGAGCCCACATGACCGACGAAGGGCATCAACGCCATGGTAACGGCAAAGCCAAGCAAAGAGCCCCGGTAAGATCTCACATTTCCTAGATGGGCTTTTAATGGCCTGAATAAGAATAACTGAAATAGGATGGTGAACACTCCGGCAACCGATAGTGATACCCCAATAACATCCGCATGCAGGTTTCGCCCGGTGGGCTCCTTTCCTGACGCAAATATGGGATATAAGCTGTTAAAGGAGCTGTTTGATAACTGAAAGACGAGATGTGTAGCTAAAAGGACTATTGTGGTTCGATTCAGGAGTTGGCGCCAAGTCGTCGTGTCATGCGGTGACTTCGGGTCACCATCACCATGTGCATCTTGTTCGGACGGTAGAAGATTACTCTCCTCACCCGTTTCGTCTTCATCAGTTTCCACTTGCTCGTCATCTGCGTCTCTATCTCCCTTCCCAAACCATGAATGTTTCGTTCTTTTTACAGCTTGCTTCGTTATGCTAGACAACCACGAGAGCCTATCGGACCAGCTAGGGATATCCCCTTGATATTCTAGCGTTTCATCAAACCAGATAGCTAAGACGACCACGCTTATCGCGAGAAGCGAAGCTCCTAGTATGTTCGGGGCAAGGAATGGATAACGAGCTTCCGTAAACCTGCCGACTAACAATCCGCCAAGTGCAGGCCCTGTGATACTACCCAGGCTGTATACGACGGGTAGCCAGGTGAACGCCTTGCTCTGATTACTCCGATCCGTCAACTCTCCGAGACAAGTAGGAACGACGGCAGCGTTTCCGTTGAATAAACCCATAGCCACATGAACGAGAATAACATGAATATATCTACTACAAAATCCAAATGCGGCGAAGCAAAAGCATAAAAGCAAAGTGCCTAAGAGCATGACGGGCTTTCGCCCAATGATGTCTGATAAATAGCCCCATAGTAGGTTTGTTAGTAGCTGAGCCAATGCGAAAGAAGAAGCTAGTAGGCCGACGTATAATCCGACTTCGTCATGGTCAACACCAGGAAACGACTCGATCATCTCCGGTAGGTAGGGTGATATGGAGTTAAGTGCGGTCTGCTCAGATAAGGATAAGAGAGCTAAGAGGGCGAGCTGCTTGACAGGTAAAGGCGTCGTGACGCCATGGTGATCATGAGCCTGGGAATCTGAAGAGCTGGAGCCCGTATCTGGCCTTCGGGTATCTGGCCTTCGTCCTGCAGTCCTCGGCGGCGGGGTGGGGAAGGTTTGATAGTGATGCTGAGTAGATAGGCGCCGCAAGGTACGGTTCACCGGAGCAGGTAACGGGGAACCTGCACGAAAGCTACCTATGGAGCTTGATCTCGCTGGTGTTCTACCTGGGCGAGAAGCGGCCGAGGCTGCGGGTGTGATAGTTGCGGCGTGAACCATTCTTTTGATGCTATTTCCGAGCTCACAGGTTCAACCGAGATGAGTGCTTCGATGACTTGCTTTGCGAGATTCATTCATGACCCGATGCTATTCGGGTGATGTATCACCGAGCACAAATTCTAGATGGACAGAAATCGAACGTATCCATATGCGAAATATAGTAGTAAGCAACAAAATGGTTGTACAATTGTTCAGAATTGAACAATGCAGTTAGAAAACGACAATGGAGGAAAGCGCCGAGGAAGGTGAGGAAATCGGAGATGGATGGATGCGATCCAATGATGTAAAAGTTTCCTCGTCATCTTTTCTTATCGATTGATCATAGTATCATTGATGTAGGTACTAGGTAGGTGGGCCCTGGTATGTGGTATGTACCTGCCCTACCCTGTACTAACCAGTGACCACTGTGACCTACTTGTACCTACCTAGGGTAGGTTAACTCCATTGAAGGCTTGAACCAAGCTGCAATCATCAGCTCCGAACCCCACGCTGTATGTACCAGGTACCTACTATATAACACTGAATAGGTACCTACATTCAATGCTGATATACACTATATCTATCTACCTATATACACTACAATCATACATAGTATCTACTATCTACCTCGTATGATCAGATGCTACATGTAGGTTATGTAGATACTCTACAAGACTCAAGTTACTAGGTACTAGGGATACAGACTCACTATTCATGCCTGCTATCACATTAGGTAACTATATGTACCTGCAAACTGCATCGTTCGTGGTAGTATCATACCCACTAAACACCAGCCACCCGATTCTTTTCCGTCTATATTTGCTACTATATTTACCATACAAGTTATGTAATAGTTAGTTATATGCGAGTATTGCCAAGTAGGGGACTTTTAACCTACATATGTAGGAGGTCAGTATTATCACAGCCGCTACACGGGAAGATTCAAGCGCGGAATATTTCCTTGCCTACCCCTACCAACTAACTAACCACCTATAAGCCGAATCACACAAAACCGGTCGTTAACCTGAAGAAATGTAGCATTAGGTAACTATCACAATAGTCTTACATGTAAGGTCATAGATATAGAATCCGGAAAATAAGTAACATTAATAATTCAATAAATCTATCCAGCCAATGTTGGATCATACTGCTTAATCCGTTCTTCCACATAGCTAACCATGCAAATGCCCAGTCTAGATCCTGTACTGTGCTAATACCTGGAGTGAAAGTATCCGTTTTGTGACATGTGTAAGTATGTATATTAAAAAGTGAATTCAGACTTGCGGTTCGCTTCAAATTCGTTTCGTTGTGTGTCGCTTTTCGTCATGTAATAGGGAGGCTCATACCTAGATGTGGATGGGATGCCTACTGGGCCCCATAGATGTCGTGCGATTTACTACCCAAAGCAATCTAGAGGCAGAAGAAACCCTGCTCAATTAGTCCTTCTTCCATGTAAACAGATTCGACAACGTCGCCGACAAGCGTCTCTTCTCCTTCTCCTTTCCATTCGACTGAACGGGGATATCCTTAGGGTTGATGTCCGGCCCAGTGCCCTGTAAATGCGCTACGGGATTGCTCTGCACAGTGCTGTCCATGCGAAGGGTGGTGCTACTGCAGCAAGTGCTCGACTGATTCGTCTCTGCTGCGCTGGTATTGTTATCAAAGCAGGGAATAAGCACGCTAGTCTCATTCCGAGTGCTCGGGATATCCAGCGCGGGATTACTGGTGAAGAAGTCGGCAGGTCGCAGGTGGAATTGGTGGATCTCGACGGGCCTATTCATCATTTATCACGGTCAGACTTGAGACTTGGAAGCTCGGAGGGTTAAAGGAGGGGCAAGAGGGGGAGGGAGAAGGGGGGGGGGTGGTTCGTGCTCACATCACAGGCCAATCTTCAACTCGGGGATTGTGCGTAAGACCGAAGACATTCCAGACAACAGGGCTGCTCTTCTTCCCCTTTGCCTCCTCGTTATCACCGTTATCCCCGTTACTGGTTACCGCAGCCTCATCCACAAACCAATCTCCCCTCTCAACCATATCCTTAACACCACCCTCCTCACGATGCGACTGATTCGTAAACTCGCCCGCAGCCCATAGCTCTCCGTCCCTATACCCCGTAAACCAGAAGTGGTGCTTACCGAACGGCGCTCTAGCCGCCTGCACGCTGCGCTCGTCCGCGAGCATAAGCTGCGTGGCGCCAGAAATAAGCTTGTACCCGACATTCTTACCACTGACGCTATTTTTCTTGCTCGCATTCTCCATGCGCACCACCCGATTCAATTGAGGCTCTGCATCTGCGAACCCCGCGCGCTCGACACGGCTGCGGCGAATCTCGTACCCATTACCGTACGGGTTAGTTTCGGGGTTCATGGGCACAGCGTGGGTTTCTTCGATGACGATGGCAGTATCGTCAGCGCCATACGAGTCAATAGCGGGATCAATGCGCGCCGCAAAGATGTGCTGATGGTTTTGCGCCAATACCCCGGGCGAAACGATGTTACCAAACGCAGAGGATTTACCCTCATCAATTGGGACAACACTGACGATACCAGTAGCCCGCGTCTCGACAGTGATGCCACCTGCTGTGTCTAATTTGTATGCAAATACGTATTCGTAGTTTGCCAGAGTGGCGACGAATTGTACAACTAGCTCACGTAGACGCGTAACGACAGCACGACCAGTTCGGAAGTTGGTGTGCTTCCATCCGATCCCATTGTCTTGTTCATGTAGACAGATCACGTTCTGTGCCAAGTCCGGGTTGCCCTCGGAGTTGGCCATGACAGAGTCAAAGTAATGTATAGCCCCCAAGCAGTCACATCCTAATTTGAGGTTATTAGCCGCTCGCCCGATCCCACCGTCACCGAAGTCGAAAGCCTGCTTGCGATGGAATGGTGGACGGGGGTCACCGTATGGTACCGTCATCTCAGAAAACGATAACCGGAAGACTATAGGACGATTATCGTAGCATACATCGTGCAGCACTGCACCTTCGCGGGAAGTGAATCCAATACGGAACCGCCACTTTTGCCATTCGACCAAATTATCGGAGTGGACTTTGAAGGAAGCACCTTCGGGCTGGGTGATATTAATAGGTTTAAGGTCGGTGCGGAAAGGTCGGTCTAATAATTCCGGGACATATTCTGCCGCACTGCTGTTCGCGAAAAGCTTTCTAGGTTTTTCTTCTGGAGGGGGCTGATGAAAGCCATCGTTATGTCCGCCTGTAGCAAGGCGGTCCACTCTGACTAGCTTCTTGGTGGCAACGTCCATGACGGGAATTATGGGAAGTGGGTAAGAGTAGTGATTAGAGTCGAGGTTGTTTTTAGACGCGTCGCGGGCATAGACCAGCCCTTGCATGTAGCGAGGAATATCTTCGTCCACATCCGGGCCACCGTATGGCCACGGATCTATGGTGACGGTCAAGTGTTCTGGCAAGTGAAACTCTTCCAGGGCCGTTTTGAACATCTCCGAGGAGACACATGCATCATGGAACATGCCAAACTCCAATGCTGTGTAACTTGTCTGACATCGCGCTGGAAACTCTTTGGTGTCTTTAATGACACCAGCGTCGACATCAACAACCGTCTCGGTAAGCTGAGCCTTGCCATCCTTGACAGCGTCATATAGTAATCTGATCTGTCTCGGGGGAACAGCCTCGGGCAGTCTTCCTTCATGTTCTGCGGCAAGGAACTCAAGTAGATCGGCCTTCTTTGGTTCATCTATACCAGACGAACGAAACCACAAGACAGTACCATCTCCACCTTGTGCTTTGACGATAAGATCCCGAGCTTTGGCTAACTCGTCAGCTGTAAGAGGCCGTAAAGGGTGAGGTATAGTTGATATATTGTCAATAGCCATTGTATTATAATCCTATCTCTCTCTCTCTCTGTGTGTGTGTGTGTTTATGTGTGTGAGTATGAATGGGTGTATAGATGTGCAGATGAGTGTAGATGAGAATAGATGAGTGTGGGTGAGTAGAGATAAGTGTGGACGAGCGTGGAAGTGCGTGTATTCTATATTATCTTGAGAAATCTACTAAGAAGCCAAGAAGTGTTCACGATTTCTCAGCTATGACTTAAAGCCGTGATAATGATTAATGCCCCTAACTTTATGACCAACTTAATAAGATATAGATAACTGACTTAGCACATTAGCCCGAAACTCTAGCCAATTTATATACCTTACCCTGAAGATCCAGGAGACCTCGGATACGAACAGATATAGAAATGATTGGATGAAGTGTCGAAGGTCTTACTGCTAGTACAAGGAGTCAAATGCATGTATGCGATCTTAGACGGGTTCGGTACCAAGGTGAATACCAATGTCTTAGATCAGAAGACCGCCACCCGGTCCGGGAACGGTGCAGAGCTGCGGGCAAGGGTGGGGTATCTGAAGATGTGTTGGGGGATCTTAGGGGGCAGATATGGCATCTTCATTCGGCCTCATTACACACATACAGGCAATCCATGTTCAGCATGTCATCCCTTGTAATCCATGTCATCCATAATGATCCATTGTTGATATGCAGCACTTCGTACATACTTGATAGCTTCGGGTGGGGTCGAGAAGTACTATGTAGACTATGTAGTAGCATTTTCTTGTCTAGTTTGCCCTATTTCTTTCCTTTTTTTTTCGGCGTCATGCCTAAAGAACCGCCCATTGATAGTGCCTAGTAGTATTAGTAGGCCCTGTGCTTATCATTGTGGCAGCTATAAGCGTAATAGTAGCTCTTTTGGGCAGGTCCTTGCGAGCCCTTTATTTGTTCCTCTCGACTGCCGGCATCCGCCCTTGGGTTCGGTTGACCGCGTTTCTAAGGTGTGTCTGGGGAAAATCTACCTAATTATGTATTCGCCAAGCGTCCTAGCCTTTTAAAATAGGATATCCAAGAGACGGCGAGTAGCACATGGCGAGAATCTGCATTGGAGATCAAACATGGGACGCAACCTACTGAATTAGGAATTCATACGCTCGCATCAATTTTCCCCTTGTCTTTCTTGCGTGGGCAACCCAAAGCACATCCACCTCCATCATGAGAATATCAGGGCAGTAAGGGAGTGTTGTAACTTAGGTTCAACAGCCGACTCCGTCCGATTCAGGTTTCCGCGCTGGGAAATCCCGGGTCAACTTTACCAATGATCGACCCCTAATGCATTCTCAACCCAGCTTATCACCATGTATTCAGCCGCATGTGTATGTATGTGCAACCATCATGACATCTCGGGGCACACAAGGGGTGGGGTGTATATGCATACGTGTATTGCAGACTGCATGTGTGCAATACTCGTTGTATGATATGTCCATGTATATCACGCATCTACATATGTAGCTCCCTCGCTTGCTCCCACAGGATCCGGGTTCCAGGATTGGATATAATGTGTGTCGTGTGCTCTGCTGTGCGAGCGTCGAAGCTGAATGGAGGCATGTTTCCCATTCTGGTTCAACTTACCACATCCATTCATGCCATGATACCGTCGACCATGAGGGAATTTATGTTCTAACAAGTTCGCACCAGACCACCTCGTTCATATGAGAACATCTTTGTCTCATTAGCTACCTAGTACTTATGCCAGCCAAATCCCCCAAGCTCTATGCTAAGATCACCGCCTCTCTCCGTTGGTTCCGTTGGCATAAAAGGGGTATGTATGGTACGACGATGAACAATTTGGGGTCGAAGGAAGAGAAAAAATAGCTCAGCCAAATACCATCATGAATGGAACTGGATACTAGTGGTTCATATCTGATGGCAACACCATCAAGCAATTGATCTCTGAAGGTCTAGTCCAGCCGATCACTCCTCCTCCTTATCGGTGTATTTGCGAAGCTCTGAGAGGCCGTACTTGCCGCTGATGGTAAACTCGTTATTCGCTTCGTTCCACTTGAGAATAATGTACGGGTCCATGACGCAGAGAGTACCGTAGCGAGAAGGCGTGCTGATTTCACCGAAGCAACGCTCGAATTGGTCAATTGGGATCTTCTTTTGCTTCCATTTCTTGCCATTGGCGGCGGTTGGCTCAACCCGGAACAATCGGACAAATACAGTGACATTAGGGACACGCTGGGTGCAGGACCATTTGGAAGTGCCGGTACGACATGCTGGCATGAAAGTCATCTGCCCCTTGATAAGGCGGTACACGCTTGCGCGAATCTTAATGGCTTTGTCTCGAATAACAGTGGAGTGAAGTGAACTATCGATGGATGTGGAAGTGGCCTTAAGAGCAGCAGTCGCCGTCGCCGTGGTGGTCTTCTGCTTCTTCTGAGGCCCAGATTGGTCATTTTCCGCAGATCCTATATTGTCTTAGTTGGCACTGAGATGTACACTTATGCATAGCTATCACAAAAGACAAAGAATGTTCGGACTTACGTTTAGGTGCCATTTTCACAAGAATGGAAATCAAAGAGTAGATAGGTAAACTGAAGGGTAGAAATTGTTCATGGGATTATTGTCGAGAATGTGATGTGCGACGATTCCAGTTAGAATCAGGTATAATCAGTACTAATGTAGACGTGTTGAAAGTGCAAGTTATAACACGCGCTGTTGAGTGATTGGGGTACCTACTAGTCACTCGACGAACAAGACGACAGGAAGGTTAGAGATGAAAATTGTGGAGTATCCTGCCTTGTCCTACCTTACTTGCCTATTATACACACGGTACATTGGTAGATTTGTATTGATTTGCACCGTGTGAATGCGTAGTAGTTGTACCTAGGTACTAATATGGAATGAAATGCACCACGAATGCTTTCCAGTCTAGGATACTAGGTAGTAAGTGCAACAGTGACTATCAAGTACTACAGTACTCGTCAATTGCAGAAAAGAAAAGTTGATATTATTTTGCATAGCACGGCGAGATGCCTGGGTACCTACTCAAACACATAAATAAAGGGTATCTTACCACACAACCAGACACGTCTCCGATACCTACCTAGTAGATAGGTAGGAAGGTATATAATCTTATCCAAAAAGAAGACGCACAATCGAATCAACGGTGCTCAGTCTTCGTCTCAGCCCTAACAGCTTCCTGCTGCATAGATGGAGGGGTATCAGCACCAGACGTCGCCTTTCCATCAACCGCCTGGGCCTCATTTTCCGCTCGAATCGCCTTCACATGTCTCTTGCCTGACAGGTCAAGCACAATAGACTTGAAAGTATGCACCAGTGTCTTCCGACCTTCGAATATGGGGAAGAGCCCGACAGCACCGAGGGAGCAGAATATCCAAATAATGCCAACAGTAACCCAACCGGTAAAGAACGGTTTCGAGAAAACATAGCTGCTGCCATACATCGGGAATGGCCATAGTACCAAGAATGCGAGCGTAAGACCAACTGTAGACCACTTTGATATCTTGCTTGCTCTCATCAGCTTCGACTGTTCCTCGCTAAACTCATCTGCCGTTTCTACGTGTCCACCAACAGTATGTTCTAGATCCATGCCTGCGGTAGCGACAAGTTCATGGTCATCGCCTCTCCGGATATCCATCATCGACTTCCAGTCGTAGTTATCTATTCCGAAAATGAGAGTAAGTATGGGGATGATGATAAGAGGCGAAAGGAGTGCGACGACGTTCCCAGCAAGCATGGGGTTGTTCGATCCTGTGCACACAACACCCAAAGAACCACACTCCTTTTGAGCTGTAACAAGCCATGCAATTAAGGCAAAGGCAAGCCCAAAAATGGGCGAGAGAGCTGCCGCCCACTTGTTCTGTCCTTTCCATACGAGTGTCAATGTGGCAGGTATCACGGCTGAAGAAATGATACAACCCATCATAAGATAGAGATAGCCCATAGAGATTCCTGCGTAATATAGACCGACGGAGAATGTTGATATGAAAAGTGCATAGGCCACCACGATGGTGTGTGACATGTAGATGAGTCGTCTCCCACTGGCATCAGGCTTGAAGTAGGTACGGTAAAGATCGTAAGTGAAAATGGAGGAGACGGCGATCAATTCGGATGAGGTGGCGGAGGTAACAGCCATGAACACAATGAGAAGCGTAGCTACTGCGCCGCCTTTTCCGAGAAGAGCAACAGCAGCGTATGGCAGCACAAGACCAGCTGAAACATCAGCTTCGGACATACGGTTAGGATACGTCGGGAAAGCAGGAGTCCCCTCTAGCGCCAGAGCGGAGAGACCCATAGTTGTAGCAGTCAACCAAGGAATAGCAAACCAACTAAGGCCGCCAATGATATACCCAGGGAGAGCGTGGACAGGCGAAGCTGCAATGGCCTTGTTATAGTATCCGTTGTCAAGGAAGACAGTACCGAAATTACCAACAATGTTGATGACGAAAAAGATAGCTCCCTCTTTTGAACGCATGGTCAAATAACTGCCTTCTGCATTGCCTTCGACTGGGTGGTTGAAAGCAGCCTCGACTAGAAGGTCATAAACGGCAGATGGAGAACCAAGCTGATCGCCCGAGGCATAAGCTGTCAATGCAAAAATAATGATAATGACGAGTAGAATGAAGGTGTGGACCCAATCCGTCAAGATCGTAGCTTTCAAGCCGCCTACCATTGTATACACGATGACACCGACGGGCAAGAGGTATATAGCTGCGATGGTATGCATTCCAGTGAGAGCGCTCACTGTTGCCGAACCGCCGACAACCAACATAAGACTGACTAGGATGTTGGTTGCCAGGCCAAATACCATGAAGACAAGATGAGCAACTGTCCCATAACGAGCTTTGATTCTTTAAATGCTATGAGTATCATTTTCGTCAACTTCCGGTGTCAAGGAGAACTTACACTTCAAGATAAGTATGCGCATTGGGTGCGCGTCTTTTCAACTCGATAGCCAAAGTTGCGAAGAGGAGAATTTGAACTGTTGCGCCTGACGCGTACCAAAATGGACCAGATACACCATATCTATAGCAAACGCCCGTACTCTGTAGGAGAGTGGCCGCCCAAGTCCAGGAGGAGACGACAGCAGATCCAACCAATCCACTCTTTACTGTTCGACCAGCGGTGTTGAACATTTCTGATGTTTGAAGCTCCGAGTTGTATCGTTTAAGAATGAAGGTGACTAGAATCTAAAGAGTACGTACTATTAGCACATCTTATATATTGGAGGGGGATATTTGTGATAGCTGCAAAGGAATTCACCAACACGATCTGTCTCGTGAATTCCTAAGAGCCCAAAGCTGGACGCCTTGGTATATCATGATATCAAATAGCAAGATGTGACTTGTGAACTGCGACGTACCATTCCGAGAGCAAATCCAAAGCCCAGCCCAAGGACGATGCCATATCCAACACCTTGGCCCAGAGGCGCGGCGACCGTTACAGCTTCCATAGTAGCTTTGAGCAGTACTGAAGACCTGAAAATTGAAGCAAGCTCAATCCAGGGGTTGATTGAAAAGATTAGCGAGCGAGATCACTCGATGGGATCGGGGATCGGGAGTCGGTTTCATGATATATAACCTCGATTCAATGTTATCGTACAGACTTGTACTGGGCAAGCTTCACTCAAGACAGCTTATCTACATGGTACATGTACATAATATATTGCTTATCAGTCGGTAATTCATCCTCAAGCTTCCATCCATGCATGCCCCGGATTGGCTCTCTGGTAGTAGTACATATCTCAGCTTGTGTTACTCGACTAGCCCCCGCACGACAAGGTTTTACCTGGGACACTGAAGTTAACCTGGAATACATAGTACATACCAGTACATGTATGTGCTATCATCTATGTATACATGTACATAACATTCAATGTTGGCATTTGATGGTACACCATAGATTTGATTCCATTGCCATGTGGTGCTTGAGGGTTTGGGCGGTAGCTAGGTAATGTCTATGTACTTCTCAGGTTCCTAAGAGAGGGTTATTACTCCAGTTCAAGCTCTCTTTCATGTTCTCACTATACAGCCGTAATGCCCACACAGGTAGAACTTAAGATTCGGAAATTCTATAGGTTTAGGGTTACATGCTCACTAAAACTTGCCGTTTGTAACTTCCAAGTATTCTGCCTACTACATAGACATCCTCTTGACCCCAGATGTCCCCTGGTTCCAGAATCCAGATGTCCTGGATGCAAGAACCGTATATCACCGCGGACATATTCACAGGCAAAAATGAAATATGCCTCAAAGATGGCAGCTCTGATAAGAGCGGGCAAATGGAATTGCAATGTCAAGTCTAGGACAAAAAGAAACCAGGGTAGGAAGACAATAGAGTTAATGAAGTTGTAAATCCGTGACCCCCATGAACCTGTAAGCGGGAAGTTTATCAAAAGCAATTGGCCAATCATAGAAGGCAGAACAATGTCCGAGCTGATAAGGGAAATATGGAGATTAAGCATAGGTTCACCCAATAGTAATTTAGTATACATATTGTTAGGTACTTCTTTAAGCTTATTGCTCTGCCGTCCAGATAACTACTGGCAGATAGAGACTCTCATTTACCAATAGCATCTGGAAATTTACGTTAGATACATCTGTCAAAGCTCCACAGAATATCAGCCCTAGATATAGTAGCCGAAATTAAGTCGTATCTTGGCGTTGATATGTCGGAAAGCTCCGAAAATCACTTTTGATACTGGAGGAAGGGATGTCAATAGTTAATCGGTAGTGCAGACATCGGAGCTACTTCATCACGAATGGGGCCCGTGCGCAGCTTGCAGGTTAAGAACATATACCTATTTTTCACGCATTCTTCTAATTGGTCGCGTGGTGTAGTTGGTTATCACGTCAGTCTAACACACTGAAGGTCTCCAGTTCGAACCTGGACGCGATCATTCTTTTTGTCCATTTTCTCTGTGATTTCTCCGGTTACGAACTTCTTACTTCAATATACAAATGTAGCTTGTCGACAATCTTCTCATTTACAAGTTTGAATTCCGATACCTCTTTAGTTCCAGATAGCATTCAAACTAGGTAACCCACTAGGGGATTTGCTCGTTGAAGTTCGGATATGAAGTTCGCATATAGGCACAGAAGGGGCTGGTCGTAGCTGCTGATGGCGTCTACCAGCTTGAGGCTTTTTCCTCCATGCCCTGGTGCAGGAATGACGCTAGAGACCTCCAGAGATTGTGCTTTTAGGGTTCTGGCTTGCAAAACGAGGTGTGGAAATTCTTGAAGCGAGGTGAGGCCACAAAGGTGTTTGCCAAATGAAGACCCAGGGTGCCTGTATCACCAAGAATGCACATGGCAGGCATTTTGCGAAGAACCATACTTTGGAAAATTCCAATTTTATGAGCAATTAACTATATTATTCATTGGTGAGTCCCCGATTACGGCTTAGGGACCTCTCCGAAAGTGTATTGAGCCCAGCCCATACTGCCTTCGTGTAGTGTCCATGTTCTCTTGCCCGCATCACCACCAGCCGCACCAGCTGCTACATACACCGGCATCAAGTGGTCAAATCGCTGAAGAGGAGTTAGTCTAAATAGATTATGTTCATAAGTTTCTATAGGACTTACAGGGTGAGCTTGTCTGGCATCTGGCCGTTTGGCGACTTCTCTCATACGGGCTTGGCGCTCGCTTGGTGGAGATTCAACGGCTTCTTTCAGAGCCTCATCAAAAGACGCCGTGTAAGGCATAGGCCGAGGATCAAATCGAGAAGTAAGCATGTCCCTGAGATTGTGTACAGACATCCCCGCACCGATGATCACGATGTTCTCATCGCGTAGAGAAGCAACGGCTTCTCCAAGTTTGTAGTGCATGTCTACATCTTGATTGGCATACAGGCTTACCTGAACCAGGGGAACATTGAGAGGGTTGTCTTTGGGGTTGAACGCTTGAGGCTGTTAGCGAGTGGTCAATTAGGTATTGTAACATCAAGGTACTTACCAACGTTAAAGCCCGACCATACACCATGATCGAGACCTCTGGTTACCCCCTTTGCTTTGATGCCAGCTTCTGTCAAGAGATGAATTATCTTGAATGCCAGTTCAGGACTTCCCCTGTTCGGATACTGAGCTTTATAGAACTCGGGCGGAAACCCATAAAAGCTGTCCAACTACATCAGTCTCGAAACAAAAAAAAATACAAAAAAAAACTTAATGATGGCAACGCACTCGTAAATCAAGTCTGTGTGCTCCGCTGAGTTGACTTCAATCCTGTCGCGCTCAGCCTCCCAGTGGCCCGAGAAAACTACCACGGCTTTAGGTTTCACCTTTTCGGTGATCTCTCTGCCAATCCTCTGGAGAATTGGATAGGCGGGATGACCTGTATCGTACTGCACTGTTGGCTACACATATGCTTAGTTGGTCTTGTTGCTAGTTTTTAACGAGTTCCCCAGGCAAGGCCGGTAACAGGTACTTACTCCTCCATGACTGAAGAAATATACTGGGGGTCTAGTAGCTGACATTGCGTGAGAAGTGTATGTTGATGTTTGATTGGATATTTGATGCCGCAACAGCAACGAGAATGCAGGTCTCCAAGTTGAAAAGGGGGACAATATACGGGATAACGGTGTAGAGAATAGCACAGCCACGATTGCAATAATAAGTGATCCGAAAAGAACCGATCTTGTAACGAACCTAACAGAGTCCATAAGGGATTCAATAATATGTATATAACTCGGTAGGAGTAGATATGTAACCTACATAGTCCTATGTACTGGCGAGAAATAGGAGATCAATGAACTTGAAGTCGTTGGTAATGCCCTTGCTTAGTAATATGTCTGTTATTCGTCAGCAATTACCAAATATCAGTCAGCATCAACCAATAGTTAACCTTGGAACTTTCAAGAGTCAAGACATGTACCCCAGGTAGCAGATGCCCAAGTAACCAACATTGGCAAGCTAATTCACTTGCTGTAGCCAATTATAATGCGGTTACACTAATAAATACCCTAGGCAATTGCACAATACAATACATATATGTACCTTAGCAGTGGAGGTTACAACTACCGAAAGCCCTAGAAGCCCTGGAAACCTTCAATGTTTTAACATCAACCAGGATCTTTCAGCCTCAAGATTCCATTCCTGAACCGTTCGTTACGCGGATGCTTACATTGTTTCGTTTACCTGATTTGTTCATTTTGATCATTGCTTTGTCTTCACTTACCGTACTATCCGCTAGTATCAACCTCGACCCCACCATGGCGATGCGACGAGCCTCACCATTGCTGTTCCCAGCCGCTGCCAAACACACTGCTACTGTCATATTTATTCATGGATTAGGCGACAGCGGATACGGTTGGGCCTCAGCAGTTGAGAACTGGAGGCGACGACAGAGACTGGATGAAGTCAAGTTCGTCTTGCCTCATGCCCCGGGCATTCCCGTCACAGCTGTATGTTCATTGTATCCCTAGTACCTCCTAGTACCTCCTAGTACCTACTATACCTATGTAAGGTTAATGAACACGGCCGCGAGAACTGACACGATGGAAAATAGTCAGGCGGACAGTACATGCCCGGATGGTACGATATTGTAAGAAACCTCCTATCTAATTGCCCTCTCTACCATACATTTGCAAGCTGGTCCTAATCATTATTTCTAGTATGCGCTAAGTGGGGACATTCGAAAGAATCAAGATGAGAAGGGTGTCCTGCAAAGTAGAGACTACTTCTATGAACTTATCCAAGCCGAGATTAATGCCGGAATACCTGCTAGCCGTATCGTCCTCGGCGGCTTCTCTCAAGGTGGTGCCATGTCTCTGTTCGCAGGCCTCACAGCAAAGGTCAAGCTTGCCGGCATTGTCGCGCTTTCTGCCTACCTACCACTAGACAGCAAATTTAGCGAATTCGTCAAGGAGAACGATCACAACCGTCAGACACCGGTTTTGATGTGCCATGGAGACGAAGATCAAGTGGTGTCTTTCAACTTTGGCAAGACCACGTACGAGGGGCTTAAGAAAGAAGGCTTCGACGTCACATTTAAAGTCTACCCGTAAGTACAAACCTGATGAATCTTTGGCTTACCAAAATTGGTCATTAGCTAATACTTGACGTTCGCAGGGATATGGGCCATTCGGCTTGCATAGAGGAGCTGGATGAGGTTGAGGCTTTCCTAAGATCACGACTACCGCCTCAAGCCGACAAGAAGTCAGAGTTATAAGCCGCGTTAAGCGAAGTATAGTGTTACTTGAACACCTAGGTAGACTACCAATAAACATAAAATAGACACATAAAGATGGGCCATTACCATACTCAAAGGTTTGTAAGTGGACATCATTAACCGATTTACAACGTATGTGGTGGATGTTCATGCAGAAGAAACCAGATAGAGGAGTTTGAAGGCGCAAATCCGAACGATGGGACGAGCCATTTTTATTAAAATCGTATCCTTTCGGACAATATGATACATGCCAGGTGCCTACCTAATAATAGATATCCTCTACAAATTACGTCGAGTGTTTCTTGGAATGCAAGGAATATAACGAGTAGAAATAATCCACGTCTTGTAGCCATTTATCGATCGTAAGTGATGCATTGGACAGACACTCTATTAACTACATCCATAAAATGGATAACTAGTTACTTACTAGTAGACCTTATCTTATCGCGTAGTTGGAGATGGTGGGGATAGGCTTTTGGGGGGGGAATCACAAGATAGTTGCATAGGTACATATGTGCCTAGGCACTTAGGTTAATAGCTCTTAAACGTAAATGCTTATTTACTACTTGACAATTACATAGTTATGTATCTACTTATTATTTTCTATCCAATACCAAATCTATTTTCCATCAGTCCTTCAACAAGTTGAACATTGAACCTCTTAAATATTGCGTTCCGAGCTTACCTCCCTAGCTATTCGGCCGATTTATCCACATCTGGACTTCCCGTCACTTCTACATACCTACCTGTTTGTTGGATGATGCCTTTCGTTAGCCCTCGGACCTCCAACATATCTCTATCAGCCTACTAAACAGAATTACGTCTCTTGCCCTCTTAAAGGATTACTTCTAGGTAATCACTTTGGGTCTCGTCATACCTGTCAGGAGTGGCAATCCTACGTAGCCTTGGCTGCTACCGTATCCTCGGGTTTAAGATCTACGGCGGAAAATAAATAAATAAACAAGCCAACCCCGCCGTTTAGTGACATAGTATCACGCCCACATTTCGAGTAGAGATCAAGAGATCCCTGCTCGACTACGAGGCCACGATGCCAACAATAACACAGTCATCATCAGGTCGGCCAACCACTCCGGCACCTTCTCAGATTCCTCTTCCCGCTTCGCCAACTTACTCCTTCGCCTCTACAGCTAACCCGTTATCCTCATATAACCTCCCACTTCCTCCCCCACCACGACCTGCCCATGCCGTCCTCACCAAGTCCGATCTAGAGCTGTCGCAACAAGCATACTCGGACCTATTAGCCACCGCTAAATCCTATCGTATCGCCCTTGCCTCCATATCGACTGCCGCATCAGCATTCGGCTCTGCTATCGAGTCCTGTGCCCGGCTAAAAGAATCTCGTGCTGACGCACTCGGCCCTTCAGGTGGCGCTAGCCTCACTAATAGCTTCACGACTAAGAATTCGTGCACGGCTGACTTGTTATTGAGTGCCAGTGGCGTGCACCATTTGATTGCGAACCACCAGCAGATCTTGTCCGAAACCGTGTATAGATCGTTCGAAGTGCCTTTATTACACGAGCTAGACCAGTGGCGTCGCGCCATCGAGGACGAGGATGAAACTTACAAACGAGAGGTCACCACGCGCAGTCGTGAGATCCGGCGTTTAGAGAAGGAGGGTTTGAAGTTGCATCGTCAGAGCCGTAGACGCGATGTTGCTAAATTCCGCGAGCATCTCGTTACGCTGACTACCAAACTCGATGGCTTAACGGCCTTGCATGCAGATCATGCGCGTACCTTGTTACGCGACTCACAGGAGGCATCTGCTAAAATTCTAGACGCAAGCTGCTCGCTGGTTCGGGCCGAGGTCGACATATTTGAAGGGTTAGCACGGAAAGGATGGACAGGAGGTGGGTTGGACGAGTTGCTAGAAAAAGGCCACGACCTATTTGCAAGCGAGGACGATACACCCACTGCTGCAGCAACGGCGACTACTGGAATAGTGGCAGTGGGAGTAGGAGCGGGCAGCGTGGCGGATGGAGGGGCTAAGTTGTTTAGTATACTACCGCCCAAGAGCATCCTCGCCAATGACACGGCTTCGGATTCGGGACACACAGCACGTATGGGAAGTCACGGACGTGCCGACAGTCTACTTGTTGACCCAGAAGAAGATCGGTATCAGAGCTTAGCAGGAGCTGTAGACCAACAGGGCCGAGGGAGAGGGGGTGACTCGGAGAGCATATTCTCCGATACCCACATAAGCCGGGGTTTGCGACCGTTTAGTCCACAGCCTATACGGAGGCGAGCCACGGACGTGATCATGGATCCAGAGTTTTTGGTTTCAAGTGATGAGAACGACGAGAACAAGAATGGAACCGGCAACTCAACCCAATGCGGAAATGGGAGCGAAAGCGATGATAACGAAACGTACGATACAGCAACAGCGAAGGGCGCTTCAGATGCCCCAGCTCAGGGGCTAGGATTGGACATGAGTGTGCTGCGTATACAGACTGGCGAAGGTGAAGATGACAATAACGCTGAACCTGAGTCGCCTTGGAAAGACGAAGGCTCGCAGCGGGTAGGTGGTAGTACCAGTATTGACGAGGGTAATCAAGTTAGTAGGACGAGGGGTAGTAGCGTACATGTGCCACCGCTACCCGAACGAGAGCAAACACCAGAACAACCAGAGCCGGAGCCGGAGCCAGAGCCGGAACAGGAAGTAGGACGGGAAATAGAAGCAAAGCCAGATTCACTACCTGTCCCAGATCCGCTACCTGGATCAGATTCACTACCGGAACCGAAGCAACCAAGTGTTGAAGACGAGTATCAATGAGCATGGGATTTTTAGGGGTGGCTATAAAAATGGTAAGGATGAATAAGACCTATCCTTACCGTTCTACAAGATGGCAGAATTCAAGACAAGAACCATGGAAGAAGACAAGAAGTATACAGACAGACAAAGAAGTATCCGCTCAAAAACGAGCCTAGAATAAATGATTTGATGTTGGTGTTTGTTGGCAAAGGGTTTCACAGTGGGCAGACGGTATATACTATGGGCGTGGGGTTGTATTGATTAAATTCATTTATCGTTAACAGTTGACGAACGAATGAACATACCGGCGTGTTGAAGTTTGGAAATACAACATTGAAGCATCTGTATACATTTACATCTTTAAACCCTCATCATGTGGATTGTGTCTTCAAATTTGTACGGATCAATCATCACGGCAAGCATACCTAAGTACCACCATCAAAGTAAGCACATCATCGACCGTAAGTAGGTAGGTAATTAGTATCAAGAAAGAGTATCAGAGTATCTTTATTATAGTACGTGTATTAAGTAGTCAAGCACAAAGCAAGCCTCCTCTTTCCTCTTCCACATTTCCGGTCGGCTCGTCTGTCTCATCTACACCCCTCCCAACACCCGCAAGATCAGTATGACATGACACAGCGTTGCTACCGCGAGGGTATAACTTCGTACTTTCTTTTATCGTAGTCCGTCTTTCTGAGCGTCAAGTTCGAAATGTGCGGTGCGCGCGTGGAACCTTGGTATCCAGTCCAGTCGGTATAAAATCTGTCGCAATGAATTTCCTCCAACTCCGTGGTTTCCGCCATTACCAACAACCAAATTCGCCACGCCACGCCACGCCTCGCCCCGATCCATTCCTATTCCCTGCTTCTTCGCATCCCTAGAGCATTGTTTTCATAAAATCGCCATACCAATGAAGTGACCAAGGTATAGGTAGTTGGAGTAAGTAAAGTAAATCAGGAAGGGGCCTCTTATTCGTCCTTGTCGCCACTAACGAGCTCGCGACTAAAGAGGCCGAACCACAGGTCCAGGTAAAACATGAGCTGCCAGTACAGGCTGGCCCTGTTGAAGTCGAATTCTCCAAGCTCGTTCCGCGGCACTTCGTTGCCTATCATGGATCCGCCGAACCATCCTATGAGGGGGATCCAGGCTAGTATACGCTGCTGGAAGGTCGGCTGCGGAGCTAATGCTTGGTCGGCTGGAAGGAGCTTAACTCTTCGAGCCTCGGGAATTCGACGACAGTAGGTATCGTCTTGGTCTTGTTGTTGCTTGTTCTGTCGCTCTGCATTACGTGGCGCCTCTGAAAAGACTCCCGTAACAGTCGCGGTCGACGCCGTAGCACTATCCATCGTCTGAGTCGAGCCTTGTGATCCAGGGGGGGAATCCTGTTGTATCGCCGAGGGGTCAAATGATGAGAAGGGCTTCTGCAATCTCGCGTTCTTATCTGTACGAGGCTGGGAAGGGCCTGCTCTGGCTCTAACATAATTCGACCTAAACGGATCTACCATGCCAGAATCCCCCACAACATTGAGCATCGCAGCATCTTCCTTTGGAGGTAGGCCTAGATAGTGCTCGGCATATATGAGATGACCCAGAATTTTCTGCGGAGAAGCATATAGTGCGGCATCTGCTGCCTCTGCCGACTCAAACGTGACCTTGACCCAGTGTTCTCCGCTTGCAACTCTACTAACTTTGGCCCGTTCAAGAACGGTCAGGGGTTGTCGTCTCGTTAAGGCAGGATCTCGTAGGTCGGATTTGTAACGCCGGGCTTCGATGGGTGGCTCTCTAGAGTAGTCCTCGCAAATTCTGCCCGCAATATGCTCATAGTGGTTGATAGCCGCATACTGCTGCGATGGCGTGGAGTAACCTCTCAGGATGATTTCTGTAGGCTCTTTACGATACGTTGAAGTTTGGGCGGCGGAAGACGCATCATCTTGGGACTGTGCAGTGGTTTGGGTTGGGAAGCTAGACTTTCGCTGAGTAGAGGTGGTGGTGGCATTCGCGTTAGGGGCTTGTTGACGATTTGCTAAATAATTGGAGAATATCTTGTCGGCACTTTGCATCGTAGCATCTTCGCGTTTTGGTGGCGCACTGCCTGTCCTCGATCGAGATCTTCTAGTCGACTTTCCGAACGAGCCTGATTCGGTTATTTCTCTGGCGCGGGTGCGCGGGAGATTTCGTTGTCGTTCACCACTGCGATGAGCCATATGGGTTAGCAAAAGCTGATTCAGATAGTATAGTTCTACTTGAGATTCTACTAGGGGCGATGAATGGGTTATCACATACTCAGGCCAATACATAGCGTAAGGACGTTGTATTCCATCATCACCAGTGTAAAGTTCCTCGTCCGGGACGTTATGAAGGATCAATGGTCGCATTATCCTTCCTTCGTTGATTCCAGGGCGTTGGTGAATCGAACTCAAGGGAATACGCTAGGCAGCGTTCTGGATTCACAAAAGCGGATGGGTAGGCAAATGAGAATCGAGAATTTTATATAAGAGGGTACGACTGTAGCATTGCGCGAATGAGAGCGCGAGTACGGATGGTTGCGAGAAGAGATGGATTAAAATGATTGGGAATATTTTAATTGAGGAAGTACTTCGTACAAGAATCAACTGCAAAACCAAATGTTCAATGTTTTTACTTAAAAAAAATAAAAAATAAGGTACAAGGTAGTTAGTTATGTATGTAAGTAAGCAGCGGCTGCAACGCGGTTAGGCATGTGGCACTTAAAAGTTAAATACGCACTGTTTGCAGGCAGGGTATGTATTGTACCTAACCCGGCAACGCCCTTTAACTTCAAGGTTTGAACACTGAACCTAAGGCCCTGTTTGCCCAATCAGAGAACCCACTGCACCCCACTTGCTCCTAGACTAGGTACTAGGTACTATGTACTACTACTAGATAGTACCTAGTAGTATGTAATATGACTGTACCTAGGGCAATCAAATTCGACGTCACTTCATGTACGGCAGCTGCCGCAGCTTCCAACTTCACCCAAAAGCTCTTAATCCTATATATCCAACAACATTATTTGCCAACATACATTTTACTTCTTCCTTCCTCAACTCCTGTAAACTCATATAACAGTTATCAGAAGGTTTGAAAAAGGTCATCACAATGTTCCGTTTTGTAAGTGCCAACTCAAGACTAAGTACCTACCTAAATACTAAAGTGAGGCCATAAATTAACGCGCCAGCAGCATAGACCTCTAGACATTGTCACCGTCTTCCACAAGACAGGCTCTGCTGCTTCTATGAGAGCTGCGGCTGTCATGAACAGCTTGTCTGCCAAAGCTGGCGCTACATCGGTTGAAGATAAGCCCAGTGACTCTCAGACTGCACTTCCAGAGTTCGAATTAAACATCACTGAGGATCCCCCCACTCAAGATCAACTCAAGACTATCCTAGAATACGTCGGAGCCAACAAGATTGGTTCCATCATCAATGGCGCGTCGACAGAGAAAGAGGCTCTAAAGAAGTTTAGGGAGAATAGTGAAACCTTCCAACGGCCAGTGGTACGATATGCTTCCTCACTTGCTCGCCCCCCTTTTATATCTCGATCTATTGTAAACTTACCAAGAAATAGATTGTCGATTGGAATAATGGCAAGGCAGTCGCTAGCGATAACGAGTCAGAGATTCTTAAGATGTTACAACAGCAGGCCAGCAGCAAGGAGTAGATGTTCCCTGTTGTCTGTGCGAACAGTGGGCATCGCTTTGGTATCAACGACCCAATGATATAGGGGTTCTATGTAACGTACCCATGGGTGGTGAAGAAGTTATCCCGCTTCACCTGGATCATGAAAACACATTTTTCAAGTAACTGCTATATGGGACTGATACATCTTACCACACCACTCTGTATACAACTTACTCCTCTCTTTGTAGCATAGGTGCCCACATGGCAGTTCCAAATGGGATTTTATATAAGTTACTATTGATTCAATAAGTTCATAAGATATGTCGACGGGAAGTACCAAATAAGGGTACTCGGATCTAACATGGTCAGCATACATAGTAGGACCGCTCCTTAGGCTCATTCCTTTTTTACCGTAGGTACTTATGGATCTTGGTGCTCTGCCTTGCAACTTGTGGGTTCCTGGAAAAGATGCCCCAGGCTCGGTACCCGTGGATGCCACCTACGCACCTAAGTTATCACACTGCCAACCCGCCGGAATACATAACCATCTATTTACACCCTTTTAACTTTTCTAAGCACACATTCTTTTTTTTTTTCAATTTTTTTCTTTCATAATTCTTCACTTCCAACTTGCCGTCACGTTCCGAATTTTGTACATCCGCACAATTTGATTACTGCTCTTGTCTATTCATAAACCTCACTCAAGACCGACCATTCCTTTCTTTCTACACACCATCCCTCAATAATAACATCATACGTCGTCTTAGTTACTGGTAAGTGTTTTTTTTTATTTTTCCTCGGCGCCCACAGGAGTCGTATCACAATCACCTACGTTATTCTCGATATCCTCATTCATCCTCACTCTACGCGACGCTTATTGTTAGTGACCATATTAAAAAAACAATCTCGCCGTTTCTTTTTTTCGTCATTTCAATCGTATCAATCTACTTCCATCAGCTTCGCCGCTTTCTATCTCTCAGTCACGCTCTACATCCCAAATCAATTCGCTAACAACACTAGTTCATTACAAGGAAATATGCCGCCACAGTACAGCCAATTCACCTTGGAGGAGGCCATCAATGCAGCTGGCATGCCTCCCTCCCCAGCTGTCTACGGTTGGAATGACACCCGTGACGGCGAGCCGCCTATGTGGTTCTTTTACAATTATGATCCATCTACTGCCACAGCTATCTTCTCCACCAACAATGGTCGGAGCCAGTTCCGCGATGTAGGAGTGTACTCCAACTCCCCTCGCGGCATGCGATACTGGTCAGCTGCTACTATCCAGCGGTTCTCTGATCATCTTCGGGGCAAGTTTCCCTTAACCTGTAAGCACATCCAGCCTCTGGAGTCATACTATGGATTGTACACGTACTTCGACGCCTACGACATCTACACCTGGGGCGCGATGAACTTGTGGAATGTGATCCACCATTTGCATTTCGAGAACTCGTACTACTACTACTTGAATGATGATGAGGCTACCCGTGAAGGGGAGATGGCAGCCCAGCTTCTGGAGCCCATTAACACACCTGCTTCTGCCAACCCGGAGTATTCGGCGGCTGCGGTGACGACGAACGAAGAAAGTATGCGTAAGTACATCGGTTTCATCTTGTTACTTTATTTGCTGATCAGTGAATAGGAGCTGTCTCTGCTTCGGCTGGAGGTTCATAGGATGAACTTCCTGCAACTGAAGCAAGAACTACTCAGGTGGTAAATGGCATTGTGATTGCCAATGGCACAAATTGGGTTGGCCAGCCTGGTCCTTCGAACCGTTCGGGGCCATCTCATCCTGTACCAGAAGTACCCCCCACCCAATCAGAGAACTTGAACGATGAACTACTAGATGGAGGCGCTTTGCCTTCAGAGCCCGATCGGTCTGTTGGTCCTGTGTCCGAGAACCCGGCAAACCCTGCTGGCTATAATGAACCTGGAAGTCATTCCAGCCAGGCACCTCAGACAATACGAGATATATCCGCCCACAAGGCCAGTGATAAGAGAAGCTCAGACGGAACATGGCAAGCTGCTGGTTTTGACCCTGTCCATGGCCCAACCTCGGTGTTCAGCAAGCACACCCACGGAGGTAACATATGGCCCAACCAACCCCCTGCGACTAACCCAAGAAACTTCCAAGGAGCATTTTCTACCCAGATGCCATACGGGATGCCATGGCCATATTATCAGCATATGAACGTCGACATGAGTGGGAACAATGCAAGACCTTTCGAGCAAGGGCCGCTTCAACGCCCTCACCCTAACATTAACTTGCTATGCAAATGCTCTAGTTGCCAGAACGAGAACCAGAGCATCTACATAGCCTTCGATCAAAATCACACAAGATTTAATGAGATGACAGGACGCTTGATCTCGGCCGCGTTTTCAAGATTTGGTACTATCGAAGAAGTGGTACTGTATTTGAACAATGCAGGTGTGCACGTCAAGTAAGTGATTTCCCAACCCCACCCTCTGATATTGCCATGTGTATCGTCCTGCTAACAGAATTCTCCTTAGATTTACTGATGTGCAATCCGCATACGAAGCTAGACAAGAGATGGACCTAATGATTCTACGAGAGATATCCAGTTTGCCTATGAGAGTAACCTTACGTACCGGTTACCAATACTCCCGACTCGCACCCCCACCTCAAGAAGTTATGTATCAACTATCGAACGGCCCAGGCATACAACCAGACTTGTATGTTTCTGGGATAGGACAACCGTTTCCGTCGCACGCTGGCCCTGTGGCCGAACCTGTAGGAGTTGTTGATGGGTCGTCTGGCATCCAATCGAGATCTTTTATGTCTCCTGATTCCGCTGGATCCCAGGAGGTCCCAACAGTGAGACTGCCCACAATACAGGAAGTTCTATCGCCTAAGGATAAGAAGGGCGCTCGAACTATAAAATCTGCAAGTCTGGGTGGAAAAAATTTAAGCTCAAAGACAGAGCATCATAGCACAGTCACCGGAGAGACTCCAAAGAAAGGAAACCCTAAGGCAGACGGAAAGGAGAAGGATAAGCGAGACCCACATCCTACAACGCAGACACAAAACTCAAACACTTGCCCAACACCCCTCACTAAGAAATATCAACCTCCAAAACCTACCATCATAGGACCAGCAGGTCCTGATGGACCTCTCCCCGTTGGCTGGGAAGACGCACCCTCCAATGCACGCCCGATAATTCGGGACTTTGCGTATAGCCAATCTGAAATACCGGTAAGTCCTTTTTCCTCAACGAAGAATCGTGATTCCATCTTCAATAATAGTAAGCTGACGCAAAGGGAACAGGAAAGACGAAGGCACGGTCCCAGAAGAAGCAGAAGAATACCATCACCACCGCTCCACCCCCAATCCCAAGAATTTCTAACCACCGTCATATACCAATCACCCGAATCTTGGCTCCGGGACCATCGAAACGATCATGTCCCTCAGAATGCGGCCACGCACACCCCCAGAAAACAAAAAGGCCAACAGGGCCAGAGCAAGACACCGTCGGACCCATTCCAAGACCAACCCGGGTCTGTTCATGGCTCCGTGCCATCCTACACCGTACCACTGCTGAAGCGCAGTAACAAGAAGCTTCGCAGAAAGGTTTCCAGAAACCCGGGGTTAGCCATGGAAGACGACGTGTTCGGGTCCACGGCAGAAGGGAGTCCTCTAGACCGAAATCTGCGAAGCAAAACTTCGGAGCCGCGGGAGCGAAAATGGAAGCAGAGACAAGGAAGCATAACTTCACCAAGCGTGAAGAAATTGCTAGGGAAGGCCACAGAAGCATCGAGCCCCATGCCGGGGTCTTCTCATTCCCGGCATGGGGCTGATGTCTTCTATGGGCCAAAGAATGGCCAAGATAAGAGTGGTTCAGTCCACAACAAGAAATTTTCGGACCAGAAGACGGCAACACCACGCACCCCTGAATCGGTACGACGACGAGCCCGCGATAACCTTCAACAAATACGACAAGGGGCTCGGAGTTTCCTGGCCCAGGCGACAATGCCGACTCTCTCATCGAAAGATGGGCATCGGCCTACTACTACGTTGACCGAATCGCGGCCAAAATTTAACGCGTGGGCGAAAGGACCACCCAAATTCGCCAATCCTGCGCCATCTGGCCCGCCCCCAAAGGCTCAACCCGCACAGGGAAAGGGAAGCGGTGGTGTGCCGGATGGCCAGGCCACGACCTCTCAACCTCCGAATCAAGGCACGTCTAGACCGCCGCAAGTACCCCAACCTCATATGCCTCCATCATCGCGGCCAGCAAGGGGAAGGGCCACTTGGTCCGGACTTGCTGGCAGAGAGAACGCTAGGAAGGGGAAGAATCACCAAGGTCCAAAACCTGGTGATGGCCGAAAGGGGGACTAGATATGTGGGATGGCGAGGTGGGCTTTGATGTAGCCGTTACTCGCATGAACTTGGAGGATTGGAAGGAATAATTGTGATTAGGTTGATAGGGCAAAGGAAAAGACAATTGGTATTCTTGAACGTAATAAGGCATTGACTTCCTATTAATCATAATGTGAATGCAACATAAATACAGTGTAGGTCCTTATGGTTCCTCGTCAGGTCCTGATATAATCACGATAAAGCGTAGACTGGACACACTTGTTGATGGTATATTCACAATCTTCGTTGCGAAGATATAGCAGTACTTACTTCTCAACCCCCCAGAGATTAGTTGAATGTATCATGCTGCTGCATTTTTGACTAATTGTGTAACGGTATCCTCGATTTCCTTGTCTGTGAGTCCTATGGTAGATTGATGTTAGTTTGGACTTGTTTCTTCAACCTCCATGCCCATTATCAACAAGGGTATTCCATACCTTCTAATGACTTGCTTGTCTCCTTTCCGAACTCTGTTGGCCATAATTCATTAGCAATCCACTCTCCATCGTAAAATATTTGCTTGTATTGGACATACCATATCTCGCATAGACCTTGGGTAATATGCCGGACGCTTCTCGGATGAGGATCGGGGTTTGGGGATTGTTCTTCTTCATCGTAGGGTATGCTCTCGTGATAAATGACCTACATATCAGACAGTGGTTAGTTTCTGTGTTTGTATGGACGCTAGGTACCTAGTTAAATGGAATTATTGCTCACCTGACAGCAGCACTACCCTCTCCAGTGTGGCAGAATAGGAAGCGAACCTCCTTCAGGGTATTTGTGAAGGCATATTTGGCCGACATGGTTGTGAATGGTGGTTTGACAGCGATTACCACTGCTAGTACTGGATGTGGATGTCTGATATACAGCTAGTATGCGGGTAGCTGTTGAATGCGAAGCTTCGGCATCGACGATGAAAGTTGAAAGACGAAAGTTGATGAATTGACGTCGATTATGCATAAAATGCCTATCCAGAGATGCATAAAATGCAGGCCACGCTAATACCTATTAAGTACGTGGGGACATACTATGTTACCTAACCTAGTTAACTATTATGCAGATAAGATCCATGTCCCAACGGTCCCGCCTTATGAGAGATCTTGGCTCCGGACAGCCCCAACTGATCCAACTGATAGGTAAATTTAGTAATTTATCGAATTATCCCATTATCGGAACCTTCAACGTTTTTTTGCAATTACATAGTTAGAGTGACTCTATCGTGAACAACCACCTAGGTTAGGTCCTCCCACTTCCATCAATTACCTCAACTGTACCAATCCAGAATACCCTCGACCGACAACCCAATTCCTGAAAAGAAAACCGAGAAAATGCCCGCAACAACTACCCTCTTCCGCGCCGCCCGGCCGGTATTCCAACAATCTGCCTCACGCGCCGTCTTTCGTCATAATATCCCTTTGAAGACCGGACGGCGATTCGCGAGCACTGCTCCCACTGGTGAGGCTGCCACCCAATCCTGGATCCAGCGCATGTGGAACAGCCCTGTCGGTTTCAAGACAGTTCACTTCTGGTAAGTCTACTACACAAATGCTGGCCTTTAGGTACATACATCACGACACAATCCGCTGAACACGTATAGGGCACCGGTAATGAAGTGGGCAATCGTAATAGCAGGCATCTCCGACTTCGCGCGCCCAGCTGAAAAGCTATCCCTGACCCAGAACGGTGCTCTGACTGCTACCGGCCTTATCTGGACTCGCTGGTGCTTTGTTATCACTCCCAAGAACCACCTTCTCGCCGCCGTCAACTTCTTCCTCGGCTGTGTCGGTCTTACTCAGCTCGGCCGAATCTTCTTGTATCGCCGCTCGCAAAAGAACCTCCCCGCTGCAGCAGAGGAGAAGGTTGCTGAGGTAAAGGAAGCTACCAAGCCATGAAGCAAGGCTGAATGAAAAAAATAAAAATAAAGAGAAGAGGTGTGATGTGACGTCAAGTTCCTAAGGGATTCGAATGGGATGCTATTGATACACAAGGCATAACGCTTACTCAATGTCAGTTGGCTGAGTTGGAGTCGATCGTTCCATTCAGCCATTACTGTCGACTACAGCTTGCCGAAACCTATACAAGCTGTTTTACCTTAAGGGTAGAGGGATATAGTTGGTTTCTCTTGTTGATCATGGTGGCATGGCGAATGTGGGGAGGAGAGGCTTCCTTGTACTTGTACTAGTTAGTACATTGTCGTTATTGCATGATGCATTGCTTGAATTCAACATAGAGATCGCCTGCAGCTTTCCTTTGACGAGTGGCTATGTGAAGGAGTCTTACGTCTTGAATATGAACTGTCTACCTAGGTAGTCATGTGCTTACAATAGCTAGCCACCACCATTCAACAACACACCACGCTAGCCAATAATTGTAAGAATAGGGCTCGATATAGCTTTACCGAGTCTAGATCAGGGTGAGCTCTCTTTAGCATCCGAAACACCAGACCTTTTATAGATTCTTTTCAAGGCAGCCGAAGTCTACGTCACGTTGTTGAGTCTGTCAATTATCGTCGGCTAATTGCAGGTTCATAGTTCGGGACCAGTAATAACGCAACAGCCCTCCTTCGATTGTCAGAATATCATCATTACACAAAGGGGTACACCCCCAAAAGCTCAAGAGTTAACTCTCATCTTTCTAGTAAGTTCTTCTGAGGTATATTAATAGGGGTATATGACCAAGAAGGTAAAGATATGTAACGGAAACACTACAATTTAAGGGGACTATACTATCAGTGGTTGACTACAAATATAAGTATCGCCCTACTCCAAAGCCACTTTCCACTCATCGGGAACTTAGGAGCCTGACTCTGCAGGTACATCCGCATTACCACACCGGCGCATCCTTCATATGCGTCACGAGGCGAAAACAAGAAGATCCGGAACTACATCGTTATTGAGCAAGGGGAATATCTAGCACCACTTCAAAGACTACGGAGGCTGCATATACAAGAGTCCCTCCTTGTTCTGGCTAGTGCTCCATATAAGTAGGTAGCCATCTTTGTCTTGGTCAATGCTGAGACTGCTGTACACAGCATCCTACCTTCCTCGTGGAGATATACGTGAGCGAGCGGACTAGTAAGGAGTTTATGGAGAAACACTTCTCTCCCTTTTTCCTTTCTCCCTTTCAAACATCGTATGCTTAAAGCATCCGATGCGCTTCCTATTCTCGCTAGGGTAGAAAACAGTAACTTGGCAGACTGAATTCACTCTTCCCCAACGTAGATGTTGGTTGGATACCATCTCTGCCAGGTTAGGCGTGAGTGATCCGTTTACTCACTCCCGAAGGTATACACTTGCGTTATGATTGCCCTGTTATAGCCTTGTCTTGAATAGGTACCGAAGGTGTCAGCCATCCACTCCGGTAGTTGTCTTCTCCATGGAGAGGATATATTCGTGCTGTCTAGTCTGTCAGGGAGATGTGGATTGACCACCGCCGGATCTAGCTTGCTGCTCTACTTGAGAGGCCATCATATGGAGGTTCATACTCTTCCACCATGGGCATCATATTGCAAACTTACTGAGAATGGGGCTCGGCAAATCATAACTTTCAAGCATTCGATTTGATTTGGTAGCTAGAATAGAAAAGGACGTCGGCTTGTCCGTAGCCCTGCGAGATTGTTACAGTCGAAAGGCCAAAGACGTAATTGGCTATTCTAGTCCCTTTAATAGAATGAGCTGGGGTGAATAGCTGCCTAAGGTTAATTGGATCTCGCAATATACTTCCTCAGTAAATACGTATTATAGCTTTCTACCCTACATCCCATTAGTTGACGTCACTTCTATTAGGCATCCCCTACGCAAAGCTTACCTACTTAGAGTCAAGTCTCTATCGAGTATTCTTAAGCGAGAAAGCTGGAGTTGCTTTGGTGCCATAGCACAACACTATGGTCCTTACAGATGTCGATCAACCACCAAACAGGTAAGCTATTGTATATGGATGCAGAGATGTTCAGGCTTCACCGAGGAGGCTATTCCTGTTCCCAGACGAATAACGGATCTAATTCCACATAACCCCAGACTGGAGTAGCGGGTGATATGGAGTATTAATATGGGGGCATTGAGAGACGTTCCCGAGTTAGTGGACAGGCTACACAGGTAGTTATGCCTAATGCGGGTAGAGTTCGTCTAAGATTAGTACACCGAGTAAAGATCGGCGGCATGTTGTTGCACCAGGCTTCTATTTAGTGATATAGGAAGTCAGGAAAAAAAAACCCCGAAAATTCAAGACAAGGCAAGGCTATTTTTGAGGATCTTGGTGCAGCGAACTAGTACTCGGAAATAATCATGCTGCCTGATTTGAAGGAAGCACCTTCTTGTTACACCTCTTCGAAGACACACTGACCAACTACCTAAGGCTGGTAACTTGTAATGACGATGGAAGATAGTGAAAGGGAATACAGTCGTATGCGACTGCCTACGACGTAGCTCACCGACGCCCATCAAAATCCTTCATGATCTATCTTGTCGGGATGAGAATACAAGTATAAAGAGAGGGCAGCTTTGCCGACTTTCTGGTTCCAACAACTTCCCAATCCGAAGCTACACTCTCAAGTCAACACCTCGAATCGAATCCAAGATTTACCCATTGCATTCGCACCATTCCGAATCTAACTCGCCACCATGAAGTTCTTCGCCGTTGTTTCCACGGTTTTAACCCTCTGCGGACTCGCAGCCGCATCGCCTGTCCCTGCTCCTGCAGACAGTGTCAACGAACACGCCCAAGTCCTCGCCACCCTCGAAGGACGTCAAGGCGCTTGTGGCGTCTGGACCGCTGCCACCAAACTTGATGGAAATGGCTCCCCGCGCCAGCGATATCTGCACAAGCAGCTCAGTGTAAGATACCTACTTCCAAAGATTCCCGCGTCGAAGATCCCGTGCTAACCCCCCACGATAGCAAGTCTTGACCTGCGACCCCGAAAACGGCTGCAGCGTTGGCGAGTCTCAGAGCACTTCGTACACCATCGGCTGGTCTATCTCCACGGGTACTGCAGTTACCCAGTGGATCACGGGCGGCTTCGATGTCAGCATGAGTTGGAGCACTGGTAACCAGTACACCTGCATGGGTGGTCCCGGGGACAGTATTTGCATCTGGCAGAAGATTGCGCACACGAACGTAAGCAGCGGCTGTTTCCATATCCTTCACGGGAGCCACATACTAACAGACGCTATAGTACAAGGTCAAGACGGGCTCGCTCAACCAATGCACTGGCTTCAGAGCCAGCGGCAGATCGGAGATTTCTTCCCCCAACAAGAACAACGCCGGTGGTGGCTTTTACTGTGTCGTTGGAACCTGCCGCAGCCAGGGCGAGCAGTACTGGGAGGGGTGAAAATCGATTCGAAAGGGATGGCTTCTTTGAAGGGGTTGAGGGATAGATCTGCCTCCAGGTATTACCTACAGCATGTTTTAGCTACGACATCGATGAACACAATCAGCCTTACTTAGTTATCGATTTAACAAAATAGTGGCTTTTTTTTTCTGTTTATTTCCGATTTTCTGACTACGCAATCAACCTTGTGGTCGAGGTCTTTGACCTTTCATCTCAAACTAGGACTCGGGAGTGCGACTGTAATAAGTCACGTGGGGACCCTGAGGCAGCACAACTCATGAATTAGCCTAGGAGTCAAATTAAGGGAAAATTGAATTGTTGGAATGTTAAGGGATTTGAACCGACTGAAATATGCCACACGGTATAGGTCTTCAGATACACTATGAGTTGACACTGTACACAGCCCTCTATCAGCCAATGCCACTGATGTTGTTCATGTGTCACGTGGCTAACATAGCTCCTCTTCATGACTCGGACTCGATAGATATCGTCGATGAAGGCGTTAAGCCAAGTCAACTTTAGTCAAGCATCTATACGCGGAACCATCGCCCTTTGATTGGTCGGGCATTTCCAGTTTCAGTAAAGTCTAGAAGCCCCTTCAGCCCCAAACGGGGTCCCAAAAGGGCCAAAGCAAGCTTAAAATGTACATCTTGGCCCACCTGGGTCCCCATCAAGAGCCTATCCGCGTATAGGACAGCGGCTGATTGGCTGGTACCTGAATACAATCGTTGGCGACTTGATGTCAGTTTATCACACCAAAGCTTAGCATGCGGGCCGTGATTCAGATCATTTTTCGGGGGCCAATTCTTTTTAACGATTTCCATTAGATTTGATGTTTGGAGATACGCGGATATCGATGTAGTGGAGGTAGGTGTTAGACGATGACCGAGTCAGAATAATTTTCTCACGCAGGAAAATGGACTGGTACTAGGTAGTTATATAGAGACTTCTTCGCTCAACATGTACAGGATGTTCGATATACAGCATCTCTTTCTTGTCTTTCTGGTTTCTTTTTGAATTGTATATTAAATTGGCAATACTTACGCCCGCAAAACCTACCAAATCCTGAGCGAGCGTGCCTACAAAAGTTGAATCCCATACACCAACACCTCCCAGTCACGATGGTCCAACTCGAGCCTTACAAGGGTGGCTACTACCTATGGAAATACCTCCCATCCATACCCGCCGCCATAATCTTCGCCATCATCTTCGCTGCTCTCACCGGAATCCATACTTATCGGCTCTTCAAAACGAAGTTATGGTTCTGCTTGCCGTTCATAATAGGGGGAATTAGTACGTAACCTTTTTAAGGGGCACCTTAGATGCAAAGACAAACACTAACACCCGCAAAGTGGAAGTAATAGGTTACTGTGCCCGAGCCGTAGCGTACTCCCATACCGGACAGCTTCCGGTTTACATCGTCCAGAACCTGATGATTCTCCTACCGCCACTCCTCTTCGCCGCGTCGATATACATGGTCCTTGGCCGCATCATCCGTGCCGTGCGCGGTGAATCATACTCGCTCATTCGCGTCGGCATCTTGACCAAGGTTTTTGTGGCGGGCGATGTGATTTCCTTCTGGGTGCAAGGTGGAGGCGCGGGCCTCATGGCCAAAGGAGACAGCGCGGCCATGGGGGAGAAGATTATAGTGGGGGGTCTGATCATCCAGCTCCTCATGTTCGGCCTCTTCATCGTCACCGCCGTCCTATTCCAGACTCGGTACCAAAGGGAAAAGGTCGACGCGATACTCTACGAAGCGGTGGGCTGGAAGGCGAGCATGTATATGCTCTACGGGGTGAGCATCCTCATTATGATCCGAAGCATCTTCAGGGTGATCGAGTTTGCCACGGGCCAGAATGGATACCTCCTCAGCAACGAGTGGACCCTCTACGTGTTCGATTCGGTTCTCATGGCGGCAGTTATGCTTATCTTCATTGTCTGGTACCCCAACAACCTGAGACCGAGTCACCAAAGCCTATTAAGTACGAACTCTGCGGGCACGGATATCCATCTTGCAGAACAAGGCCAGAACGAGTTCTCGGACGTGGCACTCGATGATAAGGGTCGGATTGTGTCTCGATAGGTCGGTCTGGGATGATAATCAGGATGAGAATGGCTATGTTCTCCTTTCATTTCTTTTTTGTTCATTACTTTCCCCTTTACATTTACAAACCCGAGATATGTACAGGTATAAACTTGGATGTAGGTGTTCAAGTATATAAATAGATACATACCTAAGATGGGACCCTAGCCTGGATAGCTGGCAGTGTAAGTTCAGTCTAGACCCGGCATCTACTCTCCATCATCAGATGATGTTAACTAGCAAATTCGGCTCAACCATCTACCCGGCTCGTAAAGTCTTCTGGAATCTCGTTCAGCTAGTTGATTTCGGCATATGGGGGACCTAGGTAGTAGGGGGACCATTGGAGGTGCATTAGTTGATCTAACGGATAAAGGTTACCGTCCGTACTATTTCATGCTTCAGTATCTAGTCTGGCGTGTGATTCGACAATACTTGGTAGTTTAAACCTTAATACCAGCCTTAAAAGAGGTCAAAGTAGCTATGTCACCACATGTCACTACTTTGTACAAAGAAAAGATTCGGATTAATTATAAATATTTCGTACTTTCCAAATATTTAGTTACATAAAACTTGATATCTTGGTTGCTACTGTCCTGAAGGGTCGCTCGGAGCGGGGCTTAGTCTCGTACCCTTGACTCCTTCCCGCATGGCACTGCAAGTTACGAATGGTATTATTGTATTGTATTGTACAATACATACTATGCAAATAATAAAATAATATGTAAATAATGCTCCGCCACACTTGACTATCTCCATTTCCATCTATCTCATCATAGTGCTGTGCACTTGCATACCTTTCTTACATACATGTAGTATTATTTAATATACTACCATCTGCAATCACCTACATGAAATATACACACTTGACATACACCAATACTTACACACAGCATCTCGCTCCCGTATATGAGGTCCACATGGAATATGATATAAAGACCCGCCGTGCCCATCGGAAATCCCGTGCTGGCTGTGCCGAATGCAAGCGAAGGCATATCAAGGTATGAGATAGACAACAACACCACCACTTCGGTAGTATCTTTCTGAAATGTGCCATACCAGTGCGATGAGGGCCGGCCATCCTGCGGGAACTGCTCAATCAGCGAGAGGCATTGCTCATATCTGTCATCGCAACCCAATCTTCCGGTCCCCTGCAGCAGCCCAGGGTCTTCTTCCTCCAGCCCGCAACCCCCTTTACTTCAATCAGAATCATCTTACCAGGCCTCCCCCAATAGCCCGGGCGATGACTCCCCGGTTATCCCGGACGCCAACATGACTCAGTTAGAACTCTTTTACCACGCTACCAACAGTGACTTCGACCTGCCCCCCATGTCGGACAACCCTAGCAACAATGTCTCCTTTGCCATGTTCGCTGACATCGCCATGTCCTGCCCCTACCTGATGAACGAGCTGCTCGCCTTCTCCGCTCTCCATCTCGCCCACATCAACCCCGCCAAGGCGCGTTTCTACCGGCACCAGGCCGTAGGCCTGCAGACCAACGCGCTAAGGATCTTCAACTGCGAAATGACCAAAGTCACCGAGGAAAACTGCATGGCCGTCATGATCTTCTCCTGGCTCATGACCATGCACACCCTCTCGGAGTGCAAGGAGTCCTCCGACACCCACAGCTTCCTGGACCAGTTCCTCCGCTACATGCACCTGCACTACCAGGTCAGCGCCGTCACACGAGAAGCATGGCCCCTGCTGCTGCAGTCGCAGATGGGCCACATGATCCTCGAGAACGCCAAGGTGGTCGAGCACACCGAGTCCGGCTCGCACACCGCGAATCTCAAGCGCTGCATCCGCGGCTCGGAGACGCTCGACGACGGCGAGAAGGCGACGTGCGAGCACGCGCTCGGCCGGATCCAGTGGTTCTTCAACCGCATCGACGGGAAGGTGCCGCAGGCCGACCTGCCGGCCCTCATGTTCCTGTCCCTCGTCTCCTGGCCCGTCACCATCAAGCGCGACTTCCACCGGCTGGTCGCCGAGAGCGCGCCCGAGGCGCTCATCGTCCTGTCGTACTACTGCATCCCGCTGCACATGTTCCGCGAACTCTGGATCATTGGGAACGCGGGACAGCTGTTGGTGCGGAATATTCGGCTGCATCTGGATGAGAGGTGGCAGGAGTGGCTGGATTGGCCGGAGGCGATGACGAGTGCGGGTACGTGATGCTGGGATTGGGGATATAGGATTAACAATTTAGTGGTGTTCAGGAATGGCCGGTCGGTTCGTGTATTTGTTTCTTTGTTAGCTGAGGCTGGCTTTGTGACGGTTAAGATCAAGTACTGGGTACTACTGTAGGTTAGGCATGCATGCATGTATGTAGGTTAGAAACCCCCCTTTTTGGTTCAAGGGGCGTTCTGGTTATCCTAGAGGGAAAATACCTACTCTGCTAGACCTAAATAAATATTATAATTCATTATAATCGATGATGGAACCTGCTGTGTATCATTGATTGGGCATTGATTTGCACATTGTTGTGTACCTAGTGGGCATGTTCATCACAAAATCTTCAAAGTGTTCATGTCCCAGTACCGACCGTTTCACAAGTAGACTGATCCATACTCCTTATCGCGATTTAAAAGAATTCAAGATATTAACTAGGTTAGGTGAATTCTATATGTGGGTTTATTATTTATTTTGTCAATCTATAGGAGTGTAACCCTTAACGCGAAATATCTAACCTTCTATCCTCTAAGGTACAATTCTAGATGGGCGTGATTCGCATAACAGGGGTATTCGCCGACACATGAAAAGAAAAATCTATGTGAAGTACATTACGAAGGTAAAAAAAAAAAAGACGCGTAGTCTGGCCGCAGCTCCCCGTATTGAGGAGTGCGTCTGCATCGGCGCATGACGGTAGTTGTTCAGGATTCGGGAAGGCTTCATAGCTTGAATTGTTTGGCGCATTCAATGCCTTCGGCGAATGTGCCCACTCGGGCATCGATAGCGTAACCCTCTGCTTCGAGCCTCTTGCATTCGTCGTAGAGGTTTGTCAGCGGAACGAGGAAGACCTCGATGAACTCATCCTCCTCTAGCTCCGGTTGGAGATTTTGGTTCTCGGGTAAGCTCATGTCAACGGTGACATGAACCATTCGTAGATTGGTGTTACAGAATCCCGGATCTAGCATTACACATTAATAAGAACTCTGAAAGGTGTTGCGAGTGTGAGTAAATGATTGTGCTTACCGTTAAACATCATGGGAGATGTCTCAACAGCCTTGGCTACATAGCCTGTCTCTTCCTTTAGCTCCCTAATGGCAGCTTCTTCGACCGTCTCACCCTCATCGATGAGACCTGCAGGAACCTCAATGGTGACCTTGTCGATAGGTGCACGATACTGCAGCAAATTCATGGGTAAGTGATGGTCAAGTTGAAGCTGCAAAGTGAATTTTTATACGAGGAGGATGAGAGGGGCATGTGGAAAATAGGGGAGTTGGCTGTTATATAATCCAAGCCAATGAACACACGGCGGCTAGAGGTGCCAATTACTGACCTGTTTCTGAAGAACGATCTCTGGGCCTGTAGGCTTCTCTAGAATGGCTACAATCCCCACGCCATCAATATCACTGGACTTGGGTCTTGTGGTGCGCTCAGCCGACTCCCAGGTACGCGTTTGACTCTTGGAATCAGTGTAAGTGAGCCTATAAGCCTTGTCAGTATAAGATCATAGGCTAGCATTTAATCACTGGCTGCATGTGCATACTTCACAAGTTTAGTCCATACAGCATTGCAGTTGGCCTACAGCAGATGGATGTTAGTATGTATAGTAGGTACCTAGGTATGTAGTAGGTACTAGATAGGAGACAGGGGCATGATGGCACTAACGAGGGATTCTGTAGATAGAACTTTGGCGTTTGAGAACGACATGTTTTGATGGTAGGTACAATTTCAATGAATGTTCTTATTTTCGGGATATTGGTATCGTTTATGTGAATGAATAAGTAAAATATAAAATATAAAATAAAAAATAAAAAATAAATTGAAACGGCCGAGGAATTGTGAATAAAAGTAAATTTGGAAAGTTTTGTGTGGATTCAATGCTTGATGCAGGTGCAGTTGAGTTAGGTACCTACTACCTAGGCACGTTGCTGGCAACAATCAATTGATGGGCATCACCGATACTTTGTCACCTGGCACCTACTAGCTCACAGCTGCTCACAGCTGCTCAGGGGTAAAAGGGGTTAAAAAAGCCAGGGGATATTGAGAAGTCGCAGTGAGCATACACTCACACCTACTAGATATTTTCTAGGTAGATATCTACTAGGTAGGCATACATTGAATTGCTGTAGCTACATAATTAGTTATTGGTTATGTTTAAACCGGGATTTTTGTTATGGATAGGACACTAATTCTCAATAAAGGGTTATACTTGAGGTAGAATCCAAAGGTTTCTACCTACACAGTCGAAAAGGTGAGCAGTAGGTACCTAGTAGCCAATGTAGTTGATAGATTCCGGTACACACATATATCACCTCACTGCCAGCCTCGTCGATGTGTCTTCCACTTTGTCGTTGCCAAGTGGCTTCCCTACATAGGTAGGTAGGTAGGCAGGTATTGATATTATTGCCTAGAACGACCTACTGGTTACAAACACCTTTGGTCTAGGCCTTGAGAATAGTAAGGGTTCTTATTTCTTACCACGTCTTCGCAAACCCTATTTCAGACTTGATTCATTGTATGACTGAAACTTCTCGGTAGCTCGGTATTTTGAACCGTTCTTTCATGTTTTACCATTCTATTGTTCCCCCCTAAAGGTAGTAGTTGAAAGGGGTTGGACACAAAGGCAATGTTTCACGGCTCAGACCCCAGACGTCTTGATTTGAATCCCTCAACTCCTACTTTATCCTGTAAAGTAGATCGGCAAAGGTCTAACTAATAACATAAGACTTTTGGCTTTTCAACGTTCGCGAGACGTATCATGGAGGCTGATTCGTCTAAGGTGTTAGATGAGGCCATCGCAGTAGAGGGATTTGCAATAAATAATGGCAACAATAGCAGTCTTGATGGCCCACCGCAAGGTATTTCAAAGTCCAGAAAGAGGACATTCGATGAGTACCTAGACTTTATCCTGGGCTTCGAAGATGTTGAAGACATGGCAAATAAGAGACAGCGTCTGGATGAAGGACCCCAGCTCATTAAATTTAAACAGCCATCGGTTGATTTCCAATACCTACAACCAGTAAAACCCGACGTGTCGTCACCTCACATCGATGACTACCAGAACATCTTTCAGGATACATCGCAGCAGGAGCCACAACAGGAAACTCCTCTCTGCTTGCCATTAGAAGACGACTACAATTTACTAGCCGATCACAATGGCATCGGAGACGGCAATTCTCCAGATCTTCCTCAAATCAGTAAACCCCAGGACAGCACCGCTGAACATAAGGAAGCCGAAGACCAGCCCCCTGAGCAGCAGAACAACAGCCCCGAAAACGAAGAGAAAATCCCAGAGGCCATGAAGTGCCAACTTTACAAGCATCAGCTCGAGGCTCTGCGGTGGATGAAGAAGGTGGAGCTGGACCCTGAAAAGAGAGGTGGCATCTTGGCTGATGAGATGGGCCTCGGGAAGACGCTTTCGGCCGTGGCTCTGATGCTTAGCGACAAGACTATTGGTGATAACAAGGTATGTACTTTTCTTTTTGCTCTGTCCCCTTATATACATGTTTATACCTATATAACAAGTCTGTTAGTTAGAATGTTTCTGCTAACCGTGGTAGACGAACCTTGTGATCGGCCCCGTGTCCATCCTAACGCAGTGGAAGCGCGAGATCGAGAAGAACGTGAAAGAGGAGCAGCAGATCAAAGTCCTCCTGTACAGCTCCAGCCCCAAGAACAACCACCAGGACTTCCTCCGCTACGACGTGGTGCTGGCGAGCTACGGGACGATCACGGCCGAGTACTCGCGGATGGCGAAGGCACAAGAGCAGGGCGCGATCCCGACGCCGGAGATGATGCAGCGGTTCCCGATGTTCCACGAGGACTGCGTTTTCCATCGCATCATCCTCGACGAGGCCCACCATGTCAAGAACCCGAAGAGCAAAGGGCTGAAGGCTGTGAATTGTCTGAAAGCGACGTATCGATGGTGTTTGACTGGCACGCCGATGCAGAATGGCGCGCAGGACTTGGCCTCCCTACTCAATTTCTTGAGGATTGATGTTTGGGGAGACATCCCCCATTTCCAACGAGTAAGTTCCCCCCCTTCTTCTTTTGTTCCTCCTTCCCTTTGTATCAAAGACAAACATCTCCAAACCCAGCTAACCGCCCCCCGCACCACAGACCTTCAAATCCCTCAGCCCCGGCGGCGCCAAGCTGTCCCCCCAGGCCCGGGACCTCAAGATGAAAAGATTGCAGCGGATCCTCTCCTCCCTAATGCTCCGGCGCACCAAGACCTCGAAGCGCGACGGGCGGCCCATCATCGAGCTAAAGGGCAAGGTCGAGCTCACGCACCACGCCGTCTTCGACGCCGAGGAGGAAGAGTACTACGAGGGCCTGGAGCGGCGGTCCCAGGATAAGATCGGGTCCATCTTTAATAAGACGCCAAGCCATAACAGTCGTGGTGGTAGGAACAGGAAGAGCAGAGCCGGTAGTAGTGGTGGTGAGGATGGCGACGAAAGAAAATCGTACGCCGAGGTTCTGGTGATACTACTCCGCCTCCGCCAGGCGTGCTGCCACCCGTTCCTGCGCATCACGAACCTGTACTCGTACGCGTACCGCGCGCGCGACGCGGGCGCGGAGCTAGCGTGGGCGCGGGATCTCGCGCCCGACGTCGTAAAGCGGATTAAGCAGGACGCCGCCGACGCCGCCGCCTTCGAGTGCTTTGAGTGCGGCGACGCGGTCGAGAACCTGTTCATTGTTTTTCCATGTGGCGAGTACCTCTGCGCGCCCTGTGTCGAGGACCTGGATGCCGACGGCAACGCCGTGCATCGGTGTAGTCGTTTCGGGGATGCAGACAGGGACATCGAGTTGGTTAGCTACGAGTCATTTAGGAAGGCGCATTGTAGCCCGAGGAAAGGGAAGAAGGCAGAGGGCTACGAAGCGGATGACTCGGAGTATTTTTCGTCTGATGATGAAGAAGGTGATGACGATGTCGATGAGTACGGCAACTTGAAGGATTTCGTGGTGGAGGATCAGATTCAAGATGGGAATTATGGCGACTACATGGATGAGGATGTCGATGTAGAGGACGACATGAAGCTTGGCAATGGCCAGCCACAGGTTGACGGGGAAGTCAGCGTGGAGCAGCAGCAGCAGCAGCAAAAACAGAGCAAGATCCGCACATCCGGCGCCGACTCGCGCCGCACCCTGCACATGCGCACGATCGCCAAGCTGCGCCAACAAGCCTCCGCCAACAAGAACGCGCGCGAGCGGTACATGTCGTACCTCTGGGAGCACTGGATCCCGTCGGCCAAGGTAAGCAAGTGCTGCTCACTGCTGCGCGACATAATCTGGGACACGCCCTCGGACAAGGCGATCGTGTTCTCGCAGTGGACGGTGCTGCTCGACATCCTCGAGGTCGCCATCATGCGCACGCTCAAGGTCCGGGTGCTGCGGTACGACGGGACGATGACCAGGGCGCAGCGCGACCGCGCGGTCGAGGACCTGCGCGCGGACCCGAAGGCGCGCGTGATATTGATCTCGCTGCAGGCGGGCAACGCGGGGCTCAACCTCACGGCGGCCAACCAGGTCATCATCATGGACCCCTTCTGGAACCCGTACATCGAGAACCAGGCGATCGGGCGGACGTACCGGCTGGGGCAGACGAAAGAGGTGGTGGTGCATCGCATTGTGGTGCCGGGCACGGTCGAGGATCGGATCATGGATATCAAGGAGGCGAAGCGGGGCGTCGTAGACTCGGCTATGGACGAGGAGGCAGCGGCGCTGGCGCTGGCAGCGGGGGTTGGGGGGCTGGATGTGGATGAGAATGACCTTTTTACGAGCGGCAATGGATATAGAGGCAGAGCCGGAAAGGGAAATGCTCGCACCAATAAAGAGGCTCTGCGTTATGCCATTATCGGCGAGGGCGGCGGCGGAAAGGGAGGTGCGCGGGATCGTGCTGCGGCGAAGAGGAAGGAGAAAGCGAAGGCAAAGGGCCGAGGCCGACGACAGCAAGTATCGTCAGGTAAAGTGTAATGAATAGTAGGAGAAGGAGGTGAGGCATGCGTCTACCTAGGCTGGCTGACTTGTCTCACGACAGATTCTTATCCCCTTACCTACCCAATTTTTGTTTTTTAGATTCCCCCGCTTGAGGTAAGATATATGCCTGGAGTTTAGTCGATATGAAGATGTATAGACCTAGAGACAGGCAGGAGAAAGGAGGCAGCGATATGGATGAAAGGGAAAAAGTAATGCAAGGAAAAGTTCGATTTTCTTGTATTGAGAGGCGCTTTAGGTAGGAGGGAGGGAATTTTGCGTGCTCAGCGGCTACCTATCCTGATACCCAGTTACCTACCGGTAACCATCCGCCTACTTTTTTCGATCATAGATACCCTCGGTAGCGTTCTGGGTTTATTATGTGTTTGCTAGGTACCTAGGTAAGTAGGTAGGTATCTAGTAATTCTTTCTTTATACCTGTTGCCTGGATAATGTTATTTCGTGAAGATTATGTGACGTATTGCGCGGAGACTGGATTTTATGTGTCCTTTACTAACCCCTATACCTATGACTGGGCAACTTCAATAGCACCTACCTAACCTAACCTATTGGAAATACACACTTAGCTACTATGCAAAGACCGATATCATCTAAAGCTTGTATTAATATCTACCACGATCGTCGGGGTGTAGGGATAACTACCTAGCATGAACCTATTTCAGCAGCGCCAGAGGGGGGTACATCAATTAAAAGGAGTTGGCCCTTAGTCTGTATTGCTTTACAAAGCTAGTCGGTTAGAGCTATTACTCTTTCTTTATTAAACTCTTTCTTTATTAATGAACCAACAACCTTCCTTTGAATACCACCTTTGTCTTAACGTTAGTACTAGGTAAAGATGAAGACTTGAGGGATCTTCCTTCGTAAACCAGAACATCCACCATAGGTGCCATATCGTGCTCAAAACCAGGCGGACTGAGAATATATATCCCTACCTAGGTAAGTGCCTAGGAGGTAGGCATGTACGTATCTTAGCCAACCCTCACTTCATGACTGACTGACTCATCCACGGATACGACTCATTTCAACAAGCCCACCTAAAATCTGCCTAGTTTTATTTCCTCGCCTCAATCAGGTGGTGGTACAAGCTACCATAGCTCTTCATTTCCTCTTCCTTTTCCGCCACGATATCGTGGATCCGGCACACCACGTAAATTCCGGTCGATGAACCTCTAGCTCTGCCCTCGCAATATCATACGCAGTACCTGCTTAATATTCCTGCCGGTCTTATCGTCCTGATCAGCCCTCCACGCCCATCGGTGGACACGTACGTTTCCATCAATGCGCCGCTGTGAGTATGAACAGAGCCTGAGTACCATCTGCTGATCTACCTCGTCTGGCGTTATCTCAATGTATGCCTCTCTGCCGTCGCGGTCTGTGATCCCGAACCCTCGGACAGTGTCTGCACAGTCGATGTCATCTCTGCCCATCTGCTGCGCTGCCTCGTCTGCTAGCTTCTGGGCGACCGCGTGAACTGTAGCTTGTTTAATATAGTAAGTGGCCTCACTAACATTGGGGTAAGGGTCTCGCCCAGGGTCAGATGGAGGATATGATATCTCCAGGGGATTGAATGGAGTTTGTCCCCCCACTTGTTCGGTGGCGGGCTTATTGGCGTTTCCATCTCCGCTGTTGTTGTTTGGGTTGTTAGGATTAGCCGCGGCACTAGCATTGTATGCAGAGAAAGGCGTGAGAGAGATGCCGAAGAGCACGCCAATAAATGGGACGATCGCAATACGTCCTCGTATGAAGATTCGTGCTTCAGGCGTAATATTTAGTTCGTACATGGACTCGAGACGGCCAACGAGATGATTAATGAAGTTAAGTTCCATTTTAGGATTGCGACGAGTGGACAGCTGCTGGAGTATTGGGACAAGAGGTTGATAGGTTGATTTACAAGAAGCTGTTGAGATGCCAGCACGTCGCAATGTCAATACTAGGTCCTCCAAGAAATCGGTCATGATTTTACAGTCTCTGTAGTACCCCGTGTTTGCGACCACCGCGCGAATGATAGCATATGGTTGTTGCAAAGTTCCGCGGTTGGGTGGAAGCTGTGTCAATGTGGTACGCCTGTGGTAATTTTGCCTATGTCCTTGGAATAATAGGAACTGCATGTAGACGTAGTAAGTAGTACAACAAAGTTGAACTACGGATATGTTCTCCTTTGCATTGTCAGGCTCGGCCAAGTCTTCGAGGGTGAAGACAATGTCTGTTTCCGAGTCTTGCTTCCACGTGATGCTAGATGCATCTGAATAGACATCCGAAGAAAGGAGAGTGCGAGCTTCTCGGTTGATTTCGTACCATAGCTCCTGGTGGTACGCCGTGTTTCTGGCCTCCAGTACCCGATCCTGTAAAGGGGCATCGTCGGGTATCCGTCCCGGCAAAGGCGACTGGTCTACGATCACTCCGTTTTTCTTACGAGTAATGCGAATTCTCTGTGAGCCCCCACCAACACGGCCAAGGTCTAGACGAATAGACCCATCATCATTCCGTCTTAGGGGGGCTATACTGCTATTCCTGAATTCAGGGGCAGCCTCAGCAAACCCAAACCGAACACCAAGGGTATGTGGCTCGTGGGGGAGGGCGCAGATATTCCACCCACTCTCGCTGACAGCCAAGACATCCGCCCAATATTTTGTTTCTCGATGGATTTCGTTCTCTAACTTTTCCGCAGCTAATACCACAGAATCGACCATATTGTTAATACCCATGAGTCTCCATCCCGTCGCGACAGTGATATCATCTTGCCTTCGCGCTTCGGTGATGTTTGAATCCTTTAGTTTGGTAGCGCCTAGCGTACCGATGCCAGCTATTTCTCGAAGGGTCGGTGATAAGGTCGATTCGGCTACGGTGGGCTTTTCCTTGCTAATCAGGAGGGAAACCATGTCAAGGACTAGAAGAGAGGATTGGTGGGCGGAACTATATGGATGGTATTAATATAATTCATTGCGGCAGGGAACTCGGGAAATCCTACTCAATATTCCTGAGGAATTCCTCTCGCGCGACCATCGCATCCTTGGGCTTATCCACAGTGGCTTCTTCGTCTTCTGGGTCCGAGTCCGAGGGCTCATCAACTTCCATACGGCCATTCTCTTGAGCAGCAATTTGCTCGCGCAATTTAGCCTCAGACAGATTCCGAAATCCTCCTGGTCGGGCGTTGACTCGTGCAATGAACTCGGCCAGAGTCTTCGGTTTCTTGTCGCCTACGGGCCAAGGTCGTAGAGAGAAGGACGACGACATGTTGACCCTTGCGCAAGGTGGCTTTTACCTGATAATGATTTGTGTACTAGGTCGGGTGTCGGAACATAACTCGGAGCAGGGAGATGTAGAGAAATCTTGTTCGTGTTTTCGCGTCTCGTGGTATTAGAAGAAGTTGAGTTTGCTATCATCAATGATTGAGGTACCTAGTAGGTAGTAGTAGGTAGTAGTAGGTACAAGGTAGTTACTGGAGCCTTCAAAGGTTTGTGGCTGCTGTGGTAACTTTAAAGTTAACCTTGGAATAGTTAACTACATAGAACATTAAACTCTCGGCCAATCAAAACCACTAATTTATTTAGTGATCGTCCCGCCCCGCGCACCATGATGGTACGTGCGTATACGGTATACCTGCAGCAGCTGGCAACTTCAATGTTGAACATCAGGACTCCCTGCAACAGATCATTGATTCATCAATTATACAACATTGACTTCACTTCAATGTTACTTACATATGTACATCTTCAATTTATCTTCATCTCCCATCCAAACATCCAACAATCCACGTACCGTATCCTCATATTACAATTAGAACTTCAGTCTTCTGAACAAGATGTCAATATGATCGAGAAAATTCCCCGAGTGAGCCCGAGTGAGCACCGACCCGGTGGAGAGATAATTGTCTACAGCACGATACTTACTGTAAGGTGGGGGATACTACTTAACTAACATAACACTCACCATCATACGCATGTTTGCGAGATGCCGTATTTCGGCATGTTCAGGGCTCGGTAGATGCTATTCGGAGTGAGAACCACATGGACTCACACGCTCGGAGGCTCTGCCGCATGGTTAAAGTTGTTCCAGTGCACCCTTATAAGACATGAACTACAAAAAAAGCTTACGGGTTTGTTAAGGGCAGAGTTTGTTTCAAGCTCGAATTATCTACGGAATCATTGGAGACTGTATGATGTGATGTCGGCCTCCATCATACCATTCATGATTGCATTGCCAGAATTCTAACGTGATGATTTGCTTGCGCTACTGACGGATCAGGTTGTCGAAGATCGCCAGCGAAAGTGCTGCAACAACGGCATGCGACGAGACGCAACCGATCCTATTACATAGAACTTGTGAAGCTTGATACACCAGCAAGCCACATTGGAGATGGATTGCAATTGCTACATCGTTATATCCATGCTCCCCCCCCCCCCCTCCAGCTGGGAATTCACAACCGAGGGAATTTTGTCTGTGCTGGATATATCGACATGTAATTGCCTATCAGCATGATCAATGAGTATTTTTCCAACTTCAAAACTGCCAATGCTGCCAATGCATAGAACGGATCCTACTGCTAAGGGTCTACGTCAGGCTAATTCGACTACCGCATGCTCGAGGTCATAAATATATGGATCCTTCCCGTAGGTAATGCCCACCTATCATTTCTTACCTTTCCAAAACACGGTGGTTTGATGTAGGTTAGATGATTCGGCCAAAGTTAGCAAAGGGCCGACTCTGAAAATCCGTACTTGCTAACGAGAATTATATGTTGAAGCTCTCAACATCAAGCACCCAGTCTTACCACACTACAAAAGTCCATAGACGATTGGGTAGGTCAGAAAGGCCTCAACAAGACCAAAATAACTCAGAGGGAATAGCCTCACCATTCAGCTACGATGTATTATATATTACACAAGTACCTTAGTACCTAGGAAGGTTACCTATGTACCTAGTAGTAGGGAATGCTGGTGAGAAACGGACTACGGAGTAGTGAGGGGTTTATTGGTACTAGGTACACCTTATATACCTGCATTATGCATGTAGTACTGGGCATCAGCTATAGGATATCATTTAGCTCCCCGCACCGATAAATGATAAGAGCTTCGTTTGTACTAAAATTTGTCGTGGGGTTCAATGTTTTTTTCCTGTAGAATGACATATGTACCTACCCTACCCACCACTAGTAGATATATGAGGTAAGGCAGGTGAATCCGTTGTTTTCCTTCATCCATCACATCACTTTTTTTGTACTACAACATTACGGACTTGATACCTTGTAAAGACCTCTCCCATCGAAAGGAAAGCACGACTTGAAGTTACATATAGGTACACCCCGATAACTTTTCGTCCAGCTTGGTTTCCCTCTTTCCCTGTGGGCTGATTCAAAGCTCGAAAAAGAACGCACTACGCCGTCTTGCTTCATTAATTCAACTCTCTCTCTCTCTCCCACCTTTATTTTCTCCTTTCTTTCACCCTATCCCGATCTCTATCCTTATTTTTATTCTTATTCCTATTTTTCTACCTTGTGTGAATAATCGTCTCCTGCTCTTCCATCTATAGAATTCCTTTTTAGCACCACTTGACTCGACAAGTATACGTCAACATGGCTGCTGCACCAAAGAAAAAGATCGCTGTCATGACCTCGGGTGGGGATGCCCCAGGCATGAACGCTGTTGTCCGGGCCGTCGTGCGCATGTCCATTCATCTAGGCTGCGATCCTTACTGTGTCTACGAAGGCTATGAAGGTCTAGTTCAAGGCAACAAGTTTATCCGGAAGATGGAATGGAACGACGTGCGAGGCTACCTTTCCGAAGGTGGTACTCTGATCGGAACTGCAAGGTGTATGGCCTTCTACGAACGTCCCGGACGCTTGACTGCCGCCAAGAACCTAATCCTCAATGGCATCGATGCCCTCATCATCTGTGGCGGTGATGGCTCTCTTACAGGTGCTGACAGATTCCGGGCCGAATGGCCTTCTCTACTCGAAGAGCTTGTGGCCACCGGCCAATTAGAGGAAAAGCAGATTGAGTCTTATAAATTCCTCAACATTGTTGGCCTTGTTGGCTCCATCGACAACGACCTTTCTGGCACCGACGCCACGATCGGCGCATATTCCGCTCTGGCCCGTGTCTGTGAGATGGTGGATTATATCGAGGCTACAGCCTCTTCACACTCCCGAGCCTTTGTAATAGAAGTCATGGGAAGACATTGCGGCTGGCTTGCCCTAATGGCAGGCGTAGCCACCGGTGCCGATTTTATCTTCATCCCAGAGAAACCTAGGGAGGATAACTGGAAAGAAGAGATGCGACAGGTCATCCAAAAGGTTTGTAATCTCTCATAGTGTACTGTTCTATAGGGTTAACCCAAACTAATGTCCGTTCAGCATCGAGATTGGGGTAAGCGCAAAACCATCGTCATTATCGCCGAAGGTGCTTTAGATAGGCATGGCACCAAAATTTCCCCTGAAATGGTAAAGGATCTTTTAGCCGACAAGAACGGCCTTGCCCTCGACACTCGCATCACAACCCTCGGTCATGTCCAGCGTGGAGGTACCGCTGTGGCATATGACAGAATGCTTGCCACCCTACAAGGAGTGGAAGCAGTCAAGGCAGTCCTGGAGGCAACGCCGGAGACCGAAACTTGCGTCATCGCTATAACCGAGAACAAGATCGTTCGAAAGCCCCTTATGGCAGCTGTGATAGAGACTAAAAAGGTGGCTACGGCCATCGAGGCGCAAGAGTTTGATAAAGCTATGTCTCTTCGCGATGCCGAATTCTCTGACCAATATAAATCTTATATGATGACGACCACTATGGGACTCGACCAAGACATACACTTGGAAGACTCCAAGGTACGTGCGATGTAGCCACTTTTTTTACTCATACGAATACTAATATTTCATTTATAGAGAATGAAGATTGGCTTTATCAACGTTGGAGCACCCGCAGGCGGTATGAATGCTGCGATTCGTGCGGGCGTAGCTTATTGCCGATCGCGTGGACACGAGCCCCTAGCGATTCACAACGGTTTTGCCGGTTTTGCGCGACACCACAGTGACGAACCACTGGGTGCTGTCAGGCCCTTTGACTGGTTAGAGGTCGACGGGTGGGCAAGCAAGGGAGGCTCGGAGATAGGAACGAACCGCGAACTCCCAGAGGAATCCGGCATGGAGTTGATTGCCAAACTCATCGAGAAGTACGAATTTGACGCCTTATTCCTAATCGGTGGCTTCGAGGCCTTTCATGCTGTCTCGCAGCTACGTAACGCTAGAGCTAAATACTCTTCTCTATGCATTCCTATGGCTCTATTGCCGGCAACCATTTCGAACAACGTCCCTGGAACGGAGTATTCTCTGGGCTCCGATACTTGCTTAAACGAACTGGTTGGCTACTGCGACAAAATCAAGCAGTCTGCATCAGCTACTCGACGCCGGGTATTCGTGATTGAGACCCAGGGTGGCCGTTGCGGATACGTTGCAGTTCTGGGAGGGTTAGGCATCGGTGCTAGCGCTGTCTACATCCCAGAGGAGGGTATCAGCTTAGATATGCTGAATGCTGACGTCAAGCATCTAAAGGACGTCTTCGACAAAGATAAGGGTCAATCTCGCGCGGGAAGACTGATCCTCGTCAACGAGAAATCGAGCAAGGTTTTCTCCGCCAAGCTCATTGCCGATATTATTCGTGAAGAAGCTCATGATAGATTTGAATCGCGAGACAGTATCCCGGGCCACGTTCAACAAGGTGGTGTCCCCTCCGCCATAGACAGGTGCCGTGCCGTCCGACTAGCCATCAAATGCATACAGCACCTCGAACAATATGGTCCCAACCCGCAAAAGAATCCGGGTAAGATTATCAAGGACCCTTTGAGTGCAACTACCATTGGCATCAAAGGCGCCGACGTGGTCTTCTCTCCTATGGAGCAGCTCGAAGAGGAGGAGACGGATTGGAAAAACCGGCGACCGACAGCGGCTCAGTGGTTAGACAACAAGGAGGTAGTTGACATCCTCGGCGGGCGTCCACGATACCCATTGCCGGAGAGAGGATTACATGGACTCAAGGCTAAGGACGCAAAACGAGGGCTATTTTAGCGATAAAGCAAAAGGATATGTAGGCACAGGGCGGGCAGCGGGCTGCAGGGTGGGTTAGAAAGAATATGGGCACAGAATCGGACAGGTAGATAGATTGGAACGGTTATGCGCGCATGATTATGATTCAACATGTATTGGAGTTTTATAAGGTTCGTGATCTAGGTGTATGCATCTACCAATACCTACTTTCTAAAGATCCAGGTCAATCAATTCATTTCATCTTAAATGTGTAGTCTAGGGGGCTATCCCGAGACATACAAGCTTGCAAGTGTCACTGATGCAAGGGATCGTGGTTATATATAGTTGTATCGAGATACATAGGTGTTTCCCCAGCCTCTTGACGAATATAGATTCTGATTGGCTAAACAGCTTCATTGTCATCCCAATGTAGGCATATTTCTAGAACTGCCCCTTGTACATAGGATTGGACAGTAAGAACGAATACTTGGCACGTGAACGGGCTTGTGTGAAAGAGGGGAAGGGAAGGGAAGGATAGGATAGGATCGTATGCTCCGTGTACCTAGATATCCCATCACCTACCTAACTACCTGGTTATAAGTACCTAGGTAGGGTAGGTGCTAGGTAGGGATGCCCATAGCAGGGAAGCTTATTGGTCTTTGGATCCTATGTAGCGGCGGTGGTGTAAGGCACAGACTTTTCTTATACCCACCAGGCATATTTTCGTCCATTCAATGCCTTTGCTTGAAGTTCTTCAACTGGGTATGTATGTAAAAGCCACAATGCGCTTCAGATTAAGCCTAGCAGTGAGATGGATATAATTACTTATGAGGGACGATATGTATGTAAAATGACTATGCGCCTTGGGCTGTCTTGTGAAACTTCGGATGTCGTCTGATGAAGGCCCCCTTCTTACATGAGAGCATGAATAGGGCTGAACAACTGAGCTTATACGTGTTACATACGGTCCCGAACGAATAAAAAAAAGACAATAAGTGAGAACGATGAGCGGGAATAACCTCAACCGAGTTTAATCCAAAAAGCACCGGGGCGGGAGGGAGCATAAAAGCCGGATTACTGTGGCTGTAGGTACATATGCAGACTACCTAACATACATAATTCAGGGTGCATGGCGGTGACATAGGATTCTTGGGATGGATGCTCAGGAAGCTAATCTGGTACTAACTAGTTACCTGTAGTTTGATGTCACATCGTGCACCCTTTTCGCTCTAATCGATCTTCGGTCAGGGTTAGTTAGCGTCGCCTCTCTTTTTTAGGGCAGGGCAGGTTTTTTTTTTATAAAAAAACTTGATTCGAAGTCTTTAATTCGCTCTTGGATGGGATGGTGTCATATTAATAGAGAAAGTGAGTAGAAAGATCACGATTTTGTGTGTGTTGAAATCTTGAAAATATAAAATACACAGGACTATTTTTACTGTCAAAGTCAAAAGGGGTAGGTTAGAGCTTGGAGCTGAACAACCAGTGACTCTTGTGAGACTTCGAGTTTCGCCACAAGATGCATGTACGGGCTTCAAGTTGTTTTTGATCAAGCCACAAACCCCTTGAATAGGAAGTTGACCCATGGGCTCGGAAAAGCCGAGTGAATCTGCTTGTGATTCTGACGCCAGCATGTGCCCGCTAACGTGCTCGCTAACCCACTTTGTTTTTTAATAAATTTCTGGGTTAGGTCAAGTTACTTATTAGATACCTAGGGTAAGTAGTAACTAGGTTAGGTGATTCTATTCTTAGATCTGAACCTTCAAATCTTTGTTTTTGATTCGATAATTCTAAGAGGGAAACCTCTAATTATCATTTCCACGATACTACCTAACAATGCAGAACATGATGACTTTATTTAATAGTCAAAACTAAAAGGATACCTATCTAACCTTGAAGTATCTGATCAGCTGTTATCCTGCCGAAGCTACTGCATTACCAGCTTACAAAATCAAGAAACTACACTAACTAAGTAAATAGCTACGCTTCTTACCTTCAAGTGCTGACTCTCTGAGTACATACATGATGCTCGGTCTACTAAGTAGGTATACAGAATCTTGATATTACATAGTAGTACTACATATGTAACTTGACAAGGCCATTGATGTCTTTGAGATGGATTTCCCCACTGTTACAGTTGTACTAAGCTTCTCAATTCCTATGGAATGCTACCTTCACATACAGAGTACAACGTTGGAGTACGGCACAGATGATTTTCAAAACGAAACATTCGAAAGAGGCAAGTAGCTCCGATAAATATATCTTGAGCTACATCAGCCATTGATGATGGCTTGCCACTGAATGGAGCACTCATAATTCCAGATCATTCAACGGACTAGACAGTTCTAAATCTATCTGGGTACAATAACTATTCTAACCCTATAACCAATGCCTCACCAGCTACGACCCCACCGGTCTAATAGATCATTCAGCTGCCGGAGGGAACCCCTGAATAAGCACTTGATAAAGCCTCCTGGTGATGAGATCGGCATTGGGGACATACATATCCAGATTCCAGCCAACCTAGGTACCTTACCTAGATCCATACACACATAGCTAAACCAGATAGTTTGGTTGAGTTAACCGATCTAGGATATGCAATCGTGTAGCTATGCCGAGCCACTATCCGCAGGCTGTTATAACTTATACGTATTACTAATAGTGCACATTTACCAAACGTGCCTCTATTTACGTATGTATACCCATATGATATGATTGTTTTCAAACTGAACCCAGTCTACACTGGCCGTTAAACCTTGTGTCCGTATCAATCGTGAGACTGTTATGAAGTAATCCTCAAAATCCTTCCCGTATGTACAACGTATAACTGCAACCCCCGGGCCCGAGGGATCAAGGCTAAGTATGTACATAGATGGCACATCACATCAACCATCATAATTTCCCCATCGAGACCAGTCCCTAATCACTCGATTGGGACATATGTATGTGTGTATCTCACCCATGCAGCTTTACCGTTTACTCATTGGTTTACTATATGACAGTTACTTAATAAAGACTCTCATCCATCCCTCCTCTACATGAGTACATTTTAGTCTTTTTTTTTCAACTCTCCATAATATATTCATACGACCCCTCCCGTCCTTTCATATCCTGCCTCACTCTGCTCTCCATTCTCGAGCAAGGCATGATGATGTATGCTATCAACTCACGATAGCCCCTAACTTTCCTCTCAAAAGTCACGAGTAGCCTGCGCGCTCTATCACACCTAACGACGATGGCGATGAAGTGGACGTCGCTATTTCATATTTCGATATGGTTACTCGCCGGGCAGGTATCCTGCGGAGCGATAGGAGCGTGGTGGAATGATCGAGGGCCCAATTTCATAATACAGAACGACGATACGGGTGGCATACAGTACAGTTTTTGCAATGGAAACTACACGCCCATCTTCCCGGATGACAGCACGCTCACGATATCTTTCACACAATATCAGCCCAAGAATCAGACGAGCTTATCCGCAACTGGGTGGATGGACGGGGAAACTACATGGGTGAGTAAGAATTTAAAAGGGGAGGGGGAGAGGAAAATTATATTGATTTTTTCTCTTTCTCGTGACGGGCGAAGTGGGGTCAGATATCGGTGTGAGATCTTTGTTGCTGACGCCAGCCGGACACAGGCCTCGATTTTCTATCTAGACAACAGCGACGAAATCGTCAATGCGGTGCTGAGATGCGACTGGAACACGGGGCACTGGCAAAACACGGGCGAGTACATCATCTCGATCGGCTCGCCCAAGGTCGGGCCCAGGACGGGGATCGCGGCCGTGCTGCTGGGGTCCGCCAAGGGGTACCGCATCTTCTACAATGACATCGTGGGGAATCTGCAGGAGATCGGGTACACGGCGGCGACGACGTGGAAGTACTACGGCATCGTCTCGCATGACGTGGTCTCGGCGCAGGCGGTTGGGGCTACGTTCTCGGGCGAGACGAATATCACGGTTGTGAGGCCGAGGGATGAGGGGAACATGGGCGTGTCAAGGTGGTATACTGATAATACTTGGCATATCTGTGAGTTTTCCTACCGGAATGCATACATGCATACATGCATATCACCTCATCTCATCTCACCTTACTTTACCTTATCTACTCATAACGCTGACCACCCCCCATAGCCACATTCCCCGAACCTCTAACCTGGGCCACCAACGCGACCAACGCAACCGAAGCCTCCGACCTAACCCTCAACACCTCCTCGCAAACCTTCGAGCTCCCCGCCTGGGTCGGCAACGCCTCCTCCCTCGCCGTCGGCGTCGACCGCGCCTACACGCGGAGCATCTACTACATCGGCGCCGACCGCAACGTCTACCACGTCGGCAACCAGAACTACACGTGGAAGGCGTTCGACCGGCCCTCTCCAACCGCCTTTTCTTCCTCTGGTGGTGGTGGCAGTGACGCCGCCGCCTGGCCCCTCGCAGACACCCCCGGCGGCGCCCTCGGCCTCGCCTCCTCCGCGTCCGCCAACATCACGCGCCTGTACTACGTCTCCGGCGGCCGCGTCGTCGAAGCCGTCGGCGACAGCGGCGTCTGGCGCGCGCCCGCGTTCCTGGAGACCGTCAACGCGACGCAGGCTCTGCTTGACGCGAACGGGAACCCCGGGGGCGAGCTGCCGGCGAAGAACAGCAGCGGGGGGATGAGCGACGGGGCGAAGGTGGGGGTTAGTGTTGGTGTGTCGCTGGGGGTGGTGGCGGTGGGGGGCTCGGTGTTCGTGCTGTGGTTGTTGAGGAGGAGGCAGAGGAGGGTGGATGAGGATGAGGCTGCTGCGGCTGCGGCTGCGAAGGCGAAGGCGCAGACGCAGACGCCGCCGGATGAGGGGTATGCTGCTGGTGCGCAGCAGCCGGGGTACTACTATTCCCCGGAGCAGCAGCAATTTCAATTTCAGCAGCAGCAGCAGCAGTCGGAGTTACACGCCAACAGCGCGTACTCGCCCTCGCAGCAAGGCGGCTGGGCGTACACGGCGCCGCTCACGGCGACGGATAGCGAGGGCCGGGTGCATCAGTTGCCGCAGGGGTATTACTACTATAACGAGAACAATAACAATCACGATAACGGCAGCAGTAGTCAGGCGAGTCCGCAGTCACAGCAGTGGCAATGGCAGCAGCAGAGGCCGCCGGCTGAGATGATGGGGGAGGGGCATTATAAGGAGGCGCCGTGATATCTGTATTTGTAGAAAAGAAAAGGGGGGGATTGGGCTGGGGCGTTTTGGGGGAAGAGGTCTTGGGGGGTCTTTTTGTTTGTTTGCATGAGATACCTACCTTGCTGGGCTGGAGGTAGTCAGTGAAGGAATGCCGACGTTGTTGTATATAATAATATCTACCTAGGTAGGGTTGTGTAGATATCTGTACCTGGTCTATAAGCACAAAATATGTAACAATGAAGTATTGAGGTTTCGTGGTATTGTGCTGTTGTGATTTACATAGTACCTACATAGGTGTAGATTGATGGATTCCTCGGACGATCTAATTGCTTTGCCTGCTAACCTACCTACCCCTTACCTAGCCTAGGTACCTAAGGTAGGTGGTGAATGTGTCATCGATGTTGATAACTATTCGGATGTATCCACCATCAGCTACAAATTGCACCTAAGTAGCAGAAAAAACCAAGGGTCTCCCATGCTCTGTTAGGTAGGTAGGCATCTGCTGAAGCCCTACATATCCTGTGCCAGCCCAAGGCTCCCTACCCAAGCGCGCTGTTAGGTTAGCCATAGCCTAATATGATTGATTAATCGCTAGTTTAGGTACCTACATAGGTTAGGAGCTTTGAAGATGTTTTTCAACCTGAGTAGGGCGTATAGGTGCAATCTAATAAACCCGAGGTGGGACGGTGAGGTACCGATGTCTTAGATTCAAGTACGACGGTTCCGAGGCACGGGGCCGGGAGGTGTTTTTTTGTCAATGTATCTCAGCCTAATCAGTGATACTGGACGGGTAGTTAAATATGTAGGGGATAGGGTGTACATGGATTGCAGTACTTAGTTTCACTGCATAGAGGCGCATTGTTGTATGGTGCTGAGATGTTGGGCAAGTGAAGGCCTTGGCAATGGTGTCTGACTTGGAGTGGCATTTGAGAATCGGTATTTCCAATCGTTGTGTTTTGATCATGGTGACCAAACTCCGAGCTGTCTTCTACATCTAGGTAAAGGTGGAGGAGTAAAAAAACGCAACATTGGAATGTTCCAAATGTTTTTTTTTTTTCATCAGAAAAACATCAGTCAGTCACTTCGTGATGCTGGAAAATCATAAAAGTCAATCTGAAAAATGATAATTTTAATTAAAAAAAATAAACAAATGGCAAAAGCTAGATTCCGGATTCGAATCCTCAGCATTTGACCTGAACAAGTGGTTATACACGTCCTGTGTCCTGCCGCCCTGCGTTGGATTCGAACCCTCGACCTTTCGAAAAGCCTTGAAAGGCTTTTCTATCTCTTCACGCCTACTACCGCTGCGCCAGGGGACCATTTTCCCAACTCAGGGCCGTAGATTGGAGGTACTGGTTCATTTACAACTGGGCTATATAAGTTTTACCTCAGGACATTGAAAGGTACCAAGGTACTTTAGGTACTTTAGCAGCGACGACGTGGGGCGTGATGCCTGAGGCGAGAAGCAAAGAAGCTTGGGCCACCCACTACACTTGAGCTTGCCAGCTCTCAGCGGAGGTACCTAGGTACTCATCCTGTGGTAACTTTCAGCACCTCCAGTATAAACACACACAAAGTAGGCGACTTAGCTTACAACAGAATGGAATCCTCTTCGATCAACACGATAGGGGATGCTGATTTATGTACAACGGCTCGAACATAACGACTCGAAAGATCGAATATCAAAACGGCCGCCGGCACGGTCCGTCAACCTTGAACCGTCGACCGGACTAGCCGAACCCGGGGGCCCTGAGCGTCATTGGCTACCCGATAATATTCTACATCGGTTAGGAGGAACAGCTATATGAAATCTCCCATCCTATAAGATCGTAGGCCAAAGCAGGGTCTCCGGTCAATTCAGGGGTATATACTCGACGGGTTCAGACTCTTCAGAGTTCGTTCGTTGAGAAATACGTATACGCCATATATATCCATACCTACCTACATAACAGCTCATCCCGGTTATAGCAGGCAGCAGTTCATCCGTCTAGGTTGGCTTTAATGCCCAATAACAAGATGACGAGAAACGGATCTCGTAATGGCAAGTTCCTGATAATATGGGGAAAGCTGTACGGTTTTGGGTCAGTAGTGTAGATGCCCAATGATAGAGGCTAGTCAAAGGCTTGGGAAACGCATGTTGGAAAAAGAGTATTCGACTTAAAACAGGGTCCTCAAGCAATTGTCAAGTTATAATGCCGTGATTTTCATCAGGGGCTCTTTTTTTTTATATATATCTTTTCTCTTTTAGGGGGAGGGAAGAAAAAGAAGAAAAAGAAGAAGAAAAAAGAAAAAAAAAATTGACAAACCGGATATCTTGATATTACCTAACCGCATTTGAACTCAGCGAAGTCGGTTACAAAGTTACGTGATTGATTTATCCATGCATCTGAAAGACATCACGAGGTGGCTCGAGCTTCGTATTCAAAAGAAGAACATGAAGACAACGAGAACATGACATGCACCATGAAGGCAAGGGCTTCCTTACATGTACGAAAATGAATAGTACTATGTACCTCAACACCCATGTAAAAAAAAAACTGGCAAAGCGGCAAGGACTGGGGCCTTTTACTATGTAGGATTAGCAACTGCATCGTTGCGTCATTACGTCAGTGTTTCCTCCCCACTGGTTTCGACCCCACCATCTCCCACCATCTCCCACCATCTCTTCCTCTTTCTTTAGGCCTCTCTGCGCCTATCCGTTACAGTTAACCAACATTGCCAACCACTCATCGCCTACCCCTCGACACCCCCCGTCAAGCTTGGCAACTAGCTATTATGCAGTCGATGCATCTGATGTAGCGAGTTGTTGTTCTATATTCTATAATGATGATGCCATTCGATTCCATTTCGATGTTGACAGAATTAAACAGAAAGAAGTTAATGAAAAAAAGATACAAACGAAACGAGAAAAAAAAACTTATGGCGGTAAATCCGCTGAAGAAAAGGGCTCGGCAGTTTCTGACGCATATCGGAAGTATCGTGAGCAGAAAGTCGACAAGTGGGCATGTGGCATGCTCAGTCTACCATACATTCTGCCTATCGCATGGTTCATTGGTTCTACGGGCACTACTTACATATTATGTACACATATGTACAATATTACCAAACTGGCCTGGATGTGCGCTGTGCCCGCTGTGTCCGCTGCCTACAACATTTGGCTGCCCAACTGCATCATGGCTGTCTGTCTCACATACAAGGAGGTACAGATGGCCTACAGAATAGTACAGATGGCCCTGTCGTCTCACGAGGGCACCCGTCATGCTCAGCCTGCAGCAGCCTGCTGAGTGAGTGAGTAAGTAAGCGACTAGCTTCTCGATGAAGTTTCAGTATACCATGAATCCCCTGATAGCCTTTATCCTTGCTCTGGCTGTTGCTAGTCGCTTATGAGGAATGAGGGACCCGTTTCGGCTTCCACGAGATAGCCAAAGCCACAATTTCCATGCACCATTTTATCAACATTCATCTAACCTTACACGCATACATATGATACATCCAATGGATATGATATATGTATGGTATGCTTGCTACCTACCTACATGCTAATCTACCTAGGCTACTACATACATGATACTGTCTTGTACAGGCTTTGATTCCCTTTCGTTGCCTTCCTTGCTCATCTGATTCCGTGGCATTCTTTCTTCCCTCTCTCTCGTCACAGTATCCCGCGAAGCCCCCGGCATCCCCCCTCGCAGGTAGTATCGCCGGGTCGAGATCCTACTGTAGCTTAGCTTAACATCTCTTAGCCTGCCTTGATTCCCACCCACCGCTTCAAGCCAACCCCCCTGCTATTCTTCGTATGCTTTATTAGTCTCGGCCCTCCCAACTGCTGCCGTTGCTGTGGTATGACGACGTTTGCTTTTTCCAAGCTTCTCTCAAGTTCATAATTGCACTTTAAACCCCCAACGAGATCTGGCACTTTTTCATCTTGTGAAAATCTGGCAGTTTGTATAACATTATATAACATTAACTTGTTTTTTATTTTATTATTTTATCCTTCTTTGCCCCCAAATACGACGAAGTCTTATTAGTCTGCTATCAGCAGCATAACACCCCCCGGGCTTCCAAATCGTGTGACCCTCCATAAACTTGTCATCCTCCTGACACCTTCAGCTTTAATAATACCTACCATCTTAAAGCATAGTCCCATAGTTGTTGGTACTTCTTTTTTCTGAAGCCGTCACTTAACCATCAAATTCTCTCAGTTAGGAAGTATCGCTTCGAGAGTATTCCAGGTCAACAAGCCCCAACCAACAACGCTACCTACCTACATACATACATACCTAGTACTAAGCGAGGATCCTTACCCCATCAGTCCATCAGCCCATTTGCTATTGAGGTTCCTCTACCCCGCTACAGCCGCAAGAGTGACGCACTTGAGCGGTGAATCTTTCACCATTCCAATTGATCGCCTCCTCTTTTTACCCCTCAGGCAATTATTTGAGTGCGAAAAGGGTCAGAATAAGCCTTTAATTTCGAGGAGATGGCATACAGAAGTAGTCGGAGCGACCTGGGCGAGAGGGATTACCCTCCTGGTCCCCCACGGAGGGGCCCGCCTCGGGAAATGGATGACTTTGATGTCTATGAGCGACGAGAGCAAAGCCGCCCACCACCACGCAGAGCACCCGTCAGGGAGTATGAAGATGTAGACATTCAAATCCGTCAACAAGAACGAGAGCGAAATGATCGCACTCCCGCCTTTCTCAGAGAGGATAATAGGAGGCCTCCAGAGGCCGGAGCTATGGTTCTGCGCCAACGTGAAGTTGAGACTGTCGACCGTCGACGTCGAAGCCCCAGTCCTATTCGGTATAGGGAGCGCGTTGTCGAACGTGAACGTGAGCGGGAACCTTCGATGCCCCCGGAGAGGCGGCCGAGGTTCATTGAAAGATCACCTTCTCCACCCCCAACAGCCGTGAGAGTCGAATCTCGCACAATTGAGAGACGACGAGAACGATCGCCTACCCCAGATCGAGAGCGAGATTTCATTCATCTGCGTATTGAACGCGAGAAGGAGAAGGAGAAGGCTCCCTCCCCAAGCCCATCACCTCCGCCACCTCCGGCGGTCATCCGAGGACCTACCATTGAGCGTGAAGTCATCACACACTATCGTGATATTGACCACGGTGAGTAACCATGCCATCTTAGGATGATTCTAGCCAAGACAGTCTAACGTTTGCATAGGTCTCGTGCGCTTAAAGCCACCAACCCCACCGCCGCCACCGCGTACCGCACCCCCTCAGGTCAGAGAGCGGGATTTAGATATCGATATCGATATTCGCCGCAACGAGACTGATATTGATGTTCGCGAACGAACACGGTCTCGGTCTCGGCCCCGTGAGCGTCCTCGTCCTCGTCCACAATCGTACTACGAGGAGGATGATTTGATTATCGAGCGCGACCGCGACATAGTCCGCGTTGACGGCCGACGCAGAGCGCAGTCCGCTGCACCCCCAAGAGCCGATTATGAGGACGAAGCTGAGTACATCACGAGCAAGATCGACTCACGTGGCCGCATGGGCGAGGCTTACCATGGTGCCACCCGCGACTGGACCATCGTTGACGTACCACCTGGTACCGAGCGCGTGAAGATGGACGGCGTGGGAGGTGGTAGCGCTGAAGTTAACTGGTCCCGATACAGCGGCGTCCGACGTTCCAAGTTTGTACCCGAGCGTGAGGAGACGCCCGTCAGCGTCGTCAGCGAACCCATCCGAGGAAGAGAGCCCTCTAGAGATCGCGAACGTCTCAGCATACAGGTGTATGACTCGCGAGACAAGTCGCGCGACCGCGAAGTTGAAGTCGACGAGATCCAAGATCGCCGCATCACAATCCGCAATGACGACAGGGCGCCCCCGCGAAAGCGCAACGAGATGTGGACCGAGATCACTAAGGATCTCGTAAGCCGCGAGGCCATTGATCGCCTTGGTTACGAGTACGAGGAGACGGAATGGTTCTTCTACGTGATGCAGTACCTGCGTTATGTAAGTCTCACTTTTATACTCCGACTCACCTTTGCACCGCTTCTGTGATACTAAGGCACAGCATACGAAAATTGAAACAAGCATTGCTAACACATGTAAATAGGAGGACGTCCTCGAACTCGTCAATCTATCAGACAACATCCGCCAGGCGCGCAGACGCAGAGCGCACGAAATCGAAATAGAGCGCGACTGGGACCGTCGGCACCGTCATCGCAGATCCCTCAACCTCAACTGGGATAAACTTGACGACGAACGTATTGTCGAGCGTGAGGTCGTGTATGATCGCCCACACCGCGGATATGTTCGTTAAATGCACCTACTACGTATGCTCTAAAGGATTCAATGGATGTCGGCGTTTTTCTTGCGAAATTACTTTTACCAACCTACCTACTTAGATTGCTTGTGGGGATGAGATCGTAGGAGATCGCTACGATGTCTGTGAGGAAAAGGGGAAGGGAGGGGATAGAGAGCATTGGAATTCACACCACTGTCACTGCCACTACCATTTACAATCGGACTCCTCAGCTTCATGTTGAGGGGGGTAGTTGGTTAGTTGGCCTCATTACTCATCACCTACCCATCTCCCACCCGATCTTCATGAGGGGTAATAAGCGAACGAGGTCATGAGCAGTATAAAGTGTGTGGATGTGTGTGGATGTGTGTAGCGAGATATTATATTCTACCCATTTTTGTTTTACATTTTTTTCATTTTCTTATATAACACAAACAAACATCTACCTACCTGGTAATTTTTATCTTTTATTTGGGGTTTATTTGTTATCCATCTGTTTAGGTATCTTTTTTATGTCTTTGGTTCACCTACATGGTTAGGTTTAGGTATCTAGCCATGCCTAGGTACTTACATATAGCTAGGTTCTTAACGAAATGATGTCACGCTGCCATGAAGATAAATACAAATCAAGTCAACTCAAGCCATTGCTTTGCTCGAGTTATTTCAATACTCATTCATGGGTGAAGGGAGGAGGATAATAATTTATTTATTTATCTACTTGTTTTGTTTGATTTGACCTTTTGATGATTTTTTTCGTTTGCTCCTTATTTGCGCATGTGTGTACCTACCAAGGCAGTGGAAGCATTCAATTTCGGCGTGGGAAGTGGGCTTGGAGATCTAATGGAAGTGCATCTATTCTAGACTGCTGATGGAGATGGAGCCCTCCTTGACCTAGACATCGATATCCCGAAATACCCTCCCTATGCTCGACTAGGATGTCCTAACTGACGGTCTCCGCGATTACCGGGTTTAGTGCCTTCCCGTACTCATCTCATCTCATTATATCACGATGAATAGGTGAGTCTACTGATCTTGTTTGGCCTTCCATACAACGTTGAGGATATACTAGGTTAGACGACTAAAAAAGATGTCTACTAGGGTACTTGATGATTAAAAACTCAAGTCTGAGATGCTGTATCATATCTGGATTAAAAGTGTTGTCGTTGAAAGGGGGGTCTAGTCGGCACTACCATATCAGGTAGGTTAAGATTACGAGATCGCGATTCAATCAAGCATGACCTGCTCACATCGGAAACGTCTACCCATATAGGTGTTCTGTTAATAGAAGCGATCAATGATTCTTATTCATTCCTGCGTAATGTGCAGTCGAGTTGGACGCCGATAACAGAAGCGAGCCCTTCGCAAATCCATACACCACCTAACGCCTTCCAATGCACCATCTCCTGCCGTTGCTTACTCGTCATCCAACGGACAAAAAGACCGATCCCGTAGAAAAACTCCTCAAGGCACAGCGGGGGGAAAAGAAGGCTCAAGCGTGGCGCTCACGGGCCGCCTCGAATTGCTTTCGTTGCAGCTCCTCCAGCTCTTCCAGAGTCATACCGCTCTCCTCGAACTTGTTACCTCGCTTCTCGCGAACCTAATCAAATTAGTATACACATCAAGACATTACACAAGGTCCTGTGAACATACCTTCTGTGTCTCTTTGTGCTGTGCAGCAGCCTCGAGAACTGCGGGAACATAGTCGCCGAATCCCAAGGTTTCTAGGGCTTGGGTAATGTGATCGCAAGCAATAGTTTTCTTTGCCTCCTTCTCCGAAATCTCGTTGGCCTCAGACGAGACTAAGGTGATGAACTCGACACAGCACTCTATGAGCAGGTCACGAGCCTCCTTAGAGAAAGAGAGACCAGTGGCCGGAGGAAGGATCTCGCTAACGATTTTCTGGACCGTCGCTGTATTCTGTTAGTTTATTGTACATATATGTGACGGAGTGCCAATGAAGGCTGAGGCTTAGCTTTAGGCTACATACCTTTAGGAAGCGATAGGTCATCGTTGCCTAAGTAGCAAGTAGTTAGCAAACCTGAGTCTTGTATGCGAATAGAAAAAGAGAATTGTTTATTGCAGCTGTAAGTTAGTACCATTATTGTCAAAGGCATCCCAGTATTTATCAGAACTTTTCTTTCTGGGACTGCGACCCATCTTCGAAGGTGAAAAAAGTCCGAGAGTGCCTAATCGGATTTGATTTTGGCGTGGGTGTGGGTGTGGGTGTAGATGTGGAAATGCTGGTAATGGTGCTCTTTATATATCCTTATGGTAGAAGAAAGAAAGAAAAGCAGTGTGGTTGTGATTGTGGCTAACCCAACATTGACTCCATGACCGTATGCCTGAGGAAGCAACGAAGGCCCAGATTGTGACTAACACTGCATGGATATCCAAGTTGAGATGGAAGGCACCAACCACTGCCTTGACCCATAGTGAATGGTTGAAATCGATCCCTTCCATGTTGTAATCATACAGCTCTTATACGCGGACGACGAGTTCTCATCCCATCTCAAATATATATATGAGGGTGAGGAAAAAACGATCAGATGAAAGAAGGAAAACGTGACTTACCACCATATTCATGGTCAGACATAGTGAAGGAAATGTAGCAAATATGTTACAGCGAAAATATCCAAAAAATGGTTGGTAGTAAGACGTATGTTATTAGATTATTTGATACGATAGGAGACTTTCGGTTTTAAACAACAGGAGTAAGAGGTAATATGCAAAACTGAGTTGATGGAATAGTGAAGGTAAAGCGAGAAAGAAGAGACAACAGCTTCCTTTCAATTGAAATCGCCAGCCTTAAACAATCGGCATAACCTTAGTACTGTGGCTGGTGCATCGTGTGTCCATAAACTTGGAAGCTAGGAGCTAGTCATGTGGCGTGGTTCCACTTTTATGTTTAACCTTAAATAAGATGCATTTCTTTTAATTTTTTTTCTTGTTCCACGCCTTTGCCATCTTCAAATATTTTTCAACCTCAAAAAATTCTGCAATCTTGACCTTACAATAAGTCTTGGATTATCGCCATTTGGGTCGCCTTTGAATTTGCTTCCACTACAACTTGCTGTACTTGCTGGGAAGCCTCAACTAGCCATGGCATCAATATTCTTTTACACTCTACTCTAGGTTCGTATGCTTTCTCCCTTGTCTCTCTACCCCTACTATGATGAACACGTTGTCGCCCCAGTCTTACTATGCCAATTGGCAATATGGTGATCGACACGTCAAGCCAAACACACGACATATCTGAGTTCTTACAACATCATGATTCCTTCAGCATCTAATGTTTATGCTCACCCTGCTAACCATGGGGTTTTAGACAATTCCTAGTTTTTTACGAAAGGTACCTCTTCATATTCCAAACCGCTTTCCATTGTCCCTATCAGCATGATGTCGAATAAAATTAGTACTATCAAATACCGACCCTACGTGACGGATCCAATACTTACCTGATCGATTTTCCCTTAATTATACAGTAATGTTCTCTCTATGCTGGACTTGTGAGACTAACATGTCTACTACTAGGCAGGATGGGGAACCTGTAATTTCATGCATGAAGTGGTCTTGAGCTTTCGTGGATTATAATATTATCATATCTCTGTAAGGTAAGACAAGCCACCCTTTCCCCCCAAATCTGCTCATGATGATTCTTACGCAGCTGAATCATATGTTGAAAAAACAAGTCTTTTCATCTTTCGACTGAAGCAAAATCTTCATCGCTATGTTATGCGTAAATATATGCGTGTTCTTGACTAACTTGGTGCATAGTCTTTACGCTCTGAAGTACTAATCAGCTCAGGCCTCTTGAAAACTGGCGAGTTCAGTTGCGTTCCAACTACACGATATTAGTATTCTGAGCTACAGAGCAAAGCTTGTTCAACGTACCGGAAATATTTGCCGTTCAAGTCGCTAGTCGCACCGTCGACCAGCTTAGCTATGACATTACCTGGCGTTTTCGGGTCCAGTAGTAGGCCATTCTTATGTTCATCCACAAAACTTTCGTAGACCTTTGGCGACATGCTAGATTTACCATCATCTCTAATTGCTTTCTGCATATCGGTGTCAAGCTTACCAGGCGAAATTGCGACACTGGTAATAGACGGCTCCTCAACAGCTATGTGAGCACAGAAGTGGGTGACAGCGGCCTTGGAGGTGCCGTAAGATCCCCATCCTGCGTATGCGCCGAACGCTGCACCAGATGAGACAATGACAATTCTGCCCTTTGATTTTCGAAGCTCGGGAATGGCTTCTTTGACCTATGATTTGGATCAGCTTGATCTTCAGAAGCTCTTGACTTGACATTAGTCGAATAGACTTACAAGTGCCACAGCACTAAAGACATTGATGTCGTAGGCACGTCTCCATTCCTCGGCATCCGCCTCGAATATCCTAGTGATAGGGGCTAGGACACCGTGGTTTATGACAATGCCATCGATTTTGTGAAAAGCCTTCAAAGCTGATTGTATAACAGCTGGCGCAACCTACACTCATCATGAGCTCTTGATTATATATACCGATGATAAGGACTGCTGGTTCTATTCGAATTGACTAACCTTCAAGTCTGCTAGATCTGCAGTCATGAAATCAACTGATGATGGATGCTGTGTTTTCAATGCTTGCAGGTCCTTCTCGGTTCTGGCAACCAGAAATACTTTGTGTGAGGCTTGAACCAAGGACTGTGCTATAGCGAGGCCGAGACCTCGGCTAGCGCCCGTAACGATGAATACTTTTGACATGGAAAATTTGGTATAAGTTGTAGGTTTGACAAGATGAAAATTTGCGAATTCAAGGCTTATGGGCCTACTATGTACTTACATGCGCATGGTATTTATAGATCGGATGTCATGTATATTCCGGACCTTATCGGAGCTTGAAAAGGCCATTGGCGGGGCCAAGGGAGGGGTAGATGACTGATGACATCCTACAAGAAGCTATAGGTACCTGTAGCTTACCTACCTACCTACCTAAGGTCCTAAGCTTACCTACATAGCAGGTACCTACAGGTAGGCTATGAGGGTACATAGTAGTTTACCTAATAACATCCAAAAAGGGGGTAAATACAAACACACTTACACCTATGTACACTCTCAACATTAAACCATGACAACCACAACCGTAATCCTGGGCGCCGGCATCATCGGCACCTCCACAGCCTACTACCTCTCCAAGCACCAGCCCCCCTCCAGCATCCACCTCGTCGAGCCCTCCCCCTCCCTCTTCGCCTCCGCCTCCGGATATGCGGGCGGGTTCCTCGCCAAAGACTGGTTCTCGCCCGCCGCGGCTAGCTTAGGCGCGCTGAGCTTCGAGGAGCACCGGAAGATGGCGGAAAAGGAGGGAGGGAGGAGGGGGTGGGGGTATGCTGGGAGCACGTGTTTTAGCCTTGGGAAAGGAGAGGGGGGAGGGGAAGGGGGGAGGGTGGATGTGTGGTGTCGGGATGGCGCGAGCCGGGCTGAGGCTGCGGGTGCTGGGGGTGAGGGGGGTGGGAAGTTGACGGGGGTGGTGCCGTCGTGGGTTAAGAGGGTTGAGGGCAATGCGGTGGAGGTTATTAGCGAGGAGGGGAGTGTTGCGCAAGTGTGAGTATACATACCTACATACTGGGATACCTACCTGCCTATCTTCCTAAGGGTAGACACTCTGCCTGGGTACGTAGGAGTTAGGTATCTATCTATGCCCAGCCTCCATGTCAAATTACCAAAAAAAGGAAAAGAAAAAAAAGAAAAGGAGCTAATAACGGCGTTTCCGGCATAAAGAGACCCCCTCCAGCTCTCCCACTTCCTGCTGCAAAAATGCCTCGACGCCGGCGTCCGCCTGCACCACCCCGCGCAAGCCATCTCCGTGCAAGCAGACGCGCGCAACAACGAAGTGTCGAGCGTGACCATCGCCAACGCCACATCTGGCTCGGAGACAGACATCCCGTGCGCCAACATCGTGATCGCGGCCGGCGCGTGGTCGCCGAGGGTTTTCGAGGCGCTGTTTCCCGGCTCCGGGGTTAGGCTGCCGGTCGGGTGTATTGCGGGGTGGTCGGTTGTTGTGAGGAGCCCGCGCTGGACGGAGAAGCGCGGGGAAGAGGGAGGGTGCCACGCGGTCTTCACGACGACGACGCAGCCGGGGTACTCGCCCGAGCTGTTCTCGCGAGTGGGCGGGGAGATATACGTCGCGGGGCTGAACTCGACGACGGAGCCGCTGCCGGACTTGCCTACTGATGCGAAACCTCGGATTGATAGGGGTGCGGTGGAGAAGCTGTGCGGGACGGTTAGGGAGGTGTTGGGCGTAGGGGAGGATGATGTGGAGGTAGTAAGGGAAGGCCTGTGCTTCCGCCCCGCGACCGATCGGGGCACGCCCATTCTGTGCCGTATCCCGGATGGGTTGCTCGGGTCGGGCGTGGCGACGAGGCCGGCGCCGGAAGGGGGTGTATACCTCGCGACGGGACACGGGCCGTGGGGGATCAGTATGAGTTTGGGCACGGGGAAGGTTATGGCGGAGATGATTCAGGGGAGGGCGTTGAGCGCGGATGTTTCGGGGCTAGGGTTGGATGTTTGATTGTCTAACCTAGGTGATAGATAGGTGCCTAGAGCTACTAGGGACGTGAGGTTAGGTATGTATAATATACGTTTACCCTTCTGCAGAAGTGCGTAGATGCCGTGGTTCAACCGATCTATACAGCATACTCCATTACAAGTTCCCTCTCGAGGGGTCACAGAGGTAAGATCAATGCTTAAAATCAACACAGCATTTGTCCTTCAAAATAGCCAAGTATACCTAGTAGGGTACATTAGTATATCGTGAGCATCTCTGCACATCCTCCCTCACAATGCAGACCTACATTTAGGCAGGCATGCTAACTTAGCAGTCAACCAACCTCCTAGGTTAGCCTACTAGCCTACCTCACAGTAAACGTGAACATCTCGTGGCTCTCCACGCAGCGTTTGGAACATTAGCAGAAACAGGTACTATAGGTGCCAAGTGCCTTACCTGCCTGTACCAGGTCCGCTCCCGCTCCCGCTCCCGCTCCTCTCCCTTTCGTCCCCTATCGTCATTAGCATACCATAGAAGAGCATATCTAGGTACGTAGTCCTGTCTTGTCTTGCCTAGTCTTGGCTCGTCGGAAGACTATCACACGCGGGTCGATCGCGATTAGAAGATTAACACAGAGATAGGTAGGATAAAGAACCACCTATGTAGGTACCAGAAAACCTCCTAATGGTAAAATATTGTTTCAAAACCATTTGAGCCCCGAGTACTCACCTAGGTAAGTAGGTATGAGACCTCCACGTCACAGCCACGGGATCGTGATGGTGGGGGATGGAAAAGGGGGGTGGTTGGGTTGGCTGGTGGACGATAATTGACGAGGTCCCTGAATGTCACGATCAAAATGTTGATCGGCTCATCTGATTTTCTTTTAAAAGAAAACTGATCAGCAAGTGGAAATTGAAGCGTTTATCTGTGCCTCCTTATGTCTAGCTACCTAGGCGTATGACAGTGGTTGATGAACTTGTATCCCTTCCACCTCTCTTACTCTCCCTACGATAATGATGGTGATAATGGGAAATCTCGATCACGATGATAGGTGGTGGAAGTATTGTTTCTATTAGATGGCTACATAGGTAGGTAGATCATGGAGGAACATCATGTCGGTAGATAGACAGATAGGTAAAGCAACCTTGAACACATGAAGAAAGTGGCGTTGCGTCCGAGTATGATTATGATGGCTGTGGCGTCTACGCCCACGTTCGCGATCACGATCCCGATTCTCTTTCTCTGATTCAGTGCCTACTTACCTACTCACCCCCTTCTTCTTCCCACATCTTATCTCAGACCTCCTCTCCTTGCCTTATATCTATCTAATGGGCAAGTAATCATATAATTGAGAACCTATGAACCCCCCCCCCCCCCCCCCCCCCCTTGATCTGAAACCACTCACCACACCGAGTATCTATCCCAAGACCTCGGAGCCTACCTACCTAACTACCCCAGTAACTAACGATTGAACTCATGAATTGGGTAGCCTCTGCGTCACGCGAGATGCCTGCCTAACCTACCTAGGTACTGTAAGTATCAGTCAAGAAAAGCGTCTAGTTAATCCATGTCTCACATCTTCTGCGAGCTCTTTCTCTCTGACACCTTTCACTACTTACCTTACTATTATGCCCCCACCTTACACTACAGCCTGGGTACCAGACACTTAACTTGTGCGTCTCCGGGGACTTACCTAACCTAAGTTACTATAGCGCACATGTGTCTAACACATACCTACCTACCTACCTACCTACATACATACTACTCACCTAACGCAGAGGCCGAGTCTCTACTTACCAGTTACGCCCGAGATGTCTTTGATAATGTTCCCGGTCATCGATAGTATTGTACCTTTTTCACGCAACCTCAGTAGATAGCAGATATGTAGCTTCGTAAGGACTTACCAAACGTGCAAGTCTCACCTATTCTTTCCATCTCCCACCTTTTTTTTTTTACCTTCCCCTCTCCTAATCCTATGAGTACCTACCTATGTATCTTGTCATTGTCTTATATCCCATCTCGCGCTATCTACCTAACTATCCACCTTATGTAAGTATCTTCCCAACCTAGGTACTTACTTACTTACCTACTTAACTTTTCCCCATCACACCGCAACGCCAAGACCAAGTAAGTATACGTGTGTATATGTATGTACGCACTTAAAAGGTCTCGCCCTCGTGACTGAGACACGAGCTACCTAGGTAATATCCGCATCTACCTACGTTGTAGCACAGTCATAGCACCGTAGGCAGGCAGGCAGGCATATACCCAGCACCCAGCTACTTACCTACTTATGCATGTATATGTATGTGTCAACGACAGAACCACAACATACCCCCGTGACACGCAAGAAAAAAAAAAGGAACAAAAAAGAAAACAGCTACTGTATCACAATAGGTAACAACAACAATCAGCCGCCACCGTTACGCCTAATTTTCGTTATGGCTTGAGTTAACTACCTGCCAAGCTAGCTGTGTAAGCTGTAGCTGTAGCTTGTCGTGGGCGCTAACCTTAGTCCTTTTGATCAGCATGTCAGCAGTAAAGCTAGTTCCAGCCAAGAACATTGAAGATGGTCACAAGATATGAGAATACGAGCCTGGAAATGAAAAAAGCATTTCGTAGCGAGATTCACGGACGAAGCTGAAGCTTTTATCTGATGAAAGTTTTCTTTTGATATCTGATTTGAAAAAGATGCTTTCTAATGGTACAAAATTGAAAAAGGAAAAACGCCATGTGGTATCAATTCCATTCCCAGGATCCTTCTCCCAATACTCATACCCTAGTATACAATCCTGAGTATTACCAAATGCCCGGGGTGTATGTGTTGTACAAGAAAATATAGGTGAATCGGGGGTGTGAAGATACCTAGGCAATGCTCAAGGTGATATTACCGAGCTATCCGCCCACTCCTCAAGCTTCCCCCCAAAGTCATAATCCGTGTATCCCGTAAACGTCGTAAAGTGTAATGAAAAACTGCTAAGTACTTGTGCGTAGTACTAAATAAATATTCTTGTATATTAAAACATGTTCGAATGTAATGATAATATAGATTTGATGAAGATGTGTGATGTGTGAAGATGTGTGAAGATGAGCCTATTCGGGTAGCTCAAAATGCTGTTCCTGATCTCCCTCGTCGTTAGAACCAAGATGGAATACTATGCCTCTTCGCTTCCAATCTCCACGTTTGAGCATGTTATCATGGTCATTCATCCAACCCGTAGGTCGTCTACGGTGGGTACCTGGAGACGTGGGTGACTGAGGAGGAGAGGAGGTGACCGAGGAATCCAGCTCGGCTAAACCTGACGAGATTGTCTGCCAATCTTTCAGAGGCCACTGTGTATTTCGATCGTCATCGTTCGGTTTGTCACTAGGCCTCATGAAAAAACAGTTATGGCCCTTGATGGGTGAGTAGGCGGCCTCGTCTTGCATATGGTCCACGGCGTGTCGTGTCTGGTTAAAGAACCGACTCTCCCGCTCGTCCTGCTCCCGAACCTGTTCATCTTCCTGCTCGGAGATGATGTGTGGCGAAAAGTTGAGCCGTAAAGGGGGGTGCAATGATAGCGGATCGTATAGTTTATCCGGTGAAGTCGTTGTCGAAGTGTGAGATGCAGTACTCGAGCTACTGGAAGTGCTCCACTGTCGAGCGTGTGAACTGGTGTGTCCCTCCCCAGTGTTGTTGTCCCGGCCTCGAAGGCTGCTTTTCGACTTGATGTGAAAGAGTGATGATCGGTGTAGGCCTCTCATGTTTACCGAAATAGGGGTTATATTTGAAGTGTTGAAAGTAAGGCTACTCTGCCTTTCAGAATTGAGGAGGACGATGCGAGTGAAAGAAAGAAAAGAGTGAGGTAATATTGTGTATAGTAGCGAGTAGTGGTGCAGCAGCAAGGCTTAGCTACAAGTGTGGTATGGCAAAGCCGAATAGCTTATAAAGCTGGTAGTTGGATGAGTATCACGAAGGTCAGAGAATATCTGTAAAAGAAAAAAAAAAAACGAGTTTCTGACTCTGGCGATGGGATGGTTGACTCTTTTATTGAAATGTTGCGAGTTCCAGACTCAATGCAGACTGTCCCTGAAGATCTTCCGGTAAAGAAAAAGAGGAGTACCTGGTGCCTTGCAGCTAGCTTGACTCTTGTTCACAATTGGATATGGAACAGTTGCAACGCTTGAGGACGCTTACTTTTTTACAAAAATGCGGAATGCGGATGATGGAGTCATATAAGTTCTAGGTTAGACATGTCAAGTTGAAGTGAGATATGTACATACTACCTAGTACCTTTACTACCTAAGTCTACCTTAGGTAGTAATGTACCTAGTAGTGCTATGTACCTGTAAGCGTACATATAAAAACCTTAATTACCATGCAACCGGTACCACGAAACTACCAAGAAACCAGGCCTATCCCCACCTGCCCGCCAGCTTAAACTTGAAGGTGGAGTGGGCTGAATGCGTCATTGTTCAATAGCGGCGTGTGGCAGCAAATTCTATTGCATCCCAAGTCCATCACATCCCGTCATAGGCCCGCCAATCATTAGGTTGGGTGTCTCACAAACCTAGTCCAACCTTACGAACCTGGCTTGTGGTATGGAGGGGAAGGGATGATCTATTCGGGTTCAGCAACATTCCTTACACTTTTTTCTTTTCTTTTTTTCTTTTCCTCTTTCATTCTCGTACTACCTCTTCGTATTCAATTACCTACCCTATTTTACTTTCGAAGAAATTATACGACAATTCGTATTGTAAAAAAAAAAAAATGTGGATTAACGTTAACAAGGGTTTTCGCAAGGCTACCCCCCCTGTTGTACCTATGATCCCATGAGTTTGGATGATCTGGCAGATCATCCATTGGCGCGTTACCGATTGCAGCGATGGTCGATGGTTAGCTAAAGTGGAGATGACCAAGCCTTGGGCAACACTAGCTCACCATTTCTCGCTTCCAATGCTTCCATTGCTTCCATCCATTGATTCCATGGCTTCTATTGGTAATTACGAACATTCTATATTAGCTAGCTGGCTAGCAGCAGCTGACACAAATTTCTCCTCTCATCTGAACTATCTTCTAGATTGAGGCGGCCTTAGGATTATTAATGTTCGAGTAAGATTTCGAGTCTTACCGGCACCTTGAAAATTCATTATTTGTAGTTCCAGCTAGGCCGTTTCTGCTAATACCAGAATGAACCGGGCGTGTTTGACTTCAAGCGGGCGGCTGAACACGAATGAATTGGCTTTATAGTGTTGAAGGTTTTCATATTTCGGGCCCGTACGTATTTGAAGAGTTTAGCCAACTGAGGCCTCATGGTATTCTATACTGGGCCTACCCTAGGTACGTATTTTTGTCCCCCCCCCTTTCAATGTTCCTCTAGGTTGAAATGTCAATTAGAGCCTAAACCCAAGGGTTGTGAAGCTGAGCTGGCTCTTCGTAAGCTTACCTAGAAGGTTCTTCTCAGACATACCTAGGGTAGGCTACCTAGGTAGGTAGTAAACTTCATCCCGACAGAGAGTTCGGTTGACCGTTTAGTTCGGACTGTAAGCTTGTGGAGAATCGTTCAAGTGAACCGATAGAATCAACAACCCTAAATCATTGCATGATATAAACCTTGAAGTTATGTATGGACATGTACCCTTGGTAGTATCAAAGCGCGAGTCAAGCCTTGGAGCGGAGGTTTCATTCCAGCTGAATTATAGAGATATGAAGACTCACGAAACTTTCCTTAAGCTGAACTTAATTGCAAACCTGAGGTGGCGAACTACATAGTAGTTGTTTAATTAAGTGACATCTGAACTCGATGAAACGGCGGAAGCTTAGGTGGGTAGGTAGATATGGATGCAACGTTGAATGGATCTCCTTAAAGTTCTGGGGACGCTCACCTTACTCCTGATTCTGTTCCGCAAAAAAGCTGGGGAATATCTACCGACTTAGTATTTTACATTTTTCAACATCACACTATGAGGCGGGGAATACCTGATATAAACATTGGTGTCGTATTGATTCATCTATTCATTCATGTTGGGGCTAACTAACTTGATACAATTTTGCTTGTGTGAACTTTGTGCTTCGCATAAAGCCTACACTTGTTTTTTTGTTTTATTAAGTAGGATGACCGAAGCCCACTTGTATTGTGTATCTGTGCTCCTGACCATGGGCCACATACATAACACTTGAATCTTCAATGCTGCCAATGTGCTGCATAAGATTGTCGTTGTAGCGGGACCCTAATCTAGTTTTGCACCTAGATAATATGTAACGGCCAGGCTGTCGAGAGTGAGGAGATCATAAAGTTAGACCCCGCAAAGAATCAAGTTTGGTAGGACTCGCCACCTTGATAGAAGATCGCTACGTATCTCGTCACTCCGAAGATCACGGTTTGAGGATTGAAGAATTTGATAGCTGGCCCAATTATAAACATGGGGGGATCTCCGCAAATACTTCAATGGCCCACTTATGTCCGTAAGATTATATTTTTGGATATTGGACTCGGTTCGGAGCCGTTCAGGCAGTCAGTTAATAGGTCATCAACAGTCTGTTTCATGGCTCCGGAGGGCGGTGAAGCCCTAGATAAGTACGGCCTGTTTGACCCGGAAATCGGTAGTTGGGGCCAGCTTTTAGTTCAAATTATAGGACGCCGTCGTGCTCGCCAGGTAATCTCTTGACGCGTTTCTGTTCCCAGTCGTCGAGGTCTTTCGCAGCCAATCTCTGTGAAAAGGTGTATAAGCATAAGGTACTGAAAGACAATACACATTGATTCCTTAAATTACTCACATAGTATTCATCTTTCATATTGACCTTCCGCCTTGAACTGCCGACACCCAATGCCTCTTCTTTGGTCATCTGCCTAACTCGTCGGTCGTGCTTCTCGTAGCGCACAGCTGTAGCTGGTGTAAGGACAAACGAGCCCGCTACAATGACGGACATGAAAGGTAAACCGAATAGCAAAAATGGATGTTTCGCCATTAATTTTCGATACCTCACCGCGAACTTGCCCGCATCAGCGGTACTTTGAAATTTCTTGGCCGGAAACACACCCATTGCGGAGTGGACGGAACGGACTCGATGTCGGTTATTTGTTACTGGTTACCTTTTGAAAGGATTTTAGGTATATCAGAATCGAATCGCTCGTGGTCTGTAATGCTAATAGTGTAAGTTGCTATTGTTGTAAATCGGAGACTCAAGCTTCTATGGCATGACATGATAATGATATGACATCAGAAAGAAATGCTCTGGTGAGACAGGGCCCAGGGGTACTAGGTAGGTACCTAAGGCCAAATACCTTGCACGGACCATTAGTTATTCAATTCCCGGAACCTTGTTTGTAATTACTTATCTTGAGTCACGTGCTTCCGCGACAATCAAATTCGCGCCAAACGCGTTGAGCACTTCGAAGCACTTCGAAGCACTTCAAGGATCGAAATATTAAGAACAAGAATCATTATACCCTGGGATGTCTAATCTTGGATAATACCTTCGACGCCATGGCTCCTACATCCCATGGAAGAACTGGCCTAATTGGCCGTGAAAGCCTTCTAAGTGGTTCGCTCAACAATAATAATGGTCCACCACCTTCAACTTTGGCGGCGCAACTCGTGGAAAACATCTCGACTTCAACTCGGTCTTCTAGACCAGATGAGACAGCAGAGTTAAAGAGATTCTTCAACATTATTGAAAATGTCAAGAATCAACCAGAGCTATTGGACACCCCTAAAGAACGGATGGAGCATAATCATATGCTAATCTATGTCTACACTCGAGTCGTACTGGAAGGTCTTAGGTGGGACGACCCCTTTACCGATAAGGTCCAGCTACGCACAGATGCCTTGAGAGCTGTAAACTTCCTCAAGATCACCATTAGGGAAACACCTGAAGTTCTTACTGTCAAATCTAAGAAGTATACCTTCCTTTTTAGAGATGGTGAGCCCCTTTGGCTATGGGTCTTCCCTAAGGTCTTGAAACTGTTAGGGAATAGTCACTGCACTGATCTAAAGGATGAGATTGAGCTATTCTTCCGTGAAGTGTTTCTTACCGTATCACATACCGGCGTTCTATGGCCTCTCCTACCGCAGTTCCTGGCATACTTCAAGTTGAGCTTTGACGGTACGCGTAGAACTCATTGAACACCTATGGGATTAAGCCTACTAACAATCATAAAGCAATAATCAACCATTTCACAGACCTGAAAGCTGCCTCGACAAACCGGGATGTCTCTCTCCACTTGCAGCTACCTCCTCATTCGCTTCTTGTAACTATTGATAGTGGCAACTCAACTTTACTCGAGCAGCAGTGTACATACTCTATACCGCTGGCATCGCAGGCTTTGCAACACGCCTTTGGTCTTTTATCCATCATGTCGCTTCCCTTCACACACGAAGGGCTGGGACTGGATATCATCTCAGCTTACCAGGAGTATATCCCATGGCTTTTTGATGCCTACCTTTACCTTCACGAAACCCAGACCCGGTGGCAGTTTATATTTCCTAGTGTTCTCCCCCAGTTCACGCAGAACGCCTTACGTTTTATTGGGGCATTCGAAATCGCAGGTGGTGTGGATGCTTGTGTCCAACAGAAAGCATCCATCCTATTAGTCACACTTTGCATAGAGATCTCAGGTCAATCTATGGGAAAGCTCATGGCCGATGGACAAGAAAACTCAGACTACCAATTGCTCTGCATGTCGCTTACGAAGGTGGCCAATGATTGCCTGCATTCTAAACCCATAGCACGACTGGTTGCATCGCAGCTGATTCCGGCAATTAAGAAGTTGATGATAGGCAACGAAGATACTACATCCGGCACTGACTTATGGGTAAGATCAAATCCAGTATAGACTTCAAAAGGCTAACATGGACATAGAGATGCTTAGAGCTACTCCAGAAAGTTATAGCTGACCCTGTACCGGCCTTGCCAGATGTGGCAGCTTATGCTGATCAATTTTCTGATGTAGTTCTCCGTCGGCAAGTTCAGGAGTCAAACGTAGCATCTGTTGATTCCGCGGATACCGAACGACAATCCAAGCGTAGAAAGGTCTTAACTGAGCCATCATCGCTATCTAGAGTAAATACCCGACTATGCGGCCTGTTGAGAGTTGAGGGTGAGGTAAACTTCACAGACCTGAAACCCATCATAGAGTATGTCAAATATCCACCGGGGTTCTAATGGCTCGGGCGATATACTTACGATTGCAGGGATCGATTTGAGCACTCATCTGAATCCGACCTATGCCGACTCATCGATATTATCGGCTATATTTGCTGCGCTGCTGATGACACTCTTCTTATCACCGACCAAAAGAGTGGCAAAGGTTTGCAACTTGACTGCCGTTATTGTAAAAATTCCCAATCTACACATAAAGCACCGCTCTGTCTAGATATTACGGCGAAGCAAACAGTCCAAGGGATATTTGGTTCATTGGTCCAGCTACCCAGTTTCCTTGAGTCTAGAAAACCTCGAGTGACTGCAATGGCTTCTTTAAGACGCATTGCAAAGCATTGTGTGGATCTTGACTTTCTAGACATAGAGGTTTCAATAACAGCTCAGTGGTGCTTGAAGTCACTCCAAAGCTCCGTGAGAGAGCTCCGCATTGCTGCTGGGTGAGTTAAAATAAGAAGAAAATGATAACATCTGTCTCTAATGGAAATCTAGCCGAACCATCACTTCGTTCTTATCAGACCTAATCCAACCGGAGGCTACATCGAAGGTCTCGCGTAAGAATTGTGGTAATGTTTTGAACATTCTCAGATCACTGTCGGAGCAGGACATACCTCATCTCACCGAGACGTGTATTATGGCTTGGTTTCAAGTTGGAAGGTAAGCACAGTAACCTATCATGATGTACGGAAAATGCTAAGTATCCATCCCATCAGTATCATATCAGACGATCAGCTGAACCTCGTACTTGTTAAATTGGTTGACTATTTAGGCTACGAGAGTATGATTACATCCGCAGCTGCATTCACCGAGGTATGAAATGCTCTTGTCAATCTCTTAATAGACGTAATATTTCTTACTGTACACAGATTGTAAAGTTAGCTCGCTCCCGGGCTATGACTACACGGCAATTCTTTGAACCATTTTGGAGATATCTTGCCTTTTCTGCAACCAAGGACATGATAACTCGCCCAAAGTTAACGCGGTTATTGGCAGAATTGCTAGAGATGAGCACCTCGGAGCTGCTCCTCCACATTCAGAGTTATGCTTTGCCTTGGCTGGTCCTCACCAAGAAAAGGGATGTCATCGAGAAAATCGCCGAGGCTCGAGGCGAGAAAGAAGCCTGGCAACCTTGTCTTGAAAGCGGCAATCTAGGCCCGATATTGGCACTTCTGCTGACCCAGGAGACTTCTGATGTCCAGCAATATTCTATGGATTTGCTGAGAAACATATCTTCTCATCTTGACAAGTCGGGAGGTCTTGTAGAGCTTCTTCGAATAGAACCAATCCCGACTATTTTAGAGCTTTTGAAAGCTGCAGGCGATGCCGAAGAGGATCGCAAGCCTCATGTAAGATATATAATACTACCACTGTGCGATATTAACGACACTAATCGTTTTTATAGATCCGTAGTGCTCTTAACAAGATGGCACATATGATGCTAGCGGAGACTGGAGAGTTGAAGCAAAAGAAGGGCCATGCGTTAGGTCCCTTCCTACAACGCTATGCTTTGGCTCTTATGGCTAGACTGACGCATGTTATTAACGATGTATCCATACGCACACCAACCCAGGAGCGGAAACGTCACATAAAAGCAATGGAGGAAATGATTCGAATAGGAAAGCGTTATATCCGTATTGCTCGTCCACAGGTAAGGTCTACCAATGCTTGATGCTTTACTTAGCATGTTCTAATTACAAGACAGATCTCCGCATCTTTACAGGCAGCTATGCTACTCGACGAGCTCCGACCTGCGGCCTTTTCTTGTTGGGCTGCGATGCTTCTCCATCTAGACGAGGAGGATGTCGAAGCTCTCATCGAGACAACCTTTTTCCTCATTAGTCATTATTGGGCCTCCTTTGACGAAATAACGCGAAAGTTGTCACAGGACTTGATCGAGTCACTGTTAGAAAATGAACGTGCTGTAATAGAAGCGGCCATTAGCAAACTACCATCGTTCAGCCACATTACTGATCTATCCAGTATTGAAGCTACACTTAGCAAACTTCGTGAGCCTGTCGACAGTAGGACGGCCTTTTCCTTATTAGCAGAGAGAATACGGCATGAGAATGATGGTGTTGTTTTGCTAGCCTTGAGAGAGCTCGAATCGTACATGCAAAAGCAGCAAGGTTATCTGCAGACGTCCGCCATCAGTGAGCAGCCTGATTCGGTCGTCCCTACTCTCGCACGCTCTCTCCTTGATTGCGCATCACGGTACAACGCCGTCCACAGCGAAATCAGCGATCTATGTACTCAATGTCTGGGCCTGATAGGTTGTCTGGACCCTAATCGCGTGGAGACAATCCGCGCCGAGAAGCAAATCGTTGTCAAAAGCAATTTCGAACACTCTGGTGAGACAACCGACTTCGTTATTTATATACTGGAGGAAGTATTGGTAAAATCATTCTTATCTGCGAGTGATACCAAGCTTCAAGGCTTTCTCTCGTATGCTATGCAAGAGCTTCTTGACAGATGCGATATCCGAGTTGCGGTCGAAATGCAAGGCTCACGAGAGGCTGCCCCTATTTATAGAAAATGGCTGTCAATGTCCGAAACTGCCCGGGAAGTCCTTATCCCTTTTTTGACCTCGAGATATATCCTTGCGCCAATGGCCCCGCAGCACACAGTGTATCCTATTTTCCATCCTGGTGAGACGAGGTATGCCAACTGGATGCGGAGCTTCACTCTCGACCTAATGCGAAAACCTCAAGCCCCGTTTGCCCAACTCATATTCGAACCCCTCTGTCGAGTCATTCGCATTAAGGATTTATCAACAGCCGAGTTCTTATTTCCATATGTAATTTTACATACAGTCGTCGGTGAAGATACGTCTGATGAAGAGCGCCTACAAGTCTTGAACGAGATGCTCAACGTACTCCAGTACGAACTTCCGGCAAATGCCAGCTATGAAGAACGAGAAAACCAAAAATTGTATTGCGAGGTAACGAACCACAAACCATCTCATAAGCTCCATACTAATTATAATAGGCCGTATTTCGCTTCATTGACTACGCTATGCGATGGTTGCAGATGAAGAGAACTCAGACTAACCTTGGTCCTCGGGACCTCTCTGCAATCAACACAGTGCAAGGTTTTCTTGACTCTATCCCAGCTGAGCTAATATCACAGCGAGCAGTGGATTGCAATGCTTATGCTCGAGCTCTATTTCACCTCGAGCAGCATATTCGTCAAGTAGACGATGTGAGTAAGGGTGTGAATGAGAGAGATCGATTACTCCAGAGACTCCAGGATATATACACACAAATTGACGAACCCGATGGGCTCGAGGGGATATCCGCGCATTTGCATGTACTCGACGTTAACCAGCAGGTTCTGAGTCATCGAAAGGCCGGACGGTGGGCTGCAGCACAGACTTGGTATGAAATCAAGCTGGTTGAAGACCCCGACAATGTTTATATTCAGATTGATCTCTTAACTTGTCTTAAGGAATCAGGACAGCATGGTAATTCCCTTATCGTACTTTTTTTTTTTTTTTTTTTTTTTTTTTTGGATTGACAGCTAATATCCCTCTTAGATGTACTTCTTAATTATGTGGAAGGTATTGAGAGGCACACAGCTATCACCACCATTAATCGGATAGTACCGTATGCCGTAGAAGCGTCCTGGGCAACGGGGAGATGGCAAACAATGGAAAAATTCATCAAGAAGTACGAAGGGGATCATACAGAAAACTTCAACGTGTCCATCGCCCAAGCCCTTCTCTATCTACAAAAGGGATGGAATAAGGCCTTCGTCAACGAAATGAGAACGCTTAGAGAAAGGGTCAATTCTTCGATGACTTTCTCAGTTACGTCGTCTTTGCAAGCTTGCCACGAGCCGATGCTGAAATGTCACGTACTAACCGACCTGGAGTTGATTGCTGGAATTAATAATGACGGTAATCAGCATCCGCAAGAAATACTCAAAACTCTTAACCGGCGTCTCGAGGTTCTTGGGTCTTATGTCAATGACAAACAGTATATATTGAGCATTCGGCGGGCAGCCATGGAATTAATGCGGTAGGTTATCGTTGGTCTCGTTTTGTCATGCCTTTCAACAGCTAACTTCGAATAGGCCAAGATTTGGCGATGTGGACATTTCAGCTCTCTGGTTGTCGAGCGCTCGGCTCGCGAGGAAGGTCAATTCTATGCATCAGTCCTTCAATGCAGTACTCCATGCATCGCAGCTTGGCGATGATTCTGCAACCATTGAGAATGCTCGACTTTTATGGAAAGAAGGCTATAACAGAAAGGCCATACAAACCCTTCAGGGGGCTATTGATAGCAAAGTCTTCGTCAGCAGAAGCTTCGTTGACCATGAATCCTCTGAGAAGAGTTTACAGTCAACACAGAGTATGTTGACTGCACGCGCGCAGTTGCTCCTCGCAAAGTGGCTCGACAGCGCAGGACAGACGCATGCTACCGCATTACGGGAGCATTATCGGAACGTGCCTAAAAACCACGGCACTTGGGAGAAGGGCCACTATTATCTCGGTCGACACTACAAAAAAGTGCTTGAATCCGAAAAGACTTTGAAACCAGATGATCAAAGCGACGAATACCTGACGGGAGAAACGGCCAAGCTTGTCATTGAGAATTATATGCGGTCCTTAAATTATGGAACCAAGTACCTCTACCAGACCCTCCCGAGAATCTTGACTCTTTGGCTTGAGCTAGGTGCCCAGGTCAATAAAGCACCAGAAGGCAAAGTTTCACTCTCCAGGGAATTGCATCATCGCCGTAAAACCCAGCTAGAATTGCTACACAAATACCTCTTCAAGGGCATACAACGACTACCAGCTTACATTTTCTATACAGCTTTACCTCAGCTGGTAGCTCGCATTGCCCATCCCAACGCAGAGGTCTTCATGATACTCGAGGAAATTATTTTGAGAGTCGTCGAGGCTCACCCAAGGCAGGCACTGTGGAGCCTATTTGCAGTCATGACCTCTCGACAGGCGATCCCCGAACGAAGGGCACGAGGTCAGCAGATGCTCCTGAAGCTCAAAGGAAGGAGTAAGAAGGCAGATAATGGCTCTTACGATATGAAAACGTTACTCCGCATGGGCGAGAGATTGGCGGAGCAACTTCTCCTGGCTTGCCACAATGGAGATTTCCAGAGCAACAGGACCACGGTAGCGAGTATCACCCGCGACCTGAATTTCAACCACAAATGCACGCCATGTCCCCTTGTCGTCCCGATCGAGGCCTGTCTTACGGCAACACTCCCTACCCTTACAGATAATGTCAAGAAACATAAGGCATTTTCGCGAGATGTGATTGTTATCCAAAGTTTCCTAGACGAGGTTCTGGTACTGGGCTCTCTAGCAAAGCCTCGGAAGCTCACAGCCCGAGGATCAAATGGCGTCAACTATGGCCTTCTAATCAAACCAAAGGACGACCTCCGGACTGATCAGCGTCTTATGGAATTCAACAGCATGATCAACCGATCTCTAAAACGAGATGCAGAATCCAGTAGGAGACAACTTTACATCAGAACGTACGCCGTTACGCCGCTAAACGAAGAGTGTGGTATTATCGAGTGGGTCGATGGGCTCAGAACTATACGGGATATACTACTTAACATTTACCGCACTCGCAGCATCGTCCCCAACTATCAACAACTAGCACAGATGATGAAGGATGCATTAATAGGGGAAAATAATATCAAACTATTCACGGAGGATATATTGGGAATGTTTCCAGCGGTGCTTCCAAACTGGTTCATTGCGCAATTCCCTAATCCTTCGGCCTGGTTCACGGCAAGACTACGATATACGAGATCGTGTGCGGTTATGTCGATGGTTGGCACCATTCTAGGACTCGGTGACCGCCACGGCGAGAACATACTGCTGGAAGAAGGCAACGGTGGCGTATTCCATGTCGATTTCAACTGTCTCTTCGACAAGGGTCTTACATTTGCACAGCCTGAAAAGGTTCCGTTCCGCTTAACTCACAACTTAGTAGCGGCGATGGGAATATACGGGTACGAGGGCCCATTTCGACAATGCTCGGAGCTCACGTTGAGTATCCTGAGGCAGCAAGAAGAGACGCTTATGACGATCCTGGAGGCGTTTATCTACGACCCAACGCTTGACCTGCAGCGAGACAAGCGTTCAAAGAAGAACGAGGTGGTAAAGCTCAACCCACAGAGCGTGGTTGACAGCATCAAGAGGAAGGTTAGGGGTTTGCTACCGGATGAGAGTATCCCGTTGGGAGTTGAGGGACAGGTGGAAGAGCTTATCAAGCAGGCTGTTAATCCGAGGAACTTGGTTGCTATGTATATTGGTTGGTGTCCTTTCTTGTGAGGTAAGGAGGGTTGGGCTGGTTTGCTTGCGTGGAAGAAAGACATCTATGGATGTATTAAGGATAGTAGCTAAGGTAGGTATTCTATCATGAGTGATGTTTGTTCTGGAAAGATATTTGAGTAATCGATGGGATGAGTGACACTAAGCTACTAAGGTTAGTTTGTTTATAATCAGGTGATCGTTTCCGGTTTAAAGATTGAATTGTGTGCAAACTGATATGAGTGATGTTGACGATCGGGATCTGACAGCGCTGGAGCAAGTAGCAGAAGACGGGCGGCGACAGTGCATCTGCCTAAAGTGCCTGTAACCTTGGAACTATACGCCTGTTGCCGCCTAAAACTGGTGTTACCCGACTCCAAATGTTGGAACGGTTCAGTGCTATAAATATTAATCCACTCCCCTGGAAAGGTCCCTGAGCAAGTCAAATCAGGTGTTCAAGTGCCATTACACAGTGTACCTACCTACCTTACCTAGGCCATAATCTTTCCGGACGCGCTGCGACCACGCGTTTTCAAAAAACCGTTTCTTCTCTTTCATTTTGTCTCATCTCATCTGTTAATCTTTTCGAGAAAACATTGGACTCCTTCAAAGTCAATAAATATTATTGATTTTGAAGCAACTCAACAACCTCTTTATTTATATCTTCCCATTTCCCCTTTCCAAAGCAAACGATCATTCATATTGGGTTTCCCTACATTTTAATTTCTTCCCATCTGAAGGGAAATCCTGTATCGGATCAAATTGAAACCTCCCCGCCACCGATTTCTCTACCGACCATCCCAATCACCATTGTTCTAATTCCATTCTTAACTTATTCATCACGAGATACATTCTTCATCTTCAACAACCAACCTTGTAAAAAAAAATACAAGGAAAAGAATACAAAGTATCATAATCTACTTGACCTCTTCATCTTCAATTTCTTCATACATCGACTTTAATTTGATTAAGACAAGACAAAATACATCACACCATGTCTTATCGTATCAGTAAGTCCTATGTTTTATTATCATTCACCACCAGCCTTGTCTCATATTACATGTCATATCATACGATGCCGTCATCCTATTCGCTATCACACTACCGCTTCCACCCAATTATTCAAGCATGATCAACAACTAACTTGCTTTCTAGCGCTTGCCGATAATAACCGTTCTGGTTGTCAGGATGGCGAGTGCAAGAAGAATGGCGTGAAGATCGTGAAAGGTGAACTGCGCCTCGGTGCGTGGGTTGAGATCGCAGGCCATGGATCGTGGCGATGGAGACACTGGTATGTCTATCCATATTGCAGCCCAAGTAAATTCTGCGTACTGACCTAACTAACCCACTTGTAGGGGCTGTGTCTCGGGCTTGACCATCGGCAATATCCAGGAGGCCATCGCCAGTGGAGATGACTATAATTGGGATATGATTGATGGTTATGACGAGTTAGGGTAAGTTCTTCCTACCCATGATATACAAGCCTACTTCCCTAACATTGTTTTACTTTTAGCGACCACCCTGATATTCAGGAAAAGATTCGACGTGTCATTACCCAAGGACACATTGATGCCGAAGATTTTAAAGGAGTATGTAATTCCTCTTATACTTACTAAATTTTTTTCGCAGCCTCACTAACAGCCGGCAGGACCCCGAGTTCAATAAGCTCGGCCAGAAAGCCATCCGTGGTCGTGTCTCGAAGGCAAAGGCTAAAGCCGAACATGAAGATGAAGATGAGGTTAGTAGAGCCTCGTTATGAATTTATTGTATTTGTTGCTCACGGGTATCTGTAGGACGGCGAGGAGGAACCTGCTGATTCCAAAAAGTCTTCCAAGCCTACCAAGAAGGCTCCCGAGAAGGTCCCCTCCAAGCGAGGCCGCAAGAAGGTTCAGGAAGATGATGAGGAAGACGAGGATGTTCAGCCAGCCCAAAAGAAAGCTAAGACCGTCCGTAAGACCAAAAAGGTCGCCGACGAGGAAGAAGAGGAGGCAAAGGCCACAGCCCCTGCCAAAGCACCTGCTAAGAAACCTCGAGCCAAGAAGGTTGTGAAGGCTCCGAGCCCTGAGCCCGATGACGACAAGGACTCCGAGGTAGAGGAACCTGCCCCTGCCCCGGTCAAGGTCAAGGCCAAGGCCCCTGCTAAAGCAGCTACCAAGAAGCCTCGAGCTAAGAAAGTTGCCAAAGCTCCGGTCCCTGAGTCTGATGAGGAAGAGGTCCAAAACGAGGATAAGGCGGAGGAGGAGCAGGAGGAGCCCAAGCCTGCCCCGAAGGCCAAGCCCCAGGCGAAAGCTGGTCGTAAGGCAAAGGCAGTTCAGGCGCCCGCAGTCGAAGAAAATATCGAAGTCGAAGAGGAGGAAGCACCAGCTCCAAAGCCGGCAGCCAAGGGAAAGGGTGGCCGTAAGGCTAAGGCTGCTCCAGCTGAGGAGGAAGTTGCCGCCGCCCCCAAGAAGGGACGAGGCCGAGGCCGTCCCAAGAAGACGTAAGTACAAGTGTCTGGCTGATTTTACTCTCATTGGGCTCCGTGCGTGATACTAACTCGATGAACAGGATTGTTGAGGAAGAGTAAAATACTGGAGGATGCAGTACCCTATGAATGCTGGTGGTTCATGTTACCACCCCGAAACTCACTGCTTATCACCAAGTACTTACCCACCTACCTAAGTACCTAGCTCATTGCGACATCTATACAAAAAAGGCGTGCACGGATAATAAGTGTTTATTTCCTATCTCTTCACCTTTTTGGGGGGGAGAGAGGGCAACTTTCCTACAATTGTGGTCGTGGAGGACCGAGTCAGCAAGTTAAGAGTTAGGAGTTGAACATATGATGTTCTCTACCTATCTAAGCTATAATATGAGCAGGAAGAAAGAAAATAGGAACCTGCGGAAGAACATTGGAGGGAGTTATCAATTAGTCTTGCTCTGAGATACCAAATCGATGCTGAAGATTGCTTTTTTCTTTTGCTCTTGTAAATGTTACCTAATGAATTGAATTTTTTGGAGTTTTTGAGTTTCGTGAGAGGAGTGTTTCGTTATTGACTTTGATAATTATTGATTCATTGATTGATACTCGACATAAGATATCGTGACCCTTTTCTCCTTGGTGCATATAGCTTCTCCTATGCATTAAGTAGGTAGATCTAACCTGGTAAGATTAGGTATGTAGGTATGTAAGTGTGAAACTCGTTACCGAGCGAGAAAGCCCTTTACCTTATTAGTCGCAACTTCCATTCATTTGTCACCCCCTTTTCCTATCCTGCACTTATAGGCGCTTGTTCGGATGGGATTGGGGTTGGGATAGCACGCCTGATACTATCTACTGGTACTTAGGTATGTATATATGACTGTAGAGCGGCTCTTATTCATACATGTACACTCTTGGTGTCTTTTAATATACACATATATTAGCTTAGAGGTTGGTGGCGTAGATAGGTCCGAGAGTGTGGAAAAGGGGGTGTCACGTGGCCGCTTAGTATGCAAAAAGCCAGACTGTTCCCTTTCATGCATATCGTCTCTTCTACTACTAGTAGTATGCATATAAACAGCTAATGTAGCACTACTGTGATTAGGTAAGTGTGCATCCATGTAAGGATTGTATCATAGTGGATCCGTTTAGTTGTATCAACGTAACGATTAATCGTCGTTTAATGTAAATGTTGCTTGAACAACTTTGGGAAGCTACATATACTTTTACATAATTATTATTTGAGGCCAAGCTCAATAATTATTCACAAATGTTTCAACATCACACAAACCAACATTCTTGATTCCAGAAAATAGAGTATATAGCCGTACAGATACACCTCGGTGTATCCGGCCAAGATGCGTATACCTACCGAAAAGCTGTCAATTGCGTTGCTGTTAGCTCTACCAGCTGCCGTGCGCGCCGTCTTCAAAGACGAAGCTGGCCACATCGACTACCACCACGAGCTCCTAGGCCTCCCCCAACGCGAGACCACCTTCTACCATCGACCTAGACCCCAAGATAAAGCAACCCTTCTATACACCCTTAGCGATTTAGGCGTCCTCGGTGCCGTTAACCCCGGCAATGGAGCTCTCGTATGGCGCCAATTGCTTAACAACAACATCACCAACGGCGGAGGCCATCTCCGCGCCGGCGAGGATGAGTCTTGGGTCACGAGCGCCTTGGGAAGCTCTGTGCATGCCTGGGATGCCATCACGGGGCGCAATGCGTGGACCCTAGATTTTGATGGGGTGGTCAAGGATCTTGAGATCATGGAGATGACGACGAGCGACCACAAGGACGTCCTAGCTCTACACGAAGAAGACGGCACAACGATTGCCCGCAGAATAGATGGTGTTGAGGGACGCGTTGTCTGGGAGTTCAGGGAGGTGAACAATGCTGTCCCGCTGCAGGTTAGCACCAGCGTTGAGAAGGTGTTTGTCGTTACCCTACATGGTTCGCTACTGTCGTACAACCTGAAGGTCATTGTCCTCGATATCGCGACCGGCAAGAAGCTTGATGAGATTATCGTTGGCACAAAGGGCGAGGTGCAAAAGCCCGAGGACGTGCAGTTTGTCGGAGCGAATTCCGTGGCTCCCGTTCTGGCGTGGACGGATAACGCTCTGACGACGCTCAAAGTCAATGTTCTCGGTTCCAAGGCTAGACACGAATTCCCTCTTGTGGCCAATGCTGTCAGCGTCGAGGTTCACGCACCCCATACCGTCAATTCCTCGCCTCACTTCCTCGTCCACACTCGGACCAAGACCGGAAGCAAAGCAGATGTGTTCCATATCGATCTCAAGAGTAATGCTATCAGCAAGGCATATGAGCTACCACTACTTGAAGGTGCAAGTGCCTTTTCCACAAGTTCTTCGGCTTCTAATGTCTATTTCACTCGCATTGCTTCCGATGAGATTATTATCACTTCTTCTACTTCTCATGGTATTCTTGCACGATGGCCTTTGCAAACGAGGGTTGATTCGAAAATCCCGGTTGTGGTACATGGTGTCTCCGAGGTCATCAAGAAGGCGTCGGAAGACGACTACGCGGTACGGTCCACAATTGTCACAACTTCTCACGACTGGACTCAGCTTGCTTATGGCCTTGTCTCCTGGACCCGACCCGAAGGTTTGAGTGGTGCTGTTGCTGCTACCTGGGCCGAGATTCCAGAGTCCGAAGATCTAGCGAAGACATTGGAGGCGGAAGCTCATACTGATCCATGGTCTGCTTTTGTCCACCGTATCACCCGTCATATCGATGAACTTCAATATCTACCCGCGTATTTGCAAGCCGTCCCTGGCCGTCTCATCGACAGTATCCTTGGCTCGGAGACATCTGCACATGATGGTGAATTATCACGAGATAGCTTTGGATTTAACAAGATTGTTGTTTTGGCAACGAAGCGTGGCCAGCTATACGGACTTGATGCTGGCAACCATGGAAGAATCATATGGTCCAAACCAGTAAACGAGACACCCGGAGGGAAACCCTGGGACGTAAAGGCTATCTACGCGGATGATGCCAAGGGGCTTGTCACGGTTCGAGGAGCAAATGGCGAATCCATCACCATCAAACCCGATACCGGTAAAACTGTTGAGTCACTGCCGACTGGCTTAGACTCGTCCGTGGAAACCGCAGTCTTGGTAGAGAGCGACGCTGGCCCTTGGCTATTGCCTATTGGCGAAGGTGGGAAGATTCCCGAGATCCAAAGCTCGTGGGCCCCCAAGCAGACTGTTGTCACACGAACAAGCGACGGTGGAATTAGGGGGGTTAATTTTGTGGCTAAGGGTGATCAAGCGGCCGAGGAAACTACCTGGATCTTCAACCCTCCTACAGGACAGAAGATCATCGAGGTAGCAAGCAGATCTACACATGACCCGATAGCATCGATTGGTCGGGTACTAGGAGACCGGACTGTCAAGTATAAGTATCTTAATGCCAACACCTTGGTAGTTGCGACAATTGACGAGCAAGTCAACTTCCTTTCGGTCTACCTCTTGGACACAGTCTCCGGACAAGTCTTGGCCTCGTCAACCTACGAAGGAGTTGATCCCACCAAAGGAATTACCTGCGCCATGGCTGAGAACTGGTATGTGTGCTCGTTCTTTGGGCAATACAAACTACGGGATCCCCAATCGCAAAGCCTAAAGGGGTACCAAGTCGTGGTGACCGATCTCTATGAATCTGAGATCGCTAACGACCGCGGTCCGCTCGGCGACTCGGCTAACTACTCGTCGCTCGACCCGATCAACTTTCCCACTTCTCCTTACCTTCCCGCCACAGAGTCCAAGACGTATATCCTCTCCAGTCCCATCACTTCTCTAGCCGTGACCAAGACACGCCAGGGCATCACTTCCAGACAACTACTCGCATACATGCCAGACTTACATTCCATCGTCGGAATCCCGCGCTTCATCCTCGAGCCCCGTCGACCCGTTGGACGCGATCCCACACCCGCCGAGGTCGAAGAGGGACTCACCAAGTACGTCCCTGCGATCGAGATCGATCCCCGCATGCTGATCACGCATCTCCGGGATGTCCTCGGCGTCAAGGAGATTCTGACTACCCCCGCCGTGCTCGAGAGCACGTCTCTGGTGCTCGCGTACGGCGTCGACGTCTTCGGGACAAGGGTCGCGCCTAGCCAGGCCTTTGATGTCCTAGGCAAGGGTTTCAATAAGCTGGCTTTGGTCGGGACGGTGGGCGCGCTGGTTGTGGGTGTTGCTGTGTTGAGACCTATGGTGAGTTTTTAATCCCCCTTTACCTCCTCTCTTTTTGGGGGGTTTTTGGAAACCCCTTAATATTATTTCTTCTTTTAATAAGCGTGAAAAACACTAATGATTGAGTACAGATCCGGAAGAAGCAGATTGATGCTCGCTGGAGGTCGTGAATGGGTTGATTAGGTGGGCGGATGGACGGATGGTGGGAAATCGGATAGGCTAGGGAAGGGAAACGAGAAATGAAGCTGACAGAACATCTACCTACCTAAATACCTATGGCTGGGGGGAATAGGGCGGTGCCGTGATGTCCCGTGGTGTCCTATGGTATCATGGATATGATGGATGTGATGTATTTGTACAAACACGTTGTCTCGAGAGATGTATAGATCTTCGTGGTTTACCATTGCGAGGCTTGTTGAAGATGCACCAGGTAATCGAACTCAACTCAGGTTAGGTTAGGTTAGGTAGACGCTTTGGTCGAGGCTACATATGTAACCTTAGGTAGGTAGGTACCTTGGTAACTAATGCTTTATGCTGTACTTCTTATGCCCTTTACTTTTTTTTATTAGTTTTACGTTCGGTGTGAGTGTGTATACTAGTACCTAATAGTGCGCGCGCGCGTGTGTATGTGTATGTCATGATCCCTTCACTACCTACCTAGGTAAACGGAGCTCATAAGGCAATGGACCACCGTTCGTTCGTTCGTTTTGCTCATCGGGTTCCAGTCCCTGACCTGACCTGATCCAGTTGGGCGCGTGTGTAGGTATCTGGGACTTGATAGATAGATAGATATGTAACAGGTAGGTACCTACGTACGTTAGAGGCGAGGTGAAATATAGGCAGACGTGATGGAACAGTTAGCTAACCTAGGCACATACTATCATCTCGTCTCTTACATAGGTACGAAGGGAAGGGGCATGAAAGAAAAAGAACATCATCACCATTGCATATACACCAAATATCTAGGTTAGGTGTGTATAGGAATCCTTCTTATTCGACCCCTATATCTATCTACCTAGCACTTAGTACTTAGGTACCTAATCCACCCACTCCTACCTATTCCATATCTCTTCTTCTTTAAGAGACTGAATACCTACCTACATATCTAAAGTATGTCCTTAGGTAGGTAGGTGCCTACACCGACTGAAATCACACTTTTCCTATAAGTAACCCTTACAATTCCTCAAAATAACCAACCCTTGATCTTTGGTCTTAAGAGTTCTAAGGAGACAGCCTTTTCGGCGTTCGGGGGTAGTAACTCGTAAGATGGACGCTGGGCAGATTCAGGTACCACGCAACCACACGGTCCAATCCAATGCCACCGCCACCGTGGGGCGGAACACCCGCAGATCGGAACACGTCGACGTACTCACGGATGCCGGAGCTAGTGGGGTCGATGCCCTTCTTGCGAAGTCGAGCTTCGAGTAGCTCGGGGATGTGGATACGCTGACCACCCGACAGGATCTCCTGTCCGCGCATGAAGAAATCGTAGGCGTTGGTCACCTTGGGGTTCTCCGGGTCCTCGATGGTGTAGAATGGGCGGGCACCCTCAGGGAATTTGTCGAGCACGTAGAAATCGGTACCAAACTTCTTGCGTACGAGGGCACCTAGCGCCTTTTCTTGCGGCGTGCTCATGTCTTCGTCATCCGATACGTTGCGGAACTCCTCTGGGCCTTCCTCCCGTAGGAGCTTTTGACCCTCGGCGAAGGTGAGGCGCACCTCCTTACCGGGTTCGGGGAGTAGAAAGTCATCGGACGGGTATATGGAGCGGATGAGCTCGATCTCCTCCTTGCATCTCTCCTCAAGACCACGGAAGATGTGGATCATGACGCCTTCGATCATATCGCGGACTTCGTGATAATGGTCCTCGATTTCCATTTCCAGATCAAGACCGGTGAACTATAGCATATTTTGTTAGTGACCGTATCTAGGGAAAGTCCCATCACGTATGCTTACCTCGGTCATGTGTCGCGGCGTGTTACTGTTCTCGGCTCTGAATACAGGACCGATACAGTAGACGCGCTTTCGACCACCTGCAATCTCGAACTGTTTGTAAAACTGGGGTGACTGGGCCAAGAAGGCCTGCTTCTCGAAGTAAGGTAACGAGAATACATTTGCGCCACCCTCGGAAGCAGCAGCGATGAGGCAAGGGGCTTCAAACTGGACAAAGTCTTTCGAGTCTAGATATTCGCTAAATAGTTTTCGTACGGTCATTCGGACATCGGCGATAGCTTGCTGGACAGGGGCTCGCTTGTGCATGGCTGGGTTGTTCAGGTGCGTAGCCAAACTCGCGGATGGGGCAGCAGCTGAATCAGCAATGGAGAGGTTTTCTACACCCTCGGCGGGTGCCTGGGGCTGTGAAGAGTCCTCATCCTCGAAGCTGGCGATAGCTCGGTTGGCGGCATTGAGACCCAGGGGTAGGACTTCAGGTCCAGAAGCGATCAGATAGCACTTGGTAAGGTGTAGCTCGTAGTTGCTAACGCGGCAACTCTTCACAGGCTCTAGAGGCTTCTGTACGGTTGCTTCAACGAGGACATAACTCTCTAGTCGTAGTGCGCCAACCCATTTAGCCATCTGCTTTGAAACGGGCTTTCCCTCGGCAGTAGCCACTATAACACACTGGATAGACCAATTGCGCTCCTCTCGCAATTCAAGGAAAGCCATCTTTGCGCCTTGCATACGGGCATTTTGAACCCAAGCCCTTAGCTTTACCGTCTTTCCAATGTGGTCGTCACCTAAGCGTTTGAGTTGTACCTTGTCGGCAGCAACTCTTGTGGTATGAGTAAAGGCTCCGTAGTTGTCCGTAGCGAGGTCCTCGTTTCCACCGGCTGCAGCTTTTTGAGCGGCAGCGGCAGCTTCTCTCTCAGCTGCCTTACGAGCCTTCTCAGCTTCTTTCTTGGCCTTAGCTTCCGCCTTCTTTGCGCCCTTCTTGGACTGAGCAGCACCTTCACCCTCAGCTGGCGGGGCAGCGCCGGAAGCTTGGGCTGGGTCGACGGGGGGTTCAGACATGATGATGAGTGATGTGATTGGAATAGAAGGGGAAAAGAGAAAGATAAAAACTCAAGTAAAGGAAGGGATATAGCTCTCCCTTTTTTATTTTATTTTTATTTTTATTCTTCGGTATAACGATACCAACGTACGATGATCAATAAAAAAGAAGGTTGTGACTCTTCCGGTCAAAACGTGTGACGCGGGGCAATTTTCACTTGATGGTGGGATGAATTGAGTACTAGGTACAGTACATCCATGGTGGGGCTGATTACCTAGTATCTGCATTAGTGCATATTCAAACGACATGGATTTATCCATCAACGTTTAACTGAATTTTTCACTTTTACTCCTGTCTCATTCTTCATAGTACAACTTACATCTTCACATTCCGCCTCTTATTCCATCACTTAAATATCTGACCGAATCGATAGCAGAATAACAAATTGTAAAAAGTAAAAATGTCAGAGGGCAAAGTATTAAAAACCAAACCCTTGGCTTTCAAAGCCAAGTCCAAAAAGCGGCCTATAGAAGGTGAGGGCGGTGCTCGGAAACGAAGAAGGCAAGAGTATGAGGAGGAAGAGGAATATCTCGATTTAGAGGTCGGAGTGAACAAGAAGATCGCTCAAGTCGACAACCTACTACTAGCCGATCACATAGCCAAGAAGATCCGAAGATTTGGGACCGATTTAAAACCAGTCGAGCTCAGTCAGCTAGATATATCACGTATGTTCCCTTGACCACAACTCGTACCTTTTGGGCAAGCCAGCAGCTTATGATAATCCAGCAAATTACATCACCGACACCACCTCCTTTCAGAACACCCGTACCTTAGAAAGTCTACCCGAATTCCTAGAACAATTCGTAGACCCCAAGAAGCTTGGCGAAGCACCTAAGCAGAAAGGCTCACCTCATACCATCATCGTCACTGGTGCTGGTTTGCGAGCCGCCGAATTAGTCAGGTATGAAATTCCCAACTTCTTTTCCCCTTTGTCCTTTGTTTTTAAAAGCAATACTAACTCCAATCCACAGATCCGTACGCAAGTACCAAAAGAAGGACAACACTGTCGCAAAACTAGTATGTCGCCATTCTCCTTAAGCTTACCCCCAAACGGAGGATAGGGGGTTGCCATACTTACCAGCCAATCTGTTTTCTAGTTCGCCAAACACATCAAGATCGAAGAAAGCGTGCAATTCCTCGAGAAAAGCCGTACTGGCATTGCAGTAGGGACACCCCTCCGCCTCTACGACCTAGTAGAGAAGTGTGAGTCTCCCCCTCTCTCCCTTTCTCTTCCACTCCTCCACCTCACAACAAACCCCAAGCACATATCTAACCCTTCCATAGCCGCCCTACAACTCGACAAGCTAGAGCGCATAGTCGTTGATGCCTCACACATCGACCAAAAGAAGCGGGGCCTGATGGACATGAAGGATACCATGATCCCGCTCGCGCGCTGGCTAGCCCGCCCCGAGTTCAAAGTCCGCTATGCCGACCCGGAGAACGGGCTGCAGTTGATGTTCTACTGAACGCCTACCTATCTACCTAGCCACGGCATTGGCATGGATCTGCTAGCCTACTAGACACATCCATGCTTTATTATAGAGGGTGCTTTTATGCATATAGGGGCGTTTAAGAAGGGATTTGGTATTTGTCGTTTCATAAAAGCAAGGTACGAAATAAGATACCCAACACGATCAAGTCTTTCATATATTCATGTTCTTTGACGTCTAATACGGGTCATGTGACCCTATGCTACGGCCCAGAACTATGTTGTTTGAAAGGTTACCCGTGGCTCAAAAACATAAGAGAATGGATCATATGTGCTACATGTCGTCCATGAAGACTCTACAGATAAGACAAGCAAAGAAGCAAAGAACGTTATGTTAATATTAATAGTTTATACGATTACCGTTGGATTGCTGAATTAATATCATTACTTGCATCCTATTAACATCTACCCCCCTTTTCTAATAGTGTGGGCATGTCGCAGCTATTCTAAATCTGCAGTGGAAATGCTCTCCTAATTCTAGTAACCGTAACCGTTCATCTGGTAATCCAGCGTAAGCACCATTGCTATCCACAACACCAGTCCGAAGAAGGAGGGGTTCGAACGAACAGCCTGGGATACAGGAATTACCCAGGGTCGAGTCGCCGAGGTGGCAGTGACTTCCGCTGCCTCACTAGACTCGAGGAATGCCGATAGGGTAGGACTAGGGTAGTAAGTGACAGGCGAGTAAGACACGGTGATATAAGCCGTGACAGTGGTCGTGACGGTGGTCGTCAAAGCCTGACCGCCAATGCTCTCTTGTCGCAGGTGGAGACTAGGCACATCTGCGACTTCGCGGCCAGCAAGATAGTCATCTTCTCGAGAACGCAGGAGCTCGCTGTCCACTCGTCCCGGTGCTACCATGTAGATCTCGGCACCGAGGCTCATGCAGAGAGAGATGGAGTGGCTTAGAGCAGCGCCGTAGTTGTTCGAGTCGCACTGGGAGTAGAGACACTGGAATAGGGACTGCGTTTATAGTAGGGTTAGAAAAAAAGGGAAGAATGCCAATGAGATAGTGAAGGAAGTGGTACCCTCTGATAGTCTTTCTGATTGCAAAGACATCTAGTGTCAAGACATTGGGTCACGAACATACTGTCGACCATACAGCGAGAGGCACAACCTTGAAAAAAGTAAGCTAAAGTCCGAGAGGATCCATGAGAGGTAGAGGTGTACTCACTGGGTGGACCGGGGGGATCTTTGGCAATGGTGCCATTGTCAGTCCCGACAACAAGTCGCAAGAGGCTGGTAGCGAAGAACAGCCGCGCCAGGAAAGTCTTCATAAACCTCATCATCTCTATCGAATAAAGTGGATAATATCAAAACGGCGTGGGTTCAAGAATAGAGTGAATGGTACAGCGTAATCGCGTGTCTTTATTATTCCGTGTTTTTTTCTGCTTTTTTTTCTTCTTCTTTTTCTTTCTTCTCCAGATCTCATAAATCGTACAGAAACGAATGACTTTGAAAAGACAGTAAGGATGACCACCAAAAAGATCAAACCCGAAGTTAACGAATGTTGAGTCTGGCAATCCAAAAATGAGGGATGTGTTGTCAAGGGATGCGAAGATGAAGTCTTGTATACGGAAAAGGAAATGAAGCGAGTCGGTAAGATCGGAAAAGATTCGACCTTAAATCAGATTTGATCAACTCTAGTCAAATCGTTTGGGAAGGTATATATATCTCTATCGTGCCTGCTTTTTCGACAGCTGAGCACTTTTTATAACAGGCAAGTAGAACTGTGCTTTGGATCACCGTGGATGCCATGGATATCAGGATTGAACTTATCTACATCTCAGAGAGAAAGTGCTACATGGTACACATCATGTTTCCATGTACTACATAATGAAAGCTTAAATACTTCACCTCCTAAATCATTTAAAGAGGTCGATGATGGAGGCTTGGAGTTTTGTCTTTAGATATATTTGTATATAGTCATGTAAGTTGGATGTATTGCTGAGATAGCACTCAGACTTTCCAGCCCCTTTCCGTGGGCTTCCTACGTGTGTCCAGTAGCATTGATACATATGTACCCTAGATACGTACCCTAGGTAGAAGGTAGCCAGTGAATTGCCTGAGTACACCAACGTTGGCTTGCCAAAGATATGGGTAGGGGATATAGAAAATGTCCCTATGTAACCATAAATATTTGTGAGTTAGTTGACAACATTTGAAATACCTATATTAGACAGACTCTAATCTAGTGCGTGCACTGATATTAAGAAGACTTTGGGATGTGAATCAGGGGATAGAAGGACAAAGGTATAGGCATCGTCAAAACATAATTTCTTGATGATTTCCCCCTTATGTGACTGTGAGTGAAGTATGTAGGTTAGGTAGGTAGGTAGGTATTATATGTGGTGAGGGTGTGAAAAGTCTCTTTGGCCAAATAGTTATTGATATATATGCAACAAGAAGAGTCCTATTTGAAGAATAAATGCACTTATAAGGATATATATGTAACTATACCTTATGTACATTCTGTACTGTGAATTTGAGAAGTACCTCGTACCTTACACTATTTTTTATCACCCCACATCCATGCATGTGCATGACAAGCTGCAGTTCTCCACTAAATTTTCTTTTCTTTTGTTAAATTCTTCACATCAATAATTTCATACTGCACTTGTTATCACTTATACTACATTGATATGGCACACCTTGCAAGTCCCTTCTCATCCAACTAACCTAGCTCAATTACTTTTTGCAAGATAACATGAGAATTGCCTTATAAAACTTACCCACCTATTAATTCCCAATCGTCATATTCCATCTACTCTACAGAGACGAAATATTCCTTATACAAGGCTACTTCCTGTTGCCCTTTTCTTCAACAGCCCTCTAATTTACGAAAGTAAAGTCGGTATATCCAAAAGGAACTTGATACCTCCTATATTTCAGAAAAAAGTCCTACAGAGGCCAAAAGAATAGGATGGGTTCATCTAAGCGCAAGGCAGAGGCCAGTGTGGACGCCCCCATAGATAGCCCTAGGACTATGAAGCGAAGGCGTGTATCCGATACGGTCGAGGAGGTTACAATAGTCGAGAAGAAGGCCAAGAAGGAGAAGAAGGAAAAGAAAGACAAGAAAGACAAGAAAGACAAGAAGGAAAAAAAGGAAAAAAAGGACAAGAAAGAGAAGAAGGATAAGAAGTCCAAGAAGACGGCCAGCAAAGAAGATGCAGAGGAGCCAGCAGAAGATACTGAGATGGCCAATGCGCAAAGCGAAGTGGCTGATGCTACTATTCCCGCTACTCAAGACGAACCCAAGGGTGCCGAGACTCAAGAAGCCGAGCCCCCCAAGGAGGCCAGCAAGAAGGAGAAGAAGAAGAAGTCGAAAAAGGCCAAGAAGGACTCCTCTTCCAAGGACACTGCCGCACCAGAGGCCGCATCAGAGGGAGCCAACCCTACACCCGAAGACCCCGACCAAGCCGACAGCGGCGAAGACGCCTCAGCAACCGGCAAGAAGGCCGCGCGCTTCATAGTCTTCGTCGGCAACCTCCCCTTCGCCGCGACCACCGAGCAGGTAACCTCGCACTTCTCCGCCCTGCACCCGATCTCCGTGCGACTCCTCCACGACGCGCACACCGGCAAGTCACGCGGCATCGCCTTCGTCGAGTTCGCGCGCTACGACCACATGAAGTCCGCCCTCAAGACCTTCCACCACACCACCTTCACGTGCCCCTCGGGCAAAGGCGGAAGGCCGAACAAGGACGGCACCCCCGCCGTCGAGGAGCGCAAGATCAACGTCGAGCTCACGGCCGGCGGCGGCGGCAACACGGCCAACCGCAAGGACAAGATCCGCGCCAAGAACTTCAAACTCAACGAGGAGCGCGCGCGCCGCGCCGCCGAGGAGCAGAAGGCCAAGGCTGCTAAGCTGAAGAAGAATGGGGTGAAGGGCGGAGATGGGGAGGCGGCGCAGAAGGAGGAGGCACCCCGCGCTCAGGAGGAAGACAGCTCCATACATCCCAGTCGTCGGAGCAGAGTTCCTGGGGGGCGTTAATCAGATCAGAGCAGAGCAGAGCTAATCATTAAGACGTACGAAGGAAACGAAGACGAAGGAACGTGGCCTCAAAGGGGATTTCACTTTACGCAGGGAAAGGAATAGATAGATGATATTTCCCCCCCTTTTTTTTCTTTTTTTCGTCCTTTCTCTTTCCGTTTTTAATATCAAAATCACAGAAAAAAGGGTTCGTTGAAGCCGTTTCGTCTCGATACCCCCTCCCCCCTTTATGTTATGGCACGACATATGAGTCTTAAGGATAGATAGATGTCTGGACTTGGATAGCTACCTGGTACCTATCTGTCTACCTACCTGAGTTAGGTATCTACACACACTCTCCGAGATAGAAATGTAGCCTGTCCAAGGTCAGCAAATACAATATATACCCGGCGCTCTATGACAAAACACATTGCCTAATTAATCCTTTGGCTTCGCGGCTCGAGTAGAGCTATATGTGCACGTGACGTGACTGCTAGTAGCTACTTACTCCTACCTACCTCCCTTGACGGTATCTCGTAGTACATATGTGTAGATGTCCACCGGCATACACCACTCTGCATAAGCCTAACCTTAGGTTGGTAGTTAATTCCCTGCCTCCGTAATTACAGTACCTACTGTAGATATCACTCACATGCCTGGAAAAAAGCAAATGCGATTTCCAAGTGCCTACCCCACACCCCAGAATAGGGAAAACCGTGAGTATTTCAACCTACGTGTCTAACCTTAGCGAGTCCCTGAAGATACCTACCAGGTCCCCTACATCCATGTACAGTATCATCCCATCCCCCCCCCCCCCCCCCCTCGGTTTCTTACCTAGGTACCTAGGCAGGGAAATCCAAGTACATAGGTATGACTATTATCACCTAACACCTCCCAGCAAAGGCTCACCGTTAGGTTCCCACCTACGTTCGGTACCTACCTACCTACCTAGTTAGTTAGGTAGCTAGCTTTATTCACGTAGTTCCAAGATTCCAAGTCCTTCTTCGTCCCCTCGTCTCCACCCTCCCGCTTGAAATATAAGAACGAGAGACGCAGGAATCACTCAACTACACTCCCCCAAAAATCACACAGCTACTCGAATAGCCATCCCCCAATCCATAGCCCCAGACCAAATGACTACAAGGTCAAAGACCGAAAAAAGGAGGAAAATTATCGTTGAGGAGTTAGACAAGCTTGTAATTAGGTTGGGTAGCTAGCATAGAGTACCTACATACAGCAAACAGAACAGTAAGTTGCCCAATACTGTACCTAGTAGTCAGAGAGTCAAGAGAATTAGAGAAGGAAAAAACAGAACTCTAAAGGTTATGAGATTATTGGTAAAAAAAGGGGGGACACCATGGATACTACTAACGCCCCCTCCTTTCCCCGGTTCCTCGATTCCCTTGCTTGCTGACTGACTGACTGACTGATGACTGATTGACTGACTGACTGACTTACTAACCGACCCACAGCATTAACGATAACGATATTGGTAATGGTATCGTAGCTTTGCAAACTTTGCCAGTTTCTCTCCTCCCCTTTCCCCTTACTCCTCCTCCGTGTGTGGTGTGTCCTAATTAACCATGGCCTCTCCCTCGCAACAACAAAAATCTGGCCCCGAAATAACGTGTGTGGGTATGGTATGTGTGGTGTGTAGGATGTTAGGGGGATGTTCTTCAAATGAGAGGACGCGAAAAATATGTGTAGTCGGCCAAACTTCGAAGAGATTTGCCTGAATACGTCGGTTCCTCATGGAGGATGCATGGATGCTAGTCTTTCCTATATGTCCACCAAAAAAAACGCCTTTCATCGTTTCGCAAAATACTTTCTTGGCCCGCTCGACCAAAACTTCAATGTCGCCAACAAATTCTATTATGCTGTGGTTGATCGTTGATTATAGGATGGAGCACTTGTTGCCCTTCTTGGAGGGCCTTTGAGCAGGTCGAGGGTTCAGAACGGCGCTATAACATGTGTTAGCATGTGCTTGTTGATTTCCCTGATTTCTTCTACTAGTTTGAGAGGGGAAGAGGGTATTTATCATACCGAATCGCCTCGTCGAAGACACTCTTCAGATTTCGCTGCGTAAGAGCCGAGCATTCCAGGTACTTGTGGGCACGGATCTCCTTTGCGCAAACGAGAGCTTGATCGTACGAAACAGGTTCCATTCTCTTGGATCGAAGACTCTCCAAGGTAGCAGGGTCCTCTCGAAGATCCAACTTGGTGCCGACCAGAATGATGGGGATGTTGGGCGCGTGGTGATCAATCTCAGGGTACCACTGCGTTGAATTAGCATCCTTTCTATCTAGGTAGGTACATTGATATTGACTCTGATTGGCCAATGTGATTGGATGAATCGAAGGATGGATGGATCGATGTATGTATGTATGTATGTATGTTTGCTGTTTACGTACCTTGGCCTTGACGTTGTCAAACGAGGGCGGGCTCACGATTGAGAAGCAGATCAGGAATACATCGGTTTGAGGGTATGAGAGCGGTCGCAATCGATCGTAATCCTCCTGACCAGCAGTATCCCAGAGTCCCAGGCTGATGGGCTTGCCATCAACCATCACACTTGCCGAGTAATTGTCGAACCTAGGGAGTGATTATCAGCATGCGAAACTAGGATAAGGAAAAAGAGATGGCCAGTCTACTAACACTGTGGGTATGTACTCGCCGGGGAAGGCATTCGTGGTATAGGAGATGAGAAGACATGTCTAGCACGGAAGTTAGACCAGGAACCCAGCTGACTCGAGTCAGTCAGTCGAGGATGGGGAAGGTTGGTATAAACGGACCTTTCCGACGGCACCGTCACCGGTAACGACGCACTGCAGGCAAACTCGCATTAGTATAACTAGATTCATGTAGGTCGATTCATGTCGCGACGTTTGCTTATTGCTTATCGTTCATGGGCGACGTGACGACGTGACAACCAACATACCTTCAACGATTGAACACCAGGAGCTGCCATTGTAGGCGATTTCAAATATTAAATTAAATAACCAGCGACGAAACTGGACACAAGAGAAAACGATTGCAAGCAATTGAACAATTATTGTATTTTGTATCCTTTGGAGTTATTTTTTCTGATGATGGTGATGAAGTTGATTAAGGTATTTCTTCTAGAAAGACTTTTGTCGGCGATAGGATATGATACGGATACGGATACAATCAAGGAGCAGAAAGAGGTGTAGAAGGAGCTGCGTTGCATAAGGGTTAGAAATGTTTTGACACACAAGGGTACGGAAGGGTGTGGTGCCGCAGATCGCAGGAGGTGGAGGGCAAAAGCTGGGCTGGTTTGGTTTGGTTTTAAGGAACTACCCTAGGTACCTTTACCAGACCTACCTAGACCTGCCACTGGCTACCAGACAACTAGATGCACGTATTGGTAGGTGTTACTACAGGTAGGTTAATGCCGTAAGATAGTTAGTACTACTTTTAGTAGTAGCAGCCTGAGAACTACACTAACCTTAGGGGGGCTAAAAGACAACATAATGTTCAATGTTGTATCAACTTGTATGTAGGTACATCAATCATATGTACACCTACATATTTAGTTATGTAGTACATACTAAATACCTGAGTATGAATGGCCGGTACATAACATTCAGTAAGATAAGTAGGGCCCGGCGCTAAATTCTATATGTAATTGTAACTTAAGCTTGTATCGCCATGTACCTTTGGGGTTGCACGGTTCGCAAGCTGGAACGATAGCTGGCTTGGGCAAGGCCTGATAGGGTAGGAGGGAGAACAAGGTAGGGTCAAGTAGGGTCAAGTAAAGCCAGGGTAGGGTACCCCGATAGGGATGCTGGAGCTTCTATTGCACTAGGGGCTTTTTCCCTGACTTCATTGGGGTGAGTGGAGCCGCTCTCACGTACACAACGGCGGCTGATTTGAAGACTTGGGGGGATCGACTATGTAAGTGGGTGGTGGCGCGAGCGTCTCATAGATGGAATTAGATATGCGTAACAGGGAAATCAAATATCCCTTTCTTCTTTATTTCCTATTCTTTTTAGATTTAATATCTCTTTTCTCTCCTTGAGACTAAAAAATACACCGAATTTTATGAGAAGGAAAGGGAGAAAAAGGGAAGGACATAACTGCACTCACCTAGTTAAGTAGCTACCAACTAAGGTATGGGTCAACAGAGAATGACTAGGTACAATTGGGGGGCTTCAAGAGGGGCGTCTCGGGGCGTCTTACTAGACACAAAGGGGATATCAATCATGGATAGATGTCATGATATGAAAATACCTAGTAACTAATATGTATTATATGACAATAACTTGGAATTTACTACACTAGATACGATGTAGGTACGATGTAGATACTAGGACTTTCCTGTCTTTGGCTGAAGACGTTGCAATCACCAAACCACAAACAGTAGAGGGTCCAGAGTCGAGATATCATTCGATATGAGAAACCAATCAGTTTTGTGATTAAGAAACGCCGTCGCAGTTGAGCCCCCTACTACATAGATTTATGTAACTACTTAGCAGTGTATACGAAGTAGTTCTGGAGGTTGGAGTTTGGAGGTTAGAACTTGGAAACATTAGATACATAAGCGCCCCTTGTACAGGGTACATTGATGTAAGTACAATACACTAACGTAAGGGGTAACTTTCAAAGTTGAAGTTCAACGTTGGTCCGAGCACTATTATTGGTTTTTCAAATGTTATTAGCAATTGAGCCTTCCACCATATGAATCTCCATAACTAGATATCTGACGTATGAAGCTTATCACATGTACATCTGTGCAGTTCATCACTTGAACAATTAATGTTCTTTACATATCAATGTGCAACATTAAATGTAATATAGTTATCAGACAACATTAAAGTGAACATCTGCGATATGCTATGTACATATATGTTATTAGCATGGATCACAACTTTAATACATAGTAAATGTTATGGATAGTTATTTGGATGTGAATGGGATAAATACCAGGTACGAAAAGTACGAATATGGATATGAGAGAATAAACCAATCAGGTACGTCCATCTTTACCTATAATTGACCAATGTTCCCCTACTTGAAGTACACATGTGCACTTAGGTGGTATGATTTGATTAGCATATTTCCATGTACATGCATATTGCCTTGTAGGACCTGTGCCATCACAAGTGGCTACATCTGGATACAATCCTGTAAAACGATTGGATTTACCAAGACTACATTTGTACCCGCTCTGCATGTGCATGTAAGTATGCGGCTAGTTGAGCAGGCAGGTAAGATCACATACATGACCCTCCAGATAGCTATGTACGTAGCTAGCCTATGTAAGCACTATATAGTTGATGTTGCTCTAAACTACCAAATATCTCTGAATCTGATACTTCTAGACATAGTTATGTATAATTGCTAAAGCCTTGCAAGACCTAATCATCATAATTCTTAGTACATAATCATTCCGAGGCAGTACGAAGATAGATGGGATATGATTCGATGACCCCAGGTTAGGCATGACTTGAAGCGTGTTTTGTAATAGCCAACTTGCTCGCTTACAGCACCCATGAATCTCTAGACTTGTCGCCTATCGTAAAGTCCGGGGTGCTTTGGGCCCTTGGATTTTCTTGCATCAAGCTAGAATGATAGGTTTTAGTGATTCGTTAAGTTACCTACCGAGGGTCTACCAAATCCCGACCTAGCTGGCTGACGAATATGAGACCCCGAAATTGTTCGATTTGTATTTTAGCTCCGTGAGAAAGCTTTGCTAAGTTGCTAACCCTATGCTAACCAAGCCGTTGACTTCTCGATGGACAGACTAATGAGCATTAAGGATATTAAGCCAAGTTGGCGGGCCTGGACTCTGGAGAGCCGCCTTAAAGCCACTGTTTTACACACTAATACCTACCCAGATAGTTATATACTAGGTGATGATTGGTTTGTCCGAAGTTTGTATAATACGCTGGATGTTTCTCACAATCTATTATATCTTATATCTCCTTACTACTATGGCACTTATACTATGCTAGTTGCATACTAAGAGAAACAAAAGACCCGAAAGACCCAAAAGACCGGCCAAGAGTTAAAGTTAAAGAACGTAAATTTGAACCGAGGGGACGGAACGTTGATAGATATTAGTAGTTGGTGGTAGCTTACTACCTAGATACATGTACCTACCTAGAGTAGCGTCTTGTATTAGATAGCATTTTGAGGATGGAAAATGGAAAATGTCGTCATATGGGTATTCTTACAGTCATGCGACATCTCGGAACTTCCAGGGTTCCAACGAAAGGAATCGAAAGCGTTTCAGGTCGTTCTTGACTCCAGGTTTTAGAGACGGCGCTGTTGAGAAAGTCGCACCAGAAAGTTTTGGCGGCGGTAGCTGCAGGCATGGATGGACCTAGAAACACTAGAACCCCTCAGTGCCCCCACCTAACCTACCCTAGGTACGTAGGAGACAGTGCGAGACGGCCACGTGCAGTCCCTGCTTCTCAAGCTCGGGGCATCAATATGCAATTGGATTCTAACAATTTTGAATTTTAGTTAATAGTTACCACCTGGGTACTGTATTGAGGTACCTAATTAATAGCAATCATTTGCAGCAAAACGCGTCTAGGCAAGCCCTAAATCGCGTCAAAGATTGAATCAATCATACCTCCAGGGCTACCTACCAAGGTACTTATCATTATACCCACGTCATTCAATGATTCCGATATACAATACATACATGTTCAACAACTTTAAACTTCCTATTTTCATCACATTACCGATTATTGGGCGCGGATAGATATCAATTGGGCGGGGAGTCGAGGTTAAATAGATTTTACCTACTTAGGTGCATACACAAGCTATCATGATCTAGATCGTGACTCCTACAAAGAAAGTCTCGCGGATCAACAAAGTTGCTAGCTGTGCTGGCTAGATACCACTAGCCTCGAGTTAAAGGAAAAGGCTATACATCGCCACGATGGCGGACTCATCTACAAACAACAGCCGTACCCCCAATGCCACCACCCCTCGAACCCTGATAACCCCAAACCGCCGTGCCATCAGTGCCGATCCCACTTCAGGTCTCCGTCTTTCCGTCTCCGGTCGCCGCAATAAACCCAACACACCACATGCCCGCGCCGCTATTCGGGCTATCGACCAACGGCGCGCGGCTCTTTTCACGCCTGGCCGTGGAGGCCGCCGGCGGAGTGTCGCACGCGAGCGCCAGCGTGAGACGCCGCGAGACCTGCTGCGGAACCTTAGTCGGGTTCTAGCACCGACCTCGACCGCCGTGTCCTCGTCCTCATCGTCCCCGGGGGCAGATGCCAACTTAACATTACAGACCCTCCCGGAGGAAGGTGATGATGATGACGATGATTTCCCCATCGAGCGGCCACGCTTCTCGCTCAACTTAGACCGCGACGACGATGACGATAGCGAGCTCAAACCCCCTCGATCTAGTATATTGGAGGATGAGAACTATACAGTGCAGTCAATCGAGTTGCCCCGTCGAGCTTGGAGCGAGGCTCCGCTGAGCCGCTTAGACCGAGGAAGTTATGGGAGCGTGAGAATGAGTGATTTTGCGGGGCCGGACATAGGCGACGATGATAACGATGTTGGGATTGATTCAGGATTTTTTCCACCGCCGGCATTAGATGACGATAGTGGAGGGCTGAATTTTGACGAAGACGCCATAATTGAACGGTACTGTTCTCGACACTTTTTCCATTTTTTACTATTTGGAAAGCTAATGTTGGTTTAGGGTGGACGATGATACAAGACGTCTGACTATAGGGGGGCAGGACGACTTTGGCCCGATTCAGATACCTGACCTTGGAAATGAAAGCACCTTTGTTATGGCTCCAATGGAATCGCCAACTCGAGAACAAACGATGACGGAGGGTCTAGAAATGGGAGACATGCCTCAAGCAGAAGACTTCGGCGATAGTGACATAGGGGAGCCATTTGGATCACCGGGGGGGGAAGAGGATGATGCCAACGAGGTGATGAACGACACGATAATATCCCAGCGAATTCCTACTCCACCGACACAGAGAGGGTACTCAAGGAGGAAAAATGGCAAGAGGATATCGAGGCACGGCATTGAGTACCCTTCCCTTCCACAGGGAGTGGTGAAACGATTAGCGACGACACTTGCCAAAACAGCTGGAGTGAGCAAGGCTAAGATTAGCTCTGATACTTTGGATGCGATCATGCAAGCGACGGATTGGTTCTTCGAGCAATTAGGAGACGACCTATCAGCCTATGCCAGACACGCTGGCCGAAAGACCATTGACGAGAGTGACATGATGATGCTCATGAGAAGGTATGTTCCTATTATAGAGCTTCCTTGCGATCCTGCGAGAATTCATATCTCATCTTTTTAACCGTATGGTGCAGACAACGACAGACTAGCACATCTACGACGCCATTTGCCTTGGCACAACGACATCTACCTAGAGAACTACTACAAGAGTTGCGCATGTCAGTACCCCCACCGACGAAAGCTCCTCGGAAAAAACAGCCTCGACAAGTGGAGGCGGAAGAGGAGGAAGTGACATGAAGCTAGGTCGGTCAAGTCCTAGATTTCATTATATCAAAGGATTGTATTACATTTATGCGCAGTCAAAGAACCTAAGACCATTCCTTGTTCATCCGCACTCGGCGTGTGATGTCTGTCGGAGGCTTCTTGACTACCATGTAAAACATTATCGATGTTGCCACGGCGAGACCATACCTAGGGTATATTAGTACAGAGGCGTGGGGATGAATAAGGTGGGGGGGAGGGGAGATGGGAATGGATGATAGCTTACCAGGTGAAGATGTACTGGGCGTGGTTATTCCTCAAGTTGACCTCTGCCGGCCTACCAATGGGAATGCCCTTACTTTCCATGTCTATAACTTGGAGCAAATGCGGCTCTGCGATGTAAGAAATAAGATTAGCCGAGTCGTTTCCCTCTCGTCCGAGAAAGAAACATAACATTCAAATAAATAAAACGAAAGATAAATTAAATGCACTTACCCATAGTCTGCTCAACCCACACAGCCTGGCTCCCCGTCAACTCGGCCATCTGCTTGACGTCCGGGAAGTAGAACTCGCCTATATCGGGCCTGTTGTCCGGCGTGAACATGTTCTTCTTCCACGGCTCCCGCAGCAACCCCTCGACCTCGACCTCCCCCCTCGGCAGCGCCTCGGCCGGCCTGTCCTTCTGCCACCGGAACTTCTTCGCGATCCACCCGCGGTTGACCAGCACCGTCGTCTGACCCGTGGCGTCGCCGTCCCGCTCCAGCGGCGTGATCACCATGTACCCCTGCTCGCCGTCGCGCATCCGCGGCCCGACCAGCATCTCCCTCTCGTGCCTGTACCTGCCCCTCGCGCGCACGCGCCTGTAGTCGAAGTCGTGGATCGCCTCCGGGTCCACGCGGGGCGGCAGCGGCAGGGGTTCCCGCACAATCCGGTCCTCGAACTTGGCGATCAGCTCGGTCTTCCAGCCGAGCCGCTGCACCTGCCAGGTCCCCAGCACGAAGGCGGTCACGGGGATCAGGGCGAGGATTATGAGGCCGGGGCCGTGCTGGCGGCCGCCGGAGCGCACGAGCTCGGGCGGGTTGTCGAGGATCGAGGTGAAGGCTGGGTCTTCGGCGGGGGGGCGGATGGCGCGCGGGGTGGTGTGGGTGAAGGGGCGGCGGAGGATGGGGTGGGTTTGGGTGCTGGAGGATGGCGAGGGTCGGAGGGTGTTGTTGCTACTGTTGTTGCGGCGGCATGGTGCTTGCGAGGTGTAGCTGTGGGAAGAGGAGGAAGAGCGAAATTGGGCCTCGAGGGACTTCTCGACTCGTCGAGCGAGCGATTGAGGTGTTAGACACCTATGTGACTTCATTGCGTCGCAGATACCTAGAATAGTTCACCTCTCGTTCAATATTGATCATGTTCAATATTGATTATTATGGACAATTAATTCCTAGGCGTGGCCCCGACGATGCAATGCGATAATGACGTTCATTTTTCTTCCTAGTTGGTAGAGCTCTCTTATTGGCTAAAAGATTCGCAAAGCTGATAGAGTTGATGGTTGGTGGGGCCGCCCGCGGGGAGTGGACCGTGTTTGCTTCCGCCTCCCATATAAAATGCTATACCGTCTAGTACTATTTAGGTTTAGAAGCAAGACAGCTAGCAGTAGCTTGATCTTGGCGCCTCAATACACGCAACAAATGATCTTATTAACAGTTTACATACATAGCACATACATACATACATACTAACCTAACCTATGTATATGTAACCGACTTCATAACACTTTCATCCAAAGAGCTTTTTCAATAAATCAACGAAAACGAAAACATTGGGTGCCGATTTGGAATTTGGCCACCTATGGAAGAATGAATTGCCGAGACTGAATTTATCAACGACATAGGACGTGTGCTCAAGGCATCTATTGAGATTCGTTGCATCCATACCTGGAGTCTGGCCTAGCCTCCATACTCAGACTTAATTCTGAAGCTTTATATTACTTTAATCATATAATCTTATATCTGAGGCCGAATCCATGGAGAATAGCGTATTCTTCCAAGGCAGCCTGCAGGATGGCATCTCCCTTGCTATCCAGCAATCCAAGATGGTGCTTGCCTTCGTGACCGGTACGTTCGAGGTCATGAATCGCCTCCTACATATACCACTTGCATTCATCTAGGCTGACACACATGTAGATGGTGGAGATGAAAGCGAGATGTGGGAAAATGAACTTCTCACAAACACTACCGTATGTGAAACCATCCGTTACACTTGAATGCCAAGACTAACATCATGTAGCTAAAAGCACCGCTTGAAAGCAAAGCTGTGTCCCTGAGACTGCCAGCAGGTTCCCAAGAAGCAGGCTTTCTAGAGGCCTTATTCCCTGTACCGAAGAAGCCAACCGTAGTCATCATTCAGTGTGTCTCCGTTCTTTCCAGGTAGCATTTAAAGAGCCCCTCACTTACTCATTTCACAGAAACGGCACGCTTAAAGAATACATCCGTGGTGGTGGTCCGGGTGGCTCCTCGAAGGAAGATCTTGTGAATAGAATTGCGAAAATTCTTACTCCTCCAGCACCAGCGGAGAGTGGGGCTCAACCGACGACATCGAGCTCAGCAGGCCGAACTTTGAATCAGGGCCCAGCAACACCGGCCTCCCAGGCTCCAGCTTCTACCAGGAATAGCGTAACAGATGACTTATATGATGATTATGATGATGTGCCTGCCCCTGTAAGCTCTAGTGCGCCAACAGGAAGCTCTGGGCAGCCTCAGCAATCGCCACAAGTTCAGGCTCTTCTTGCCGAGCGAGCGAAGCGCTTGGAGGCTGACAAGAAGGCCAAGGCTAAAGCGGAAAAGGACGCCCGAGCTAAGGCTCGTCAAGAGGCCAATGAAGCCCACGAGGGACAGTCGTCGAATGCCAACCCCGCAGGGAAAAGTTATGCAGAGGAAATACGACAGAAGAAAATTCAGGCAGCAGAGGAGAGAAAGCGTATCTTAAAACGTATCGAGGATGATAAGCAAGAGCGAAAGGAACGCGAAGCCCAAGAGAGGCAAGCTAGATTGCTACTGAGCGCAACTCAGGATGGAGAAGGACCAAGTTACCAGGCCCCGCCTATCCCCCTTCCAAGAATACAAGGGGGCGCGAAGGGGGGAGACCGCTGTAATCTACAGATACGACTCTTCGACGGTTCAACAATTCGCACCCAATTTAAGAGTGATGCCACATTGAGCAAAGATGTGAGAGATTGGATCGACGAGGATAGAACTGATGGCGACGCACCATATACGTTTCGTATCGTCCTGACACCTCTACCCAACAAGGCCATCGAGCCCGCTGAGGAGTCCGAGTCTCTGCTATCTCTTGGCTTAGCCCCTTCCGCAACACTCGTCCTCGTCCCATCCAAGCACGCCTTAGCCTATACGCGCTCCAATGGCTTCATCTGGCAAACCCTAGCCTACATATTGGGCATATTCGGTGCTGGCTATGGTCTAATCACCAGCGTGTTCGGCGGCTTCACGGGTATGTTTTCTGGCCGCGGAGGAAACAGACAGGAAGGTATTGCTATGCAGAATTTGGCTGGTGGTAGATCAGCATCACGCATTAGGGGGTTCCAGAATGCTGATGACCAGAGACGGGATGCGCAGCTGTATAACGGGAATTCGGTAGGTTTGCCCTGAACTGTTGTTGCTTACATTTGGCAACCTTTCCTTCTATTTGTTTACTAACGTTGGATAGTTGAATTTTGAACCTCGGCGAGATGACGAGGATGAGGATAACGATGGCAGGTAGTTGAGTGCTTGTACTTATAGGAGCAGTGTGTGTGATGTGCTGGGATGAGGAACAAGTGTTGATAGGAGATTGTGTACTCGTATTAACTACCTAGATACCGCTAGCGCCTTCATGTTTTGAAGTAGCTATGGTTAATTTTATTGGTGCTGTTTGAAGTAAATGAAGACAGCCTTGCCCTTTGGTGCTTCGCTCTTCTGTCCATGTCATGATCGTCGAGGGGTGTGTGTGTGGCTTAGTGCTTGAGTTGGGGATGCCCATGATCTAGGTTAAGAAAGTTCCCTAGTTACCCCTAAGGCTGGCATAGCATGTGCTACTATTAGCACTGATAACTCTTCTTATTAACCCCTATCTTACATCTGCCGTCTAAAATGTCTGAATTTACCAAGATAGGTCTATCGCGGTATCTTCTCCCTTAAACCGTTTACTCAAGAATCATCAAGTCAGACACCCCCGAAGGCCTGGAGGCTGGAGGCTAGAGGCTAGAGGCTAGAGGCATGAAGGCTTATCTCTTGACAGTCCTCGAAGTATTTATTACAGGATGAATGTGGAAACCTAGGTAGGTACCCTAGGTAAATAGTTCATATGCTTTAGTCCGTTTTCATGCACGAAGGTTTGTATTATCGTTTGATATTTGGTAGTTTAATAGATTTGAGTACGAGCAGTTGCCCCATCGTTGCTCCTTAGCCTGTGTAGAGGCATGCATGGTCTAGTAGACGGGTCCCCAAGACAAGCCTTTCAGATACACTGCATGTATGGTCAATGGGGAATATGTACCTAGGACTAGGTAGTCACTTATATTTAACATAACACACTTGAACCCCATGATCCATTTATATACTATAATTAGCTAATACCTAGTATCGTGCTTCCATTTTGTCTATCGTGGATTCACCCAACTCAGACACTCACTCACAGCCTACTAGGGTAGATCAGCCCACCTTCTTCAAGCAACATCTAGGCAACTACCTTCCCCACCAACCCCCTCAGAGAGTTCCCCAATCTCCTCCTCAGCAGTAGCCAAAGCATCGAGCTGATCTTCCATTTGCGTGAGCGCCCCCTTCAGCGGCGCGCGAGTGCGTTTTCGGTCAGCGGCCGACATGGACCGGTAGTACTCGACCAGGTGCGGTTTGTCGGGCACAGCCAACACGCCGCCATGGGCGAAGTCGACTTCCTTGTCGTTGCCGTTCTGCGCTGTGTCGGCCGCGTACAGCGCGTCTAACTGGTTTACTAGGAGGTCGCAGGTGCCTTCTAGTTGCTCGCGAGCAGCGGTTCGCTCAGCTGGGGACATCGCTCTGTAGTGGTTAACTAGGACAGGGCTGATGAAGGTGGCGGGTTGGGGTAGAGGTGAGTACGGCGAGGCTTGGGGGGCGGAGGGAGGGGGGGAGGGAGAGGGGCGGTAAGCAGGAAGGGGAGGAGGAGGAGGATGTGAGGTAGATAGGTCGTGGGCGCCCGGATCCAGGGGCACGAATAATAACCCGGAGTCATCTGTATATCAGACTAGTTAACATCTTCTCGCCTTCTCGTGCGAGTTTCATCGCATACCATATCTAAAAGAACAATAGATCCCATTTCCGTTATAATAGCAACAGCAGCAGGCGCCTTCCAGGGGATCAGGCTGATGGACGGGAAGACACGGCGCAACCACACAGAGGTTCCAGATGCCAAGCCCGAAACTGCAGCTCACGCACCTCTCAGCTCCAGATTGCACGATCCCGCAGGTCTGGACACACGCTGCGAGGAGGTTTTCTGTGCGAGTATTGTGTATCAGCAAGATGTGTATCAGCAAGCTGCATGTGTTGTGGTTTTCTTATATCTTAGCAACAACTGACTGACTGACTGACTTTCCCCTTGAGGACCGGATATGGAGAAGGGAGCATAATCCGGCTGCTGGAGGTTCGCCATGATCAGGTTGCTAGCCGGCCGGTCTAGAAACCATGCAAAAGGCTCCTGTTCTGGAGGAGGCAGCTGGGCTAGGAAGGGGTAGGTTTGGGTGACTAAAGACCACACTGTTGGGACCTCTGTAGGTGATGTACAAATGTCTGTTAGCCACCATGATAGAAGAACATTAGGATGTAAGGTTTTAATGTATGTATAGCACCTACGAGGAGGAAGACCGGGAGAGAGAAGGCGAAAGGGACGATGGAGGGATTCGTGAGAAAACATCATCACATCTTCTTCCCCTATACTATCGGACGAGCTTGAAGAGATTGGAACTGGCATGATTATTGATTACTTATATACAAAAAAATTATCGTCCAACGCTTCACGATACATATATCATTCCAACATTGAAGTAGATACATATCTAGGCAGGCAGGTATATATGCATTTTACAAACGCGACTTCTACCTAAAATTATCGACAGCCTTGCGAGAGTCGTCCGCGTCCCATAGCTACCTATCCAAAAGAGAGATCGGTATGCTACTATGCATTTGTTTGATCATTGTCTGCCTATATATGTACATGGGGCCAATAATGAGGAGACAGGGGTTTGTCATTTGGAAGTTGATTGATCAGATTTCCTGGCTTGCCTTGCAGTGATGATTGATGTCTACATCAAGTATGCACATATGTAGTTATAGAAGGAGGTACTATAATGCATATAAGTATAATGCATATAAGTATAATTGGTGTGATTATATGTTATACCGTTATACCGTATGAACACTGGGCCGTATAAACACTGGGCAACATACAGTCAAAGCTTCAACCACCCCACTAACCTACTTTATCATCACAAACCCCACCACATGCAGCTACGTACATAGTACACAGACAGAAAACCGTAAAAACAGCAAGAAACATGGCAGACGCAGAATTAGAACAGGTCAGTTACGAGCCTGCCACTTCGACATTCGGGACTAACACCTCTTATTCTGTAGATCCGAAAAGCGCGCCTGGAGCAGCTCAAGGCGCAAGGCGGCGGCGGCGGTGGTGGTGGTGGGGCAGCAAGCTCAGGCGGCAGTCGCGCAGACCAAGCCGAGCAAGCGAAGCAGTGAGTTCCATCCAGTCCATTCCAGCGCCAACATATTCTACCACATATCTCTATCGACTTGCATACCACCCATTTTGCTGACAAGTGACAAAAACAAAAAAAAACAGACAAGAATCCGAAGCGCGCCAGTCGATCCTCAACCAGATCCTGCACCCGGAAGCCGCCGACCGGCTGGGCCGCATCCGGCTCGTGAAGGAGGAGCGCGCCACCGACGTCGAGAACCGCCTCATCATGCTGGCCCGCACGGGCCAGCTGCGGCAGAAGGTCACTGAGGCCCAGCTGAAGGAGCTGCTGAACGCTGTGGCGGAGACTAAAGAAGAAGAAAAGATCGTGGTCAGCAGACGCAAGGCGTGGGATGATGAGGAGGATGATGATTTGTTGGATTTGTGAGGGGGTGGTGGATGGTGAGAAAAGGGGTTTCTTGGGCCATGGGTGCCTACATGAAATACGGATGTACGTAAGGCTGGCTGATGAGGAGAGGAGAGTGTGCCTTAGGTGATAGCACAGCACAGCAGAGCACGGCATGGCATGGCGTTTTAGGGGAAAATTAGGACCCAAGGGTGGATGACATCCTTTCTATTCGGTCTAGTATACTTACACATGCATACTAATGACACAAATTGCTTCTTCTCCTATACACATGTAGCATCTACCAGGTACCTACCTAGGTTAGGTGGTGCCTTACTCAACTAGCGACAGCCTGCGCAACAGCAGCCTCCTTCGCCCTCTTCCTCTCGGCCTTCTCCCTCTTCCGCATCTCCCTCAAATCCGGCGGTCTCTCAATGCCCAGCCTCCCCCTCAGCGCATCCACATCCGTCTCCATCTCCTCCTCCCAGTAGACATTGATGACCTCGTCGCTCCTTAACCCATTGCGCAGCGCCCAGGGGCCGTAGATGCTGAAGAACCTGCCCCTCTCGGCGGGCTTCAGCGTCGCGACCGCCAACAGCGAGAGCCCCGTCATCGGCAGCAGGGTGTTGGCGAACTCGAACGCCTTGAGCGCGACCTCGCCCTCCCGCACGATGGGCAGCCCGGTCAGCGCGTGGTAGAAGTCGTGCGACTCCCGGTACCGCTGCATCACGTACGCGCATTCTTCGTCGTCGATGTACCGCACGCTGTCCCGCGTGTCTGGGCTCACGCCCTCCCGGTCCAGCCACGACACGTACGTCCCGCCTACCGTGTTGCTCGGCAGCGTTCTCAGGCGGGGGAGGTCCAGCGAGGCGGAGGTGATGCGCGGGCGCTCGCGCAGGATCCGTCGGCCGGTGGGGGAGGAGAGCATGGCGCGACGGAGCCGCTCGATGAAATACGGTGTTGCGGTCGCTTCGCCGAGGGCGGCGATCATGTCCGCCCGGTACGGGTTCAGGAGGGAGGTCACGCCGGAGCCGACGGCGAGGACGGCGCGCTCGAGGCGGGTGAGCGGGACATGGCCTGGGTAGTTTGGTGGCGGGCGGTTGAGGACGGAGAACTGCCGGTTGCTAGTTTTTGTGTGATGTGATTTCTCGTTGCTGCTGGTGGCCAGGCATAGTGGTGATATGGTTGTCCTTGCTGATATCGACAATGATTTCACGTGATGTGTCGGTTGAAGAATATGTCTACTCGGTACGGAGGGTAGACGAGGTGTAAAGGCTTTCATCTTGGTAGACTAGACTGGAAAGCCTAGCACTCACTTCCAGGGCTCATCGAGCTTGTTTTGACGTATTAATGGTATTTCCTTTGCACTTGTAGACTTGTACGTACGTCTATAAATGTAGGTAAACGTATGATCATGAAGCTCACTAGAGGTACTATGCATGTACTATGCATGTACTACTAGGTATGCATGTACCTAGGTAGTAACAGACTTACAATACTTACATAATTTATGGATACAGTGATAGTTACATATATCCAATTCAGCTGATTACCGACATCCAGCGCCCCACGTGGGCCATAGATGACCGATTGACGCCTCCCCATTGGCCACTACGCCACAGGTTCTTAGGCATGTAGCACTTGCATCCCGGACCGCTGCAGCTTTTGCCTCGATAGTGCATTTTTCTTTAAATCCGACACTACCGACGTCTTTCCGTCTCCTTCCAACCTTTTTTTTACCCTCCACCTCAATACTACCGAAAACATATTTTGAAACACTCTTTTACTACTACCTACATCTTCATTCACTTAATCAACTATATTCCAGCTACCAAACAAAAACACCAATAACTCACAATGGCTCGTAATCGCTCCGTCGGCCGATCCGCTCCCGCTCGTCCCACCGTCCCTGCGCGGGCACCGGCTCCTCAGCAAAAGCGACCTGCGACCACCTATGCCCCGGCGCAAACTGGCCAGCAGCACCCTCCCGCCGCTGCTGCTCCCCAGGCCTCGCAGGGCCCTGGTCTGTTCGGCCAGATGGCCAGCACTGCTGCGTACGATTCTCCCTTTTTTTCTTTGTCTTATTTTCTCTCCCTCTCTCTTCCGCTGTCGCATTATGTGTAAATTCAATCGCTAACATACCCCGTCACATACAGTGGTGTCGCAGTAGGCTCCTCCATCGGCCACGCCATCGGCGGCCTCTTCGGCGGCGGCAGCTCCGCCCCCGCCGAGGCCGCGCCGCAGCAGGTCAACGCCGAGCAGTCCAACAACCAGTTCAGCAACAACTGCCAGGGCGCCACCCAGAACTTCACCAAGTGCCTCGACGACAACCAGGGCAACATGCAGATCTGCGGCTGGTACCTCGAGCAGCTCAAGGCCTGCCAGGCTGCTGCTAGCCAGTACTAGACTTTCTCTCAGAGATGAGAAGGAATGGATGAGGGATGAGGCATGGAAAAGTCGCGGGTAAAGGAGAAATATAGCTAGGAATGGCTAAACAGTATTTTGCCTAGGTACCTACCTACTCGACTTGTGAGAAGAGAAAAAAATACAGAAGAGATTCTCTCCTTCGTACATACATGTCGGTCTCTGCTACTAATTTACTGCGAGCGAGCGCGTCACGACATTCAGTTGTTCATATTGCAGAAAAGAGAAAGAGACCTTTGCTTGGGTCGTTGCTCTGTATACCTACCTAAGGTACTCCTGATATTCCACTCTTGAGTACATCCTCACACTCTTCGTTGCTCATGATTGCTACGATCTCTCTGTGATATGCCTAGTTATGATTCTATTCGACTTGTGACTATGGTATGTGACTCAATGTAGATAGATGATTACTACTAGGTAGGTATGTGGTAGACACCAAGAAATGATATTGGTGGCAAGTATACGTGTTCATAATATGGAATTACAAAGATACCTAACCTACCTAGGTAGATAAACACTCAACAGTTGACTTATCTCCGATGAATCCGCAAAGGTTGATGAGCCCCTATTTGACTCATGGCAACTGTCCTACCTAGCAATTAAAATAAGGAGGCTATAGTATACCTACATCCGATAAATTTCATGTGGTAGGCATCCAGTGGCATGCCTGAATTTGGAGTCGCTTGCACGGCTACTCACTTACGAGACTCGAGATCGAAATCCAGAGTCACTATCCCCCTTATTTCGTTTGCTCTCCCTTGGATAGGCAGTATTCATTCTATTTTTCACTCTACAGCTTTCCATCTGCGTTTCAATGCAAAGCCATTAGCACATTTTTCACGTATTCAAGTTTGCAAAGCCTTCTATACAACTAGTAGCATAGTTGGAGTATGCCCAAATGTAATAGGTTTTTTCAAGGTTCTCTCTATTTTATTATGTTTTATGTAAGTTACTACAATAATGTAGTAACTATAGAACCGAGACCTCGGCTCACATATCGTGAATTGGAGGAAGTCCGATTTTATCAGCAACCCTATTCTTGAGGGCCAATGCTTCTAAAGAAACACCTAAGTTCCTAGGTTAAGTAGTTCTATCAGATTCGTAGGCTGATGCTTGATGCGTGGCGCTTGTGAGCGCAAGCAGTCTTTTGCCTCGAAATATTCCTTGTATCATGGATTTTTTTTCTTCCGTCGTAACAGCGTTACTGACCCAGTAGATAACTTATTAGTTCTACTTTGGATATCCCTTGATACACCACAGTAAAGGCTGCAGAGTACTCACTCAGGCTTTCGGAAATGCCGGGTATCTGTTCGACTTTCTATCGTGGATGGCAAGACATCATATCCCACTTCCCCATACCGACTTCAACTGAGGATATATGTATGATAACGGAGATGGTACGTCTCTCTTCACTTGTCAAATTTTCTGTTCTTCTTATCCTTGTGCTTCTTCCCTTCCTTCTTTTCCGTCCTACTCTTCTTTTGTGATGTTTCTGCCGCAGCGTCTTTGGCATTTGATCCGGCACTTGGTTCCTCTGAGATACTGGACTCTCCAGCTTTACGCTTACCACCAGCCGTGGCCGCCTTAAGCGCAGCCTTCGCGCGCTCCTTAGCAATCATTTCGCTTAACGTAGTATTGAGCTCGGCGTTGTTGTTTTCAGCTAGATCTGCTCGAATGAATCGAATGGCGGCTTCCTTGTTGAGAGTCTTCTCAGGTTTCTGCGGTGGGTTTTCAATATTCTTGATCTTTTCAAAGTATTGCCGTACTCGAGTTAATTCCTTGAAGACGGGATGTTCTTTTGCGTTAACGCCGTTAAGTCTAAGAGAGGCTGAAATAGTTGGATGGTCAGTTTATTAACATTTGCAATAATATGGGGCATTACGCGCATACAGAACAGCATAGACTCGATCGCATAGGTCATAAGCACATAGAGCTTAGCCTTGTCGAGCAAAGGCAGCTTGGTGGCCACATCCGACACGTTATGAAGGATGGGTTGGAGGGCCGCCTCTAGACTATCGAGTTCATCGTCAAGATGATCTAGTTCGGGTGATATATTATTAGGATCCATATTGGCAACATGCGATAAGCAACAAGCGTTGTGAGCTTGGGCTTGAGCTTGAGTTTGAGTTTCAGAAGAACTTCAATGTTGCTGTGATGTTTTGTGAAGATGCGACAAGGTGCAACAATTCGAACTAGGAGTCTCGAACGAGTTGCAATTAGATTGGCACGCTAAAGAATTATGGCGGTGACTGATGGCAGAATCCTTATCAGCTAATCTAACCAATCATGATGATTATGTTTTTTGAACTCATCCTAGCGCAAATCAATCGTCACAAAGCGGGACCCATCAAAGAGAAGAGAAGAAAATTAAAGGTTTTATGCCGGCGTCATAAAAGAATTTTACGAATTTTATACTTACAACGTGCCAACCCAACCAAACAAAAAAAAAATTCTTAATGAAAGGGACCTTTTCTATTTGTTACGGACTAATTAATCTTGGTTGGGTTTTAATAAGATTTTGATATTATTCTCTACATTTTCCTTCCTCTGTCAAAACCGTCAATGGTAACAGCATTCGCCTCTCCAAATGTGTTGACGAACTGTTCGCCATTCTCGCGATACTTCAACCTCGGCCATCTCAATGACATGACAGAAGGCGGATAAGCCGTACCAAGTCTCCACACTGTATTCTCTTCTTCTTCTTCGCCGGCCGCTTTCGCGGGCTTCAGCGCGAATACCTAGCACAACCAACATATGGAATCGCGATAACCTCTTCGTGGGCCGGGGGGCCACCACATCTCTGTCTGCCGCCGTCGCTACCTTAACCTTAGACCTGCACCCGCGAATTGACGGATTCCAGTTTGATCCTCCTGTTTATTACCCCCCCAATATAGCACGAGAGGATATCGCCAAAAACTTTCCGTTCTACGCACCGCCACCGCCAATACTACCCAAAATCATTTACGTCCCGCATCACATATCCAACGGGCCGGGTCGAAAATGTGCCTATTACCCAGAAGTGGCAGAGGCGAGATCTGAGGCGCAATCCAAGGCATCGGCAGAGACTGCGGCAGAGGCAACGGCAGAAGCTGTGACAGCAGAAGAGCAGATAGAAGCTGCAGTCCAAGTTCAGGCTGCTAGGCCTCTGCCCCGGCTTAAGCTTTCCAACAAGATATACGTCCTTGGCTTTAACACGGATGCTAAATTTATTGCCCACTCCCTCTCTAGCGTAGAGAAGCTACCTCCTGTTCAGCTGCTTACTCATAATACTCTTACTCTAAGAAAATGGGGAGAGGAGGGGAGAGCTATTACTGTTTACACCCAGGATGGAATTCCGTCTACCCAGCCTATTCGTTGCCCACAGTACATCCCCCGTCGACATGTGCCATTGAGACAACCTCCCATCATGGACAATATTGTTGTCAGCACCGTCACTCAGGCCATCATCCCTACCCTGTTCAACCTTCGTCTCTATATTGACCGTCGAACCACTCTCTGCATACTCCATCCAGGGCTCGGATTGATGGAGGAATTGAATGACATCGTCTTTCCGAACCCAGCATTGAGACCAAACTACATATTTTGTTACAGCAATCATAAACTTGCTAGGTCCACGGCGGGAAAATACTCTATCGACCATATTCCGGGAAATCTCGTTTGCCATGCTGTTCCTAGGGATGATGAGGCGAAAGGCTTGGATAAATGGACATCCGACGCGCTCAATCAAAAACATACTCGGCATATGATTAGTCTCCTATCTACATCCGAAACTCTGAATGTAATTGGTCTGCCTTGGCCATCATTCCTACAGCTGAAGCTACAAGACATGATCTTCTACTCTCTTGCGGATACCATCTCGGTTATGCTAGGCTGCCGATATGATCAAATCAGGACTGATCGACACGCCATGACTTTATGGGAGAGCATGCTAAAGGAAACTTTAACTATCGTCGTGTCACTTCCAGAATTTCACGAACGTCCATACATGCTTGGTGCCACCGGTTTCGCTAATACCAACTATCCAACCAAGCTCAAGAATAGGCTAACAAGGCTTGGAACAGAATGCAGTAAGTGGATTTCGATGATCCGCCGGGGGAATATGCCTCCGGTAGACCTCATCAACGGCTACTTTATCCGGAGAGCTAAAGAGCTCGGGCTCAGCCACGCCCATAACAGCTTCGCGGTTGAGCTTGTTAAGGCTAGGTCGAGAGGCAGGCTCAGGGAGCTCAATAACTCCATCCCACTGGGCTTGATGCCTTATATGGCTGATACGGATCGCATCGGAGGCGGGCAGGATAAGGTCGACCCGAAACTAGATGTGGATGCAGACGAGTTATGAATGGCACTGGCCCACGCCAGCGCTTGTATATAGTATTGTATTGGTAAATGATTACACGCATATCACTTGTATAGCAATGAATTGGAGTTGTCTGCTCTGTTGCATTGGTGAGGTCTTCTGTGCAGTCATGGTGTTAGATGTAGTCGTGGACCATACGGCTACAGGAGGCATTATATAGAAATATCCATATATAGAATATTAAGATAACTGAATGATTTCTCATACCCGAAAAGTCTTTGCTGATAAGCAAGTCACCTTTCAGTATCGTATACCTACTGTGTAGTCAATGTCATCAACATGTCCTTGAGGGGTCACACTAGCGAGGTTTCTAGTTTCAGCTTGACTTGGGCAAGATATAAAGATATAGGGCTGAGTCGTATAGAGGAGCATCACCCACCCTCTTGAGGCGGAAGCCAGGTGTGTTAGTGCTAATATATTCCAGTTCTCAGTTGTGTGAATATGGTATTTCGTATATAGGCCTAGGCACCTACCTGAGCACCTATTTATGTCCTAACTACCTCACTATGGCTTCACACTTTACGCTGTACCTCTCCATAAAGTAACGAGCAAACTGAAGTTTTTCTGGGCGTCCCGGAACGGGAACCTAGAGGGCGTAGAACAACATCGTTATTTCGCAGGAATCTCCAACATCTCCCTATAGACCATGGAGGCTACGTATACGTGTGAGCTAACTATATTCATTCTATATAGCCCCCCGTGTAGACCCGATGAAGATACTCGAAAGGATATGTTGTCTGTCATCAAGCTTTCCTCTTTACCAGATTCTCATCTGAAACCTAACTTGAGGAGTTCCGGTATTGCTTTCGGTGTATACCTAGTATGTTATGAGGTTGGCTTAAAGGGGATTACCTAAAGGCAGGAACAGCGAGTGAACTTTCCTGATTGGTCTACATATGAATTCAAGGAATTCATTGGTGTTGGTCCCCAACGGATACGATCCTTGAACCTAGGACCCCTTTACAGCCAACGACACCTCGAGCCACATACATGGGACGCCCATTCATCCAATGACCATTTTGGGAGTTTGTAGGTTGAAAAACTTTGCACAGGATACCTACTCCTGCATCGAATCTGTTGGAATGGCTGGCCCGTAATTTAGATTGTACTTCAGACTTGCTCACCGAGCTGCTTTGGTATGTCATAGCAACGAGATGGAATGATACGTTACTGTTTCCTTGCTTGCCAAATTCTTCCTATGTTGGCATGTCTAAGAAGACGTGTGCGCCCCTGAGTAGTTCACATTACCTACTTGGGTACCCGATGTTGTCGGGTATCAGTTGAAGAAAAGAGCAAAAAGCGGTCTGTATTTAATCAAAGTCGATATTATGTATGAGATACCGGGTATGGTAAGCAATATCAACATGAATAACTTTTTCATGGCCATCTTGGTGTAGCTGAAACTGACCCCCCATGATGATTGTACCTATGGTAAGATTGGAAGAGATGTATTGGTTCGTTTATACAGCATTGAAGGTTTTAATGATAAATCGGATGGCTTCCTTTTCGATTTTCATGCATTAAAAGCTGTCTGCATAGTACATTTTGACGTAAGATGATGGCAGTGACGATGACTTGGACTGGCGAATTAATAGGGTACATGAATATTCTCCTATTGGGTAAATGTATATTAGATGAGCATCCGAGCTTTTGCCGAGTTACTCAAGAAACTTTGTCTTCCCTTCAATTTCTTTTCCTTTTTCTTTTTTTGTTCCTTCTTGGAAATTGTGTCGTTGCGATATCGTCACTCTTCCTCAACACTAACACTTGGCTATTTGGGGATCTCCATCAGCCTCATATGTTTTATCCTATCGGGTCAGAGTCCTAGAAATATACGCTATACACGTTAAAAGCAGCTAGCTGGTTAACCGACCGGAAACACCGAGAATCCAATCATGACGTACAGCTACGCATATCGGTGAACTAGGGTCGCAGGGTACAACCACTGTGCAGTCGACGAGTGAAGGTGTTGGATACTTGCCTATTCAAAAACTCCCTGTCCGAGAACTTTCAAGTGTTACATTTCATAATAGGAGTTGATTACTTGGAGGCAGTGGGAGTGAAAATACCCCTTTTTCGTCATGGTCTTACATATGCTTACTCTCATCATTCCTACCCACCCACCCACCTAGGTGTCTATTGCATACCTAGTATATATCTGTATATGTCTCTCGTTGAGTACCGATATATCGGATCCGTTGTATCTCGGCATTTGGGTTACACTATCCGGTCAGGAATCGCCTATTGCTTCCCGTTCAAGCCCTGCAGAATACTGACGAATCAAGTCGAGGCTCGTACCTGAACAAGCACAGGCACGTTCCGTCCCGACATATAAACACCCGCGGTAACCAGTGTGCGTCGCGCGTTTATACCATGCAAGCGCAATCCTTCACTAAATACTAGGTAACGATAGACCAGTATCCTCTCGTCTCCAGCACGGTTACCTCCTATCTAGGCACCGATGAGGCACCTATGAGGCACCTACCTACCCCTATCTATAGTGGTGTCTTTAGAAAACCAGGCGAGGTCGAAACTCCAAACGTATTCATATACTACAAGAAGGGCCTACTAAGTATTGATTTACTCATATCTTGGCCTGCGGCCCGATTGTTACCTGACTCTGACCGACTTCTAATTCCCACTGCACCGGTCGTCCGCGTGCGAGACCTGGCATAATCGCATTTGTTCGTTTCTTGCGTCGTGGGTAACATTGCCAATTTCACGTTTGCCGATGCTAACTTGACTACCTGCCTACCTAACTATGATAATACCGTACCCAAACCAGCTTGGTACAGTGCGGGTTATACATATATCTCCGGAACACTCGTCGCGCTTCTCAGCCGGCGATAAGCGTATTGTTCTTTAGAGAGATGTCGTGGGTTGCAACTGGCGAGCTACGGGTGAGATATCTGACATGAGCGAAACCACCGAAACACCCACTCTACCAACAGCCACGCCTAAAGATCTCAACGTGATTTAGGTAAAGTCTCAGGTACTAACACGCCTCAGGCGTATCTTCTTTGCTTATCTGCTTACTTCGTTCCCGGAACCCTTGCGCTGTGCCCTGAAGAAATCATTTGCTGTTGACGACCTTATTCGCTACCTATGCTGGGAGGCGTAGTTCGGAGATAAGGTGAATCGAACTACTTGTTAGCCAACTGATGTGATCATCCATGAAGATTATCCATTCAGTTTTCTTTTCTATGGTCACTTATAGAAATTTGGACGTGTGAATCTTGTAACCGATCACAAGTCGTCTATTAGTCTGCGTACAACATGGCAGTATGAAAGCGGAAATTGGGATACCAAGGCAACCGACCCCCACTCTTGTTAATCGGGATGGACTGATCTACGTGGAAACCTTCTAGACTCGAGAGGAACTTCTTTTTCATTTACTTACCGGATCCATGAACCCTGCGTTATAGGTTTACTAATGCTACCTACTAGGTACTTAGGTATGTAGCTTCTACTGCATAAGAATGCCTTGGCCCTTATAACCTCCCTTTCCTGGCAAAGTCCAAAGGCTAGCCCGCGGTCCTGCAAGACTTTCTTTATATGGTTATCCGAACGACGTCAAGTCTGGGGTAGGCTACCAAGTTCCGGGATGACAACATGGCGTCCACGTTACTCAAGGCAACACCGCAGTCGGAATCAGCCTGAATCGAATTGACTCGGAACGTTTTCAATTTGACGTGGTCTGGCATCGTTGTTACACCGCAGTGATATCTGTGATGAGTTGGTGACGGAACCTCAGCTAAGAAAAAACATACTCCCAATCAACGAACTAAAGAATGGTTGGTTGGATTTCCCATTACTTCTTATTCACGAGCCGGCTTACGCTGGCGCAAATATGTTTTCTGTGCCATATGCCTTGGAATATCTCTATTGTCGCGCAGTCTGATATTGTGTCGCTCTGACATACAGCTAGCTAACCTAGAGTCTTACCGGCTGGTAGTCATCTACTGACGTGTGCTACACTCCATATAAGCGGCAATACGGGCTAACTGGTGCATATAGGCGGATAAGGCATCATAGATAGGTACTATCTATTCTAATATACCGGAGATAATTTGGGTGAGTAAACGGACTGCCGACTCTTGAGCCATTTCTCAATAGGTAAGGGAACGCAATGTACCAAACTCGTCCGCATGACCCTTTTTCTTTCCCGTTTCAATTTGAAGCCGCGCATGTAAGCCAACGGTGATACGTCGTAGGCTACATTCGATTTGGGGAGATGGTATGTAGCCAATCACTTTGCGTGAGGACCTAGGTAAGTAGCTAACGGATGACCCATGCTCAGCCCTTTACTTGTGAGGCTTTGGGACGATATTCGGACTGGACCATGCATGTATGGATGAAACATCAAAGTTGCCATGGCTCTTTCTTGGCTGGATGGCTTCCGGACTTGAGATCTAGAGTAGAATATCTAGGTAATTATGGCAGGAATGTATATACCGACCAATATACAACATAATTTCCTATACTAGTAAGCCTCGAGGGGGATGTTCAAGAAGCTACCTACCTACTTGGACGAGTGATCTTTGAAATAGGGTATACAAGACGGGACATATACACCATTCTTGTCAAACTTGCCCCTACCGTCACTGTTGTAAGGCAACCATGTAGTGACAGAGTAGGTTCGATGTTGGTCACCCTACCAGATCCTGATCTTGAGTCGTATATGGCATACATGTAAGCGTTGATTGTACCTTGTCGGGCCGACGTGGTTTATATATATGACAGGTACCCGTGGCATATGTATCTACTTACTTCATGTTAGTAGTAATATTGTAGATACCTACCTACCTACCATAGGTATGTATAAGTCGATGAGATGTGTAAATGGATCGAGTTTTGGCTGTTGGTCCCTTTCATCTTTCAACTGAATTTAAGGTGCGGTACCGAGAGTTTAAAAACGCAGTAAAAGCTTATGTATCAGACTATGAACAGACTATGAAGCGGGTATTTGTGGATAAGTACAGCCCTAACTATATCAGATTCATGGATGTATTTTACATACTAGGCAGGTGTGTAGGTATTGTACCTAGGTAACTACCAAAATTCCTTAAACTTATCCACATTCGATGCCCTCGGTCGAGAGTTGAATGTCAATAAGAAAGTCGTTGTTTCCTTACCCCTCGTACCCCTCGTACCCCTCTAAAATTGTTAGCGGCCTTTGACTAACCCCTCATTTATTTACTTCCACTACATGTACAGTAGGTAGGCTGGAGGTTACCTGCTTATTTTCCTCTTTCTCTCCTAAATCAGATGGGGTTCCAATGATAGGTAGCAGGAGAAATGGGAGAACCAGATATCATGAATTCTGTAAGAATTCGATGCATACCTCAAATCTTGCCAACCTAGATCTTAATCTTGTTTCGCTATGTCTACACCCTCTTAATTGGGCATTCCCGACTTATTTAACCTCATAATGACTATATTGGCCTCGAACACTCGAAGCGGAGTCTTCCTCATTTTGAACCGACGATGCCGTCTTCCTAAATCGATCATTCGTTATGGTTCCAAGAATCATTATATATCAACTTGACGATTGGTCGCGTGCGCGCCATAGTGTAAATCAAGCTCTCAGGGGTAAAACAGTGTCAACTCGACATACGACACCGTCTCCCATGACATCCAACTCTGGATACTGGGTCAAATGCGGTAGGAAAATCCTTTCTTCATCGACACACAACGACAAAGCGCGCCACGAATTGTCCACAGGTACGAGATGTATAGGTGCATTTGTTTTGTACCTATATCCGTCATGTAGACAGTTCGTGACCACCGTTACATTGCCCTAGGCTGATTCAATAGCGGTACAAACCCTACAGAAGACGGATGTGTTACCAAAACTAAACCTTTCTTCTACCATATTTCTCTCTCTGCCTATTCTCTTGACTTCATCGTCTCATACCATCTCCAACCGTTCTACAATGAGCACTCTGAGCTTCCCTTCAAAGAAACAAACCCATATGACCTCTTGCGCTCTCCCACTAATACCCACACTAACACTTGGGTACTCCCCCCTCCCACATGATGCCCCTTGTCCAATTCGGACATGATCCTCATTCGTTGATGTACAGTAGCGTGGACGACGATTGAGAGTCTAACGTCAACATACTTGTGGGCCTTTTCTTACCCATTAGCAACTGCCAACCCTCTCCAGCACCAGGGTTGACATGGTATGGCGTGGTATGGACTTACAACCAGCTCCCAGTCGTGGCACTGGCTCCCACATGGCCAACCGTCCCAGCATTGCATTTATGTAGGTCAGTCCATGTCGTTTATACAAAGCCCTGCCTGGCATACACCGTGTATGCCTCCTGTTCCTGCCCAGGCTTGATACCTCTGTCTCCCGATCCCCTCTCTATCGCTAGGTAGTCCCTGGCATTAACATTGCCTCTCTTCCTCTTCTACCTAGCCGAAGCACCACCACTTCTGCAGAAGTACTCCTTACCATCTGCTTTTTTTTTCGCTCGCGACTTATTGGGTACTTTGTCGACTCTAGCGCCATAGTTCCACTAGTCACACGCTTCCCGCCTCGATATACTCCGTAAGTTCACCGAGTCTAGACAAGCTCACAGGTGCCTGATTTCGGAACCTTTTGAGTGAGTAGCTTCTTTCCAAAAGTCCAGTTACTACTTTTCTTCATCGCCTTGCCTTTTCCGGTGTCTTCTCAGCCGAAAGCTGCATATTTATACCAAGATTCACGCAGATCTCATCATATATTTACTCTTAGTCGCTGCGCTGCTCCTGGGCCAAGACGATATCATAAAAACTCCCATTTTTGGTAGCTTTATATCCTTCCAACTACCCTATATATATATAAGAATTTTATCCCCATCCCACTATTTTTCGGGTTTATCGTGTTAGTCCCTCAAACTTTCTTGAGGTATCAAAGCCCGAAAACCCCCTACCAAATCACTCTAACTTATCCCAGTGGTTTGGGTAGAGTCTTTTTCTCTGGGTTTCCACCTTTGAGGGCAGGGTATATCGTTGGATCGGCTGTCAAAAGGCTCCCACTCATCTTAACTTTTCTTGGCCCTAGGTCAGGCCCCAAATTCCCATCACCATCTCTTGGGACATCAGTTCATGCCACATTCAGCCTCACCCTTATAAGCTCGAAATCAATGTTTGCCAGGCGCTCTGCAAGGCGTCTTCCTTGCACCTGGAAACGCACGTTTTCCACTTCGCTGTCGTTGAGGAAACCTGTTCGTGAAAAAGGGCCTGGTGCCGAACGGGCATGGTCTAACCCTACCCGCCATCACGAGCAATGGAATGGACGCTCAGTCATTGCCCTGACGGCCACAGCCGGCATATTAGGCTTTGGTCTTGCCACCGCGTCACTTCAAGGTCCTCCTAAGCGTACCGTCACATTATTTGATAGCAAATCTCCAACTCCCCAGTACGCGACATTAGATGAGATGGAACTTGTAAGTCGACCCCTTTTAACATTAGGAGCGTTTTCCTTTTTTTGAAAGCACAAGAAGCAACTTGGATTTCTTACTAAACCTCTAGCTAGGCTCTGAAGGAAATTCGCCGTGAGATTGCCGATAGAAATGAAGAAGAGGACATCATTAGCACAGATCCGGAGGATCTTCTTGCTCATGGCTATTCCGAATGGTCCTCGATAAATCCTGATGGGCTCCCAGTTGCTGTTGTGTATCCCCGCTCGACAGATCAGGTGTCGGTAATTGCACGCGTCTGCCACAAATACCGCATACCAATTATCCCTTACTCGGGAGGTTCAAGTTTGGAAGGAAACTTCTCTGCCCCTTATGGCGGAATTAGCGTCGACTTTGCGTTCATGGACCAGATCATTCAGTTTAACAAGGAGGATATGGATATTGTGGTCCAACCGAGTATTGGGTGGCAGGATCTTAACAACCAACTAAGTGAAAACGGCAGCGGTCTCTTCTTTCCTATTGACCCAGGTAAGTAAATTTTTTTGCTCTCTTTTTGAAAAACAGGGGAAGATGTACAGATCAGAAGAGGGTTCTTCTTATCTTATATGTATTCATTTTCAGGGGGTAGAGATTAGCGAATGAAAGGACTGACTTTAAGCCAGGTCCGAGTGCCAAGATCGGGGGTATGATCGGTACCAATTGTTCTGGCACGAATGCAGTCAAGTACGGTACGATGAAAGACTGGGTCATCAACTTAACCGTCGTCTTGGCGGATGGAACGGTGATAAAGACGCGGAGACGTCCGAGGAAAAGTTCAGCAGGTTACAACCTGAACAGTTTATTTGTGGGCTCCGAAGGAACTTTAGGCCTAGTGACTGAAGGTAAGTTGTCTTCATTTTTATCATTGAAGACGAGGCTTTCTTTAACAATGAGTAGCGACTCTCAAGCTTGCTGTCGTGCCGGAAGAATTCTCCGTTGCCGTGGTTACTTTCCCTACGATCCGCGATGCCGCCTCAGCCGCCGCGGAGGTGATGCAAACCGGAGTTCCCATCGCAGCTATGGAGATCATGGATGAGGTTCAGATGAAAGTCGTCAACATAGGCGGGGCAACTGCACCACGTGTATGGAAGGAAATGCCAACACTTTTCTTCAAGTTTGCGGGGACTCAGACGAGCGTTAAGGAGAATATCACTCGCGTCCAAGCAATCGCCAAGAAAAATAAGGGCAGCAACTTTGAGTTCGCTAAGGATCTCCGAGAGCAGAAACTCCTATGGTCGGCAAGAAAAGAGTCTCTATGGTCCATGCTAGCCCTGAGGAAGGGAAACGAAGAAGTTTGTAAGTTGCTTTCACTAAATCCTAACCCTGTCAGCATCTCTAGCTCTATAGCCATCTTCAAACACCCCGGGTCGCTCAATACTATGTGTCAAAATGTTCAGAATCTAACACGATAATTTTCCCTAGGGTCAACTGATGTTGCCGTGCCGTTCAGTAGACTCGCGGATATCATAGAAATCAGCAAAAAAGAGATGGACGACTTGGGGCTATTCGCTAGCATCCTAGGCCACGTCGGCGACGGGAACTTCCACGAGAGCATCATGTATAATCGACAAGACAAGGATGAGCTCGCAAAGGTCGAGACCTGTGTCAAAAATATGGTTAAGCGAGCCCTGGATATGGAGGGGACATGTACGGGGGAGCACTCCATCGGCTGGGGCAAAAAGGACTCACTACTCCTAGAAGTTGGTCCAGACACACTGGGCGTCATGAAGCAGATCAAATCCGCCCTTGATCCACTATGGATCATGAATCCCGGAAAAATCATGGACATTCCTTGACATTCTTTCTGACACTTTCAGTCTATCTTCTCGGAAATCTTCTGCTTTAAATTTGGATTTAGACCGAGTTTGCATCTTCTCTGGAGAAGATTGGCTTCTGTTTTTGGTAGACATGGGAGGCACGGCAATCTCCAAAGCGTCTTAAGATATTCCATTATTTCCCCCCACCCACAAGGCAAAGAACTAGATGAAGAGAAAAGAACAGAAAAACACGAAACTATCGCACATTCGGCGTCTTGGGGAAAAGGATTAAATAAATTCAGAAGGTTCATTCGTCAGCAGCATGCACTTTTTTTTGTTGGCATATAAATGATACTTACACGGCATGGAAGTCTCCAGGACTGGACAGATTGGGGATCTGAAAATGGCTGGCTCCTGTCAGAACAATATCATGTGATTTATTAGATGATCATGTAGACATTATGTCCACGTGATGCCCGGTTGGGTAGTGTGTACCTAGAGGAATTTATTGTTTGTTCACACAATTCGTCTTTCTCCATCATCATGATTAGCATTGGACACGACGGTCGATATGATTTGATAGAAGGAGTTCCAAGCCAATCATCTGTTTTACGGATGGTTTATCAAGGTCTATTGTATTATGGCGTGGAGGTCCGGAAACTCAACCATTTCATCCACGACGTTGAAACAGTCGATATAGCGAATTGGTATTGCCGTATAGCGGGGGCTATATTATATGCATGTAGGTATTACATTACATATGTATGTGACACATGATCTGACATCCATCGCGATTTGTCGAGGTTGATGGGTTCTGATAGATGTAGAAGGACTTAAAAATGCTGGGAACCTAAGCAGAAAGAATACCGTGCGAGTAGAACCTTAGGATGCCTTAGGTTAGATATCATGTTATGGCGGGAGTGGGTAACCCCCTTCTTTTCTGGGTGTAGCCTTTTAAACAGATACTAAATGACTTTGATGGAAATATAGGGGTAAATCGGGTAGGTCATGTGATAATATAAGAAAAGCTGGGTGATGGTCATGTACTTAGTATGGATGGGATGATAATAGTAGTATGTATGCCTGCGGGCATGATTATTAGATTCCTGAGGAATACGAATCTAATGGTTTATACGGTACCGCCATTATTATTCCCAACAACGCAAGCCAGGAGAAGCAAGCAAAACAATTCACAACTAGATGATATACAATCCTACCATAGTTCTCTTGGATACTTCTGAGCTACAGTGAAGCCAAACATGGGTTCAGTTCAAGAATGATTCAGTTTGGGAAAGAGACTCAAGTTCTTCAGATAATATAAACATGATGTTGGAAACTCCTAGGCTAGCAGCCCCTTTTACCCGAATATAGGCACTTTCAGTGTATAAAGGAGAGACCCTGTAGAGCTTCGAGGGAACCAAAGCTCTTATTCATTACAATAACCGTATGAGTGTCTTAAGCTTAGCTCTTCTAGATGGGTGGGTACTCAGCAATAATTTGGCACACAAAATGGCAACAAGTGATCTGGGTTATCCTTCGTACCTGCCGTGGATTTAGAGACAATGGCACGTGCGTGAACAAACACTCATATATGAGGTAGATAGGATGTAGAAGCCAGTTAGGTACCTAGTTAGGGAGCTATAAGGAACATTGAAGGTGAACAGGATTGAACCAAACGCACTGTAAACAATCCGCGGGTAGTTACCTGAGAACCTATCCACTTTTCGTAGCAACCTCAGGTAGCAACTTCGATGTTGAAGAGTCACGATTGCAAGTTTTCAATGCTCTTATTTATGCCTTAGGTAGGTATGTACCTAGCAATCGAGTATCATTTTTCTAGATGTACATATGTACTAGAACGCCGCTTCCCATAATCAATAATACGCAGTGCGGTCTACTGTCTACTTACGCACCTTCCTCCCATCTACACCCTTCGATCATCAACCATCAACTCTCGCGCACTTCAAATTTTTTATTTATTCTTTTTATTTTTCACTTCAATCCCCTCCATATCACCACCGTCTTTATTTTTTCTTTCTCATTCCCTCCGATTTCGTTCATCCCTACCTTTCTTTCCAGCAGTAAATATAGGTAACTTCGCACCAAGAAAATATTCAACCGTTCACCCTCATTGTCACCCTCATCGTTACCTTCATCATCACATTTCATTAAGTACCTAGACTTAAAGTCGGTCCTCTCATTTCCATCACCGTGCGCCGTTGATTTCATTTTCGCCGTTGTCACATTCCTCTGGAGAGCGATCTCGCGGGTCCTTGACCTCCATCACAGCGAAAAGAAAGACGCCTCCGTCGTGGAATAAGACACGTACACGACCTCAAGTTATCTAACTTCTAGGATAACGTTATTGTCTCATTGGATTAAAGAGATTTCTAGTCCAGTGAGAAACCTCCCATTTTTATTTCCAACTTCACAGTTAGTCGCACAGATAATAGTGTTGACCAATCTTTGAAGTTAAGACTTATACCTACAATATCTCGTAAGTATCGCCTTCATCATATTGTTCCCCTGCATCGAGCCTTTGTTTTTCATTTCGTGTTACTATACCAATTCCCAGTTGTCATCGGCGTGTTTGGTTATTCAATGAACCTCATGTTAATGGATGACCTCCTCTCCACGTGACCCAACAGCCCCTTTTTGCCTTCCTTCCTTTTCCACATCCAAGCTAGACCCCTATATTCACCTTCCATCATAAAGCAAAATGACTAATAAGGCAGCAGCTTCCAAGATCAAAGTAGTGCAAAGCTTATTATACACTAAGGACCCAATGGACCGAAATATCGAGGAAGGTCCCACCCGGCCGGAGCTGAATGAGTGGATTGAACCGGGGATGCTTCCTCGTTCTCCGCCTGCAGCCAATCCGAAAAGAAGCCACACCCCCGAACCTAACGGAAGGAGCAAGGCAGGTGGCAAGGTCATAACCTTAGATCAATCTTATGTTCCTGTGTCACCAACTGATCGTAAAAACCCACCAAGTGACGGGGACTTTCCTAACCTTGCTCCAAATTATTCCCCAGAGGACGAATTCAACCCATTTCGAGGCGGACAAGCAAGACGCGGAGGTTTGAGTCCTAGACATATTCGAAAACAACCATTGGCTATACGACAAGAAAAAGGCCATTTGGCCAACATAGCCAACATGATGAACAAAAACATAAATGCCCACCGAACCGGCGCCAAACCGATATGGATGTCCTGGGACAAGATTGTATTACGCCTAGATTGGCTCCCGAATAATGCCACCGCTCACGACATCTGGTCTTCCTTCAAAGCCTGCGGAGACATCGACTTCATTGAGCTTTTCGAGGACCACCATGGCAGACGACTAGGCAATGGACGAATGATCTTCTCGCCACCGCCGACATACATATTCTGGAAAGACGTCATGGCCATCCAGATCCAAGGCAAGCAGTGCAAGATCAAGGTCACTTTACAGGACGAACAAACATCCTCCCCGATTCAAGACGCGAATGGAAATAAACATCCACGATTATTGACTCTCCCGATGGATTCGATGCAATTCGGGGTCCTCGTGAGCGAAAGCCAAATGATGCCGTTAAGAATCATCGATAACAACGCAATTGATCGATTTCATTTGACTGTAGACCTCCGACATAAGAGTCTCGAGATTCGGTTCGCAGTTGACATTCGCGATCCTAGGCGTACCGACCCAAGCATTAAACGCCCCAATCCCATTGGAGAGATGGAGTACACGCTTGAGATCAAGGCTCAGATTTCGTTCACGCAGGTGAACAAGCTTGTCCTCCATGATATAGATGAAACAACCTGGGCACTTATCATTCCTCTCGCAAGCCCACCTATTTTCTTTAAAAAGGTTCATAATCCGGAAGCCTACTCAAACAAGAGTTTATGGAGTGATAGGGACAGTTGGAACCGAACAGTTGACATCACGTACGACACCACATGGTTCAAAGATGATCCAGTATCATTGAATAGATACAATCAGTTCGTCGACATTGGGAGATGGACTACGTACCGGCTCGTCTTCCCTGTGTGGGCTAAAGCTCGGTGGGCGAAGATGCAGCTTGCATTGAACGCCTTCAACGTCCAGATAGAACACAGAGGCCGGAACGAATTCTCATTGGCTCCAGTAAATACATTCAACGTACTGAGACTCCTTGATACCCCAAGTTCTAGCACAACCACCACGGGCGCTAGCCTGGAGCTTCTAGCCAACACCGAACACATATATCTTCCATTCGACGTTCGATATCAGCTTGAAGCTTGCATATCGCAGGGCTTTCTGAATGAGGTTAATATAACCGCAGAATTCCTGCGAATGTTGGCGGATCTTTCGAACGAACGCACCCAACGTCGCAACAGGGCAAAGGATCTCTTGATGTATGTCTCGCAGCCTCGAACGGGAGGTTTTTCCAAGACCAACCAAGGCAGGCTTGATGAGAAGAGAATCTATGACCCTATGTCGCTCTTTAAGGACAGAAAGGCTCTGAGCCATTACCCAGAGATTTCGCTTCCGGAGCACTGCCAATGGGTGAGGAAGGTCGTGATCACGGCCACGACTATGTACCTTAGTAACCCAACGCCGGAGCCGTCGAACCGCGTCCTACGTCATTTTGCTAGCCACGAAGATCGATTCATTCGGGTGCAGTTCATGGATGAAATGAGCAGAGGGCCTATATACTCCGCTCCCGACTCTACTCAAGCCAATGCGCTGTTCAACAGAGTTCATCGAACGTTGCAGAACGGCATCGTGATCGGCGGTCGTCGTTTTGAGTACCTTGCCACTGGCAATTCGCAATTCCGTGAGCGTGGCGCCTACTTCTTCTGTCCGACCGAATACTTGAGCTGTCAAGATATCCGTGATTGGATGGGCGAGGTCAGCCACATCCGCGTCGTGGCCAAGTATGCTGCTCGTCTCGGGCAATGCTTTTCGACCACAAAGATACCCCGGGCCTCCCCGATCGGTCAGAGAATCAAGCATATTGAGGATATTGAGCATCATGGATGGAACTTTACAGATGGAGTCGGAAAGATCGCGCCGCGCCGCGCTAGATTTCTCATTGATAACCTTGTCACTGGTAAGACAGTCAAGTATGTCCCATCTGTCTTTCAGTTCAGGCTTGGAGGAAGTAAGGGCATCCTGGTGCAATGGCCTGATGTACCTTTCAACGAGGTTCACCTACGGCCATCACAGAACAAATTCACAGCCACATCCCAGGGTCTTGAAATTATAAAGACATCTCGATTCTCCGTCGCGACGCTAAACAGACAGACCATTATCATATTGGATTGCCTCGGCGTACCTGGAAAGGTTTTCCAGAGTATGATGAAAAAGCAAATCGCCAGTTACGAACGTGCGATGGAAGACTCGGAGGCCGCCATGTCATTACTGTGCAAATACGCTGACCAAACCGGCATCACCACGGTAATGGCACAGATGGTTGCGGATGGGTTCATGGCAGGAAAGGAGCCTTTCCTCATGATGACCCTACAAGTTTGGCGAGCGTGGTCTATGAAGATGCTTCGAGAGAAGGCTCGCATCGTGGTCGAACAGGGCGCTTTCGTTTTCGGCTGCGCAGATGAAACGCAAACTCTAAGAGGGCATTCAGACTCAGTTAAGCCTGGAGACAAGAATATCAGCAATCTGCCCCAGATCTTTCTTCAAGTGCCCAAGACAAGCACCAATGCAGGCGAGCCCAGTGAATACACTGTCATTACCGGAGTTTGCATGCTGGGACGAAATCCATCTCTTCACCCAGGCGATATTCGAGTGGTGGAAGCCGTGGATGTCCCAGCATTGAGGCATCTTCGAGATGTCGTCGTATTTTCTACCAAGGGTGATCGTGACATCCCCTCCATGTGCTCTGGTGGAGATCTAGACGGTGATGATTATTTCGTCATCTGGGATCCGGAGCTCATCCCTGATGAGTGGAACCATACTCCGATGCCACAAGAGACCCTTAAACCGATGGAACTAAACCGTGATGTAACAGTCAGAGATCTGATTTCATTTTTCGTTCAGTATATGAAAAATGATTCGCTCAGTACGATTGCTCACGCACATTTGGCCAAGTCCGATAGACTTGCAGATGGACCTAAAGACCCGCAGTGCATAGAATTGGCACGTCTTCATTCCAATGCCGTCGACTACCCCAAAACGGGACAAGAGGCTCTATTGAAGCCATCACTACGACCCAAGGCCTTCCCACATTTTATGGAGAAACTCGGGGGCAAGACATATCATTCAACTAACATCCTCGGAAAGCTATACGACCAGGTGACCAAAATCGAATTCAAGCCTAACTTTGACGGAGCCTTCAACGAGAGAATTCTTCGCGCCTATGCGTTGGATCAAGAGATGCTTGGGATGGTGAGAATGATCAAGAGACAACACGACAAGTCCATGAGACAGATAATGAACCAACATGAGATTGGTAACGAATTTGAAGCATGGTCACTGTTCGTGCTGTCCAAGCCTCGAATGGGAAATGATTACAAGAGACAGGAGGTTCTAGAGCCAGTGCTAGCCAATCACCGAGAACGGTTCAAGGCGGCTTGCATCAAGCTCGCCAAATCTACAGATGCGGATGTTCTCTACCCCGTGATAGCCGCAGCCTATTATGTCACCTGGGAAGAAGTACAGGTTAAGAAGATGGCCGGGCAGGAGGAATCGACCCCTGACAGCGTGCCACTGATTAGCTTCCCCTGGATATTCGCGTCGGAACTTGGTCAGATTGCCACTTCGAAGGGCAAACTGGCGTTAGATGAAATGCCAAAGCCATCAGGATACAATCACAGTGGCGACGATGACGATGGTGACTTTGAGCGCCTTGTAGGTGCTGGTGTCGTCGAAGGAGACGAGGCAGCCAATGGTAAAGGGGGCATCTTCGATGGCTACATCGCTTCACTGGCCAACAAAACTCAACTCAAGGACAAGGCGGGAAAGGCCACTGTAGTGGTTCCCAAAGAGGACGAAGAGAAGGAAGAAAGTTCTTCTATATACGGGGACCAAGTCGTGCTGGACGAAGACGAAGATGAGGAAGAGAAGGGCGAAGAAGGGGAGGAAAATAGCATGGGTCTTCTGGCTACGCTTAATGGATTGAAGATGTGAAATGACATATTTCAATCTGCGGGCATTTACAATTTGAAGTTATTAACTCCAAAATGTTGCTTCGGCCTGGCTAGATTCAGATTGGGAACTACTATAGTACCTATCTTGAGGGTCTTTAACGGGGACTGAAGTGTTCTGCGCTTGCCATTCTAATAAAGAAACGTTGACTTTAAATTTGATATCAGATGATATGTTGATATGATATGTTGATATGAGGGTGTAACATATGAGAGCTCTACCTAGTAGTGTTACTAGTGTAACTTGAAGGTGGAGAAGTAGTATAGTAGGCCCTGGACGCACTGATTACGGAAGAGGGTTGATCCTCAAGCGAAAAAGTGTAAAAGTCTTGGCAACGCACAATTTCCCACCTGCAATGGCCGAGTCAAGCCCCAACTTCAGGCCTCATCGCCCCCAGATTGAAAGCTTACCAGTTCATTTTCGACGACGACGGTAAAATCTCGCAAATCCTTTAAAGGTAAGGAATTTCTTTGATTATTTCACATACACAAGACATTGGATTTTTTTTTTTTTGGTTTATAACCAAAGTTCTCTCTATTGAAAGATTGATTGATTGATTCTATTGATTCTTGTGTGGAATTAATAAACTAGACCAAAATACCAAAAAAAAAAAAAAAAAAAAGTAAATTTCGCTGACCCTGACCCTGTTTTGTCATCCACAGCTTTTTTCAATCCGACCAAGCTTCTTCCTACCTACCCACCACCCCTCCCGAACCCCGCGAGAGATATAGAACTTTTTATCTCAACCATGGCGGACGTACAGGAGATTCTAAAGAAGAAGTTCGGTGGTGCCGCCCCTTCGCGCACTGGTATGTGTTATATTTCATTTCATCACCATTGACAATTCTTCGATTAGCGATAATTTATAATATTATAATATTAATCAAATTTTTGGTGTGTAAATAGGTGGCAAGGGAACCCCGCGACACAAGCAAAAGCGAAATGTCGCCCGAAGCGCCAACGACGACAAGAAGCTACAGACCACTCTTAAGAAGCTAAACACTCAGCCAATCCAAGCTATTGAGGAGGTCAACATGTTCAAGAGTGATGGCAACGTTATTCACTTCTCTGCTCCCAAAGGTATGTTATGCTTTCATTAGTACAGACTTTGTCAATCAACCCTATGTAGTTACTGGGCTTTCATTTAAAGCTAACACTATGGATTACTAGTCCATGCCGCTGTCCCGGCCAACACTTTCGCCATCTATGGCGCCGGTGAGGATAAGGAGCTGACTGAACTCGTCCCCGGAATCCTAAACCAACTGGGCCCTGACTCCCTCGCTTCTCTGCGGAAACTGGCTGAGAGCTACCAGAGCATGTCCAAGGAGAACAAGGAGGCGGACGACGACGATATCCCCGACCTAGTGGCTGGCGAGAACTTTGAGAGCAAGACTGAATAGACAGATCGACCAGAATAACACCCTTACGGAACGGCCCGGTATACCAGTGCTTCTCCCATATCTCGCACCTTTTTTATGCTGGACGAACGGAATGAAACCACGCGGTAAATGAAAAGAAAGTAAAATGTGAAAAAAAGAAGTTAACGGGAATGGTAATGGCAACCTGGTTTAAGGTGGTGGTGGTCTTTGTCCCATATCGATCTCACGCGAGAAAATAAGGTCAGAGATCAGGAAGGGAGTTGCTTCGATTTAAGCTGTCCATTTGTGACGTTTCACTCTCACGACTTCGGAGGGGGGGAAGGATGTTTTTCAAACAAACGATTGTCATTTTAGGTGGTTTGGCTTGGCTTTTATCGGCTTCCCCATCCATACGTCTAGGTTATGAGTATGAATGGTGGACAAGGCCTAGGTACATCCATCCACGCAAATACTACATTCCCGCTACCGTAACTGTGTTCTGCCGTTTTGTCTTTCTTGCATTTGTGATGTATAGGTAAGTTGATGTTAGGTATAGTAAGTTTTAAGAGCCAATGTCGTTGCTTATACTAAGAGCCCAAGGATGATATCAAGTATGAGATCGCATGGGCGTCGCTTCATCATCTTCTGGCCATCGAGGAAGCCGGGCATAGGTCTCTTTTTAACGCGATATCTATCTAGATCCCTAACCTAGGTAAGTTCATAACCTACAAGCCAAAATTCTCATCCCCCAAGTTCCTAACCCAACCCTGCAACGCCACCGCCCTAACCTCCTGTTTGACCCTCCTCCTTGCCTCTAGCAAGACAGACTCTTTCATCTCGCCATACGTGTCTGATTTCAACTCCTTTTGTATCGCCCCCCACCCTCCCGCCCCTGCTCCTGCTCCTGCTCCTGCTCCTCCTACCCCAGATACATTTACCTCGTCAAGGAGAGGTAACCCAGCAGCGACCTCGACGGCGAGGCCCCAGAGCTTACGCCGCGACGCGCTGCACGCGCCCCGCGGGTCACATTGCTTCCGTCCTTGCAGGGTGCCGCCTATCGTGTTTTCTTCCACGCCGGTCGGGGTCCAGAGGAGGGAGGTGGGGGTCGGTGCTATTTTTCCTGTTGCTGTTGACTGCGTCAGGCTCCGCTGCGAGAAGGCGAACTCGACGGCAGTGGTCTGCACGGCGAAGGGGCGGTAGGCGTACCCTCCCCTCCCCCCTCCTTCAGCAGCAGCAGCAGCAGCAGTAGTAGCGAACCCCCTCATCCGCCCATCGGGGGGCCGGGCCGAGAACGCGCGGCGGCACGCTGGCTCGCTGTGCCGCGGCTCCGGGAGGATCAGGGTTTGTAGGTATGCGTTGCGGGGGTGGATGAGGATGGAGGTGGGGGAGAGGAGGAGAGAGGTCGCCTGGTGCTGGGCTAGCTTGTCGGAGCAGGACTTGGAGAGGGTGGGGGGCGCGTCGGGGCGCGCGGGTTTGCGGCGGACGATGCCGAGGTGGGAGAAGTAGGCGCGGCCGGGGAGGGTGGGTGGAGGGGTGGAGGTGGGAGTTTGGGTTTGGGTTTGGGTTTGGATAGGGGGGGAAGTGGGGGTAGAGGTAGGAACAGGAATATGGGTATGGACAGTAGGCGGTGGTTCGGGAACATCCCACGGTGTAGCGTCCTCCTGCGCCGCCATGATCAACTCCATGCTCGCGTCGCCGCAGGGCGCTTCGGTGCAGTACATGTGCAGTTTGACGTCTTCCCGCCAGGTGAAGGGCTGGCCGTGCCATGGCTCCCCTTCTTCCCCTATCCCTTCCTCTTCTTGGGGATCAGTTGTACTATCCGCGGTTGTTGCTATTTCCTCAGGCTTCCGCCGCCGTAGGAATCGAGACACCCCGCCACTAAGCATCTCCTTGCACTCGTTGAGGAGGAAGGAGTTGAGGGTCCGGATGGCGAGGACCTCGGCGTGCCAGTCGTGCAGCACGTTGCCGCTGGCTTGCAGGAGTTTGGTGGTGGGGAGGCATTTCATGCCTGTTCTGTTTTTTTTAGGTTCCAGTGTGGTATTAGACTACGATTGGTCTGATGGTAGCTAGGTACATAGAGGCTGACCTACGCGATTGCTATACACCATAATTCATCGTCATTTCCTGTGACTACGTATTAGTCTAGTGATCAAAGTAGCGATGACTAGCTTATACCTTGCGCAACTATCCCGGCCAGGGGCACCCATTCACGGAGTCCATTACTTCGGACTGCTGGCTTCCTTTTTGCTGGCAGAGCATCAAATTGTTTCAGTACCAGTGCTGCGATATCATCTGCTGTGACGGTCATGGAACCATTTCCAGCCCCTGATAAGAGGCAGCAAGTGGTGTAGTAAGTGTAGAGTGAGTTTTAGATAGACAACATAAGCAACCGGATAACTAAAGGCAATATAAAATGGAATATATCATAATTAGTTTCGATATATTTCCAAACATGTATATTGAAGTCTGTCGTTCACGTCGTATGAGTGAGACTTGAGTACGGGGTGTAAGTAGCCATGCAACAATCCAGTTATTACAATAAACGATAAAACTTACATAGGTGTGGTCAAGGGTTAACTAGCAACTAAGCCACATCTCGGTAGCACTAGCCACACCTAGCGAGAGACCCTAACTTCAAGGTTTGGCCAATTTTGAAAAGGAAAAAAAGCTTAGTCACCAAGCCCACAACAAGTGCGCAACTTTGACTTTTACGAAATTCGAGCTCTTAATTTCGATTCCAACGAAAACACCAAATCGATACTACTAATCTTACAACAGCAAACCACGTCTACCCGAAGTTCTCGCCAAACAATACCGTCACAATGAGAACTTACGACGACACCTTCTCTGGCCAGAGAATTTACCCCGGAAAGGTATGATACTTGATGTTCCCTCATTCGAATCAATTACTGTCCCCTTCCGGTCGCTGTCATCGCTTGTCGTCCACCCGTGGCCAATTGAAACAAGCCATGAAGAGAAATATAATGACGAGACGGTCGCAATGGACTGGCTATCTATTTTCGCGAATCCTACACCGTCTACATTATATCTCTATCTATAAAATAGCAATCAAAATCAATGCGATGGATATGAGCCAAATGCTAACACATATGCGCACAGGGTAAGCTCTACATCCGAGGAGACAGCAAAGTTTTCCGATTCCAGAACGGAAAGTCCGAGTCGCTCTTCCTTCAGCGAAAGAACCCCCGCCGAATCTCATGGACCGTTCTCTTCCGCCGACAACACCGAAAGGGTATCTCTGAGGTACGTCACAGGCTGACCTTAAGATAGATGACATATGAGAGGATAGTCAATATCTAATGCATAACTACAGGAAGTCGCCAAGAAGCGCACGCGCCGCACCGTCAAGTCCCAGCGTGCCATCGTCGGTGCCTCTCTCGATGTGATCAAGGAGAAGCGAACGATGCGACCCGAGGCTCGTAACGCCGCCCGCGCCGCAGCCATCAAGGAGTCCAAGGAGAAGAAGGCCGCCGCTGCCGCCGCCAAGAAGTCCGATAAGGCCAAGAGCGCCACTGCTACCAAGGGCCAGACCCAACGTATCGTCGGCAAGCAAGGAGCTCGCGGTGCTCAACCCAAGGTCCAGGCCAAGACCCGTTAAAGCTAAGGCTAAGGCGAGTGTTGGACTCTTGTAGTGAGGGTATGGACAAAGGACAAGGGGCGAGTGCGAACGGGAGGAGTGGATTAGTGAAGGGTGATGATGGGCATACATAACCCACTTCCAACATGTCACTTTGTCCGGCGGCGTCTTCGGTGGGAAATAAATATGATACAAATTCCTCGATTGCGAATTAAAACCAACTGATCCTTCCTTCCGCATGAAACACGTCTTATCTATTCGGTTTTAGGGGGAATTGCATGCATGGAAATCTCTCGTGGGGTCATGGGGATTCCACACTGGTAGCTTCATTAAATGCCAGGCTCGTTCTTACGGTCTCAAAAAAATAACTTCTTCTCGTGCTTACCTCTCAGTCATGCGTGTATGTGCCTGCCTGCCTGCCTGCCTACTCAGCCACTTAGCTACCTACCTAACCTAGTATGTAGTATGTATGATGTACCTCTTAGGTAGTAACATCGTCCGTAGTACACTTACACTTCAACGACCTTGTCTGATCCGATCCAATCCTATCCAATCTTCATGCGCCTACATCCACGTCCACGTCCACTTCCACTTCCACCTTTATGACATCTCGTAGCCGGCGCGTTGGTTGGCTCCGATACCGCATCTTGGCTTCTACGCTTCCTTTTCTAGTTAGTTAGTTAGTTAGTCTTTCTACCTACATGTAGGCACCGTGCCGTTAAGTACTGTAGGTAACACCGTTCATTCAGGATGGCTGTCTGTCTGTCTGTCTGTCTGTCTGTCTGTTGACCGTCCCATGTAGGTATATAGGCTTGGGCGCATTAGAGGAGGACGTCAGTTCCGGCGAGCTCAGGGGTGTTTGTTTGTTTGTTTGTTTGTTTACCTGTCTAGGTTAGGTGAGATATGTATATACACCGGGGCACACAACTACGTAGTACGTAGGAGTAGTAGGGGTATTGGCCTATATGCATGTCGACAGGGTAGACAACAGTATTAACCTGCTTAGGTAGAAATATAGGTATCTTTCACTTTCTTACGCGTCGTTTCAAAGCTCTTGGGAGGGAGAAGTCTTGATAGATCGCATTGGTTCTAAAGGAACTATCTATACTCAGTGGGTATTGGCAAGGAGTTATTTGCTTGGATACCTAGGCTACATAGCTAGCTGAGCTATATGATCATCTACATATCTATCGAGGTGGAGAGAGGGAGACTCTCTTCCCGGCCTCTGCCTGCCCTGTCCAATACTTCCCCAATTCACATCTTTCACGTCACCGCCGTCTAATAACAATGATGCCTAACATAAAATAAATGCTCAATTTTCTTGAATTGATTTTTCCACCTCTATAGGAGAACAAATGGCTTTGCTAGTGCAGTATAGGATGGGGTAGAGTTACAAGTTATGGGGGGGATTCATATGTAATAGACAGGGAGATGGCTAGGGAGGAAAGGCAATTATAGCTTGGCGAGGACAGCGTCAACACCAGAGACAGTAACGTCCTTGGCGGGCTCCTTCTCGGCGTAGATAACCTTGCCGTGATCGACGACGATGGCGTAACGCGCAGTGCGGGCGCCGAGAGTCCAGCCGATGCTTGTGCTGAAGGGGGCGCCGTCGTCGGAGGCAAAGATCTGTTTTGGGGTGGAAGCATTGGTTAGTATCGTGAAATTAAAGAAGCATTGGGATGTGGTTGTCTGTGTGTGAGTGTGTAACAGTTTTCCCAAGGAGGAAGTTTAGAAGTGGGTGGCGTCCAATGAGGTTTCTCTATCTCTTTGAAAGTTTCCCGTTTTGAACAAGGTGGGCTGGGGACGAATTGGAGTGAAGTTGAGAGGGGATACGAGGGAAGTTTGGTAGATAAATGGAAAGGGGGAGCTTACAATCTCATCCTTGACACCGTTGGCCTTGGCCCAAGCAGACATGACGAAGGCGTCGTTATAGGCAATGACAAGGACCTGGTCAACACCGGCGGCCTTGAGCTGCGGCAGCTTCTCGATGTAGCCCTGGATGTGTGTGTTCTGGCATGTGGGTGTGAAGGCGCCGGGAACAGAGACGACGACTACCTTCTTCTCCTTGAATTCTATTTGTTTCGTATGGTGTTAGTATATCAGGTCTGTTGTTCTTTCCTCTTTACTGGGGGGGTTAATGTTGGGGACAATGGGGAGAGTATTACCTTTGCTAGCATCATACTTGATAGGAATACCGCAGGCTGTTACGGACCCTTGGTCTGGGTTGTATGGGACATAGGTGAAGGTGACACCGTCGGGGAAGCTATCTCCAGCCTTGAGAGCAGACATTGTTGCTGGTGGTGGTGGTGATGTTTTGTTTTGCTATAGACTAGTTTTGGGGAGTTGTATGTTCGTTTACGAGTTCGTTCAATGAAGAGTAGAATATGGAGTTTGGTTGATGAGAGGGGAGGAGAGAAGGGAAGGTCAAATTGAAGGTAGTAGGTAGATTAGATTGATATATATGGCTATCGAGGACAATGCGACAATGCGGACAATACCTTTGTGTTGTACAGTACTACTAGTAGTACCTACCCGGTAGTGTAAGGAGATTGTTACGGTAGTTACAGTAAGTTTGGCTTGTACTACCTACATGTATGGTCCTATGCAACTTGAAACGTTCAGTACAATGAGTACCTACATGTATTATTTACTAAGGTACCTACATAGGTAGGTACTAGTCGAGTGCTATTGCGAATTCGGACTGCATGTCCCAACCCCCCTTTCTATTTCAGATTCCACGTAACCTGCCGAATACTAGGTAACATACTAGGTTACTACTACTACATGTAGGTAACGGATGTGTTTGCCAAGACGCTCTAAGGCCGTTGTCCTTCATTTCCGGATCACGACATGATTGCATATGTATGTATGTATATGCCATGTGAATACATACCTATCGTGTATGTGTACACACAGGACCTACATAGTTCGATCATTATCATCGCTGTATGGTGGATGGTGAATGGTGGATGGTGGGGTTCGAATTATTGATCGATGGTGGGGTCAGAGGGGGGGTAATGTCACTGGTACCTTGAGGGTCAAGAGAAAGGTACTTATGTAAGTACCTAAGTACCCATTAAATGTTCGCAACATAGAACATTTCAAGGTTGCATGTGGTAACAAAAAGATCAGATAAAAAGTCTAGGCTGTTGGCCGGTGACATACCTAATTACCTAGCCTACGCTGTTACCGATTAGGGAGTCCAAATACCTATCATCATGCGCAGATGCGGCTTTTCCTCCGCCTCTATTTCTAAATCAAAGCCAGTATTTCGTCATATCTCACCTACCAAATCCATAACTATTGACAGAACTAATATTTCCTCCGAAACACCCGTGCTACTTGCCTTACCTACATACCTACTCTTCTCAACCTTAGTAATCCTTATCCAGAATATCAGGGCAAACAGTGTCCTTCGGTACAAAATCAAGGACCAGTATTACATACAACCGCCGCCTTATCGGCCCTTCAAAAAGAATGAGAGAAGACAAATACGTTGAATGTTACTAAGTCGAAGAATCTCATGTGAAATATTGGTGAAATTTGGAATCAGTTTCATGATGTAGAAGAGTCATTGACAATGACAAAGCAACACTATTTGACATGGCGTCACTCGACGATGTGACCTGTGCCCCTTGCCCCTTATTCGCCTTACATTTATTCCAAATCCCACCTGTTCTGCAGCTTACCTACATCTTGAAGCTAGAGATGTGTTTGGGGGTCAAGTGGCTGATGACTTGGATCATACATAGGAGAACCAGGTTGATGGCGCGTGCTAATGAAGCTTGCGGAGTTGCGGACTTGCCTTTTTTGACATACTCCTTAGAACATCATATTATATACATATTGTGTTCTTACAGATCTTCCTTTGTTTTGACTTCAATACCAGAAATATGACAGAAGAGCCCTGTCATTACAAGCACCTGATATCTCCAGGGCTTCGAAGCCCGAGGAAAAGCAAGATGCCTATAAGATGCACTCTGCGCCCTTCAAACCCGGACTTTCCCCACCAAAATAAAAATAAAGATCAAATTTGTAGCTCAATCATTCACCTGCCCGCATACTTAGGTAATAGGTAATAGGTTAGAATGAGTAACTATTATTCACGTCTCCGAATTCCCCGAGACTGGCCGAAAGGCTAGCGGGTAGTCAGCGGTTTTGACAGTCGCCGGAGCGCGTCAAGCTTGATCATACGCCGACAGGTTCAATATAAAAGGTTCGAATGGCAAAACAAGATCCAAGTACCTAGCCTTCTTAATATTAGAAACTCCAGATCAGAAAGAAAGGTTATCTAATCAAAACAACATAGATATCATACGCAATGGCGAGTGACAATAAGGGGAAGCCTCCATACCCACCTTTCACGGCGGAAACTGCGCAGATCAAGGTGAAGGCTGCGCAAGATGCTTGGAACACGAAGTGCGTTCAACAGACCTGTCTATTTCCACTCAGTCACTCATGTTTCAAGTGGCCAACTCTCTCCCCTAAAAAAAAAAAAAAAAAAAAAAAAAAAAAAGCAAGAGATTAACATAGGAAACTCACAAAACAGGGACCCAGCAAAGGTAAAGCTAGCCTACACGCCGGACTCGATCTGGCGCAACCGAGACACCTTTCTGCAAGGCCGGGAGGAGATCGAGGCCTTCCTGACCAAGAAGTGGGAGCGCGAGAACGGGTACCGCCTCCGCAAGGAGCTGTTCGCCTTCACCGACAACAAGATCGCCGTGCAGTTCTGGTACGAGTGGTACGACGTCCAAGGCCAGTGGTGGCGCACCTACGGGCTCGAGGACTGGACGTTTGCTGAGGATGGGCTGATGAGGAAGAGGCAGAGTGAGTTGTTAACGTCTCTTGTTTGGGTCTGAAAGATTCAGCGCTACTACTTACTTGCTTGGAGGAAAGATGTTTGCTAACATGGATATTGACAGTGAGTGGGAATGATGTGAAGATTACTCAGGAAGAGAGATGGTACAAAGATGGCGTTGACGTCAATACTGTTGTCATCTCCGAGAAGCATTGGTGAGACTGGGGAGATGGAAACTCAGTTTCTGGTAGGAAAAGGGACTGGACAGCAAAATATGATGCGGTTGTTTGATAAATTATTATTCTTGTTTCCAGCTCATAAACAATGAAACAACTTATTGAAAACAAAGCACTCAAGTTCAAGCAAAGAAAAAAAGGGGTAAAAGTCAATCTCGCAATAGTACTACAGCACCAACCCAAAAACCCATATACCCATGCATAGCATTTTAGATTAGCATACCTACATACCTAGGCACCGTACCAGTCGCGCGGTCTCGACCAAATGGCTTTTATCCGTCCGCAAGGTAACCCGAGACGACATCAGAGACAGCGGCCTCGATCCCCTAACCTAGAACTTACTACCTACCCACATCCTTGCTCTTCCGAATCTATTGACTCGGGAGCGCCACGCATGTCTTGCATCTTGCCGACTTATTGGTGTGCTACTGGGGCTGGGAGTGGCGTAGGTATCGTGCGACGGAAGATGCGAAGAACAGGTTATTTCTGTATTTTTGTGAGACCTGCTTGGCTAGACTTGGATATCTCCAACCTAGAATTAGGGACAGGGTCAACGTCAATAGGAGGGTATCACGACAGAGGAGCCGCGGCTCGATAGTAGGGGGGTCGCGATGTGTTTTTATGACTTACCTAACCTACTCATATCGCCTTCACTGTCCAGATCGGACCTGCTCAATTAGCATGGGAACATTATGACTGGAGTTCCAGTCCGAGGGTGGGCACTCACTCTCACTCTCACTCTCACTCGCTCACTCGCTCAAGCATCACATAAGTGACGAAAAAAGCCACTTCAGCTAAGTAGACCAACTACCTTCTTAGCAGACTAATTGATCAGCCTCCTAGTAAGATCAAGATCATAACAGGTTTCCTCACGACGCCACAGGAGGATGACTATGACCCCTGCATGTCAAAAGCATCGAGAGTATCCTCTCACCTTGGAAGGTCGAAAGGAGTTGGAGTAGGTAGATACAGAGAAGAAGCCGTGTTTCTAGTGCCGTATGTGCCTATCTATCTGCCTATAACGACGACGAGCGTACTCATCAGTAAGATAATTCAAGTTCACAAAGTGACCGACATCTAGTCGAAGCGCCGACGTAGCACTATATCGACCAGTACCACCTGTCATCAATGCTGCACGACGGCTCATGCTACATATTAGGTACAGGTACTCAGCTTATAAGTACGCATCTAACAGCTGCTTAGCCATACAGGGAGCCGGGCCCTTCAGGCACAAGAACAAGTCCCGAATGCATGCCATCAAGGACCCCCTGCCACCACCCCCCTGTGCCGATTATCGTAGATTATAACATGCCTACCTAGTTCCTAGTGTAACGCCGATCGCATTGTGGAGATGAGCGTGGGTGTAACCTCCCCCCTATCATATAGTGTATCTCCAACCCTCGTTTATATAGGAATGTAGAACTTACTTACATGCTCCAACCTTTCAGCCCATTATCATAGTATAATTTACTTACTTATATAGGTAGTCCTAGCTGAACGTCGTAGCCCATCCGCTCAAGTCTCGGCGACCCTCGACTAGCTAGGTAGCACCTGAGTCATGCGTACCATCTAAGTAACCTAGCTATACATTCAATCGCGAAAGCACGCCAGCAGCGTTCTATCTCCTGACTAGGTTAGTTATCTCAGCCTCGACGCCTGGCACAGCTGAGATCTGAGATCTCTTCTACTATGGACTTGAGAGGTATCTAGCCTACTTAGCTTCCGCATACTATCTTTCAGTCTAGGTTCATGGGAAGCAAAGAGGGACGTTTGACTCGCGCAGACTAGTCTTTGATTTTCTTGCTGGCTGAATAGGTAAACTTGATGAAATCTGGCAGTTAGCTTGAAGTGGGTGTTTACTCTACCTAGAAGATGCCGCTCGTGGAATACCTACGATATCTTGGTTGAATGCTTTGCAACTTCATACATGATCATCTAAGAGGCGGACATCCCTCATATCCCAGCCCACGACATCCATACACGGATAACGTCGTGTACAAGTATACCTGATCACTACCTAAAGCCAACTCCAAGATACAGTGACAATAACTTAAGCTACGCTACCAATGTCTCTGGTATTGTACCTAGAGCCACATGGGACTTCTGTTCAGCCCCAGAGCTGTTCCTGGCTACCTATACATCCATATGCCTACTAGGTAGATAGGTAGTCTACGAACTATGCGATGGCGCCTGTGTTCTCGGATACACTTGCCCTGAGTCCTAAGACATTCTCCGATGCGTCCGTCTAATCTAGCTCACCCTATCCATTTTCTCTAGGCTCAGAGATTTATACCAATGGTACCTTGGTGAAAAGTGACTTATTTTGCTTGGGGCCGGTTCCATCGGTAGGGTTATATATACTTACTTAAGTATGGCAGGTATCAGGACAGACTGCATAGCTGGTGATATTTTGGATCCTCTCTTCTACTCGCCTTCTACTTACCTTCTACATAAACCTATCTAATATTTAACAGAGTAAATAGGTGGTATTATACCAGTCTTAGTCACAAGATGGGATTTCCATCACTCACATACCAGCGGCCGGCATACGTCAGCAAGGAGCGGTTTCGCCAGAGCAGCGATGACAGCAATTCCCTCACCGAAAATAGGAAGCGTGGCTCTTCGCTCGAGTCGGGTCAATCCGGTGTCTCCTCTTCTCCCTCCACCGGAATACCGGATGCCCTCGCGTTCGACAGAATCATGAGCGGTGGAACATGCCCCGTGAGTCCTCTGTAACCAAACACGAAGGGCCAACACAGCCAGCTAACATTTCACAAAGCCATGCACGATACGCGACTTCATGAACTACCTCCTCTACATCGAGCACTCGGCCGAGAACCTGCAGTTCTTCCTCTGGTACCGCGACTACGTGAAGCGCTTCGCCCTGGCGCAAACCGCCGACACCCGGCTCTCGCCGGAGTGGACGCAGGCGATGGAAGACGAGACGACGGCCAGGATCCAGAAAGACGCCGTGGAACGGATGAGGAGGGAGCCCAAAGCACTTGCCGCCATATTGAAGGGCACGGTTTTCGATAAAGGGGCAGATGTCGCCGCGGTGGACAATGGTAATCCAGACCCGTTCTCGACACCGCCGCCCACGCCTAGCATCAAGAGCGCGCCTTCGTTTCTCCCCGGGTCCCATTATTCGGGCTACCGCACACGGGGCAGAGATGCCTTTAGCGCCGTCGGTGCCACGCAACCTTGTACGTTCTTCTTCTTCTTCCTCTTCTTCTCCTATACCCCACCTACCTCCCTACCTGCAACCCCCCTTTCTTACCAACTCTAGTCACCATCCAACCCTTCCGCGCCGAACTCAACCGCGTGGTAGCGACCTACATCGCGCCGGACGCCCCGCGCCAGCTCAACCTCTCGGCGCGCGAGCAGAAGAGCGCCGTCCAAGCGCTCGCTTACACGACGCACCCGTCCGCTCTGCGCGCCGTCGCCGCCAGCGCCGAGGCCACCCTGCGGCGGCAGGCGCACCCGAACTTCGTGCGCTGGTCCATCTGCAACGGCAACGGGGCGCGCGTCGGGTTCGCGCGGGGGCTGGGCGCTGCGCTGGTCCTGCTGGCGACGGCGGGGGCCGGGGTCGTCGCGCTGGGCAGCGCGGCGCGGGGGTGGCGCGCGCTGTTCGCGGTGGGCTGGGTGCTCGGGTTCGCGACGCTGAGCGCGGCGGGGAAGGGCATGTGCGTCGTGCTGCATGGGCTGCACCATCGGCACGTCAGGCCGTGGGAGCTGTTCGAGCGTTCCCCTGCGTCGGAGGGGTCGGATTCGGGCTCGGAGCTCGAGGACCAGAAGGGGGTGGGGAGTAGCTGCTTCGACGCGTTTGGCTCGGGCGCGAGTAGCTACGAGGACGAGCCGTGGGTGGTGAGGTATCAGCGGCGGAGTGTGGTGCGGAAGATCTTTGATCGCGAGGTCTGGATCCAGGAGCCGGCGCTGCGGCAGATTCAGGACGTGATATTTGTGCAGTCGTTGTTGTTGGGGGTGTTGGGCGGTTGTGTTATGACGGCTATCTTTGTGGCTGTGCCTGCTGGGAGGTTCTTTTGATACTACATACTTCGTAGTAGTTATGTAACCTTAGTATTATGTTTAAGTCAAGGTGAATAAGCGAATAAGCCGGCTGAAGTAATAAGGCTTATGCACATAACCGGAGATTACTTAGTATAGTAGTCTCCGGCTCCCCACGGCTTTCGGGATGTGATGGTTTTATCGATAAGGTTAAGCATAATGATTAAAGTCAATGAATTATCGCCATTCCAAAGTTCCCAAGAATCCAAACCCAATCGCGCTCGTTTGAGGTCTCTACAGTTCTAACCTTAATTATCAAATAATTATCAAATAAATGTAATAAATCCGATTGACCTATCTCCGTTCAAAGTTGACCCCTTCAACTTCTAAATTCTTTTGTCTTTTTTTTTTTCGATAACCCTCTCAACCCAGGATATCACTATCAATTCCCCCATGCTACAATTGATTTCATATTCGGTTGTGATCTGAGGTGAGATTATGAATTCATGCCTCCTTGACTTCTTTCACTCTTAGGCCTTCAAGCCGACAAGAACATCGAAGCTTCATATAGAGAATCGAGATATCTATATATACCTCTGAGGTATCCATATAGATATCAAGTGCCTCGAGTTTGCTTCTTTGTCTTTACCCCACTATCCCACTTCACTGTCCCATTAATTGTCCCACTGTCCCACTGTCCCACTATCCAGCCCGCTACCTAGTACCTACATATCCCCCTCCCTTTCTCTCGGCCTTAGCCGGCGATCGAAGCAATGCCAGACAAAGACACTTACCAAGCCGAAGTCGCAATTGTCGATGGCGAAGACGACGGGAACACTGCCGACACGACCGAAACGAAACATGCGACTGGAAGACTGCGCACCATGACCAGCATCGCCGAGATCGATAGTACTATTACACATCCAGGCTCTGTTCGCATCAATGTCAAGGGCGCATACATTGTAGATACACCCGAAGAGCCTGGTACCCCAGCGAACCTCTCTGCCTCCGCTGGGAATAGTTACTATGAGACCAAAGACATTCGTTTACCGAATCATACCGCCGTTGTCAGCCATATAGCTGTTGACGTAAGCTTCCTTCTTCACTTTGCAATGCGACACTCAATAGTATGGTCTGGTCATTGACTGTATTTATATAGATTGGTGGTTCCTTGGCCAAGTTAGTATATTTCTCCCGCGAAGCGCATTCGACTGAGCCAGGCGGTCGCTTAAACTTTCAATCCTTTGAAACCGATCGCATAGATGACTGTATCGAGTACATGCGACACCTGAAGGACAAGCAGCTCGCCCTCAATGGATCCAAACCGGGCGAATTATGCGTCATGGCGACCGGAGGCGGCTCCTACAAGTTTTATGACCAAATCAAAGAACGCCTTGGTGTTGATGTTTTGCGAGAAGACGAAATGGAGTGTTTGATTATTGGTGAGTTTTATTGCTCTTTTGCGCCCAAAGGTTTCCGTATACGTTTCCGTATACTGACACGTCCATGTCGCAATAGGCCTGGATTTTTTTATCACCGAGATACCCCGCGAGGTCTTTACGTATTCTGAGACAGATCCAATGCATTTCGAATCGCCAAATGTGAACATCTACCCCTATATGCTTGTGAATATAGGGTCTGGCGTCAGCATCCTTAAAGTGTCCGGACCGCGAACATACGAGCGTGTGGGTGGTACATCTTTAGGAGGCGGTACTCTTTGGGGTATCCTATCACTCCTTACCCCCGCCGAATCGTTCGACGAGATGCTGGATATGGCGGCGCATGGCGACAATACCAAAGTAGACATGTTAGTTGGCGATATATACGGCACCGATTATGGCAAGATCGGCTTGAAGAGCACCACCATTGCTAGTTCATTTGGTAAAGTCTTCCGCATGAAGCGGGAAGCAGAAAATGAGGCTGAGGACATGGGTGGGCTTTCCAATGGCGATGACCAAAATCGGCGACGGCAGCAGAACTTGGACCAGAACTCATCGTCGGCCTCGCAAGCGCAACACCGTCCTACGTCCTCTAGGGCGAGTGAGCTAGCGCGGTCACGGTTTTCCAGTGCCGACATTTCACGATCTCTCTTATACGCCATCAGCAATAACATTGGACAAATTGCTTTTCTGCAGTCGCAAGTGCATGGGCTGTCAAGCATCTACTTTGGTGGGTCCTTCATTCGTGGTCACCCGCAGACCATGAACACCCTGAGCTACGCCATCAAGTTTTGGAGTAAAGGTGAGAAGCAGGCATATTTCCTACGGCACGAAGGTTATCTGGGCGCCGTAGGCGTATTCCTAAAGCATCAGCCACGGAATTGGGGCCGCAGGGGCAGCTTCGAAACTGGCGAAGGGCTTGAAGAGAGGCTAAGGGTGCGAACAGAGGAATCTTCGTGTCACTTCTCAGTAGATCCCGATCAGTGATCCATATGGATCATCAATGGCAGTGATACCAACTGAACATCACGAAGAGGTCCCGACTAGACTAAAAAGTTGCTAAACTTGGAAGTCTATAAATGAAGCTATACGCAGCACTCATAAATATCAGCGGTTATGTGCCGTGGCATACCTATAACTCACCAGGTACCTCCTACTTCATTCCTATCTAGGACCTAAGTTAGGCACCTAAGTAGGTGCGCATATATTATATCCTCATATCCGTATCACAATCATTGTACGAGGTAGAAATGCCAGGTATTTATCATTATTGCTATTCCTGTAGCACATCAGGAATTGGATAGTTGGATGGATGAATGTTGCGCGCGCCAACCAGAGGTCGGCGCAAGAAGGAATATACGGCAGCGAATGAACTGAAATATATTGTTACATTCGTAATTTTTTCGTCTTATATACAACGAAGTTACCTATGTTTCTCCCTATAAATAGTATGCACTACATTGCCTAGAACCTAGTTTACATAGTAGATATTCGGTATTCGGTATTCGGTATGCGAGTAAGTAAGCGAAGCACTTTCACGAAAGGAAAAACGAGTATTAAACTCAACTAGATTTAGGGCGAAGACCTACATACTAGTACCAATTTTCTCAGTGACAAGGAATTTTACTTCAATATTACCTACCGAGCAATGAAGAAAAAAATAAAATAACGCAACGTAACGTAACCTATGTACAAACATGGCCAAAAAAAAAAAACAAAAAAAGAGTGATCGAACCCAGGCTTGAACTGGGGACCTTCAGTGTGTTAGACTGACGTGATGACCAACTACACCATCCGACCTTGTCTTGGTTCACGATATGCTGCTTGGGGAAGCGGCTCACGTGATTGGGTTTTGGGAGGGTTAGTTTGGTGTATATACCTAGGTAGGTGTTTAGTAAGTTACTATAAACTAACTACCTCTAGGGTATGTAGCTGATGAAGCTAGGGGTGTACTATGTTTAGTATGTTAGGGTAGCTAGGTACCTATGTTAGGTGTATGTAATATGTATGTACGATGGATGGCGGAGACTGGAGTGGGCATGCAGTGAATGATGTATTTACCTAGCAAACATAGAAAACGTAGACCGAGGTTGGTGTCCTGATGTCTCTCCCTATCTTTATCAATGTCGTTCTTTAAGGAAATGTATAACTACATAGGATGAGTTTGTGTCTTGTGAGATCAATGTTCATGTCAAGATATATAATATATAACTAGGTTAGGTAGGTATAATTAGGATGAGTTATGGTCTTTTAGAAGTAGTATCAGGCAGGTAGGTAGGTAGGTAGGTACCTACCTAGGTATGACACATATGAGCATCCAAGCTCTTCCAGTGAGACCGTTGCCTTTCCTTTTTACCATATCCAACCCGCCGCAACACAGAGCAACAGACTACTCGTCAGGCAGAAGTGGAAACTTAAGGGGATAGCGGTGATCCATCAACCGATATTTCGTCCTCCAGCTCCGCGTAGTCAAGCATATCCATATCCATACCCATCCCCATCCCCGTTTCCGTGTCCGCCCACTCGAGCAGCGCTTCCGCCTCCGCAAAGCAAGAAGTCCCGTACATCTCCTCGACAGCAGACTGCATATCCAGGATCGGGTCGACGCAGTGCTGGTGCGGTTCGTCGTCATCGCCAGGGCTAGGGACAATGCATTTCTTGGGCGCGTAGTCCGCGAAGATGCAGTGTTTGGCGTGGGCAGAGCCGAGAGAGCACTCCTTGTCGGTGCCGTGGCGGTGGGCTGGCCGCGGGTTGTAGCATGTGGGCCGCAATGCTGAGTATCTGCAGTCGCAGCTGTAGGGGCGCTTGCTGGTGTTAGTTATTTTCTTTACTTTGCGTGTGATGATCATTATTATTGTTATATTGCTCGCGTGCTGGAAGTACTTACGGTTGGGGCTTCAACTATAGTAGGATATATCGGCTTCACGGACAATAGATCATCGTCGTCTTCATCGTCAAAGCTATCAACAATGTCTTCAGAACCAGCGTCCCAAGGTCGGTGAACCTCGAGACTTTTGACCATGATCTCATCCAAGGTATGCCTGTTACGCTCATCTCTATACGGCGAGCAAAAAATCCGATAGCCGTTCAGCAGAGGCTCTAGCGGTGGGTTGGATTCGGTCTTGATAGCTCTAAGCTGGATCTCAAACAACGCTTTCTTTTGCACATCACTGATTTTGGCGAAACTAGAGAGCTCGGAGGGAGTAAGGAGCGCGAGCTTGGATTCCCTGGGACGGCCGAGTTGCTGCACGAGGGCCAAGATCCGAATCGCTCCTATTGTCTTACGAGGAGCGCCGATGATCGTGTATAGTCTGCGGTCCGATGCTTCAAAACCAGGAACCCAGCAGACATGAGCTATACGAACACGAAAGGCTTCATGTGTCATTAGATTAACGACATAAACCTCGCCATCTTCACATCCACCGTTTTGCACCGGTACCCAGGCAGGGAAATGGCTAGGGTTTCGCGAGTTCGTTGAGATGACCACCCCGTGTGCCTCGACTCGATATGCATGGCCACGGATGTCATCTGTCAATTCGGTAGAACTACTAATTATTCGAGGCTCTTGATTATTTCGGCCTTCCAACGGTCGAATGATGAGTTTCTGAATGCGAGAATTCAAATCGAGAACAGGAGACTGCGCTACGATGTTGTGATGGACCCAGTGATAATCCCGAACTAATACCTGATAATGAGCCATAACAAGTGCTATGATATACTTTGATAAACGTAACCCATTGCTTATCACTGGACACGGCAACCTGTCTTAAAAATAGATCACTACGGGATAGCTTGAACGAAACACCTATTTATCGTGTTAAATCTACGCACTTGTATCTAGATGGAAGGTGAATCACCTCGCTATGAAGTCTGATGAACTTGTGAGACCTATCATGCTGGAGATGTATAATAGATGACGCGGAAGGCTTGGCGTGCCCTCGGAAGTGTATATGCAGCGTAAAGTCCGAATAAGGGTCCAGCTGACCTGTTCGTATGGAGGTAGGCCAGCGGTGAACTGGAGCCAAACTACCTAATCCATGCTGGACGGCCCGGCAGGTCGGTGATAGTTGATCAATTTGATTTCATGGGCCGTCATGAGAAAGCAGTCCTGGGCGGGTAGAGGTCAAGCCGAATGAGCGCCACCCAAGTATGTAGTGCGAATACCTCCCAACAGATACAGTGTACGTTCGTAAGCGCGGTGGTAATACATAGGTAGCTAAGACAGAGAATCCTGTGTGGCTTGCCCAAAAAGTATCTCGCTCGCTCGACACAAAAGTCTTTATTACAAGTCACCAATCACCGACTAAGGGATGGCATTGCGAAGACATGGCTGATCGGCTAGACGTGCTCTAGGAGCCGAATCCGTTCTCTTGCCAGTGTTCGTATTTGAACTCAAGAAGATTAATTGTCCTTCTTTGGTGGCGGTTTGGTCTCTTGTTCTTCTTGGTCTTTTCTCAGTAAGACACGCGCCACCCATTCTTCCACTTCACGCTCCGCCTCCTCGTCGGTTTTCCCACCGGCAGGACCAATATGTCGTCGCGCCTTGTTTCTTAAATCCTCGACGCTGGAGATGTCAAATGCCCAAGCTATGCCACCAGTAGCCATGATACCAAATCCCATAACATTGAGGGTGGCTAGATTTAAAGCCTCGAGGGCTATTAAAGAGCTGTCTGATGGCAAGGTATTGGACGGACGATTGCTTGGTTCATAGAATTTTGGTATCGTTGCCCGAATCTTCCTATTGACTGAGCGCCTCGTGATCAGAGTCGAAAGGGCGAGAAAGCCTGCGCCGGCAAAAAATACGCCTAGTTGTTGCAGGGAGCGTTGCGACAGGATTGGCGGTCGTGGTTCGGGTGGTGGCAATATATTTTGAGGAGATTGAACGGAAGACTCGGTTATGGGAGGGGTAGAGGGGGATGAAGAGGAAGACGACGGTGGAGGCTCTTTATCCTTCGCCATCGTCATGGTAGTTCCGAATGACCACATTGGTATTGGTATATATGGGAGATGAATAGCAAAGAAAGTTCAGATCAGACACAAAAGAGTGATGTGCAGGTATCTAAGGAAAAATGCCATTAACAGTAAATGAGGGCAAACTGGCTTCTCGCAAAAATTGCAAAAGAATTGCAAAGAATAGAAAGTCGAAGTTATCGTGTGCTACTACTGTAGGTACTATGTACAATACATGTATCTAACTTGGAACCCTGTAACTGCATATCCATTACTCAAATCTGGGGTAAATAAGTGTAACCGAAGTGGGTCTACGGGATAGATCCATGGATACGTGATAAATACATATTGTATGATATTTGCCTATGTACTACTCCTGAATATATTGTCTTATACACATACATGGTCTTCCAAACTCCCACCCTCTGCCTGTTTGCTCTACATATTTTGCTTTGGATATTTCTCTTCTGCTAAGTCAATTAGCGATGGGTACCACACATTGTTAACTTCTGACCACTGACTCTATCTAGACAAAACGATATTATATTAGGAGTTGCCATTCGACATGGTCCCCGAACTCGCACTCGACGTCCTGGTCCGCTCGGCTTGATCAGCCAACAAAGTGACTACGGATGGAGATAGCGGGATTGGCATATTCAGAGGTCGTGGAGAGTCGAGAATAAATTGGTCCATCCATTCCTTTCTCGTTAGACTCTCCTCGCACTCATTCCACGTGTCCGAGTGGTATGGAAGCACCAGCCTAAGAAGCCTTACGAGAAACACGAGGCATGGCCGGATGCTTTCTAACTTGAAGTGAAACCAGAGTTCGTCCGGCGATAGGTTACTCTTCACGCTTTGGGTTGGGAAGACCTCGGACCAATGGACGGGGTGTTCGTCATCATACTCTTTAAGCTTAGCAACTAAACGGAGTGCTGCTGCGAGATGCGTCAGAGGTGTTTGAAGCTTTGATATGGTCCCAATATTCGTTTGTTTTTCTTCGAGAGCAACATGGGCGGAAACCACTTTGCAAGTAAATTTTCTGTATAGGGTCCTTCTTGTCTCGTCTAGCCTCGACCCTTCGACCTCTTCGAGAAGCTTTCCATAGAACATATCCACCCGACTGGAATGCTCCACCCCGGCGAGTGGAAACCGGATCAGTCCTCTCCAGACTTGGAAGGTTGCCAAATGACCTGGGGGAGGTTCACCGTTCAAACATTTTCGAGCAGTGACGGTCCAATCGTAATACTCGGAGAATCTACTCATATTCTACCCAGCCCGGATTAAAGGCGCGCGGCGGTAGGTGACGGTTCATACTTGAGATATTCTGGATTTCTTACAGGGCGTGCTTGATGTAATAGTGGACTACATATACATACCGTAGCTGTGCCTTTACACAGTATGCGCAAAAGGCAAGGACGGGATGAGACTACGCCTCTCGGGCGTATTGATCCGGATGGTTCAGAGCCCAATAATCGTCAGCGAATGCCTTGAGGAAGATATGAAGGATCAGATGTTCAGCTTCCAAGAAAAAGCAAAATAGACACGAGGATGGTTCCCGGGCCGGCGATTAAATTGGGCAGCCAGGGCCAGTATAATTCAAACATTCTTGAGCAAGCAAGCCTCTTATACACTATGTCCACTAGTTCCTGCAACATGACAGATCCGTCTCTTTCACCAGGAATAGTGAGACGAATAGGCCATCAACCTGATGGATGGTGAATAGAGCGGTGAGAGAATCAAGTAGTGATTATTTGGCAACCCTATAGTAAGTCCATTACACAGTTTTATTTCACTTTTTCGTTTTGAATGCCTACCTACATGGTAGATATAGACTTGAACCGCTTCAAAATAATATCGTTAAGGTAGGGTACTACCCCTATAAAGTTAGTATCATAGTACTCAAGACTGGGTATGTACCTAGGTAGGTAGGTAGGTAAGTACCTACATACTATGTAGTAGATAGTTATGTAAAGGACTATTCCGAATATTGAATATGTTTAATAGGAACTGACCTATCAGACAAGATCTATCGATCTAAAACGTGGACCAAAGACTTTAGCGCCGATGAATATGCAGTCTACACCCAAATAGCCGGGGTTTTTGGTCCCTCCACTTTAACCTTATATCCTCCTCCGTCCTTTAAGTTTACACCACCTATCAGATTGTATGCAGGCATCTGCCATCTACTCTTTACATGTTTTATTCTATACTGTATCTACTGTATCATTGATCTATCTCCGTAAACCTATACATACTAGTACCACATTGGCTAGCAACCCGTCCGTCAGCACGGCAGAGAGCCCGCCATGGCCAAGGACAAGGCAGCCAAGAAGGCCCAATCTTCATCAAAACCTCCACTGGCCGCTGCAGCTCCACCTCCCAACTGGCCACCGTTCAAGCCAGCTTTACCAGTTGTACAACTTACCCCAGAGGCTCCTATCCCTGGATTAGAAAACAAAATTATATTACTGCGAAATTTTTGGCCAAAGAATCTTTGTCGAGACTACGTCAATTTCCTTAAGACATTGCCTCTTACCACCACGCCCGGTCGTCCAAAACGTGGCGAGGCAGTGAGGGTCAATGATAGGTTCCAAGTTGAGGATCCTCGCTTTTCCCGCCGACTCTGGCTTGAAACTGGGCTCCAAGATGCCTTGCTGGAAGAGTCTGTTCGGTCTCTATGGTTGGCTGATGCCTTTTCACTAAGTACATACAAAAGTTCTACGAATGATACTGACAGCTAGAAAATAGGGGCGGTGAAGTAGTAGGCTTGAACCCCAACATCAGGGTCTATCGTTACTCCAAAGGTCAATATTTCGACTGCCATTGTAGGTACCTGGGTAGTTCTATTCTGGAGTTCTTCAAGCAAGCCATGCGTTTTTCCGGTGACACGCCATGTAAAGAAAGCCTCCAGGCTACTTCACTCCGGGCATCATTAGTGTCTCATTAGTCCCTTTCACCGATATTTATCCCTTTCATCCTAACATATGTATAGCCTCTGTGGCGTCCCCAGGATTCACCAACCAACAGGCTATCCTGTTTTGAAGACACTTTAGAGTGTTGTCATTGGAAAAGACATACCTGATGCGCATGTGTTAAGGAGGTCGCGGTTTTTTATAGGTTAGAACACGTTCACTAACCAGTGGGCCCAGATGACGACTCCAATATAGTCAACCTTCCTCACGTCAGCGAATCATCTAGTACCATCAGTACTAGGACAACTTGGACGTTATTGTTGTATTTGACCTCATCTACCGAAGGCTGTACTGGGGGAGAGACTGTATTCTATCAGCACGACCGCAAATCTCCAAAAGAAGAAACTGCTGTCGCCCCTGAAACAGGTTTGCTCCTCCTCCACAAACATGGAGACGATTGCTTGTTGGTAGGTACATACAGAGGCCTCCTCCCCAGTCTAGACGTACTAATCCTAGTTTCTAGCACGAAGGTCGAGAAGTGACTAGCGGCGAAAAATGGATAATTCGAAGCGATCTCTGCGTGAAGAAATGACATGAGGTATTCACTAAAGGTTGCAACCTCGGGAATGCCCTCATAGCAGCCTCCCCAATGTGTTGCATTACTATTAGCGCACTACAATATTGCCTTGTCATAATAATCTTCGATTTGAGCCCGGAGGGAGATTCTCATCCCAGGATGGAGCAGGCCAAATCGTGGGCTAAGCAATGCATGCCAAAGAATCTAGCGCTCCAAGTTGCATACCCACTACGCCTCATGTGGGCGTACTGTGATGTATGCAAGCTATGCAAGATTGCACTGACCATTAAAAAGGCTACCAATGTATAAGACACGGCCGAGGAAGCCGAGACAATAGGGCTCGTCGGCTAGAAGCATTATACCAAGCGAGGCCGGAAAACATCCGCTTGTATGTGATATACATACCTAGTAGCGGTCATTGCTTCAGCAGTCTTACACAGAACACCCACATCCCATCTAGTCTACTCATGGTTGCACAATCGTCTGCGTTTCTATCAGTCTCGATCTCTCATTCAACATCAGGGTTACGCCCCAGCTCTACTTATGTCTCCTTAACTAATATCTTGAAACTATTATATCTCTACTCATTTAGAAGGATATAACTCTACCAAGCCATACCTTTTCATTATTAACAAGGCTTGGTCGAGTGTCTATCACTGGTTTATGTATTAGTATACATGTCGTGATGCGCCACTAATATTTACCGCTGCTACCGCCGTAATTATTATTCCCAATCACAAGCTTCACATTCTCCCGAAACAGAGGTGGCAATGTTTCACGTTCTAACATAGACAAAGCGGCGGACCGGTTATGTTCGCTTCTTGGCTCGGAACGCCATTTTTGTTGACTGAGTTTCTTCGACGCAGATACTCCAGCGGAACCGGCCTCTCGGGTGAAACATCAAGTCCTTCACCATGCTAATGCACCGTATCGATGCTTGCTGCAGGGTGCCCTTTTCGGTTTCTCTGACGATGTCTAAGATTTAAGTACTCTGTATCGTGATCCTTGAAGTCCGCATCTTATGGCCTTCTTGGTCAACTGATTCTCGTATCAGCCGCCAGGCCTCTCACCAAATACCGGACTCTTTTCGGCGACCGGCTTTCGGAGTTCATTCCCTGGTGATTATTGTATGAAAGTCCTTTGGGACGTTCAGTCTCCCCGAGACCGTACCAGCATGATGTTTTATTCGGATACTCTCAGCGATTGTCTAGCACGCCAAATAGTTACGGCTTCCCCACTAGGTAGGTAGATAAATAATATGGCCCCTCTAGTTTACTATTTACATATTCCCCATAACTTTGATTTGGAACAAATATACTACGTATCCTTGAGGAACGAGGCTTATATACAGCGATACCCAGGATATGTGAAGAGTCTGCAGCATCAGGTTCTCTCAGGGGGGCCCACGCTCCAAGGCTTTCGCCTCACGCAGCGCGTCAGACTATCAACTTCTTCTTTCTTGCCTCCATTATTCTAGGTACTTCGAGTCGGGCTAGCTACCTGGTAGGTACCTAGGTTAGGTAACTTTTCTAAGATAAGAAGGACGAAGAAGAAGAATAAGACTTGGCGGGGAGGCATGTAACAAGAATAAACCAGGAGATTAGGTAGTCGTTTATAGTAACATGCTGCCGTGTTCTTTTTTTTTTTCGCCGTATCTTTTTATATACCCACCTAACCCCCGTGCCGCAATCCGCGCCGTAGAAAGCCCCACCAGTATAGTATGACCTCGTCCGGAGTAAAATAAAGAAAATAGGTAGAGAAAGGAATAAAATTAGAGACAAAAGTATCGAGAGGTTATTGTCAAAGTTCTGCACATGGGTAACTGTTGGTATTCGGTGCCCGATTTGAAAGTGACTGGCCCACGTAGGACATATATAGGTTTCTACTTACCAAGGTACCTATGCTTCTTGACCTAGTCTGTCGTCGTTATAGGTATTTATAGGTGCCCAGGTGAGTAGGTAGGTATCTACTGTACATATTCTCGTCCGGGTGTAGGTAGGTACATAGGATTTAGACGGCTAAGCTAGACGATTGCCTGCCTGGGCAAGACTCCTACTTGACTGTTAGGTTAGTTTAAGGAGGAACAGTTGAAGGATGAGGATATATGGAGTGTATATAAGATTGGATGCTTTAAAAAGCCCTCTACCGCTCGCTACCTACCTACCTACCTAGGTATACATGCAGAGTTATGGCACTTTGGGTCAGATCAACATAGATCGATCGTATCGCTTCTCGTGGAGGTAGGAGCAAACCAAGGAAGCAAGCAAGCAAGCGAAAATACCTACCTAGGTTAAACAACAACGTACCTATAGCTAGCTACGAGCAGTAGGGAAAACAACTGTAAATCGCGAACCTCCCACACCCTCTCTCTCTCACTCACTCACACCCTCTCTCTTTCTCTCTCCTAAAACCTCTCCCAATCCCTTCATCAGCCAACGAGCAGAGCAAGCAGCGAGCCAACCATGCACATCCACAACATCGCCACCATCGCCGTCCTCGCAATGGGCTACCTATCTCACGAAGCAACGGCCAAGATCGCGATAGGCTGGCGCGAGAAAGACGAGGCGAAGGGTAAGTTTGTTTCTACTTCTCTCCCCCCCCCCCCCCCCCCCTCTTCCTACCTCCCTCCCTCCCTCCCTCCATTCTACACAAACAAACAAACAACCCACAAAACTAAGCAAAAGGGAAAAAAACAACAGTAATCTGGGTCGGCACAACCCCCCTCCCCAAAAACGACTGCCAAACCAACTACGCCACCCAACACCACGTCTTCTCCTCCTCCTCATCCCAATCCATCTGCAACAGCCCCACCTCACCCGGTCTCAAATCCGCCCCCTTCAAGCTGAAGCGCGGCGACGGCGCCCTGTCCTCCTTCGAGATGCACTGCGCGCGGCGCGTGGACCGCGACACCGGCGTCGAGGGCGCCCCGCTCCTGGCCCTGTGCCGCCTCGACGACTACCAGTGCGTCCAGTGCGAGATGGAGGCCGCCGACCCCTTCGACGGCCACTGCGGCCTGCATCTCGAGATGTCGTGCTGGGAGTAGGTGGGTGGTGGTGTGTAGAAGAAGGGAGGGAGGGGGGGGATTGAGAGAGAGAGGAAAAGGAAAGGGAAAGGGAAAGGGGGGGCGGAGAAGAAGGAAGGGGGAGGATAGAGAAAGGGGAAAAGGAAAAAGGAAAAGGGGGGGTGGTTTCTTTTGGATGGATGTGGCTGCCTACCTGGGCATAGTTACTTACAGCTACCTCAGGTTTCCCAATTTCAACGTTGGAGTTCAGCTGGAAGGAAAGGCTGTGTTAAGGAATAGAGAAGAGTTTAATCTACCCAGGACTGTAGGACATATTTTCTTAATCGCGGTATTTGTACTGCGTACTTGGAGTGTTAATCCGCAGCGGTGTTGATATTCTATAATGGATTCTAGCAAGGGGTCTGTCTGAGTCTTACTTACATTAGAGTGGCTAAATCGAACATGAACTCGGCTGAGAGTAAAATAGTCATGAATGAAATCAAGCAAGTGGTGATTGGGACAGTGAACAATACCCGTGATGACTACGAGGGAGACGTAATATCAGGGGGACTACTTACATAGCATCATCACATATACACGTCCGTCGAAAGGCTATACTAATCAATGGGCACATCATCTAGTAAAGAAGAACATCTCGGGGACGGAATTTAGGGTCAATTAATTCTCATTCATCATCGACCTAAGCCACAGTCTTACTCATTTGGTAAGAACAATTCGGATATGCCATAGACTCCGTTTCCCATGCGTTACGAAAATCAACCCTTTGCCAGATCCCGTTTTTTGTTGCTATTACCTTCAGGCGCTTAGTGGCCAGCCAGGGTGTGAGCCCGGCGGCGGTCTCGCTCCTCAGCAATGGTCAGCTTGACACCCTTGCCCTTGGGTAGGGATATCCAAGGCTTCTCGGAGCCGATGACGAAGACGTTGTTCTCGCGGGTGGCGAAGGTGTTGTCAATGGCGTCCTTGATGTGGACGATGTTGAAACCACCATCGTGACGCTCACGGTGAGTGATGACACCAACACGACCCATGTTGCGACCACCGGTAGCCATAGCAATGGCGCCAGTGTCGAACTTGATGAAGTCGGTAACCTTGCCAGTGGCAAGCTCGATCTTCACGGTGTCGTTGACCTTGATGGAGGGGTCAGGGTAGCGGATGCTGCGAGAGAGTAAAATGTCAGCATAGGCAGAGAAGGGGGAAACATACCAGCCATTAGTTCGAAGCTCGATCTTATCACAAGATGGGAAAAGGTGGTTCAACCAAAGCTTGATCCAACGGCTGAATGATGTCTGACAGAACTTACGTTCTCGCATCGTGCGTGACCAAGAATGGGATGCCGCCCTTGCCAAGTTGCACTCGCTTGACCTTGCCGAGCTTGTACTCGGCCTCCTCAGCTTGAATGCGGTGGACGGTGTATCGGCCCTTGGTGTCGTAGATGAGGCGGAAGTTCTCGCCAGTCTTCTCGAGGGTGATGACATCCATGAAGCCGGCGGGGTAGGTCATGTCGGTTCGGACCTTTCCGTCAACCTTGACGAGGCGCTGCATGAGGATGGCCTTGGTCTCGCGGTAGTTGAGGGCATACTTCAGACGGTTGCGAATGAAGATGATGAGGGGCATGCAGTCGCGCAGCTTGTGAGGACCGGCAGACGGCTTGGGGGCGTAGACACCCGAAAGCTTGTCGAGAAGCCAGTGGGAGGGGGCGCTCAGGCGCTTCTGGTGCTTCTTGCTATAGAGGGAAGTCGAATTAGTAAAAGTTGTATCAACATTTTGTAGGTTTGGTGATAGGTTGATAATTCGACTCGGATGCGTATGTCGCGCTTGATGATACAGCAGATACGGGAATTATCTGTGAATTGAAGTAGATTGAGGTCGAGGATTAGAGATTGATAATATACTTACGGTCCTTTAGCCATTTTGACGGTTCAACGATGGTTGTTGAAGAGAAAAAAATGTCGTGAAGTGGCAGGTTTGAGTTATTGTAGAAATCCAAATTTGCGAGTCCGAGGAAAATTGTTGAATTGGATGCGACTAGTTCGAATTTACTAGCAAGCGAAAATAATTTCGGGGTTTGTGCCCTACAGGTGCCCTAGACTAGCGTGCTAAGGTGGTCAGTGCATAAGTGCAGAGTACGAAGTACTTGGGTACTTGTAGAAAATCTTGGCATTAAGAAAGATGGCCCCGCAGACTTAGTTACGCCTCGATAGATACATAATACCGCATCGTGCATACATCTCATTGATAGCACTCGTCAAGCAAAGGGGGTACACATAATTTGGATATAGCTACTACAGGCTACAACTTCTAAACACTGATTGATTGATATTAGAAAGAGAAAAACCACTGGCTCAATACACTAGACATTCACCATTACTCCTTACAGCTGGGCTATCCATCCTGTCAACACACCTAACCCATACCGAACAGCTCAAGCCTCACCATCACATCTATACTTACACCAGGGCAAGCATGTTGTCAAAAACGAAGAAACTCCAAGATATGTAACGTACTTTACTTTTACAGTTCAGTTCAGTTCAGTTCAGTCCAGAGATACTCACTAGTCTTGACTTGTACTTAACAAGTCGAGTACTCCATCGCTATCATGTACCTTTCTTTAGTTACAACTTTTCCCATCGCCTCATTCCGTGTGCGTGCCATCATTTGTATGTATGTATGTACCAGCCTGGCCCGTCCTGCCCTAAAAATCCCCCATATCCAAAAAAAGATCCTAAATTATCCAATACGCCCATTTACACAGACACACACACTGCACAAATTCTGTTCTCTATAATGACAGTAACTCCATCCGCAAATAGTAGCAGAAAATCGACTAGCGTCCACCGTCCCGTACGCCAATGGCGTATCATTCAGGGTTCGAGCCATAGTAAAAAAATCGACTCCGTACATCAGATATGAGCTGATATCAAAAAAAACGTACCTAGTAGGTATACATAGGCCTATATCAAAGCAAATTTATCCCAAACCCCGTCTTTCCTGGGGTGGATCATTAGTGATTTGCGTATCATCGAGTAGAAGGCGCGATATGTCCATCTCTCCTATTGCACCTGAAGTAAACCCTGCTCCGGAGCCCTCATTCCAGTAGATACTCGAGTGAGACTGCTGGGACGATTCGCCGGGTTCGATGAGACTCGAAGATAGGGGCCACTTGGGCATATCTTCTTTGGAGTTGCTTCGGTTGAGTTGAGGCTCCAGTAGAGCCGACTTGGAAACGTGGAGCGAATTTTCAATCGCCATATTGACCGACGGTTCGAGCAGATTGTTGCCCCGCCCGGGTTCCCTAACCTGCATCGTGGTTTTCTCCGTACCCGCAAATCTTTCGGGGTACTTGTTCCGTAGCCTATCACGTAAATCTGTAGGCTGTCTGGTAGAAAGGTTGAATCTCGGATCCCTCTGGATCTTGGTCCACTGAGGGCCGTACATCTCAAATCCTTCCAATATTTCTCTGTCATCCTGTTCGGAGAACGGACGCCGCTCCCTACGGTGCGACTTTTTGAACGGCCCCCTGATTCCGAGCTCGGCCAGGTCCTCCATCTTTTTGCGATGAGCTCGGCTCTTGCGTTGCCTCGATGGCGTGGGGTCGGAATCGTTCTGAGCTGACTGGGTCTGCTCAAGTTCGACCTCCTCCTCGGTCTCGTTTAAGATATTTTCAGACATGAGGCCTTTTCCTGGTCTTCCTCGGGTCCTCGTGGCTGGTGGCAATTCTCTGGATGCACTACCTCTAGCCGCGGGACTGCCACGAAGTTCTTCAGGACAGCAAGTCCGAAACCTATCCTTTAGGTCCCCAGCTGTCCTTTCATTAAATTTATATTCCGGATCGTCCAATATGTCTGTCCATCTCCCGACTCCATGTTTGCTTACACCGAGCAGCAGGTGGTTGGTTTCTTCCTCGGACCACTTACGCCGTGGCTTAGCAGCTCGTCGTTTGACCTTGCCCGTTGGCGTACGCTCGGGCTCGGGGGGAGGGCTCGGGTTTGTTTGCTCTTCAGGAGGCTCCGATGACTCTGACGGTTTGGCGATGCTGAGGGACTGCGGAGGTTCGGAATGCGGGCGATTATCGAAGGAGCCAGAGGAGATTGGTGGGAATAGAGAGGCGTCGGATGGTGGCTCAAGCAACCCCACAATGATTGGAGGAAACATGTGTTGTTGAGTCGTTGCCTTTTGTTTCTTGAGCGGCTGTGGTAGTTGCACAAAGTCCTCTTTGACCGGACGTCTCTTCTTTCCGAGGTCTTCGACATTGTCTGGCGTATCGTCCAGTATCATGCGCAAATCCTGAGACGAGATGTGGCTAAGTAATGTTCGGTCCGTCGGGTATACAGCATCATTCCTCAGTGCGGAACTCGTGACATTGGAGGTATCGTCCACCATCGAATATAAGGAGGGCATGGACTGTGAGGCCAATTGGCCCAGGTTCGTGTCCGGCACCTCGGACCTCTGGCTAGCATCGGGTTCTATAGGATGTAGACGGCCGGAAGTCTTAGGAAGGGGGAGGACTTTGATGGGCGGGAGCTCAGCATGGTGCGGCCGTGGCGTAGCAGTCGATTCGTTCAGCAGATGAATTAGTCGTGGCTCGATGGTGGCCATCGTGATTCGATGGGAGCGAACAGGAGAAGAGCATTGGGAGAGGAAAAGGGCCCTGACGGACTCTTTGTTTGGAACGAGGGGGGCGAGAGGAACGACGGAGACAGCGGAGAGGAGGAAAAGGCGGGAGGTTTGAGGGTAAAAGGTAGGTAGGTAGGTAGGTAGGTTCTCAGTCTGTTTGAAGAGGCAAAAGAGAAGCTAGTGACAGCACTATTACGATTCAAGTTGACCACAACAATTTAGCACAGTAAGATACTGTTTGTGGTAGAGGAGGGGAAGAAAGAAAAAGAAAAAGTAAGAGTTTGAATAATGGCGCGTTGAAGAGAATGGAGAATGGAGAAAGAGAGTAAAGAATAGGAAAAAATAAAGAGAGAAAATAGATCCGGAGTAGATCAATTCAATCAACTCAGATAACTAGATTTAATCAACGCCGATAAACCATCGGATTCCCAAATGTATTGTCTTCCACTCTCTCACACTCTCTCTCTCTTATATATATATATATATATATATGTATTAATAGAGGGAATTAAAAATAGTAAAAGAAAAATCAATATTGTTCGTATGATGCCACAGATGCATAGTACGTTAGAAAATGAAAATGGTATTAGTATCAGTTATTAACCCAGGTTTAGGGTACCTAAGTAGGTAGGGAGTCTGAGAGGAGTCTGGTGTGTCTGGTCTGAGAGTGTGTGGGTTGGCCGCGTTTGCAGGTTTGCAAGTTTTTGTTTTATTTTTTTTCCCTCTTTCTTTTCTTTTCATTTCGGCTTCTTTCAAATTCTCTCATTTCTTTCTTTTCCTTTTTCAACCTGTACTGTACCTACTAACTTGGGTAGTATGTAGCGTGATTGCTTCACGTGAAGATACCTTACCTTACCATACTTGCCATGTGCCATTGTGCCTACCGTTAAAACTATGTATGTAATAGAGCCGAAGCAGTACTGGCAGTACGGTACGGTACTCAAGCTAATAATAACACTTGAAATTGAACCAAACCGATTAAGTTCCAAGGTTAGGTATGTTCGATAATAGGACTATTTTTGCTATCAATTATTTTCGGGGGCCAGGCTGGGGGGGTGTTGACCTACGAAATATATATATCTCTACCGGGTAGTATATATATATTTATAAATATCTTCAAATGATGATGTAGAAAATAGTTTAAAATAAATCATAGCCATTGGAAGAATGGAAGAAATTAAATAAAAAAAAAGAAAAGAAAGAAAGGGTAAAAAAATGAAAATCGGAGGATGATCGGTCTGTCACACCAAATGCAAAGAGAGAATTATTAACGCATCCTGTTCGATAAGGGATCAACAGGTGGAAATTCAATTAATCATCGTTGTGCTAGGTACCTGGGCTGGGCCTGCATACTACAGATAGTACCTATGGTAGTAGCCTGTAGGCAAAATGCCAAGCTTTTTCTTCAATCTAGTGTACATAGATATCTGTACGGTATTAACTAATAGCATGATGAAATGATGGAAGGATGGAACAGTCTGATATTTACAACAAGGTAGGTGCATACCTGGAGGTGTTTAAGAGTCGTATTAATCTTATTAATGATCCTGCCCAGACGTGCCGTTTGATCCTTTGGAGTACAGAATCTGCTGTACTACAGATGCATGACATATCATTCAATGTTGTATGTAGTTACTGTACCTAGTAGTGTGCACTTGTGCCTAGGTTAGTGCAGTGTATTATAGGTACCATCCAATCGGGATCTTGCCGCAACTATTCCAACTATGTCCCCTATTGATTGATATGTAGTTACCGACACCCATCTCCAAAATCTTGTCATTGGCTGATTATTAGTATAGTATCACTCCCTTAGCCTTAATCAGATCCGAATTGTCTATCTATCTGTCCATCCACTAGCAGTCTGGTAAACATACAATATAATATAAAACCTCAGTTAAAATCAAACAGCCATGGCCTCACAACTCCCAGCATTCCCACGCACAATCTTCACCATCGTAGAGCCCATCTCACTGTAAGCCAAATCATCTCACACACCTACCTACCTACCTACCTACCTAACCTACCTTACTAACACCCCCTCCAGCATCGGCGGCTTCCTCGGCCCCCTCCTCAACACAGACTGGTTCATCGCCTCGCAGCTCAACCCCCCTCCCAGCCCCAGCCCCAGCCCCATCACCACCTCTTCCTACGACGGCAACGCGCGCCTCGTCGCGCTCCAGCTAGGCAACGCATACGGGCTGCTCTTCCTGCTCGGGATCGCCGTGCTGTACACGACGCGCGAGCTCAACGTCGTCCGGAACTACCTCGTCGCCCTGTGGCTCGCCGACATCAGCCACGTCGGCGTCACCTGCTGGGCCCTGGGTTACGAGCGGACCCTCGACGTCGGCGCCTGGAACCCCTTGACGTGGGGTAATGTCGGGTTCACTGTAAGTTACCTCCTTAAGAGTGTCTACCTTACTCTGGCTTTCCTTTCATATAAACCCTCCTCAAATAGTATACTCCCTACTCTCACGTAAACACTGACAACCATGAAAAGACTTTCCTCTGCTTAACCCGAACAGCCTATCTTCTAGGCCTCTTCGGCCCAGATCGTCCAGCCATCACTTCCTCCAAAAAGAAGGCTTGAGCTAGTAGTTGTGTAGCCAGGTACTGTAGGCAGGTAATGCTCTTTGAGATCTACCTATACTCTAATGTTCTTTGGCCACATGAGAGGATTACTGTATAGATTAAAACATCGGTTGAATCTGAGTTGAATTGACTGAAAATCATCCGTTTAATGCCCTGGGGAAATGAGAAGAAATGCGACCTGACATATGCCAGCCAAGTCTGCCCTTCTGCTTCCCTTCATGGCAACCTTGGAACTATGAATCTCGACTGTCCATCTCGGCGTATCCCCTAACCTTTGACCCTTGACCCTAACCCTGGCCCTCTCCCTTCGTACATCAATACAGGGGCAGAATAGAAAAGCGAGCAAATAACTCATGCCATGCCATGTCGTGCCCTATTGAAAAGTCTTGTCCCCGTTCCGAGGGACAATAGAAAACAGCAATGGAAAAAAGCAACTTGGAAGGATTTAAAATCCCTTGGAACAAGAATCGCGGGTCCTCTAGTTCTCGCGCGGTCTCTTGGCCCCATGAGGGTTTTGCCAATCCGACTGCTGATTGCCGCCGAAGAAGGCCGGGTTGAAATGCGCCGGTTGCTGGAAGCCCATCATGGGCATACCCATGCCGCCCATTCCACCCATCATTCCGTTGTTCATGCCCGCGTTCATACCCGGGTTCATTCCGCCACCCCGTCCGCCACGCATGCCGCCTCCTCGCATACCTCCACTCATACCTGGCATCATGCCGCCACGGAAGCCAAAGTTTCCGCCACCACCTCCCATGTTGTTGAAGCCGAAGCCACCACCTCCTCCCATGTTATTATTGAAACCAGCGGGCACGTGAAATCCGCCGCCACCGCCGCCGCCGCCCATGTTGTTGTTGCTGTTGTTGAAATTGCGATTGAATCCACCACGAGGTCCATTGAAATTTCCACGACCTCTAAAGTTACCGCGGTCATTGTAGCCTCCCATGTTTGAGCCACCTCGGGAGCCTCCTTCTTTGTTTGCTCGGGCAGGCGCATCCTTGGGTAGGGTCTTGAAGGGGTTGTTAGTGGGCGAGGTGTAGATGATGGTCATCTTCTTGCCGCCTGGCTGGCCAGCCTCGGATGCGGCATTCTCTACTTGGCGCTTGGCAGCAGTGGCGGCTTGTTGCGAAGTAAACTCAATATAGGCTTGGCTATCATGGAGTTAATGAGTAAATCCTGGTAACTTAGCACGGTAGATAATAATAGACGGTACATACCCCTTGCTCTTGCCATTGACCTTGTGCTCACTAAACGTAATATCTTTTAGTTCATCTTCACAGGAGGCTCTTCGGATCCAGTTTCGGATGTCATCATCTGTAGTCCACCATTGTAGTTCCGAGAGAAGCAGGGCACTGGTCGCGCCTGGATCAATGGGTCTGTCATCGGAACCTTCCTTGCGCTTAACACCTTGTTGATGAGATTGGAAAGGCGTCCCGCTGTTGCTGTGGTTCATGGCGTGTTGGTCATGGCTGTCGTAGTCATCGTTATGGGTATGTGCGGAAGAGTCCGGGTTGGAACCGTTGGCAATGGTGATGGAAGAGTTATTCTCATACGCATGGCTGTTCGACTCATCATGTTTGGGCTCGTCGGCATCCACATTCGCGTCGTTCGCATCGCCATAAACATCGATCTCGAAATCCTCGTCCGCCATCTTGAATTCAGCAGTTGGGGAAAAGGATGCAATAGCAAGAAGAGTCTAAGTAGGAAGGCCTGAAGCTTGCCAATTGAGGGTGTATTTAGGGTAGATACAGGAGACCTGTGTTCTTCCACTCCATTTCATCAGTCAATAAGAAATACATGATGGGAAAATCCTCGACCAAAAAGAAGTAGAACAACGAGAGGGAAAGAAATTTCTCACAGTATCGAAATACGTACACTCCGCAGCCTTTGAAGTATTGTTCCCCGTATTTTCTGAGCTCTCAAGTAACTCCACTGAACGACGTAGGGTGTTCTTAACAAATAAAGATAGGATAGGTTTGAGACGAAGCTCTGTGCTTGCAGTCTCTTGTGCAGTCTCTTGTGCAGTCTCTAGTGCAGTCTCTTGCAATCTTCCTCGAAAGTACAGTAGTCGTATGAGCCGAGGTCCTTCTCCCAATTCTGTTTTATCCGTAAATATGTGACTGCGGTTATGATGATGATGGTGATGTAAGAGTACAGGGCAACCTGATGGTCGAAGATAAGTAAAAAGACGTTTCAAAGTGGAATGAACCCTATGTAGCTCCCTATGACTCTTCTGGTGTTATCAACGTAATGTTGTATGTATTAATTGGAAGTAGGTATGTACCTATTTAGGTAGGTAACCTTCAAACTGACTGCCTTACGCTGGTATTAGAGAATGGAATGATCCGAGAATAACTTTTGAAGATAGAAGTCGGAAGTGGAAGATTATGCTTGCTCTTCCGCGACAATTGAAAGAAGCACCGAAAGAGAAAAAGAGGTGAAATAGGTGCAACGGCGAGGTGAGGAAAGTACTACTATTGTAGGAAGAAGGAAGGAGAAAAGGGAGTTTGCAACGCGACGTAAGCGGGCCTAGGGGGTAACGAACGGTACACTACTTGGAGATACACATAGTCAAGAACTCAGCCAGTGAATATGCTATGTGTGGCTTCTCATAGCAAGTACGAAGTATGTGGAAAGGGTTATAAGTAGTTAGTTATAAGTATAGGAATGAACGATATGATATGATGAAATATATCGGATGTTGCTGTCGATGTCAAAGTCAATGCCAATGTCAATGTGGGAACAGAAATCTGAGAAATCTGAGAAATCTGACAATGATTTAAAAGTGACGGGATGTTGTTTTTGGGATGGGACTCGACAGAAACAGCTGGGCTAGCTAAGAAACTTGCCGACGACAATTTGAAGTTCAAGGATGAGAAGGAGCCTTGAGCCTGAACGGCTTAGCGTTAAATTGGGCTGAGCTTGGGGAACCCATGGCCCGCTTATTTAGAGGGACACTAAAATGACTAAAATGAGGCTATGGGGGCATTGGGGGCAAGCACAAGCCATCAACGGTGTATTTCGTACCGACATGGTTTGCATGGACCGTTTGACGTTTACCTAATACAGCTCACGTGTTTTTCAGTCCATTTTAACATTTTTCAATGTAGTTATGTACTAATAACTAAAGTTATGCCGTAAGTTACATATGTACAGCAGAGCTGGGTGAGCTGGCCAGATTGCATCTGCGAGCGCAAAAGTCAACGCTAAGCAGGTTTGGGATATGTGTACCTATTATATCAATTAATATCAAATAAAATCTAAGCTATTACTAGGTTAGCTGGCTAGGAAATCTGGCCGTTACTGCACATACAATACTACATACATACATACATCGCCATCACTACTTCCACATTTCCAATCCTCAATTCTTACGCGCCCATAATCCCACCATTCTACATTCCTTCCCTCTTCCTTCTATCGATACCATTTACTTGTTTTACTACCAAGTAATTCTCCCATCTACTGCTAACCTCCACCACGAGACCTATTCATTCCCACTTGTATCACGCTTAACATCTCTTCATCATGTCCGATATACAAGAATTCCTCGAAATCCCCAAGGACTTCGTCAAGGACGGCACGCAATTCATGACACGGTGTACCAAGCGTAAGTCTCTCTATCCTCGCTTTCCAACTTCAACTTCAACTCCAACTCCTTCCCTACCTACTTTCCACGCAGACCTTTCCCTGTGGCATTTCCCCAAAGATTCAAGACTAACAATATTGTGACAAATAGCGGATAAGCGAGAGTTCATACAGATCTCCAAGGCCGTCGGCGTGGGTTTCTTGGTCATGGGAGCCATCGGCTACCTGATAAAACTAAGTAAGATACTCGTAAAAGAATCCCGCCGAGGAAGGTCATTCCTTTGCTAATACTTGCATGATAGTTCACATCCCCGTCAACAACATTCTCGTCGGCGCCGCATAAATCCTTCTACCTAGTTACTCGGGATCTCGATGATGAAAGGCGTAGGGGCCAGGTACTTGGAGCAGATGGTGATCAAGGCGATGTATGGTAGAAAAAAAACCTAGGGGGGGGTGAACACCCTGATGCTCTGCTGCGAATCATTGATGGCAGTGTGATATAATACGATGTACCATTCATAATCGCGGCTTGGGTCAAAAAGAAAACACATCGGTTTTGCTCAATAATTCAAGAGGGGCAAGCTTGGGAGGTCATTGAATATATTTATGTATTTGTTATGCTCTCCCACTCGGATTTCATCAAGTCGTTACATGACATTGCATCTCAACATCTTGAGAGAACGAACGACAACCTGAACAAGACCAGCTAATATCACTTTGTGTCTCCGTCCAAACCCTTGCATATAAATATCATGTGCCTTGATATTCTTGCGCCAGATATTCGTAAGTTCATAGATAATTGTCCAACAGAAAGCAAATCGCGACTATCCAGCCTGTTCAATATCCGCTGTCATAATAAAGAAGCAGCTATAATTTAAGATACCTAGAAATTGTCATCATCTCCCTTACTCTCATTCTCGTCCGAGTCTAGGGATATATCATGACCAGGGTCTGAGCTGTTCATCGTAGTCGGCACCCATCTCGGGTTCTCCCTCGTCAAACGAAGACTCATTATAAGAATGTAGTGTGATCATGCCCTGAGCATCGCCTCGGCTAACTAATGAGGATGCTGATAATTAGGTGTAAGCATTTAGTGCGACTGCGTTACTAGTCCTCCAAAAGGGGACAATAGGGTAACCACACTTACTAGCGATAAAAGGGGCAGTGGGATGCCAACTCGCGTCTCTCACGACGGTAGATAGACCAGCATAGCCGTGGTCGTCATGAAACCCATGTCGCCACGGTAACTCTGGATGATTCTTGGTTGTGGGTTCCTCGACGTTGACAACAGCAGCTATTGTGGCATCCATGTTGTATATATACACTCTGCCGTTATGGCTACCCGAATATACGTACCGCGAGTTCGTGCTCCCGGGTGGCGAGAAGTGGCAGCGGATTAATGTGCGTGAAACTTTATGTCCACGGAACGTAACTAGTGAGTTGTCGTTGGGGTGCGGGAACCAGTCCCTGTCATCCCAGGCAGACCAGCGATAGTCATCGTTTTGATTCCGCAGATGCCGGCGCGGGTTCAACTCGTGGAAACGCGCCGTCGTATACATCATCTTTAGGTCCCACAGCTTCATGCTCTGGTCTTTGCCGTTGCTCAACAGGTACCGCCCATCGTTTTTGCTATCTATATACGTTAACCCATGGATGTGGCCTACGAATGCGCCTGCTTCTCGCCCATCGCCCATGCTTCGTCGGTCCCACACTTTGATGGTCGCATCGTCGCTTCCTGAGTATAGGATGTGCGGCGACGACTTGTCCGCGAAGCACACTGCATTGACATCATCGACGTGACCCATGATAGTGTGCAGCACCTGTCTGGACTCGATATCGTATACCACGATCGAATTACTGCTTGTCCCAGCAACTAACTCTCGGCCGTCGCCGGAGAAACGGATCGAGAAGATGGCGAACCCGCCACGCCAGCCCGGTCTTCCACCGTGCTCCGATAAGCTTAGCATGTAAGGGTCGCCCGTGTCATTTGGGTCAGTCGGAGCTAAACAAACGTTGCTCTGGATGGAGGTGTACGCCAACCACTTGTTATCGGGACTGAGGGAGGCGTCTGTCAGGGTCCAAGACCCAAAGGTGAAGGGCACTGTCTTATAATGCCGCCAGTTATACGGGTTGGAGGTATCGTACATTCGGACCTTCATGTCTTTGACACAGGCAAAATAGAAATTGCCGTCGTCCGAGAATTGGCCAGAATATACGCCCTCCTCAAATTTGATGGCCATATCAGTTTCCGAACTCGGGATCATTGACTGCGCCATCAGGCCTTGGTTAATTCGATGATCAGTCCTGTTCCCTATCCCTAGCTCGCGGTCAAGTATACGGCGGGCGAGCCGCTTCTTTGTGGTAATAGAGCTAGGCATATCGTTCGCGCCAAAGGTGCCGGAGTTCATCAGCTCCCTACCTTTCTCACTCGGGACCTTAGGAAACCGATCCGGATCCAACTCGCGGGTTCGCTCGGAGCGGCGCGGTCCCTGGTAGTATCTAACAAGGATTCGCTGTCGTTGAGGTAGGCCCGCCACCTGCGTAACGTTCGTTAGTTCTAAACCGTCCTCATCATCTCCGGACTCGTTGTCATCGTCCTCTATCTGAACCAATAACGAAACATTGCCTTCTTCGGCATCTATTCCGTGTTTGTATGTCAGCTATTGCGCGAGTCTGGGGTCTGGATTGGCCATGACTTTTGCGATTCTATTTGCGTACCGTGAAACTCGTCGTCATCAGCCTCAAACAAGTCCTGGGCCACATCGTCATAATCTATTTCTTCACCATCTTCACCATCTTCATCATCTTCATCATCTTCATCGTAGTCGGGGTCTTCGGTATCCTCTTCTGTGGCATCGACATAATAATCCGGGACATGGTCCTCGGCCTCTTCCGATGTGGACCTCGGGCTACTCATTTTGGCTGTACTAGATGCTTGTTTCTATAACTATTTCAACGATACCGCTGCTTATCACGTATATATTTGCTGATAGATTTTTAAAGATATGTTGGCCTTTTGGCTAGAGTCCGTCCTATGTATGAATCCTAGGCTAGGTAGATAATGTCTCACTTGGGAGTCCAAACACTCCAGGAAGGAATAAGGAATAGGTAAGGGCAAGTAAGGTTCAGACAAAGCGGAATTTATAAGTCAACAGAATAATTGATCATATTGATAATAATGGCTTTGGTCCGGCCAGGGTCAAGGTATAAATTTGAGTGAGAGTCAGGGTTAGGGCCTAACCTCAAGTTGTTGTATGTGTTTGAAGAAGATGGTGAAGATGAAAGAGGAAACAGAAACCAGAAATGACGATGACACTTGAACTTGGAGAGCTACTAGCAGCCTACGTAGCCTACTAGGTACTACTATGTAGGTATGTATCTACTATCTGCTAATCTGGCGGGGTGAATTCTACACAGTTATACTTTGTGCTTAGTGCATTGACATCCCTGTGTTCAAGTCTATGTATCACTGTTATCATTGACTCCAGCTGCTTTACTATTAAACTCCAGGTTGATCGGCTTTTGTGCCGGACTTAGGGATTGCCTGCATTTTAATTCCCGTACTTCGTAATTCCCGTATGATACATATCATATCTACCTTAAGTACATATTAGCATATTATAACATATAACATATTATTACATATTATATATCAAATATCAAGATATGCAACATAGTAAAGCTCTTCGTGGCTTTTATTCCTTCTGCTTGGTCACACTCAATTCTTGCCTCACCCTTTTTGATCGTTTGTTATTGCAACTCACACCCCTATGCCAGCAATGACAATCTTAAGACCTCGTCATGGCACCCAACTGTAGTGATAGCTTTTCGCATACTATCATTTCATTGTTCTTTGCTTTTCTCCCACCACCCTCACCCTCACTTTCACTTTCACTTTCACTTTCACTTTGAATTCCGAAAATCGGCATACACTTAGATTTCAGCTTCATACGTCGTATAATTCCTTACACATAGAAATACACATATACATACCATTTTTCTTAAACTAGCATAAGCGAACATGGAACCTTATGAGGAGCTCATATCATGGGCTACAGGCCAGGGCGTCAAGCTCACCGGCATCATACCTAAGCGTATTCCCGGTCGGGGCATCGGCCTCGTTGCTACCCGGGCGATCAAGGTTCGTCTATCCGGCAATCCTATCATGCACCATGTCTCGTGTACTAAACAAGCCACCGGGGGTTAAAACAAACAGTCAGGAGAGGTCGTGCTCGAGGTCCCTGCATCGTGTATACGGAGCATCGACACAGTCCCGAAGCCCCTTGTCCGGCAGCTGCCCAAATCCATCTCCGTCCACGGCCTGCTAGCCGCGGACCTCGCCCTCGACCGCTCCGGCCGGTACGCCGCCTGGGACGCCGTGTGCCCCACCCCCGCCGACTTCGCCGGCATGCCGCTCGTCTGGCCCCCCGAGCTGCGCGCGTACCTGCCGCTCGCGGCGCGGGACCTGCTGGCGAAGCAGGACGCGAAGCTCGCGCGCGACTGGGCCGCTGTCGCGAAGGCGTTGGCGCATGGCCAGGAGGACCTCGACGAGGCTCGGTACCGGCACGCCTGGATGCTCGTCAACACGCGCACCTTCTACTACGTCAACGCGCGGCTGCAGCGCCGCTGCCCCGACGACCACATGTGCCTGTTGCCCGTCGCCGACCTGTTCAACCACGGCGACAACGCGCGCGAGGAGTGCAACGTCGCGTTCGACCGCGCCGGCTTCGAGGTCACGGCCGCGCGTAGGTACGCCCGCGGCGAGGAGCTCAAGATCTGCTACGGGAGCCACAGCAACGACTTCCTGCTCGTCGAGTACGGGTTCGCGATGGACGGAAACAAGTGGGACGAGGCCAGGCTCGACGAGGTGCTGGTCCCCCAGCTGAGTGCCCACCAGAGGGAGAAGCTGGACGCGGTGGGGTTCTGGGAGAGGTATGTGCTGGACAGGGAGACGGAGTGCTACAGGACGCAAGTTGTCGTGCGGCTGCTGTGCTGCGGGTTCAGGGAGTGGAAGCGGTTCATGGATGGGATTGACGATGGCGAGCGCAGTAAGCAGGAGGTAGCCCAGTACATGATCGAGTTATTGAAAGAGCTCAGGCTGGATGCCGGGAATATGATTTGCCAAGTTGGGGCTTTAAAAGTCGGCGAGCCACAGCAAAGAGAGTCGCTGGCTGATCGGTGGGAACAGATTGAAGGACTGGCTGCTATGAATATCGCCCGTCTCAAAGAGGATCTGAATAGAAATCCATTACCTAGGTTAGGAAGGAAGGTGTAGAACCTTTGGTATAGAATCTAAAACCTAGGTACTGATTTATCTCGACCGAGTAAAACATTGATGGGCGTTTATCATTATATACCTACAGATACACAACAAGTCATTGAATAGACTCGTATCCCAACGTAAAAAAAAAAAAAAAAAAGATCATCCAAACGCCATTGTATGCTGCCATCCATAATCAACCTATCCCTTATTTTCTTTTTTTAGTGGCCCTACGTACTTTTTGGACTCCGCATAATATAGTAGTAACACGATACCTTGTACCAAGTAGATCATCCGGTGTTCTAGGTACCTAGGTAGCTATCAGGAACTGGACGATAGCCCCGACTCCTTCCGCAGAGACTCCTTGCGCGCCTTTGCTTCCTCGGCGTCGAGGAAATCCTGGCGAAGCTTGTCCTCCTTCCGCTTCCGCAGGGCATCTTCTTGTACCGTCCATACTGTTTTTTTCGCCATGTTAGCATGTGTAGGTACGTGGTGTAAATAAATACCCTCTTGTGTCTTGTCCCCTTTCGTACCAAGCAATGCGATTTATCTTGATGGCTAGCCATCAGGCGCATGCACGCAGACAGAACAAAGCGCGACTCATGAGACTTTGGTTGATGACGCAAAGGTGGGTAGGGTAAGGTAGGGTAAGGAGGTGAGGTGAGGTGATGTGATGTGATGTGATGGATTCGCAACGTACTCGGCTTGCTGGACTTGGAGTCGGCCTTGACCTGGGTCATGAAGTCGTCAAACTCCTTCTGCCGCTCGTACCGACGCGCCAGGCTCTTCTTCTGCAGCTCCGGGTTGTACTTCTTGAACAGCTCCTCGTCGGTGGGCGAGACCCACCACACGAGGGCCGGGCCGCCAATGCACATTACGCCGCCGCTGTGGGTTCAATGTTAGTTTGCTTGCGTTTTTCATCGTGTTGCTGCTGTTGGGGGTGGCAGTGGTAGCCGCGCCGTTGTGTAGATAGACAAAGGGCTGCTGCTATAGTAGGTATGTAGATAGGTATATATGAGAGAGCGCTTACTTACGCAGCCATCATCTTGATCCAAGTTCCAAGCTTTCCTGATTTAGCCGCCATCTCTGAATAATCAATTGCTGTATTTTACTACTTATAGCACTGTTGGTATTATTGCGCTTGTCTTGTGTGTTGGCGACAATGTAAGGTCTTCGGGAGGGTGCGCGCGCGTAGATCGGACGGATCGATTATTCGATTATTCAATTGTCAATGACGAAAGTTTATGTGCAGGGATCTTAATCTATTGCGATAGCATTGTATGATACTGCTGTGGCTAGTGAGCAACTGCGAGCTACTTAGTGGCTGGATATAGAAATCACATTTATCCTCTACATCATTGGCTCATGAGAATACTAAAAAAAAGGCTGTTTAGGGTTTGTTTCATACTTTTCAGTGCTACGATGTTAGCTATTAGTACTAATTTAGTAGCCTACTAACGTATTACAGGCTATGTATACACCTAATAGTGTCACCTATGCTTGCCTGGACGTATGCGAGATAGTTATTGTGAATTTGTGATGTAGTTGAGTCCTACATGTCCACAACGTATTTCGGAAACGAGACTTCTGAGTGTGATGGTGGTACTACATATATCCACTCCAAATAAGTGAAACCAACGTGAGATTGAAGGTTGAAGTCTTACGAAAACGTGCGCCTAATGAATGGTTAGCAGCGTAAATTCTTGATAGTCTTTGGGGTTTTCTGGCTTACTGCATAATCTGTGGCTGTCCGAGCACGCTGCCGCCTACATGATGTAACTACGGCATAGTACAACATGTAATGTAGTTACATTCCTATCTGTTGGCTGGGTCGGTTCTTCCCGCTGCGTTGAATTTGTTCACTTGCATTAACTGACAGCCCCCCCTGCTGAATCAAATTCCGACAAGATGGAATTCTTTCAAGTACCTACTTGATATGAAAGTCAAGCGTTGCCCGGGGGTCATCTCTTAAACAAAATCATCCGGCTCCCGGCATTGAGAGGGGCCATGTTGGTTTATGCTAACAGGGGGCGGATGAGGCCAGCCTTATCTCTGCAAAGTACCGAAAGGGGTTGACACTCAAGTATGTAGGTTAGGCCAATCAGCTATTACATATGTAGGCCAAATATACAATACAGAGCCTACAATGCCCTACATATGTATAAGCCCCAGTCTATTTTGATACAACTGCATGTGCGGGAGTACATATCTGTCTTGAGATGCTACAAATTTCATTCCCATGTTTAGCAAAGCAATAGTTTCTATGTATACCTGGGTAAGCATATAAGAATCGCAAGAGGTATATAAAAATATAGGAAGTCGATGGGACGATGAACTCCAGATAACATTGAAGTTAGTGACTGTGTTACCGTGGTAGTTAAGGTTCTGACTGATTGCAATCTTACCTACCGAGGTACCATACATAGTAGCCTGTAGGTAATGTATACATACATGTATGTAAATAATGTAATGATGTTAGTAATGTTACAGATCCCGGAGTTTGTCGCCAATGCAAGCGCTGGTAAGTTGTTTGTGTCCCCATCCTTGTTTTATCCTACACAGAATCATAGATAAACCCTAGAAATTTAAGGAAGAACTCGAATATTCGTATAGACATTACCCGCATTGATCATTGATATGCATATATGTATATAATGGATACATTCTCAGGCCTCCAGTTCAAGTTCTACCTTAGCCTTTAAGGCCCTTAGCAGCTTAGGTACCTAGTACTCAATGTTCCCCTCCATCACCATTACCTACACCGAATGTAATGGGGTAACTTTTGTAACCTTCAGAGCTAAATGAACATTGAACATCTAACATTGAAATGAACATGTCATTCATGAATTGATAGTTTAGCGCGCTGATTATCCCACCTAATCCTCGGATGTCTTAGCCGATGCACCTGTCTTGAAGTCTTTAAGTGTCAGGATTCAGCCTGTCAGGTGCTGTACCTACCTTAGACTTGCCTTAGATTGCGGCTTGCCTACCTACTAGGTACAAGTACAATACCTACATAGTAACATACCTAGTAGATACCTAGTAATACCTAGCCGGTACATATTTGGCGAAGAAGGAGGGGCACTTAAACCAAGTACTGCGTAGTACAATACGTAGTAGGATAGTACTACATTTATATGTAACACTAAAGTTAAGGAGTACATACATAATTAGTACGCATTTAGGTAACGCCAAGTACCTGAAGGACTAGTGATGTATTAGGATCCTCGACATTTACCATTTACCTTTAATGTATCCCGGTTCTGCCGACTTGGTTTCTTTTGAAGTTTCAATGTTGCAAAAACTGAACTGAGCTTCACAACTTTCTTCCTAACTAATTCCTAACTAATTCCTAAAGGAAAAGGATCGTCCCATATTCCATATTATTATTATTCATCTTCTTCTACCATACCCTACTGCAGCGCAGACTTCATAATTATTTGTAGTAAAGGGTTTCTTGCTCATTCTTTATATTTTATTTTATTATTTCTTTACAAGTTCGTGCGCTGACCTTAGTGCATTCCTTTCATCAATAACCTCCAGGGCCTACGGATAACTTGACATTCTAATACTCTTAGATTCAGTCCCTGTAGGAGGATCGTCGCGAAACGTCGCAGTTCCCATTCTCTTTCAATCTTCAACTAACTCAACACCTGCGTCACCTTTCACAACGCTTCAGAAAAGCACAGCACCGAGCCTGACCTATCGCTGGTAATTGATAGCCCCAATTTCTTAATTTACCATTGCGGCACCAATATATTATCTTTATATAATGTTCTAGCGTTGCCGACGTTCCCAAAGAGGCCTCTCATCAACAACAAGCGGCACTGGTGGTGTATTTACCACGACTGTGTCTATTCTTTACTTGCGCTTACGCTGCAAGCCTATACTATTTCCAAGGTTATGAGCTTGCAGCGCATCTTGGCCAGAAACTCATCGACCAATCCCGAACCGATACTTGCTACATTTCTGCATACGTTGACCTACCGAAACTGACGATCATTACTGAGCCGAAACACTCAGGTACCAGTCTTTATTGCTAAATTCGCAACTTTAGTAGCGCCCGTGCAAAAGCTACTAACTCTATATTAAGACTCGTCCCTTGTTGCTGAGCACATATTTGCACCATAGTTCGACAAACACTTTACTACGACCGCGCTCCCTTACTGCTGTTCCGACAACAAGGAAGGCTGTGCCTAGGGGAGGAAAAGGCTATAGTCTCGAACCAACTATAGTTTCAAGAGGCATTTTACCGATCCTACAACATCTCTTGAAGGCTCGTGAAACGGAAAACATTGCTTCGAAAGCGAGCGTTGGAATGCGAAGATGGCATACAACGGCGGATATCAGGAGCAGCAACGTCCCTACGCGGGACCAGCAGCGCGTGCACCCCGTGGGCCACCGAGAGATGGATATCCCCCGCAACAATACCAATATGACGATTACGATTACGGCTACGACGGATATGACAATGGCTACCAGCAGGATTACGGCCCGCCGCCGCAAGATATGAACTACGGTAGAGGACCTCCACCTCCAAATCAAGCATATCCACCACGTGATATGTACGGCCCTCCGGGACCCAACAGTCGTCCTCCACCAGGGCCTGGAGGGAGAGGAGGACCGATGCGCGGCCCCCCATTTCCACGTGGAGGAGGAGGAGGACCTAGTGGCCGAGGCGGCCGAGGTGGCCGTCCAGTCCTCCCGGATCGGTCGCATACCTCCGATCCTAATGGTAAGGAACCCGAGTACTTTAATACCTGGTAAAAGCTAAGTTTTAAAGCGAACCGGCATGCGCCAAGCATCACCAGCCCCAACGATCAGGATTTTGGCAGTCCGTTTCCCGTATTCCCCGGGCATAATAGGAGATCAGATCTCGACGAAGAATCTGATATTGTAAATCGAATGGGCGGGATGGATATCCATGCAGGGAGACCGGGTATGTCACCCAAGAGCAATCCGGGACCAGGAAGAGGACCTGGACCAGGAATGGGGCCAAGAAGAGCGCCGACAATGGAGAATTATGGACGTCCATCTATGGATAGTCAAAGGAGTGGAAGAGGACCGCCACCACAAGGATATCCTGACCCGCGACGAGGACCGCCAGTTGACCAAGGATATGGCTACCAGGGTGATGGCTACAATGCCCCGATGTCGCCTTCAAGAGATGGATATGGGCCACCGGGCAGAAGTATGACGATGTCTTCAAATGATGAACACATGCGGAACGCCATGCCGCCACCTCGCATCGACAGCGCCGCTTACGGTGGACCTCCAGGACCTCCGGGACCTCCGGGACCTTACGGACACCCTGGACGGAATTTCCCCCCTCCCCGGCCTTCTACGGCTTCGGGCAATCGTCCACCACCCCAGAGGATGTATTCCGAACAAGGCCCCCCTCAGGGTCCTCCGGGTCCTCCGGGCCAGTACCATGACGGCTCGCTTCAACCACCAGGATGGAACGATGAGCCAGACCGGACTTCTATTGGCGAATTCTATGATACATATTATGATCAGAGAGTTAGCGGCGAACAGTACCCGCCTAACAATCAGTTCCGAGAAGACATACCAGATTTTGATGCAGTCCCTACCCAAGGCCCCCGAGAGTCGTTCGACCAACATATGCGTTCCGGTCCACCCGGAGTGCCTCAGCCTGGAATACCTCAGCCAGGAACGCCACAGCCTGGACCTGCGCGTCAGCCCGAAATGTCGAGGGCCAAGTCTCAACCAAACTTACGGGAACCACAGGCGGCCGTATTTGAGATGGTTGGTGATATGCCACCAGTACCGCCAGGGGGGTTCCAAGCATACAAGCCGCCAGGTGCTACGCCCGGGTTTTCAGGTTTGCCAAGCGCCCCGAACGCCATGAGGCGTACTTCGCAAGGGACACACCAGAGCGGTCCGGGTTCTGGTCATCCGGCACCCATTAGGCCTGGATTGATGCCCAATTCAATGGTAAATCTCAACGAGAAGCCCACCCCAGTTCGTAACTACAATGGCGGTACGCCACCCGCAGCCGCCGGGGCGCAAGGCCGTATCCAACCACCGCCGCCACCACCGCAAAATGGGCGGCCAACCTCTGTCACTGAGAAGATCCCGGTCACACCCGACGAGCTAGAACGTCTGCGGTCTATAATCAAGAATGACCCAAACGACCAGCAGTCTGCTCTCAGCCTTGCGAAGAAGCTCATTGAGGCAGCTGATGTTCTAGTTCCTAGGCTGCCTGATCCTAAAGCAAGAGCTAGGTCTCGTGAACGTTATGTGATGGACGCACACAAGATATTAAAGAAACTGGTCAATGCGCAGAACTCTGAAGCTATGTTCTTCATGGCTGACTGCATGGGCCGTAGCATGTTTGGTGACAACGACAGCAAAGAAGCATTCACACTCTACCAGTCTGCTGCGAAGCTGGGTAATGCCGCAGCTGCGTACAGAACTGCTGTTTGCTGTGAACTTGGCAACGATGAGGGCGGTGGAACACGGAAGGACCCCCTAAAGGCGATACAATGGTACAAGCGCGCTGCGACGCTTGGCGATACCCCCGCGATGTACAAGGTTGGAATGATCATGCTCAAGGGACTGCTTGGTCAGCCTAAGAACCCGCGGGAAGCTGTCGGCTGGCTGAAACGAGCGGCAGAGCGGGCGGACGCAGAGAACCCTCATGCATTGCATGAGCTGGGACTCTTATACGAGTCTGCACAGCCAAATGACGCAATCGTACGAGATGAAGCATATGCCTTGCAATTGTTCGAGCAGGCAGCTCAGCTTGGCTATAAATTTAGTCAGTTCAGAATGGGGTGCGCCTATGAGTACGGCCTCATGGGATGTCCTGTCGATCCCCGTCTATCCATAATGTGGTATAGCCGGGCAGCGACGCAGGAGGAACACCAGTCTGAGTTGGCACTTTCCGGTTGGTATTTGACAGGAACCGAGGGTGTTTTGCAGCAAAGCGATACAGAAGCATATCTCTGGGCTAGAAAGGCAGCCCAGGCTGGGTTGGCCAAGGCAGAGTATGCCATGGGTTATTTCACCGAAGTTGGCATCGGTGTTCCTGCTAACATGGAAGATGCGAAGCGTTGGTATTGGAGAGCAGCGAGTAAGTTTCACCCCTCACCCCTGGGGATTATCGGCCCTGAAATAGTCCTTCCTAGGTTACGCCATATTAACTTTCTAATAGGTCAAGATTACCCGAAGGCTCGCGAGCGATTAGAGGACTTAAAGCGATCCGGTAGGAATGGACCCCGTCAACGGGAACGGATTTCTCGCAGTAAGATTGGCAAACAACAAGAAGGCGAGTGTTCCGTGATGTAGGATGCCCGGACGACGTCTACAATGCCCCCAACTCGCACACCAAAAAAGCAGAAGGGCCATTCTCTACGCAAAAGGTTCCTTCTTTCATAGTTATACGCTCAATCGACCGACAACGAACGTGGCAGTCTACTGGCCATCTCAAGAGGCCTTTTGTAGACACCCAGTCTGGTTGGGTGGGTGCTAGATCTGATGATCGAGCAATAGCATACCAAGGACCTATAACGAACTATAATCGCGAGTCACATGCCGAATCACACAATGGCTATGAGCTTGCGTCTCGAAGTTGGGTGTATTATCAACCACCAACTTAATCATGATGTATACGAATCCGCTTTTACTTTTCCTCATACCAACGAGAACGGCTAACCCCCAGCATACTCGATCTATCTTATATAATGTCGCCGAAGTGCGAATTCCATTATTCGTAACATCTGGCGGGCCTTCATTCGGTGCTTACAGGAACGAAAATTCCAAGCCCAGGGGGTTTGAAGATATCTGTTCCTATTTTCATAGAAAGGATCCATACCCTCGGGTTGGACAAATAAGCAGTTGCAAGCTCATATAAAAAGCCCAGGGTCATAGAGAAGGCGGTCTAGGAATTAATAATATTATTTCATCGAAGTATCACTGACTTGCTTTCTACTCTTAAGGTGTTGGCGTGAAGATTCCGGCAATTGGGTTTTTACTGGGGCAGGTAAACGGTTGTCTACCTACCCCTTCTCTAAAGTGGATTGACTTGGACGATCCCATTTTTGTAGATTCTCGCTTGGGTATTTGGTATATATCCTGTTGGCAAATGAGATGGAGTTTATGTCATGGACTTGTTCGATTTAATAGGAGCATGTCTTACATACTAGGTTAGATAGGTACCTGCCCAGCTAGTTTATTTACAACTGGCACCCCCCTTTTGCCAGCAGAAGGTAGCCATGACTACCTACCTACCCAACTAGATAGGTATTGGATAGGTAGGAATTGTATCCTTCTGTCGCCCATGAGGATTGCTACCTGGTTGGACTAGAAAAACTAAGCCGCGGCTGGGACAATTGACGCCGAAGGGGGGGGCCGCTGTTTGCTTTAGTCAAGATAACTAAATGGATGGAGTAGGATGAAATCCAAACCGACGTTTCCAGAGATAGAGAGGCAGGAGAGATATCGTTTACTTCGCGCGTCAGCAGGCGATAGTTACTGGCGGGCCGGCCATTGTGTGGTTCTGGTGAGAGGAGGTAATGTCAGCATGCTTAAGTACTACAACGTAGAAGATAATTACCAGAGGGGGAGGGGGGGCGAGATGAAGCCGGCGGGGAAGATGGCGGGGGTGTCGGTGGCGTAGATGCCGGGGAAGGAAGGCGGCGAGGTACTCGTCGGAAGGGACGGCGAGCTGGGCGCAGTAGGCCCAGTGGTTGAAGCCGTCCTGCAGGTCGGCGACCTCGTGGCGGATGAGGTAGTTGCCGGCCTTGAGCGCGCCGGGAACCCGCACCTCGTTGATGTAGTAGTTGTGCCACGACCGGCCGTGCGTGCCCAGACCCTTGGGAACGCCCGGGTCGATCGCCCCCGGGACCCCGGCCGCGATGTGCCCCGCCTCGAAGATCTTGAACCACCGCTTCCCTGTGCCGTCCCATTCGTTGCAGGGGCCTTTGTTTAAGACTTTTCAGTCGAAAGATCTTCTGCAGCTTCCCATACCTACCTTTTAATATATTCCTTTCAACCTTCCGTTTCTTCTAGGTACTAGGTTAGGTACGTAAGTAGCCAGGGAAAGATTTGCCCCTCTTCGAAAAGAGAGAAGCCGATACAATCTTTGAACCCCTTTTCTAGAACAAACAGGAATTGTATGTAATGTGTGACTCAGTACCCAACTAATATAAATCAAAATATATGGTGTGTACTACCCTCTATCAACTGGCTCAATATAAAGTACTCGCCTGTTGGTAGGCAGTAAGCAACCATATGCTCAACTTACCTATTAACCTAGTGAATTATATCAATTACCTCACTCGCGACCATACACACCGTCACCAACCCCAAATATCGGCCAAATAACACGAATAGGCATCGTGGGGACCGGAAAAATGGGCACCATGATGCCATTCGGCTTCTCCAAAAATGGCCTCAACATCTCTCTCTCTCTGTATGGGATGTCTGAGAAAAGAAACGTCGACCAAGCACGGGAGATATCAGAACGGGCCATAACGTTCCAGGGCAGGATCGATTCCTTCAAGCACATCCTCATATTCTCCATCACCCACGGCTGGCCGGCGAACTATGTGTTGGAGAAGATTAAGGGTGATTTGCACGCAGGTGATATCATCCTCGATGATGGGAACGAGAATTGTCGTAACACAAAAAGACGACAAAGAAAACTGGAGCCGAGAGGCATCAAGTGGATTGTCATGGGTGTCAGCGGCGGTTAGCAGTCAGCCAGACGTGGTCTCAGTATGTCGCCAGAGGGAACAAGGAGGTTATTGAGTTCATGCTCCCATTACTCGAAAGGCTTTCGGCCTAATGTTGAGACCTCTTTATTCTACGCGTTCATTTTACCCACCCCCTATTTTCCCCACGAAGCGCTAAACCCTCACGTCTAGACCCTCGTGGTGCTGGCCACCATGTCAAAATGGTGCACAGTGAAACTGAGAACGGCATGCTCTCCACCGTCTACGAGGCCTCGAACTTCCTTCACAAGTCCCTACGACGAGATCGGGAAGACCTTTGTAAAGACGGAACTCCGAGGGTGAGCTAAGAAACACCTACCTACCTGACTCTAATTCGGCTCCGAGATCTGTCGGAGCAAGAAGACACCCCGAGGTGACCCGCACGGAGAAGGGAGAGGCGAGGACGTTCTAGACGATGTTCAGGACAAGGTGGTGCAGGACGGCGACAGCTCCGAGGGCACGCTCTTCCAGACGCGGCGCGCCGATACGTCTCGGCGCCCACGATCGCAGCCGACCATATCTTCCGCGCAGCGAGCGGGAACCGAGCGCAGAGGCTGAAGACCGCCGAGAATATGCAGATCCCCCCAACCTCGACGTCTCAAGACACAGGATATGGACAAGGGTAAGTAAGGACAGCCTCATAGAAAGCCTACGCCGCGCCGTCTACGCATCCTTCCTCCCCTCCTTTTCTGCTAAGACCTCGAGCTCATCGCCCGCGCTTCCCGCAACGAGGGCTAGGATGACTATCTCGGAAAATCGTATACGGATCTGCGGGTTGGCGGCGTCATCCAGGATGACTACATACCTACATTGCGGACCTGCTCAGGCGTATCTTGTCGTTGCCACGATACGCTGACGCAGCAGAGCAGGTGATTATGAACATGAAGCTCATCGAGGTGGCATCCAAGCTGCGCGAGAACTTCGCCCCGCTGGAACGCACCTCGCGACGGGCTATGGAGTGAGATAACTACGTGCCTGCTATCGGTGCCAGTCTGGCGGGAGTGGTGGTAAAGTCTACCTAATACTAGGCAGGTATGTTTTCATACTCCCATAACAGATCAGGGGTTATCGTCTTATTGAAGGCTACCTAGTATATACCTACAGATTGAGTAGGTTCACATAAAGGGTTATGATTAACAAATTAGCAGGCAGCCGTTCCAGATACTTCACAGCGCTCATCTTCATCTACCCTTCCCCGATTTAGCCCGTGTGTTTCTATCATATTACGATAGCCTAGCAGGAGTCAAATCCTCCCCATCGCTGACTGTGTCAGTAGATATGTATGTAGGCACCAGCTCGTTAAGTAACAAGACCTCTTCTATTACCCCTGAAAAGGTCCACGAAGATAAGTCCGATGCCCCTAGGAGGTAATCACCGGAGTCCGACTGACCCCTAACAGCAGGCAGAAGTTGTCAACGGGCACAATGCTGGTGACTGGGCAGGTGTTGTATGAAACCCGTGTTAGCATTAAGTTATAGGTGTACGATATCGTTGTCGCGCCAACGTCGGTAAGTATATAGTAGATACAATACCTAGTGTAATCGCCGGACCAAATATGATGCAACTATTACTCAGAATGAGTCTGGCCTGGCGCGTAAAATGCCAACGCGCATGCATCATCCATTCCTCCGCAGGAATGATCCCAAACACCCGCCAAAAAAAAAAAAAGAAAAGAAAAGAAAAAGAAGGAAAAAAACCTATCTCGGCTTTATTTTTGGTTTTAGCTGTAACTGTAAATTCGTGACTCACCGTCCTCGTTCGGATTCGAAACCACCTAAGGTTAGGTTCACTGGTTCACGAGTCCCACCACCACCACCATAACACACCCCTGGCACACCCAGTCACGAGAACACGCGCACATCCTACGCGCTTGCCTACGGATACCAACCTAGACCAATAAACTTGACTATGGCCCCCCGATTCGCTGATAATAGCGATGGCCATTCTGTCTCGCCACAGGTTCGTTGCTGCTGTTGTTGTTGTTGTTGTGTACTAGGTCGGTAGTAACGCCGATGACTGTTTTTGCCCCCCGCCCCTCACGCTCTCGGCTGAAGACGAGGATGAGGATTTGATCGTTTGATGGGTTGACTCAGATAGATGTCCACGTTTCGGCGTGGCTACCTACCTACCTACACCTAGGTCGCTAGGGGCAAATAGCTAACGTGGCTATCCTAGCGCGCCGGCGGGTAGGTGAGTAGGTAGGCGATAGATTAATGGGTACCAGGTAGAAGGAGGGGGCCCGACGACGACAGACTACCTATCCCCGCCGCCGCAAAGATTCTGACGGTCAAGAGATCGATATATCTTCTTCCCCGCAAACTTGCCTGCATAGGGGCATCTACTGTGTACCTATGTACAGTATCTGTCATCTGTCATCTTTCTAGGGCTTGTATTGTATACACGGGATGTATGAGCGTGCCCCGCAAGTCCAGTCAAGTCCGTCAGATCAGATCAGATCACAAGCCGCGTGTGCTGTACAATACAGTACCTATATCCTTTCAAAGCCGAGCTACATAACATTGCCGCATTTTCTTGCTTTCACGTGCTGGTAGTGTATCACATACCTACCTATGTACTTCGTACCTACTATACACCATATAGATTCGGCTTTAAGGGCAGGGCGCCCGTGAGACAAGGAAAGAGAAGTTTCGCGGTGCACACGCACGACCGCGGAAGGACGGGTTTGCCTCCGCCCCGCATCATGTCGCGATCATGTGAACTCGTTTGTTGCGCGCGAGAGAGGTTGTGCAAGTTGCGTGGTTTATATTGGTGTCGTGGCTATATTATTACGATGAGTCTGATGGCGGCTTAACCTACTAACCTAGGAAGGTTGTATTGTACATATGCATTTTGATATGTTACTAGGTGGGACTCACGGGAGGTTGTCTCGGACTCCTCGGGCGGGCAGGTGTCGATCCGATCCGATGCCATCGGAGTTGTTGAGGACTTAATCATAGCATCGAATGTAGGTATCTTACTAAGACTCTTTACTAAGGTAAGTAACCTGGGGGCAACTCGGATCCAAGATTCGCATTCTTATCGCCTCCTGGCGGCTTACCTTTATCGGCCTGTTGATAGGCCGGTCTAGCTTCATAGTGTACTTGTACAATATACATACATATTACATACAATGAAAGCTCTGACGCCTTGGCTATTACATAGTTATCCGATCCAAGGGGCCAGGCGTATGGAAATAGAAATAAATAGCCCCTAATTGGTTACGATGACGCCAGCGCCTAGTAGATTTAAAGTCAGTGTACCTAGGTTGGCTGGGCTTTGCAGGTAGGTAGGTATGTAACTTATATGGATAAACATTCGACTGTCTCACGATCGCATCATTCATTGATTTAGGAGTTTAATGGGTTTTCAGCGGGGTTTAGTATGCAGTCTATAGCGAATCCTGAATAGTCAGAGATATCTAAGTACCTAGGTAGGTAGGGATGTAATAGTCTCATCTTGCGATAGTATCGCAAATATCGTGAATACTAGGGTCGCAGTAGGTATAGTACGGAACCTACAGGCTCACCGGCTCTCCTACCGCCAGCCTCATCGACGATGCCTACCTAGATAGTGTTTTACAGATTTCGATAAACCCAGCTTCACGATTCAGCTACATGCAGTATACCAAGTAAGTAAGCAACGTCGCATTACGGGGCAAGTTGACACCCAGATCGTAGGGCTCCCGTAAAGCCGTTTGCCTCGGTCAACGAACCAATATTTATATCTGACTTTACACGGTATTAGCTAATCCCAAACCCCGGACTCAAATGCCTAACCTACCTACCTACCTACATATGTAGTAGTCCCACAAGGAAGTACAGGTACCGGTGTAAGAATCAAAGGATTCGTTGCTGCCTAGGAAGAACTTTTCCCTAGACAGGGCCACTAGCATCGGTCGTTTCGCATCGGATCTACAGCCGTATGCACATCTATGCAAATACTCGAAGCTTACTACATGCGGGTCGCAGAGAGAACTACCACTAATAACTAGCCCACTGTATAGATGATGACAGGCGGGGGACTAACCTACTGGTGAGAAGCAGAAACTTGGGACGTTGACTTCGCCAGGGGGGGGGGGTAGGAATGACTGGATGACAGCTACGGCTGATGGTGGGCGGGAACGGTTCGGTTCCCCAGAGCCATCATTGAAAAAGGAAAGAAAGAAGAAGAAGAAAGAAAGCATATCGTGACCAGCGACGAGTGGCTCATGAAAGGCCAACAACAGCAGCTTAAGTCCGAAGAAGAGGGAGGGGGGAAGGAAGGGGTCGAGGGATCGTGGGCCTCACCGACTTCACCTGGATTACAGTAGGTAGGTAGTGTATACCAACCTAAGAAGCCTTCCTCGTGGACCAAGGGAGTGGCTCCTCAGATGATTGAGCTGAAAACCCGAAAACAGTTGGTCGATACTAGTTACTTGGCAGGTACCTATGTATGTTGGCGATGAAATGTCATGTCGTCGTGTGTGCCCGTACCTATATCATACTGCGAAGAGTGTTTCGTCGTAAACCTCCAGGCGTCTAATCGCTTCAACCTAACCTAGGTAGGTACCAAAAGAAAAGGAATTCCCAAACTGATGCTGCTGGCTGGAGCATACCTTACGCTGACGAGGCGACGATAAGGGAGGGGGCCGTATGAGCCTACGGCAGGCTGGTATGTGCCTACCTACAGTACATACCTATGTAGGATGATAGGCAGGCATGCACTTAGCAGTAGCCGTGAGTAATACAGTGACTAGATGGTATGGTATTGTGCGTACATAGGCTACATCCGTATTTCCAAATGAAATGGCACTCGTAAGCAACCAGATTGCAATATATCAGGTATGCAAACCAGTACTTTGTAATATAGATTACGGCACTGGCTAGTGGTTCAGATGGACGAGCGCGAAGACCGTTCAAGGTCAACAGATGGATGTCCGTGGTTCCCGAAGCTTGGTTAGGCTCCTTGGTTGGTTGGTTGATTGATTGATTGATGGAATAGAGGTGTGTAAATGGTGGAGGGACTTGTAGTCAAAGTGAGGGAGGGGGACCCCATTCATGCGTTGGGGCCAAGCCTCACCAGTGACGAAGATGCAAATGTAATTGCGATTGTAACTAACTAATTGTATTGCGGTAAAACCACCTAGGTGAGTACAGAGATTTCTAAGCAAAGCCGGTCATGGTAAGAGGCTGGATCACGGGGACGCGCAATGGATTAGGTCTTGGACGACGACGACGGTGCCGTCGTTTGACCTTGAAATCTACGGAGCACAGATACCTAAACTAGGCATTTTTTTCTTTAAAGTATGGGGAACGGCGACGGCGATAGCGACCGCAAACATTGGAGATAGAGGAGGGTTAGGTGTTGAAGATCTTCCTTATTTCGGACGGGGTGTCATAGTTCATGTACCTACCGAGCCTCATCCCTAAACCCCATACAGACAGACCTATGTCCTGAGCAATTTAGTTTCTCGACCGCAGTACGCATTTGTGCATACGAGGTTTCACGTATTCGTGATTAATATGAAGAAGATGTCTCGGAGATTTTTCCCACCTTCTCGACCTTTCCAGATGATATGTATGTAGCATTAGCATGAGGCGTGCCGTTGTAGATCCAACTCATATCTAGACTAGTAAACAAGAAGATGAATGAACTGTCAACGAGATCAACCCCCCCTCCAAAAAAGTCGTCTTTGTGGACATGGGTTGGCTCGGCGGTACATACATACATAGTTAACAATTACTCATGCTGACCGATTCCTATTGGAAGAGAATGGCGCAGCAGCACTCAAAGCGTAAACTACTCGGCGGGGCTACATACCTACCACCTTGTCTACCTGTAATAATAGACAACAAACCTCCAACAAACCCTCGTCGTGCTATTATGTACGCTACAGAGTAACTACAGTATGTACACATCATCACGAAACTAAAATTGGGCAGGGCTATCGTCTAGTGTAGTCTCCCTAATACAGCTGAAAGGTCCGAAATTGGGCGAGCACGCCGCGTGTGTGTGAACTCAACCACCACCCCCCTGGGCCTTGACGCCGGGATCGATCAGGAACCATGCCCGTGGTTATTTCAACATGTTAGTCATCCCTTGCGCGAATGTGCCTAACATTAGTTAATTACTACCTACCTACCTACAATTGTGCATATTTCGACGATGGCCGAGGTTGATGTTTTTTTGCCTCGTGAGGGTTTTGTTGCGATGACGCCAGAAACCTGGAGCTCCATACCTATGTAGTAGCTCGGCCCGGCCTGGTACCTAGGCCCTAGGGAGGGGAGCGCTGAGTCAACTTTCCCGCCGTTTGGGCAGTGAGAAGGGCATCAAACCTTCGGGTAGATATTGTGGCCCGTCGCCCGTACATAGTTATACCGCGATCCATTCGTTCTGGAAACCCCGAGTTTCGGTCTCTCTCTCTCTCTCTCTCCCATGTGGCAAACAAACACGTATCGTGGATCCAGGTACAGTACCTAAGAGGGAAAAATATCCACTACTAACTAACACCGAATGAAATCCTCGGAAGAAAGCGGAGCGTGAAGAAGATTTCGCATCGCAAACAGAAAACGACATCAGTTATTTCGCAATAAACGCGTGAAAATATAAAAATAAAATAATTAGCTTAGTGTACACTGTAACTCCAGTGTAATAGCTTTCTTTCTAAAAACAAAAAAAGAAAAACCGCGCGGCAATAGATGGAGTCGCGGAGGCTAGGTCCTAGGCTAGGTAGATTGGCGAATGTGACTATCGTGAGATTCTCATCTGATTGTTTAAAATTTTTTTTACTTTTGTTACATATGTACAATACATACACTTGTTAGTGTAACTATGGTGTTGTACAAGCGTTTGTTTACTACATAGGCCCATAGGGTAGGGTAGAATTTGGACATGGCTTATCCGCTTGGGGGGCGCCTTGCGTACCTTAGATCTTGATCTCGTGAAGGTCAAGTAACCCCGATGTTTGTATGTTAGCCCCCCCCCCCGACCTCGTCATACCCTCCACGTCGCCTACTTGAGTCTTGGGTAGGTAGGTATGTAGTCAGTCTTGTCATCCATCAGCTTGGGTTTATCCTCCTGTAGATTGCTTGGTGATGAATTTCAGCATGACCCAGACATTCACGATTTTATTCTTCCATTTGCCTATGTAGGACCTAGGACCTAGAATCCTAGAATCTAGATAGGTAGGCATGTACCTATTCAACCCCCCCACCATCCCTGAAAGGCATAATCAGTCACGTTTGTCTTACTCCGATCTCGCGCTGAATCATTTATGTCGACTGGGGGGTTCAGCGAGGTGTGATTCGTGATAGGTGTTAGCGGATTATTGGAGTCGCCGTTTTAACTTAATAAGTGTGAGTGAGTTCTCTCCCAGGTTGACTCATCGCCATAATCCTGGGCTGTGACTGGTGTCTCATTGGTTGGTGTGGCAAAGAGAGAGAGAAAAAAGGTTATACTAACTATGTATGTACTCTGGTATGTAGGTATGGATGTGAGTTCAACTTGTTGGAGGGCCAAAAAAAAAAATCGTTTCGAGATATGGCTTTGATGCACCCCTGCTGATACAGATGATTGCGCATTGTGGGCAGTGTTCAGTCAGTCAGTCAGTCAGTCAGTCATACACCCCTCATTTCGCAACATGCTAACTCGAGAGATCGGAAGACCGCCGGGAGGGTTACGGGCTGATTTGCTTCTTTCTTTGTCGACGTCTTGTCCTCGCTGTCTGGCTTCCCGAGAACACCTGCTGTCTTCATATTGCATTGTTGTGAGCACCGATATGCCTTCCTTTGAGGCCTGAGGATAGCCTAAAATATGGGGTTACCTTGCATAGTGGAATGGCTTCATTGTTTGAGACCTTCTTCACTCTCGTTGGCGATGTTATCGGCCGGTAGGCCTTTAGTGGCGGCCACTGTCCTCCCGTTACTACTGCAAGCTACCGCTTTAAGGTGTCGTACCTAGTATGGAGGTATGTATGCAGTATGCATTGTGTGAAGCATCATTGTTATTAGATATAGGCACATACATGTAGGTATGTAGTGTAGATTAACTAGATTTCCTAAAAATTCATTATCAGGTACCATACTTTTCATAGATCAGTGGATGATGCCAACGGAAACGTTGGATGCGATGCGATTCGTTTGCTCTTGGGCTGCTAAATTGCTAATATCCCAACTGTAAGTAGACGGTATTCCTTCCTGTGTGGTAAGGGAACTTTATTAGGGGCCTTTGATTTAGTATTTTACTGCCCCTAATAACTTCAAATGTCACTCACTTCTTGTGAGGCCAAGTCGGGACTAGAGCGAGGTGTGTACGAAATATTCAGGGGTGTCCTGGTTCCCCCTCGCTGCAGTTTGATAATCTCACGAAAATGTGTCATACTTCTAGATCATGAACAACGTCTGGAAAAGAGTATCACGCAGGCTAATTCAGATAAAAGACGAACCCGTATCTGAGTATCTGACCGTACATAGTCATAGACTCATAGTACTATTATATTGTTATAAAAATAAACGAGAAGCTCGTTTGTTCATTAGTTGTTAGAGCGCCCGTTAGGTATGCCTAAGTCGCGCCCGACAAAATGGTTCCTGGCTCGATGATGGAATCTGGCCTGTCACAGCGTAACAAAAGGCGGATACGGAATGACTCCTACCCGAAACAAGTAATGGTTGCCATAGGTAAAGTTGCACAAGTGGCAGGCATCGCAAGCAATTTGATATCTATGGATATGGAGTATGGATATGAATAGGACCAGATGATAAGTGTAGATATGTATTATTGCCTACCTACCTACCTGCATATAGTGCTTCAATCACATGCGGCAATAGATAGCTCAAGCCTCGACTTGGCATCGAATCGCCTTGCAAACTTTCAGACAACAGGTAGGCAGTATCTGTAGGTAGACCATTCACTACAACATTGCAATTGGAATAATATAAGGCTGCGAGGTTGAGACGAAAATAGTAATAAATTCCAGGAAGTAAAAGGCTGAGGTAAAGACGATCTAACCCTAGGCTGACGAGGCATGGCGCAGGAAGTGATTGCGTGACGTGACTGATCTCCTACGGAAACTGTTGGAGGTTACTGTCAGACTTGTCTATGTTCAGAAGAGATATCCAGATCTGAACGTCAACCATCCGTACGAAGGAAGACCTGTGATATGTATATACTTGCTAGATATGTAGGACCTACATACATAGGTAGAAGTTGCTTTTTGCCGTTGGATCGTGACTAGTCCGGTCGTGTTAAAGGGGTTCAGTGCAGAGTTTCGTATTCATGAAAACTACCTACATCCCGTATCGACCTTGTCAGCTCGATCTCAAACAGGGAAAAAAGTTTTCACAGTGGCTGTTACACTTAAGTCACCAGTGTCCAGTGCTGCCGCTGTCCTTCCGGTGGCAACGATCTAGGCTAGTCGGAGCAAACTTCGAAGCTTGATACAATTGGATGTATGTATTTTTTTATACTCTGGAATTGCAGAGTAATACATCCCACATGTACTGTTCATATTGTACGATAGTAGTTACATGTAGGCACTGGTAATAAAACGCAACCTAGCACAGCGCGCCTACATACATACATATACACATACATACAGATAAACATCCATACATATGTATATACCCCTTTTTGCCTTTGCCTTGCTAATATATCAGTCCATGTTTGACGATGACGATAATGATAGGTTTGATATGTAGCCGTCTAGTAGCCGTTCATCTGATAAAAACAACAACATCACAAACATATGTACATGTAGATATATGTATGTATGTATGTATGTAGGTACCTCTAACAAGTACCCATAATCCCACAATCCCACAAGTAGCTGCAGGATAAATAGCAGGGTTTGAAATAGAAAAGCCAAATCAAAAGCCAGAGCTAAAAGCAAAGGGAAAGGGAAAGAGTGAAGTGATGAGGGAAAAGGGAAGAGAGTTGGAGAACGGGGATTAATGAGAAGGTCTGGTTGGGTGGGTGAAAGGGAGGGATGAATGACTCTTTCCTCAACTGCCATTTTGTTGCTATTTCTTTCAAGTTTTGCTGGTCCTTGGCAATTTTGGTCGCAATTGATGGCAGCCACCTGGGTACAAGTTTACAAGTTGCAGCCATTCTTGCAGCCATTCTTGCAGCACCGCTAAACTGTATGGGAAGGATGAAAAGACGCTAGAGCACATCGGGGCAGGGGTTTGATTGTGTACTGCTATGTGGCCACCCATCGCGTTTTATAGTTATCCAATGAGAATGTTGTTAATTATGACCACTAATCCCGATGTAGTGTGAGAGTTTCTACATATACAGGGAAGGGTGGTCTTCCAAACATCTTAGCCTCGTCATTGAGTGGCTCGTCATTACTCCAACTAATCTATCTATCCAACCATATCTAATTATTTTCTCTTCCCTGCTAGGTCCTTTGCTGCTCCCACCCCAAGCCCCAGTTTAACTCCTTATTTTCTGAAGTGGCAGAACGATGTTTATTGGTTGAGAACTTATGCAAGTGCCTATTCGGAGCCGTCGATTTCACTCATGGTTGATTTCCCCATCCTTCTTGACCGTAACTGTACATAGCATGCGGGCTGCGGGCTGCGACGTATTCCCAAATTCCCAGGAGTTCCAAGACCCCCAAGACTGGGTCCCCCCCCCTCCATCCAGCGCTGCCGAACTGGATATTCAAAACTCGTCGGTGCCCCAAGCGTCGGGCGTCCTTTCCCGTTTTCTTCTCATCTATCGAACAAGGCCGCCGCAATGTTCGATTTGAAGATTTAGACGACGACAAGGCGACTTCCTTGAAGGTCTGCTCGAGTATTGTGTAGAACCAATACCTAGCTTACTGCTAATTTTTACTACATTTTTCTTCTCTTTATATTCTATATCCTTGTTCTATTCAGCAAAAAGAAAAAAACTCTCCTCAATCTTCAAATGTGCTATCTCTCTTGATTGCCTTTTTTCTACCTTTGGTCCACAGTGGCATTGACTTGCACTCTCTCGACCCGGAAGAAATCAAAAACTATATTGAAGAATTCAGCAACGAAGCCGATTCAAATATTCCAATCCTTAGTCTTTAATGACAGCAAACAGTCCTTTATCATATCACTTGTTACTATTACTATTACTCTGATTCTCCTCTTTCTTTCTAAGGCCGAAACTCTATCTATCAATCTATCTATCTAGGTATCTATCAGGCGCCACTGGATTACTCACTAGGACATACCAAAAAAAAAAGGATCGCTGTTTTCATCACCTTACATACGGTATACCTGGACTTACACTTAACTGACGTACATACCTGTCTAATTATACTCATTTTGATCTGTTCGCACGGAATCTCCATCTAACATCTCCATCTCCATCTCCATCTCCCCTCACCCCTTTGTTCCCAATTCTTTTTTGGCTGGTTGCCACTTCCGTTGGATCTGGACCCATTCCCAGGCTTCCACGCGTGTGACCGTCATTTTTCCTGGCAACGTGCTAGTTCAAGGTTGGAAGTCACTCGGGAACCCCATTAATACAAGTCTATAATCGTTAGGAGGCAACGGGCCCCAAACCAAACCTGGATTCAGTACCAGTACCCGTACCAGCACCAGCACCAGCACTACAAACAAGCCAACTTACAGGGCACTGCAACCTTCAACTCCCCCTTCGGCGGACTAGTCACCATTTGGGCAATATACTATAGCCACCTAAGCCTTCCAAGCCCTCTAAGCCATTTTTAGGCCCCGGGGTTTTCTTTCAGCACCTACCACCCCCTAAAAGATTTGGAGAGCAAAGACCACCTGTACAAACAGCCCACATAGTGGTAATGATCAGACTGTCTTCGCCACCTCACACCAACAGAAGAGTCATCAATAGGTACCCAAAGGCCACTTTTTAGACTAACATTAACCGCACCCTGTCACCCTCATCATTCACTTTGGCCTCCCGTTTCCCTTGGTCTTCGAACACGCGACTCATCGACCTTCCTTTCCTATACGCATAACCATATTGTCGCCTATTTTATATTCGCCTCAGGTTATTACTTGATAACATATTAAAAAGGACATTCAAGTCCTTTATTTTGTCTCCGTCCCCATCTCCACCAGGTTAACCAGACCAGACTTACAAGCCACACCACATGCGCCTTGTTCCATCGGTAGTAGACAGCGGTTACAGGTCGTACCTTGCATAATCAATAATCAATCTTCTCCTCTACACAGCCCATATCGACCAATCCGATACCCCATTGCTGCCGCAGTTTCCATCGTCCGAAACGCGCCTACTGTCCGATCTCGAATTGCGCAGTCTTCTATTACAACACAGTCTATAAACCATCTTCTTCGTCTTTGCCTCGTATTACGTTTACAACAACAGGGTAGGGGCCCAGCTCGATGCGAATCTAGCTGCGCAACTGCCTCTGTCTCGCCCTTCTACCTTTGTTTCCTCGGTAGAAACAAATAGCCACACAATGCAGCTTGCGTTAGGTATATCCTCCACTCCAGTCGTCTGTCCTGCTCTGTCTTCCGGTTTGATCGTTTGTGAAATTTTGGCTAGAGGCCTTTGCATCTAGAAGTTTACCTAGCTTCTTCGAATTCCTCTACGACTTTACAATAGCCCATTACGCTGTTGCGAAGCCACCCACCCGATAAGATTTCTATAAACGATCTGATTAGTTGACTCTGCTCGACGACGACTGGAGGCTTTAATATCTTAGGATCTTAATCTTCCAACCCTTATCAAGATGATTTGCAGCGAACATGATTCGCTGGACTTCATCAAATCCTCCCAAAATGGTCTCTATAATCCCTCTATAGCCTCTTCCGCCTCCTCATCCTCCGCCTCGGTCTGGTCCGAAGCATCCTTTCAATCCTCCGACGATACCTCCTCATCCGTATGCACCTCGATTAACTCGTCGGAACAATGCGATTCATACTCGTACCGGCAGTCTCTGCCTCCCCAACTCGATGTATCATGCAGCCAAGTATCAACCAGCACTTGCTGGCCGGTACCACCACCTCAACAGCCAGAAGTTCCACAAGAACTTCGGCAAAACCCGCGGCGCACCAGCAGTGGTGCGACTACCAGGACTGGATGCCCTCCATCTCTGGTACGCCAAAGCGATCGCAAGGTCAACTTTGTCGATAACCTCGTCGGTAAGCTTTTAACGATGCAACCCCCCTAACCCCACGCATCAGCTTAACCACCATATTTAGATTCAGCGACCCAAATTGTCGAAACGATTTGGCCACTATCCTCCGTTTTCCACCGGCACGAGTTAGGTCACAAAGCCGTGCTACCTCTGCGTACCTTCATTCAGGAAACGCTGCGCCGGTCTCGCGCGAGTTATTCCACTTTGCAAGTTGCATTATATTATTTAATACTGATCAAGCCTCATGTGCCCGACCATGATTTTACCATGGAACAGCCCGATGACGTACACGCGAATAGGGTTCTGCAGTGTGGTCGTCGGATGTTTTTGGCAGCTCTGATTCTCGCCTCGAAGTATTTGCAGGACAAAAGTTACATGGCAAGGGCCTGGAGCAAAATCTCTGGGCTTGCCACGCAAGAAATCAACCAAAACGAAATGGCCTTCCTCATTGCCGTAAACTGGAAGATCCATATCACAGACGATGTCTTCAAACGATGGACTGAAATTGTTCTCAAGAACACCCCATCACAGCCACCTTCTTCTGGGTCGGTCTGCTCTCAGATTTCAGAACAGCAGACTCAGGATTGGAGAAACCTAATTTTGAAGCTCCGTCCGGGGCTAGATAATATCGAAGATTTAATCACCGTAAGCCCATCGATTATAAAAGTAAGAGAGACAACGCCGATTTCGCCAATATCATCGTTATCGCTTCATGCGGATCGACCTAGTTATACGAGCAGTCCGTCCACTCCTAGAATCTACAACGTTCCATATGTCATGGAGCCCGTTCCGGTACATACACCGGGTCGCCTGGCTCCGGCTCTAGGCCTACTTCCGACTCCTCGCCTCACACCGAAATCGATCGGATTTGGCACTCCGGCCGCGAGCGCTGCATCCTGCTTACTTAGCAGCAAAGGTTCGATGGGTTTCGCTATGGCCCAAGCTGCGAACGTGTGTGCTTCGCAAAACCTGGACAGATGGCCTGGATCTATCACTTCCTCTCCTCAGAGTTACGTTTCAACACGCCGTTCTTCACTCGCCAATTCTATCTCGACAGCGTCTTCACCGGAGTCCATGATCTCTGACTCGTCACGAACGTCTCGCTCATCCTCTATCTCATCAGCTTCGTCGTTGGCTAGCGCGCCGTCCGTCAAATTAGACGTTCAGGCGCGATGCCGATACGCGAAGCTGTGCAGTGAGAGGTATAGCTTAAGACCCGTGATCGCTTCGGTACCCGAAGACTACGAGGAGAATTTCATTTCATCCTCCCCTGAATCCTACACCGGCCCGGTGGGAAAGGATCTCGCACAAATGTCAATGGAGACTCCACTGACACGGGGAGTATGCGAAATGGACGATGCCACGAACGCGGCTCGCGCTCTGCAGGAGCTTCACAGCTACCATGACCGGGTGAACCCTCAACCACGTTCTAGCGTGAAGTCTGGCTCGAAGCGTAGCCGACCACTATCTATCGACAATTCCTTACAGGAGAATGTTCGCGAGATGCTGAGCAATCAATACTATGGGGCTGCAGAAAAGGAATGGTCCGACTCTTTATCCCGCAGCCGTACGCCTACGGATCTGGAAAACCAGCAGACGCCGGTTCAATCGTCTAGTGGAGGCAGGAAGCGAGTCTGCTGCTCAGCAGAAGCTCGTTCGTATATCATTCCCACGTTACATCCTGCGGTGGGTGGTGCAGGTGGACCAGGCATGTGGGAAGGCATCCTGAACTAGGTCCCCTGCAAATTGGACTGAAGCGCATCGCACAGCACAGCACAGCACAGCACAGCGCAACCCGTGACGAACAGCCCTTGTGACAATATTCAACTATTTTCTTTGTTTTACAATGGGAGGGGTTCGAGAGGTTCTTGATACCACGTTTGAAAGCACATATTTATAGAGAACCTCGACGACGGTCAAGGCATGGGCGAACAAAAAAAAAACGTATTTTCTCGATGTATGCATTTCCAGGATCATAGCATATCGGGACTGGTAAGGTGGGTAGTTGCTTGTGTACGAGTCAAGTGTGGGAGATCCATGTGTTACTCTTTATAATGGTGTTCGGGGGTTTAATCATAGTGATGATTTGGAGCAATAATGGTTTGGTGGTGGCAGCAGCAAAGGTAGCAAGGCAAGGCAGGTAGGCAGGGGAAGCGGAGGAGTAGTGAGGCGAAACTGGCACAATACCTACTGGCGCAATGTGCATTACCTCGAGCCGGCCGCATTATGTTAAAGCTTCTTGTCTTTGCTTGGGTTTTTTTTTTAACCAGCAACGAGAGTCGTACCCGCGAAACCGCCGATCGATATGTGGCAACCGTCGAAATGCGGGCGCCGTTTGTCCTTGGTGTTAGTAGCTACGAGACAGCACACAGAAGAAGACATTTGTTTAATTCTACCTATCTGGCCTGAAAAGGTGTTGGGCAATCGATTATCACAAGCTACGAGTACAACAGTACAACAGTACAACTGAAGAAAGCATTCTACTAGAGAGCTTTGAGGAAGAGAAGACAACCTCGCAGATAGCATGAAATTCTGAAATAAGCTTCGAGCTGGGAAAGTCATTCTAAATGAATATGTTGAGTGCTATTTTGTCCTTTTGCCATTGTCTCTTGTGTGAGAGACTGTATTGAATACTGACAGGATTTGAAGTGTGGATCAGATCTTTTCATCCATCTCATCCATCTAACTCATCCGTATTATTCATCCGTCCGCTCGTCCGTCCGTCCGTCCGTCCGTCCGTCCATCCGTTTAATCATTTTATACGATGACTCGGGACCAGACAAGACACACTTTTGAGATGCTACATACAGTACCAGCATCGGGTATCATATTATATCATAAACTTTCCCCCTCCCCTTCCCTGTAATTTGCTGATGTGAGGTTAGATTGGATTGCCTACTCGTACAGTACATCAAATGTACCTACTAAATTATTTAGTTTTTTAGACGGATTCGAGTGGATGGCATGGCATGGCATGGCATGGTCTTGGTTGCCGTGGTCCCGCCGGTGAGTCATCGTCAATTATTCAACCCCCCCCCCCCCCCCCCCCCCCTTCTTCTTCCCAAAAAGGGGTGGTGGAGGTGGTAACTTACGTGCTTAGGGTTATTATTTAACTGCTTATGTAGTTGCCGAATCAACCAGCGTTAACGGCCCCCAATCATCCATCCATCTAACTAGTTAACTAGTTACACTAACCTTAGTTAGTTAAAGCCAGAGCCAGCCAGCCAACCAGAGACTGCTAATTTGCTATTTTAGGCAACATTTCTTTAACTAGGTATGTAGTCCTTGATCTGGGGCGTTTTTCTTTGGTGGGGCTAGCCTGCCAGCTTCATGAGTGAATGACACGCGCACTTTTTCATGCGCATATTAGGTTGGTTGGTTGGTTGGTTCACGATGGTTGATTGATGAGGTTTTTGTTTACTTGTAAGGCTATAACTAACTATGGTATAGTATACATTGTATTGTACTATACTTTAGTGCATAACTACATATAACTAACCTAGGTACGAAGTACTTATAGTACCTACATACGTAGAGGGAGGTATGTAAGTCCGATCATCGGATTCGAATTCTGGTTGGTCTTTCTTGTTGGTCCTGGATCGTCCTGGTAGTTATGTATTGTACATACTATCGGTAGGTATGTAAGGTAAGGTAGGTATGCGTTAGGTATGTACGAATAGGTAGATACCCGAGGCAGGCAAGCAAGGTACTGTAAGCTATCCATCCACTCTCCCCGTGCTTTCTGTCTAGACTCTAGATATGTATGTAGATACAGCACATAACTACATATATACCTACCTAGGTATGCATATACCATGGACATGGATCCTATAGCTACTGTATGTAGCTGGGAACGGTTTTTTGGATGGTGGTGGCGATGTGTTTATGCGCTGCCTAGGTCAGGTACGTACATCGGTATGTAGGTTACCTACCTTACTTGCCACGTGCTGGTTAGGTACTGTATGTAGTTAATGCACAACTACATAGTTACAGCCTTCGCTTGTCACGGGGTCGACGAAAGCCTGTCGCTTTCTTTCTTTCTTTCTTTCTTTCTTTCTTATTATTACCAAGGTTACTAGGTATTGTTATCTGGTATGTATGTACGATACCTCTGGGGACCTGGGTCTTTATTTGGTAGGTATTGTACATACTAGGATAGTAGTTATAGACCACACGCCTATGTTAAGTAGGTAGGTAGGTAGGTAGGTACTAGGTAGGTATGTATATGATCGTGAGCGCGAAGGAAGACGTGTCGATGTTCATGCGGCTTCGGGCTTGACGCGACGTGGTGACGTGTGTGTGTGTGTGTGCAACGATACCTACATACATACCTATCAACCCAGGTGCCTAGGTAGTTACATGGCTGGCGCGAACTACGTGTTAGACCGCTCTTTGTGGCGATGGTTGTTGTTGTTGTTGTTGGTGGTGATGCTATGTATGTATGTGCTTCATATGCCTCGTGCCGCACTGGCGTATCAAAGGCGGGTGTTTGCACAGAGACGAGCTGGCGGACTGAGCTGCTACATTTGGGTTCCATACATACATACATACATACATACATAGGTAGGTAGGTGCTATGGTCTTTGTCTTGGACTCGGCGAATTACTCATCCCCGGGACCAACGGGGCTGCTAGCTAAGTAAGTACCCTAGGTAGTTGGGGTAGGTAGGTATGTATGTATGTATGTATGTATGGGTAGGTGTACGGGGTGTGAGTGATACGGACGGGTGGGCAGATAGGATAGGATGCCAGGTGAGTAATAAGGTCAGACTCGATAGTCTGCTACATACATATGTCATGTAATCAGATGAGATCAATCTTACCCAGCAAACAACCTGGAATGGTTCATGGCCTAGTAATCTAGCTATGTACCTACATACCTACCTTATGTAGTATGCTACATCTTTCTGCCGTCAAAAGTGTTAACTCAGTTTGAAGACGCACCTATAAGATACCTAGGTAGGTACCCGAGTAAGGAGGTGAGGAGGTAACTAGATAGAAAGAAGTCCAGCTCTGGCTCCCAAATCATCACCAGTTCTTCCAAAACATCCCCTTCCTTCCTTGCTTCCTTCCTACTTACTCCATGTATCCTACATAGGTAGGTAGGTACTCTTACTCAAACAAATCCGCACCTCTATTCCGCTGCCCGCCTCCTCCTCCTCTTCGCCGTCTTACTCATTCATACCTACCTAAGGCACCGAGCTCGTATACCAACTCAATCCGAGGTCCTAGATTTCCAATGTATTTACAAATCAGCCGCCCCCCCCCCCCCCCCCCCCCCCCCTCTGCCTAGTAAACTTCCAAGCCCCAAAAAGAAAATCCAAAAAAAAAACCCCCCGAGTGAGAAGTGGCAGTGACAGTAAATCCCAAGCAAAGCAAAGGCCGAGTGACTGACTACCAAACAAACACCATCGACCGTCCAAAACCGGCCTTCGAAGCCGAGCTTTTTTTTTGGCGAGGTTCTGGACGACTGGGATACGGCGCAGTTCTTACATACACACACCTAGATAGAGTACCTAGGTACGTATGTACGTACGTAACGCTCCCGGCTTTATCGACGATCGTGTTAGTTAGGTAGGTACCTACCTACCTACCTAGGTAGAGGTGGAAACCAACGTAAAGATGCGTGTACAGATGTAATCCCTCGTCGACTTCAATGCCGGAGTGAATACCTAGACATGCACCTGAGCTAGGGGGCATGCCCTTGGACTATTGGACTTGGAAAGACACTGTAGGTAGGTACAGGTATCTATGCTTACCTACTGTTCCACCCGACGACGAGCTTAGGTACCCTATGTGTATACAAAACACATCAAGATAATGAAGAGATAACTCTTCGATTTCAGACGCCCATAGGTACCTACCTACCTACCTGGGCACATATGGAGATGCCCCTATACACAGGTTACCTCTCCAAGCCCAAGTACGCAAATACTTAGAGCATCGTATCAAATAGCCCATCTTAGGCATTCCCCTGAAAGGTAAATAAATATGTATATGTATTTATCCCATGGTGCCGCATGTCACTTCGCTCCTCTTCTGGAGGAAACATCAAACCATTGGTTGACCAGTATGCATTAATTAGCGATCCTACTTAGGGCTATCTACCTAGAAACTTGCATTCCTACTATGGAAAGCTCCTGTGGATCAATCTCAATGCTTATGATTACCTCTGCGTTTAAGTTCCTTGAGCATTAAGCATCGAGCATTGAGCCCTATGACCGATGCCCAAGTCGGAAGAAAACATGTGAGATCAAATCATATCTCTGCCAGATGATCCGTTGTGCCGAACTTCGCGAAATCTAAAAGTTGGACGAGGGGGATCCGCGATTACAGACGACTACCACTCGATCTGTGAGTAACCACTTTTATCGATTTCAGTATTAGCCTCGGCAGGAACTGAGAAGCTAACACCTCCGCCGCCGCCTCCGCCGCCGCCCCAGCCGTCATCATCAGCCCCATTACTGGCACCGGCACTGGCACCACTTGCGAGAGCCTCGTCATCACTGTTGTCATCTTCATGGACAAAGTTGTCCGGATCGCAATTCTCGGGAATATATTGGCGGAGAAAGTCTGGGACAACTTGTCGAGTCTCCATGAGAACCTTCGTGAGGTCTTCGGCGAGGGGCTCATCACGATCGGTGTAGAAGGACGTAGCAATACCGGTGTATCCGATGCGACCGGTTCGGCCTATAAGATGTCAGTTGAAAATATAGCTTTAGCATGACCAAAGGAACTTACCAATGCGATGAGTGTATTCCTGAATCCCACCGTGATCAACCGAAGGAAGATCATAGTTGATAACATGAACCACGTTACGCACATCGATTCCACGTGCTGACACACCAGTAGCAATAAGTAGAGGAGACTTTCCAGCTCGGAAAGCTCGCATAGCGTCCTCTCGCTCTCGCTGGGTGCGATCAGAGTGCATAGAGGTACACGGGAGGCCCTGCTGGAAGAGAAAGTCGTCAATCTCATCAGCAGTACGTTTCTGGTTTACGAAGATGATCGTTCGACCAGGCTCAATGGAATACAAGAGATCAAAAAGGGCTTGTCGCTTCAGTGCCGGCTTCACGTAAATGATGTCCTGCTTAATGTTGCTGTGAGAACTGCCGATACGTCCAACACGAATGCGAATCTGGTTCGTAGAGAGATATTTTTTGGCAAGGGCGCGAACACTCGCGGGGAATGTGGCCGAGAAGAGCATGTATTGGACCGCCTCCTCATCTTGCTCTGTTATAAAGATTAGACATAAATACTACGTAAAAAGGGAGTTGAACCTTACCTCCACCTGTCAAAATATGCTCAAGAGGTCCAGACCAATCGTCATCAAGCAACTCGTCAGCTTCATCAATGACCATGTATTTGAGTCGACGAAGACTCAGAATGTGTGGACGCTTCATGATGTCCACGAGACGACCAGGGGTGGCAATCAGAAGATCACAGCCTCGGCCAATCTGCTCGACTTGATCACGAATAGGTCCTCCACCATAGATGACGCACGGTCGAAGCATGGAACGGTAGCAGAACTTGCGGGCTTCGTCAAAGATCTGGATGGCTAGCTCTCGGGTAGGGCAAACCACCAAGATCAAAGGCTCAGCGCGCACAGGCTGAGCCGTTCCGGCGTCGAATTCAGCAGGGTGTGGTCGAGGAGCGGCCAACTTCTTGGCCTTTCCCATAATGCGGCTTAGAATGGGAACAAGGTACGCGGCGGTTTTTCCAGAGCCTGATAAGATCAAGGTGTTAGCGAGAATGAAATGAAGATGTAAGAGACATAGTGACTGAATATCCTACCAGTCTGCGCAACAGCGATCAAGTCATATCCCAAGTTGATGGCCGGGATGCAGTATTTCTGGATGGGCGTGGGAACCTGGTAACCAGCCATCTCAACGTTGTTGAGCATGATTGGGTGAAGACCAGCATTCTTGAACTCGAAGATTGGGGTAATGCGCTTCGAGCCCACCTGATAGACTTTGATCTCAGCGAGCCTGATAGAGTTAGTACAGTCCAAGTCATTTGAAGACATACGTTGAAAAAGGGAACTTACTTGGAAAAGTCAACACCGGCGCCTCGTCGCTCACCGGCCTTGCCGAAAAGTACGGCTTCCAGCAATGGGTTCTCGGGGCCAACATCGCCCTCATCGCCATTCCAAGTGTAAACGGCAGCGTTGCCACCCCAGACGCGACTACTGTCGTCTTCAGTGTAGTCATAAGCGACTGGCTTACCCCAGTCTCCGGCTGGCTTCTTGTCGGGGCTGGCCTGCTTGCCAGCAGAAGGCGCGGGCGCGGCAGCATCAGAAAGCGATGCCTTCATGCCTGAAACGTCGAAACTAGACATCTTGACGAACGAAGTGACGGATAGTTTCGCAAAGACTGATGAATTCTATTAGTATGGACAGGCAATGAACCCCATGGGGTGGTGTTCAAGTGCTGGCAGGCAGTCGTCGGCCAGGTATGATAGGAGTGGGAGAAGGAAAAGGCAATATATTGTATGAGATGGAGTGTGGGAAAGTGTTATCAATTCAACGTTAATAGGTGATCACTTACTTGCCTAAGTATACATTAGGTAGAAGTGGTAAGTAGGGTCTTAACATTGAATTGAGTTAAGCACCTACATGGTAGTGGAAGGAGAAGCAGCTGGAAGAAGGACGGGCACCTAGGATAGGGATATAGTATTTGAATGGAAGGTAGCGAGGTGTGAACATTGCTTTTCTCAAGCACTAGAATGTAATGGGCTGGACATACTTGTAGTGAAGGAGATGGAAAGTAGTGATGAAGGTGAAAGTAAAGGTGACGATGACGATGACGATGACGATGGTGATGATGGGATGATACTAGACAGTAGATGACTTACCCAATAATACCACTCGGTACTCAAAGCAGAGAGAGGCAGCCTTGATCCAAACAGATCAAAGTTGCGGCTATGATATTTTGAGTTGCAAAGATGGAAAAAGTGGGAGGAAGGCTGGAGGAGGGAGGAGAGGGAAGTATTTATACTCTTGCAAATTCGAGCCTGTGGAGAACAGAACCATCCGGAACCACTGAACTAGAACAGACCGGAAGCTACCATGTACCTACTACTACCTAAGGTATGTACTGAAACCAATCGACGTCGAGGTAGGGCATAGACGATGGGAACATCTAGGGTAGGTAGGTACTATCTACGCACATACCTAAGTACTCGGTACGGTGTAGGCGGCATGAGTACATCCAATATGATGTAAGCATGCTAAGTCGAAAGGACATGCTAAGTCGAAAGGAATGAACATTGAACTATAAAATATGGATATACCCCTGACAGTGAAGGGGCAATTGCCATGTTTTCGAGCTCGAAAGGAAGTCACGATTTGTATTTCACAAGGCAGGTGCTCCCCTTATAGGTTTGTGCCCACCTAATAGACTACCCTGCCAGGATATGTAGGGTAGGAGTGAAGAGAATAGCATGGGAAAATTCATGTCAATGTACTGATGGCGTATTGGGGATAGTTTCCCTACGAGAATCATGTGAAGATCAGATTGAAGTGCCTTGGTTGAGATCATCTTATATCATCTCATATATCGTCTTTGTGTAGTTAAAAGCTGCACGTGCTTGGGGTATTCTTCAAGTATAATTTTGGTATAAGGGTAATAATACATACATAATACTACATGTATTATGAGATATGTTCCATTGATGAAAACCCTTTTCCTAACCGCCCTTTCGTTCCTCCCCTTTACTATTTAGGGGGAGCCATTATTCTACCATCTACATCCAGAGCTCATGTAAATAGATAGTACTAGTTAAGCTGTTGTCATATATCCTGATAGAGGTAGGGTAGGAACCTACAAATGCGCTTTCATAAGGCTACATGAAGTCTGATGTACACATAATCACGTGGTATAGACTCTCACAGCTGGCAGAAGGGAGCTTTCAAGCCCCTCGAAATATACAAAGGCTTGCATCTAATACGTACCTAGGTTAGGGTATTTGGGATGTTTGCTACGTTATGTCAAAACTTGGGAATGGATGGATCCTTAAAAAGTTGTAAATTAAAGTATTTATACATAGGTAGAGACCTGGCAAAAAAAGGACGCGTTGTGCTTGTTACGAGTTATATGCAAGGGTATATTATGTACCTATATAATAGCGCCCGGATATCTACCTAGTAATCATATCATATAGCCATCCCACAAGTGCTCATCGTCATCAAATCTTGTGTTCAGTTCATAATCCGCCATGCCGTCCTGAAGAACCTGGTCAAGCGTCGCCGCCGCTCTTCCAGCCATCCCTCCTTCCTTCTTGGCCATGTCCGCGCCAGTCTCGACAGTAGCCATGAACCTCTTGTTGAAAATCTCTTGCCTGTCCTCCCGGTTGCGATAGATCTCACCATCTTCATCGCGAGGAGGCTTGAATAGGCCGATATACCCGAATGGGTCTGGCACACGGGGTACGCAGCCTATGTTGTTGGACAGGTCACTGTCAGACCAAGGTATGGGCATCCCCGGCTTGAAGCCCATCTCTAGAAACTTGGCCAGAATCAGCATCTGTCGCGGGAACGACTGGCCGTATTTCTTGGCGCCAAATGTGGTCCTAGGCGCAGATGTCCACCCGCTGCTCTTCGTCCCCGCGGTGGGGGCGACCTGGATAGCCCATCCCAGAACTGACATGAAGTCTCTGAGCGGCTTCACCCAGCACCCGGCGCTGGAGACGACGTCTTCTCCGGCGACCTCGAGGAGCCATTCCAAGTAGTTCAGACCGTCATCCTTGATCTCCTGCGAGATATGTGTCATGGTTCCGCGGATATACAGCATGATTTTCTCGACGTGCGGCCGGACTTCGTCTGCTGGAAGGTTTCGCAACAGCTTTAGCAACTGGTTGCGCACGGGTCCGGATGAATCCGACATGATCGGAAGAAGTTTCTGTAGTAACGTTGCCGTACCGACCGGATTTGTCGGCGGACTGGTTGATAGCTGACCGGCTAGGTACGAAAGCGCATCTCGGCGTTGGGTATCTGAGCGGGAGCTGGTAAGGGATAGGGTGTGCTTGAAGCGTTCCGTTGGATTCGGCGCATTTTCCGTGAGCTGTTGCTGTAAGACAATGGCTGCGTGAGTTTAGTATGTTTATCTTAAATCGCGACGAGAGAACGAGGGAAAGAGGGAAAGAGGGAAAGAGGCATACATTTGGATCTAAAACTTGTATCTGTGAAATTGGAAGCCTTCGGTTTCGCTTTTCCTACTTTTAACTTGGGTTTCTGGAAGTCTTTCTTCTTCTCATTCTTTTTCTTAGTGCTGGAACCCATATTGACTTGATCATCGGGATAAGCTAGACTCGGCGCATACAAGTGATTGCCAGCGAGTTCGCAGTAATGAATTCGCACAGTTGCAGCGATGTCATATTACTTCGTATCGTGCTATCAATATCTTATCGAGCATTTGAATTCAACTTTTTGGCGGTAACAAACGGCAGTAAACTACTGTAGCTTGGCGCCGTAGCTTTGATGCTTAGCTAAGACTGCTAAGTCCCCGACACCTGTACTACCTGTAACCGCGCTGACACGCTGTAACCACTAAAGTTACTAAACCGCAAACGCGCATCTTGCATCTTGCATCTTGACCAAACAGCCCCCGAGCTTCTATTTACAAATCCAAAGGAAACACCCGCGTCACCACGAGAGCCAACATGTCGGAAAAAGCACTGGCAAGTTTTACACCTTTTTATTTTCTCTAGCCTACGATTTTAACGGGCTACCCAAACTAACCAAAAACACCAGCCCTCCAACAACGCAGAGTCCATAGAGGAGATGCTGCACCGACTCTCCAAGAAGCCGGGCGTCAAGGCCTGGCTCATGCTCGACCGCACCAACGGCTCCGTCCTCAAGACCAACGGCCAAATATCCATGATCCGGCCCGCGCGCTCCATCAGCAAAGCCTCGCTCCCCAGCCCCACCGGCGGCTCCTTCTCGACCGACGTCAACATGAACACCAACAACGAGACCCAGGCTGCCCAGGAGCTCGCAAGCATGATCTGGAGCTTTCTGAGCACGGCGGGGAGCTTGGTCGATGAGATCGACTCCGAGGTGAGCTAGTCGGATTTTACCTACCACGGAAGCAGAATAGGGGAAGAAAAAAAGCTGATATTATCTTTTGATTTCCCGCCAGGACGAACTGAAGCTCCTCCGGCTGCGCACGAAGAAACAGGAGTTCGTCATCGTGCCCGAAGCTAAATACCTGTTGGTCGTGATCCATGACACGCCCCCGGTGTGATGACACGGTATAAAATGAATTTTTGCTTAATCCCATCTAGCTTGGGGGGCTTTTGGTTCATGTTGTTTTGGGCTAGTCGGTTGACTGGACTGACTACCTATGCATACAACGGCGTTGCGTGGCGTTTACGAGAAAATGATACCCAAGATTGCTAGGGTGAAACTTTAGGCGTGGTGATAATATGGTAAAGACTTGGGGCGAGCGAACGTTACTAGGTAGTATCAAGCTCATCAATGAAGACTTCGATGTCCAATTTTTTTTCTTCCACATTCCCGCTTCTAAGGTGCTTACTTCTGTAGCTGGGTACTGATCGATGTCATAGTCTGAAGGAAGCAGTGGACTACATCCAGTTAACATCTCTCTCTAGGTGCCGCTTGTGGGCTGCATCCATATATGATCCTTCTGGGATCGCAAGTTGGCTTGTGAGCGGTGATGCTTTTGCTATTCTCATCCTCGTGCAGCAGCACATTTTTCGCCACAATTTCGGCTGGTGAAGCAAATTGATATTAAGAGATCAAATCGGCGCTTCCGATCGAGTGTCTGAATGCCACGACTAAACGCTTATGTGAGTAAGAAGGATTCCTTCCTGAAAGCCCCAGGCGACACACACTACATTCATTACCCATGCGTGCGTTGTCATTGTAAAAGATGCCACGCCTACCGGAAATTATCCTCCTGCAAGGAATGCAGGAAGAGATTGAGATGCTTGCTGGCTCCTCCAGAAGGGGGAGTCGACAATACATAGGAGTACGTATGCATGTGGCCCCCTTGGAGTCTTGCCACTCACTGTTGAGGCTCCTCCATCAGCCAATGCAGTGCCGCATTCGCTGACCGGTAAAACTGAACGATTCCGAGGGAAGAGGAGGAGGTTGCTACCGGCTGTTATATTGGGTCAAGCTGAAACTCCGTGAATGCAGACAAGAACCCCATATATTATCCGGAGCCTAGTGAAGGGTAGCAGCACTTGACTTTAGTACCATACCTAGTAACTAACCTACCTACCTACTTACTAGGTAGGGCTAGTAGGCAATCATGTTATAGTAGATGGAAAAGCCGAGTAAAGACACGATAGACTTCGGACGTAACTTTTACGAATGCTTATACGAGTAGTTATTAAAGGCGCTGAAAGAATTGCCGGGGGGGGGGGGGAACATGATCATCGCAAAAGGATCACCGTCTTGGAAATCTCCATCTTGCATGGCCATGTGGGCTACCTGTCCTCCCTACGCGTCGAGAAATAAATTTCACTTCGACGCAACTTCACGTATTTTAGTTAGTTACGCCTAGGCTGTTATTTTACCACGGGTGAAACATGCGTTGGGTCGTAGCGTTTGTTTCCGAGAAGTGGACCAGGAGAATATAGTTATTTGTTTTTTACTAAGAGATCGAAGGCATGGGTTGCTTCGTCTTGGCGCGTTTATAGACAGATTTAAACTACTCCCTACGACCTACATGTGCATACCTGGGATAGTTATGTACCTAGTATGTATGTATGTATGTATGTATGTATGTATGTATGTATGTATGTATGTATGTATATAGCTGACGTCGCAATGTCGGTAGCGTCGGGACTATTCAGTGGGAAACCAAGGAGGCTATCGTCATCTTAGTTCTCAACCCCCCAAAAAGGACCGGCGGTCCTTATTGCTCTTTATGTATAGAAGACTCCACGATTATACGATAGCTACTAACTAGGTAAATACCCACCAGATTGGACTGTGTCCACTCGAACGGGACGTTGCTACCTATAACTATTCTATACTTAGAAGTTGAGCACGTTCGCAATTATAAATCTTTTTATTGTTACATACTACGTATCTATATTATTATGTGTATTAAGACTACAACTTGTAAAACTCCAGATGTCTGTGAGAAGAATAGGCGTTTCGGATGCAAGGCTATCACGTATATTCCTGCTCACTGAGTCGCAAGTTCGAGATTTTACTAGCATGAGGCATAGAATAGCGTAGTAAGTATGTATTGTTGGCCTCAGTCGGTGAATGAAAAGTTTGTGATGAGAAGGGACGGATCAACTTCAAGGTTTCTGAAGGTGGCGGGAGGTGTCAGAGCTTGTATCAGCGACACACAAGTATCATAACTTTCAAATATAGGGTAACTTGGACCTTGAGCCTGCCCAGCTTTTACCTACTAGGTACCTACCTGGGGTATCTAACTACATCACGAACTCACCTCCAGCTGTCAGATTCGCGAGCCAGCCTGTCAACTGGTTTCAGATCATGCAGGTTGGGACATCATGATCGGCAGGTCCGGGAACCCTTTTTGCGCGTTTCTAGAAGGACGGACTGCTCGGTATCGGAGAAGGGTATCATCGTACCTACCTACCTACTAGGTACATAGATAGCTTAGTAGATAGGAGGCAAATAGGATGCGATGTCTGACATGCCACTGCGAAACTCGAATGAGGTTAGGGCGCCTTCTGCCACGCCAGCAAGCTGTTCCTTTCTCAAAGGGTACGACCGACGGGAAACTATAGTATAATTAGGTGCCTAGGTAATTAGTATTACGACCAGTCAAGTTGACAGATTGGTTAGGATATCTGCTCCTATCACGTCTGTTCCATCTAGATTAAATCGAAATAAGTAGTTAGAGCTTGGAAAATGGTACATATAGCCTCAGAAGCTGAATATTAGCCGCGCCAATTTTGGAGACCAACTAATATCTGGGTAGATAGCCTAGATACTATGTAGGCAGGTAGGTATTCGATGATATATTGTAATGAGCTCATTGTAATAGGTAAGTAGGAACTTATATAAATATCTATGGCAACTTTGGCAACTTTGGCAACTTTAGTCGACCCAGCAAATAGTCGTACAACAACAAGTTGGGGTGAAAAGGGAATAGCTTCGAGAACTCGTTCGATGTGGAGCTGGATGACTACCAATACTACACTAAATAGCTACCTAAGTACGTAAGCCACGTCAAGCTCGATAGCTGAAACCGTAAGTATGTGAACTAATGCCGGTGTGGCTGTCCTATAAGGCAAGACTACGAGCGCCGCGAAGTGACGTGACGTGACAATGAACGTGCCCCATATTCTCGTTCTCGGGTTTGGAGTTCTGTTCTATTCCCATACTTTGCTCGACGGAGGTTTTCAAACTGCCAGAATCTTAAAATGGAAATTCTCCGTTCGCTCAAGCTTTCTGGTCTGTTAAAATGACTTGAAACAATCCAAGAAGTGTAGGGGAGGTCAGCCTACAGGCCGCTTTATCTGGTTCAACCTTGACCCGTCACAACGTGCCGACATGGGTCATGCTCCGAATCCATCTGGAATCATGGATCAAGAAGCCCGGCACTTTCGACGCTACATAGGTATACCTAGCTGGCGATTGACGGCATCACCAATGAGACAATTTGTAAGGAAGCCACTGTCCCATAATGTGCGTGGGTCGAGGATGCATTCAAAGATAGACCGAACGTTGGAGCCAGGTACTTTTCTTAGACGGGAGATCTGTAGACATGCATTTAATAATAGGTCGCGCCGCCCTGGCGCCCTGGACGATCTTCCATGATTGTGCGATCTGACGCTTTACATAAGGCGACGGACACGCCCTATCATAATCGTCACCATCATTGATACATCGGGAAGACGGTCTCATAGAGGATCATTTACCTTGGATATTCGTACGATTATAGCATCACTCACTCGTCACTTTTGCTCGCCGTTGTCGCTTTGACCCCGATTATTCCAACCACTACCGGCCAGCTTGGCGATTGTCCCTTTGACGCCACTAATAGCGAATATAACGGACTTTCTATTACTGTAACCTCGATTTGAACTTTGCTCGGCATGCTGTTTGACGTCACGCTAAACATCTCGAGCAGGCGAGAAACAGGCGAGAAACAGGCATCGGAGAGGCGTTCACGAAGATGCCGTCGCTAACAGTATGGAAACGTTCGACGGATATCTTCATTGCCGATGCCAAGGAACCAAGAGACTGGTGGCAGCAACATTCATTTAATTGCACCAGTATTCGAGAACTTCTACGTCGGCCAAGAGAGAGGATTCGCAACATTCAACATCCACAACAGCAGCCACGAACATCGAATCGATTACAGAAAAGTAAAATTATTCGACTTGAAGAAGGAAAAGAAAAAGATGATGATAGAGGTGAGTTTAAAAGTGACAGTGCACAAGTTGCCACTATTGTATTGTACTCTATTGTACTCTAGGTACATCCATGCTAATGAAGGTTTACGCTTAGGTGTACGTGCAGCTAAAGGTGCAGGTCCTGGCACGTACAATGCACCCAATGGTGTGGGGAAGCCAAAGGCCAACATAACGGAAACCACGGTACGATACCATCTATAATTTCCTTTTATAGAAATCCTTACCGCCCTTAGCTGCCACCTGGTTGCCAGCTCTACTACACCGTACTAGAGAATTTTGGAGTATTTGCAAGGCATTTGGCTAGCCCCTGAAGGTGCTACTATAAGCTATTTTCAACTATTTTGAACCATCTCCAACTATTATAGCAAGTTCTGGCAGTTGTCAGATTCATAATTCCCATTCTCTCTTCTCTCTCTCTCTTCATTTCCCCCAATAACCTACCTACCCCCCCCTCCAATTCTCCTCCTCCCATCATTGATCAGGCCATGTCATAGCAAAACACAAGTAACAAGTACTTACTCCGTACCTACACTGCATATTCATACTTGAATACCCCTTTCAATACCTACAGACCTACCTATAGTACTCCAGCGAGAGGGGCAAAGGCTGTTGGGATACGACGGACGGACGTAACCCCTAAAATCGTCCCCTTCTCGTCTCATGACCTCAGCTGATTCGATGTCTCAAACTACTCGGACCCAGCATGCATGCGCTGTTTTTCCTTTTGTGAACATTGAATTTCTTTTTATTTTACCTACCTAAGTAGGTACCTAACCAGGTAGTTTACCTCTCTCTACTACTAGTACTCACTCAATTATTATATCATTTTTGAATGGAGGGAAAGCTAGTACATCAGTATTTGTCTTGGGTTCTGGGCATTGCACGTGTTTTATGATTCCTAAAGAGGATCTTCACTCCTTTTCAAGAAACTAATACTGGACTTGTCTTCGAGCAGGTCTCAAGCACGCGGTCTTCCTCCGAACGGCCATTGTTGTCTCCACGCTCTACTTTTGACTCTAACAAGCCGCTCCCGTCCCCGCCTCCCCCGGGCACTGTCGACAAAGTAGATGGCAGGCCTCGTCATCCTGTGCTAAAACTAAACCGCATCATGGCAGCATTGACAGACCTCGAGATCGAGAAGTTGTTTTCCGGAGCTCCGCAGTTCTTTGCTCGGTCTCAGGGTCACGGTACCGGAGCCCCGCATCCTTCCGTCGCCTTTCCTTGGAATGACGAGCTGAGCATCAGAGACCTAAGCGATCACGTACAGATCGGAGATAATGCTTGGGGCTGTATCACTGCCGGGCCCCGCATCATACAGCGGGATCCCATGTCTGTCAGCTCACCGTCGTTTAGGAAGCGGCCTCATTTCAATGCCAGGTGCCAAGAACGGCCAAACATGCTTAGCATGCAAGGCCTGGAAAAGGGCACAATTGGTTACCAGGCCGCCTTAGAGATCTCCGTTGCCGACTCCCTGCAGGAGGAGCAGTATGGATTCGACAGCTTAGGTTCCAAGGGTCGTGTGATTGTAGAGCAGCGCCAGAAGCTTATTACCTCTCAGGAGAGCTTACGACATCTGGATGACTCGATTATTATGGAACAGCTAATGAAGACCGAGGAGAGGTACCAGGCAGAACGAAGTGGCGCTCGGATGAAATCCCATGAGCTTTACAACGAGCTGTTCACTAAAATTCTCCATCCGCCTACTAGGGTCATCGACCCTAAAGATCCTTATAGCTTGGCTGTGCAGATTCATGCCCTGGTAAAGGTTCTTGGAGCTCCAAACGCGTGGATCGATTTCTCGCGTATAGAATGGAGAATCCGCCTTGGCCAGATTTTGTGGGCCTTTCCCTTAGACGATGAGATATTCGACGGGGTGGCGATAAGTGAGGGAACTGACGCGCAAGATCGAAATGAAGAGCGTTACTGGCTATTACTCCAGATCCTTCTTGCCTGTGAGTTGCTTATTAGACTCGACGCCATCACTGAAGGCGATGAGTTTGGTGTAGGGGAGAGTCTCAAGGCGTCGGAAGTACACAGATTCGAGAGAGAAGCGAATACCTCTGTTAGATGGTCTTTAATTCTCGCTCGGTCGTGGCTTGAAAACATCACGGTTACAAAAACCTCCGTCGCCCATCCTGAGCCATCTGTGCCGAAAGGCTGGCTGTCATCGTTGACAAGCAAGATGAATCTCAAGCATGAACATATGCACGGAGCGTTTCACGCTGATCACAGTCAAAATCGCCACAATGCTCATCCAGAGCATGCGTACGCAATCAAGGGCAAGTATAACGAGAGACAAGTATACGGACTGATACACTTCGCGCGAAAGCTGCGATGGCCGGATATACAGTCATCGGGTTCAAAGGTAGCCGAAAAGGCTATGGCGGTCGGTAAGGCGACACCTATCACTAGGCCACCTCTTACACACGACGCGCGGAACGCTTCATATTTTGCCAACGAAAAGCCACCTGTGCATAACAGGAGGCAACCCTCTCGGCGGCGAAGAATCGAAGCGGCTTTGCATGAATCTGGATGGTTCTTGAAGTCGTATGTATCTGGTTTGATACTACCTGGTGAAGCATTATCCCACTATCTCATGCCAGCTCTACTTGAGCTGGACGAAAATGCATTATCGAAACTTGGTCCTATGGCCAATTTGTGTGGTGGCTTCGTCTACAGTGGGAAGAGCTTCTGGAGCACAGCCTGCATCGTCGGCCGTGTTCTGGCTGCCGGGCAAGGTGCTGCAGAGTGTATGGGCTGGATATCCAGTGACGTGATCCCGCAAGGGCTGGATGAAGGTTGGGTTAACGTTGCAGTCGACCCTATTCCTGGTAAGCACAAGACCCGTTGATTCTAACTCAGTTCATTCTTTTGTACTTACTTGGTGCACTTGTAGCCGATGTGGCCCGAACAGGGAAGAAGGCTCGAATATGGGGAAAAACTATGATCGAGCGAGAGTCTGATGTCCTTGGTGATGGTGATCCTTCGAATGTCCTCCCTGCCGACTTTGTTGTTCCGCACGAGACCGCATACGTTAATCCTCCACCCTCGAATATCAGGATTGAGTTGAAGTCGTTGAACTTTTACGCCCCGGTGGATAATGCGAGCCCAACCACTACAGATAAGGGATTTCACCCCTTTTCCGACTCTAGCAAAGAGAAGACCCCGGAGATTCGCACTTACCCTGCGTCTGTAACCTTGACGATGTCCCATGACGGATTAGATCGAGAAGAATATCACAACTTTGCGCTTTCGAATGATATTTCTTTCGTTACAGCGCATCCTTGCGTCGCCTCCAGCTATGTTAAGTATATTAAATCCCCAACCAGCCCTACCATACAACAAATCGATGTTGGTGGTCACGATTTAAATGGGAAACCTTCCAGCCCAGCACATATCACAGGTGAGTTACATCTATCATGCCACTTCTAGCACTCTGCTGACAATCTATTAGGTCACCCGCTCCATAGATTCTATGCTTATACGGCAATCCACCTCACAGATCTTATGAGTCAACCTGACGCAACTATAGATGACATCTTAAGTGCAGACACATTCAACCACCGATCAAGTAACCATTTGTCATCAACCCCCAATAAACATTCACGCTTTTTGGTAATCGATTGCGTAACGGGCTTTGCCCCACCACAATCCCCCGATATGCCATCCCTCTCCCGCATGTCTTCTCTTTCATCTTCCTTTGGTTTGGAGGCCACCTCTGTGCCCCAACTCCGCATGCCTGGTTCAGTGGAACCTGAACAACGGCCAAGCACCGGGGTATCTTCCCGCAGCAAAGTAGAGCGGGTTGATCCTCCAAGTCCCAATGCTGAGAGTAAAATGCATCTTGGAACACATAGAAGACAGTTCGGATCTGACCTCGAGATTCTTGTCCGCGCTCTCTGTGCCGAGAGAGGTTGGAATGCGATAATAAGCCGCCGTAGGAGGGGCTGTTTATCCTGTGCCATACGAGAAGCTGGCGCTCTTGGATGGAAAGTTATCATCCGAGTTGAGTAATGTTAGGCGCAAGCATGGATGAATGAGAGATGAGGGCGGGCGTAGGTAGTTGATTTCATACAAAAAGCACTTAGCGACAAGGTTACGGAATAGGTTTAGGGAAAGCATTGAAAAATTGCTGCATTATTCGGAAAATCAACGCACGCATATTGATGAAAAGGGGTTATGAGACGGATGGGTAGGACAGGGCAGCATGTGCATATGGAGGTCCCCGTTGCTTCTTTTGTACACTTCGCGAGATACCCAGCTCCTCAAGCTATAAAGAAATAACGATTAAACCCTTGATGACGCATTCATCTTGTTGAGTAGGTACCTACAACTATGCGGTGAGCACTTCTAATGAGGGCCTACGAGGTCGAAGCCTACTAGGTAGGTAGATAGTGTGGAGCAGGCGTGTTAACGAATAAGGGGTCGACGTGTGTGCCGTAGGTACATAGGTAGCCAACTATGTAGGATCGGGATCCGCTAGCTATCCTACCTACCTACCTACCTAAACGCGCGACGCCGTACAAGAGCATATTATGGGGTAAAATGCTAGGTGTATGTGCCGTACCGGTTTACGGTTGCTTACGCGTGAGTGATCACTTTCCTGATTTCAATCATAGGTCGAGGAAGAGGGGGGGGGGGGGGGGGGGGAGGTCGGAGTCTAGGTATCTATTATCTATTGCTTGGATGCTTGAGCGAAGTCGTTATTAAAATCAAAGCTGAGTTAGGTAGAGAGTGTTTACCCCCCCCCCCCCCCCCCCCCCCCTCACTTTTAAACTACCTAGGTAGGTAGTAACTATATCCTCAACTTCGATTTCTTCTGGCTTTGCCTTTGCTACTGTACTCTACTGCCTAGGTACCTAGGTGACTAGGTAGGTAAGACTTATGTATCATGGCTAATGCGCACCATGAACGTGTTGCTGGGTGGCAGGTAAGATATCGCGGTTCTTTGTCTGTATATACCTAACTACCTACCTACCTACCTACCTACCTATGAATGAGTGGTGAGGAGGGAGGGAGGATTAGAAGGGGGTGGTGGGTGGTGGTGGTGGATGTTTTGTTTTGTTTTGTTTTTTCGTTACCTTTGAGCTTTAAAGATTAGATAGGGCGCCTGCCTGCCTGCCTGGGTATTTAACTTACGTTGGGTATACCTACTACAGAACGACCTGCTCCCCCACATCCTCGAGCGCCTCGCGCGCGCAACACCCTCGGCCGCGTACGGCCTGTGGCCCACCGCCTACCGCGCCGTCACCTACGCGCAGCTGGCCAACGTCGTCAACGGGCTCGCGTGGCTTTTTGCCGAGAGGCTGGGCCCGGGGAGGAAGAAAGGCGAGGAGGAGGAGGAGGAGTTCCTGGCGTACGTGGGGCCTAACGATGTGAGGTTCACGGCGGCGATACTGGCGGCGATGAAGGCGGGGTTTACGGTACGTAGATATATTCAAGAGCGAGAGCGGGTGATGCGTAGGTAGGTAACTTGTGATGTGGAATGTCTGCTAATGGATGGATGGAGTAGCTGTTCTTGACATCACCACGAAATAGTCCGGCGGCGCATCGTGGGCTGTTCGACGCGCTGGAGTGTAAGACGCTAGTCACGACGGACCCTAGTCCGCCGGCGGCTGTTACGATTCTCGAGGCTGTGAAGCCGCGCCTGCTTACGATTCCGAGTGTCGAGGAGCTGTTACAAACCCAATACCCCGAGTTTCCCTTTGAAACGACTTTTGAGGAGAGTCGATGGGACTCCTTTTTGGTCATGTACGTATCCACCCAGACAATCTTGACCCTATAGGTAGTACGTAGAATGTAACTTGCTTACCTCTTGCCTTTGCTAGACATACATCTGGGTCAACAGGTTTGCCAAAGCCGCTCATATGGACTAATGAGACCATAGCACGGCATCTCAACTATTGCGGTCGCAGTCCACCTGAGGGGGTTGTCTCGGTCGATGGCATTATCCATGGCAAACGTGTCATTGCAACAGTACCCCCTTTCCACGTATGTATCTCCAAGTGCCCCTTTACACACCCATCTATACTTAATATCTAAGCTGATTCATTGTAACCTAGGGAGCCGGCATGATACAATACATGGGAAACGCCCTCCCCTTCGGCAATGTCGTAGTCGCACCAGCAACCGCCGCCATCGTAAGCGGCCAAGGCCTCGTCGACGCGCTGAAGCAGACACCCGCCGACGTGGCGATCCTCGTACCGTCGGTCGTCGCAGAACTAGCACAGGACCCCGAGCTGCTGGACTACTGTGCAAAGCACCTCGAGCTGATCATCTACATCGGCGGCGACCTCCCCCAAGCCATCGGCGACCGCGTAGCCGCAAAAGTGCAGCTGCGCTGCCAATGGGGAGCATCTGAGGTCGGCATCCCGCAGCAGCTGATCCCAGAGGGTCTGGGACCGCTCGACTGGCGCTACGTGCAGTTCCACCCGTGTATCGGCGCGGTTTTCGACGAAGTCACCGACGGCACGTACGAGCTGGTTATACGGCGCGACGAGGCACTGGCCGACACGCAGCCTACGTTTAGCATACGGGGGCTCGACAAGCTGGAGAAGGAGTACCGCACGAGAGACTTGTTCGAGCCTCACCCGACCGTCCCTAACGCGTGGTGTTGGCGGGCCCGCGCCGACGACATCATCGTGTTCCTCAACGGCGAGAAGACGAACCCGGTGTCCATGGAGCAGCACGTCCTGGCGCGGAACCACGAGCTAATAAGCGGCGCCATCGTCATCGGCGCACAGCGGTTTCAGGCCGCGCTGCTCATCGAGCCGGCTACTGCAAAATCCCTGACTATGGCGGAGCAGGCGGCTCTGATTGAAAGGGTGTGGCCTAGCGTCGAGGAGGCAAACCGCGCGGCGCCGGCGCATGCGCGCGTGGAGAAGACGCTGATCCTCGTCACGCCTGCGAACTGTCGCATGGTTCGCGCGGGCAAGGGGACGATACAGCGAATGGCAAGCATTAAACAGTACGAGGCTGAGATCGACAAGCTGTATGCGGATGTTGAGGCGGCGGTAGAGGATGATGACGCTGCCCGCGCGCCGCTAAACCTAGCCAGCAAAGATATAGTCGCGCAGCTTATACGGGACAGTGTATCCGCCGTCACAGGCCAGGAGCTAAGCGCAGACAACGACACGGCGAGTTTCTTCGATAGGGGCATGGATTCTCTGCAGGCGCTGCAGCTGACGCGCGCGCTGAGACGGGTTCTTCATCGCACCAATATTGCCCTGTCCACGGTATATCAGAACCCCACCGTCGAGCAGCTTGTGTCGGCGCTGCTAGAGGAGGAAAGTAGTGTAAACGGGGCTGATGCTGATCAAGAATTGATGGCGCCGTTGCTGGCGACGTATCGGGGTCTTATTCACGAGATCCCCACGGCGCTTGGGGGTGTCTCGTCGTCTCCATTGGAGGAATCTGAGGGCATAGTTGATGGCGATGTCCTCCTAACAGGCTCCACCGGCACCCTCGGCACGTATCTCCTGCGCGCGCTCCTTGACCGCCCCAGCCCCAGCCCCAGACACATCTTCTGCCTCAACCGCAGCCCCGACGGCGGCCTCGCCACCCAGCACTCCCGCTTCGAAGCCGCGGGCCTATCAACAGCCGACCTAAACGAGCGCGTCACGTTCCTACAAGCAGATCTCGCGCAACCCCGCTTGGGGCTCGATGAGGAGACGTATGTAGGGTTAAGGAAGAGGGTTCGGCTTGTGGTTCACAATGCGTGGCCGGTGAACTTTAATCTGGGATTGGCTGCGTTTGGTCCGCTGCTGAAGGGGTTGGTTGGGTTGTTTGGGCTACTTTCACCGACGCCATCACCCGAGATAAAGACGGAGACACAGCCAAAGCCACCAGGCCGACGCCGCCGCTTCGTTTTCATATCGTCGGTTGGTGCCGTGGGTGGTCTCATCAATACCAACACCAACGACAACGACAACGACAAACTGGATTTAGGAGTGGCAGCACCAGAAGCCATCCTCTCCTCCCTCACCACCCCCTTCGCAAACGGCTACGCGCGGAGCAAGTTCCTCGCCGAGATCCTCTGCGACACCGCCGCCAAACATCTGGGTCCCGCGGTGTCGGTTGCGGTGGCGCGCGTGGGGCAGGTGGCTGGTGCTGTGCGCCAACTTCGGCCGCGGGGAGCTGAGATGGTGTGGAATCGCGCGGAGTGGTTCCCGAGTCTGGTGGTCGGGTCGCTACGGCTGGGGTGTTTGCCGAGTGATCTGGGCGCGCAGTTCAGCGAGGTGGATTGGTTGCCGGTGGATGTTTTGGCGGATGTGGTGGTTGATCTTGCGTTGTTACATCCTCGCAGTGGTAATAGTAGTAGTAGTAGTAGTAGTAGTGGAAATGGTGCTGACGTGTTTAACCTGCGGAACCCGCACACCGTACCTTGGGAAACACTAATCCCAGCCGTCGCGGAGACTGCCAAGGAGCTGCTTGGCCAAACGCTCCAAGTTGTTTCGCCGGCCGTCTGGCTAGCCCGGCTGGACGAGAGTATGGCAGAGGCGACGAAAGGAGAGAGTAGCGGCCTGGAAGACGCGGTGAAGTCGAATCCGGCGATCAAGCTTCTGGATTTCTACCGTGATGGCCTGTGGGCGGAAAGTGAGAGTAAGAAGAATGCGTCGTCAAGGCCTATGGCGGTGGAGAGGGCGTGTGCGGGGAGCGAGACGCTGAGGGGTGTTTCGCCTGTGACGGGTGAGTGGATGAGGAGGTGGGTTGAGGAGTGGATAGGGGGGTTGTGAGGATTTGTTGTTAGGGTTGGGGTTGATGATGTTTGTGCTGATTCATACCTAGGTAGATATTATGTACTCAGTATTTGGGTATGTACTTAGGTATGTATGTAAAAGGGACAAACAAATATTATATGTCAAAGAGTGAACGATTAATCTCGATCAATGTCTGGCTAGGTAGATCTCTACTAGGTACTATAGTACTATGTAGGTAGGTACTACCTGCCTACCTACCTAGGTACTCAGGGTTAGGGTTCATTAGTAGGGTTCAAATCCGAGGCATAGTGGCAATTTGGCAGATTGTTCAGGTTAATTACCCCAAATTGGATTTGTATTAGCCATTTCTTTTCTTTTTTTCTTTACTTTCTTCTATTTTTGAAATTATTTTTCGATGTCCCTTTCCGGGTTCAATATGATGACTTCGTCATCCTCCGTACTACCTACATACTGTTGATAAAACATCTTGTTCTATTATCCCCCTCGTTTCCCTTTTACACTTTTGTGAAGTGCCATAGCAATAAACATTTTCAGCATCAACTTAGAGTGGATAGGCACCTTGGTAGTATTCAGGGGTTAGCCACCCCCTTTTCAAGCAAGGAGTAGGTAAACACGAATTTGTACATTATGATTTGTGGCAACTATTTCCACGGACTGGACCGATGGAAACAACTTAGTCTTTAATATTCTGTACCATTTGTCTCTTAATAAAGACCTACGTAAATATACTAGATTGTCTCCCGTCTTTAGCTTACTACCATTGCATCTCAATCCCGTCATTGATTCCATCACTGGCCCAGATGTACTTACCAGAGGTTTCCTCACGGGTGGCACTGTCGATCTAGATTAAAGTACCTAGGTAAGCATTTCGACACCGACAGCCTGCTAGACAGGAGAATACTTGCCACCTTCATCATTTTCTCAACACTGAAGTCGATAGTCAATGATGCTTCCTTCAATCCCGAACCCAGTTTTTCAACTAACAGATGGCCCATGTCCGTCATAACAAGACTGTTTGTAAACTGAAGTTAGCATACTATTTACCCAAGTGATTTACTAGAAACCAATGCAAAGATTACCCCGGGTGTAGCGCAACAGAGATGAGCCATTCGTTCTGAAGATGTATAGCCCTAGGTATTTCAGTAAATTGCTGTTTCTCGGTCCTTTCAAGGCGTCGCCGGTTGCTTACACGGTAAGCCAATTCAGCGCTGCTTTCGATGCACAGTACTGTGGCCCAACGGAAATTTGCGATCGTATTGCCTTCATCATGCCAATAGATCCTCCCGCACTTGTGACAGAAATCCATTTGGGCGACCGCGTCGACTTTTGTAGCAGTGGCTTGAATGTCTGATATAGGAGAAACGGTCCGATCGTGTTGGTTTGGTAAACGGTCGCCATGTCTTCCATTGTAGCAGTGTCGGTTGTCGCAAATGGTTCTTTGCCTCCAGTCGCAGCATTGGCAATGACGACGTCTATGTACTCAATTCCGGCATTCCTTATGTCATCTAGAGCTGTAGCTGGATCGGTCAACGAGGTGCTTTCAATCTTCACGAGGAGTAACTTGGAGCCATTGGCAGGCTGCGTTGATTTTAATGCGACGACTTCTGGGGTGGAATGATCGCGAACGCTCCCGATCACAACGTGGTTTGGTCTCGAGAGGTAGGCTGTCGCTAACCCCCTCCCAATACCTAGGTGCCTATTCATTAAATTTTATGTCGGTAACCACGAGCATGGGATTTAGGTATTGACTTTACCTCTGCTAACACCACTGATAAATACCACAATAGGGGCTTCTGCCATGTTGCCTTTGTACTAGGTTAGTTGGTCAGTAGGCTTCGGTGTAGCTGTAAAGATATTGAGGTATGATATTGGATATTCATGCCAATGAAGAGGGGAGGAGGAGGAGGAAACACAAATGGGGTGAATGCTTTGCTGCAAGCAAGCTGACAAATCGATTTGATGCTTCTATGGGGTCTATACTTCCAACAGCATCTTGTATTAATGTAATGCCATTGGATGCAATGCTTCTCTTAACTTCGTATGCGTATGCGAGTATACATAACTCATGCATGTGTACAAATAATATGTAAATAATCATATAAAGTACTTTCATGGTTCAAAGGCCAGGACCTAGAAGTGGACAAAGCCTTCCCTATGTCATGCTGTATGCTCTCTGATGTACCATTACCCCTTACATAGGTACATACAGAAGGAGGTACATGCTACTAGGTAGGTATGTGCTACAGGCCACATACAGGCCACAGGTACTACATAGTAGGCACATGGCAGTTAAGAGTCACCCTGACTTGTACCTACTATTGTTAATGATGACAACATTGAATACAACCAATGGGAGTACTATGCAGATCATTGATATATTGCTCTTTCTCTGTACTACATTCACACATGAGTACTGCATTAAGTGATTTAGGTATACCTACCTGGGTAGGGTAGACATGGTAGTGAGTATGAAGGTAAATGCCTCCAGGGCTACCTAACAGGTGGGTATGTATACTACCTAGGGGGGTAGCCTGTAACAAATGACTAACTTACACAGGTCCAGGCAGTTGCTGTCGCCCTTTTAGAGGTCTCAGCACAGTCATAGGAACTTCAAAGTTCATTGTCCCTTATAGTACTTGCCATGTCCATATGCTTGTCGTATAGTATCCCCTGGCATCGACATCCACATCATGACTGTTCAATGATGCCCTCATCCCGTTTCCCTCCCCCTTTGCCCCTCTCTCTAACTCTACTTGACCCTCATCTCCTTCCTACCTAGAGTAGTATACCCATTGCTGCTCCTCTTTCCCTCCCCTATTGCCCTTGTCTTACCCTCGTCTCGTTCTTAGCATACCCATTGCTGTTCTCTTTTAACTTTCTCCCTCCCCTCCTTTACCCTCGTCTCCTGCCTAGCACACCTGTTGCTGCTCCATTTTCCTTTTCGAAACATCATCTCGAAACATACGCATACCTGCTCTTCCTTTTCTTCCTTCCCTAATCCATTAGATGGGCACCTACCTCTTGTAAGTCCATAGATCCCCAGGGAAAATAACAAGAGTTTCTTGGGCTAGATTGTTCAGATCCCCCACCAAACACCTACACAAATTATTGTTTTCCAATCTTCCTCCTCTCTACTACATATTTTCTCGCTATTTTACACCATCTCCCCATTCTCCTCATTCTCCTTGCAACACCAACACACTCTCCATACATCTATAAATACAACTTATATTGTATGAGGCCCCCCAAAAGAAATCATCCACGATGACACCATATTTCTATTTCTACTATTCATTTACTCTCTTTTCCACAATTCACATCAACCAGTGTCTCCTACCTAAGCAATTCCTTTGAACGGTTGGAGCATTTCGACTTCTTCTACTAGGTAAACAGCCATCGCTCTACCAATTGGTACCTACTATCTACCGAACTCATCCACTGATCCACGTCTCTTTTGTGTGATTTGGATTGCAAATCATGGATTGAAACTACTAGAATTTATTCTTCCTATCAGAGGTTCTCTACCTACACGGGTAAGACCTCTAACGATTTGCATATACCTACTTCTAGATGCTTAGTACACCCTCCCTTGCATATATCGCCCTGATGTGGGAGAGAATGACAAGTTTGCATTCGAGCATGCATCCGAACAACTCTTCAAGCACTTTCGGATGCTGGAACACGAGGCAATGAAGCTGCCTCCCGAGCACACCGACTGGGTAACGTGTTGCCTGACCGGCTGACCCATCGCCTCCGCACTGCAAGCCGTTCCACGATCCGTCAGATGAATGAGCATCAACAAGTCTGGAAGACTTATTCGAAATGTTTTTGGTACCACTATCAAGGACACCATCTAAGTCACCTAGCCCACAAAGGGTTGGGTAGACGAACCATACTGACGCTTGTCGTCCTGTTGCTAACAGAAATGCCGTCTCCAGGTGACGGTCTTGCTTGTTGAGGCTACCGTTATAGGTATTTATGAATAACCCTCTACCTGAGGCCCTGGAGATATTTAACATCAAATATCTCCGCGGGCACACATGAGATGTCAACAATTCCTTTGCCCGGCATGCCTGATAAGCTTCGTGGAAAACCGACAAAGTGATGGCGGGGCGGGTGTTCTGTCGTTGATTTTGCTCGGCCTATTACTCTCCTTTCCGTGTTCAACAATAACACTATCAAGTCGCTGGCTGTGTGGGCTAACTTCAGCATCCCTAAGTACTCACTTTACCTCTCCATGCCAGCTCTCGAAGGATGAAGGCCCTTCATCTAGCCTCCTTGCATACATTCTTCGAGAGCTGCCATGGTATCATCCTGTTGGGTATGAAAGGTCAATCTTGGTCAATACTAAGGATGGTCTTCAAGCACAGCAACCCTCACCAAACCAGAAGAGGTGCGCGCGGTCCCTTTGGTACGTATAAGACGAGGATGAGGCCAACCATGGCCATTTTAGAAACGCACGAGGCACAACCTGATGGTTCGGGCCGCATATTGGTGGTATCTGCCATCGCGGTCTGCCATCTTCTACAATCTCCTTTCAGTGCATGCACGCATCATGCTCAACAACAGCTTTGGCACTTCCATTAACAGCAACATGTCCCGTGTTTCCGCAGAACCCTCCGGAACCGATTGAGAAGCCCAAGATTATGGTCGGTTTATCAATCTTCTACAATACTACCACTGTGGTTTGTCTCGTCGGTTTACCGTGATCTTCAAAAGCTCTCACACTAACGACTGCGCTGTCGCTTGCTACTCACAACTATCCCTGCTTCGGCTACGTGCTCGTGGAATAACAAGATGGAGTCCCAATTCTTGCCTTTCTGGGTCATAGCGACCGGCAAAGAATCAGTGTTGGTGATGGGAATCGTTCGATGACGACGATACGACGATATCCTTTCCGATAAGGATGCCATCATCATCGACGCTGGTCTGGCTAAGATGCTGATGACTCTTCTTCTACACTTTCCTGTTTCCGACTTCCATGGCGAATATCACCTTTCTGCATTCCCTACCTACAGGGCGTTTTGCAGAGAGCTGACATCCTGACATTGGATGGGAAGTCGCTGATGGTGAGAGTATCTCTCGTTGGGAGGGATGGGTCTACCATGGCACCATCCATGGTGGGCGCCGAAGAAGCATCGGGAGATCTTGAATCTCCCCGCGGTTCGGCGAGCAATCCAACTCAGCAAAGCAGTGGACAAGGACAGCCCTCTGAAGAAAAGGAGGAGGCGGTACCTAACACGAGTACAACCCCATGGGGGGACCGTTCCGTCTTTACATCTAGCATAAATGTCTTCCAACATTTGAAGATGCATCTGTACTGAGATCTTTCTTGGGAGCGCCATGATCTCCCGAAACTGTCTTGGTTGGGATCCCGTCATAGGAGATGGATGGCAATTCTGCATGCGGTCTCATCTATGGGGCAAAGAAGCGCAAAGTCTACAGCTACTTTTGGTCAATGTGAAGCGCCATTATTAGACAACCGGGATAGAAATTCCCTGGAACATGTCGCCTACACCGCGTCCATTCACAAGGACGGGACGGAAACATGGTCCTCTGTGGCTCGTGGCCGAATTCTCGAAGGGACGAGGAAGAAACCTTGAGTCTCGCTCACCTTTTTCAATCGCTGGTATAGAGACCGGCGAAATGGTCTGCAGCCGAAGACGAGTCTGGCGACGGGTCGCAGTACCGCGGCGGGACTTCGAGGACCCTGAGCGACGTCGTTGTTGCACAGGGATCTCTAGCCTCTTTTTGGAGGCTTTGGATGCTGTGGAGGCCGACGATGGGCGATGGTCCACACTTCCATTGCTGGAATCCAAATACTGGTGGTTATTGAATACGCTGGCTCCCCATTGACGGGAGACCTTTGCATTCCCGAGCGAATACATATGCGACAGCGCCGGAGCATTTGGAGCCAAGGAGACATTCGAGAGTCATAGGCGTGGGCGTGGGCGCAGGTCCCGTTCTGCGACCTTAGCCTCGCGGTGGAAGAGCTGCCCGAACTGAGGCGCGGTTCACCGAGCTATTAATCCTTCACGACGAGCCGCAACAGCATGGGTACGCCGCCACTGGCTGCCACAACTTCATCCCGCCATTGAACGGACAGTTCGAATATAGCTCCAGCAACATGGGTGCCATTGTGAGCACTAGTCCGGCATGCTGAGCTCGTATCTTAGAGCGGTAGCCCGAGTAGGCCCTTGGGAGTTGAGCCGTAGGTGCGTCGCGTCCTCCACAAGGGCTACCACCTACAAGTCAAGGGAAAGGATGTGCATCGGACGCGACGATCTTGTTCAGATGTCTCGTGTAGTCGTGGCCACGACAATGCGGCAACTTCCTCGACACGAATACAGGGCAGCCATATGGTGCAGGTTCCTGCACATCGTTACCTTAAGGTTTGTGGTCGTGATGCTTGTCATCGAAGACTTTGTCTACCAATCGCCGATGAGAAATGCCGACGCCGCCACGTTAGGGCTCGTGAGCTGCGCTTCATCCTGTGACAGCTTCAGCAGCAAACTGGAGATCGTGTTACCGGAGCTGTGATCTCCGCTGGCCGCGTGAACTATGCCTACGAGTAGAACGACCACCGCAACTTCATTCCGCCCTTCAACGACTCCAGCGTGCCGAGATATAGCAGCATCGACAGATACGACAGGAGAAGCGTCGCCGGGTATGCTGGCTAATCCGGCAATCCCATGGGTCCCGGAGGATGCCTTGGGATATGGCGATGGATTAACCAGAATAACCAGCTCAACCAGCGACGCTTCTGATGATGTTTCTGTCGATGCTGTTACAGACTGAGTAGCTGGAACTAGCATGGCTCCAGTATTTGGCCCGACGTAGCACCCCCTCAAACACGTACTATCCACGGGGGCTGCGGGGGCGGCCTTTCTTTCGTCAAGGCAGACCAAGGCGCAGTCGTGTGTGACAGAGACCTCGTCGCCGACTCCACAGAGACAAGCGAAGAGGCACGGAGACAGTTACGACTTTTGGGACAAGCTCGGTCGCGTCGACAAGGTGAAAGGACAACGATGGAGGTGCCTCTCATCGAAGACGCTGTGCATCAGCTCAAGCCGCGAAGATCCATGAGTGGCGGCGTGGGCTGGTGCACAGCGTCTTCGATGACGCTACGCCTGATGGCTGAGGATCCGTTTTCCCGTCAGAAGACTGTGTCGGCGACTGGAGAGGGGAATCGACATCAGACGCCAAAAAAATCGAAAGGTCGGGCATCTCTATATCCATAATTGTCCTTGCTGGTTATGCCTATGCCAATCAACCCCAACGGTTGGGGAAACATCCTCGGCGTCTGTATGGCTCACACACAGGTTCTGTTGCACGAGTTGTTCTACGACAAAGCTTTGACCGGGTGGACGGCAGTCCTAGCTGATGAAGACTAACAGACTACCTGGATCCCGTTTTGTCAAGGTTGGCTGCTACTGCTGAGGGCGACAGAAAAGATTTGTTTGCACGACTAGAGCTAACACGCCTGGGTCGAGGCCACACGGTCGCACCCGCACAGCTTTTCGAGAACTTTGACATTCCGGGTCATGGGTTGGTGAGACTAATAGAATGGATACGATGCTGGAAGGGTTCGATCTGACCTCTCGGCCATGGTCATGTCCCTGACGATGACCGCAATAGCTACCTTCATATCTTGTCGTACTGAACGCACTTCCTGAGCCGCCGTCCACCAGCTCCATCTGTCGTATTACCCCAAGCCCAACGACGCGGGAGGTCTCCATGCGGTTGTGATGAGCATCACGAAAGCTGGGCCTGGCCTTGGTCGATGCAGCCGCAGGGACTAGACGCGGCTCAGACTTAGGCCAGGCCCAGAGGCCGCAGCCCCGATGCTGAGGACAAAGATATGTCCGGGGTCTGCAGGTCATCTTCAATTCCGCTTTGAAGGAAGCCCCTTGGATCGACGAGGCACTGTTTTCTCCGGCAACGACAAAGACCGCTCTTTACGGCTGGTCTCGTCTATGGCTTGGCGCTTCATGCCACCCGAAATTCTGCTGGCAAGCAACCCCGCTCGACCGACTGAGGTCTGTTTCCTCCTCTGCAAGCCCCTAGTGTTGGTGGTTGTTGGTCGGTATCATATGGAAATGTCACACTGGCGGGTGTGTGCTGAGGCTGAGAAGATGCCACCTCCAGTGTTGGTGGTTACTTGTAGGTATCAGACGGCAATGCCACACTGGTGGGTATGTGCTGATTCCTGGGGGGAAGATGCTTCCTTCGGTCCCACGGTGTTGGTGATTGCTTGTCGGCATCAGACGGCAACGCCATACTGGCGGGTCACTGACGGGTGGGTGTCGGCTCATGGGTAGGTACACAGTGAATCGTCGGCCCTGGTCCATTTGGGTCAAGAAGCACCTGATACTATCTTAGTGGGCTCGGACCCTGCCCCCACAGCTCCTATGGGGAGCTTATCCTCCAATGGGGAGAACGCCTAACCGTACGAGTGGATTCACAACTTCGCAGGTCTCGCACCATGGACTACGCCGGTTAGTGCATCGCCGCACCTGCCCGAGTTCGATGTGTCTCCTCCCAAACGACCAAGCCCAGGAACACTCCCTGGGAAAACTCGTACGATTATATTGTTTGGATGGAATCTTGCGCCTCCGTCGTGGAAAGGACTATACCAGGACGGCAAAACTGTCTGGTTCGGCGTCAAGACTTACAGACGATAAATATCAATACAGCACCACACCATGCGATGTGATGCTGCGTCTGTTGAAAGGCTTGACATCTGCAGCCACCATAACCAACCCCGTCTTTACAGAGCTCATCCCAATGGCCCACATACTGTTGTGCTCGTAAATTCGCACAAAGGTTCTCATTGTTGAGGTGTTTAGTGTTTGGTTGTCGTCATGGGATCACAAAAGGGTGGGTGTGCCGAAGACGTACTCACTGGTGGGGTCGGCCGGGTGGGATGAAGGGCTTTCATTATTATCCGGTTCTAACCCATTCTTGCAGGCCCTGAAACTGGTGGTAGGGAGTTGGATATGAATACTGTCACGGGGCCGAGAGATCAAGAAGTCTTACATAATTGTTGTTGCGCGGGGATCTCTAACGTCTCTTTCGGAGACTATGGAAGCTACATATACATGTAAGATGTCGTTGTTCTATCTAGCCTCCTCTGTAGATCTTAGGTAGACCCTTGGCAAGCAATCACAATATTGACCCCTTGAGATTCTTTCTATTTGAACTAGGTAAGAGAAGGGGATATGCGATCCATCCCCTTACATGTTCTTTGTAATATGTTGTGAATAAGTTCCTACCACTTGTCTAGCCCCTGACTAGGTACGTAGGTATGTAAAGTGTAGACAGCCCTGGAGACGTACGTGGATGCGGGCATCTTCCATAGCTTCTAGCAACTTAGTTGCGTTTGACATGTTCTGGCAGTAGTACGAGGCAGTAAATATTTGCATGTGCCTAGGCGTATTTATACGCAGCCCCTTTTACTTACTTATCTCTGGCACATTGCCTCCCTACCTAGTACCTACCTACCTACATAAGATGAGTACCTAGGTAAGTACATAAGGGGAGATCGGAGATGTTGATACCTAGGTATGTAGTTTACCTAGGTAGGTAGGCACATACTTAGATAGGTATGTACCTACCTACGTACAACACTCACGATGCGGATGACTGTCTGTTCATGCTAGAATCAACCATAGGTACATACCTAGGTAGGTAGGTAGGTACGGACTGTGATGGATGCTGTATCTGTGTTTAGCGTTCCACTAAAACTACCTACCTTCCTAGAGGTACGATACCGAACTACTAGGTATGTAGTGAGGTAGCTAAGTCCCAACTACCTACCTAATGAACCTATACAGCAAGTTTTTACTTGTAATAAGCCGTGGTGATAACTTCCAAGGTTGGATTAGCGAGCTCTGATTTTCACCTTCCACCCCTTTTTTTCCCCTGTTCCCCTGTTCCCCTTTTACCCCTTTTTCCATTTCCCCCTTTTGTCCCCCCTTTTCAACCAACTTTACACATTACTCCCAACCAGCCAGCCAGCCAGCCAACCAGCCAGCCAACCATCATGTAACGACGTGATGACTACCCATTCGCGAGCTTATAGACAAAGATTGAGTATTATGTGGACCAGGCAGCGACGACCAGCTCCACTGCCGCCACAGGACCGACAGGAGATACGCACCAGCTGTATCGCTGAAGCCGCCGCTGCGGACGTGCAAGCTCGAGCTTGGGCGTCCTTGCGGGTAGAATCTCGCCGTCTCTCGGTCGAGGAGGTGGCGCGGCCAGTCCTGGCAGATGCCTAGGTGGTCCAGGAGGCGGATGGCGGTGAAGTTGATGTTGGATGGGCTGCCGGAAGTCTGTGAGTGCGGTCCTCCTGACAGAGCGTTCTGCCAGCTGACGTAGGTCAGCTCCCAGGTCTGGTCGGGGGATAGCCGGGCGCCGCCGCGGACGAGCCAGAACAGCTTCTGGAGGGACTCTTCGTTGTCCCACGGGGTGAGGAGAAGGGATTCCGGGATCCGGGTGTCCGGGTGGACGTGGTAGAAGGTTTGGCTGACTTGGTCCATGAACTGCATCTGGTGGCGCTGGCAGCTCTCGATCCGCTCGATCTTGCGGAACGCGGCCCAGTCGTAGTAGAAGCAGAGGCTGGCCTTCTTGGGATTGATGAGGAGGTCGTCGTTTTGCACGGTGACGGACGGTGCGTGGAGCTCGGGGTCTCCCCAGAGTCTGATGTGCTGGACGTGGAAGGGCCGGCCGTGGATGTAAGCCTTTCTCGCGCGGCGCTGGACGTAGAGGTCCCAGCACTCGAGGATGAAGGCTATGTTGGCCCAGCTATATTCCAGAATGGCGGACTGATAGGATGGTTAGTTTATGAAATGCTAGAATATGAGAACCTCGAGGAGGTATTTATGTGTAGTTGAGCTGGGCAATTACTACGTACCTGGAACTCGGGATTGCCTGCCACATATATAAGAGGCTCAAATCTATCCCCGACCTCGTTCCACGTGCTATCCCAGGTATCCCCAAACGCGTTGATAAAAGTCTCGCGGAGAGTAGATCTTCCGGACAGCAGACGACCGATACGGTGGCCGGCACGGGGTAGGTTGGCGTTCCCGCTCATCCAGAAGATGCGCTCGAGGACCTCGAGGGGCATCAGCTCGAGATAGGAAGCGTGTTGCTCGCGAGACTTTTGACGGATAGACTTGTGCTTGAGCTTACGCTCCTTCTGCGGCCGGGTGCAGGCAACAGCAGCAAGTTCTTCGTTGGCCCGGCGGCGTTTGCCGGGGGCTCTGATGGGGGTTAATAACATGGTTGATGATGTAAAGATGAGATATGTAGATGGGAAATGTCGAGGTAGTGGTGCCAGTAGTTGTAGTGATAGTGGTAGTAGTACTGGTAGTAGTACTGGGTAAAATACAGTAGATGAGTGAAGTAGTATTGATGATCATACACCAAGGTACTCCAAGTTTCTATGAGATGTGAAGGTTTAAAAGCCAAAGGGAGGAGGAAGCCTCGATGTCAAAGAGTCAAAAGGCTGACGCCTACTGCCCTTATATCTCTTTTGTACTATACTGTACATATAAGGTGTAGGTATAAGTGAGGAAGTCAGTCTCCAGTGTCTTGGATTTCAAGAGACTCAGGGGCAAGGCAAGCACACTGCATCAATAAATATGTGCATGGTCCACATGTTTGCCTTTTACTTCTCTGCTGCTTTCTCTGGTTTGATTTTTAGCTTTTTGTCTCTCTGGGATATATGGGAAAACATGATATTAGCATGTTGTCAGCGCTTTACATACCCTAGGTACTACTATGTAGGTACTAGGAGGTAGGTAGGTAGTCTTTTAGGTGAAGTCATTTAGAAATACCTACATGTAGTACCTATGTACCTAGGTTAGTACTATGTCTCCATATGCATGTGTGCATAAGATGATTAGTTAGTACCTAGTACTTGGGTACTTTGAGATGGGAATACTTCGGGTAAATACCTCATTGATGCATGTCCAGTGTGCATTCAACTTGGAACCGATCAGTCGGGATCTGGGCGGACCGATATTGGTGACTCAATGATCCAATGCAATCCGAATCTTGTGGCTTATCCTTATCCTTATCCTTATCCTTATCGCGTCAATCTTCGTTTAATAATTTCATTATCCAACTTTTTTTCCAACTTTGAAATCCTTACACATGTGCAGACTTCAAAGATCTGGTGTATTATAGCATTTCGCTTTTAAAAGTACTCTGCTTCGGGTACTGCTTACAATGGAAATGTACTCAGTTCAGCTTTGGTAGTCTTACCTCCTGTTCCATTGCTACCGAGCACCAAACTTTTGAAGCTCTATACATCATGGCCTCGCTCCATCCGCCTGTGCCCTCTGCGAGGCTCATCAGATTCCTTCGCCTACAATCGGAAAACCTGAGCTTGTTTGGCCCAAGTCATGGAAATGCTGCAAGCCTAGGACAGGCTACACAAAAGATATGCGCCGCTAAAAAGCAGCAGAGAGATTCTTTGCGAGTGGGTTGCGCAATAAAGCCCTCACCAGATGCCTCGTTACAGGCTAGCTTCCTTGACTTGGATTCTCTTATTCGATGTCGGCGCTATGGCCCTTCGAAGAGCGCTCGTCAAAAGAGTCTCCCATATTTCGCACAAAATATGGGTGTGCGATACAGCTCCTCGGACAAGCCGCCGACCCCGACACAGTCGCCGCCTACTCCGACACAACCAGAACAACTACCTGCTCCAGCAAAGCCGATCGCTGCGAAGAAAAGCTTGACATGGAGAGAGATATTATGGGGCTGCGGAGCGAAGAAGAAGGGCAAGCCCTTAGAACCCAATGACCTTCCCGATGTCGAAGGAGGCGAGAACAATTCCATGTTCAGCTCACGGCGACAGCTTAGCCAAAAAGCCGCGTTGGAACCTAGACTACGCTGCACGGAGGTCGACGAGCACGGTAATGTAATATTGGTCGACGGCGAATTCAAGAAGAGCGAGCTCATCGCAAGGGTATGTTGGTCCCAAATTCAATAAATATGAAATATCGAGAATATACAGAGCTGATTCGATAACTAGTTTGGCCTTCTGCCTCGCGATTTACGCAAGATCGATTCGTCCAATCTCCCGCACATTCTCGTTCGGCCGACCGCCATCCTGATCAACCTTCTACACCTCAAAGTGCTTATTAAGTACAACCGTGTTTTACTATTTGATGTATACGGTTCCAAAGCTTCTTACCCACAATCGGCTTTCATGTACGACCTACAGGGCAAGCTTCAGCAAAAGTCAACACAGGGTACTGGTGGTTTGCCATACGAATTCCGCGCTCTAGAAGCTGTCCTCCAGTCCGCAACTCAAGAGCTAGAAGCAGACTTCGAGGCAGTGCGTGATCCGGTGATCCGCATCTTGAGTGAGCTCGAGGACGATATAGATCGACATAAGCTCCGAATTCTTCTTGTCCTGTCCAAGCGTGTGAGCACCTTTGAGCAAAAAGCTAAGCTCGTCCGTGACGCCATTGAGGAGCTTCTTGAAGCTGATGATGATCTGGCGTCCATGTACCTGAGCGAGAAAACCCGCAATATCGAACGTGAGCTTGATGACCATACCGAAGTCGAAATGCTGTTGGAATCGTATCATAAACTTTGCGACGAAATCGTCCAGGAAGCGCAGAATTTGGTATCGGGCATTCGGAATACCGAAGAAATGTGAGTGATGACCCCCTTTTTTTTTTAATTTTACTCATGATTGAAACTAACTGAATAAACTAGTATTCGCGCAATCCTAGATGCCAACCGCAATTCCCTTATGCTCTTAGACTTGAAGTTCAGCGTCGGAACCCTAGGTTTAGCCATGGGTACATTCATCGCTGGATTGTACGGTATGAATCTGGAGAACTTTATCGAAGAAACACACTGGGGCTTCACTGCTGTCACGGGCGTCTCCATTATTTTCTCGCTCCTAGTATGCAAATACGGTCTGGCCAAGCTCAGAAAGGTCCAGCGCGTCAAGATGCAGGGCGACGAGCATAAAAGCCTGGAGAATGAGTATCACTGGTTCCACGATGAAGGCAATGTTGGACTCCTGGATCCTCGAAATCGCGAGAAGCTAAGACGGCTTAACCTACAAAAGTCGTTCAAGGCTGACAATAACAAGAAGAAGTGGTGGTGATTGACGGTTATCAAGTAGTATCAATACGATCTACCTACACTGCCTCAGAAGCCAAAGTTCACGAAGATTACGTTGATACTTAATCGAGTGTATTACAATTGCTAGCGTTATGGCAAGCCGACGTGTATCATAAAAGTAGGTTGGTTCGGAGTTGGCCAAGTGGTGTACTACATAGGCTCTCGGACCCAAAGGTATTCTCTCATCTCTCATAGATCTAGGGGCGCATACTATACCCATTTATAGACCCTTAGCATACCCATACCCTCCGCACATTGATGTGCTAGAGACATGAAAATTACAGTTGTATCTAGCCCCCTCTCCTTTCTCGACTGCAGATAGAAATGAATCGGCAACGGTCAATGTATGAACTCAGACAGGAGGTATAGACCTATATACAATATCAACCCGCTCACGAGCAACTCATGTGCAAGTATGGTGATGAATTAAATGAACCGTTCTTAAGCTAACCCCCTTCCACCTCTTTCTCCCCTCTTACACACTAATCCAGCCAGTCTCCCCTTCTTCCAACATCAACCTCAGCAACTCAGCCCCCTTTTCACATCAACATCCAACCCCAACCTCTACCTCCACCAATAATCTACACTCCCCCTCTCTCCTTACAACTCATTGCTAACCGGCGCATCCACAAAAGCCTCATACTCCTCATTGACCTCCTCGCCCCCCTCCACCAGCGCCATCCTCACCTCCCCGGCCCCGAGGTCCTCGACGTTCACGACGGCGCTGCCGGCGAACCCCCACGTCACCCTCACCCTCCCCTTGTCCAGGGGGGCCAGCTGCTTGAAGACGGCGGGGGAGACGTCGATGCTGCCGCTGGCGCAGCCGGGGCACTTGTCGACGACGGTGGCGGAGGCGGTCTTGCCGGCGTAGCGGATGGTGATGCGCCGGCCGCAGACCTTGGCCTTGTTGGGGTTGGCGTCGTGCCCGTACTCGGCGGGGGACAGCGCGACGATGTGGTCCGTGTCGTGGTTGCTCTTGCCGCAGGCGCCGAGCCCGGGGGTGTAGTAGGTCATGTCGCCCGTGTAGGAGAGGGCTGGGGCGGCGGTCAGGAGGAGGGTTAGGAGGGCTGTGGTGAGGGACTTCATTTTGTTTTTTTTTGCGGTTGTGCTTTTTGGGGGTTTGGGTCTGGTGTCTTTGGTTGGGTGTTGGTGGTGCGAGATGAAGGTTATGCTACGAGATAGAGTAGTAGTAGTAGTAGTAGTTGTTGTTGTTGTTGTTGTTCTGGCTGGTTGGAGACTGCTGAAGAGCTGGTGTTGACTGGATAGTCGATCGGGAGAGAAATGTCTCCTTGGGTCTATATATACTGCCTCGGCGTACGATGACACGGGAGTAGCTACTCCTTTCTCGCACTCCGCGGGCACAATATTGCCCTCGTTATTTCCATAGTGGAGGCTTTCCTATGACCCCCCTCCTAGATGCTTACCTACTGCTACTCGCTAGTCTCAGTCCTAGAACCCAACCTTACCTACGTACCCGGGTAAGGGGTAGCTGACAGGTGTTTCGGCCACGTACCTGGGTATGAGGATGAGCCCGTGAGCTTTAGTCACGCGTACAGACAAGAAACAAGATGTGTAACGATATCTATTGAATCCTTCTACCCATATCCTTCTTCGCCGCCGCGCCAACTACATACTGAACCCCGTGCTCTTCTTCTCCCTCCTCGCTGGCAAATCATCTTCGGTGAACGGTATATTGAATACCTAGGTAGGCAAAGGCTTGTCTAGATCCGTATCTTACCTAGCCATCCAATACGCGAGAGGGTAGGTAGGTATGTAGGTATGAGAGCGGACGGACAGACGAGCGCTTATGTCATGTAATCATATAATATTGAATTTGGGAGCTTATAACTTGTAGCACAGCGCAGCTTAGAACATGTCTGCCCCTGGACGTGGCGTTTACACACATGATACAAATACGGCATGTAAGGGTTCGTGGACATCATTGCTTGTGCTGGGAATAGCTCCATACCTTTTATTGAATCCTGTTTGATGTTGATGGCGAGGTAAGCACTAGTGAAGCTGGGGGTTGTTGGATAGATATTTGATGGTATGGGTAAGTAACACTGGTGGGTGAGTGAATATACATTCTGAAGATATTATAACAGTAACGCGTGGATAGCTATATTTTAATATAAGTGTATCCATCATAGGAGGTAAGTCGGTACTCAAAAAGGATATCCCCTATAAGCCTCTTCTTCATCTCAAACTCCCAAAGCGCAGCTTTGATAGTTTTCATACCTACCTACTTATCAAAGCCTTCCATAGGTACCTACCCAGACTGCTGACTACCAAGCCTAGCCCTACATGCAATAAAAACACCAATGTCATTCGAAATATTGCCTTACATCGATCGTCGCCTGCAGGGTGACATTCTTTCTAACAAACCCTCCTAGTTAGATCGATCATGCTTAGAAGAGCCTCCTAATCCGAGGAGGGGGGGGGGGGGGAGGAGGGTTTGACGTCTTACGCTGCTGGGACACCGTGGTCCCGATTCGGTTGCCTTGCTTACCTGCCTACCATCTAGCTTAACACTCGTAACAGAGTAAGTTGAGGCTAGAATAATGTAGCATTATTGATTTTAGGATGGATATATCAACTCGCCTGCATTAGTTCCCGGGCTGCTTATCTAGGTAGGTATGTGATATTGGGAATGTGATATAACAAGTAGGTGCCGAGGCGATACAGGAGCTCATGGTCTCGGCTATGTCGCAGCAAACACATCATGTGCAGAAAAATCCCAAAGTCCTAATCCTACCAGCGTAATGCATAGATGAGATAAATATTTAGCCAGGTATGTAAGTCTTTATGAGACTGAGCTACCTACAAAGCCCACGCCTCTACATTACATTACATGTTTCTAGATCAAACCCGAAGCACTACATTCATTCGTTCACTTAGGTACCTAAGCATACTCAAACACACCTCGTAACCCGCTGAATAAGTTATATTCTGTAAAGGGGACTGGGTTATCCAGCCCACGCGTGTGCGTCTCATCTGAGCTCTTCAAGGTATTACAAAGCCCGCATGTATGCATGCATGCATCCCTATTTACCAATAAGTGTAAGGAGGTAGGTAAGGTTCTAGTCGTTCTACTTAAACAGCATCGGCACCCCTCGGACTCCGTGAGCGCGGGTGTTGATTAGGATCCCTCCTCGCGCCGCCTTCCTCAGGTTCGTCGTCATAGTATTGCCCGCCCCAAGATAATGTTCTTCCACTTCGGTTGCCCGTCGGGCTTGCTACCGCAACATCGCCAGAGTGATTATCCTGCTTGCTACGCCACCACCTCAGCTTCAAGATCCCTCCTAGGGCATCATGCACTCCACCACCACTTCCGCTGCCGCCGGCGCCGCTACCACCACCACCTGAACTCTTCCGCCGTACGTGCTTGCGCGCCGTGAAGCCTGGGAACCCGGTTGATTTCCTCCTACGCCTAAATATCTTCCTTGGCGATCCCTCACCAGCTTCAGCAGCGCTCAACGAAGCTGTTGATTCTCCCGGCATGACTCTTAGTGCTCCTATCAGTGGTGTATTCTCACTGACTGCACTCTCTGGTAATGTGCTTGACCTATTTCTATTAAAGGATGGTCTAGGGGTATCTTGGTCTTCTAGTTCGTCCCATATTTCTGCGCGCTCGTGCCAACGACTTGAGGGTTTACGGCCTGGCGTAAGAGGGGTCGTCTCTCCGATTGGTCCAAAGGTATTGTATGTGGCTGGTACTGCTTCATCGACTGCGGCAATGGAGTCGGAATCTGTAGGAGATGAATCCTCTCCTTCTGTATCATCCACCAATCCTAACCCAGGCGTCAAAGACGACTGTCCAACGGCCGGTGGGTGCTGCTCGTCGCTGAGACGCCATGAGAGTGCCAAAACGCCAGAAAGTAGTATAACGGTTCCTAATGCAATGAGCCCGCCGTGCAAAGGTGTAATGAGATTCGTCTGATCGAAGTATATCAAGCCATCCAAAATGGCGATAATGTTGTAAATGCAAAATACAAGGGGGTATAATACGGAAGTAGACACCAATTTCAATCCGCGATGAAGGTAATATAGTTGGCTTAATGCCAGGGTGACGAGTCCAATAACGAGCATCCACGATTCCCAATGGCCAAATTGGTTATCGCCATCGGCAATCGTCCTAATAACGAGCTCAACGGCAGATTTCGCGAATAATAGAGAGTGGGCTGACAGAACACCGCTGATGCACCCGAAAACGAGACCACGGGCAAGCCGGAACTTGGCATTCTGCGACGCACTACTAAGATGGTTGACCAGCTCGATGACTACGGCCATTGAGATAACCAGCACCGCTTGAAGTGACATCCAGACAATAAATTGCCATCTGCCGAGTAATTCCAGTAGCTCTGGCAGACTGTGCGCCGGGGAGGGTATGGCGCCAAAGATCGCGATCAAGGCCGCTCCAGCGGTGACCAATGCGGTTCCGTAGAAGGACCATCGCGTGAAGGGTTCACCTAATATCAATGTCGCGCATACGGAATTGAATACTAAGCCGGCGGCTTGTAAAGTTGAAAGAACCGGTAGAGGGAGAGTCGAAATCTGAATCGTGCTACCGAATATATTGGATATAATAAACATGCCCATTCCTAGCTGCCATCTTCGCCTTCGGTATGCCGGTCTCTGAAATTCGAGGGGATACTTTTCATCTTCGAGCATATGCGATTTTCGTTGTAGAGTGAGGCCGAGGGACTGGACGCTCGTAGAGATTAAACCAACTATAATACCAATCTGCCGAGGAAGTTCATGTTAGTCATGTAAATAGGAGGGAAGGTAGTAACTTGTTTGGTAAGGGCAGACCTACAGAAATGGTGCCTCCAGGGGAGAGGTCGCCAAATAACCCCATTGCGACAATCCTTTAGTTCATCTGCGATACTCGCCAGATGAAAGATCGTCTCGGTTGCCCATGAGAGTCAAGACTACAACCTCGAAGAATCTAACCCAACTACCAATACTTGGAACCTGAAATTTCCGAAGAATCTGCCCACCGGTGTGTATTGAGAGAAATGTATCAAGAGAGGTTATAAAACTACAAGTTGTATAGAATCGATAATAAAAAAAGGAGAACGCGGTCAAGAAATTCAATCGCAAGAATATCGACACGAAACTGACGATGCGCAGGGAGCGAGACGATACGGTGAGTTCGATGACGCCTGTTCGAGACAGGGGGGCAGGGGTGTCGTGGCCAAAAGTGGTGGTCTAACCCTCAGGTACTGTACGATGGATTTGTTGAGTATGTATCGACGAGTGAGTATGTACTGGCGGCTTGGATGGCTTTGAACACAAAGAAAAAAACGCGGCGAAGAGGAGTGGGTATGGTTTATGGTTATTGTTAACGAACGAGAGGGGGGATAATGTTTGAATGATTTTTTAATTTGGAAGTTTGGAAGTTTGGAAGTTGAAGATTCAGAAGTATCAAGGTTGATTGAATGAAACAGCACTGAGTGACTTGAAGAATACAATAGACTACATGTACTACTAGTAGTAACTATGTATCAATAAAGTACAAAAAGTATATCTGGAGGATATATGTATGAGGTAATAGTTGGAATTTGAGTTTGACCCGACGGCTGTATTTGGGGTGTATTTGGGGTTCTCTGGGGTCGGGACAGCGAAGCTTGAAGATCTCTCAGACGCTGATCTGAACCTTGTTATTATACATGAATTATTATAGTACACTCAATAACTATAGTACATATACAAATACATGGTATAATAGTAATAGTACAATACATCAGCCAGCAAAGTAGCGTAACATCGCAAGTAACAACGAAGCAGCGAAACAGCGAAACAATTGATCAGGCACCAGACAAATTTACCAAGAGACCAAGTCATTCTGCAGGGGCCACCAGACTATGGTCGATGTAACAAGGGGGTTACAGTGAATACATGGTGAATGTACTACCTATGTAATCTCCAGGCTTCGAGACTTCGAGTGTTCATGTACCAAGCCACATGTATTTAACCTGGTCCTGTAAAACAATGTGGCTAGTGTAGTTACTACTTCGTAGGTATCATGGATCCCCGTAGCTTTAAGCTCTCTTCCCCGTTTAAAGGATATCAATTGCATACAACCTTATTAACGTTCAAACCGTTGACGTCCAATTCATATGTCACCAGACATTACCAAACCAAGCTTCTGTCACATCAACCTCCAACCCATTGCTGCATGAGCTTCTTCGTGACCCACAACCTTTAATCAACCTACCTACCATTCGTCCCATACATACGTCCGCTTGAGGCTTCGCTGAAACAAATTGATATCTCGTGCCCTTACTTCGCTATTCACCTGGCACCGTTGTTGAGCGTCCACCATCCTCACCTCACTCCGCTCCTTTCCATCCCCGCCCCGAATATCTCCCTCATACTACTTTCAAGATGTCGCAAGTCCACTCCTTGTCCGACGACCAGGTAAACACTTTTCCAGCACTTCCCAATCGGTAGCAGCAGCATGCAAAGCAGACAATATGCCTCCTCCACCCCCTCCTCCAGATAACACACTAACGACTGGTGGCTGGGGCAAATCAATAGGTCGGACAAGAGCTCCGCAAGATGACGGCCTTCATCAAGCAAGAAGCCCTGGAGAAGGCGCGCGAGATCGAAATCAAGGCCAACGAAGAATTCAGCATCGAGAAGTCCAAGCTCGTACGCCAGGAAACCGATTCCATCGACGCCGCCCACGCCAAGAAGCTGAAGCAGGCCGCCATGTCGCAGCAGATCACCCGGTCCACTGTTTCCAACAAGACCCGCCTCAAGGTTCTGGCTGCCCGCCAGCAGCTTCTCGACGACATCTTCGAGACGGCTTCTAAGCGCCTCGCTGAAGGCACCAAGGATAAAGCCAAGTACCGTGCTACGCTGAAAAACTTACTGTTAGAAGGCTTGTACGCTCTGTCCGAGCCCGAAATCCAGGTCCGGGCCAGAAAGGCCGATTACGATGTCGTCAAGGACGCCATCAAGGACGCCCAGAACGAGTATAAGAGCAACATAGGTAAAGAGACCAAGGTTACGATCGATGAGGATAATGCATTGCCCGAGGGCAGGTGAGCTATGCCATTCATTCTCGTTCTCCGACTATATGCCGTTTAAATATACGACACACACGACACGTAACATATACTGACGATGCATAACACACAGCTTCGGTGGTCTCGTAATCGTAGGCGGCCAGGGCAAGATCGACATCAACAACACCTTCGAAGAGCGGCTAGAACTCCTGCAAACCAGCGGCCTTCCCGCCGTGCGCGCGGCCCTGTTCGGCACGAACCCCAACCGCAAGTTCTACGACTAAGCGAGCTATAGCCTCGGCTCTTCGTCTAGAGCTAGCTGCTTAGGTACCCTCATCCGTACACACATTCTATCGCGCGAGAGATGTAAGGGGAGAGGGCAGAGGAGGTCCGTGGGCTGCGTCTTGCACCCTGTTTTCTCTCTCTCTCTGAGAAAGGAGGGGGAAAGAGTCGTGTATAATTCGCATCGGAGAAACTATCCATGCATGACATTCATGTTACTGCTACGAGGTGGATGGTACGTACCAAATTCATTAGAACGAAAGAAAAGAAACGACGCTGCTGTATATCAAATTACGAAGGGGGGGCGTTTATTGTTGTTGTTGTTGTTGTTGCTGCTGCTGTGGTGGGTTAGGACGTATGTATGGACGTATGTCTCACACAACATCAATAAAAACACTGAAATCACTTTATAACAAACAGACTTTTGATATGCCTAGGGTATGTAGGTAGGTACACACACAGAGTATTATGTATACGTAAAATTCAAAGCAATTCGTTCATTAGTTCAATTCGTTCCTTTCTTTCACTTGCCACCATTAGAACCTCCTACGCCCTCGTTGCCGTTCTTCTTCTTCTTCTCCTTATCACCATTCGCATCCCCATTTCCATTCCCATTAGCACTCCTACCCGCACCACCACCACCCCCAACCTCAACATCCTCAACATCCTTCCCTTTCTCCTTTTCCTTATTCTCCATGGTCCTCTTCAAGCTCCAATTCTTCATGAAGGCCCTCTGCCTGGGCGCGTTCTCGTCCTCCTGTTTGGCGGCGGCGGAGGAGGAGGGATCCAAGTCAAAGATGCTGGTCTTGGGCGGGGGCCGCGTGCGCACGGCGTAGGTGAGGCGCTTGGCGACGAGGTCGATGGAGGACTTGGTGACCTTGCGCGCCAGCTGGTTGCTGTCGTGGATCTTGTCGTGGATGAGCTTGAGGCGGAAGGTGAGGCGGTCGATGGCGGTGTCGAAGTCTGCCTCGGTGGTGGTGGTGGTGGTGGTGGTGCTGCTGCTGACGACGTGGTTTTCTTTTTGGGGGAGGGGGGCTTGGGCGGGTTGGGGTTCTTTGGGGTGGAGGAAGCTGGCGTTGTCGATGACGATGTCGAGGAGCATGACGAGGGAGCGCAGGTTCTCGAAGTCCGTGGAGCCGTTGACGCGGAAGTCGTCCTCGTCTAGCCGGGACATGATGGCGTCGAGCTTGAGGGGCTCGTTGACGGGCTGGCGGCTCAGACTCACGTCCTGGAATAGAGCTGCGGCCGCCATGCGCTGGCGGAGGTCGAGGGCCTTGGAGTTGCCCCTGGGCATGTGGCTGATTGCCGCCACGTAATGGAGGGGGCTGTCGACGATTTCGTAGACGTAGGTTGATAGTTTCACGCACTAGGTATTTGGTGGTTAGTTTGGGTTGTTGTGTGAAGATGACTGAAGAAAAGGGGTTGAACTTACGATCTCATTCCACTGGCGTGTCCTCTGCTTAGGCAGTGTCTTGACGAGTGCTTGCATGGCCGCAGCGTGCTCGGAAGGCACCGCAATGCTCGCAACGGGATCGAGAGCTAGACGTAGTAATAGCTGGATAGCCCCTATCCTGTTGGATATGCTCAGTTCCGGGGCTATGCGTTCGAGCAATTCCAGAAACGCGGCGAGACCTCCCCAGTCCTTTCGAGGATACGGATTCTCCAACTTAGAGTAAGTTGGAAGCTTCGTGTTGCTGTTCTCTCGGGGGTATTTAGGGCCGCCTATTTTCTCAAGCATAGAGTACAACCGTACATCCGTGACCAGGCGGGTGATGCTATCAGGCCGCATGGCCACCAGGTTGCAATACTGGGCACGCAGTTGAGCATTTCTCTCGATGCAAATCTCGTCTAGGATCCACAGGAATAGCTCATCTGGGAGAGCATGGCCTTTGGTTACGATGGTATGCGGCAGCCCGTGGATGAAGGCTTGGTCCCGCGTTTGCGAGTTGGCAAGACAACGCCAGCACCCCGTTGCCGCCCTGTGTGGAAAAGGCCATCTGGAAGGTTTCAGTGGAGATGGCTCCAGGCTGAAGAAGTAGCAGGTGCTATGAGGTCCGACGACCTTGGTGCGGTTCATGGCTCTCATGAGCTTATCACCTTTGGCGTCCTCATCATCATTGTCGAGAAGATCCTTGGCGGTTTTCTGCAATAATGCTGGGTCGTTCTGCACGTCAGCTAGGAATTGGTTTTGGTCATCATCATCACCATCGTCATCGCTCTGGTTGATGAGTTCATCGGCTCGTCTAGCGCTTTCATCGGCCTTGTCAGATTGCCGGGCATGATTGACCAAATACTTGAGATCGAATTTGTGTTTGGGTTGTATAGTCAATGGGGATTTGTATGTGGAATTAGTTGCAACTCTCTTGGCCTTGGGTGTCGAAGTTATATTTGTATCTCGTTTATAAGTTATAGGGCCATGCTTTCGTTCGATGAAGACGGAAATGGACTCAAGTGAGTCGTCCGAGTCATCGTCTTCATCGTCGGAGCCTTTGATCTCATCGGTCCGATCTCGAGGTTTAGATGTTAGTTGTGGGGGGGTCCCAGGGATTGAGGGTGCTGGCTGGGGATCTAGCATGGGATGTGAGGATTTGTTCCGCTTGGGTTCAGAACTGCTAGAGTCGGCAGGCTTGCCGAAGAAGCCTCTGATATCTCGATTTCGAGACATTGCTGAATGTTACCTAGCACCTAGGCTAGCATGCACATATTAGTGGTCGTATGTACTATGCGCAATTACGCCTAGATATCAGATATCTACTATGTACGAAGTAGTCAGTTTTATTTTGATATTTGTTTTATTGACGATAAGATCAACATTTAATTTGGTGTTTGTTTTATTGGCAAACGAAATGGATTCAATGTTGGTACAGAAAACATTGAACGTACTTGGGTACTCTATCTGCAACTATGAAGATTCGTAGGTGAGTCGGCAGGACTACGGGTAACATTGAAGATTGAAGATGCTTGGCATTTATTTGGTGTTGGTGACGGCGCGAAAACCGCGTTGCGTGTAATGTACATACCTAGGTTAGTACTACTAGGTAGAGTTACATAGGTACTAGGTATTGTACAATACAAAGGTACTTAGTACATGCAGTGTCATTGGATTGGTGGGTTTCGTGGGTTTGAACCTCCCACTGTTCCCAGGCCTGAATTGAATTCAAGGTTCCAAGTTCCAAGGTAAGGCGTATTAAAGTTCTTCCCGGAATAATAATTTAAACATTTAACCTTTTTAATCTCATCACGGAAACTAACCTGATTAAGTATCTTCACTGGAAAGTCCCAATGAGGAACGTGGCGGAACATGGCGGAAGTTGGAACATGGCATGGAGAGAGGAGCAATGGAGAGGAAACATGGAGAGAACATGGAGAGAACATGGAACTAAAACTCTGATCATCTCTTGTTGCTTGGCCGGCTTCCGGTCTGATGCAAGCTCCAAGATATGCGCATACGTGTACCGTCTAACCACGGACGAGCCCGGATACCGAGTGGGATGTCTGTCAGTCTGTGAGCGGCCGTCAGGGGTAAAAACAGAAGGATAACGACTATTACATAGTACTGAAGAGGGTTGCGAGGACGCTAATCCAGTTCCTTTAATGCATCTCACAATCTCATCTCATCCCAATCGACAAGCGTCCGCAATCATTCTGGGCTGCCAAGGGCTTGGGTTATGGTACCTACATACATAAATCCAGGAATACCTACATATGTACCTACCTGGGTAGTTAGTAGTTAGTAGGCACACTACCTAATAGCCTAGGTTAGGTAGGTCAAGTTGGTCAACTGCACATGTGGTAAGTATGTTGTAGTGTACTGTGTAGTAACGAAGCAGATACATAGATAATAGGCAACTAACCAGTTGATTCTCGCACACATGCACTGCACACCGCGCAGTATGTATAACTATGTAGGTACTAGTATGCATCATGCTGGAAGCTGCAGATTTCCAAATCGAGTACAAATCTTTGTACGACTTCATCGTATGATATCTGCCTAGTTGGAAGATAGATCCTCAGCCTCATTCTCTATCATACTATGTGGCCATATAACATTTTCTATTCGTTCTTATTTAGTTGCCTTTATAACTTGAAAACAATGTAAGCACTTGGACTCTGCAAAGCTTATATTCTATATATACAGGACCTATCAATGCAAGTAATGAGGCTGATTATGTAGATCTGTTTTAGGTTGATGAGAAGCCTTGCTGAATGAGGTCTAATTTAAGCAATCAGCAAGAAGCCGTGGACTAGGAAATTGTGTCATTGCGCTTATGATAACTATTAACTGGTAGTCTGGTAGATACACAAGATACGCAGATACGGTATGACCTGAGATGTACAGCCCAACTCCGCCAGTTCTGTCTTGCATTCAAGCTTGTGACGAAAGTGACGCAACCGTCTATCACCGATTCACACGTTACTTAGTAGCCTTTACCCAGCCAACTGCTAGCTTACTTTGCTTTTTGCCACTGGTTCTAGATTCTCGGCTTTCGGTACTATCTAGCTCAGTTGCTATTATTGTTTGGAATAAGACTCGTTATTGCGAGATTATCGGATTGCTCTGGAGTGACCGGTGATGTAACGCCACACCCGAAAGAAATTTACCTCTCTCGCCTCGTTCTAGAAACTAGTGTACTCGAGTTTTCAATGCGCGTATGTATGAATTCAAACTAATAATCAATAATTGTATCTGTGAGTTAACTATATGTATCTTTACTCACCTTGCCTATTAACTATGTATGCACAGAGAACTCTAAAATGTACCCTGGATGCAATCAGGAGTTGGGTTAAATCCGCAACTTGGGGCAGTTCGGGTTTAGGTGTGCAGGCTAGGGGCTGGACCCCGAAGTGATACAATTGCTGTACAGTATCCATACGGAGGGCCTCTCTGCGGGATTCAGACTTACCCCTTACCCCGAAACCTGACTCGGGTCCCATCTCAATGATGGATGTTTGCCGCACACCTGTACTCTGCTCTGAGTCTGTGACATTGCAAAATGCGTGCGAGCCTTCAACGTTGCCAAATGAACATTGCACTAATAGTTATACCTTAAGTAGGTATATACTGGTAAACATAAAGCCGAATAGGTTTTTACGGTCCTCTTTGGTCAGCGGTTCGAGATTGACTCCTGTAGGATCTCACGCACACCCCATCTGTGCCCTCGGGATACCACTTCCTTCATGAATCGATGATGTGCGCGAGTGACCCAAGTTTGTTAGATGAGTGGGCATTGCGAAGCGGAGTGATAAGGGGACGGGATGCCAAACTGGTAGGTATCAATTTTTATATTACGGCGGAGCTTTCAGGGGTGGTACAAAAGAAAAAGAGAATGAGCACTTGAGGGTAGGAAAAAAAAGGATAGAAGGCTTGAAAAGTGTGTAGGTACACCAGACAGCAGCGTAGTACTCCTTACCTGGTAGTTGGGGGTACATGTAGTTATGTAGGCTGGACGGGTCACAAATCTTTAGCCCTTCCGGAATTAGAACTGCGCCTTTGGCCGTTGGCGCCATCAATCATCTTGAATTTTGGTTGGTGCATAAAGAGGTCAAATAGATACTGGAGCCATATCAACAGTAACACGGTCTGGCTTTTGACATTTAACTGTTGTACTGCTTTGTTCAATGCTGGAAATGACTGCGTAACTAATATATGTATCTGGCTGTTTACCTAGGTACGTATTTAATAGTTGCGAATCTTGTGATGATTCAGCATGATCTCTATCTGATTTTCTCGGAGATCCTTTTAGAGGGGTATCGTGATGGTTTCGGTTACCTACATCGAGTCTGATGCAGAATTATTATCATCCAACAGGCCCGTTGGTATTTGAACGGAAGCCTATCTAGATGCCCACCGCTGCACCCCGAGTTTCAGCAAATCAGCAACTGCCACAAGGGGTTAAAATGCTCATTGCCTAGGGGTTTCCAGATTCAGCCGCAAGGAAGAGTTTGGATTTGTGTATGTACCTAAGATTGATCAAGGAGTGGAATGCTGTGTACCTGATGTAGCACTATAGGGAGAAGGATATGTAGGCTGGCAGGTATTGCGATATATGTATATATGTATATATGTATGTCTTGGGCAAATTCCCATTCCTATTGTCTCTACTATGATTATTTTCAATGCATAGAAACCCATAGTTATTAAACTGAAAAGACGAAATGCTTCAAACATCTTGCTATGCACTGAGTACGTACTTCGTAGTTATCATGGATAGTAATAATAATAGGAACATACCCTACCCTGGGTACCCTGTAACAGGTGAAATTTGGTTACTGAGCCTTATGAAAGTGGATGATTGTCACGGTGCATAATCTGAGGATTCATAATCTGCATAATAAGCCAATCTTAGCCGAGATCATCAAACTTTTAAGAGGTATTTTTACCGGTAACACAACAAGGAACGCTAAGAATTAGGTATGTACAGTACCGTTGTACCCAGCATCAGAATACAATTGTAATTGCCCGACTAGTGTTAGCGGCCTGGTGCTAAAACCGTTACAAAGCAAAACTAACAGGCCAAGATATCGTTATGGAAGGTGTGTTGCTTACCAATTTTAGTATTAGATACTTGCTGGGTACCTACATACGTAAGCATATTCAAATTCAATGTTGTATTTACCTAACATTATTATCATTGATGGTAGATGTTCACCTCTAAATAGTTACATAGGTATTCGATGTTGTATAAAACTTGGAAGTGTTTTTGGTGGCAGGTCCGTGAATTTCACGAAACGGTGTGGTGCATCAAGGGTCATCACAGATTATCACAGAATCTCAAAAGTACATACTACTATGTATGTATGTAATTGAAGCTTTAACAAATTGTGCCAATGTCTTGGTGCCTTTTCCCCTTGTTACCGCCGAGAATATACCTAGTACTCCTATGTACACTCGCATGTATGGCGTACGTATGTACCTGATTGAATTTGAATATTACCATGTTACACAGGTACTTGAACAGGCGTGCAAGCGGTTAGGGTGGCAGTCCGTACCGCGCTATCTTTCAGCAGACGCTACAGTGTTCAACACGGTGGTCGGAGTACCTTAGTACCTTAGACCCCCGGCTGTTCCGACTCAGCGATCAATCAAAAACTTCCATTGTTCCCTTTCCAATTCTGTCCTTAATGCCATCAACAACACGATCGCCGCCACAGTATCTAGCAAGGGAGGACAGGAGTTTGACGGTTACCAACCACCCACGTCGATGCAAAGTCGCGCCGACACCCAAATCGTACTAACGACACCAGTGTCGACACCTCAATAATTTCTTTCACTTTGGCGATCCAGACGCGATTGATCCCAATTGCCCGAGCCCTCGTTTTCATCGTTCGCCATTGATTAGTGACCCCGAGATATTATTGGGAATTAAAAAGAATTCAAAAAATAAAATAAAAACCGTGGCCACGGAAGGCCAGACTGGCGGACACGTCGGGTTGAACGGGCTCTGCCCGCAACTCTCCCAACATGGCCAAAGGTGACCCCGAGCACGGCCCTGATGTCAAAGAGACCAATAGATCAAGATGGGCCACCCGAAAACTCACTGTTAAGAGCAGTAGCCTCAAGAGGATCTCCATTATGAACAAGATACATAAGCGAACGGGTTCGTGGGAAAAGAAACGTACCTCTGGCGGCAGCCAATCTACAGAAGAAGAGGATCATATGCAGGATGATAGTGCCACTGCGATTGAGCACCCGGGGCAACCTGATCAGACAGATGCGAACAGTGCTGCGGCCGCCGAAGAAGGAGAAGGAAGAAAGGTATACTTCAATCTACCTTTACCGGACGATCAGAAAGATGAGGAAGGAAATCCTCGTCGTTCCTATGCTCGAAACAAAATTCGCACTGCCAAGTACACGCCCCTATCCTTTATCCCCAAGAATCTCTGGTTTCAGTTCCATAACATCGCCAACATATTCTTCCTGTTTATGGTTATCCTTGTGGTAAGTAGACCAATTCCAATTCGCTTTGAACAGTTCCTCACACCGATTCTTAATCAATAGATCTTTCCCATTTTCGGAGGAGTAAACCCAGGACTGAACGCCGTGCCTCTGATATTCATTCTTACCGTGACTGCCATTAAAGATGCAATTGAAGATTATCGCAGGACGATTCTCGATAACGAACTGAACAATGCTCCCGTGCATAGGCTTGTGGGTTGGAACAATGTCAACGTCGCCGAGGACAATATTTCGCTGTGGCGCAGGACTAAGAAGGCCACCTCCAGATCCGTAAAAGTATTTTGGCGTTCGATAACTGGGCTCTGGAAGAAGGATGCCAAAGCAAGAGGCGGGCTAGAAGGAACGGGTGATGCACGTGCCTCGGTCGAAACCAAGGGCACCCGTCGCGAGTCTATGCTCTCTCCTCACACGGACAGAACATCGTATGTGTCAGCCTACGAGGACATTCAGATGACTCCTGTCACATCTCCTCTTCCTCCCCAGCCTGGCCAGAAGGACTACCTCGAAGCGCAAGATCGCTCGGTTTCGATAGAGAGATATAGTCCTGCTGAGGTCGCAATGAGTAAAGTGAAGGGCGACCTGATCAACTATGATATCCAAGCCCCGGGAAAGGCCAGGTTTCACAAAGACCATTGGAAAAATCTACAGGTTGGCGATTTCGTGCGACTATATAACGATGATGAGCTCCCCGCAGATATCATTGTCCTCGCCACTTCCGATTCTGACGGTGCTTGTTATGTAGAGACGAAGAACTTGGATGGTGAGACAAATCTGAAGGTCCGTCAGGCACTTCGATGCGGCCAATCATTGAAGCACGCAAAGGATTGTGAGCGTGCTCAGTTTGTTATCGAGAGTGAACCCCCGCAGCCCAACCTTTACAAGTATAATGGCGCTATGAGCTGGGAACAGATGCTACCACACGGACCCCAGGAAATGTCCGAGCCTATTACCATAGACAATGTTCTCCTCCGAGGTTGCAATCTAAGAAATACCGATTGGGTTCTTGGTGTCGTTATATTTACCGGCCACGATACCAAGATTATGATGAACGCTGGTATCACACCAAGCAAACGTGCCCGTATTGCAAGAGAACTCAACTTCAATGTCATCTGCAACTTTGGTATTCTGGGCGCGTTGTGTCTCCTCTCTGGTCTCGTCAATGGAGTATCCTGGTCCAAAATTGATGCTTCGACAGCTTGGTTCGACTACGGTTCTATTGGCGGTGACGCTGGCATGACCGGCTTTATTACCTTCTGGGCTGCCCTCATCGTCTTTCAGAATTTGGTTCCAATATCCCTCTACATCTCGCTCGAGATCGTACGAACGCTCCAGGCTATCTTCATCTACAGCGATGTCGAGATGTACTACGACAAAATCGACGCTCCTTGCGTACCCAAATCATGGAACATCTCAGACGACCTCGGCCAGATTGAATATATCTTCTCCGACAAGACGGGTACATTAACTCAAAACGTCATGGAATTCAAGAAAGCTACTATCAATGGCCAGCCATACGGAGAGGCATATACCGAAGCGCAAGCCGGCATGCAGAAGCGCCTAGGCATCGATGTGGTAAAAGAGGCTGCCAAAGCCAGAGAGCAGATCGCTGCAGGAAAGGTCCATGCCATCGAAGGCTTAAGAAAGATTCACAACAATCCGTACCTGCACGAGGAGGACGTGACATTCATAGCACCAGATTTTGTTGACGATTTACTAGGGGAGTCCGGTGAAGAGCAAAAAGAGGCGAATGCGCATTTCATGCTTGCTCTTGCTCTATGCCATACCGTTATAGCAGATCACGTCCCCGGCGATCCTCCGAAGATCGAATTCAAAGCCCAATCGCCCGACGAGTCAGCTCTCGTAGCAACTGCTCGTGATATGGGATTTACTGTACTCGGCCAGACAGCAGACGGTATCAGATTGAATGTGATGGGCGAGGACAGACATTATCCCATCTTGAACACGATCGAATTCAACTCTAGCCGGAAACGAATGAGTGCTATTGTCAGAATGCCGGATGGTAAAATTATCCTGTTTTGCAAGGGCGCAGACAGCATTATCTATTCGCGCCTCAAGCGCGGAGAGCAACAGGAGCTTCGCAGGACTACCGCCGACCACCTCGAGATGTTCGCCCGAGAAGGTCTACGAACTTTATGTATAGCTCAACGTGTGCTTTCTGAGCAGGAATATACCGAATGGCGCAAGGAACATGACAAAGCGGCAACCGCCATGCATGATAGAGAGGAGAAGCTGGAAGAAGTTGCCGACAAGATTGAACAGGGACTGACCCTTCTTGGAGGAACTGCTATTGAAGATCGACTGCAAGACGGAGTGCCCGACTCGATCGAATTGCTTGGTCGTGCAGGAATCAAACTCTGGGTGTTAACTGGAGACAAGGTCGAAACAGCTATCAACATCGGATTCTCGTGCAACCTGCTGAACAATGACATGGAGCTCGTCAACCTCAAAGTTCAGGAGGATGAGACTGGCAACACACCTGACGAAGCGTTTTTGACCCAGGTCGAGCAAGACCTGGACAGGAACTTGAAAATGTTCGGCATCACAGGCAGTGACGAGGACTTGGCCGCCGCAAGAAAAAATCACGAGCCGCCAGCACCAACCCACGCCCTGGTAATTGACGGGTTTACCCTAAGATGGGTGCTCCACGACAGCTTGAAGCAAAATTTTTTGCTACTTTGCAAGCAATGCGCATCTGTTCTTTGCTGTCGTGTCAGCCCTGCACAAAAAGCTTCAGTCGTGTCTATGGTCAAGAACGGTCTCGATGTTATGACGCTCTCCATTGGAGATGGCGCTAACGATGTTGCCATGATCCAGGAGGCAGATGTCGGTGTGGGCATTGCTGGTGTCGAAGGTCGTCAAGCTGTCATGTCTGCCGATTACGCGATCGGTCAATTCCGCTTTCTGCAACGACTGGTCTTGGTTCACGGCCGTTGGTCGTACCGAAGGATGGCCGAAGCCATTGCGAATTTCTTTTACAAGAACATGATCTGGACCTTGACCATCGTATGGTTTCAGTGTTTCTGCAATTTCGACATCACGTACCTTTTCGAATACACCTACATCCTCATGTTCAACCTTATCTTCACCTCTGTCCCCCCTATTGTCATCGGTGTTCTCGACCAAGATGTATCCGACGCAGTGTCTTTGGCTGTTCCACAATTATATCGGCGCGGTATTGAGCGCCTGGAGTGGACTCAGCACAAATTCTGGTAAATACTCCAAGTCCTCCCCCTTTCACTTTAATCTCGGCGTGCTAACAAGAGAAAACAGGATGTACATGTTTGATGGCGCATATCAGAGTGTCATAGGATACTTCATACCCTACTTGGCCTTCGAAAATACGGTGACCGTGGCGAGCAATGGACTGGACGTGAGCGATCGATTACGGTTCGGTGCCTACATCGCTCACCCGTCCGTGATAACGATTAATCTCTACATTCTCATCAATACGTACCGATGGGATTGGCTTACGGTCTTGATCATTGTCGTCAGTGATCTTATCATCTTCTTCTGGACAGGTGTATACACTTCATCGACATTCTCCGCTCAATTATATAAAGCGGCCCCGCAGATATATGGCCAAGCGTCCTTCTGGGCGGTCTTAATCGCCACCCCAATCATATCCTTAGCTCCCCGATATGCCATCAAAGCTCTTCGCAAAGTCTACTGGCCTCGTGATGTCGACATAATTCGAGAACAGGTCACCATGGGCAAGTTTGATCATTTAGAAAGGGGGGCGGATGTGAGTGAAGAGGTCGCCGCCAAGTCAAGTTCATCAGGCTCGTCACATTCGTCTAAAGCCAAGCGACACCAACACCTTACAAGTGTGGACGAGGACCTTCGACCTATTTACCCCCCTTCCGTTGCCACGCAATCTGTTGCTGGACACAATCCTCGCAGTCAAAATGGCAGTGATGGCACCAACTATACCAGACATGAGCCTTCTCTTGATGTTCCTGTAGTTCAACCAGTCGACCCTCCTCCGGATCCCCCTGTACGCCCATCGCATGAGCGTGTGCGCCCGTCTTACGACCGTATGAGAGCATCGATGGACCGAGTCCGACAAAGTTACGAATTTACCAACGAGTTTACGTCCGCTGCCATGTTGAGCAGATTCGAATCAACTCATTCTCAAGGCGCGCAGGAGGAACCCCAAGGAAACGGGATTGTTAGCCGAATAAGGCGGCGAACTAGGGGCAAGTCCTTCAAGTCGGCATTTGGCCACCACAAGGATAATCACATTCATGAAAATGAATGAGGAAAGGGGCTTCTGCATGATATTCTGAGCATCGAATGCTCAAGTACGATCTCGAATGAGCAATTTATGACACCACGGTGGTTATCCCCAACTGTACCATCGAATCGAACATTACCCACGGCCCTTCTTACTTTTTTCTTTTTTTTTTAATTTAACATCCGCGATGGCGTTGGCGTTTTTAGGATGCATGGAGTCTGGTAAGACTTCTACGATGAGATGACGATGTTTACCAGAAGATCGAACCTTTTAAAATTTTCTTGCATCATAGACTTCCCTCTCGAGTCGATGTTGCGCAACAGAAATGCCATCTCCAAGTCACTCTCAGGGGTTACCCGCCTCTTTCATATTGAAAGTTATTACTATTATGATGGTTCTGGTGGGACCTCGTCGCTACCCTTTTCTTTCTGCTTTGTCTTCCCCTCCCCCCTTTTTTTAATTGTACTTTGACCTTGACTTTTTACTGTTTCTTACAACAACACTTGCTGCGGTCGACAGGGTCGGGTGACAACGGGGCGTTCTATAAAAGATTAGGGCAGGATTCTGAAACCTGGATGTGATAGCATACCGCGCGCAGCAGACATGCATGGCATGGAGACGGAAGGACGTGGAGGAAGGGATTCCTTTGAAGGTAATGGCGAATACCGTCGCCTGTGTATATAGGATCGGCGATGGAATGACTGCGATGAAGAAGAGCATTGGAGGCGGCGCTGATGACATGCTCGAAGTAAAGGTGGTGCTGTGCTGTGTGTGGATGAGTAGATACATATAATCTGCCAGAATTGGTACTTTTTCACAAGACAGACAAAGATAAAGACGTCACTTTCCATGTTTGAGTTCTCATATATTCATGTTGCGTCGTGGTGATTTGACATGCTGATTATGCCCACTTGCTTCCCTGGTTGGTTTTCTACCTATTGTAATAACCGTGCTCCCTGTCAGATGTCAAAGTCGGATGTGTCCTAGATATCATGCTTAGAATTCGATAATAAGTTTGCCGGCTAGTAAGTCCGAGTATGCCTGCCTAGAGGCACTTACTTCAGAACAGTTATACAGATGTCAACTTCGTGTCAGGATGATATCCTAGCCTTAGGAGAACAGTAATGCAATCAGTATTGAGGCTGTTCACGAAGAGTCGTACAAGCGAACAAACAATACAGTCACATCATGGCTCTTGCTCTCGCGCGCGCTGATGTTCAAAGGGTTATGCGTCAGTCAGTCAGTCAGTCAAGTGGCCAGGTCCATTGTTGCTCATGGCTTCGTGTCATGAGCATAGTCTCGATCAAGGAGGACTAGAAAGAAGAACACAGCAACCTCCTCCCTTGACTGACGCCTCCACGTTCTCGCTTACTGCTCTAACCATTCTAGTCATCCAGCTTCACGATGTGACAGCCGGGTTCAACACTGATATGGGTGCTCAAGATTTCAATATTTAACAGCCTCCCTCCCCCCTTTTCTTTTGCGGTCTTGAAACTTACCATACCTAGGTACCTTATACCAACACGAACTCTCTCAGCAACTGTCCACCATAATATTATCGACCGAAACTAAAGACCTCGATATCTTTTCGCAAGACCTTTGCATTCCCTTACGATACTCATATACACCACCGATCCTAGACATTCCTGCCTACCACACCAACTCTGCTTACTCTTTTCTCTCTCCCACGACGTCCGAACACCACAACACAGCGAAAAAAAAAATGACCGTCCCAGCGATCGTCGAGTGCCGCTTCGCGTGGAAGTGCCCCAAGTGCCAGCGCTGGATGGGCGCCACGGCGCGCGCCTGTGTGTGCGGCACCGTGCGCCCCGCGAATAACGAGGGGAAGCCGCTCGTGCTGCCGACAGCCCACCGCCACCACCACGAGCACTACGATGATCACAACCGCCAGCGAGACGACCACGCTTGGAAGTGCAAGAGCTGCGACCGCTGGATGGGCGCGACGGAGACCGTGTGTCTTTGCGGCGCGGAGAAGCCGCAGAGCAGGGGCAGTGCGGAGGCGAGAGGTCGAGAGGGGGAGACTGCGCCGGGCGCTGGTGGTGGGGAGGAGATGGGCGAGGTGGAAATCGATGCCTGTAAATGCGGATGCGGCTGTGGAAAATAGATACATACATACGTCGCTGCGTAGGGTAGGTATGTAGGGAAGAGACGGCATGGTGAAGAGGTAGTAGAATAGAGTGCACAATGTCTAGCCCAGTGAATGAATTTATACGTGCTTGTGGCGATACGAAGAATCGGTTTGCTTGTTCCCTATTTCTTAATGAGCCATGTTGGATGCAAAGCGTTTTTTTTTTTTTTTTTTTTTTTTTTTTTTTTTGACAAGTGGCAGTGTAGCCGCCAGTTCAATAAACGTGTATGTGCTCGTACTGCCAACACGTGAAATTGAGGTTATTCCCAGTACATGTTTTGGTACACCGTTCTTATATGATACCTATACATTGGACAGATTACCTTAACTAATGTACGTACGTCTCTTACTTCACCTACCACCTGTCAAAAGAAATCTGTAGAAGAGCAATCTTTGAAGAAATAATTTCTAGAACAATCTACATTTATCATAACTCGTCTTCCTTATGACCTTGGCTAAAAATTAGCATCACATATGGAATAGGTATAATAAGGGGGCCCAAATTATCAAAAATTACATATGTAGTAGCGACATGCAATTATTATTACTAAGCACAAAACGATAACTAAACTTTTCCCTTTCAATTCTCTAGCGGCGAAAAAAGGTTTTTTTCTCTCACTCTACACTATTTTAGGTACGTATATAGGATCTAATTGGAGGCCTAATTTACAACAATCCCGCATTCTGAAGAGCGATTTTCAGGATAACGGCCGCTTGGCCCAATGGTAAGGCGTCTGACTACGATCGGGTGTGGTAAAACACGCTTGACAAGCAATCAGGAGATTCTGGGTTCGAGCCCCAGGGTGGTCATTTTTTTGTCTCCTTACTTAACTCTTTACTTGGAAAGAAGCATATGCTTTATTTTTGTTCTGGAAATAAATAGTTCATCCTTTTTTTCTCTTTTTACATTGGATAGCAGTCTCAGTTAATTATAGCATTGAACTCATAAATCATTTCCTATGCAGGTGCTATCGAGCCAAGCTGAGAGGATTGCAGTCTACTATGCGCCTCGTCTCCTCATATTGAAAATCGATTCTAAACTTCCTTTGCATTCTCTTTGTCTCTAAACTCATCTACTTGGTAGCATGATTTCTAGACACGCCGTTTCGCTATATTCTTCAAACCTCTATTTCACAGTCGTTTTATCCCGTAGACCTTCACGCTCACATCAATACAAACGACATCCCCTCCCCCTAAGCAACCCACCATCCATCACACTGGCCAAATCTTAGCCATCTCCAGACCCTCCGCCAACACGCCAACCTTACCATCGATGGCAAACCCCTGAGCCTCCAGCTTCCTGCACTCGCTGTAGAGGTCCTGCAGCGGCACCCAGAAACACTCGATGAACTCGCCTTCCTCGAGCTGCGGCTTCGGGCACCGGTTCTCTTCCCGTGATGGGTCGATTTTGATGTGGATGAGGTAGGTGCTCGAACTACGTTGGGGATTAGTATAATACGATACGTAAATTTCCCTGGCGCGTTAAAGCTTGTGGGAAGGAAGGAATAATTACCTCGACGATGCCGGGGCTACGTAGGTAAGCAGGTAAACCATTAGTTAGCACAATGCCGCCTATGCACCAGGTAGGTAGGTAGGTAGTATTGCAGATAATTCATAAAACGCACCACTCCAAAGCCTCGGCCTCCCCCCTCCTCCTCCATGGTCCGGCACAACCTCCCCCACATACCCCGTCTCCTCCCTCAGCTCCCGCAGCGCCGCCTCCTCGGGGCTCTCGCCCTCGTCCACCAGGCCCGCCGGGAACTCCACCACGATTTTCCCCGCGGGCGCGCGGAACTGCTTCTCGAGAAGGAGGAGTAGCTGCTGCGAGTTGGGGGTCTGCTGCTGCTGCACGGCGATCATCTGCACGGCGTCGACGGTGCTGGTGCGCGGGCGCGTCGGCCGCTGCATCGCTTCCCAGGTGCGGGGGCGGCCGAGTTCGTCTTCGTAGGTGATTCTGTGGTTGTGGGGTTTGCGCGTGAGTGAGTTGCTAATCATATCATGGGAAATGGGATGCGATGCGATGCGCTGGCAAGTAGACGCTAGGTACTAACTTTACGAGGTTGATCCATTTCGCATCTTTGTTTTCCTGGTGAAATGATGCCCTTTAGCGATTCTACTTACGGTAGGTAGGTTACATAGCTGGGGACAACGTTACGAGCAGCTCGGTTGAGAGCACTTTGGCTATCCGGGTAGGCGCTGGCGCGGACATTGTGGGTGGGGGGTGGTGAGCTGTCTGTTGTTGGCTATTCTTGGCGTTTGTGTGTTTGGTTTGGGGGAAGTGAGGGTTAGATGAGCAGGTACATAGGTATGAATAACTTCGTGGCATGCGCCACGTTGTGTTTAAGCTGTTCGCGAACTAGAACTGCAGGGCATCGGATGAATGAGACCTCGTGAAGAGATCGCACAGCCACGATGTGGCTATTTCTGCGAAACTTGAAGATGTTCTTGTCACGTTTGAATAAAATGGGAAAAGCTCACAGCGATATGAGGGGTATACACTGGAATGCTATGAGGGCATGGCTTATTTTATATACAGGCGCTAAATAGGGTTACAATGTGATTTACTCTCGTTTTTATTTAGTCAGTCTATTATATTCTAGCGACGACGAACTTTGAAATCCAAAGGCTAGTTGTGTTGATAATTAGGTATGGAAATAAGTTGAAGATGGAGTGACGCTTGATCACCTAGATATGAAAAAGGGGGATTCTCAGGGCGTGGGTATATTTGCGTGATGATAGTCACCTATCTTGATGAATACACTTTTGTTTTAGTATTAAATGGGTAAAATTGAAGTGAAATCTTGTAATCGCGAATGGCCTCAAGTATAAGGGAAAAGGGAAAAGGGGTAAATGAACTAGTGTTAGGTGAATTTCAGCTTCAAATCGCCGATTCGACTTACTTCATTTGGTGGGGGGGCGTGTCAAACCTACGTCATATAAATCGAAGAATACCTAGAAGCCGTCATCGACATGTCAAGTTGTAAGTCTCCGTGCAACAACCAACAATATCGGGTACTAGGCACACTCATCTTGGACATCAGCATTTCCATACCTGGAATTTCACGACATCAAATCTACACATCAACGTTAGAGCACAATAAAACCAAACCAAATAACCTACAAAAAATGCTCCTCCCCCTCCTCCATCTCGCCCAAGCCGCCCTAGCCCTTTACGGCGGCGTCCAATCCTACCTCGCCATCACAAACCTGCACAAATACGAGTCGGCGTCCTCGAAGCTCGCCTCCGTCTCCAGCACCGCCGAGCACCAGCGGTCCAAAACCTACGCGACCCAGACCTCCGGCGCCGCCTCCCTCCTCTCCTCCCTCCTCTCCTCGCTGCTCCTCGCTTATCAAGGCAGCGGTTACGGCATTATAGTGCGCTACGGGATCCAGGTTGGCATGGTAGTGGGCCTGTTCTTCGCGAGGGGACACATGACTGCGTTTTGGGGCGACAAGAAAATTTCCGAGGGGTGGATGACGGTGGGGAAGCTGCCGGAGATGGGCGAGTATGAGGAGGCGAGGAGGAGGACGGCGAGGTTGCTGGATGTGCTGGATGTGCTGATGTTTAGCTGGGCGGCGACGTGGATGGGGGCTGTGGTTCTGGGGTATTGAGTGATATAGACACAAATGATCACGGCTTGCATTCTGACCTGTCTCGAGTGATCGACGGAACATTTCTTCGCGCTTCATACTTACTTCATACTTACCCACCTACCTGGTTAGGTAGGTATCTATATATTATGTTGTAGTCGAATAAAAACACCAAAATCAGAACACCAAGCACGCACATGTCAAACTTTCATCCTCCCCTTCCACAGCCACCACACCCACCCCGCATCCACAACCACCACATCCACAAAACTAAACACCAAGCTCCCTCCAAACACCAGTCCATGATACATCCACGCATCCTCCACATCCAGCCGCACAGCCTGGCACACCACCGCCCACGGCAGCACCCACAGCAGATTGCTCACGAGACTCTGCGCCAGGTACCACCTCGGCCGCGTCGCCAAGAGAATCGTCGCCAGCTGGGTCGACGCCGCGTAGAAGACGTAGCACCAGTCGATCGTGCGCCACATGTGCGCGGTGATGGCTGCGACGGGGGGCGAGGAGGACAGGTACAGGGCGAAGGGGTAGGCGCCGAAGTAGGAGAGGAAGATGCAGAGGGGGACTTCGAGGGCGAGGGCGAGGGCGAGGGAGTAGAGCGCGGGCGTGACGATGTGGGTGATAGTTCGGAGGTCTGTGGGGCCGGGGCGCGGCTGTTGTTGCTGTTCTCCTTGTTCTTGTCGGTCTGTTTCTGTGGCTGAGTGTTCCTCTTGTTGGTGTTGTCCTGGCGCATCCCCCGCCGCCGCCGCCAACCACTCCCCCCACCGATGTCCGACAAAAGCCAGCGCCGTCGCCTCGAGCGCCTGCACCGGCACCATGACCAAGCCCCAGCGGATCGTGTTGAAGATGCCCCACGCGGTCGCGTACGTCGAGCCCAGCGACACGATGGTGGTGACGAGCCAGAGGTACAGCGCGTTGCGCACGAGCGACTCGAGGAAGGTCAGAGAGCCCGGTCGCGCGAGGGTGCGGAGGGCTTGGAGGCTCGGGGCCGTGCTTGCGGAGGTGTCTTCGCCATCGCCAACCGCCGGCAGACTTTGCCGCTGTTCCCGCAGCGCCCGAAAGCTCACCCTCCACAGAAAGTACGCCAGCCCGGCAAACGCAGCAACCAGGTTACAAGCCAGCTGCACGGCCGCCTGCGCATTGACCGTCGGCGCGAACGCGCCCACGTGGAACTTCGATATCAGCAGCAGATCCAGGACAATGTTGGCCCCGAACTTGACGGAGCTGACGACGAGCGGCACATCCGGGCGGTCGAGGGCGCGCGTCGCGAGCGCGACCGCCGTCTCGACCGCCGAGCTGAGCGCCGCGAACGCGCTCAGACGCACGTACGTCAGGCTCGCGGCGCGGACCTCGGCGGGGACAAAGCTGTCGGCGAACCGCTCCGCGGCGCCGGCGAAGACGACGCTCATGGCGAGGCCCAGGAGGGCCTGGCACAGGATGAGCGTGTGCGCGAGCCGCAGGCGCTCGGCGAGGGGCCGCGAGGACGCGTCGCCGATGACGAGCCAGGCGGCGCGCGGGAGCCCCTCGTTCAGCACCTCGGCGAAGGTGCTGATGTACGTGTAGCTGTCGGTGGTGACGACCAGGGAGGGGTCGATGGCGGCGACCCAGAGCTTGGAGAGGGTGCTGTAGAGGGCGGGGAGGAGGAAGGCGGATGTGTTGAAGAGGAGGGCGCCGGGGTAGGAGGCGCGGGATAGGGAGGGGGGTTTCTTGTTGAGGAGATGGTGATAGTGATGGTGGTGGTGGTGGGCATCGCGGGGTTGTTGTTGTTGTTCTGCATTCTCCGAGTTGTCTCCAGGCCCGTCGGCTTCGGGTAGAGCTCTTTCTACTATGGTGTTTTGGGTTGGTAGCATCGTGTAGCCGGATAAGTTGTGTGACATCTTGAAGGAAAGAGGGTTTTCCGTTCCATTTCCATTTCACACATTCCTTTTTGTATCCATGATGGAAGGTTCAGCTTCGTTTAAGTCGGTTCGGTTTCGTTAACAAGTCTTATCTAGGTAGGTATGCAGGCGTCCGCCAGAAACGCCACGAGCCGAATTTCGTGACCTACATATGTACCTATAGAAAATGAGGGTGTGCGGGGATATATATTTGGCGTAAGTAAATGATATGTCACATTCGTGATTGCATTATACCGATACCTACCATTACTGGCCAACAAGAATTTCCGCATATCTCATCACACGGATGTTGCATATCTCTCTATATACTGTAATATGTATTACTAGATGTCAATAGCGACATCAATCACGCAGACGCCAACTCAACACAACGGCGTAATCTTCCCCGTCCTCAACTCCTCCTTAACAAGCGTCGAGACCTCCTCCCAGCGTTCTACAGCATCCGCCTCCGCATCGAAGGCATACAACCACCTGTTCCGCATCTTGACGGATTCGGGGTCGATCTCGACACCCTCGTCTACATTCTTAAGCGCGTTGTGCCAGCGGTCCCTAAGATCCTCCCCGTTTGTCTGACTAGCTCTGGTTCGGTTGAACCTCAACTTCTCGTAGCATCTTGTCTGGGGAAAGCATGTATTGTTAGATTGCTTGCAAGGTACCTATGGAAGGGTAATTGGGTAACTGGATTAAAAGGGGAGAGGTCCTTACCGCCAAGGGAATATTATCTTTCCCAGCCAGCTTAAGACAGACTCCGAGCACACCCGCACTCTCCGTCGCCTGACTCGCCCCCTGGGCGCTCGTTGGCAGATGCGGATGGCAGCTGTCACCTAGCAGTGCTAATTTGTGGCTCTTGGACACCCAGGTAGGAAGCGGGTCTCTGTAGCAGATCTTCCAGTCCAGACAGGCTTCGGTCTTTTCGACGACGACGCGAATTCTCGGATCGAGGCCTTCTACCGATTTCTTAACCTCTTCCATGTTCCCCTCTTGGTACCACGACTCCTTGATCACCATGTCGGCTTCGTGCGATAACTTGCGTGTGACGATCCAGTTGAACTCGTCGCCGTTGCGGAGGGTGTTCTGGATTAGGTGTGTATCTGCGCCAATCCTAAGTTATCGTCATCAATATCAACTCTGGCATCACAAAAAAAAGCTTTGGTAATAATCGACATACCAAATATTGACACAATCATGGCCCGTAAACTCGCGGCACAGAGGCTCGTCTTGTAGATACTTGCCGGGGAAATACGCTCTATAGCAAGAGTACCCACTGCTCTTCGGCGCATCCTCAAAGCCGAGGACGAGTTCTCGTGCGCGCGACTTGATGCCGTCGGCACCCACCACGATATCCGCCGTCTCCTCCGTCCCGTCCGCAAAGATGACGCTCGGCTTCGATTCATCGTATGCGACGACCTCGCAACCCATACGAATTTCTATACCCGCGTCCTTGACGGCTTGTATGAAAGCTTCGTGGTAATCTCCTCGGTGGCCAATGTAGCCCGCCATGTCCATCAGCGGCTGCTGGGCTAGTATCTTGCCATCGTGCCAGCGACGGATCTGCATGTTCGGGGCCTGGTTGCCGATGCTGGTCAGGCGTTGGTAGAGTGACTTGCCACCCCAGCGCTCAAGCAGCTTGAGTGCATTCTCGCCGAGGCCCAGCGAATCGCCTAGCCGTCGGAATCTTTTTAGTCTTTCCAGAACGACGACATCATGGCCATGATGCTTGAGAGCAAGAGCACAAGCACAGCCGCCAAGGCCAGCGCCGATGATGATGACTTGGATGTAAAAGAGTTTAGTAATGAATTATTGGCGTAAAAGCTTGATCCAAAGAAAGAGGAGGAGAAGTTAGATCTTACTCACCTTTGATAGGCTCCTTTTCGACGCCGTTGGTTGTCATGGTGGGCGGGTTAGCGGGGGTAGATAATACTACGTACTTCGGTCTAAACTTGATAGAAAGTTGGAGATCGTCACGTTCTCAGCGGGGACCAACCCACGTTATTTAATGCACACACCGGTCACGCCAAGTCAAGGTTGGGTAAACCAAATGCGGTTGCGGCTCTTCTGAACTGAACTGACGAACACATCTGCCGAGGCTTCCCCAACATCAACCCCGCCTATATCATCACCTCGAACCGAGTTGGAATGGGTAAGCTTATACTGCAGGCTTACTAGTAAGACGCGGAGAAGCGCCGAGTAAGAAAGATGGGGTTCGCTGACCTGGGGGAGATGGGGGTTACCGAATCGTGTATAAACGAAGCGTCTTTACTTTTACTTCTTACTCCTCACTCCTCACCCCTTTTTACGACATCTGAGAACATTAAAACATAGCATAGCCATTGGTACCTAGACATCATGACGACACAAGCAGCTTCAGTTATAGTCCCAACTCTCCAGGAGAGGCATAGCGGTACACCAGCGCGATTAGGCGAGATAGCCGCCGCGGCAAAATCTCGTGTATTGGAGAACCGCACGCTCCCGACGGCTCAGCCGAGGAAGCGTTCGGTCCGGCTCCCGCCAGGCGTGTCCTTGGAGAAATTCGAGGAAGCCGTCAAGGAGCTGAAAGGAGCACTTGGAGCTGAAAATGTCGAAGTCAATGACCAGCCATTGGTCGATGGGTGGTATATGGAACACCCAAACACTCACGATGCTTTCCATATCACAGACCAGGAAGAGCTCGTCAGCAGTGCAACCATCTATCCTGGATCGACCGAGGAGGTCCAAAGCACCGTACGTTGGGCGAACAAGTTTGGAATCCCAGTCTACCCCATCTCCATCGGCAGAAATCTAGGATACGGTGGTGCAGCACCACGAGTGCCCGGGGCTGCCGTTATTGACCTCGGTAGACGGATGCATGAGATCGTTAACATTGATGCTGAAAACGCTTCCTGTGTTGTCGAACCTGGCGTGACGTACTACAAACTTTACGAAGAAATCCAGAACCGGAAACTCCCCCTCTGGGTTGATACCCCAGACTTGGGTGGCGGCAGTGTGCTCGGCAATGCGATCGACCGCGGAGTTGGATACACGCCGTATGGTGACCACTTCGCAAATCACTGTGGCATGGAAGTGGTCTTGCCTAACGGCGAGGTATTGCGTACTGGTATGGGTGCCATGCCCGGCCCCAACGGAGCAGACAACCCGACTTGGCAGTCTTTTCAACACGCCTTCGGGCCATCCATCGACGGAATCTTCTCGCAGAGCAACTTCGGCATCGTCACAAAGATGGGGTTCCAACTAATGCCGGCGACTGAGCACCAGTCCTACTGCTTCACATTTCCAAAGGACGAGGATTTTGAACAGATTGTAGACCTCATCCGTCCACTGGCGCAAAGCCGCGTCTTAGGAAATGTGCCTCAACTACGACAAGTTATCCAGGAACTGGGCGTAGCAGGACATCGAAGAGCAGATCTTCATGACGGACCGGGCCCTTTGACGCAAGAGGAGATCAGTGCTGCGGCATCCAAGCTACCTCTGGGCGACTGCACCTGGATATTTTACGGATGCCAGTATGGGCCACCCGAGTCCATCAAGGCGCAGCTCGATGTCATCAAAGCTGCGTTCTTCCAGATTCCAGGAGCGAAGTTCTTCTTGCCCTCAGACTTGCCACCTGATCATTATCTCAGCGACCGAGCACTGGTCTGCAGCGGCGTGCCTGTACTGCGCGATCTCGACTGGCTTAATTGGGAACCAAACGGGGCGCATTTATTCTTCTCACCCATTGCGCCGACGCGAGGAAAGGATGCCCGCAAGGTTCATGAGATCGTTGCCGCGGCGCATAAGCGCTATGGATTCAATCTCTTCCCCACGCTATGTGTCGCGGGTAGAGAGATCCACTACATCACGAATATCATCTATGACAGAGCCGACCCCGAGGCGAAGGTGAGAGCTATCAAGCTTATGAGAGAAATGATAACGGAGTGCGCTGCCCTAGGATTTGGAGAATACCGCACCCATCTGTTGTTTGCGGATCAGGTGGCTAGCACATATAATTGGAATAACTCGGCTCTGATGACCTTCAACGAGACGCTCAAGGATGCTTTGGATCCTAATGGAATTCTGGCCCCTGGTCGGAACGGGATCTGGCCTAAGCAGTTTAGAGGAAAGGGATGGGAATTAGGAGCCGATGCTATTGACTTGACATCCATCGGGCCGCGTAAATAAGTAAAAATAAAAGAGGCTGTAGTGTATTTAGCTGACGTCAAGGTCAATATTGATGCCCATTGGCTACATGATGTACATAATCTTCCTACTGCCCTGTGCAACGTATTATCAACGTCAAAACCCAATCTTGGGAGGGGTATCGATTGCTTGCCTGCAAAATACGGTGTTTTTCAGTGAATGTATGTCCCCCCCCCTTCGGCCAGATGATCATTTCCCATCCCATAATCTCCTCAAACCTGCTAGTCCGATGAACAATGCCTCGTCCGTCCTGATTGTCCTGCTACCTTGCCCTGGCAAGATATTGATCCAGTGATCAAATAGCTCTTTCGTTCTTCTCTTTACAATTCCCATACCGTTCAATTGTGGGTCATTTTCTGCCGCATTCTCGAGACCTCGAGGACCACCAAAGACAATGAGAAGGTGATTGAAAACTGCGGGCTCCTTATTTTTTCTTTCCGGAAATGCCTCAGGTATAGAAACGCCGCGTTCTGATGTGCCGATGCTCAGGTCATATCCACCCTCATAACTGCATTCCTCGAAGACGGTAGCTAGAGAATTGCAGCGTCTCGTAGTATAACCCCAATAATAACCGCCGTCAATGCGTGGCACGCTAGGGTCTACTGCTTCTGCCAGGTAGGGATCATTCTCATCGATCTGGAGAGTGATTCGGGTCTTGGGCGGTACTTCGTCACTAATAGTGACTGGTTCCTTCCTGCCGACGTCGACAAGCGTGCCCTTTCCACCTCTCGGTTTCCCCGAAGTTGTCACACCTTCGCAGTATGGTAACCAGTCAGTTTGATGTGGATGAGAAGGCATATCTAAACTGGCCATAAGACCGGCGGCTTTGAGATTTGGGTGTAATGGTAGCAACGTTCTGCGCATGAACGGAGGCATCTCTAGATACTGTAGTAAGTGATCAAGATAACCACATGGGTCAATGTCCCCCGTGTAACTGGCGGGGTCAACGTTCCTCGCACGTGACTCTGGAGGGGAATCGTCGAAAATGACAACTTCATCTATGCTAAAGACAGCAAGAGCACGCGCTATGTGCGAGACAATGTTGGTCCGCTGATCATCACGTCGACATCTGTATACTGTTTAGCACCTAATGTTTTCAAGCGTCTCAAATATAAAGCATTACTAACGTTGAGAGTACACTCCCCGGAATAGCTACTGAGACGGTCCAGTCCCGACCTCCAGCCGGCTGGAAGAAGGCACTGGGCTTTGACGTGTCGACATAGTCGCCGTCCTGTGTAAGACGACGTTTCTGTATCACTGTTAGAATTCGGGGTTTGGCTATATATTAGAGATTCTTGTATCAAACTGACTTTCTGTCTATCTTGTTCGTAGTATGCCATTGTATGAAAGTTAAGGGGTATGGATATGAAATGGTAACTGCAAAATAAAATTTTAGTGCTAGTATTTGACTAGGTTACAAGGTTCCAAGTTGTAGACATTGAAAAGATAGTACCGGCAGTACTTTCACCGCTTTTATTCACCGCCTTCTAAATAGAAAAGGCGGGGTAAACATTAACCCTGCTTGTGTCTCTGCCCCTGCATTCTTCTCGACGTTCTCTTTCCAGTATATTTTACATATCTAATAACTACCTACAACTCCATATGTTCCCGCTTCTCTATATACACCACCCACTCTGTCATGTCTATTGACTATAAGTACTGACCAACCACATACCTATGTCATATAGTTATCATACCAAAAGTGAAGCTTACTTTAGCAATGAGTATAAGTATACTCCTGGGCAAGCAGAAATGAGGCTAGTCATCTCTCTGAAATTCTGAATAGGGGGGTGGGTAGACGGAGGGAAAAATTGGAGAACACATAACAAGCCTTGAAGTACTGGTCCAGACTCCCTAGGCACTATGCAGGTAGTATGTCCTTTTGGGTGAGGCGGACCTTATTGGTAGGCTCTATTCCTATGCAACGTCAGCTTTGAGAGAGTTATATTAAGTTCGTATACGGTATGCGCATGTCATTCAGTCTCGCCGGGCGTCACTGAGACGCTAAGGGTCGCATTGCATATTCCTTCTGGGTACGGTTTTCATTATCATAATATTACCTGGACCTACATCAACGAGGCTGTACACTCCTAGTAGCGGGATAGGTATATTTGACTACAACTTCGATGTTTTTCTACCTCACTTTTCACAACATGTTCTACGACATCCGCAGTCAGTCGCTGTGCTATTCTGCTTTTTACATATTTTAACACCGTTATAATGGAAGTCGTTGGTGGCATCGCAAGTTTCATCGCTATTGGACAAGCACTTGGTGCAATTCCGAAGATTATAACTGCAGTGAAGAGCGTGACGAACGCAAGAGACGAGCTACAAGACTTACTACTTGAGGTACACTTCCTGTCCACAACACTTTCACGAGATGCAGTGCTTAAGAACTCTCAAACAAAAAGCTTACGTTCCTCGTCGAGCGATACAATCATGCAAAGGAGAATCTACGATTGTCTTCACCCCAAAATCCTCCCATAGTTCTCGGGCAGGAGGAGCCTTATTACATGAAAATCCTAAGAATCCAACTGGAACGATTGCTCGAACAACTCCACGTGCTAGCTCGAGATTGCCAGGTCCTGGCTGACGATCCAACACCACACAAATCATTCCGCACAAAGTGGCCATGGAAGCGGCATAAGGTGATTGGTCTATGTGAAGAAGTGAAGAGGATCCAAGGGCATTTAGACGCCGCAACAAGACTCTTCATGGATCGCACGATTCAGTGATTCCATTATCATAGTCATTCATCGTAGCATCTGTAACTAATTATGATGTAGTTCTCAGAGCAAAATCCTAATCGAGATCCATGCTCTTATCACCAAGGATCAACTTCTTCCTGGTAAGAACGAGGGCGACACTGTTGTTGACGTCGACTGCCGAGTCCCGGAGGAGCAGGACATCGCTTCAACATCATCTGGACTTACACAGCTCACACCACCATCACAGTACTGCAGTCCGCCATTTCAGCGGGATGGCAGGCAATATATTAGACCCTGTACCTGCAACTGTCACTTGCCTGGATCTGTGAATAAGCGGTCGATAAATTTCAGTCTCATTCCTGGGAGACTATCTGTGTCATATTCAGAAATCGCCCGATGGATGTTTCCATGTCGCCGCTGCAGCTGTGGGCCACCGCGCGCAGTAGTCCGAATGGACTATCAATTTCCATCATGGCTACTGAACAGAGCTATACACTTCAAAGCCTCCCTAGATGGGCTGTCTGGAATAGCAACATCCCTGCGTCTCCCAGCAGTGCTGAGTATGACAGATCGAATCTGGCAGGTATTGCGGTCCCCCGTGGTCGAGGATGTTCAGTGGTTCATTGCCTCTCATGGATATACGCCTACGGATGCTGACCCACAAGGAGGCTCTATTATGGAGGTAAGTAACAAGATCAGAAGAAATATCGTACTGTGTTTACGATGGCTAACGTTGCTACCTGATGTAGTACGCTATGACACACAATGAGTATTCAAATATATTGTTTCTTGTAAATCGCTACCCGCACATCCTGAAAGACACATCTGCTGCTAGGTGAGACATCTGCGTAGTTCGCGTAGTCACTTTTTACCCCTTTACTTCTTTTCGGGCAAGGGTGAAAGCTAATGATGTAGTAATGCTGTGATGCAAGCACGAACCAAACTCTACGAAGGCCGAGATAAGATGCTCGGTTTAGAAGTTTATACCTTCAACCGAGTTATCGAACTGCTTGATGAAAATGTCGAAACCTCGCCCTTTACACTGCACGAGGCAATACGCAGCCATGGCAACCTTGATAGTGATATGGAGACACATGCCTCAACTACCAACGACCTCGACGAAACCGGATTCACGCCACTGCACCTTGCTTGTCTTTACGATAACTTTGATGCGCTCACTTATCTTCTCCTTCGCCAGGCAGATGTCCACGCCACGGATTTGCAAGGTGACACCCCTTTGCATCTAGCCGCGTCACGAGGGCAAGTCCAGTTCGCCACCTGTCTTCTAGACGCAGGGAGCGACATCAATCAGCGCAGTCGATATGGCCAGACTGCACTAGATAAAGCGTTGAGGTCCCGAAATATCACCGCGGACGGGAGTATTATAGAGCTGTTATTAATGCGGGGCGCCTCGATTTCCAACGTCGATGTCCACGGGTCCTCGTCCTTCCACCACCTAGCCGGCTTCAAGAGCGGCCCGCGCGCCGCCGAAAAATCCTTTGAACTTCTCATGAAAGCCGGCGGTAAGTCCATGCTCGAGGCCCGGAACCAGTTTGACAACACTCCGCTGCTCGACGCACTTTGGGAGACGAATGCCCCCGTCGTGCGGCTGTACCTCGCGGCGGGCGCGCGCTGCGACGTGCTGAACATCCGCGACCTCAACATCCTCCACGCGATCGCGCGCAACGGAAACATCGAGCTGATGAACATCCTCCGCGCGGCGCAGCTCAGCGACCCGGACATCAGGGCCTCGGCCCACAACGGCCTCACCCCCATCGGTCAGCTAAGACACTGCATCCACGCCATTGGGGACCGCACCAACATCGTCAAGGACAGGAAGCCTTCGCCCAACGAGATCACGACGTTTGAGGTCCTGGTTAGGGAGATCAGGGACCGCGCGATCATGGCGGAAATAGCTAGGTTGGATGATATCGTTCGCGATATTCAGAATAGTAGTAACATTAATGATAATAGCAACGAAGATATGGCGGTGGCGAGCGAAAAAGCTTGCGAGGCACTCCGCGAGGTGGCGGAGAGGAAGACGTACTGGGGGTTAGAGCACGAGGCAATGACATTTAAGGTTATTGCGGTGCAAGTCTCGCAGGGCTTGTGGGAGCCGGCGGTGGAGAGCTTGCTGGAGTTTATGGCGGTTTCGAGAGAGAGGATGGGGGTTTCGCCTTTTGACGAGGAGTGAGATCGCCGAGTAGGGAATGAGGATGAGGATGAGGGTGGGTACGATTTGCCCCTTGAGATCTATACGCTAGCTGGCTGTTATGATTTACGTGGAATCGATTCTTTCTCATGTATATCTGATGAAACTACACATTTAACGATATGATGATAGATAAATTCTTACCTAGGTACCTAGAATACCAAAGATAGCTAGGTGTTGGCTGTCTATTGACTCTTATGCGGCCCGGTATAGTGGTGTGCGCCCAGATGAGAGTGAGCCACCTTAGCACTCCATGTCTATTTAGGCCCTGATCGGTAACTTTCTTAAACTGCCTCTTAGTGTACATAGGTAGTGTTATGTCAGTGACCACCTCAGATTTGAGATGATGTGAAAGTCAGGGGTAACCAAGCATTGTGTATCTTGGATTAAGGGGCTAACCCATGTACTACCTACCTTGATTATGTAATATGCGATTGTGGAGGCTCATAAGATGTGGCTGATCATGGTTAGTGGCTCAGCATGATTATAAATGAGAATAATACCGAGGTACTTCTAGAGTCTGGAGTGCAGGTACATCATCCTATTAAAGATCTGGACAGCTTTCTATCGGCGATCGTCATAGGCTGCGCATCTATGTAACAATACCTACAACCGTTAATCGGCGATTCTATAAGTTGCATTTGATTTCTACAGCACAAAGGACTATCATCATTGGACACCTCAACGAAACACCTACCTACCAAACGACGAAAGAAGTAGAATAGCGAAAATGACGGTCAACATTAGCTCGTCAAATGAATGGCAACGCATCCTGGGGTCTTCGACCATAGTGGTCACTGACTGTAAGTGCTTGCCCGTCCGTCGCATCCACAGCGGCTTGCTTGTTTCGCGCCATACATATCTTCGCAATCGACTTGCTTACCAATGTGCCAATCTTCTAGTCTACGCCGACTGGTGCGGCCCCTGCAAGATGATCGCGCCGACGTTCGATTCCCTCTCGACCAAGTACTCGAAGCCCGGCCGGATCACCTTCTGCAAGGTCAACGTCGACAACCAGCAGCCCATCGCCCAGGCCCACGGCGTGCGCGCCATGCCCACCTTCCTCGTCTTCAAGAACGGCGCCGTCATCGATACCATCCAGGGCGCGAACCCGCCCGCTTTGACCGCCGCTGTCGAGAAGGCGGTTAAGCTCGCTGGTAACACTGCGGCGGGCGCATCGTTCAAGACCCCCGGACGGACGTTGGGAGGCCCGGCGGCGTCATCGGGGACACCGGGAAGACGCAGTGGCGGCCAGACTCTCGGAGGCAGGCCGTGGAAGTTCAGCCCGTTTCATATCTTCAACGCCATCTTGACGTTCTTCGGCTTGTACTTTGCTTCATTATTCTCGGTAAGCCAACATCCGTGTCTTCCTTTATATAATAATAATAAACCACAGCCTGGTTGTGCTTCTGCTTCTGTGCGAGCTCCCGCGAAGAGAAGTCTGGTGCTGACAAGAAACAGTTCGATCCCTACAAAGCAGCCGAATCGTCCTCGTTCAACGTCCACAGGCCGCGAGACCCGTCGGCGCCGATACAACTTAAGGGCCAGAAAGTCGGCGGACAAGGCGGGGCGGCGAGGCCTGGGGGGGTTAAGACGCTGGCAGATCTTAGTAGGTAGATTTGGGTAGTGATGGAGCAAGATTGCAGGGTTTCATATGATATCGGAAATGCCTACTAGGAATCAAGAGCTTTGTGGGTGTGAATTGTAGGTGCCTACCTAGAGCATGCACGATAGTGGCATTACTACATGCATGATTCTTGTTAGTAGGATACATGCAGATTAAGTAGGTACATGGACTTCCTACTACTAGGTAGCCTCTAGGTAGGTACCTACAGGCTACATGTATCAAGAGGGGAGTGCATTAGCTAAATGTGTTCGCCATGGATGATGGAGTTAGGTAACCTAAATCAATTACAATAGCTGTCATTTTAGTGGACGAAGCTCTCTAGGGTGCATCGATTAGCGTGTGAAAACATGCGCTAAAACGTCTGATCTTTACTGGGTACGCAAAAAAAGTTCAACGGCCTCATGAAATCGATACTTGCCCGCCATTGCCTCCAATTACTTCCATGACATAAACTATTTTTCCTCCTTTCCTTCTGTCTCTGATTCCTTATGCTTGACTTGGAGGAGTAAATAACAAATCACCAAAAAAAATCATGTTATCTGCGGCGAGAGCTCAGGGGTCATGTCCCCAATGCAGGCTTCGGCTTCTTACTCTATTCGACAATAGCTTTGCAAATCTGCGTCTTGATGCCCCGCGAAGCCTATCCCACGCCACATCGTCGAATAGCAGAACTTTTTCATATGGCCGGAGGGGTCATGCCCGACTCTTCTCCACGACGAAGCGCAAACTTCAAACCTCACAACCACCTGAGAATGCCTCACCATCTGAGAATACCTCGCCATCTGAGAATACCTCACCACCTGAAAACAATGCATCATCAAAACCTAGTGAGATTGAAATCACCGTGCGCCAAGCGAAACACACATTTGGCGACACATTACCCAAGGGCTATCTAAATGAGGAGGAATACAAGGTATACGAACGGTTGTATGGCGCGCCTCTGCGCGAGACTCAGCCTGAAGATGTAGGGATGCCCACGGCCGAATTCATACTTGGGCCAGACGACTCTGAGGACTTGACTCCGGAGTTTTTGGAGAAACGAATGGAGCATATTATGAGAGAAAAGGCATTTTTAGAACAGCTTGACGAAAATACGGAGCGGGAGGGACGAGTGTTCGAAACAGTTGAGCCTGATACCCCGCTCGCTAGTCCAGAAGAACCTCCAAATACTCTTGCGGCAGATGAAGAGGCATTCCAGGAAATACCACCAGGGGAAACGCGATGGGTGATTACCCCATCTGAGGAAATAGCCGAGGAATTTGGGGAATTGCTATCACAGGACATACCATCAGAGAAACTACCAAACGAAGTACCAGCAGATGATCTACCATCGGAGGCTGGGTTGTACTATATCAATGCCGTCGCCAAAAACGAAAGAGAATATAACGCTCTGCTAAAACTTCAGAAAGATTTCGAAAGGGCTTCCTTGCAAGCGGCCGAAGAAAAGGCAGCGGCGGAGGCGGAGGCGGCGGAGGAAGAGGAAGAGGAACGTGAACGGGAACAAGAAGAGGACGAAGAAGAGGACGAATACGAGGAGGAAGATGAGGGAGAGCCAGATGCGACATTTCAACCTACAGATACCAGGGTTCACCCACATACAAAGTTAGGTCAATGGCGAACAAACCCCAGTACCGTTCATCTTCCCAAAGCAGAATTCGTCAACCCAATCGGTCAACTGCTAAACCGAACCGATATCAAACATGTCAAGGAAGCTGCTGAGAAGGTGTTTGGGGGTGTTGGATTACCAAACTCGGTCGCCACTTTGCCACCCAGGAGGAAACCCCCACAGCAAGCTGTAGCGATACAGGCAGGTCATCATAAGCTAAGTGAGATTGATGCTGATGCCTACATCGCGACCAATCTCCCGGGGATGTATGCTTCAGTGATGAGCATACTAGTCGAGACCCGGAAACGTCTAGGCTCCGAGTGGGTTTCCAAGCTCATCTCCAGAGGAAATGGTGAGGGACCTCGGGTACTTGACGTTGGTGCCGGTGGAGCTGGTCTGGCAGCCTGGCAACAAGTCCTACAGGCTGAATGGGAACTCATGTCCGAAGGAGGTAAGAGGCCCATGCATGAGCCTCCTGGAAAGAAGACGGTTGTAGTTGGATCCAATCAGCTACGCCAGCGGATATCACGATTTCTGCACAACACTACTTTCCTTCCACGACTACCAGATTATTTGCATCTAGGCGAGCACCCCGAAATGTTGAACGCTGGCGAACAACAACAGCCCAAGAAGACATTTGACGTCATCATTGCCTCTCATTTATTGATGCCCCTGAAAGAAGGGTACCAGCGTAAGAATATGATTGATAACCTGTGGGAGATGTTGTCGCCGGAGGGTGGTGTTCTCATCGTCATGGAAAAGGGTCATCCACGAGGCTTCGAAGCAGTAGCCGATGCCCGTTCTCGATTCCTCAACGATTTCATTGTTTCTCCTAGGTCAGATCCCCAGCCTGAAGCAATCGAACCCGAAGAGCGAAGGGTTCGCGAGCCAGGCATGATCATTGCTCCTTGCACTAATCATAAGGAATGCCCCATGTATCTGACACCGGGGCTCACTGCTGGGCGAAAGGACTTCTGCCATTTCAGCCAGCGCTTTATTCGACCACCATTCTTACAGCAAGTTCTCGGGTATAGTCACCGCAATCATGAAGACATCAACTTTAGTTTTGTGGCTATTCAGCGTGGAAAACTACCAGGCATGGAGCCGGTTCCTGTCCCTGAGAAGCAAGGCACTGAAACCCTGAGGGCCTTTGAAGGGTACGAACATGATACAGAAGAACCAAACCCCTTTTCCCTTCCTCGAAACATTCTCCCTCCGCTAAAGCGACATGGCCACGTAACACTTGACCTTTGCACGCCAAACGGCCACATTGAAAGATGGGTTGTTCCGAAGAGTTTCAGCAGGAAAGCGTACCACGACGCACGCAAGACGCAGTGGGGCGACCTGTGGGCGTTGGGAGCCAAGACCAGAACGAAGCGAGAACCTCGACTTGGACGCGGCGGCCCGGTACCCAACGATGGCGGCGTGCGAGCTCGCGCAGCATTGGAGGGAAACAAACCGAGAGTGATTAACTTGAATGCCAATTCTAGCGGCATCATTAGTGCTAGAGAAAAGGCCGGGAAGCGTCCCCCGATCGAGAGGAGGACGAAGGGAAACAAGAAAAAGCAGATTCAGGACTTGTTGGAGGAGCTCAAGGAGGATGGGTTCCAGTGAGTGTTACCTATGGTATTACGCGCTGCTTAATCATGAAACTGGAAATACAAAATGTATGAAATCGCCGAGGAAATCCATGGATTTGTATGTAGGCATGCATTACCTACCCCTATGTACATGTAATACTACTAGGTAGTACTATTTGCATGTAGTTTGTACATCTCCTATCAGGGGCCGCGGAAGTCGGTCTGCGGCCATTAGAATGATAACCTAATTGGTGGCATATGATTGGCTGGATAGCAACTTTAAGTGCAATTGCGTCAGTTGGGTGCCCCTCCAAACCCCGCTAAAAGTTTCGTAGGAGAAGCCGTAAACTTACTATGGAACTATGACAGGCGGGAATCGGTCCAGATCTTCTAAAGATTTTATAATTTTTTTTAAAGAATTCTTTCCCGCCGCACAGATGGCGACATCAGATGGCTTGGACTAGATTTATACCGATGTAAAAACATGTAGGTTAGATAGTTCCTGGGGGAGAGGTGGGAAATGTATTATTCTATTCTATTTTATTCTCGATACTTTTCCTTCTTTCTTTTTTTCTTTCTTTGAAACTGGAACATTACCATACTAGTTCTCTTACATGTGCACATAACCTGGAAAGGTTCACGAATATAATATTCTGACACCTTTGATGGTTAAATTCCCGGCTTAGACAATGGCATCCCATATATCCATGCTGACGGCTACCGATGCCCGATCCCATATTCACCTGGTCATCGGATCGAATCCCCTTGCTGCGGCGAGATGCGGACAGTCCTTGGGCGCGGGCGCATTGCCGATCTTGCTTGCGCCGGAAACGGCAGAGCTACACTATGCGCTACAGAAGCGCGTGGATGATGGGGAAGTGAAATGGATAAAGGAGGTCTTCCGCGACGAGCATGTCTTTACGCTTGGGAGGGAAGATGTTGGCCATGTGGTTGACGCTGTGTTTGTGACTTCTGGACCGAGAGAGCCATTAAGTATGACCGATCCTGTGGCAATTGCTAAATTTACGAAATTTCTTTTTGGTTGGTTGCTGATTGTTAGTTGTAGGCGCGCATATATCGACGCTGTGTAGGCGTAATCGGATACCCGTAAACGTCGTCGATGCGCCCCAGCTATGCACTTTCTCCCTCCTATCCACACACGTCGATGGCCCGCTACAAATCGGCATAACCACGAACGGCCGCGGATGCAAATTGGCGTCTAGGATACGCCGCGAGGTTGCCGCTTCCCTGCCGCCGAACCTGGGCGCTGCTTGTTTGCGACTGGGCGAAGTGCGGCGGAGGATACAAGAGGAGGATCACCTACTTCATATGGCATTGGCCGACGGCGACGATGTCGACGACTCGATAGACCAATCAGCAAGCTTTAATAAGTTGGTTACGGAAGCAGACTTAGATGCGGCGAAGAACAGACGCATGCGTTGGCTTAGCCAGATATGCGAGTACTGGCCGCTGAAGCGTCTCGCCGCCATCACTGACGACGACGTCTCTTCTATCCTGAAATCATACGAGGACATGGGACCTGCCGAGTCCATCGGTAACTCCACGTCTAATTCTAACCCCATTGACCGCGGCCGCATCATCCTCGCTGGCTCCGGCCCAGGACACCCCGACCTGCTCACGCGCACAACCCACAAGGCCATCCAAACCGCCGATCTCGTGCTCGCTGACAAGCTAGTGCCTGCCGGCGTCCTGGACCTCATCCCCCGCCGCACGCCCGTCCACATCGCTCGCAAGTTCCCCGGCAACGCGGACGCCGCGCAGAACGAGCTGCAGGAAATGGCCATCGCCGCCGTGCGCGAGGGCAAAACCGTCCTGCGCCTCAAGCAGGGCGACCCGTACATCTACGGGCGCGGCGGCGAAGAAGTCGCGTATTTCCGGCAGCACGGCCTCGGCGATAAGGTCGTGGTGCTGCCGGGCGTCACGTCTGCGCTTTCGGCCCCGCTGTTCGCGGCGATACCGCCGACCCAGCGCGACGTCGCGGACCAGGTGCTTATATGTACGGGGACCGGGAAGAAGGGGAAGCCGCCGGCGCCGCCGGAGTTCGTGGCGAGTCGGACGGTGGTGTTCCTGATGGCGCTGCATCGCGTGGAGGGGCTGGTGGGGGAGTTGACTACGTCCTTGGATACAGAGATCCCTAAACCCGAAGAAGGGTCGAGAGAAGAACAACCACAACCACGCCGCAAGCTATGGCCCCTCACCACCCCCTGCGCCGTCGTCGAGCGCGCCAGCTGCCCCGATCAGCGCGTCATCCGCACGACGCTCGCGCATGTCGTCGAGGCTGTCGAGCAGGAAGGGAGTAGGCCGCCGGGATTGCTGGTTGTGGGGAGAGCGTGCGAGTTTTTGAATGAGAGGGAGAAGGGCAGGGCGTGGAGTGTGGAGGATGGGTTTAGGGGGTTGGATTGGGGTGATGGTTTGGGGTGATGGTTTGGGAGGGTTGTGAATGGGGGGGGGGAGGGAAGGGTGGAAGGGTGGGAGAGAAAAGGGGTGTATAAATTACATTAGCATTTGGGTGGCGTTCGAGGCAGATATCTTTGCAGATGGGGCATGACTTGAATTGAATTATATGACAACATTATAAGTAATGAGAACTTTTTCTAGCTGGCTTGATTTCGCTTTTGATACGTAGGTACCTAGGTAGAAATTGTATGGCTGGGCATGGATTAGACGTGTATCTGCCAATGGCAGCTCCCTCTACAGTCGACCAAATTCTACGATTCGCCAATCCAATTTCATGGCAACACGACCGCAAGATAGAAGAACTTGTGTACGTTTGCGTAAGGTTTCTACCACCGATACCAATATCCTACTCAAAAATTCCTAATGCGACAATCTGTTATTACCCTTCTATTCCTCCATATCGACACACAAACTTCCGACGCATCCACCCCCCCTTCCACCAACCCATCGAGACGCAAAGTACTTCCCCTAAACTCAACACCCCATCGCTAGCCTACCTAGGTACCTACTCCCGATCCTCAGGATGGAAGACCAACGCCCTAACCTCAATGCTCTCCCTCGGCTCGACCTCCTCGCCCGCTCCGGGGTCCACGAACGCCGTATGCGGCACCCTCCTCGCGCGCCCGTCCGTCTTCGAGTCGAAGCACTTGATGAGCAGGACCTCCGCGGGCGCGAGCCCGGCCTTGTAGAACCAGCGGTGGCCGGGGGCGTGGCGGACGGCGAACGTCTCGCCCCGGCGCGCGGGGTAGATCAGCGGCACGGCGACCAGCTCGGCCTCGGACACCGAGGACGCCTCGGCGACGGCCAGCGGGTCCCGCTGCACCCGCCGGATCGGCCGCCACACGTTGATTATCTGCACGCGGCCCTGCAGGAGGAGGGAGGCCTCCTCGGCGGGCAGGTGGTACGGCACGCGCGAGAGCGCGGCGCTGTACGTCTGGTCGATGTGCACGCTGTTGACGGGCCCGCGGAGGGGGGCGGTGGTGGTGGGGGAGGCGCGGGTGTCTTTGGGTTGTCGGCGGATGGTGTGGTCGAAGATGAAGATTTTGGAGGCGCCGGTGCTGGGGGGGGTGGTGAGTAGGTGGGCTATATAGGTAGGTAGGTAGGTAGGAACGGAGAACTTACACATCCTTGAGCAGCTGCTCGGTCTCCGGGTAGTACACCGCCTTGATGTGATCATCATCAACGAAGTCCTTCTCCTCCGACACGTGCCGGTGGTACTGGAACCCGTTCTTGTCGAGCGTGTACTCGGACTCCCTGCCGGTCACGTCCGTGATGTGCACGGGGTGCGGGGAGACCGGACGCTTGTAGGTCTCCGGTCGGTTCACGTAGGATGGCGCCGGTGGCGAGCCGTCCTCGTTGTCCTTGTAGTAGTTCAGGACCGTGTCGACGTCGTGGGGCGAGGCGGTCGTGGATGCGGCCGAGAGACTGCCCGCGATGAAGGCCGGGACGGTGTTGGGGAGCTGGACGTCTGGGGATGCCATTGTGCTGGTGTGGCAGTTGCTAAAGGTGATGATAAGTGTTTTTAGTCGATAAAGTTGGAGGTGTCTTCTTAATATGTAGTTCTTTGTTAGCTTGATAGCGACTATCTTCAAATCCAAGTCTCGCTTCGGGATGCGACCCTATATATACCTACGAGGCAGGTATTACCAATATCGATTCAATCAATGGCATCCCTAATTGGACCATAAGCCACAAACTCCAAGCTCCCCCGCAAGCACGCAATCTTCGTCATAGGGTTGCGACAGTAGCTTACTAGCTGTCGGATAGGACGCCCTGCGCTTAAGGACTGACCAAAAATGGTGGCATCATGCAAATCGAGGTCCCCCTTAACGAGGGCTGATTAGAAATCCTTGGTCTATTTGTCATCGTGTGGCTCCTGAAACCCATATTTGTAATGCCATGTGGTTCGATTTAATATATGGCTGCCTACGTATATGAAATTGACGGTGCATATTGAGTGATACAATAGAGATAATCTATCTAGTGTTATTGCGCCTTCTAGCAACCCCGTGTGATTACCTACATGCCTACTTGGATCGGCGCAAGAGTCTCTACTCAACCTTAGGGACGCGGGCTAACACGGTAATAACCGTCCCGTCATCAAGGACTTCCTGCTTCTCTTCTAACCTGTATTGGCCGAATCGGGGTAACAGAACTGTCCATACCAGCCAGTATATCACCCCGAACAGAAGTCTGCAAATTTGTAAGCCTCCTGGATTAGAAATGTGAAGATACTCTTAGACCTTTTTCATGCGTATTGCGTGCTGGATATCATCAAAGAAATATTTATACTTACACCCCAACGCCAACAATGGCGTACGTTGCATAAAAGAGTCCACCAGGCTTTGGGTGAGTTGGTGGAAAGAAGGGAGCGGCAAGCAGGGAAAAGCATAGAATGGTTCTAAAGATGACCGCCGGCAGCCATGCTTTGAACGGTCTCTTGAGATCGGGCCGCTTGTATCGTAGCCAGATCAGCCCTATAGACGTAGCTAGTGCAAATACCTGCCCTGGGTAGGCTTCTACTTCTAATATAAACGAGTAAACTTCGCTCGATGGTGGTAGTACGATGACCAACACGGAGGGGATGTAATGCACAATGAGTCCTCCCATAGGTGCGTTAAACGGTTTGGAGGATGAGAGATATCGTGAAAAGGGCATGAATCCCGCGCGGGCGATTTCCTGATTAAGGCGTGCCTAGAAATTTATTAGGGCTTTCTCTATCATTGACTTTTGTGAATGATATAGCGCCACATCGTCGCTACGAGAGAGTAAACTTACAACTGAGAATGTAACCACCATAACGTTGCCTGCGGCTGAGAGCGCAACAGCAAGGGGCAAGAATCTCTTGCCAACATTCGGACCAAAGACACGCTCGAAGAACAGGGCCGCGATAAGTTGTCCGCCCTGCTTAATCTCATCGATCGGGACTACCGCGAAATAAGCTAGATTAGCTAGCAGGTAGAGAAAGCACGCCGTTACCAACGCGGTAAGCGAAACCGACTTCAGCGTTCTCACGGGATCTTTCACCTCGTTCATCACATTATTCAGGTTCGACAGCCCAGCGTAGGAATAGAACACCTTGAACAGTGAAGTTGCGAGCGTGCCGAGATTCCAGTCGCTTCCCTCCCACAGTCCCTCCCAGGACTGTACTCCCACTGGCTTGTGTTCCGAGTCCTCCTGCTCAGGCCGGAAAATCACGACGTAGAGGGCGGCAAACACCATGAACACCACCAGGCCTACTTTAATCCAGCCTAGGAAGTTCTGGATGCGTATGCCGGCCTTGTACCAGACGCTGTGGATAATGGTGACGACGGTGATGAGCGCAACCGCCAGGGCCTTCTTCGAAGCGTCCCGCGCCTCGGCGTCGAAGACAAAGTGCACGTATTGGCTGAATATGACGCAGTTGCTCGCCGTGAAGCCCAGGAGCACGGCCTGCACCGCGATCATGGTCGAGGCGAAGAACCGCGGCCGCGGGTAGGTGAACTCGAGGTACACTTTATCGCCTCCGCTACGGGGTAGCATGCACCTTCACAGTGTGTGAGTAAAAAGAGGTTATTTCTTTTTTTTGGGAGTTTTTTTTCTTTAAAAGAGTAGGTAGGTAGGATTTCAAGGCATCTCTCAGAGACGTACCCGTACTCCAGGGACACAGCAAGCCCGCACGCCACGACCACGGCACCCAGTATCCACACCGAGAGGGAGAGCCCGATGCTGCCGACGGAGGTCAGGATCACGCCCGGGACCGCGAAGATGCCGCTCCCGATGACGCGGGATATCGCGATTATGTACGCGCTCTTCCAGTCGATGTTGCGGCCCAGCACGGATTCTTCGGGCAGCACGCTGTCTTCGATGTTTCCGAACTCGGGCGGCGTCGAGGGCCCATCTTCGATCTCGTCGTCGGCGGCGGAAGGCTTGAGAAGAGAGGAGGACGAGCGGATGGATGCACCGTCCGGCGTATCCGCCGCCCTGAGCAAGGGGGTGTCTTCGCCGTGGGACGTGGCCATTTCACGGAGTTGGAATGCTTTTCTTATGTTGTACAAAAGTCAAGGTCATGGAGCGTTGGATAAGGGTTGATGTATTACTGTAGGTTGCTATTGAATAGATTTGCCAAGAATTACAAAGTTTACTGTGAATTTGAGTCTTTCGGAGTAACCTGGATTAATATGCAAGTCCATCATTATCTAGGACGTATTCTTATGCATTCATTAGAATCCGCGTGCCTGAAGAGCCATATGACATCTTTTGGGCTGCTGACAAAAAATAAACGTAGGTACTGTTATGTATCTTGACCATTTAATCCGGAGGTTGCGCAATCCTACTTGTCTCACTTCTCCCACACAAAACCGTGTTGGTGTTCTCGCACGCCATATCCCCTACAGCTTGCACCACTCGGGCCAATAACCTTATCTTCGTTTGTAAAACAGCGAGTCGGCTGACATAATCTTGAACATGTATCTATTTTTGTTTGGTTCCTTTTCGGACATTTGTATTGATACCAACTTCCCCTGCTACTTAATCAAATCGGGCCGCGACTGGACTGGCCCCGATTGTGTACCACTTGAAAAATGGCAACGGCCGAAATTATCGGCTTTGTGTACCACCCGAGATGTATCCACTTTCGGACGGGTTCCCCACTAAGAATTTTGGATCCCGCCGTAATTCATGCCCCCCTTTTTAAGGGGTCCAGATTATTTCTTGAAGTTCACGTTACGGTATTCTGTATTATGTATTCAAGACACCTATCAGATTTAATTTTTTTTATCGCATTCAAGTAAATTATCCCAGTCTAACAATTGGTGACAATTTCAATAAAACCATCTCAATCATGTCCCCTCACCACATTCCATAGACCTCATTAGTTAAAGTGTTAGACTTTTTATGTAGTGGCACACAAATGACTAGAGACGCCTCCAATTTTCCACCAGTGACTCATGCATTGAGGCTTTATCATCGTTTACCATCATTTACACCGAAGAGACCGAAGAGGCCGCCACCTCACGGGGACTGCCGTTCCATGTAAGCCAAAACAGACGATGCGAGCACCTGTAGCTGCGGGTCTTCCGGCGGGGGTGTAAGCGTAACCACCTCCTTCCCCTCCATCCCCTCGACTCCCAGACCAGCCGCAGCAACACCCATCTCCACCGCCTTCACCTGCTGTTGCTGCGTAAAGCTGCAAGTTTGAATCGACCGCTTCGCACAGTTCTCACACGGTTCTCCGAGACCCCGCGAAACACACTTGATGTGCGCGTGGCGGCATCGCTCGCAGCTTGTGATGGCCTTGGTTCGCCCCTTCTTGCGCTTCGTCGGGGCTAGCTTTGCGTCTGGCTTTCCGGTGGTGAAAGGTGTGTCTGGGTGGGGGGGTGTGGGCTGTTGCTTGTTTGGTCGGGAGCTGGGGAGGGGGACGCGCTTTTTGCTGCCCATTTTGGTTCGGAATGGAGGCTTGAGGTGATTCGAATGCTGGGCTTTCCGGCTTAGATAGTTATGATGGCATAGACTGGTAACATTGAGTGATGATTATATGCGTGGTGTGTTTACGATGAATGCCAAGGCAGGAAACTTGAAGATGGTTTGTCGATACAACTAGCATGTATGAAGTGATCCAGCGATCAGGATTATATACCCGAAGAGTCTTCATAGTGGCTGCCATAAAGACGGTTTTGTATAGCTTGATGTGGTGAAGATAATATCCAAGAAGCTATCTCTTTAAAAGGGTCTCTTCAATTGAAGGGTGATTTCACTCCTTTGTCTTATATCCGTGAATAAGTAGAGATGTTAAGAGATATTACATTGGATGGAACGTAGCAAGCTGGCAAAATTATGGCGTAGCTGTGAATTGTGGGAGTGGTACTAAACACCATTAGCATTTAAGTAACACGTTGATAGGGGCCGGACTTTAGAGAAATCCCAACACTAGGACAGATCACGGATATCGCCAACGTAGTGAGCAAAAAAGGTGCAGTAAAACAACTTCTAAAAATCATCATCTCCATACTAGGCACCTATGTACGTAAGAGAGGAAGAAATGTTGAGCATCAGGGCATCACCAAAAAAAATCAGGTTCGTGTGTAGAAAATTCCCATCCTTATTTTAGACACTTCTCCCATGCAGTTTGGCCAACCATGACGTTGCCATGAATCGCCTAATATGCTTGCCTCGCAGCATAAATACGACAAGCATGAGGTTATTGACCAAGAACACAGCACAGAATATACCTGCAATGATCACAGCATATCCCCTTTCACTGTATGATAGTTGTTAGTAGAGTCTTTGTCACCCAAATGAGTAGGGGGTCGGATGTTCGAGCACATAGGAAAGCACATACGTTACCCAATCGAGAACACTAAATCCTAGCCCAAAGCTTACCGCCTGCTTCCCTACATTGATCGCAATGAGCATCTCGGAGGTGTGGGCCTGGTACGAGTCGACAGCGTATGCCAGTGTGAAGCAGTAGTAGAAATAGCCGCCCCACGACGTCATGCCACCTCCGAAAAAATAGCCTATCCAGTGCAGATTGTACTCGGCAGTGAGGCCGAATACGACAAGTCCAGCTGGGCCTATGATCATAGCGGGCAGCATAACCCCCAGCCTCATTTCGGCTTCGCGGATGCCGTTGTTGCGTCGTGTCAAGTATCCGGCGAGTCGGTCTGACGAGGAGCTGAACGGAAGCGCAAGAAGGAAGCCGATGATCGATCCGAGAGATTGTACGCCGGAGCTCGCCTTTTAGTTATAGGTACCTAGTTGTTAGCTACCCCCATACAAGTGTGGATCACAGCGAAAAGAAAAAGGGGTAGATTCTTACCGTAGACCAATTATACGGCGGCGCCGTGATTTTGATCGGGAAAACGAAGTTGAACGCCAATGCACCTAGACCGATGATGATCCCGAAGGAGGTGATGACCCATAGGACCTGAGGAACTAGGAAGTAGGTGAATGATCGCCACACCAACGCCACGACATTGATGTTAGGATCCACGCGGCCCCATGGAAGAAGCGTTTCGAGGTACGTTTTTCTTCTGGAGGTGCTGGATACCTCTTCGACAATGGGCTCCTCGGGTTTATCGGAGGCGTTCGATATCCTCACACCTTCTAACGGCTCTGCAGTCGATGTGTTTGGGTTCCTGTGCGCTTCGCGGTCGTACGACGATTCTTCTGCGAACAGGAACGCGAGAATGAATAGGGCTACGGCAAGAGCCAGGGCGACGTAGAAGAAGAGCTTCCACGAGTACTTGGTCGATAGCATGTAGGCAGCTGGGATGGGCGCTATCGCTGCGAAACACATGCCAACTGGGTAAAGCGAGGTGAGCAAAGCTGCAAGTATGCATCCATGGGAGTAGGGTGGGGTTACATGTGTAATAACCGATGTATTTTCCCCGCTCATGCAAGAAGAATATATCGTTCACGAGCTGTACCGGCAAAGCCTCGCATATGCCAGCTCCGAGGCAGTGTATGATCCGCGCCGCCATCAATCCACCGAAACTTTTGGCCTGTGAGCATCCGGCGAGACCAGCGATGAACTGTAGCCCTAGGGTTAGCGTAGCATGACATGGCATGGGCGGTGGTCCTGACTTACAGCTAGTAGGGAGCCGAGCATCACTGGGCGTCTTCCGATCTTGAGATATAGGGGCACTAGGATAATCGAACCAAAGCCGTAGACAAGATTGGGGTACGATATAAGCGTCGACGCATATGCCGGGGAGACCTCGAATATTTCCGCCCAGAGGGTCAGATAGGGGCCCGGCCCAAGGAGCGCTGCATTGCCAAGAAACGAATATGTACAGATGATGACTAGTATCATGACCTTCTTGAACTTCGGCCACTATGATGGATTAATCCCACTACAATGGAACCTCGACGACGAAGGTTGGGTTGGATGATATGGCACATACTTGTAAAGGGTCGTTCGGATCCTCTGCTGGAACGGGAAATAGTGCTTGGCCGTGGTAGCTGTCGTCTCCCTCTGCGCGAAGAATGTCAACGTAAGTTTAGCTTTCAAACGAAGTCAATCCATCAACACTTACCAATAGCCTGGACGTTGACCGTCCCAGGAATGTCCCCTTCATGAGCATGGCTGCGCACTAGGTGCGACTTGCGATTTTGAAGTCCGCTGGCGATTTTAATCGCCATTTCTAGGTACTTTAACACAGAATCGAGGATGGAATGACAACAAGATGTTGGATTTCACGTCGAGAACGACGAAGACACGAATCACTAGATACTCATATACTTCAATAACATTGGCACCGCGTTCGAGAAGTCTTCTGTAATGATAAGAACGTACCATGCCTATAATGAACCTTTTCGGCAGATGTAGTAAGCCGTCACAACGGTTTGCGGGTATCACTCTTAGCTGGGATAGGTTCTCGCCCAACTCAGCCTAAGCATGCCGGGGATACTGTGCCGAGCCGGATCTCCAAACCCCATATACAGAACCCTGGCGGTTGTACTCCAATGTCATCGTCGTAGGTGAGTGCCGCGTTACATTTACCCCGCGATCCAAGTCCCTTCCCAGGATTTAATAGATTTCGGATAGGTATCCGGCCAATGATGTTGAGGTAGATATGAACCCCTATGCGGAGATTGTAACTTGAACTGAAAATGCCTGTAGGAATGTCTATGCCCTGGACTACCCTGGTACTCTCGGTTTCCTAGTTTCGATGGTGAGTTAATAATACACCTCCTTTCTAAGAATCTACCGATGGAAGGTTAGGTAGATTGCCCCTTGCTAACCTAGTAGTTCTCTTCTATATTTTCTCGAAGCGTAACAGACTGGTTTTGCTCTTGTTAAAATATGTGGTTAGGCCTGGGTTCACAATTAGCACCAGGCAACTGTCACTTGCCTAACTGTCAGATTATGGCGCTATACTAAAAGGTGAATGATTGAACTTTCGCTGTTTGTCTTTAGTTTATGTCGGTATTTTTGATAATAATCTAATGTGTAGTTCAGTCAGCACGTATATTGATGTCCTGATGTTGCTCATAAGCTGCCATACTGAAATCACTTTCCTTGGCCTTCTCGGTGCTTGTAACGTGGTCGTGGTCGGATTGTATGATTCAATATGCAGCTATGTAGGTATGCTGGGTGCATGTATCGAGGGTCTCGTCGGGGTATCGTTTATACGGAGGGCTCTGGAAGATTTCAGTACACCTTTGCGATCTTTCTGGCGAAGCTTGAAGGGCACTCCGCCGTTGTAGAACTTTTAGAAACGTATCGGCAATGGACAGGAGACGATTGGGACATCCTGCTTGACCTTGAAGAAGAACACGAAAAGGATCATGTCGGTTACTATGCAGGCGTTATCATTCGTCGAGGTTAATACGCTGACAATGAGTAGGCCGAACTACTGGCTTCACTACATCAACTCAAGAGGGAAAGAAATAATACCAAAATAAGACAGATAGGCACACATTTCATAAACGAAAAGGATTTGACGAAAATAGTCTAAAATAGACTCTAAGACAGATTCTAAAGCGGATATCATCAATGAGCGAGCAGGCTCTGATAGCAATGCCACAGCACCGGTATTCGCGGGAAGCGACCGAGACTACGACACAGTATCACTTCATTCAAACGATCAGGCGCAAATCGACCCCCTTGTTAAAGGAGCTCCCGTTGATGCCAGACTGTTAGAGGAGCTTCAAGCACCAGATTCAGATTCAGATATTTTGGTACCTTTTCACCCAGCCCAGGTTGATCAGACAGATATTCAACCAGGGCCACAGAGTGAGACCAGCGAGGAACAGGAGAGACGCCAGGAGATATTGGATGACATTCTGGGAGAGAGAGAGGCCCAATTTCGCCCCGTGGGATGGGCATGGTAAGGCTCACGCTGCGGCATGGTCGGTCTATGTCATTGATTTCTAGGCATCACATTTGATTTATCGCCTCCTTCCGCGCATGAATATTACCCGTTTATTAACCTGCAATACTACCTAGTACTCCGATCGTGGAAATGGGCATCCATAGGCGCCAGTCCTTGAAGTCTACCTATGTACTTTGTAGAGACCGCGACCTCACGGGAGACGGCAAGGACTTTATATACCTAATTTAATCAGACGCAGGACTCAATTGTTTTCGACTTATTTCTTATGAACGATTTGGATTCTGGAACTGCCCACTAAATCAGGCGATCTCCTCTATAATACAACCGCAGAGGTCTTGTGCACCATGAAGCCGGTAAGCAACTCCTAAGCCGTAGGATGGATCTTCGCGTTCCTCCTGATTCTCTCTCGCAATGCATTACATAACCATACCGTACCGTCATAGCGAGGGCATCGTATCCTTGATCACGCTCTCAGGCTGCACCTCGTCGATCTTCCAGTCCGCGATCCACTCTCTCTCCTCCTCCGCCTCCGCCTCCAGATGCGCCGGGTGATCTTGCCACCGCTTGTCTTCCGGGGCCAGACTCGACAGGCCGAAGCTGCGGTAGATCTCCTCCGCCTTGCTCGTGCAGGCCGCGACGAGGAACTGGAAGCGGATCGCCAGCTCATGGGCCTTTGCAACGTCGGCGTCGGTCTCGGCAGATCTGGCATCCATGACCCGGGCGTGCAGATGCTTGAAGTCGCAGATCCTGTGGTTGGCTTCGTTGAGCATGGCCGCTTGCGTCAAGAAGTGCTCGTTCTTCATGATTTCGAAATGGTTCTAAGAAACGAGGGAAAGTGTTAGGGAAAAGCATGTATGTATAAGAGGAAGATACTGGGAGTGAATGTTTACCTCGACCTGCCTGTAGAGGGTGTTAAATTTCATGGTAGCGACTGCATAGCTGTCTGGTTCTTCCTCATATCGGGGATCATGGAAGATATCTCGACCGAAACCGGATGGGATTCGTAGTGGATTGTAGTGCAGTTGTGCATCGACATCATAGCCATAGATGGATTCATAACTGGTTTGGGCCGTGTCTTCGATCTCCCATATTGGTGGGGGCCCGGGTGCAGACGGGTCAATCTCCATTGGTGGATTGATATTCGAAATTCTGTGAGGGAATGGTATTCATAGGAAGTTTTCAATTTGAGTAATTTTTAATAAAAATTAAGGGTAGTACTTTGGGATAGCTTAGAGTAATGTGACAATTCAAGGCATTGAATATGGATGGGACATGAAGAGCGGAAGGTACGATCAGGCATCTAAACTCCCTCATGCAAACAAACTCATGTGGGAATTGCGGTAATCAGAATATACTAGGCATCTACGCAGGTGTAGCCATCAATTACATGTGTAATGTCTACGGGTCATACGGTCATATGAAGATACATGGGATGAAAGCCTTGATATCTATGGAAGGAGCTCTTGATAGTCTAATACGGGGTATGAGAAAGAGTTGAGTCCAGACACATCTAAACGCGAGCCTCCCGCCTTGAAGACAAAATAACGATCTTGCGACAAGGTCCAACATTTAATAAATTTAATTGTACAGAGATTTGAAAGAATCACATGAAATAACTCACTCATAAAGTATCGCATTGGGTTAACTAGTACTGATCTACTTCATTAAAAGTGCTCGTAGAGAACGTTCCAATATCTCGGCGATAGAGACCGGAGCTATTTTGCTGAATATGGAAGTTAGGCGGGGAATGTAGTTACTAGCGTCCGAGTAAATGTGGGTCTCGGATCCGCGTGCGGGTCTCTCCTTCCCCGAAAATATCAGGAGGTAGGAGATTGATGAGTTCCAAGCTCATTAGGTATCAAGGCACTTGAGGCAGGTGCTTAATCGGTTGGTCCAACATGCACTGTGCGCTAACCCTAAGTACCTACTACTTAGCAATCGCATTGAATCATTTATTTACATAAATGCCATGTGGCATCCATGGATGGTAGCTACCTACCAAGTACTCTAGATACTAGGTTAGGTAGTCTTTAGTACCTAACTCCAGATACTTGGAGATGCTGCGGCAGGTACGCCAGATCGAAAGTGTGACGCACTGTAGCATGTACGTATTCAAATATCGAGGTAAGTGGCCTGCACCCTTAGATCTTCCTTTTTTATCTACACCACTTAGTTACCACATCCATATCTCAGTATTCTTGACTCGGCAACTTAGCTCATTCGAAAATGGATAAGGAGTAATGAATGGGATATCACTTTGCCTAAGGTTGTCTTGAAAACAAGTAAAAGGATGTTAAACTTGCATGAATGAGTTGTGGATTAAGATTTTTGTTTAATATAATGCTTCATTGGTAGGAGCCGTCACATGGGAGCTCTTTCTTGCCCTCTATATGTTCGTTGAGTATATTCGAAACATTTTTGGACCTTGTATCCGTATAGTATGACAACTGTAGTAATGAGGTGTTGCATAACTAACTACTGTAATCCGTACTCCCAAAAATTCTTATTGCTACCTTGGAAGGGGGATTAAGGTCTATCAAGCAAGTCTTGGAATCCATTCGGAATTAGTTACAGGGACATAATATCCCGCGCTTCATTTACCTGCATACCTAGTACCTACATCGATTTACTTTCGAGCTTGCATGTGCTGCAGGAGACAGTAACTTACCTGGCAGTGTTTAGTGGTTGGGAATACCCCGGATTCATGATGCGTGAGCCTAAATCAAGCCCCACCAACTAATAGTTTCCCACTAGCCCCCGCACTCTACTGGTCGTAAATATTTACTTTTACTTACTCCTTACCAACATCGAAATTGCCCCAATACAATACACACCTATCGCCAGAAACACAACCACACCTTTAACCAACCCTCAACATCAAACCCGCACCGACATCTACAAATCGACTCAATGGCCACCACAACCTCCTCAACAGGCACAGCCTCCTACGGGGACTGCGTCGCCGCGCTGCAAACCTCCCTCTCCTTCCTCGAGTCCTCCGTCTCAACCCTCGGCACCGGCATCGCCGACTTCCCACGTCTAGTAAACGTGCTCAAGACCGTGCGCGTACGTACATACTTACTCACCCTTCCCCTTCCCACCACACAGATTTCCATGCTAACACTTAGATGAAAACCCCCCAAAACAGCACTACGAACTAATCCCACAACCCACCCTCGCCGCCGCCGAAGCCTCTTTGCGCGACGAGATCAGCCCCGCCATAAGCCTCCTCCTCGACCGCGCCTCGACGCACGTCGCGCGCGTCGAGCGGCACATCGACGCGCTGAAAGCGCGGTCGGAGCTGCAGCAAGGGCGGCTAGAGAACTCCTCCGACCCCGCCAACTCCAAAAAGGGAAAAGGATTAAGCGGAGGAGGAGGAAGAAGTAATAGCAGAAAGCCGCTGTCCGGGGAGGCGAAGCTGCGCGCGCGCGCCGTGCACCAGAAGAAGGAGGCGCTGCAGTACAGCGTGGAGCGGCTCGAGCTCGAGGTGCTGCAGAAGGAGCGCGAGCTGCGGAAGCGGTTGGATGTTGCCGCGTGAAGCAAACACAGACGGCAAAAGAAAAGAAAGAAAAAAGAAAAAGAAAGCAAACGGACGAAACAATGTCAAATAATGAAGACAAAGTACATCGTAATCTGATTGACGGCACTTCGAATACGGCAATACACAAACTTTTTTAGAGGGAGAGAGAGAGGGAGGGAGGGAGAGAGAGAGGGAGGGAGGGAGAGAGAGAGGGAGGGAGGGAGAGAGAGAGAGAGAGAGAGAACAAGGATGACGCATGCAAAGGAAGAACCCCCACGACGAAACGAGATGGCACGAAACAAAACGAAACAAAACGAAACGAAACGAAACGGCTCTGGACCCAGCCCTGCAGCATCACAATGAGCCTCAGAACTTTCGACAAGGATCACTTACTCACCTACCTATTAGGTAGGTAAGTATCCAGCACTCTCCATCACCGCGCTGGACACAACCACGACGCAAGGAGAAAGAAACGCCGTTGAAATACGCGTCTATGGCCAAAATCCTCCAACTCCAAACCCCTCGCTCGTAATTAATCATAATTATTGGCCTACCTACATCCCTAGCTACTTAACCTAGATACTTCCCTATCACGCGTAACTACTGAATTGGGAAGTTGTTAATGGAGGAAGCCTTGAGCCACTAAGTCACTTCGGAAGGCCAACTTTGAGACGCCAGGGAGAGAAGGAAGGATGTGGCTTGGTTCTCCTAAGAGTTGATTACAGCGACAAAATATGCCGACAAGTCCAACGACCTTACCAGAGAAGGAACGCGGTTACAGGGTGGAAATCGGCATGTTATGTGCCAACGTGCACTTAGACTGCTAGACCCAGATTATCCGCATCTTACGCCTGAATTAAGTTAAGTTACACCACGATTTCTAGCTTGTAGAATTTCGCATTAGATTAGCTGGTCATAAATAAAAATCGAGGCCTTAGGTACTTTTAACGGTCTCTTTTCATTGACTGATACCAGAGTTGTACCTATTCTCCTGGAATCCGTGAACCAATGGGGCGTGACGTTCGTAAATCCCGTTTCGTTTCAAGAAGACTCCGTTGATTGCCCTGCTCGCCGATTCAAAAACCGAGAGCGTATATAATGCTTTGAAAGGCTGGGAGAAGACAGGCGGTGGCTAACCGCGAGTCCAAAAAAAATAAGAGCAGAAAAACGAAGGAGTTTCGCCGCAATAGCATCGCACACCGTAACGGTATGGATAGAGAAGTAGGAAAGGAAGAAAAACAATAAACAATAAGCCGGCCTTCATTGGAATAATAGTAAAAAAACACGAGCCTTGAAAAAACAGCACAAAAATAGCTACATCCGCCGATAGTGGTAACCCCGATTTTACTCCAAAGCGTGTCCATGGCCCTGTGTTTTGTACGCATCTTCTAAACCCATTCAAAATACAAACCTCGCCCTCTCGCCCGTGTATCCGGCAACTCAAGGATTCCATTGTATTTTTTTTGGTCCTAGGCCGAGGAAATTCACAGCGAGATACTTCGCAAGAAGTACACTAGCCTTCTCATAATAATATGAGGTAGTTGCTGGGAGCAATTCCTGTATCACCGTTTGATTTTCGTGCTTGCCACCATCGGCCACTGACATCGCTGACTTCGAGAACTTCGTGTTTGGCGAATGATATTTCATTCGCATCGTCGGGGTTGGCTTCGTAACTGTAAATAGCCTTGGCCTTGTACGGGTATTCAGTTGGGGCGGCAATTTCGGGATCGTTCTGTTCTGCTGGTGGTGGCGTCTTGTTGGCAGTAGCAGGGAATGCCGGACCGGAACCTGAGTTTCGGACAGCATTGCCGTTGAAACCACCAACGGGAGAAGGATTCTCGAATCCGTTTAGTTGCGCGGAAGTATACATCTGTGGCGGTTGGACAGATGTCGAGGTTTCTGGTCGACCACCATATCCACCGTTCATGGCATGTCGGCTTGTGGACTCCTTAGCTAGTGCGAAGGAGTCAATGTATGCACGTGGCACAGCAGATGGCGCAGATCCGAAGTAGAAAATCCAAACAACCTACGCCATGGTTAGTTGGTGCATCGCTTCGTCATAAGGCATATTGTTGGGAGAGGCTGGTGCTCGTATATTTATGGGAGATACGGGTTCAGACTTACATTGACCATGGACAGAAGAATAAACCCAGCCGCAGCAGCTTCCCTAGATCCCTGAGGATCGTAGACTAATGCGTTCACAGATGAAGTGGTAGCCACTAAACCACAAGCCAAATAGCCAACAATCGCTACATGGTATGTTTGGACAACATCGGACGCAACTACAATAAAGATGCCAATTATTAACGGTAGCATGAAAACTACCGCGAACCACGAGTATGGGGGGTAACCATCAACCGGCGTTGATTGTATCTGAGCAATGATTGAGCTAATGAAGCAAATGACCCATGCCAGCTGAGTAAATCTGTTAGCGTTACACGTTCTGTAGAGGGGAGTTTTTTCTTTAATTATGATGCCAGAAGCATCTGCATTTGCTCAACTTACCCCTGCGATAGAAATTGTAGCTAGGGCGAACGGATCGCCAATAATATTAGACATATTCATGCCTTTACGGCCGTAACTTGCCCGGGAGTGTTCCATTTTGCGCAATGATGGAGAATGAAGAGATCCGTACGAGGGCATAAGGAAATAAGAATAGCTTCAAGCTTTTAACAATGGGTGAAATTCAATCAAAAATCGAAACCTGGTAAACCGCTATTGGTCACTTGTACATAGGATGCGAGGCGATGAGGCGATATATGGATTGGATCGAGAGGGTCTTTGTTGGACTTTGGCTGATCTCCTGATAGAAGATTGTGGCTGTGTCCGAGATAGTTGTAGAAATAGAAGCCCAATGAGCGAATGAGTGGTTGGTCGATTTAAATTAATTGATTGGTGGGTGATCCGAGTATATTCGATGAGTGACCCAAAGTACAGCTTAGCTGATGAATTGTAAGTTGTCGATTGGAGTTCAATCTTTTAAAGGAGTGACTAGAGTTGGAGCGTCTAGGAGGTTGAGAAAGACTGAATCTCGTGGAAATGGAAATGAAAGAACAATTCAGATTTCCAAGTCCCGTCGAACGAGCAAGCGTTGTAAGCTGGACTGATTTTTAGTGGGTCGCTACGAGGACTAAGGGCCAAGGTAGCCAAGGTAAAACGGTGCAGTGTCCTTGGTAATAAGCAGTACAACTGTACGTGGGAAGCTGATGCGACCGCGTACCCCTTGCGAATGAAAAAGAGTTCAGCGGATATCTCGAACTTGGTTGGTCCCAAGTATTTTTCCACGCAACCACCAAGAAGAATCAAATAAATAAAGAAGAATAAAAGAGAGAGAGAAACCAAAGGTCGAAGTCAATTATAAAAGTTGTGATATACGAATCCAAAGTCCAGTCGGCAAAGAATTATTAATAAGAAGTCGGATGGGAGGTGGAGAAAGCCTATAGTTTAGAACGTAAGAGAGTCTATAATCGTCCAAGTTGCTAATAGGATCTTTCGATTTGATCTGTTGAGGGCGATGAGAAGGAGACGGGAAGTAAAATCGAAAGCGGTCCCGAATTACGAGGATATTTCGGTATCAAGGTCGATTATGTCCCTTTTCTGATTTGATATATCTCTTTCCTTTATTCCCTTGAACCTCTTTTCTTTTTTCCCCGATTAGCAGTGAAGCCACACGTTTCTTTCTTTCTCCTCGCAGTTCCTGACGGCGTCAAAACGGTTATAGCTGTAAATTACCGGCCACAATATATGTACGTCGTGAAAAGCGAAGTTGGATCGTTCCACGGTTGCAAAGCCTGGCTGAGAATCGAATCTTATGATGAAATGATTGACAGAAAAGGCTCGTCTTCGCGATGACTGGGGGGTGGTGGGATAGAGGGTTGGAGGGGATGGGGGAAAAGAAGGGACAGGCAGCAAGCGTTCGAATGAATGGGACGGAGCAGCAGGACGGGCAGGACGGCAAGATGGGGAAGGGATGGATGGATGTATGGGAAAAGGTTAAAGGAATCAAATCAATCAATCAAATCAAATCAAATGGAGAAGGGGGTAAGAAAAGATGGATGGGTGGAGCGTGCGTCCCGGGGTCGCACCAGACAAGTGTAAATCGAAGTTCCCAGGTTCCTGACGAATTTATGTAATGGATGATAGAGAGGGGGGTTTTGTACTACATAGTAAGTACTTTGATAAACTCTATATCATGAAGGGAGTTCATGTACTTTTCCTGATTATCATATGTACCGAAGCTAACAATAATTACAAAATGAGCTCTAAAAAAAACATCTGAGGGCCTTACGAATTCCCCTGCAAATGTTCCTGAACGATACCTATTTAGGTTAGAAACCTGTCTGGGGTAAGGACTGTTATCTTATTATCTTACTCTTTCATCCTTGTTCTCCGAACTGATTTGACTGGGAAGTTCTATGAGCTTTTACCACGATACCTCCTCATTGGCTTGAAAATAATTGTGCAGCTAACTTTGGCCAACACAAACAACATTTACTATTAACTTATTATGTACTAACCAATCTATTGGCATCTACCAAATAATTCCCGTTGAATTTCCAAAGATCATGTTTGTCATAATACTACTTATACTTCAGATCTTCAGATATCGATTGGCAAAGGACTATTCGATTCTATGAATTTACATACGTGTACATCAGCCATCATCCGTGTGTTTTCGTAACCAAAGGCGCTAAAGCAGGAACACAACGAATTGATACCCTAAAATCCAGTCAGTGGCGGCAATTGGCCTGGAATGCAGTGGTTGAGTTGACGATAGGGTTGCGTAAAATGCGCACTTTAAAATAAAATGCGCGTATTATTCATAACCCCTGTAAAATGCGTATTATACCGTATTATTCAAAAGTGGGTCACGTGACCACCCTAGCCTAATACACTTAGTATATACTTACATGTAAACAAACTTTCAACACTTAAAATAATATGGGAAAAATATTTCGAATTGAATTTCAATATATGGGAAATTTTACCATTTTTCCTATGTAATGAGGCGCCCATTTGATCATGCTCTTCGAGCACATTATGATCAAAGTCCAACGCAATCTTCAAAGCTTATGTAGTTCAGCCGGATCACTTAAACGACATATCGAGATTTGCGCGCCTTAGATACCTGTAAAATTAGGTAATATCACCAAATTTTGGTGCAAAATTTACTCCACTTATGTACCGATCCACTTTTCCATTTCGGACCCACTGCATTTTATAATAAAATGCAATATTATATTTGAATAATACGCGAATAATACGTTTGAATAATACATTCCGCAACCCTAGTTGACGATGGTTGGATGATCTAAGATATGGGGAAAGACGGAGTTACATGCTTGTCGTGTCGTGTTTGAGATTCGCCTGGGATTCAAGGGCTTAACTTACCTAGTGCAGACTCTGCAGAGGGTAGCCAGGCATGAAGAACTCAAATAGTCACTCGGAATCTTGGCCTACATGTTGAAGATCCATCTTCGATACATCTGGTCTGGTGCATGCTACATTGTACATATGCATCTAGGTACATATGTATGAAGTCAAAATCTTTCAAGACAAGCATCCGGCATGGTCCACAGGTCGTCTTTTCAACATTGAGTCACTTATGGCCGTGTGTACGATGATGTATTCGTTTTCCTCCAATGCAAGATACAACTCTCACGGACCCAACCGTTTTCCCGTTCAAAGCCGAATTGTATCATAATTGCAAACGTGTATCAGATGATTAAATCTTCCTCCCTGATCGCATACACCATACATCCTATGTGTGCTTCCTCTGTCAAGTTGTCAGCACAGTTAAAGCCAATGATATGGAAGGTGATGGCGTTATGTAGGGGCAAGAAAGATCGATTCGAGTTTCACAACGCTCGTCAGACTCCAGCGGTTCCAAGGCCTCCCGCGATAGAGGGTTGCAGTGACGTGAGATATGACCCGGTTCCAATTAAGTTTGTGATGCACCTCCAACTTTAAGCATCTGACCATAGGAAAGTTAATCACCATCTAGACCACACCATGTTATACTTCGTGGTAAAGATATCCTCTCCCTGTGGTTTGTTTCAAAGCTGGAACTTGGCCAGGATGATCACCGATCTATGTATCCGATGCATACACCAGCAGAAGAGTAAATGACGACTGTCCGAATTTGTAACTCAACTACATATGTATGTAGCATTGAACCTATGACAGTAGAAGGGGTCTAGGTTAGTATGTTGGCCTATCCGAAATCGTCGAAATTGTAATACATCGTCAACATGTAAGTAAGTGTGCCACTAATAAGCCACTGATTCCATTCAGTTCGATGATGTGGTGCGAGTTTCTAATTCACCATGTACATCAACTAACTAGTGATCTCTCGTACATGCATCCTAAATATCTCCTTCCAATACCTGCCTAGGTACCTAATTAGTAACAAGTTAGTCACGAGTCCATGCTCGTATTAATATGTAGGCAGACCATTTATGTCTGTGTTCAAGCTACCCATTCCTTTGGCAATCATAGTAAGCGGCACAGATTCCTTTTCCTTACATACTTAGCAGGTCGAGGAGGCTCAAAGCTTTCCACAAGCGGATATTAAGCAAGCCCAAATCTGGACTTTCGATCTTCGCTGCGACTTTTTCATGCACGCAATACTCGACAAGGAAGCAGAGGTGGCTCGGCGCACCTGGATCCCCTCTACCGATCCCCCTGAAGGGGGAAAGCCAAAATATCTAAGCCTGCAAATCACACATCTCAACAATATTCCATGCAAAAATTTTCTTATATGTGTAATATAGGTAATAGGTACAGTATTCGTCCATCCGTGCCATGCCATCCTCCCCATAATGGGATGGTTGACTCTTGAAATGGCAATTTAAAAAGGAACGGCCTAAAGGGCTGCATTAGCCCCAAAAGCCGGTTGTATCGGCTCACAGATGAGTCCCGTTTCGTTTGGTACTTTGGTCACGGTTCGGCACCTCCAGCTCGAACGACACATGGCACAAGAAAGCACTTGCCACATGTGGCTTGCGTATGATTAGTGGTTCCAGTGTTCAAGTTCAATGTTCTTAGTCAGAAAAGTTCAAACTCCATCAACGGCATTACTCACGATACTAGTAGCTACCTGGTACTGGGGAGGAACATGGAGAGCATAATGTAATCTCGATGTGTTAGGCGAGAGCAAATTATCAGGACTCCGCATCATGAAATTGCTATTTGGAGTTGTTCAAACACAAAATAGGGACGAGCTATTCGGGCACGGGGCACATGTTCGTCCAAGCAATGTTGCAATTCTACTCAGATTTGGCTCTTCATGCTTAATAGGCATGCAACTCGGAAGGAGTATTGATTTGCTGCTTATCCTCTCCTGTGACATAGCCTTCATAGAGTTGCATTAATGAGATACTCATGGCAGGCAGAAATCTCATGCCGAAAATCCCGTAATGTATGTAATATCTCTGCTCAAACTTCAGAGCACTTCACCATGAGATCATATCCTTCATAATCGATTTCCGTGTGTTCCTCTGCTTGCAATATTTCGGATTCTCTTTAATTATGGGCAGTAGGCAAGGTAACGGTGTCAGTTCGAAGTCTACAGCCTCTTTTGCCGGGGTATCAATATCATCGTCGTGATGGCCCATCCGAGGACCTCAACGGTTATTCTCGTAAACGGTGTCGTCGGAATGGTCTCAAGTGATTGGACAACAAGCCAAACAGTGTTATTCAGTCGTCCGCTACCATGTTGCATCGTAGATAGTCCATGATGGCCACCCACTTTCAAATCTCAGTTCTTGCCTTCTCCACTCTTCTCACAGAGCGCTCAGCCCTCTCTACGCGTCCCTCCACACCTGCCACAAAGTTCGAGTACCCCAAGACGTCACCCTCGTACCAGCGGCGTATGACATCCTCGCTGCGGGCTCTCAGCTCCGCGATTTCGGCGGCCTGCGCCAGCTGTGTCGCCTCGATGCCCTTCATACGCGGCAGCAAGGACGCTAGGCTCGCCGTGTGCGCCGGGTCGGGCACCGGTGTGTCGGAAATGGCTGTCAGGGCAGACGCAGTAGCGGGGTATGAGGATGCAGCGGCGAGGACAATGGCGCGCAGAGCATCGGAGGAGAGTTCAGACGGAGGCTCGGAGGGAGGAGGAGGCTGAAAGAGCGTTGGTTGAGATTTGTCTAAGGAGGATTAGCTTAGCTCCAGATCTTTGCAGATACGAAAGTGGTGGAACATACAGAGTTTGAGGAGCTCGGCGTACACGCGCATTCGTTGGAGGAGAATCCCAAATCGATGTTCGAGCTCTTGCATGCTCCTGGTCGCCGATACTTTGGGTTGTTGTGTTGTGTGGCCGAATAGCAAATGCTCTATGCGCATGAGGCGCGCCTCGAGCAGAGATATAGTAGAAAGCGTCGTGTTGTCAAGCGTAGAACCCATGTTGAATTATTAGCCCAATCTAATGTTTCAATGGCAGAGGCAACACTTCATTCAATGTTACATAGTAGGTACACAAGAAGGTTACAAGTTTAGATGTTGCAGCTTAAAGCGATAAGGCTGAATGTTGAATGATTACATACCTACAGATAACGGGCTGAACTCCCCAGTTTTTAGAACCATTAAAGAGACCACCCCTTGTCTTACAGGCTAACCGCAAATAGGCTAAGCTCGGCTAGCTAGGATGGGGATTCTGAATGATTGGTTAGAATGAGCTTACGGCGGCAGTCTTCAATGGGGCTATTGGAGCTAATGGGGAGATTGTACTACACTAGGTGGCTCGACGCCAACTGTCAGCTGAATGCGTTCAAGGTTCAACTCAATTCCATTTTGGCGTCAATTATCATCATTCTTTTACTTTTCATCATACGAACTTGATGAACTAGAATCCGCCATCGCCTTGCTACCGAACTCACTTTTCTAACGAAACACCGAACCCCCGCCACGCTAGGCAGACACATAACGTCGCTTATAAAACGAGAAACGTCGAAGCGGTGGAACGGTTAGCACGCGTACACAAGGGCGGTTAAGCATTTAGGAAACCTATTTGTCTTACAATAAAGAGGAAACGAAACAATCTTCATTGAGACACAAATCTTGTGTGCCATCTGGCTTCTTTCAGTCGAGGGAAGCAGTAGTTGTATGAATCTACAAGCTCCTGTGTTATGCCGAATTATTCAGCAATATCTGGAGAGGGTTCCGCCTCCACCGGCGACATGGCAAGGTATGTGCCCACTTGCTATAACGGCGAACTGCCCCGGAAGGTTCGTCGGCGCCACCAATCACTAGTTCTAACGTTAATTATAGACAAAAACGGGCACGCGGCCGGCAGAAGGAGGGTGGAGGGGGCCAGGCCACCATGGTCAGCAGTGTCATCAACCTCCTTAACACCAGTATGATTATTCATATCTCTATACCCGTATTAATGTGCCCCAGGAGCTAACAAAAATCGCATAGTTATCGGCGCGGGAACGTTAGCGATGCCTTCAGCCATGTCACACTTCGGAATGACGATTGGAGTCATCGTAATCTTATGGTCAGGCTTTACATCTTCCTTCGGTCTATACCTACAATCCCGATGCGCGCGCTATCTCGATCGGGGGTCTTCGTCGTTCTTTGCGCTATCCCAGATGACGTATCCAAATGCAGCTGTCATATTCGATGCCGCGATAGCGATCAAATGCTTTGGAGTCGCCGTGTCGTATATGATTATTATAGGAGACTTGATGCCGGGTGTGGTGGAAGGCTTCGACTCCAGGGTCTCTGATATACCCTACTTGACGGACCGGAATTTCTGGATCACCGTCTTCATGCTCGTCATTATTCCTCTAAGCTTCCTGAGACGTCTAGATTCTTTGAAGTATACTAGCATCATAGCTCTGGTTGCTATTGGGTACTTGATCGTGCTAGTTGTCTACCACTTTGCCGCAGATACGCTTGCTCCTAGGGACAAGATCCGCTTCGTTGCGTGGGGAGGACCTGTGGAAGCTCTTGCTAGCTTACCCGTGGTCATCTTTGCATATACATGCCATCAAAACATGTTTTCAATTCTGAACGAAATCAAATATAATTCCCCTGCAAGGTAAGAACCCATTACCCGAATAGCTTGTGCTTATATGCTGACGATACATATAGCATTATGGGTGTTATCTCCACGAGTATCGGTTCTGCAGCTGGAATCTATGTTCTAGTTGCAATCACAGGCTACCTCACTTTTGGCAATGATGTCATAGGCAATATTGTATCTATGTGTACGGCCATCCGAGATTCCTAAAGCTTCATTAGAAAAACTGACCATTTTTTAATAGATCCTGCATCGATCGCCTCCACCATTGCCAAGGCAGCCATTGTTGTCCTTGTCACATTCTCAATCCCTCTACAAGTACACCCTTGCCGGGCATCCGTGGATGCGGTGCTTAAGTGGCGCCCAGCAGACGTATCCCGGCAGGTGCGAACAACTTCACCGGGTGGCCGGCCACTTCTCGCGTCTACTTCCCAGGCGCGGTCAGATCATGGACCGGGTGCCCCCATGTCAGACGTTCGCTTTGCCATTTTAACGACGATAATTCTTATATTAGGTTACATCGTAGCACTTACTGTCGTCTCCCTAGAACGAGTATTGGCTTATGTGGGCTCCACTGGAAGCACTAGTATTAGCTTCATCCTTCCGGGTCTATTTTATTACAAAATCTCTGATCCAGATTCAATTCATCACCAACGCCTGACGAAGGAGGACGACGATGCGATGTCTGTTTCTGAATCCGAATCCGACGATGGAGAGGGCGACGAAGGCCTACTCGGTAGAAGCGTGGAGAGCATCCATAGCGTGGCAAGCGGCTCCAGCGGCAGGACCAAAAGTACCAAGTCTTCCTGGCGGTGTCGCAGGAAGTGGAGGTGGGATATGGAGCACATCAATCCTGAGGTTCTGAGAGGGGCATCTCTCGCCCTAGCTATTTACGGAATATGTGTTATGGCGGTATGTCTAGCGATGAACCTCGTAGGCACTGTAACGACGCACTAAGCTACGTCTTCGCTTTTCCCCCAACTGTATCGATGCTCGGTCAGGGAAAAGAGATATCATGTGTTTGTCTGGAATTTTTGCATTTTCTAAAGGGGGTTTGCATCGCACTCGTTCGGATTTTTCCTTCTTTCTTTTGCATCACATGGAGTTTAAGGGGGTGGATTGGATCGACTATATTCTTGTATATATTATCTAGGTACCTACATATGGTATCTAGGTAGGGTAGGTATTTGAGCCCTTGTCTTCCTTAATGCTAAGAGATTCTGCCTACTACAGCACAGGTATTCCACAACTATGGTTTATTACATATAACTTGAATGCATTAGGTAACCTAAAATTTATAAGCTTTAAACAGCTTATGAGGCGTGGCGGGGTTCGGCGGGATGTTGCCCCACCAAGAATGTTTTTCTCTTGAAAAAAAAGTTGAGCTGATTATCAAGCAGATAATTGTAGACGTCAACTTTAATAAAATTATTCACAATTTCTAAGAACTTCCATAGATCGCTATATCAATACTATTTCTCTTACTGTTATCAGTCGTCTACTTTTCCCTAAACAGAACATCATCAGAAACCTCCTCAAGCGCAGTGGACAGCCCACCATGTCTGCCCCTCACCAAGACGAAATGGACGATGCGCCCGAGCTACTGGATGCCGACGATGCGCTCGAGGAAATTGAAGACGCAGAGGGTGATATCGCTATGGACTCGGATGAAGAACCTGAAGAGATCAGTTTACAAAACGATAGCATAGCCTATTTTGATGCACACAAAGACTCCGTCTTCGCGATCGCTCAACATCCGACACAACCCGCACTTATTGCGACAGGAGGTAGTGAAGGCGACGGAGATGATGCGCCAGGAAAGGGTTACGTCTTCGACACGAGTCCTGTTATCGGCCGCCCTGTTCTACCAGCGAGCTACAACTCCGACCCTGCGCAGCCACAGAAGAACACAAAACTAACCCCTCTATTCACGATTGAGGGTCATACCGACTCTATCAACGCTCTTACCTTCACACTACCGAACGGCGAATTCTTAGTATCTGGGGGAATGGATGGTAGGTTGCGCGCATATAAGCTCGCTATCGATGCGCACGATAAGCCATCTCTCACCTTTCTGGCCGAATCCCAGGAGGTGCCTGAAGTGAACTGGCTGGCCGCCTGTCCGTCACCGAAATTTCCCAACACGATCGCAATAGGTGCTTCTGACGGTTCCGTATGGGTATACACAATTGATGCCTCCGATTCCACGAACCCAATGCAAATCGTCCAAAGTTACTTCCTACACACCGAAGCTTGCACGGCCGGTGCTTGGTCGCCCGATGGCACATTTTTAGCCACAGTATCAGAGGACAGCTCGCTTTACGTATGGGATGTTTGGGGTGAAGCCGCAGCGAAGAGTCTTGTCAACGACAATGGGCTGACTGTTGTGGGCCTCACAAATCAAGACCAGCGTTTCAATGTTGAAGGTGGGCTGTACTCAGTGGCAATCGACCCGAAATCAACATTTGTCGCGGTTGGTGGCGCGGGTGGCGCCATAAAGATTGTAGGACTACCGAGGATAGACTCGGATGCGCAACCCATGTCCAGCAAGCAGAGCAAATCCAAGGCAAAAGGCGCCGACGCCGGTGGCACGCAAGGCGGCACGATACTCGCGGACCTACATACCCAAGCCGATGGAATCGAGTCGTTGCACTTCTCGACGAAGCAGACGCTCCTTGCGGCTGGGAGTGTAGATGGCAGCATCGCTGTGTATGACACGTCGCGAAGATTTGCTGTACGGCGTCACATAAAAGAGGCGCACGAGGAGTTCAGCGTTGTCAAAGTCGAGTTCGTCGCCTCGGGGCTAGGCGACGGTTGGCTGCTCACAAGCTGCGGCATGGATGGTGTGGTCAGGCGGTGGGATGTCCGGGGCGCAGCGAGCTCGACGGAGAGTAGTCTGGTGAGAGAGTGGAAGGGACATAGGGGAGATGGCGAAGGTGGAGGCGTGCTAGGGTTTGTGCAAGGGGCTACCGGGGAGAGAATCGTTACGGCGGGTGATGATGGAGTTGTGCTTGTATTCGAGGCGTAGAAAGCTTCGAGTGCTTGATATACTTAGATCTACGGCCTGCCCCCATGATGGAGATAGTTATTGCGCGGTCATTTGTTGTCTTGTTTATGAGCGAAATGATCTCAGAGCTTAGGTAGCCCAGGTACTTTTGTAATCCTGAGAGAGCAACAGGGGCGGGAAAGGGGTATCTGAAGAAAAATATCACATAGAATAAGCTGTCTACCTAGATAGAATGTGCCCCACTATCCCATCCAAAAAACGTACGTACCATATATAGGTATGTAGGTACTAGGTACTTATGTAATGGCCTTTATCTCGGTCATTGAGATTGGCCTACGGTAAATTGCCGTTACTAGCTGCTTTTTATTCTTAAATAGTTGGTGGTTTTTTTTTTCGCATTGGGTGTTCAATGTACCTAGCCTTCCACCTGCATGAGGCTCCAAATTTCATCGTTGGGGAATCCTACAGATCTAGGTAGGCGTTTAACATCTAGGTATTCCTCTTCGCGCTAAGATAAGTACGCTCGATACTAATTCGGTATACATGCACCGTCTACTACACTACTATGTATGCAGGCGATAGGTATGGATTTGTTTCCATTGTTATATCGCGAGGGCACTGTGCACGTCCATAATCGGTGTTCAGAAAGAGCTCTGAAAAAAAGGTATTACTTATGTAGCAAATTACTGTCGGTTCTGCATTGTAGGAACAGAAGCTTGTAAAGTTCTACCACATCTCTAGTTACTCAATAGGGGGTATCACATGGACTGATGATTTTGGTGATTATCTGTGAGTCACGTGACTTGGTTCTCTCGCCCGGGCATCTATCAATCGTTGCGATGGTGATATTTGGATCAAATCGTGATTAATTATACATAAGGAGAGATGATCTGTAATCCATAGGAACTAAGGAATTGTCTAAATAAACAAGGTAGGTCTATGGGACGGACAGAGGGCCCGGAGCCTCCTGGAGGGCAGAGTTGTCTATTGGATCTTAATCCATGTTGTATATAAGATAGTCAAAATAATTGATTCAGTATCTAACTATTTATAGTTTAAAAAAACCTCCAAGCCTGTGAAGTAATTGCCAGTTAAGGCTACGACTATAAATTTCGCAAACTTACTAGGTACCTAATAATAGAATGTCTACTTGAAGACCTCAATGTGCCATGTAATTCTTGTGATGCCGATATAAATACTCCCATGTGCCGTTGCGAGGAAACAGCTTCTTCCTACATGCCACATAGTGTATTCTTTGAGATCGCCCAAGATGATTTTAATTGGAGTGCTTGGGCTGCTCTCTGCTGCCAGTGGGAGCCTTGTTCCTAGAATATCCCAATCTGAACAGCATGGGGAGAAGACATCTGCTCAAGATATCGAGTGTATGCACAATGGAGAAACAAAAGTTAGTCTGTCTAGTGCTTTATAATATCATCACCGTTTGCCATAATAACGAGAAGACATGATCACTAATAGTAAATAGTTTGGGCCCTGTCCACCGTTGAATTGGAATAGTGAAGACTCAAGAAATGAGAAGAGACAAACCGACAAAACCACTCATAACGCCCTCCCCACGGCCGTGTCGCGAGATATAGTCGTCATTTCCGGAGGCGCCATCACATCTCCAGTAACAATTCCAGATGCCGAAACCACACTCCAACCCTCTGGAACGGTAGTGAAATCTAGCATCACGCCTATCTCCTCAAAGATTTCTGATGTTATGCCATTAGTGAACAAGTGGTCGGAAAATCCGACTGCCGAAAAGGCCTCTTCAGCTATTAAGGGTGTCACTGAGGCCATGATCCAAGTCGGCAGTCTGATCAATACATTGCCTGGTGGTTCATACAACTTGAACGATTGTGAGGCCAAAAAGGAAGGCGTTGTGTCCGAATTCAATATAATTATGTGCAGACTTATCCGCTTGCTCGGAACCTTACAAAAGGGAAAAGATACAAAACCAGATTTGCTGGGCCCTATCACGAAAGATGCCCGTGGCGATTCTGAGAAGATCGTCGCTGATCTGAAAGGCTTGGTAGTTCTGCTTGGGGTCAATCCAATAACAGCCTCTTCTACAAAGCACATCGAGTCAAAATCTACTCATACGAGTTCTCCTGGACAAAAACCGAGCCACATGAGTTCTGCCCGCCCAACATCTAATTGGAATACAACTTCAAGCAGTCCAAAATCCATTTCACAATCCACTCACACAGGCCCCAAGGCAGGCTCTAGTGGCCCAGCACGTACCAGCACAACGCCTACCGGTCCAGAATCTATCACTCAAAGCTCTCATGGTTTCAAGACATCAAACCCTACGCTAAGTACGACCAGTGCAATATCTACAACCCAGAACTCCACACTTCCCGCCCCTTCAACAATCACTGCTTTACCCGTTGGAGCCGCGCTTGTTGCAGTAAAGGACTTCCCCGGGACTACGCCAACCTGGATTGAAACAACTTCACCAGGAGCGAACCACCCCACAATGGTTCCAGGTTAGTCACCAAAAGATTAAACGTACACCTTTGACTTCACCTAGCTAACAGGCATTGCAAGTGTTATTTCCTATCGTGGGGGGGATCCCAGTCCCGAAGATCTGCTTTGGCTGCTTCAACGTTTTCCCGCCCAACATTGAGATTCGGACCCCTGAGTTCTGCTTCCAGCTTTTTGGGACTATTAAAATTGGTAACTGCCCGAGCGACAACAAGAATAATGATAAGGATAATAAAAACAATGACGATAAAAACAATGACGATAAACACAATGACGAAAATAACAAGAACGACGGCGAAAAGGATGACAAGAAAGATGACGACAAGGTTTCAACTACACAGGCATCGCACACCACACAGGCATCGCACACTACACAAGCCTCTCAAACTACGCAGGCTTCTCACACTACACAGTCTTCACAGACCACGAGTTGCAGCAATACACATACGGCAGAACTCACATCGATTAAGTGTATCGCGAAGGCCACGGACCAGCCGAGCCCAGACTGCTCGACAAGTGTCTACACAACGGTGACTGGTTGCAGTGTTACAGCCTCAGCTACTACCACTACATCAATCGTCCCAGTTCCGAGCGCGAACGAGGAGTGTTCATGGCATGCATGTGGCAAGACAAATTGTTTTTCCAAAGATGCAATCAAAAAGCTCGAGGTTCCCCAGAAAGAAGTCAAAGCCAAACGCGGCAATCCACATCTCGGGGATTGGGCCGAACCTGAGGACTATATTGGATACGTGAACGGTGAAAGGGAACGGAATTTCATCATTGGCGAGACGAAGAACGCCTACTCGAGTGATAGGATGGACCTGGGTAATGAACAGGTTGTTGCCGTCAACTTAGTCCCTGAAGAAAACGAAGAGGAGGACAACGGGGTGGTACTGAGTTCCAGTGTTATGCTGTTCAAGAATCAAGTTGGAACGATAGCTCTGAGAGGCTTGCATGGATGTACTTCCATAGTGGTCGTATCGCGACGAGGAGCATGGGTCTCACATATCTACACGGATGCATTTCTAACGGGCGACATGGACGTTTTTCGGAATTGGGTCCTCCCGAATATCGGACGAGGCCTCTCCAAAGGCCATCCATACTACGAATTGCACAAATATGGCCTGGCAGAAATGCGCGGCTATAAATGGAACGGCGAAATCGGTAAAGTCTTTGGTGACGATATTGTTGATGATCCAGACAACCACATCTTCATATTTACGCCTCGGCCTGCTGTACCCAAGGAAATAGTCCCTCGCTTTGCTGGCTCCGTTGGCCACGACTACGCATTTGTCGACCCGGTCACCGGGGGTCTGTTAACGGACAGCCAGTTTCAAGGCGAAAATTTAGAAAAAGGAAAGATCAGGTTCGGGCAAGAACTCATGGAGATGGCCGATTATGTGAAATCAATACTATGGTCGCTGACGACGAGACCGCCGATCGAAGCAATCGACTACGCTCCCATGGTCCTGGGCTACGAAGACTATAAGAAGATGTCGGTCACCGATAAGCAGAAGAATACTGAAGAAGCTATGCGCACCCTGAGAGATGATTATTTCCAAACACACCGTGGCAAGTTTCTGCTGCAGTACCGCCCCGCCAAATGCGATCGCCAGCCCGCATGGCGTTTGTCGTGGGTAGAGGATACGGTGCTCCAGGTCCGTCAAGCGTCCTGGGCCCCATATGACAATCAGCATTTCCTGCGGATGGCTCGCCGCGACAATACGGACAATAGCACCTGTTCTATACCTGCGCAATCGAGCAAACCCGCTTCTTCTTCTTCTTCTTCTTCTTCTTCTTCTTCTTCAACGACGAAGTCAACGATGAAACCTACAACCACATTAACAACCTCACCCAAGCATAATTCAACGTCAGCAACAACTACCTCGTCCACACTGACCAGGAAACCAAGCTCGTCGCCAACCCCCAGCTCACTGAGCTGCGACCAAGCAGAATGTTCCAAGCGCGCGTGTCCCAACGGCGGGAAAGCGAGCTGCATCGCATCCGAACAGCTCCCCGGCGATAAGGGGTTTGCACGGTTCTGCACCTGTCCCAAGGCCAGTTCCACGTCCACTGCCAAGTCCACGTCCACCGCCAAGTCCACCAGCACCACGCAGTCGCAGCCATCCAAGCCAACTTCGACTTCAAAGCCAGCGTACGAGGAAGGGACCTGCAAGCTCCACGTCCGCGAATACTCCGCCGGCATGTTCAAAGGTCTGCGCGTGGAGATGAACCTAACCGACAACGCCGGGCGCCTCGTCCACGCGTTCCCGAAGAAGGAGGTCGGGTGGCTGACCAAGGTGTCGCTCAACGAGGCCGCGCAGAAGCTGCCGCACGTCCCCGCCGTCTCGTTCACGGGCACGCTGCCGCCGGGCGTGGCGGTGGAGAAGTGTGGCACCAAGAAGCGGGGGGAGGAGGAGCAGCAGCTGGAGAAGAGGTGTCTCGGCTCGCAGTACAGGCAGTGGGTTGTCCAGTTCGAGTATGGGACGCAGAGCTGGACGAGCGCGCAGACGGATGGGGGGAAGGTGCCGTATTGTAGGACCGGGGGATGGGCGGACCACGAGGTCGGCGCGCCGACGAGGGATATGGATTGTTTTTTTAAGTGTTAGGGGGGGTTGCTGGGGAAGAGGGATGGGAGGCGTGGTAATTTTTTTTGGCATTGTAGTTCACTGGTTAAAAGTCGTGGCGTGAGTGTTTCGTGGTGTTAATCAGTAGGTGCTAGGTGCTTAGGTAGATCGATAGGGGTAACCTTGGTAGGAACACTTCCTACCTAGTACGTATAGCTGAATACCTTCAGGGCTTCTATTGTGTCCTAGATATATCACGACGTCAGCCTCATTCCTTCTAATCTAGGTAGTTTTGCAGCATATACCCAACTTCTAGCTCGCTTCGATTCCCTCGTTTTATGTTGGCAAAATCAGAGTAGCCTTTGGAAGATATCGAATGGATTGGAATGACCACCCTACACAGCTACCTAGTAGGTACCTACCTAGGTATTGTACTTGGTGATGTTGTGGGAAATATATAGAACCTCCTACTCCCGTAGTAATTCATCTGGCACTTTCCTAAACCCCCATTGAACTGATCATTCCCTTGCAGGCGTTCCCCGGTTAAGTACCGACTCCCATTGATGTAGTTCCTTCCCTATTGCAATATTACTGCTGCCACAGTGTTGACTGGTCGAAGCCCATAAAATATGGACCATGTCCTACATAGTACCTATTGGCTATAGGTAGGTTACACACCTAGGTACTTAACAATGGAGGCGAGAAGGTTCGCGATAGTCTCCTAGATACTAATTAGGTCGGTTCCTTCCTCGCCTAAGAAATTAGCCAAGTGGTTTGATGAATCCTCAGAAAACACTGTGTAAACCATTGTGGAAACCATTGTGTAAACCATTTTGTGCGCGACAACTACCAGGGCTTGACAGCCAAGTCATAACCAACAAGGAGAATTCTTGTCGCTAGGATCATACTGTTTGTCGTCGCTTAGTGACTTCCTCATCTCAGATAGGTACCTAAGAAGGGACCTGCATCCTTTTAATTATTTGATCTGTCCAGGTCACTTTCCTTTAATACTTTGGTGCCTTAAACTTGGTAGGACAGTACAGTACAATATTTAAAGATTTCTTCTTCTCTTCAATTCTTTTCTATTTTCCCCTTCCCAACTCTACCCTCTCACACACCACATCTTCCCACATCTTCCCACATCTTCCCAAAAAAACTGAACCAACCTCTCCCTCCACTAACACTAACGCCACTTTTCAACTTTAACTCTACATACTACCTAGGTAGTAAGGAATTATCTGATATTGATTCCAACATCAACACATCAACACATCAACACACCAACACTATTTTCATTTACTTCTTTTCGTCATAACTTTCTCGCTCTTCTTTTTTCTTCATTCGTCGCATCATCATCACCATAACCATTACTATCGCCCTTACTATCACCATCAACTATCACCATGTCTTCGGACATCATGTGTTCACCGTCGCGCCTTGAGAGTCTCAGCCCTGAGCTTTTACTTTGTATCCTAAAGGAAACTCATGCCGACGATCTCCTCACTGTCATCCAGACCTCGCCAGCTATGCGACGAGTGTTCTACCAGAACGAGAAGACAGTCTGCAAGACCGTCATTCAGAAGACGATTGGCATGAAACTTCTCCCCATCGCATATGCTCTGTTCGACGTGGCAACAACTTCGGCTAAGGACGAAGTGAAGATGAATGAGAGAACTTTTCATCCTATGAGTAGTGACATCAGATATCCTCTGGAAGTGCCCGGCGCTGAAAAGCATCCGCTACGTTACGTTCGAGATGATAACTTCGCCATGCCGACCTGCGATCTGAAGATGGCCAATACGATGGGCAGCTTCCACGTCATCGTCGAGAATCTTCTACCATACCTTGCGCTGGAAGATGGTCAGTCGGATTTTAACTCCATCAGCTCGTCAGTAAAGGAGCGTTACATCAAGGCTATGTATATCTTTGAACTGTCACGACTTCTCAAGCCTCGACGTCCACACCTCAGGAACCCATGGTCTCTTCTGTGGGTCTGGAGAACGTTCTCCCCTTGGGACGCCGCTGGAGCGGAAATGGTGGGAAACATGGTGAAGCGAATTATCGCGGAGCAGCGTATGAACCCGAAGCATCGATTATCATTGGAACAACTAACTAAACAACTCAGTCAAAATCACTCCTAACTACAAGAAATCCATCCGCTTCAAGCTTTACGCGGAGTGTTCTAAAATCTTCAAAAAGCATAACATGAAAGTCACCCAAGTAGAACAACTCCAGCTGGTGTCTCTGCATTGGGGCCTGGATAACATCAACTCGGTTCTTCACGGCAACATCGTTGGTCTGCCGAAGCGCTTCTTCAACTTCGTGGTCAACTACGTTCACAGCAGCAAGAGCGAATGGTACTTCCCAAAATCAATCGGCCCAATGGAAGATATCCTCTGGTTCATCTGGCTCTACCGACCCCAATCCGGCGTCCTCAGCGAGGCCAAGAACATCTTGCGCGTCCTGGAAGAGTACCCGGACGAGGACGACAGCCCACGCGACTTCTGGCTGTGGTACAACGTCTGGATGAACTCGGAGCCGGGCTCGCCTATCCGCATGAGCCACCCTGCCTGGTTGCCCATCTTTGGCCACGGAGAGTGGAACGCGTCCACCCGTCATTTCACCCGCGCGTACAACGTGGAGAATTTCTCGCAGCACATTTTCCGAGACCGTCCTGACGCATCCAGTCGCTGGAACTTTCCGAGTCGGGAGAAGCTGGTTGCCGAGTTAGAGAGAATGGCTATTGCGGATGCGGATGCGTATGCGGATGCAGATACTGATGCTTGAGGATGTTTAGATGGATAGGGGGTAGGGTTGATTTGGCATTCATGGAAGGAAGGGCGATTGATTTGACGATTGTTTCTAGTGTTTTCGAACACACAACGATGAAAGGCTGAGATGAGCTGGAAATATTGAGGATGGTATTTGCCCACGACGGTATTTGCTGACGATGGTATTCGCTGACGATGGATTTCGAGTTCCAAAGGGAAACCATATAGCTCTTTAGCTAAGATAAATTTCATTGTGTCACTAATAACTGTCAATTGCTTCTGACAATCCCCCCTGAATTTCCCTACTAACTCCACACGAGTCCCGTAAGCCTCGCACCTGGCCTATAACTTATTCTCATCGTAGACATCTATAATCTTCCTCTTCTTGATTCCTCTATTGAAAAAAACTTCGTAACGCCGCATAATGGTAGCTAAACCCAAGGGATATCGCCTCCAGTACTGTAACCGAATGGGCCGATCCAAAACGCCTAACTCCACCCCTAGCTATTCATGTCATAATCCACTGCCTAGGTACCCAAAACACGACCGCCATTTCATCTCTACTTATCATCAGCTATTACAAAATACATGCCCCCCAACAGCCCGCCCAGAACCATGGTCGTCAGGATACCCGCGCCGGCGCGATCAGCCACCGTGATCGCCCTCGGCTGCGCGATCTTATCATCGTCGCTACCCGACCCCGCATTCACATTGCCCACGGACGAACCACCAGTGTCCGCCGTGTACGGGATGGGCGCCTGCTCGACCAGCGGCGCCATCACGGCCTGCAGCGCGTTCAGCTGCTCGCCCACGCCGTAGCTGCCGTCGAACGTCGCCTGCTGCAGCCAGCTAAAGCCACACCCCGTGCCGGCCGCGCCCTTGAACTCGCTCGAGGCCGGGCCCGAGCACTGCTTCGCGGCGGCGGCGCCGCTCGTCTTGAGCAGCGGCATGATGGTGTCGTAGGTGAAGGGCGCCAGCGTCGCCGTCAACGCCATCCACCGGCTCAGGTGGCCCTTGAACGCCTGCTGGTCCGTGTTGCACTTGGCCTCGGACTTCTCGCAGCTCGGCTCCCACATGATCCCGCCGTCGAAGAATATGTCGGCGACGGACTTCGTGAGCCCCTCCACCCGCGTCTTCCAGACGTCCGCGCTCGTGTAGTTGTACATGTGCGCGGCGCCGTACAGGAACAGGCCCGCGTTGTACGTGAACTGCGCCGCGTTGATGGTCGTGCAGTTGTCGGTGCCGCCGCAGCCCGCGCCGTCCAGCACGTTGTAGTTGTCCTTGATGAAGCCCACGCCCTGCTCCCACTCGAAGATCTTGGCCGCCCAGTCGGCGTACGTCTGGTTCCCCGTGTAGCGCGCGAGGCGCGAGGCGATGTTGAAGAAGCACCCGTTGGACACCGAGTTCTTGTAGTTGAAGCCGTTGTTGAAGGTGAAGATCTGCCACCGCATCCCCCCGCCGCACGAGTCCGGCTCCCACCGGTTCACGTACTCGTTGTACACGGCTTGCGCGAGGGCCAGCCACTGCGGTTGGTCCGAGTCGGGGTTTGTGAAGTTTTGCTCCGCGGCGGTCATCGCGGCCATTGCCCAGAAGCCTTGGTCGTCGTTGCCTTCGGACTGGATTGGGGGGGTTAGCTTCCTAGTGGCAGTATGAAGAATCGAGAGCGATTGGGGATGCTCTCAAGGCCTCTCGGGTTTGTGAGAGCTTAGGGGAGGTAAGGAAGTACCTTGGTTTGGTTGTCAGGCATAAAGTCCTCGTCCGATCCAACCTGGTGTTGCAGGGCTTGGAAGGTGATATCGTTATACGTCTCGTCGCCTGTAAACGCCCAGTAATCTATCAGAGTACCGAACATGGCACCTGCTTCCCACCCTTTGCACTTTGTTAACTAAAAGACCATAGCAACTCGAAGTGTAAGTTGACGCACAGTAGTAGGGGTCAGGTAAGTTTCCGGGAACATCTCCTGTATTGTTTCCTAGTATCTTCATTAATATAACGACGTCCTAATGTCTGATACATAGCTATGGGTCTTACCTGTATAGTATGCAACAAGGCCATAGGCGATCGTGCTAGCCGCCGACTTGATAGAGGCTGCTTGGCGTCAGTAAACCCATCATTACACATATCACCATAGAAGAAAGCGCCTTACAGTCACTTGTCCAGTCAACATCGAGAGCAGTTACCGAAGGAAGAAGCAAGCTCGATATACCAGCTAGGAGCTTGAAGTAATGCATAGCGCCGCGACTCTCCAGAGGGATCTAGAGGATTAGAGCAGCCAAGGAGTTGGAGAAAGTTGAAAGTGTGAAGGTTATCGTGACTCACGGGAAGGAGTTGTTGGGCCAGCGGCGATATCTAAAGGGCCGATGGGTGTCGAGAAATGCTCGCACGAAACAATCAGCTCGCCTATTTTACTACTACATACAACTACGCCTTACTACGAATGGATCTTCATAAAGCTGTGGACCAGGCGGATCTCAATTATCGTTTGACGTCGTGAAGAAACTCCACATGGTGGCAGGATGCGGTAGTCACACAACGTGAGATGTATGTACGTAGGTAGGTAGCAGTTTGCAGGTGAGTGGGCCCTTGAAACTACCTACATAAGTGTGGTGGACCATCGACTTAGATGATCGCATCCGCTCAATTCATGAGCTTGTTTCCCATGACTTATGGGTCCCAAAGAAGAGAGAAGATGGTTTCATATTTGTTCCCGGGCCATTCCCATAAGCTTGAAGGTAGCTTACGTACCTACCAGAGTATTAGCCCTGGAGATGTTATTAGTAAGTACCCTTATTACGACTACTACCTAGTAGTCAGATGTAGGTAGGGAGGTAATTATATAGAAAGAACCACGTGGAATACATACCTAGTAGCAAGCGTCGAATATGTACTCACATGTATGTATAATGCTAGGTTAGCTAGTACTACCTATCACACGAGTTTGAATAAAAAAAAACGCTGTTGCACCATCGCCTCGGGAGTCCCACCGTGACGCCATCTAGGTACGCGTAACGACCAAAGATATGGGTCTGGGACCGCGCAATGCCTGGACGGCTGTCCAAGCAAGCTTTTCCCTATCTAGTCCCCACCGGGAGGCTCGGCTTGGCAGCATAGATCATCAGGAGAATTGCGCAAACAAGCTTTTCTTCTTTTTTTCTCGTCTCCATTTCTAGGGCGGGTTTTGTGGACTTCTGGGTCGCGAGCCCCGAAAGATGTTCGGTCCGATGGTTGATTTTCATAGCTTTCATGCTAGATACGACTTAGAGAGATTAATGATTGGCATTAAAGGTCGCAGGAGATTCGCATTTGTATATAGTATTACCGCCGCTCCTCATCAAAAAAATTGCGGCTGACTGCCTACATGTGAAGAGTTTTGGACTTCTTGACGTTTTGAGAGAAGCCTAACAATTAATCCCGAACTTGTTAATTCGTGGATAGATCATCGATGCAGGTTAGTTAGTTGGAGTATTTTTTGATATTATTAATAGATGTTAGGCTAGATGCTATTATGCACCTTAGATGATGATGGTATCCAAGTCAGATAACCATATTGATGATGTAGATGTGAACGTTCTAACCTAGGACATAACGAGATGAATTGAAGGTTGAATAAGACCCCTCACAGTGTGGCTTCAGTCCTTGTTAACACTGCTATCGCCAGTCACCAAATCTCATTCATGTATTATCTTATCCTAACCACAACCTGTCCCTTTTTTTTATTCCATCATCGTATATCTTTTTATCCTGCCGCATTTACGAACCACGAGGTCATCTACCTAGTCATGTCATGTTCCCAACTATGAGATCTTGGACCTTGGACTGGTTGGTCCTGTATTATTGCCTCATATATTGGGGGCGATTCTGTGTCATGCAAAAACACACCTTGCGATTGGTAGCCAGAGAGCCGTTATATTAACTTATCAACCAGCAAAGAGCGATAGTCAAAGTTCTCGAAACCATTGCGCCCCTCTTTTCGCATTTCTGACATCCCTCTATTCTCCGCCCTTAAGATAGGTAACATTGAACGCATCAGGTAAATACCTAGGTTAGTAGGTACTGGGAAGTTAGTCGCTTTATTTTGAGGCGCAAGTTTTCACCGAAATTCCCGCGAGAAACAACCGAGCATGGATAGGTACCTAGGCAGGCAGACTTGATACCTAGATTGATGATTTGTCTTAATAAATAGCCAACTAACCTTAGGTGCCTAGTAACAGGGGGATAATAATAGGGGGTTCCAACACTTGCAACAAACCAAGCTCACAGTTTCTAGCTATCTCTCTCATTGCCATGAGCCATTCAGCAAACCCACATCCATCCTAAAGGCCCAATGCATTGGTATAATCTCCCTGAATTATCCATCTCGTTATACGCTCTCTCTCCACAGCCATCTCTCAAACTCGGCGGAATCTTTATTCTTTGGCATGTTGCCTCCCGCATTTCCCCACTTGGTCGAATATGACCCGAATGAGGGATGAAGATTGGGTGATCGCATGTACTCTGCCATCTTTGTCGTCGACGGGCTATCATCGCCCTCGCTTATGAGCCTCATCCTGTACGCCCTCTCTGCGAACACCGACGCACGACGCTTGTCTCCGTGAGCAACACACGCCTGGAACGCATCATAGTAAGACCTCGCCAGCAAGACCGTCGCGCTTTCGCCGTACTCTTCGAGCAAAAGCTTCACTATTGCGTGGCAGTTCTTCAACATGCCAATGGGTTGGCTCATCATTGCAAAGGGGTTGCCGATGGCGTCGTCGAGGCGTTGGATTTCTCGTCGTCTAGCATCACTACTTGCCAGTTCTGCCGGCGAGCTAGAGCATAGGGGGCATTTACACTCGAAGCCAAAGCTGGCTCTCATGTCAAGTTTCCGGACATCAGAAACTTGCCCAGCATCGTATGAGATTGTGATCTCTTCTCCGGCTTGGATGGCGCGAACAGCATGGATCGTTTCTTGCTTCCTCGCGTCGTTCCAGTTATGCATAGTATTCGGAATGCAGCTATGATTTATACGGCATATGGTTGGGTAGATGGCGCCGATGGGCGAATCTGAACCACACGGAAGAGCGTTCGTCTTAGTAATGCCAACGAAAGGGGGCATGCTTCCAGTGTGGGCGTTATAGAGGGATAGAAATTGGACTTGTTGGTCTTTGGTCATTGCCCTGAGCTTCTGCGCAATTGTTTCGTTCAATTCTGAGATCGAAGCATGTCTAACAGTCAGAATTGGCGTCTCGCAAAGGATTCTGGTGCCCTTTGGGATATCCACCGAGGCAACAACGCCAACCCCTTTACCTGGGATTTCCGTGATTCTGCAAAATTCAGTGCCGGTCGCCATGTTGAATCTGATGATTGAACTGAATCGTATGTAGAAGAGCAGAAACTTTCCCTACACATGATCAGAGATACAGTTGTTAAATATTTCTCTGGAAGACTCACACCAACTGCATATACCTAGGTACCCAAACGCTGTATCATTACAAACCAATCGGGGTACTGGATGGTATCGTTTCACCTCCCAGCTCCAATGAGTCAATGAAAGCCTAGTCCACTGGATGCTGTCCAACAATATCCATATCATCAATGCATTGCTTTTCTTGTTTGCAATATCGGGCACCAACAGGTTTACGGCACCCGACATGAGAGAGGAAGGTAAAAGGGCGGGCCAAATTAATTGAAACCGCCAACCCGCCAAAACATTAAAAATAATGATTATATAAGCACAAGGTACAAGGCTTACCATATAAATTTATATGGTAACAGATATACCTTTACAAAGAGGAACAACGCTACATACTACTCACCATATACAAACCATACTACCTACCATATATACCAAGTATGTATTTAAATACCTACGTATGCTACAAGCCTCTAAAATACCTCCTAAACAGCTATAGAAACCTCCAAGGCTGTTGTTAACCCGTTGTATCGCACAATACTTTCCACGGATGAAACCTGCACATGTGCGTGTAAGCCTCCCAGCCTTTCCAACACTGATCTTGCCTACTTACTACTTGTCGAAGAGGTGATACTTTCTTATTTACCCCGCATCACCAGCATCACCCTGCCCACATTGAAGAGACCTGTAATGTCGTGAAACCTAGAAGACGTTGACCAACATCGTTGTTATGCGGAGATCCCTAACATCTCCCCGGACGCCATGGAGGCATGTAGCCGTCTTTGTTCTAGCTAGCCCCCGGGTAGATGCTTGACAAGATCTTTCTAGAATCATCAATGCCACCTACCTATCAAGCTGTGTAAGAACTTGGCTTTGGGCCGGGTTGGACTGTGTGTCTTGGATATCATTTGGGGTAAGGCCATACAGATGACATTTATCACATGGACCACGTGATAGGCACACAATATCGCCAACATCAATACAATAGACACCTTCATCTAACCTAGTTATAAAGCTGGACGCCAGTTGACCCAAGTTCATATTATATGACTATGAGGCAAGAGTTAGACCCTAGTCACTCGAGATTCATCAGTAACTGTACACTTTCCAAGTAGCCGGCAACGACAAGAAATCTAGTTATTACAGGCTCCCAATACATAAAATAGAGACCTTTTCAGCTCATGCACGTGCAGCCGAGTTCTTCGTTCTTAGCCTCTCCTCCTTGGTGATGCTTCCCACGCCGAAGCCTTGCAAGGGTATCACCCCTATCTACAGCCGGATGGTGAAATCCGGCTGCAAGGTGATAATAACATATAGGCGAGTCTTCTAGATTCTGCCCATTTCTAAATGATGTGGTCTTCGGTCAAGCGAACACATTTTGTGAGGAATCGCACGCATGCAGCGGTCCTTCTGGCCAACGGGCCCCGGGTAATAGTTGTAGTTAAAAAAGAAAAGATCGCGTTCACCGAAACTTCACAAGGTGTGCACACGTCATTTGTAGTAATTAACACTTCAACATTGTGAAAATGGGTAAGCCTAAGTTGATAAGTCACATTGTGGCGTCGGTTCGCTACGAATGGCACATTCACGCCAATGTTAAATAGTACACCATGTATGAACTTCTCTCAACATACAACAATTACCATTGAAGATGTAGGAGAGGCGTCAAGTAAAACCCTATGTTCAAGATATTCTACCGGAGGTTCCTAGAGGGACGATACTTTTCCTTTCCGGCTTTGCTTGTTGCCTTGTGGAGGGGAAACTGAGAAATATTTGCTCATGCATCAAAACATTCAATGTTATCAGGACGCACGTTTCTACTAGTCACAATTGTTTGATATCAGATTGCAGTCATAAGGAATACCAAGAGTTATGAAGAAGCAAGAGGCTTTCCATCCTTGCAGCAGTAGTACTCACCTTAACCGTATAGCCATTATCACAGGCACCTTGCGTAGAGGTGTAACTAGGTTAACCTAGTGCGTTATAATGTTGCGTGCCTAGGTATCTAAGATAGACACTGGCTGTTATCCCTCACAGCCGTCCTCGTATGCAACTTTTATAAGGTTACCTATTCATGCCAGAAATATATTTGTTCAGAAACTTGTCCTCTCTCGCAGGCACAAGTCCAAAGCTTCTCTCTTCCATTTATCACCCATCTCTCTTTATCTCGCTCTCTCGATACTCAATACAATATACCGCAGCCGCCTTATTCCATGAAACAGAAACAAAGTCACAGGTCAAGCATCTCATCTTGCCTTCTACGTTAACCAGCAACCCTAAAAGGTAAACAGGCTACCATTTTCCTTATCGTTGTTCCAGGTGATCGCCAACTACCTACGCCACATACATTCTCACAGCCTTCCCTTCCAACCCTCTCCCGAGCTGTATAACCAGCGAGTTAAGACTGTTCACTAACGCCATCCAGATGCCTCCAAAGAGCAACGCTACTGCCGCCCGCGATACAGCTGCTCTCGGCAGTCTCATTGCCTCAGAAGTGCGCATGATTGACTCGATCTTCAGGAACAGTTGTAGCAAGTCGAAACCCACGATGACGAATTGGGCAAAGGTCACTGCGGAACTGGGATTCAAGAATGAGAAGTCCACCAAGGATACGTTCCGCCACATATGCAAAAAGCATAAGTGGTACGAGTCAGAGGACAATGAGTCCGCGGCCCCCAAGGCCCCCACCACGCCCGAATCAAAGGACAAGAAGGACCGTGATGGCCCCACCACGCCTAATTCGAAGCGTTTGCGAAGTCCTGCGAGGTATGTGCACCATTATGTCTTCTATGTACACATATATGTGCCCACCCTTTCACATGTCTATGCTCGATACAGCTTACAGGTTGTGACCATCATATTCACCTAACACCCCTTGACTCTCGCCTATCGAAAGGATTACTAAGCTAACCTACATTATCACAGTGGTGAGGAGGCGGATGCTAAGGGCACGCCTACCACCAAGAAGCGCAAGGCTGCTCCTAGGTCGAAGCGCTCAGGCAAGCCTATGGCAAAGCACGAAAGCACATTCGGCAACGGCACTTCCCAGGGAGAGGATGACTTATTCGCGAATGATGAGGCCTAATTCGCCATGTGAAGGGCTCGTAGACCTTTGCCTTTGTCGTGATCAGGGGTTGTAGCAGAAGGCCAAAGATACTAGGGATTCTGGAGCTTGGGAAGTTGTTCACGTGGGAAGGAATATGGTGGGATGGTTGTGCGGTGCGCTGGGATGTGGCGCAACGTACATGCTCATAGCATTCCCCCATTTTCCCGATACTGTAGTGTAGGCTGGGACAGAACACTTAATGCTACCTATGAGCAATACCTTCTGTAACTTATATGTGAAATGCCTAAATCTCCCCCTATTTTCTTTTTTTCCATGCCACTTCCTAGTTGTTCGATGATACAGCAATTGATGTTCGACATGCCTTGCATCTACTATTAAGAAATGTAACCTCAGAATACAACTACTGATACCTAGTATTAGTCAAAGCCAGACCATGGGGGATTAGCAATTGTGGTTTCCACATATGGTAAACAACGTGGGAGGAAACCGCCTAAAACAACATCAGGGGATACAATGGGGCAAATAGGGACTATGACTAAAGTAGGTTATATGGATTTATCACAGCAAACTCGACAAAACATCTGGCAGGTTTGGTTCATTGCAACTATATAGCTATATCAAGCGCGGCATATACCCTCCAAATCTCCCCACGTAGCATTCTGAAGTCATATGTATCTAGGTAACTACATAGGTAGATAATTAATAACTCTTCGTAGCCAGTGACTCCTCATACTTCCTAAGAAAACATACACCTCAACCGTCTCCCCAATACTCAAACAGCAGACTCTGTAGAGACCTCGTACCTACCTATCTATCCAGCGACAATGCCCGGCAACGGACACGCAAACGGCACCAACAACGGGGTAGGCAGTAACGGCAGCTGGAACACATCGTGCACTGTCCAGAAGAACAACTACCAACAGAACAAGGGCAGTGCTCGGAAGGACGTCGTTCATGCGAGTGTGGATGACGAGCTCATATTCCAGATCGACGACATAGAGATAAGGAGTGAGAATGGCAATTGCCAGAGGCAAAGGAATTGAGTCCATACACACTCATCGTGGCAGATTTTGAAAGCCTAGGGGTTGTGTCAATTATAGTGGGGCGAGGGGAGGGGAATAGGGGTAGATGGTAGTTGGGATGAATAATGGGGAGAAATAACCTAGAAGAGTATTAATAACTTCATAGTTGGTATTTCATGATAAATCGCCAAGTGAATATACTTAATTTGAAACATTTGAAAGTATCGTTCGCTGCCTCAATTATGTACCTACTTGGAATACCTATACTAGGGTAAGTATCTAGGCACCCAAGACCTTGAGCGACTGATAGAGCCTCTCCAGTCAGCGTCGTACTAGAATGATCTCATATGAGCCAAAGTCTAGAAGAGAAGCATATCTAAGACGATATCAGCCGCATAGACGTGCAGGATCGTCTGCGACCACTCAATCCCCCCCAATGATCTGCACTTTATACCATTCCGGCTAATTCGCATTTTGCTTGGCCGCCTTCACTCACCTTCTTCGTCTGGATATACTCTGCCAGACCACCTTTCCATGTAGCAAGCTGTTAACATCTAAAGAGATAGTTAATCGTACACTTTAGACAGTCACTCACATAATCCGTGTTCATTTACCTAACCTACAATGTCGCATCTAACTACCTACCTACTCACTCCCAAACACCTCCATCCCCATCCCCATCCCCATCCCCACCACAGACCTGACCTAGCCCGGCCATGAGAACCTCCAAAGCACTTTTCCCCCTCGCCCTCTGGCCGTCCACCCACGCCACCACCCCCCAATCATCGAAGCCCACCAGCGAAGTCCCCGACTGGCTCAAGAACTACGACTTCGACCCACCCCTCACATGCCGCTCCTCTCCCGCGGGTCCGCTAAACCCCAGCAACGAAGCGCTAACATGCCCGCCCCTCGTCGACGACGAGACGGCGCTTGCGAAGCGCTCGTGGCGCCCGTGGACGTACCCGCCGGTGTGCGTGGAGCCGGAGGAGGAGGCGACGCAAGACGCGCAGCGGCTCTGCGTGTTCACGCACGCCAGGTTCCGCGGCGAGGCGGGGCTGAGCGTAGTCACGACGCCGGAGACGGCGGCGGCTGGGGTCGGGGTCGGGGTTCTCGAGGACCGGGACCCGGTGTGGGAGGGCTGGGCGCGGGACCACCACCACCACAACCACCACCAGCATCCACTCGTCGTCGCCACCCCCCCGCCGCCGCCGCCGTACGAGATCCGGGAGCTCGAGGGCAAGGGGCTGGGGGTGGTCGCGAACCGCACGATTAGAATGGGAGAGGTTGTGCTGCGCCAGCACCCGGTGCTCCTGCGGATCCTGGACCCGCGGCGCTGGAAGCACGCGGACGTGATGAGGCTGCTGCACCGCGCGGTGGTGCAGCTGCCGCTGCGGGAGGGCAGGCAGGTGATGGAGCTGGCGCGCGCGAAAGGGGGGTATGTGGTTGATGATATCGTGAACACGAATGCGTTTGGCGTGCTGCTCGACGGGATCGAGCATTCGGGGTTGTATCTTGAGGTTTCGGTGAGTTACTTACCCACCTACCTACCGAAGGATTCTTTTGGCCTGTGATGAGATGTCAGAGGAGGGATGTGGTGAGTTGCTAATTGTGGGAAACTGTTGTAGAGGATAAATCACGCCTGCAGGCCGAAGTGAGTAGTGGAATACTGGGTACCCCAACTTCGCGTCTTGGCTAATGAGGTTTCAAGCATGTTTAGTCGGTTCTCGTCCACGACGTTGGGGATGGAGGTAGTGGCGTATAGAGATATTGAGCCAGGCGAAGAACTCACATTCAGCTGTAAGTCGTACCCCTCCCTCCCTGCCTACCTACCTACCTACCTACCTTAGGTTAGTAAAGCGAGAGGACCTCGTCTAACAGTAGACTCAGACACGCCATTGAACCTCCTCTCCGAACAGCGACAGTCACTAATCCGCGAATGGGGCTTCAACTGTACCTGCCCTCTCTGCAGTTCCCCCCAGGACAGCGCTATTTCCGACCGCCGCCGGGGCAAGATCCAGGATCTGCTCGGGGAGCTGGACCGTCCCGAGGTGCGGAACCATGAGGGGGTGAAGAAGAGGGTCGATGAGATATTGGACCTGTGCGAGAAGGAGCAGCTGGCGGCGCAGGTGGGCGATTTCCACACGATTGTCGCGGAGGTCTATGCCGAGATGGGTGATTTGGGGCTGGCGAGGACGCATGCGGAGGTGGCGAGGAGGGAGTTGATGTATTTTGCGGGCTATGACCACGAACGGACGAGGAACATTGATTCGTTTTTGGAGAGTTTGGAGGAGGGGAAGTGATGATAGTTTTCTATGGGTCTACCCCCCTGAACCGTCTTCGTGTCAGAGTTGTTGGTCTTCATATGACTGAGATTATGATTGCTATAAACTAGATTTGTACAGCCCTTAAACTTCTCCACCACAACATCATAATCCAAAATGATGTTCATTAGGCAGCGGGAATCAAATGGACTATTACCTAGGTATCTAGGTAGTATGAACTTTCAAAAGTTGGTTGCTCAGGGGCAGGTCACGTGATACCCCTGAGACATACACCATCACGTGGCTAGCTGATTGATCACATGATTCCTCTCTGAAAGATATTACGTCATGCTGTTTGTTTGCCTCTTTACCATCCGAGATACATATCAAAGTAACCTTCATCCTACGGAGGTCTGACGCAGTCAGCGAATATAATCTCAGCAGCCTGCTCAGCCAAAGCGTAGACGGCGGCTTGCAAGTGTCCAGTAATAGAGACTGGGAAAGCCGAGGCATCAACCACACGTAAGCCTTTTACTCCCTTTACTCGCAGATTAGCGTCCACGACCTTGCCCATTGCGGCGGTTCCCATGGGGCGGTAACTCGTTATAGAGATTGAAAAAGGGGGGTTGGCCGTTAATCCTTTATGGGAGTAGATAAAAATGGTCAGGTATCTTGGGTAGAAAACTTACCTAGCCAAGTCAGGAACCATGGCTTCCAAAAGCCGAATGGGAAGTTTAAGAGCTAAAGACACAACCCAGTTCACCCGCTTGACGATATTGGTCTTACTAGTTATGGCCATGATAGTTTTCAGCCAACGTTCGGCCTTTTATTTGCTTTCGAGAAGATTCCAACACGAAGACTGTCCGAAACAGTGGCACATTAAGGTAACCGCAGCCTTGGAAAAGCAGGGACTAATCGCCCCGCGCCGTCTTTGATGTGCGCGACGTATTCTTAGACCCCACAGTCTTCCACCACCCCGAAGCATTCCGCCCCAAGCGCTGGCTGCCCACAAACCCCGACCTCGAGTGTATCAGTCGCAACTACCTGCCCTTCAGTCGCGGAAGCCGCATGTGTCTTGGAATCAAGTAAGCTACCAACCTAACATCGTCTTCAGACTTTCAAATTTGCCTTGCCTAACTTTGCTTCTGCGGTTTTGTTTGTTGACAAGAGACATACGTTTTCAGTCTCGCAATGGCACACTTGTACATCAGTCTGGCCGCAGTATTCCGGCGGCATAGCTTTTGAGCTGCATGATACGGTCTGGGCCCGGGATATCCAGATAGTTCGCGACTGCTTCTTCGGCGAGGTGTCGAGGGACACGAAGGGGGTTGGGATCAAGTATGCATAGGGCTTCACGAGCATCATGTTACTCAGAGCAGGTACTTATCTATTACAAATAAATCTCACTCCGTCCGAAACCACTCGTCCCTCAGCAGCTCCTTAGCCGTCGGCTGATCCCGCCAGTCCATCTGCATGATTTTCAAGATGAACTCCTTGTCCTCCTTGCCCACCTCCTGCTCAGCCACCAATCTAAACGGTCTCCGCTCGCTAGGCGGTACCAAGTGTTCAAGATACACGATCGACTGAAGCGTCTCGGCATTGAAGATCACGCTGACCTTGGGCGGAAAGGGGCCGAAGTACTCCCGCTGCAACATCAGCACTTCGAGGCCGTAAGTTTCGTCGCCGTGGCGAACGTCCTTGGGACGGAAGATGTGGAAGTCGCCGCCGTAGATCAAGCTTATAAGCTTTAGGTTAGATAGATGCTGTGGTCAGATCATGGCTTGACTTGGTGGTAATCGGTTGAGTACACTAGGTAGACGGGAAAAGGGGGGGGGGGGGGGAGCTTATGAGGGTGCCGAAAGACCAGATGTCCGTCGCTGTGTTCCACGGGGTCACCATAATGACCTCTGGACTATTCCATATCGGAGCCCCTATTGCCGTGCCCGATTTCGCCCATTTGCTATCGTCTGGGTAGCTGCCGCCGAAATCACCCAGCTGGACTTCCGAGGACCGAATCTCGCTCTCGTCCTTTTTGTAATTTACAAATATATTTGCGGACTTGATATCTTAGCAAACCCAGTTAGAGACCTGGATTGGCATGGAAAATGCTTTAAAGCTTCACTCGCAAGAATCTCACCTGTGTGGACATATCTATCCTCGTGAAGAACACTCAAAGCGTCAAGAACTCGTTTTGAGACGTACTTGATCTCTTTTCGGTTTAGCGATTTCCTGACCGACGTGTCCCAGAGGTCCGATTCAAGATACTTCAGCACAATGGTGGTTGGCTCTGCTGGGTCTTGGATCTCGTCAATCAGGGGGCGTATGTAGGGGCTGCGACTTTGGAAGCGCCGGAGGACATCCCGCTCGTTCTTGATGCGTGGATGGCCCCTGACGCTCTTTACTACAACAGTTTCGTTCTTGAGATTTCTACCATGTGTTAATGGTTAATTGTGTACCGTACCTCTAAGCATTGCAACGTAAAACACACACCTTGCAAGCCACACGACGTCTTCTTGAATGTGCTTGGATACGGTGTACGACTCGAGTCTCCCGCGAAGTACTTGGCCAAGGCGAAGCGGTGAAGGCATGGTTTATGAATATATATCTTTCTTTTTTTGGTGTTGGGTTACTTAGTGGAATGGTGGCGATTTTAGAGTGAGTTCTCAAGGCGAAGAGAGACTTCTTCCAACCTCTGTTCCAACAACGAATATGGAACGTGATTACATGTATCTACTTTCAACAACAGCAAACAGTAAGGATTCTACCATCTAGGTTTATATCGTTACCAGCATTTGAAACAACTATCGCGTTGGCTTTTCGTAGTCAGGGTTCGATGATCCGGATGAAGATTTTTCCAAGGTGTGCCCCTTTTTGGTTAGCGACAGTATCGCCACCTTGATATCTAACTGGAGATCAATATGTTTATATGTTTATAAATGACCTCGTCCTGTTATCCGAAAAGATATAACGCTAATTTTGTTGCGTGGTAAATGCTGTTTCTGGTCTGACATGGAATACCGAAGGAAGAGAAGCAGGTTGCCAAGCCAATGTTAGTAAGTGGATTCTAAATGCAGGAACGTCGACCTATCTGGAGAAGTGACTAAGCTAGGTTAATCATCACGAGTTGGTTAGGTAGCCAACTAAACTCTCTATTGGACGGGTGCATGAAAAAGGCAAGACGAGATGTCAAAGACGAGATGCCAAAGACGAGCAGTGAAATCGACGTGGGATTCACGTAGACAGTCCTTCAGTTAGTTAAGAGGCCCTACAATATCTTCGAAGGGCTCATAGGGGCTCGTTGTTGGCAAAACATATGCTTCAGCATTTCTAGTCACGTAAAGAAATAAGATAAAAGGGGGATGAAAAGGGGGGAGACAAATTCGCCTTACTCCGTTTACCTATTGCTAGTTAAGTTAGGGGTTTACCATACGTTAGCTTATAGCAAAATATACTATGTAAGTGTTAGACAACTAGGTAGTAAGTGGACTAGTTAGGGGAGAAAAAAAAACAAAAAAACATACAACACCAGGGATTCGCTGGTCGTCACCGACCCAACTACTGATCTGGCGGTATCTGGCTTATCTATGGGAGAGCGGACGGGATCCCGAGTTTTCCAAATCCTATGGTCGTATGTGCTAGATAGAACTGTAATTAGCGTTGATATACCTACCTAGCTAGGTACCTAGTATCAAAGATCTTAGATCACGCCCAAGCAGCTCACTGGCACAATCCCAATACTTCACAATAATATTATCCGCGTGTAAATTGCATTACGTTGGGCCGTACACGGGGATTTCTTTCATTCAATTCTTCAAAATGGCGTACCTGCCTACCTACCTTACCTAGGTAAGCAGCATCACTTTAAATCTTTGAGCTCCTTCACCGGCCAACTCTCATTATCGTCGACATCGGGCAGCTCGCGATCCCAGGCCCACCTATCCTTCAGTCCCGGGTCTAGCGTGCCGTCAAGCATACGCACCACGTAGCCGCCGATGATGGGAAAGAACTTCCAGCCGTGGAATGACCCGCACGTAGCAACGTAGAGCCCCTTGCTTGCTGCATGCGGCGATATGATGAAGTCCTCGCTTGGAGTAACGGCGTCCCTTCAGGTAAGGGTAAGATATGTCAGTGCTTATTAAGTATCTATGTGTGTTTTGGACGATGTAGGGGAAAGGGGGAGATAGGGGGTAGGCTTTCATATATAGGTACATGTCTAGGTAAATAACTCACCAACATATACGATGCTGCTCAATCTTCCACCCCTCACCCCGCTGTCCAAACGTGGCTTTGTTGGCGAACTCGACATCCTGTATAAGAGTATCCGGGACCTTCCACTGAGCATAGTCCTTAGCTGCTGGAGGCGCCGAGATCTGCTGACCCGAGGGCATGGTCTGGACGTTTTTGAAAATGGTTTGCCCCCACCACTTCAACATCTTATCTTCGGTAAGAGGCAAAAGGCCATTGCTAGCGCCTGTTGACCGTGTAGGGTAAGCATCGCGAGCTAGAAAGAATCCTACTTACGTAGATACCTAGATACCAAGGCATCATGGAAACTCACCTCTTTCGGGCGGGATCTCCTGTATAACAACCGGTATCCCCTCTAGCAGTTTCGCAGTCGGTTCATCAACCTTCGCCAATCCAGTCGTGACGCCCGCCGCAATGATCCTGCCCCCCGCGCGGAAAGCCTCGTTCCCGGTAGCATGAGCAATACCGTCAAGCAGCTTCGGCGTGTAAGCACCACTCGAAAGCACAACATGCGCCGCGTAGTGCTTTTCCCCATCCGCCGTCTTGACCCCAACACACGCCCCATCATCGCCAAACTCCAGCCCCTCGATCTCCGCACCAACAAACCTTACCCCCAGCTCGACCGCCTTCTCCGTCACCGCGCGCAGCGCGCCCTTCGCGTCGGCCCACCCGCTAGTCTCGTTCACATGGACGTTGCGGACGCCCGTGTAATCCGCGTCGTCGAAGAGGCCGCCATACCTGCTCTTCGCGGCGTCCACGGGCACCGAGAATAGCCCCTCGGTGGACCGGCCCAGCTTCTTGTAGTTGTCCAGGACCTCCTGCGCGAAGTCGGTGGGGGTGATCCAGAAGATGCCGGTCTCGTGGTAGAAGGGGCGCCACAGCGGATCGGAGCGCCAGACGTCCTGCGCGTCGAGCGCGAGACGGCAGTACAGCGGGTCCCGGTAGTCGGCGCGGACGACCTTGTTCCAGTCCCAGGAGGCGGCGACGCGGGTTGCGTCATGGGGAAGGTTCCGGTCGATCAAGGTGACGGATGCTTGGGGATACTTGGTGATGAGGTGGTAAGCGGTGGACGTGCCGAAGACGCCGGCGCCGACGATGATGTAAGATGGTTGGCTGGATGTCATTTTCAGAGGTTGGAGAATGTATATCACAGTGGTCTATCCCAGGTTAAACGTGGGGAAGATCATGAATAGGTAGTATACGCGCAGTTGATAGTCGAACTGTTGCATACAAGGTGTGACTACGCCATTGCCGCTACTATGCCCCTCATCGGACTGTCCGATTACGGGCCCCTTTCTGATATCTCGATTGGGTCGGAGATAGAGCTATAAATTTAGGGGATTCACAAATCAGACAACCATCCATGGATGTATCTAAGTTAGTATTTCAACCCGATGATACTTGACTGCTTTCATTTCTGGCTGCATATGAAATCCTGAAACTCGCTTAACAGTTGCCTGGGAGAATTCAACGCATAAAGTGAGTTCATTACTGAGCCTAAATATATTTTATTTGACCCCTTTATGTGGTTTTTTGACCTACATAAGCTGGCCATACAAATGATACTCAATGGAGGGCCCCTAAGTCTGTTCAAGATAGTGGAAGCGAGAGGCATTGTTGAGTAGGTTATCGAGCGTACCGAGTAAGACTCCTAGCACATATAGAAATGAGCTAGGTTAGGCTTGTCGCGTCGCATTCGATGAGGGCTGTAGAAAGGTATTAATTCATATCAAACATGACAGCTTATTCACCTATACAATCGAAGTGGTCGATTTATCGCGGGTTTTGTTGTTCCACTCTTGGTTTAGTGATTTGGTCATATCTTTATGCCCTTTTGTGTCTCGGTTGAATCCCTTTTCCCGTTTCCCTTAAGCTCCATGTACGGCATGAAGGGGCTCCTAGGTGGCCTGTTATGAGAACGTTAGAGTTCATACAGTGACAATGTCCATAATTGTACTCGATAATTTCCAGAGAGGTCAATGACTGGAATTAAATGGTTAGAGCATGTCCGACGGGAGCCCGGATTACTGAACAGGACGCTCAGTTGTTGTCCGAGTGCTCACCACCACCTTCGTCTCGGGAACCTCATATTCGAGTGACTCAAGCGGAAGATTATTCGATTATTGTTCGTGTAAATCGCACCACCCAGCCATTCATCAATCGTTCCCCAAGTACGTATTTAGGTCGCCTGCCAAGTTGAGCCTGAAAGGGATATACCCTGATAATGCTCCAAAGAGACATGAATCTTTGTCGTTCATGCCCCGAAGGCTTCGTCCAAGTTCGTCGTAGATATCGGAACAAGCAAATGCGTGTTTCACTCCCTCGCGACAACCAGGCCTATCATCTGAGGCGAATTGACGCCTCGAGAGAACTCATCATCCTTACCCTCTCTTCACCCTCGCCACCCCACTCTTCCTCCCCTTCCTGTATAACATCGTCTATAGCCCCGACACTCGCAGTCTTCAACTGCACAATGCAGTCGGTCTGTTTCTGGAAAAACAGGGCAACTTCAACAACTTTCGGTATCGCACGTCCTGTCCCCAGGATCACGACCGTTCCTGCATCCTCAAGCCCGACGCCATCGCCGCTGCCGCTGCCGCTACCACTGACAATGCCACCGCTCTTTTTCGCGGAAGAAGTGGCGTTACGTTGAATCGCGCGGATCCGATCGTCGAGAGAGACCCCCTTGTTGCCAGCTAATCGGTTGGTAAAAGCCTTGTTGGAGGATGAAGCCTCGCGAAGATTCTTATTGAGTTGTTTACGCACGCGCGTTGTCACGGATCGGAAGGGTGTTTTGGCTGTGATGTAGATGCGCTTTTCGGCGCGGGTGGAGGGGGTGCGCGTTGGGATCGGGCGGCGGCGTACAGTGGCCCCTAGACAGATTCGTTAGAAAAAGCTTTGATGCTATCCAGCCACATGTTGTATATCTAACCTTTTGGAATCGCTGGGAGTTTTGGTTTGGCTGTATTGTCAGCTACTTGCGAAGGAACCTCTACTACGGGTTCAGTAGCCATGATAGATTATCAAATTGTCTCCAGGCAGTTCAAAATCTTCGAAAACCCTAACATACATAGCAACACTCAAAACTCAAATGCTACAGGCATGACGTGAAAGGTCTTGGCAAAGGACATTCTTATCATTCTTATCGTACATAACTAACTCAAGCTCCAATATAACTAACAGTTTCACCGCCTTCCAAATTGAACCAATAACTTTTATGAACCCAATATTATTACCTAATGCTTAGCAGCTCTCCCTCCACCAGATCCACATTTACTGACGTACCGTACCAAACCGTTGCTACAAGGCTCAGCTTTAATTCATTTCCTTATCAATATTGTATTTTAATAAGTTTTATGTACAAGCTGTATGAAGCAAATGAGCAAATGAGCAACCTCGCGATATAGTAAACCGTCTTACTTAAAATGGCTTTGTGAAATGCGGCTGCCTATGCCAGCCAGTACCCGTCCTACTTATACCAATACTACTCTACCATGTCAGTCGAGATATGGCCTCCCATCTCGCCGGCCGAGCTTAAAATCCAAGAAGATGCGACTCAGGTTCGCTCCCCTTTTCTCCGTGTCTCCCCCTATCCCTCTTTTATTATACAAGTCAGAATCCGTTGAGGCCATGCTCGGCGTGGTCAAAAACATCCTACCCCCCTTTTCCTACCCAGAAGCCGAACTATGGCGCTTACAAAATGCCCAGGACCGGGAGCTCTCCTGGCTCCTAGCCTCCCTCCGCGACACCATAGCCCAGGTCAAGAGCGGCCTCGAAGACTGCTGCGCCCTTCTGTCTCCCCCGGACTCGGCGGGGAGCACGCTCGCGCTAACCACGCCACGCAATGAGACCGTCAAAGGCCACACAACGCGCATCGGCACGCGCCTGGTCCGCGGCGTCGTGCACCTCCGATTCCGCACCCTCCCACCACAGACCCTAACGCTGGACCCATCACGCCCCATCCACGTCGCCGCCCTCACGCGCCTCGACACCCTCCTCGCCCTCTCCGTAGGCGTGTGCCTGGAGCTCGAGGAGCACGAGAACAGGCCCCACCCCCTCTCAGCGCCGTACCTCGCAGCCCAGCTCCGACTTCTCGCGCAGCACATCTCCGAGGCCGCGGCGCTAGTAAAGGGGCCCCCTATCCCCATATCCCACCCTCGCCAATCCACCCCCACCAGCAGCCTGGCCCCTCCGCCCGGCAGCACATCCTCGCGCCCAACCTCCAGCAATAGCAGCACCAGCACCGCTGGCACCATCAACACGGCCAGCACACGCGAGCTCCACCCCCCACAGCTCGCCCCCGCCGACACGACCTGGACCACCTCGTCGATCTCCCTCTCGCACTTCACCCCGCCCTTATCCCGCAACCTGTCCTTGTACATCACCATCCAAGAAGCGTGCCTGGTCATCTACCTGCGCGCCCTCGAGCCCGCCGACGCCCCCATGAACTTCGGCGCCAAGCTCGCGCTTGCCATCGGCACCACGCGGCGCCTCGAGCACGACGAGGCCGACCGCCTGTTTACCTACCGGTGCTGCGACGCCTCCTCGTATAGCGATGAAAGTTCCCACTCCCACTCCCACCCACACCCACGCCCACGCCCATCCCCGCACAGCCACTCCCCCAACGATCCGAGCCCCAGCCCCCGAACCAGCAGCACCAGCACCCGAACCAACAACCACAACACCAACACCAACACCAACAAAAGAGAAATCGAAGTCTACGTGCGCGAAAAAGTCCGCGTCGAAAGCCCGGACCCGAGCTTACTCTCCCTGTCCGCGAAGCTGAGCGCGCTGGGCAATTCGCTGGGGCTGGCGAGACGGAACCTGGCGGCCGTGATGGGGGATGAGATGGAGGATTATTACTAGATGCTGCTGAGACAATACCTAGCTAAGGGTAAGGGTAAGGTAGTAGACGAGACGTAGTGTATGTGCGTATGTATGTATAAAGAGTAGGTTAGGGTAGGCGGGTGCTTAATAATGCCATTATCCATTAGTTATCGACGATACTTTTTTTTTTTTTTTTACCTTTCGACATCAATTCGAAAAGAAAAAGGGAGTTTGGAGTTTATGTTGTACGTAGTAGTATCAACAATACACCGAGGCATACAGCTATGTAGTTAGGTATGCAGCGAATTAGACTGCGGAAAGTCTCATTTGTCAAACCACCAAGAATCATAAAATCACATTGAGCAAAAGAAGAAAAGAATTAAAAGTGTTGCCATAGTAAAAGAGCGCATTGCTCAACATTGGTTTGGTATCAGCGATATCCCTATCATTACCCTAGGGACTCAAGTTTTTCGACTTCCAAGCTTTCATCACGCGGCTCCCGATCTCAGTTACAAGTACAAAAACCTCCTAGACCACTTTGTCCACGTAACCTCACACCTTGACTGAGTGAATGAAAAGAAAAGGACTGCCTCCCAAACTCCGATTCTCCATTTCAAATGCTTAGTTGGGCCTAAATGAACTGACCAAGTAACTCCTTCCTTAAGCAACTGGAGACCATGGCATCGGGATCAGGATCCTCGACTTCATGGTCTGGATCAGAGGAACTGTCTTGTGAACCGTCTCGGCCCAGCCTTCCTGCTTCCAACTCTCCTCTCGCCTCACTTTGCGTTCCTCGAGGTTGGCAAATTGCCAAAGGTGGTGGACCGTGTTGAGGTCACCGATTTGCACGAACCAAGCTCCAACACCTTCCATCACTTCTCTTCGGGCTTTCAAGCCTCGTCGCCAGTGTGTCTCCCATTCGAGTAGGTTTCCGGGGTGTAGCGTGTACGATCGTAACTCGAATAAGCCACCTAGTTGACGAGGGGAGGTAGTCGGCCAGAATGAGAACTCTTGCATGATCGACGTGTTCTTGGACTTGATAAGCTTCTTAAGCTTGCTGTCAAACTCGGGGAAATCGGGGTGTCGAGAGATGGAGTGGAGGGACTGATGGTATCCTTGGTAACGTTGGTATTCCCAAATGTGGACTGTGGCCTTTTTGTTAGCGTCGTTTTATCATATAGCTACCAGTTAGATTTGACTGTCTTGGAAACATACCGAATGTATCACAGTCGCCGACTTCGGTTCGCCAGCTTCCTACAAGATGAACCTTATTCCCCTCCAAGGAAGCCATGCGCGGGTACCAATTACCAACCAGGTCCACGTACTCGTCTACCTTGTCGGGATGTACCTGGTGGAATACAATCGAATGGACGTACTTGCCACGGGCCAGGACCGCCGAGAAACTGGCCTCGAGCTGGGCATCCATCTCGCGTCCCTCCTTGGTTCCGTAGATAACTCTAGAGAGAAGGCCATCTGGTAGATCGGGTTCCTTGGTCGATGCCTCCGCTCGTTGTCCTGTATGAGTGCTCAATGAGCCCAGGCCCTGAGAGGTCTCGCGGGCGGCGGAAAAAGAGTGGTCGTTAGAAAGGGAAGAATTGGATCTGAACTTACTCGCTTCTCGTTCTCGTTGTGCCTTGACCAAGTGCTCGCGGAACTCCTTCTGCCTCGTATTGAAGGTACTTACACCATCGGGTGTGATATCGGCCAAGACAGGCGAACGCTGAACAGTAGCAGTGGAGCTAAACGCTCTTAACGAGCGAGGAGCTGCCACCGCAGCTCGTGCGATACGTCGGGTCAGCATGATGATGTGGGTTGTGTGCTTGAGGTTGTATGTTTCTGCGGGGGAGAAAGAGAACAAAGGGAGAGGGTTTTAAATGAGAAGAGTTGGGTAGAAGCGGGAAGCGGGAAGCGGAAACCAGGTAGGAAGGTAGTGTTTGCAATTTACTACCTACCTAGGGTACCTATGGGTGAGTGTAACGGAAGGTGATAGGAAGTTGAGGAAGTGGGAGAAGTAGGAGAGGTGAAGGTGGTGAGGAATGCCAGAGATGGGATTGGACAGAAAGTCCAAGCAGGTCTGGTATGGTTGAAGGTGTGTGGTGTGTAGGCACTTTGTCTGCTTGTGATTGTGCAGGGTGCAGCTTTTGGTGGTGGCTGATATGTACAGAGGATATGTACAGAGATATGTACAGAGATATGTACAGAGATACCTGCAAGAATGCGGTAGTTTTTCGCGGGGAAGTTTCAAGGGCAACAGTGGACAGTCCCGCAGAGCAGATTTAGATTGGAGATGGCTAAGCCTAAGGTACGTAAGGACACAACCAGACAAAACGAGAAGCGACGTTGGTGATGGAGGGTAAGGTTGGCGAGTAATTGGTCACTCTATTCAGTATTCCCCCGCATTCGAAGGGAAGGCAAGCTCAGGATGTATGGAAGTAAAGGAGGTAAGGACGGATATTGGAGGTTGTAAGTTCCTCATGAACGTTTGAGCCTACCAGGTCTAGTTCCCCAGCTTTTGGCATTGCCCATGGTTGTCCTCCAACTGTGGGGACCTGAAGCTTTGGGTAAGTTCATTGTCGCTAGCACCATGATGTCACCTACACCTCTCTACAGATCATCGTCAGGTACTCTGTACTTAAGTACCTATGTAGCTTGTACCTAGTACAAATCTGTACATACATGTAGTTATCGGTTAAATAAATCAACCGAATCCGTTGAATGCATGCACCTAAACTGTAACTACCTAACTAGTAACTAACTATAAGTTACTTAGTCAGCCAGTCTCACAGCCCATACCCAATCTGGTTAATCATCGGTTCGTCGAATAGTGAATGGAATTGAAGTCGAGAAATTGACTCGTCTACCTATGTTTTTCAACCTCTAAACGAACAATTATCGTCGACAGCATCGCCCACGACACTCTACCTCCCAATTATCACCCTACCAAAACTACACACAAAATGTCGTGGCTCGGTCTTACCCCTCCCAAGAAGTTCCCGACACCGGTCCGTAAGTTCAGCGAATCTTCCAGTGATCAATTTGCGACAGCTACTAACATGGTCAATAATAGTTCGCCCATTGGCTCCCTTCTTCGCCGCTGGTATGATAAGACGACATTCCTTGCTCCCTACTCAGTTGCGCACGAAGAAATCTCTGACATTTTACCAGGCCTGGTCATTGCATATGGCGTCAACTCTGCACAAAACGCCATGATGAAGTGTATGTGTTTCGCCATATCCCCACATAGCGCAAATCGAAAGATTATTAACAGTTCATAATAGCCGACGAGTGGAAGAACGACCCACGCAACCCATACGCAGAGCCGGGAGGAAAGAAGCATTAAACTGACGACGGCCGACTTGGGGGAGGGAGGACCACTACCCCGACCGAACGAGAAGCACCATAGACCGTCAAATGATGTCTTTAGACGAGTAGGACAAGGCTGTATCATAGATTTCGAACCCACGTTTATCGTGGGTATCATTCGACGTCAGGCATATACCTAGATATCCATTTGTGCTACAAATCGACATCTTTACTATCCATTCATGGGCTACGTATGCCGACCCCGTTATTGTCTTGTAGCTGTAAGCATGGAAATTGCTACGAGCTCAATGGTCCGGCATAGCATGTCGGCCTCATTCCTGGAGTTTCAAAAGTGATTCATTCTCCACCTCGTCTACTAATCTCCTGATTGTCCAGATCAGGCCACTAGGTAGCTCGCTCTCAGTTGAATGCCTCGAACTTTATAGCTGCCGCAATATTTTGTTTCAAGTATCAACCGCCTAAATGAAAACCGTGAATATGAACCTACATACTTCCCATAGCTCATATGCCATTTCTCTTATCCCAGGAGAACAAAAAAGAATGAAAGTTCGGTGATTTGGTGCGATGCTCCGCAACGACCCGAAGTCGGGATTCATTCGGATATTCTACAAATACACCCAATGACAGCAGTATACAATATGGATTTAAACCCAATACTCAGCTAAAAAATCTACCCTAGGTAGGTATATACATATTTTAGTCCCATTGCTGTTGGAAAGATCAATAAACATAATAGGGGTTGTTGGCAGATAGGTAGCACGCAAAAAGCCCGATAGCCGATTCTAATTCTAAACCATCTTTAAAAAGTTCTCGTCTTTAGTTAGGTGTAGCCAACATAACGGCTTACTAACACTAACAATCATCTCACATGCACCCTTTATTTTCACTCACCCATATATACTTATCATCTGCTGCCTACTTATAAACTAGGTATTCATAAGATTTCATGAACCTCTTCATACAATCGGCACGTAACCACTGTCGTCTCATCGCAGCATCCCCACATCCACATCTACCTCACCACATCCGATCTCTCACCACCACCATCATGTCAGCCTCCCCCTCCATAACCTCAAACACCACCAACGGGCAACAAGCCCCTCCCCCCCAATCCCAATCCCAATCCCCCCCCACCACCATCCCCAAAGGCAAAACCCCGCTCAAAATTCTCATGCTGCACGGGTACACCCAGTCCGGCGCCCTCTTCAGCAGCAAGACCAAAGCGCTCTCCAAGCTCCTGCTCAAAGGCCTCTCCCCTCCCCCCTACAACCGGCACCCCGTCCTCATCTACCCCACCGCGCCGCTGCGTCTGCGGGCGTCGGACATCCCGGGGTACGACGTGACGACAGCAGCAGCCGACGAGGAGGAGGCCGAAAGCGACAGCTGGGCGTGGTTCCGCAAGGACGAGGCGACGGGGACGTACTCTGGGTTCGAGGCGGGCATGAGCGCGATCGCGGCGGCGGTCGCGGACGCCGGCGGCGTCGACGGCGTGTGCGGGTTCAGCCAGGGCGGGGCATCAGCAGCTCTTGTCGCCGCCGCGCTCGAGCACCCCTACCGCTCCCCCTCCCCGTCCTCGGAAGACCCCGCCTGGCTCACAGCCCTGCGCGCCGCAAACCACCACCGGCCCCTCTCCTTCTGCGTGGTCTACTCCGGCTTCTTCGCTCCCCCCGCCACCAACCTGTCGTGGCTGTACACCCCCCCTATCTCGACGCCGACGCTGCATTTCCTGGGGAGCCTGGACACGGTGGTGGAGGAGAGCCGGAGCACGGGGCTGGTGGAGCGGTGCGTGGAGCCAAGGGTGGTGGTGCATCCCGGGGGCCACTACGTGCCGGTGGCGAAGGAGTGGGCGATGGCGCTGGTGGGGTGGTTGAGGGAGCGGTGTCAGAAGGAGAAGGAGGAGGGGGGGGGTTAGTGCTGTTGGGCGGGTGTAAGGGATAGGGGTGCTATGCATTTAGGGGAGAAGGGGGGGCGTATACGAGGCTAGACTAGAGGCTAGATCCCGGGACGTTTTTTTTACCAGCCATGAGCACAATTACGATTAGACAGACGATCATAGATGATCAGTTAGAGAAGACAAGACAGAAGGCAGACCCAGTTCATACGCGGGAATTCATGTCTCCTGATCTAAGTATTGTACATCCGTATGATTTTTTGATGCAAACCAGTGCTACTGATAACTCGGGAACGACGCCATGTCAGACTCCGCGCGAATTGTCTCCGCCCTATCGAGTTCTCGTAGCCCTCCTCGTAGCCCTATCACACAATTCATGCCTTCTTCTTACCCTTTTTCCCTTCCTTCGCCGCCCCCGGTTGGATTCTCGCCATCATTTCTTCTTTGGTGATAAGATGATCAACACGTTCTAGTAAACCGAGTAGGCTCTTCATGTTGTGGCTCCACTCATTTAGGACGTCGTCGACATCTCTAGGCTGGGCAAAGTTTACTATACGGGCTGGCCGATCGATACGCGCGAAGACCGTCTTAGAGCATACCAACTCGCTGATATACTTCTCCGTCTCATCCTCCGTCAGATCAAGCAGCTGCGTAAGGCGCTTCATGCCGATGCGGGTGTAGTATTTGGCAACCACTCTGACATTGTGCTCAATAACTCGCTTACGCAAGTCTTGCCATCGCTGGTAGGCCTTTTCGTCTCCGGACACATTCTTCTGTTCGTCGAATATGTCAGTCGCACAGAGATGGGGGCCATACTGTTTGGCAACCTCTGGCCATCGCATGAGCTCGTGCACCGTGAACAACTTAAGCAACGATGCGTCAATGGGAATCTGGGCATTCCGAGTATCGCGGAAAATGCGCTGAAGCAAATCGTGTTGTTCGTTGTCGTGAGGGGCAAGTATGACAAACCAGATGATGCGTTGCAAGACCTAGTTCTTGTTAGTAGAGTGGACTAAAATGACATGAGAGTAAGACCGTACAGGTAGTAGCTTAGAAGGATCTTCCTCGACAGCCTCGGTGTCCAACACTTGTCGGTAATGCTTGCAAGCATCGAGATACTTATCGTCGTGTTTCGCTAGGGTAATCTGCTGTTCGTAATATCGTAGCTTCAAGTCGGTAGTATCGTCCTCCTTCTCCGGGGGGACCTCCTCCCCACGCTTCAACTTCTCTTCTCGAGCCTTCTTGTCTTTCTCTATCTGCTCCGGGGTCTTCTTCGGCTTGCGTGACAAGTATTTGGTGCTAATCTTGCGACTAAGGATGCTCGCCTGTGTCCAATCACCGTTCTCTATGCATAAAGCGACTTGGGCCAGGATGAATTCCGTCTTCTCGCGTCTCTCCATAGATCCGAATGTCTCGACTTGCAGTTCGCAAAGGATTTCCATGGCAGACTTTAGGTTCCCTTGCTGCTTCTTGATGTCCGACAGGATCTTAGTCACGCGAGCACGCTCAACCTCGACGAATATCTTTCCTTCGGTTACGGTGCGCAAGGTCTCAATCACGGAAAGTTTGGTTTCGATATTCGGGGTGCTGTCAAGGAAGGTCATGACTGTCTGGACCATCTTGGTGATGGCTTGCTTGAGTTGGCCATGCTTCTTGGAGAGGACCAGAACCTGGTCGTTGAGTAAACTCCAGTTTCCGGCATTTTTGCAAATGGTACATATCGCGATCAAGGTTCGGGATGTAGATGCAAGGTCGGATGCCTGTCAAAGAACAAGAAGAAAGGTTAGCGAATGGTGAAAGGGTTTGAGAAGTCGAACATGTAGCTGACCTGTCGTGTTTGCTTCTCGAATGTGGTAAGCTTCTCGATAGCTGCTTGGATGTCATTCTATTGTACTATGTTAATTATAACTGTTACTGCTTGAAGATAGGCTTGCAAAGTAAGGCGCACCTTGGCAAGCTTCTCTGCCTCGCCGATTTGTGTGTCAGCTTCCTTGCTGAAGTCCTTCTCGGGCTTCAGAGCTGCATCCGCCATGATTCTTAGAATGCTGTGGGGGGTATATGATCTATAATTGAACGGCGACGCAATAGATTTAAAATGGGATGAATGCGGGTGTTTGGCTGGATCGTATGTGTAAAGTGCGAGGTGGTTGGTGGGCGAAAAAGAGAAGAAAGGTAGGTATTATGATGAAGATGGAAGGAAGCCGAGCTACGTTGACCACCTGAATGTTCAGCGTTGAAGGTAAACTAATTGCTAGGCTGGGCTTACTGCTGGGCTACTAGGTAGGTTGGTAACGGTTGATGCGTTGAAGGAGACGACGAAGCTCATGCTGCCTTGCAACAATTGAACGTATTGGTCCGTGCACCTTGAGCTTTCGTCAATTTGATAAGGATAAGATCAAGTCACATGTAGATAACTAACAGAACCGTCAGCCCAATCAACCACATACGGCGTAGTACAATACCAAGTAAGGTCCTCATCACGGATCACTCTTTCCCATCCATCTGTACTACATGTATGTAGTGATTGCTTCGTCACTTTAAATTGCTTACCCTAGCCTAGCTTACTATAAGAATCTGGAAAATACATCATTATAAATACATCATTATTTCAAAGAGCCTTGGTCCACATAAGCGAACAATCCCCCCAACTCCATCGTCTTATACGATGGCTAGAACGTTTGCTGTGCTTCCTATACCCCCTACACCATCGAGTTAGCTCATCAGCTTGAACAAGAACGGATGAAAACAAAACAAAACTGGGTGTCTACCTTTAACATTATTCGGGGTACTTGCAAGGAAAAATGTCCAACTTTTCCTCTCCGCACATTTCTCTCCAAGCTTCTCCAGATCCCAGAGTTCCCCGATAGGGCAACCCCAGAGCGACAGTAATTTCTCGTGGAGATAATAGTCTGTTTCCAAGCAGATAAATCAGCACTCGTATACAGATGGGCAAAGCAAAGCAACGGATCAAGCCTACCTTTATGAGATGGCCACGATTCAAACGCAGGATGGTCTCCCGCTACAGCTGAGAAGTACGAGTCGTGCAGGAAGTCAAGCATCTCCTCGCTTTGTTCTACCCCTATGTATCGCTGTCCATCATGAGGTCCAAACTGATGCGGTTTCGATTGGTAAGGTGCCCTCTCCTCGTCCGTGAGTGAGTTTGCATTCTTCAAGAATCCGGATCGGACAACCAGTATATCACCTATTTGGACATCGCCTCCTTGCGCTGCCGGCCTCAAATCAATCCCCTGTGTCTTTGCCACTGTGACAAGATCCTTGTATGTGATCTCGTAGTTGTCATAGAATATCGGCTTGATGTTGTTGGCTTCGGCGTAGCGGCCGTAGTCCAGCAGAATACCCCTGCCAGCAATGCCACGAGCCGCCCATGCTTGCATGCCAATTTTTGTGGTTGCGTTGGGTCCGGATATCTCCTCAGGCTTTGTCTAAACGGTCATCTTTCAGCTATCCGGATTTACACCAGTGTTCCATCGTTAGACTTACTCCATTATAGAAATATCCCGACGGCACATGGGCAAACTGGAAAGGCCGTATTAGCCACCATACTGAAAAAAATAATCTAATGGAATCAACCCAGCTTACATGGCGGAAACCGTCCCACTGGGAGGTGCTTTGCGGGTTCATCTCATAGGAATCGTCAAACGTGTGCGAAACTCCCTTTGGGGTAATGAGGTGCTTGAAAGTTTGCCGCCCATAGCATGGCGGCACTGGTTGATCAAATGGGAGACTGATACATAAGAGTTAGTTACAAGAATGGCTAGTAATAGCCTAGCCGTTATTGAAAGCACGATGAGGTAGGTATCTGCTAACTTGAGCGCAATAGTCTCCCCTGAAATAACGGCTTCAAGTGCCTTCTTGACTCTTTCTGGCGTTTGGAGGTTTAGCCTTCCTAGCTTCACAAAGAGTGAGCAATGGGTTTCTTTCAATGGTGTTGTTCAGTTTAGAGCACACCTCATCATCACTTCCCCATATCCATGCCGAATCCTCGGGTTCGCCCGATTTGGGCCTCAAGTCTTTTCTCAACGGAAGCTCCATATCAACCTTCTGGGGTTGATTTCTTATAACGGCACAAAATTGGCAAAGTAAATGAAAATGATCGAGCAAGCTATAGAAAGTCAAAAATCGCCATATGGACACCATCAACGATCCGATGGCGGGGAATTATATATCGATCTTGGGCTAATACTAGGCAAGTTGCATCCGGTAACAAGAATTCAGCCCACCTATCATATTCGCGAATATCATCGTTTCCCCTCACGACGTCCGTCTGGGGAAACCATACCTTTCGACTAGCTGCTTCATATTACTCATCTTGGTAGTACTGACGTTTGCATGCATCAGACTCCGTCGGCCGGGTGAAATTGTTAAGGCCGTACGGCGCTCGTCCGACGTCAACCTACATACAGTCAAGATGGCTATCCACCATTATTATATACCTAGATGCTTAGGTACTAAGTTATAGCTCAGGGCGCTGAGCTCTGAACTCATATTTCTGTACTTGAAATAATATCAGACAATTACTTGAATTTGAACTTTGCAACTCGTAATGAGGTCATCCGCTTTCGTACAGCCTTACGGCTTGGAAGCGAGGTTTTTCTTCTTCAGGCTACAGCTTCGCGGTGAGAGAAATTGAGGGATCAATATTTCCCTTCTCATTACGAGGCTTTTTGAAATAAGCGCGCAGGTCCTTCATGCGCAGTCGGTTGTGATGGCAATGCTTGCGCCCCAAGACAAGGTGGTCAACCTCTTTGCTTCGCAGCGTATGAAATGCCTAGATTCAAGAATTGAAGCTCTATTCATCATGTTTAAGCCGGTAACTCTTTCATATACGTCACTACCTACCGAGAGCTATTATAGTCTGCGGCGTAGAATATTTACCTCCCTACTAGTAGTTATGGTATCCACCACCCCTGATATCCACAACGTATAAATCATGAAGCGGCGTAGCACTCACGAAAGCAGGAAGCATTAATACTGAGAGAACTGCAGGTTTATGCATCGGAACTTAACAGTCACCGACTGCAAATGTCATGAATATCCAAGCATCCCTTCTTTCGCCTATTGTTTGCCTTGTTGCAGAAGTAACATCGCTATAAATTGCGATTGTAACCTGGGTAGGCCTCATATATCGTTGACATGCATAGGTACCTACGTAACTCGCGCCGTCTATGATCATAGATCTTGGTCTACGTAGTAGACTGCCATAGCTTATATGCAAAACTTATTGAATACTTCATCAGGCACCTAAGTATATTCATAGCCCTGTCTGTGGGTGTGTTTTCTCCAACATAGAATCTACATCCACCATTTCACGCCTATGGGTTCGATCTCGTGACCACCCAAAGCTCGAACGTACGCCAAGCTTCACTAAAAATGCACTATGGCCAATAGGAAATACGGTGTGACCTAACATAGAATACTAGTAGATTAGGTAGTTGGTAGGGCCTGTCTCCCTATAACAAGTGTGTGTTAATAGCCCAGGGACTGTTTGATACGGTACGTAATACGATGGAATCTACACTGCCACCCTGTGTCCGTCAGCCCTACAGCTATGCGGCGAATGCAACCCTTCCACGTCTCGACCTTGGTCGCAGAACCCTCACACCGCGGCTTTCTACATCGAAATCCTCCACATACTTAGTTAAATGGGTTGAAGATGACAAAGATCAGCACACAAATACACCACCTTGATTCGACTGCCAGAGCTTCTTGACTGGATATCCAATATCCCGGGATACGTATTGAGCTCTGCGCAGTACCTACAAACGCACTCATGTGATTTCTGCGGCGGTGCTGGGCCAATAGAGAGACTCGAATGACGCCTAACTGGTGTTTTATACATATCTCCATGGGTATCGCCCAGTGACCAAGTGCCAGCTCGTAGCGCGACAAAGGACCCGTGCCGTCTTGGGACCACGGACCGAGATGGGGGGGAGCCCTATGTGAAGAGGCAGCTATTTTTAACAACGGCAAGAGTTGTGTCTGTTCCCTATCATGCTGGCGATGTGGTTGGCGAGCGAGCGGTGAAGTGGCCGTGTGATGGAGGCTCCTGAATGTGTATATAAGCCTGCCTGTTGTCTGCGTGTAGTAAGACCTCCTATCTATCTGCCAGAGATATATCACAGACAGACAACCTTATTTCAGTCATAAAACAAAAAAAGAAACATCGAACGAGCTACCTACCATTATACCAAATCACTTGACTCGCAATCATGTATTCCAACATCTTCTACATCGCCACCCTCTTCCTCAGCTACCTAACCCTCCAAGCCTCCGCCTCCGTCGCGATGGGCTCCCTCACCTTCCGCAAAGCCGACGGCGACGTAGTAACGCCAGGTAAGAATTTCCCCTCTCGCCCCTTTCCCTTCCCCCTTCCCCCTCTCCCACATAAAAGAACAGCCCCAGCTAACAGAACAAACAAGCCGCCTGGGTCGGCACGGACCACCCGATCGAGATGTCCAAGTGCCCGAAGAGCGACGGCGTCAGCTACCACCAGTTCAACAACCTGAAGCTGTGCGAGCGCAACGGGGTGTCCGAGGCCTTCAAGCTGCGCAGGGGGGATGGGAGTGTGCACGAGTACACGTTCCACTGCGCGCAGCAGGACGGGAGGAACGTGTTCGGGCTGTGCGAGGGGGGCAGGTGCTCGACGTGCAGGGAGGTGCAGGATGTCTGGAGGGGGTTCTGCGGGTTCAATCTGCATTATTCTTGTGATTAGATAGATGCCTTGCCTTGTCTAGGAACCTAGGGGCTTAGGAGGGTGGGCTTTTCGGGCGCTTGGGTGGGTTGATCTGGGTACATCTCCTGTGCGGCTCTTCAGCCGGTTATGAGCAATGATTCAAGGGCTGGGTATGGTGGCTTGGGGATGGTATTGGATGTTTGTCTTGGGTTAAGACTATTAGATGATACCTGATCCTCTTATTGGGAGTTGAAAATTATAGATAAATAGGTACCTAACTTACCAACGTGGTATAATCGTTACATGAAATCAAAATCGACGAGCGTAGATGTCAAAAATAAATGCATAGCTACATTCTATGATTATTTGACTTCAAATCTAGGTAACTCTGTAAATTCAGCATCAGGAATTGAATGTTCGGGAGTCGGTTATGTGCCGTTAGGTAGCCCCCCTATCATCTCATTCATAAACTCAAAGCTGCTATACTATCCCTCCCCCCCCTTTTCCAACTAACACCCCAAACCCCATCCACCTCACAGCACCCCCTTCACTCTACCTCCCCCCCCCTAAGCCGGCTCCCCATTAACCGCAAACGCACACCGACACGCGCTCTCCGCCTCAAGCCCACTCGAGATATCCCTACAGACACAGTGGTTGTTCCCAATCGAGTACAGCCCATTCGCATACCTGAACCGAAAGTACCCTCCCGCCGGGTCGAAATCCACGCGGTCAACCGTCAGCACGTACGGCAGGAAGTTCTCCTCGATAAAATACGGGATCCCGCAGTCGTTGCCCTCGTCGTCGGGGGAGTAGACCCCGCGCAAGGTGCAGGCGTTGTCGAAGATGAGGAAGGAGTTGGCGGAGGCGAGGCCGCCGAAGGGGGCCTCGGAGGAGAAGGTGGGGACGGAGACCTCGGATGTGTCCATGGCGAAGGTCCAGGCGCCGGCGCCCTGGGGGGAGCAGAGCGCGGCGTTGAGGGTGGGCGGGGGGGAGATGAGGGAGTTGCTGAGTTGGCAGGCGGCGCTGGCGAGGCGGGCTAGGGCGAGGGTTATAGTGAGGAGGTAGGTGTAGTGGGCCATGGTTGTAGATAGGTATTGGGTAGATATTGATGCTGTGAAGAGTGTCGAATGGATTTATGCTTGATAACTGGACGGTTGGCAGCTTTTTATAGGGAGGTAGCCAAGGCATGAGCTTGCTATGCTACTTTGATTTCATTGTTCTCGGGAGGATTTGAGTATCATGTTGAAGCGCATTTTGGAAGCAGAGATGTAGGCCAATCCTACCACTTTGAGTGACGGCTGGTAAGTAGCGAAGCTGCATCTAGGCCAGATCCTTGAAATTTTATGCTACTCCGGGGATTCAATTTGCAATATCATCTGATGAAACCCGTTATTGTGTGCTCTGGATTAGGCAGGTTTTGAGGCTGCTATCGTCAGCCGGACTTCTTCCCCTGAGCTGAGGTGAATCGGCATTTCAATTGGGTCGAAAGTTTTATATTTAGAGCTGGGCGTTTTTACCCGTTGAATATATGACCGCATCTAGGCCTTGTTGTAATGCTTGGCTCGTTATGTTCAGATCCATCGCGGCCGCCACCTCGTCACTATGTCGCTTTATATTAGACCTCACAGCCCCGTTAAAGATTTCCTATGGCGATATCGTCTAGGTTAGGGGACCACCAAAATTCCTAGCACTGGTACTTTAGGACGATACTCTTGCCGTCTTCCTCACAGATGGGCTCATCTGCCACGCGATGCTGCCTACGATGGTGGCGCTTCATTGGCGTTATACTCATATCCCCAAGCTTCATTTCAAGGAACAGGAATTACCCAAGTCCTAAGAGAACCTTCCTCGGATTATCGATTGATCATTTAGGATGCAGAAGTCCTTACTTCTTGGCAATCCTTTCTAAGCCATGAATACGGGGTTCAGTTGAGTTTTTATAGAAATTTGATACCATAAGCGTACATATTATGCGATCGATCCAGGAAAGGAGGATGAGAAAAAGAATGAGCGAAGAGGTGAGCGTTGACGAATGTTAATATCTTCGGGTCAAGATCAGTATCGGATGTGGTTGGATATGGCTATCCTGGAATTCGACGTCCTATGGAGTGAGTATAAGGAATTAAAAATAGAACTGTGTCTTACCAGAGCGAACTTTCGCAGGTCATAAGGCAAGTTTATCATTCTGGCCTATTCATTAAATCCCCTTGCTGTTTAGTATCGTCGCACTCCTAAAGCCACGAAAGCATCACTAACAGTATTTGATAGATCCTTTCTTGGCTGACGCTCCGTAGCTTTGTAATGATAGTAAAGTTGAGCTGGTTTTACTACCGAATATATACCTAGTAATGACATTGGATGGTTCCTCGCTCAATCCCTCTTGGCTTCTCGAAGCTGCTGTCATGAGTTTTATGTACAAATGCTCGTAATCGTACAATGTCCTAGTCAGAAAACATGTGGCCATAGTGATATGCCTCTGTTAAATAGAACCAGGCCACAGAACTTTCATATAATAGTCGGTCTCAAAGGGGGGATTTCTTCATAGTATTGAGTTCATATCAGCCGCTAGAACTACTACGAGGCGCCGAAGTCAGGTATTGAGATCGATATCTACCTTGGGTAGGTACCTATGCGGGTAAGTATGAATTACCCCGGGCTTACAATGATTTTATAGCCATTATTCTCAGTTCCGGTTCCGTGGCCGCATGGTAGGAAAATGATAAGGGACTAATTTGGGCGTTGGTATGTGCCCGGTCTTGCGATGATGAAAGGTCGTCGCTGTGCTCGCGCAAAGGCCTCAACCGCAATAGGTGACGCATCGGTTCTGATGACACTTCCAATTGACATGAAAAAACTGACCAGGGGTTGTTAATCCAGAGTTGCGCAGAAGTTGGGTAAGATCTTAGGTTTCACCCACCCGAATGTAGCCCCGGAGCCCAGCATATATTGCCCCAGTGTTCGCATTATGCCGTTCGTGCCCGCGCCATATCGAAAGATGTTCACCGTTCCTATCCACCAAGTTGTTAGTGATGTGGGCTCGTCTGAGGGGTCAGACGATGTGAAAGCGCACCGAAAATGAAGCCGATGATAACGCCAACGCCTACAACGAGAATTAGTTAAACTGGCGCACCTCGGGATTTATAGCGGGTCACATACTGCCACCCATCATGGCGCCCATCTTGACTGTTTTCCTCAGAAATACGACGTTAGCGATTACCCTCGACCCTACATGTTGAGCAAGCTGGAAAGCGCAGAGAAAGACGAACGTTTGTCGAGGTTAGAGGGGCCATGAGAGCCACGGTTCGATGGCATAGGCGGCATCTTGTGATTTTATTTATTTTGGTACCAATGATACGTGGGTGGGATAGAACCAAGCAGGCGACCTAGTAGTGTTTGATAGTTGTCGCAGAGGGCATAGAGCGCTTGAGGTTCGAGAGGTTCGAGAGGGGTTACTATCGTGAGATTCTAAAAAATTAATTCAATTAATAGTATTTAGAGTCTTATCGATAAACATCCGTATTCAAACATCCAATTAATTTAGTCGCTTACTTAATGACATCAAGGAGGTCCGGGCGTTTCAATGTTAAGTTGGCACTGGAAACTTAAACTTGAGATCTGTCACGTGAAATGAATGTGCCATAAATAAATGGGGTAGTACATGGGTACCTGTTAACTTCTCAAAACGTATAAGTGCATTTAATTAACTATTAGTATCATGGATATTCAAGTTATCATGTACAGTGCATGTACATGTACATCCATACGTTTGCATGTGCGTTTCAACACTAACGTATCTGGACCTATTCAGATTAATTACTAGGTATGTAGATACATATCTGTTCTTAGTGGCTACATACTAGGTATGTACTTACTACAGTCTACTCCAAATCAAATGAATCAGCACAGTACATACCTTCATTGTTCAGCTTCAAATGTTCATACACTCAGTGCTTGATATAATCGTGTAACTATATTGGTATACTAAAATAAACCATATGTTACCTAATATCAGATTATTTAATCTCATAGTATCAGACAGGTGGATCAACCTGAGAGGCATCCAAAAAGGAGAAGCAAAAGAAGAAACCAAAAATAAAATGAAGGTTGCGGCTCTCTCCTCAAGTTCGCATTTCGACTTGGACCAACTGGACCGATCTCCTTTCCCCTCGCCCCTCCCCATGTCGTTGCCACACTAAAATAGTTCAAGTTGAAATGTTGCTAAGAAGGTAAAGCGCTTAAGTTGAGAGGTACATAACTACGACGTAGCCTTTTAGAGTTCAAGGTTCAACTGTTTCCACATGCATGTTGCAACGAAACATTGAATGTACCAAGGTACAATACAATGAATACATAGTACCTACATGTTTCCAGTACTGCATGTACCGGGTATCAACTTGATGTTGCAACCGTCAACTGGTCTGTAACTGGGGTTAGCGCACCCCTAGGCTGTAGCAGGCTAGTGGGCTTAGGTTATTAGGCCCCTGTATGGATGGATGACATTGGCTGTGTAGTAGATAGCTGTCCTACTGTAGTGATGAGAATAAAGTACCCTACTTCAACAACGTAACCCAGCGCTGAGTTGAATACCAAAGGGAAAAAGCTACATGTAAAGCTAAAGCCACCTGCAAAAAGAGAGAGAGAGAGAGCCAAGGACCACCCAAACTTCTATCTCTGGCGCTTCCAAATCTTTGGACAACCACAACGAGAAAAAAAAAAAAGCACCAAAGCCACCAGAGCACCAAGCACAAACCTCTTCCTCTAATATTGCCCAAACCAATTCATCATATTTTCCAACCAAACGCCTCCCATTCTATTCCACCCCCTTATCAGATCGCATGGTATGTTTTTGAACCTTCATTTTCTCTTACCGCGCTCGAATCACATTTCAAATCCGTTAATCGCCCCCGGCGTACCCGTAAACAACCGCATTCAACGTCCCGTCGCCCTACAAACTTCCACCGTTTTACCTTCTACGCTCTCCTTTTACTACCTAGACATAGTGACTAATTTTATTCAATCTTGGTTACAGACAAAAAAAAAATAACAATAACAACAACAACCACATTGGCAACCATTTTTTGTCTTCTGGCTCATTTGTATTTTTTTTTATAACGATCGCTCTTTTTTTCTCTCCCAATCCTCTTTTTCATTCTATTTGGAAACCCTCCCCCCACCAAACTTAGGCATATTTCGTTACTGAGGTCTTTCCGGTCGCGTGCATGATCAGCGGAAGGGGCCTGATCCACCCCCCAACACGACTCCTTCATTCTCCGCGTCCTCATCTACATACTTCTTTTCCATCTAGTACTTCATTGCGCCGCTATTCCTCATGACAGCTGTCGCGAGTCCGCCTACTTTCAATCAACACAATCGGCCGGCATGGGGTATTAACGGCGGTCACGCCGGACAGATAAATCCCATGAATCCCGACGAGTTGAATCGAATGTTTTTGCCCCGAAAGAATTTGCAACGAAATAATTCCTCTTCTTCCATCTCCTCGACCTCTTCCGTTTCCTCCACCTCCACCATCGCTACTCCGGGTTCTCAGACGAATGGCAATGCTATGCCGGTGCAAAATGATATGGGCGCTTGGAGCAATGGTGCCGGAACACGAAAACGACCGCAACCAAAAGCTCCCTGGCCTGCTCCGAAACCAGATGCTCAGTCCGATTTTGTTCGCATGTCCGCCGGTCGGCCTCAGTTGATTAACGGTATCAACGGCTCTACGCCAATGCATTCACCTGCACCAGTGTTACCTTCGCAGGGCATGATTGGGGCGCAACAGGCCATGCCTCGTCCTATGCCAGAATCTTTACCTTCTGGAAACCAGCCAGTTTTGTATCTCCTGTCTCTGAATGGCACGTTCGAGCGCAAGACAATATCTGTACCATTCGGACCTGATACCCTTAGGATTGGTCGTCAGACGAATGCAAAGACTGTTCCTACACCGGTAAATGGTTTCTTCGATTCTAAAGTTCTTTCACGTCAACATGCCGAAATTTGGGCGGATCGCCAGGGTAAGATATGGATCCGCGATGTTAAATCTTCCAACGGCACCTTTGTCAATGGTACGCGACTTTCGCAGGAGAATCGAGAGTCGGAACCGCACGAGCTACAAACTGGTGACCACTTGGAACTGGGCATCGATATAGTGAGCGAGGACCAAAAGACGGTTGTCCATCATAAAGTAGCCGCAAAGGTTGAGCATGCAGGATTTATGAGCACTTCGAACAATTTACTCGATATCAATTTTGGTGATCTTGATCCAACGAATGGATCCATCATGATGATGGGGCCTCAAGGGGCTCTTCCGGTACGACCGCGAACCGGAAGCCAAGCTTCTATGGCGAGTAACGGGCGAGTTGGTCCGGGTGGTGGCATGATGGGGTCACAAACAAACGTCATGGCCCATCAGCGGGGACTCTTCTATTCCCCCATCAGTACCGAACAGATCGTCAAACGACTTCAGGTGAGTCTAGACCATTGTGTCTTTTCGATGCTGGGTACCTGGGATATGACTAACGCGACTCTCAGCACGAAATGCGAACTCAACGCTTGCAATCTCAGGATTTAGGCCGAACGAACCAGTTTGTTCAGGGCCTCCTAACAAAGGATGACATTAAGGACAGCGAGAAGCATGACTTAATCGAGCAGCCAAAGTCCCAGATAATCCATAGCAATGGGTTTTCATCATTCAGGTCCAACGATAACAAGACCAGGTTCTCCGACCCCCCGGCGCCTCCGCCGCAGCAGCCTTTACCCGAAAAGCCGGACGTGCCGTCCTTGAAGCGAGGGATAACGGAACGTCCGAAGCAAAGTAACCAAAGCTTGTCGCCAATTCGCCCGGACGGTAATTCAAGCCAAATTTTGCAGCTGACAGAAGCACTTAACAGCGCAAAGCGAGAGATTGAGACTCAAAGTTCCCGTATGCGAGACTTGGAGGAAACCCTCCAACGAGAACGACAAGCCCGGGAGCTCGCAGAGGAATTGGCCAGGAGACTAGAAGATGCTGCTGCTGTGAAGACGAACGGTGCTCCTGTCAAGCCTGAAACCCAAGAGACCGCATTGGAAGCAGCCTTTGAGCCACCCACAGATGAGATATCGACATCCGTAGCTAACAACACGGCCACTGAACCTGGCAAAGCACCTCATGCACAAGCTGAGATTATCGAGGCTTCTGCTACACATTTGCAAGCTCAGATCGAATCAATGATGTTGGAGATGAAAGAGATGCGACAGCAGCTAGATTCTTACAAACACCGGGCGGAAACCGCTGAAGCAGAAAGAGATACAGACCGTAAGAGCCTTGCGGAAATGGCTTTGCAAATACGAAGAGATGTCGAAGCCAGAGAAGCTGCTGCGCGAGAAAAGTCTCTTGCGCGCAACCGGGTTTCAGAAAATTCCATTGACCGAGGTGTCATTTCCAAGAAGTCGACTCCTACATCGAGAACGCCCTCCCCCAAATCCAACGAGGGCCCATCGATTTCTAGCGAGCCCCCCGACTATCCCACGCTCTCAAGAGCCAACACGATAACGCCACAGACGGCGGCGTCTGGACTGCTATCACATGACCAAGCATTGACAAATAGCATACCTTACGCATCTATGATAGGAGTGGTCCTAATCGGTATGGGCTTGATGGCTTATATAAACGGCTGGGAACCACATCCAAGGCTAGAACGATAGACCAACGGTTACCTGGTTCCACGACCTTCCTAACTTTTTACTCACTATACCCTTTCTCCCGCTCATATCAGATCAGATACTGAGATTACCCATCCCCTTCCTTAACACACTCATGGCTTCATTCCCTTTGTATCTATTCTATAATAAGCCCGTTTCACTGCCTCGCATCTTCAGATACTAGTCTTTTTTGTTGTAACAAGGCATTGCTTTGGGAAACCGGCGTTGAGGTGGTGGCAAGTGGTTTACGTGAACAAGGCCACAGGGCTAACGGGGCTTTGGTCCTTTTACTTTCTCATTTCGGCTCGACTTGTATCTACAGGTGCCAACGCACCATGGTTTGGCACAGTCGACCTCATAACCTGTCTCTATGGTTTAGTTTGTGATAGGATACGGAAAAGAAAACGAAATACGTTCGGATCAAGAGCCTGCCTCTATTGTAAGAAGATAGTGGCTAGCCAGAAAGAATGCAATGACGTGCATCTCAAAAAGTAGGCCCTGTCTTTGTCAGGTATTAGGTAGGGGCTGGTTATGGTCCTGCGCGACCTGGTGGGTAGTGTGATGTTGCCAAAAACTCCCCGGCACCGATATCACATCTCCAGAGGTAGCAATGTGCTTGTTTGCATAGTGTATGGATAATGAAACGCGTACCCTTTTTTTTTATACACTTGCCAGGCTACTAGTACTTATTAGGCGCTCTATTGTAAACTTAGCACAAGTGATATCAATGTCTTGACCTGTTTTATAAAGCTTTTCTGTCTTTGAGGGTGATTACCTAGTAGGTAGTCGTTGTTGTTGTGCGTGTGTGTTGTGATTGGGCAGGTATATGGTAAGGACGTACGTCTTCTTGGACAATGGACTCAGTCACTCAGTGTGTTTGTTTAGTAAGTGGTTGGCACTAGGACAGGTGAGTGCCTAGTTATGCCCGGCTTTGTTTCTTGGTCGGCTAACTTGATACTTGGGGGCTGTGGGTAGGTAGGTACCTAGGCAGGGTTGATATCATGATGTCCTCCGCGGCTGTGTGTGTGCAGGGTGCTTGTCGAGGATACTTACTACCCTTATATATTCATGTTCGTCAAATACTAGGTAGGTGTATACCGTAGGTAGGTAGGTATCTAGGTATCTATGGCGCAGTCAGTTCGTTGGACATAATAGGGTACTTATGCATGTGTATAGGTGTATAACAGAGGCGGGGGAAGAAAAGCTGACGGATAGATTAGGTACTGTAACTACCTAGTTAGCTACTAGTTATGGATAAAGGGGTGAAATGAATATCACGATGCCTTCAGAGCTATGATGAAGTATTTGTGTCTATCAAGTAATGATCAAGACAATGCGCATCGGGATAATGACAATAACGATAAGGAATAGGAGGGTGGGAGACGATGGCAGTGGCAGTGGCAGTGGCAGGGAGTCTACGCTTGGTTTGATACATTTGGTAAGTGGCTAGGTATATGACGATTGACCTACCTAGGTTAGTCAAGTTGCCAGCTTATTTTTTCCTAGATTTTGATGACATGTGCCATTCCCTCTCTCTGCTACTCTCTTTAGTAGAGGTCCTTTCACGATTTCCCCTTTTCCTTTGCTGATATTCACGGATATAGCTACCAGGTAATTAGATAAGTGCCTATGTATTCCCATGTAGCTGGCAGGTTAGGTACCTAAATCACACCCTCCAATATCTATAGGTACTAACTAACTACCTAGGTCGGTACCTAGATAACACCTCTCCATTACCACCCCCTTCCCCCTCTCCTCAGATACCCTCCCTACCAATCAACAGCCCAAGGGCCCCCAACATCGCACATCGCCGCCACATCCGCCACCGTCCTGTCCCGCGGCGCCGGCCACATGAACTCCAGCCGCCGCAGCACCTTCGCCGTCTCCTCCTCCTCCTCCTCCTCCCGCACCGCCCGCGCCTCCGCCTTAAACTGGTCGTCGTGGGGGAAACGGCCCTGGTCGATGCAGAAGAGGAGCACGTCGGGGCGCCGGTCGAGGAGGGAGCGGGTGGCGAGGAGGCGGCGGAGGCGGGTGTCTGAGGAGGAGGAGGGGGGGAAGAGGCGGCTGTGCTGCGCGGCGAGGTCCTCGAAGGTGCCGGTGCGGTAGGTCTTGAAGATTTGCTCGAAAGGGGCAGCGTCTAGGTAAGGGGAGTTAGTCGATGGCTCTTGGTATCTATGTAAGTAGTACCTAGGTAGGTATTTATAATGAGTAGGGGGGACGGGAGAGGGGGGCCGGCTCGCCTTTCAGGGGCTCCGTCTCCGCGGCAACAGTCTGCACGGCGTAGGCGAAGGGGTCGTGGGCGCGCAGGCTACTGTCGTTCCCGGTGCAGCTCTCGCCCATGTGCTCGTGGGTCACGCCAGCTAGGTGCTGGAGGATATGGTGGTAGTACTCGTCCTCGTCGATTTTGTGCTCGGCCTTTGCGGTCGAGGCCTCGCGGTAGCATAGGGATTTGGTGGTTGTTGGTGAGGCCATGGTTGGATAGCTCTTAGGGTTGGTTGCTCTTCAATATCACACGGGGGGGTTATGCGATTATGAAGTTTCAGATTAAGAGCTCTTTTTTGTATAAATATGTAGAAATGCTTCCCGATATGATAAGGTAAATATATATTGTTCGTGTTTAGTCGACTATTGCGTTAACTTGAAGCTGAAATATGCCATGGAGTATGTCTGAATTTATGCCTTACCAAAATACCGTGTGTAATTGGTGTGGAAGTGTTAGGCGAAAAGGGGGAGTGGTGTGGCGCATGGCTCGGTTGCCTGGCGATCGTCCAAACCTCGATGCATCGGATCTATGCAGCATCTCATGTTGTTGCGATGCTGAGAGAGGGTTGATGCCTACCTACCTAGGTATATTTCTCCAAGACTAATGACCATAAAGTTTATTGGGAATCGTTTCCGATTCGTGTAGGTAAGCATACAAAAGTCCCAGATTGCCTGTCGTGGAAAAGTAGATATGGGGGTGGTCTGCAAAGTCTAAGCGGTGATGGTATTGGCTGAGATTAATATTCTAGAATTCTCAAAACACTATCTACTTAAGTAGGCAGTTAGTAGATACAGTAATATATCGAGATTCTTATGTCTGCCTGGGTTCAGATCGTGGCGGTGCTTACCCATGAGACCAATGTGAAGCTGGCGCAGCAGGAGAGGCCTCGCTGTCAATGTGCTACATTAGGTATCGTGCCTGTTTGAACAAGGAAAAAGAAAAAAGAAATAAGAATTTAGTTAATGCTTATATCTAGTATCTACTCAGGCTGTAGCCTCGTACGTATATCTAGTAGGTAATAACCATATGTGCAGTATCAAATTCATTTATACCCACCTTTTGATCTACCTTCTTCACGCCGAGCAATACATTCGTGTCAGAAACTCGCGGTACTCACTTTGCATATCCTCCCATTGTTAACCAACACCTTGCACATATTCATTCTGAAGAAATAGTAGTCATGGAGACAAGTCAGGATACACCGGGCTGTTACCACCACACGGCCTCGCAATACGACCAAAACCTCATCTCCACACAAGTCTTCTTCTCCCAGTGTCTTAGCCATCTAGGCCCTACCAGTAGCCGGGTTCATCACCAAGAAGACACAGAGCCGTTGACCCAACAGCTCAGGCCTCTGTTCTGGAAGGGCCAGTTTGGGCCCGTCGCTGCTGCGATCAAGCTATGTGAGACCGACCCTTTGGCGGAGTCGATCACGGGTATGTTATTGTTTCCCATACCCACAATTTCCCAATTCATTAATCAAAGACTTTCCGGGAACAGTGGAGGAACTAGTGCCCCTATTCGTAGCATGCGCAACTGCACCAGCGACCATAGAAACCATCCAAGCCTCAGCCAGCCAAAACATTCTCGCCTCCCCCCTATTCCGCCAAGCCCTCATCGTGACCTCCTTGAAAAGCGGCAACGATCCCCTCGCCCGCGCTCTCATCACCCACGCACCCGCCACCCCTCCACCCCCGGAAACCTGCGTGTTCAAGATGCACCTCTCCTCCCTCGTCGAAGAAGAGGAGATCCCCGCGGGCGCGTGGGCCGCCCTCGTGACAGCCGGGTGGGCCGCGCCATCCGCGAAGCTGGTCCTCTGGGGCGCGTCCAGCAGCAGCGGGCCCGACGGCGTCGCCTTGCTCGAAGCCCTCGCCGCCGCCGGCTACGACATGCACGCGAACGCGACGTACAGGGAGGCGCTGCCGTCGCTGGCGCTCGTCACCAGCGAGCCGGAGGTCATCGCGCACCTGTTCGCGCTGTACGGCGTGGTGCCGACGAGCGACATGCTGGTCCAGGCCGTGGAGGCGCGGGACGCGGGCCGCGTGGAGGTGCTGAGGTGGCTGCTGGACACGTACGCGCTCGACGTGAACTATGTCCGCACGGGAGGACGCGGGCCCTTCGACGCGGACCCGGCGCGCGCGGGCGACCCGAGGGAGAGGGCGGAGATGGAGCATGCGGTGCGGCAGGCGGGGAGGCTGGAGAAGCCGAGGACGGCGCTGCATGCTGCGGTGCTCAGAGGGAACGCGGAGGCGTGTGAGTTTTTGAGGGGGAGAGGCGCGGTGGATGGCGCTGCGTCGGAGCTACGCCGTGACTTATATGATAAATAGCCTGGCTCAAGCAAGTATGGAGTTTTGATGAAGATGGCCATTCGACCAGTTATGCTTAGAATACCTACAAGTTGCATAGGCACATACATACATACATACCTACCCAGAATACCAACCAGCTGCGTACTAGGTACCTACCTACCTACCTACCTACCTAGGCAGGCAAAGAAGCAGTTCCCAAGAATGTTGCTCAAACGCGAATAGGCTATAACTAAATAAGACTCATAAATAAAGGGACATTTTGGATCTTAGATAGTTACTTACCTAAGTACAATTGCGTAATCGTCGCGACATCGCGAAGAACGATGATCCTCGCCTCAGCGCCCCACCCCACGTCTTCTCACACCGGGTCTATCATGCCGGTTCATGCCATTCTCTACCCATAAGTTAGTTATGTATCTCTCCACTTCCCCCCACGATTGTACAGCCTCATTACTTCCGCAGGCGAAGCAAGCAACATAGGTATGTATGTATGTATGTAGGCCAGGCCCCCGCCGTTCGACGACGGATTTATCATGCCGATGAATCGGAAGAAGAATGATGATGATGGGAGTTTTTTTGGGCCGGATCTCGTCTGCGCCACCGCGTAACTAGCCGCGACGGATCGCCTATCTAGGCTGCGAGATGCTGCTCGGGTCGGCCGAAGCTATTTATTTACCTGGTGTTGCAGGCGGGTTCGTGGCATCATTGTACCTAGGTATGTATATATGTATGTATGTATGTATGTATGTGGACAATAACTATCGCGCATAGCGAAATAACGATCCCCACGTTCACGAGAACAGCCCGTCCTTCTAGAAGCCAGCAGCGCGAGGCTTGGCGGACGGATAAACAGCTTCTCTCATGTAGATAGTTACCTAGTAAGCGGGTAAGACGGTACATACATAAATCGCCCCCGCTCGAGCTCGGGCTACTGCAGGTTCGCGAGATAGATCACCGCGGCGATGGGGACGGGCGCTCGAGCTCAGCAGTGGGCATTTACGCCATAATATTGTGAGGCGCAGTTTAGTAGGCAGCTGGGGCAAGACGTGAGGAGACAAAGATATGCCTCCATTACATCCGTATTGAGTAAAGAATTCCAGTAGTTCTCTGCGACTATGAGATAGGTATGTGGATGTAGGACGTAGACTTGTCGTCAGCCGGAGAAGCGAAGAAGAAAAAAACGCAGTGAGACAATAGGTAGCAGCCGCAACCGCAAGCCAGGCCAGCGGAGGTTCTTGCATTGCATCCGGTATCTCCTCGACAGCCGTGGCTTTGTTGATCATGTTGTAGTTATGTATGTGCCGTTTTCAGGTCTCATTCCTAACCTACCACTCTTTCCATCTCCTTGATCTAGGTAGATGAGACTGAGATCTCCGCGATGCCCTCTGCCTAGGCAGCCACAGAGCCGCCCATCCTAACCACAAGTGAGATTGTTGCACAAATAGCTAACCTCGAAGTAACAAAAAAGATGCAAGTGACAAAGATGCAGATTATTGCTACGCCACGACGTTACACGATGAAAAAAAGAAAGAAAAAAAAAGAGGAGGTTGGAGGTTGGAGATAGATGCGATGTGATGTTCCCACCTTACTTGGCAAGGTCGGCGCAGAACAGACCCCGCGATCGCACATCCTGTCTGTGGCTGCCGTGATTGCCGTTCTCGTGGGAACCTTGAGACAATAGAACGGCGTAGGTAGGTAGGTAGGTGACAATTCAATTCATATTCAATTAATTACTCATAGCCCGGTGGTTAGATAGGTAGGCAACCAAACCACGACGCCGTAAGGTTGTGCGCGCCGCGATTTTCTGGGTCATTTCCCGTTGCGGAATGTTGGAATAGGGGCCAATACGATAATATTGACTCCACACTCAACCACACACCCATGCTTTTTTTTTTTGTCTAATGTACATAGGTACGGAGTAAGGTAGGCAGGTATAAAAGGAATTAGTATAACTATCAAAGCTTTTCGACTCGAAGGTGTGGTGAAATCCTCACAATACCAATAGACTGTTTGTTCAGCTCCTTGCTCAAGGATAGAGTTGGTTTTGTGCAAGTAGAATTGTACGGAGCATTCTCTCGTTCCTGACGCGTGTCCGTCATCGTCCACCTTGAAATCTCTTAAACGAAAGAATTTCAAAGCTCTTATATCCGATCAGACATACGCCAAGATGGGGATATTCACGATATTAGCAGGCCTGGCCATAATATGCTCAAGCTCGAGTGCCGCAGCCCTGGCGGAGAAGAAACGTCTCATCATCGATACGGATATGATCAACTTCGACGATGATCCACTGGCCATAGGGCTAGCCAATATCATGCAAGACTGGAAGGAAGTGGAACTTATTGGGGTCATGTCAAGTATTCTAACCTACCCCTTCTCCATAACATACACTATATGTGTTTCACGGGGGTCTAGGATTTTAACCCGCCGATAGGTTCACGGAGTCGATTTGGGCCTCCGGCTTCCGACGCCATCAATACCTTCTATGGGCACCCAGACATCCCGGTAGCAGTGCAGAAGCCCGTGAATAACATGGTATGTGTTATGAACATCCCTAATTTCACTATATCATACAAACCGTGCCAAGCTCACCACACACCACAGACACAATGGCCGAACTACACCAAGTACCACGACTATCTCACGGGGCTGACTTACAACTTCCCGGAGGACGTCCGAGACGGCTCTTACACGCCGGATCCAGGTGCGCGCCTCATCTCTTCTAAGTAGAGCCACCACTCTGTCTACTAACACACAGCCAGTATCCTCGTACCGCTACCTCCTCTCCACCTCCGCCAACTACTCGGTCACCATCGCCGTGATTGGCTTCTTCGACAACCTGTACAACCTGACCAACTCGGGGCCAGACAGTATATCGCCGTACACTGGCGCCCAACTGCTATCCCTAAAAGTACGCGAGCTCGTCGTGCAAGCGCGAGAGGAGAGGCAATCCTTCAACACGGGGCGGGGCAGCGCCACAGACCCGCGGTACGCGGAAAAGATACTAAACGAGTGGCCAGGAAACCTGACATTCGTCGGTAATGACGTGACGAGCAACACGTACATTGGCGCGCGCATCACAACGGAGCTGGACAATGCGACGAACCCGATTGCGTACGCGTTTGGCACCAACATCGGCTATAACCAGACGCACCAGGTCTGGGATGCCGTGGCCGTGTACTACGCCGTGTGCGGGCTCGACGATGTGTTCAAGTGGAAGTATCCCGGCGGCGGTCGCGTGCATCTGAATGCCTCGGCATACGCTACCTGGCAGGTGAATGAGACGGCGCCCGGGTGGCAGAATGCTCTTGCTTTTAGCGTGGTGAATACGACCTTTGCAGAGAGGTTAGAGGATACGCTGCTCTGGGAGCCGGGGAAGGATGTGCCGAAGAAGAGGAGTTGGTGCAGGAACTAAAATTGGGTTATGAGGTTTTGGTAGGTAGGGGGTTACCTACCTAGGCAGGAAAGGGGTTTGCGACGGATATGTAGGAAAATGGGCTTCAAGGCGGCTTGGGAATATGAGATAATTATAATGTTTTTTAGGACAATTACGGTGGTAAGTGTTAGTGCGCGACACGAGTCCGTTAGGTATGGATGCTATACTACGGACTTACCTACAATTGGTGTTAGTAGCTGAGTTAGGTCAATAGGGGGGTAGATGGGGGGTGAGCCGAGATCAGATTTGGGGGCCAAAAGATGAGCATCCGCAACAGACGCTTAATGGAAATATTACACTCCTTCCCCAATGCCCATTCTTCGAGTATACAACTCTTTCTTACCTAGGTACATATCCAAGTACTACTCACCGGCTTCTAGGACATCTATCTACGAATTCACCAGTGTTCCGATGAGCAAACCTACCACTACTGCAGACTGGGAAGCTTGGTCGCGAGCCCAAAATATAAAGGGATGCCCAAACACCTGTTGGGCTCGCAGCCTCCCCTTACCCACTGCGCAGAACAAACCAACAGCATCAAAAAGCCACACAAACATATCAGTCGACACAAGCACACGAAAGGCATTGGCAGCCAGGTTCTACCAGCCCATCAAGCCATGGCAGACGCGCATTCTTCGCCTCAATCCCGCACCTCGCCGCCATGAGCCGGTCGTCTGCACACTTTTAGTTGCTGATGTCATCGCGCACGAAGGTCTCGGAGTCGTTGAAAAAGACGTTCCGAGGGAAGTCCCCTACGAAGCGCTGTCGTACACATGGGGTGCGGAAATCTTCTCCTGTCCCATCATCGTCAACGGCGTCGAGTTCTTCGTGACAGAGAACCTCGATGCCGCTTTACGGCATCTGCGGCTAACGGACAGCGGAAGTGGTGGTGGTGGTAAGCGGTACCTGTGGGTAGACGCGCTGTGTATCAACCAGTTCGACATGCAGGAGAAGTCGATCCAGGTTTCGCGGATGAGCACGATATACAAGAAGGCGCGCAGGGTGGTAGCGTGGCACTCGGGCTGGACGCCCCAGAACAGCACCATTCTCTCTGGTGTACTGGATAACATGGCGAAGCCCCAGAAACACAGTGACGACTGTACCGCACGCTTCAAGGGCATCGCCGCGTTCCTCGCAGACGCTTGCGAGCCGCCGCTCTTCAAACGCACCTGGGTCCGGCAAGAGGTGTTCGGGGCCAGGGCGATGGTCATGCAGTTTAATGACCTCGAGATATACTGGGAAGATTATGAGCGCATCAAGAACTTTCTCGCGCCGGTTGTGTCTTCAGCTGTGAGCGATGGCTCTACATTCCCGGATTTTACGAATGCTCTCTATCTAAAGTCCCCGTTCAAGGCGATCATGATGCTAGTCCAGCCCGATTATCAGACCGACCACAAGGCGCGCAACGAGCGCAACCTAGCGGCGGTAGCTGCCCCTGTCTCACTCCTCGACGCCTTGGTGTTTTCTTCGTCCTTCGGGGTGTCTGATCCCCGGGATCTGGTCTACGGGGTACTTGGGTTTACCACGGTGGCCGTTTCACAAGGAAAAGTGGACTTGCATCAGCCGACGTTAAACGTGGATTATCATCGCTCTGTGTCCGAGGTTTACCAAGACGTCGTAAGATATGAAATTGAGCGATCGGGTTCTTTGGGAATTCTGGACTTTGCAGGATCTCATCATCCAGCGTCGTCGGATCTTCCATCGTGGACCCCTGACTGGAGGACGTATGACCCGAAGTTAGCACAGCATCGCATTCTGAATAGAACAAACTCGTGGAAGTATGGTTTTATCGATGTCCGAAAGATAGGGGTATCATGGAAACCGATCAGACAGCCTCCAGACTCTAAAGGGATCTTGTTAGCTCGAGGCATCGTCCTCGGCATAGTCCACGATAAAATAGATAAACCTGGCCTTTGGATCCCATTTGTATCTCCGGGTTTCGACACCGGCTTCAAAGAGAGATTTGGAGGCCGCAGCTTCGACGACACAGATCTCTTCCGAGACGTGAGGAGAGATTACAAGTCCATGTTCTACAACACGTTCAAAGACGGGAATCTGCCTCTTCGTGACGGAAAAGTTATGGGAGTGGACGTAAGAAAAGCCACTACAAGGCTTATGACCCTTGCGCAGGTCGTGATGCTGGACCAAATCAGAGCAGAAGTTCGAAACCGGGTCCTCGCGTCGACAGAACCAATTCGAAAAAACCACATTATAGGGCTTGCACCATCCGGCGTGTCGATCGCACCCAAACGTTGTCTACCTGGTGATGCCATCGTCTTATTTGAAGGCTCCCCGTGTCCGTTCGTTTTGAGAGGATCTGGCCAGGGACAGCACATTCTCATAGGGAGAGCAATATTCCCTCTCTGGTTTGAGCATAAGTCCACGTCCTTTGATGAGTCCAGGAGAGACGAGAGGACCTGGTCTAGCAACAACGCCGTCTACACGGAGACATCGGATGTTCTAGAGAGCAGGTTCTTATGGCCCGAGAAGATGGCTTCTATATGGAAACCAGTCTTACAGGATGCTGAATTCCGGGGTGCACTAGAGGATTTCCGACTAGTATGAATGCTACCCCAACCAGGTAGGCAATTAGTATGAATCGGAACTTCGGAAGGATAAGTTAGTGCATACCTAGGTAGGTAAAAGCATTCTGACTAGTGAGAGTCCTCGCCAATAATCTCCAACTTCGTAATGCCAAGGAAACAAGCTCTGAGCAAAGCCATCCGTGGTGACTTCAACCTACGCCATGCCTTATGTAAATGTCTCTTTACAAATATCGAACCAAAGTCACCTATCAAAGTCAAAGTTAATATGTCCTACCATTTTCAGCTCAGCTAGCTACTAGGCAGCTATCCCGATATCGGAAAAATCATCACGTCAAAGAACCTTATAAAGCCGACCCGGAAGATCACTCGTTGAATTCCAAAGACCGATTGAAATTATCTCCGCATCGGCAATTAGTGGGCTGCGGTATGACGCCAAGTGACGGTGTGTGTTGTATTTTGTGCCTCGATCAGGTAGTTCCGGTCTTTCTTTCATCGTCATAATATTGCATTTGCGCTGTTGACTTCGGCTTATATCATCCAATATACGGGCATATACTTACCGTCGTCGGCATTGGAAGATACCCCGGATTATATGTGTCAATAGATGTATTACCGTCGCTTACAGTTGTCTCATCCTCCACCACCAGCACCAGCCACCATCACTTTCGAACAATCTTATTTTACCTATGCCCTGAGACATACATTAGCGCATACAAAAAATAATTTAAAATGGGAGCATTCTTCGAAACCATTCCCGAGTCATTACTCAAATGGATCATTGAACAAAAGATTTTCTGGGTAGCTACGGCCCCATTATCAGGCCGAGGCCATGTCAACGTCTCGCCCAAAGGCGGCGATTGTTTCGGTGTCCCGGACACCAAGACGTTCTGGTACCTGGACATGACGGGCTCCGGCAACGAAACCATAGCGCATATACTAGAACCCGGAAATGGCCGAATCACCATCCTCTTCAACGCCTTCGAAGGGCCGCCGCGCATCCTGCGACTGTGGGGCAAAGGCCGGGTGCTAGAGCACGGCACGGAGGAGTTCCGGGCAATGGTGGAGCGGGAGAAGATCGAGGTGATCCCGGGGACGCGGTCGGTGATCGTGGTGGACATCCACCAGGTGGGCACGTCGTGCGGGTACTCGGTGCCGGTGTTTGACTTCAAGGAGCACCGAACGCTACTAAACGACATCTTCAAGCGCAAGGAAGAAAAGTACCTCGCTGGAAACGAGAAGGAGAGCATGGACCGGTACTGGGCGCTCAAGAACTCCTGGAGCATGGACGGTCTCCCGGGCATGCCCCGGGGCATCAAGGCAGGCCGCTTCTACTCCATCGACCCCATCAAGAAAATGGTGGGACCTTTGGCACCCAAGAACGGCGTCAGGTTGAGCACGCGGAATGGCTTCCTCATCGAACACGTGTTCATCGTCGTCCTCGCTCTCTTGCTCGCGGTTTCACTGGCTACCCATCCTGCTTTCCAGCACCAGGCTCAGGCGCGGATACAACACGTATTGTCGCAAGTCAGGGCAGGAGCAGATGTGCTTCCGAGTTCCGTTCGATTTCGAGAATGATTAATTGTACCTGGATTGGTTTTGGCCTTTTCAATCCATTACACCCTGTTAAATATCCATGGAATGTTTTTGGTTGTTTTGTTGAAAAAGAAATTTGCAACCTACACCCCTCATTTTCCTTTATTGTAGGTAACTATTCTTACACACATGGCAGGAATTAGTTATGTGCTTATGATTCAGACGACGAACCTTGTTATGTTTCATATAAATCATAACGTAGGTAGTTAATTACATATGTATAACTACCTATCTTATGTAGGCAGGTACGCATACATCAATTCTGATAGGGTTTAACTATTTATTCTCTCCATGTCTCTGTCGTAGAAAGGCTATCCGTGCAACCCCACAAATTGTAGGGAATTGGGGAGGGACAAGCCTGTGAATAAAGTGGGGCATAGCACGGGTAGTAACCGTTGACCTTGTGGCTCCTGTCAGAACCCCTGTCAAAGCCTTGTCAGCTGTCGGTTAGATCTGCCACCTGTGCCACCATCTCATAGGGCTTATTAATTAGCGGTGGCCCCCTCTGTCGCTCAATAAATTAGGGACTGGCGTAGCTGTTAGCCAGGTGGTAGGGTAGCTGGTGAGGCAGGGGCGTGTTCTGCGTGCGTCCTCCGTATAGTTAATTAATAGTGTATTTGATCAATATATTCACTCATTGCTCCCTTTTTAAGTTGGCAATGAGCAGGATTTAACTTTACGTAAGTAGGTAGGTAACATAGTATGCTGTTACCTATGCTGAGTATGGATGTAACCAGATCACACATAACTCCCCACACCTCCCTAGACTTAGGTATGCATAGTAAATGATATCCATGGATACTATGAAGTGATCATTGATGCTACTTTACTAGCGTAGTGTGTAAGCCCTATAAACTTTATTTGAACATCAAATCCAATCAAGATAGAAGTATCCATGGGTCTAATTATATAAATACCTATGTAAATGTAAGTATACAGGGTAGGAAATAGTGTAGCACTGTAATGCAGGTACCCACGTCGCCCTGCTATCCTATAACTAATTATTGTGGTTAGTGAACAGTAAGGTACCTCGGTTCTAGCTGTCCTCTGAGAGTGACGCACAGATAGAATTTATATTCTCCGAACATTCCGGTCTTTGGAGATCAAATGCGTCGGGTTGACTCTTTATGACATGATTGGCTAGGTGTTTTTATAACGGCACACAGGTTATGAGTCTAGATCCAAAGATTCAATGTTGGTTATACAAGTGACCGGTGACATGTAGGATTTGTATACAATGTAGTGCATTGTAACCACATATTTAACTACATGTAACCTCGAAGTAAGCGAACCCTCAAAGATTGTTGTATTGTACATACCTATATACTAGTAGGTGAGGGTAGGCACTACTCGGTAAGGTTCCTTAAAAGCAAGGGTTCCATGGCAGGATGGATAGCAACCTCCCCCTTTGCTGGTACCTGGCGTCTTTTGAATACATACCTACCTACCCTAGGTGCTAAGGGTATCGGTATCAATTTACAGCTGGAAGTTGTGACCTTTAATGTAAGGTTCAATGTTGTTGGAAGGCATGAACAGGCACGGCCCCCATCAATGGATACCATATCATGTATGTACCGGCTCCATACCTTTTACTTGTCGTGGATACCTTAGGTATGCTAACTGAACCTCAGGTTTCAGTCTACCTCAGGCATGAAAAATACGAGTGGCACTGTACGTCGGGTTTTGTGAATAAACAACTCAACCGAAACCCGTACCGCTTTGCATAATTAAAACTCACCGTCAACAAATACACACTCATTCTTCAATATTGTTCTAGACAGTGCCCCAAGGTCTAGCGGTGAACAAGTTACTACTACTAGGTAGGAAAGGTATGAGAGCCACCAGATGGATCCTGCATATGGATCAATGGATGTTAATTCGTCAATCTGATTTCCTTCTAGCTATGTCCTCGACTAACACGCATCACTTAGACAAGCAATCTTGAACTTACGACATAGGTACTATTAGTACCTACCTACGCGAGCACTAGTGAAGAGCACATCCTACTGCGTCATTCTCATAAAGATGGACTGTAAGTTTCACTTAAGTCTAAGACTGCACTCATCACTATCTATTCATGGAGTCTAGATACTAATTCTGAATGGATAGTGGCCCTCGCAGGAGCGGCCGCGGGCAGTGCCGCCCTCGCGGTAACATATTATCTCGACGCCCGATTTCACATCTCCAATGATATGAAATCGTTATCAAACAAGGCAAGGGCTACACGATATGCAAATCTCCTTGCCGAGCATGTCAAGGCAGATAAGATGCTTGTCTACCATGCTTTAGAGCAGCATGCGAACAGCTCCTTGGCGAATGCTCCATTCCTTGTCTTCGAGGGCCGCGAGTGGACCTACAAGGAGTTCCTCGATGCCATTGACCCTATCGGCAACTGGCTTATCAAGGAGTTGGGTATCAAGAAGGGGGAGATGGTCGCCCTCGACGGCGGAAATAGCCCCGAGTTTTTGCTACTTTGGCTGAGTCTCGAGGCAGTTGGCGCTTGTGTTGCGTTCATCAACTGCAACTTGACAGCAGAGCCACTTGTTCATTGTGTCAAGCTCTGCGGCACTCGATATCTACTAGCCGACTCAGATGTCCGTCAGCTCGTTTCTCCAGTCGAAGAGGAGCTTACGTCATCCAATGTCAAGACATTATACTACGACCCCCAATTCCTAGCCGCCTTCACAGATAAGGCACCCTTACCCCTTGAGCGTCGCTCGGGAATCAACCCCGCTGATTCGTCCTGCCTAATTTACACCTCCGGCACCACAGGACTTCCAAAGGGCACAATCGCGAGCCGGGCAAAGATGTTAATGATGCGAGAGACCAAAAACATCTTAGGACTAGGCCCCGGTGACAGGATGTATACCTGTCTACCTCTCTACCACGCTTCAGCACTTGCCGTTTGCTGTCTGCCGTGTCTCTCTAGTGGCGCTACCGTGGTCCTGTCGCGCAAATTTTCCCACAAGACCTTCTGGCCCGAAGTTCATGCCTCCAAAGCTACCATTATCCAGTACGTCGGCGAGCTGTGCCGGTACCTCCTAAGCGCCCCACCCAGCCCGCTCGACCGCGGCCACTGTGTGAAGCGGGTGTGGGGCAACGGCATGCGCCCTGACGTGTGGGAGCCGTTCCGGCAGCGCTTCGGCATCGAGTCGATCTACGAGTTCTATGCCGCCACTGATGGAATGGGATTACTGTAAGTGTTACTTGATTAAAAACCCTCGCTCCCTTTTTCTTTTTTGTGTCCCATTGCAAGCAATACTAACATGCATCGCCCACAATAAAGCTACTGCCACAACCGCGGCGACTTCTCCCGCGGTGTTCTCTCGGTCCGAGGCCCAATATGGCACTGGCTGAACGGACGAGACGAGGCGCGCGTGCGAATCGACCCAGACACGGGCGCGATTCTGCGCCGGAGCAACGGCCTCGCCATCCGCTGTAAGACAGGGGAGTCGGGCGAGATGATCCACCGCTTGGATCCATCCAACCCGGCCATGGGAACACCGGTGTACTGGGGCAACGTGCAAGCCGCAGAAAAGAGGCAGGTGCGCGATGTTTTCCAGAAGGGAGACCTATGGTTCCGCTCGGGTGACTCCATGCGCCTCGACGCTGAGGGTCGCCTACACTTCGTCGATCGCCTCGGCGACACGTTCCGCTGGCACTCAGAGAACGTGTCAACGACGGAGGTTGGAGACGTTGTGGGAATGTTCCCGCAGATTATCGAGGCGAATGTGTACGGCGTCGCAGTGCCGCACACGGATGGACGAGCCGGTTGTGCAGCGATCCTTGCTGCAGAAGGCGTCTCCATCAAGCCGGAAGACATAGAACAAGGGCTGGGACTAGACCTGAAGGGGCTCGCCGAACACTGCATCGCGAAGCTCCCGCGGTACGCCGTACCCATCTTCCTACGCATTGTGACGCAGCTCGAGCACACGGCGACTATGAAGCTGCAGAAGGGAAATCTGAAGGCTCAAGGAATCGACCTGGAGGCCATCGAGAAGGCTGCGAAGGATAAGGGCGAGGAGCCCGATCAGATGTACTGGCTGCCCCCTGGCGCGAAAGCGTATGTCCCGTTTCGAGGTAAAGACTTGCGAGAGTTGGAGGGGGGTAAGGTTCGTTTGTGATGGATGCGTTTTGTGGCCCATCTAGATGGGTAGTAGCCTGGGCTGTTTTTGACCTACCTAAGGGTAGGTGTCTATAATGTTCTAGTACGATACCATGTTGTACATGATTCGCTTCCTTTCGAGTCTATACTTGCACTGTTCTAGGTAGGAACAAAAAAGGTACTACCTACATACTAGTAAAAGAGATCAATAACTACATTGAAATTCCAACTTAATAGTCATGGCGGGGGCTTGTGAAAAAGTAGGTACAGGAAGTCCTGCCTAGCTAGGTACATACCTAACAGCATAAGTAAGCCCTTTTCTCTTTCCGGGTTAATCTACGTGTGAGTTCGTATGTGGCTGACCATGAGGAAAAAGGAAGTTACATCGTAGAACGTACATATGTCGCTGAAAGATAGGTAGGTATTGAGTGATTAGACTTGTTAAGAAATAATTTGATACAAAAGATCAATTGTTGTCGTCATTGTTTGAATATATAATGCTATGTGAAAGTGCTCAGCTAGCTGACACACGAACCGTAGGTGCCTGCAATAAAGCGAATCTATCGCATCAAAGGAGAAGGCTATGAGGATAACTGCGAGCGGTAAAGAGCGGCTTCGAATACAACAGTTTACGCCATTGCGCGTTCGCGTCTATGCCTACCAAGCACGCAGGTAGGGATGGAGGTATATAATTGAGACCCTCAACTCAAATGGCCCAATATACTCTTACTTCGACTTTCTGAATCTTATTCGTCCATCCCGGAAATCGGCTTCTTGCCCAGACGGTGATCATGTCACCGATCTTGAGGTTTCTCACGAACTCCCCATTCGCAGTAGCTGGGCCGCGGCCTATGTCTTTCAACTTCATAGCCTCAACCGAATCAGGGTCCACTTGATCGTCCCAAGACCATTCGACGTGATGGTGGTTCATTTCACGGCTAGCGTGCTTGTTTGCCTGGATCAAGTGATCTGCAGTGGGCAATAGTTCGTGGTAGTATCGCATCTCCTGTTTGCCATCTCTAGGCACAATGGGGGGCCAGACTGGACGTATTGCACACGTTGGAATCTTCTCAGCGTCATTTGGCTGACTGGAATCCTCATCGTTATTTGGTTCACTCGAAGTTCTGTCCGGACATTCAGGCAAGCCTATGAGATGATTAGCATGTTGACTATCTGAATCATGGATGATTAGGTACGCACATTCGTTCTTCGCGTCAAAGCGCTCAAGGCCAGCATCGAACCATGTGAAAGAGCTGCGATATGTACCGAAATCTTCACGGTGACTACTATGGCCTTGATCGCAACTGGTTATATCAAAGACCACTTTGCGAACTGGATGCTCCGATGCTAAAAGAAAATATGAATTAATATACCGCTTGCGCAACAAACCAAAATACAGTGATATTCGCAGTGGGCTTACCTTGCGCTGTTGCAGCATCCGCAAAGTTGAGTAATTTGGACTCGGGGTATTCCTCCTCAAGTGTTTTGGGGGGAGTTACAACCTTCCAAAGATCATCGCTAGAAGGAGTCCACTTCGTAAGTCCTAGTGGCTGAGTACGAAGCTACAGATAGATGTTAGTTAGAATGACAATTAAAAAGCTAAATGTATAGAGAAGGGAAAATGCTAACCAAGAACTCATTTTCACGTAGACTGGAGCCATAGACGGACATATGATTGCCTGGCTGCAGGTTGGTGTAGTCAATGGTAGTGGTAGAACAGGCCCAATACTGAGCACAATCCAGAATGATGTCGACAAGTTCGAGAGGCAGGTTTCTAGTCTTTGCCAGGATTCTCTTCACTTCCTGAACATCTTCTGGTTTGATATCCAGAGTATTGATGAAAGTTGGGGTTGGCGAGGCAGTCGATGGGCCAGCTGGTGGTATATTGCGATTAGGAGCCCAGCGCGGGACTCGTCTTCCACGCCCTCTCCCACCCATAATACCCTCCATGATCAAGGAAATCAAGGTTTTTATAATGATACTAATGATTGACGGCTGATAGATGACGATTCGAGATTGCGATTGGGGATTGCAAATATGTGTAAATGTTTAGGGTGGTGTCGAAAAAGTAAGGAAATGTAGTTCAATTGAGCACCACGTGCAAATGGAAAACAGTTGAATGAATATTTAGTGCTGCCCAGGTGGTACCTAGTAAAGAATATGAAGTTATGAACTGGGCACTAGCTAGTAGATATCTGGTTTTAGGCAGACACTTCAAATAGAACGCAGCTTCTTTACAGTTAATGAAGGCAGGGATTGGGGCGGTCGTTAAAACTAGATCTGGGGAAAGAGCAAACACGATCGATATATGTATGGCATTGTATGCACCTAGGCAGATTAGATACTACATATGTACACATATGTAGGTAGGGCCTGGTACATACCTATGTAGGCACGCCCGTGACATACATACGTCAAGGCAGCGCCACCTCGTACACGTCACATCAGTCTGTCTCCTTCCCGTCTCAGTGCTCCCTCCTATCTGCCAAGCCTCATTTACGTACTTGGCCATTATGTAACCTACATAGATACACAAGTGCATATTTCAACATTGAATATTCCAGAGGCGTGAGCATGTGACATCATCAGCTCACTTAATATGCCACTTATAGCTTAAAATGTGGGTTAAGTAGCTCATCAGTCTGCTCATGAGGTTGCACCATTTCGTTTATTTTAGTGTCAACTAACAACTAATTAGTACAAACTAAAATGCCTAGGCTAAGTAGATGGTACTGTATGTATGTAAGCAAACCGCAAAAGTTTGACTATTCCGATTTCTAATTATCCAAACTTGATTGATCATGGAATTCACCAAGTCGCTGTCCATCCTGGGCTCGACACTATTCTCATTTAACAAATGGCCTTAATGAAGGCCAGCGCGGCCACTCTGCGAGGTATATCTACCTCTTTACAGCCAATGCGCCATGCGCCATCACCTATTTTTCTATTCCGAAGTCGGCCTTCTTCTTCGCCATCACTCTCATTGAGTAAGGCTCTCAGTCGACAACATGGCATACGATCATTACACTCTCAGCCCGCAAGGCGTTCCGGCGCAGCAGGCCAGGGCGAGGCATCAAACCCTGCCATGGCCTTTCCTTGTCTTGATGCGCTAGAAACCCGGTCAGCCACATTGGAAGCAAAATCGCTCTCGACGGGGCCTGAGCCCACCTACACTACCGGTGCCACAGAGATTTTCCGCTGCAAAGATCCTCTTTCCTTGGATTGGGGCGGCATCTTGCCCGAATTTGATGTCGCATACGAGGCATGGGGCAATATGAATTCAGACAAGTCCAACGTTATTCTGCTACATACTGGTCTCTCTGCTTCGTCGCATGCCCACTTAACCGAAAGCAACCCACAACCTGGATGGTGGGAAAAGTTTATTGGACCCGGGGCTTGTCTCGATACTGATAAATATTTTGTGATATGCACGAATGTTATTGGAGGCTGCTTCGGATCCACCGGCCCAAGCAGTGTTGACCCGGCTGACGGCCAGAGATATGCTACTCGGTTTCCCATTCTAACGATGGAGGACATGGTGAGGGCTCAGTTTCGTCTATTAGACCATCTGGGTGTTGACAAATTGTATGCGAGTGTCGGGTCTAGCATGGGAGGGATGCAATCACTAGCTGCTGGTGTTTTATTTCCCTCGAGGGTCGGACGGATAGTGTCTATCAGTGGATGCGCTCGAAGTCACCCTTACAGTATCGCAATGCGCCACACGCAACGGCAAGTGCTCATGATGGACCCCAACTGGAACCGTGGATACTACTATGGCAAAGTCCCGCCACACGCCGGAATGAAGCTTGCCAGAGAAATTGCTACTGTTACGTACCGGTCTGGACCCGAGTGGGAGCAACGGTTCGGTCGTAGGAGAGCGGACCCGGCGAAACCCCCTGCATTATGTCCGGATTTCTTAATTGAAACATATCTAGATCATGCGGGTGAGAAGTTCTGCCTGACATATGATCCAAACAGTCTTCTTTATGTCAGCAAAGCCATGGACTTATTTGACTTGGGCCTTGAGAATCAACAAGCATCTTTACAGCGACGGACCGAACACGAGAAACTCATTCAATCGGGGTCTTCCCTGAAGACGAACAGCGTATCCTGCAGTCTTACCTTACCAGACGCGCCGTATTCCGAGCAACCTGACACCAAAGTGGACGACTTCGGGTCACCCGTACCCGCCGACTCCAGGCCCCCTGAAGATCTCATCGCAGGACTATCGACACTGCGGGATACGCCGACTCTGGTGATGGGTGTCGCAAGTGACATCCTGTTTCCTGCTTGGCAGCAACGAGAAGTTGCGAATGCTATACGTCTCACTGGCAATCGAAACGTGACGCACGTTGAGCTCAGCGAAGAGCAGAGCTTGTTCGGTCATGACACGTTCTTGTTGGATTTAAAAAATGTGGGAGGCAACATTAAGAACTTTTTAGGGTAGTTCTGAGTTCATTTCTAATCAAAAAAGGGGGCCTCCTCTGTGTTGGGAATAATCCGACACTCGCTTATGTAGGGAGTGACAGGATGCTTTGGAGCTAGAACAAAAATATTGATCACTAACTACCGGTCCTTGTATTGTAGTATATACAAAATGTGTCAAAATCAAAACATTACAAACTCCTCCAGGTGTATTGCTGCTGGATTCTTCGAGATCGTCACGTCTAACCTAGCCAGGCAGGCATGATGGTACGGGACAAATGAATGGCCGCGGTCAAAGTGCACCAAATGGAAAAGGTGTAAGCAAATTGTCAGCTTTCCAATTACTCGAAACAGCCTGCTTACTTACTTCGTGGGTATAATGATATGACTTCTTGTCAAAACATCTTACGCGCTACCACCATCTCGTAGTCATCCAGGCATCCCCGTAACCGCCTAAAACGGCAACCCCGTGTTTCAATCGCGACTCCGTGGTATGGAAACACGCCGTTAAGCCCGTGTACACCCGGAGATGAAGAGGGCTGCGGGGTTAGTGACATCCTCTTGCATCACTAATCACGCATGTCTTGTAAGAACCGACGGGGATAGCGGAGTAGTCGAAATGTTAATGCAGGTTTGCCAGAACTGGGTAGTGGTGTCTACAGACTAGCACACTGCTGTATCACATCACGATGGGCCATCCATTCACCATAATGTTGACGAAGGAGGCGTTAGGCGTTAGGTCTTAAGGTGTTTCGGCCGTCCCGCGTTATCATAAGGAGGTAGAGATGGAAATGAGGGTATATAATGATATAAATAACGGCAATGGATAGATGAACAAAATACCTAAACAAGAGACACACACTGCAACTTCACGAGAAGATCAGATACTCACCAAGCTCCCCTTTCCACCAAACACACCCCCCTTTCTTGCGATAATAACAGCCAGAAGTACCTACCTACCTACCTAACCCACAGCAAAGATCAAAGATGGCAAAATACAACAAGCTCGCAAACAAGCACATCCTCGTGATCGGCGGAACCGCCGGCATCGGCCGCGGCGTCGTCGAAGCCTCCCTCGAGTCCGGCGCCCGCGTCACCCTCTCCGGCTCCAGCCCCCAAAGCGTCGCCTCCGCCCTCGCCTCCATACAAGCCACATACCCCTCCTCCTCCTCCCCCCCCCCTCTACTCACCGGGATCCCCTGCGACCTCTCCACCGACGACATCGAGCGCGCTCTCGACGACCTCCTCACCTCCGCCGAGCACACCCAGCCAATCGACCACATCGTGCTGACCGCCGCCGACCCGCTCGCCATAATGCCGCTCGCCGCCATCACCACCCCACAGATCCGCGCCTCCGCGCGCTTCCGCATGGAGGTGCCCCTCGTCCTCGGCAAGGCCGCGGCGCGCCACCTGCGGCGCTCGGCGCAGTGCAGCCTCACGCTCACGACGGGGGGGATCGCGTACCAGCCGTCGCGCGGCTGGAGCCTCCCCGCGTTCACGGGCGCGGGGCTGGCGGGGCTGGCGCGGAACCTGGCGCTGGAGATGGCGCCGGTGCGGGTCAATGCGGTGGCGCCGGGGTTCGTGCGGACGGGCCTGTGGGAGGGGATGGGGATGAGCGGGGAGCAGATGGCGAGGGAGCTGGGGGGGAGGTATCCGACGGGGAAGGCGGCGGTGGTGGAGGAGGTGGCGGAGGCGTATGTGTATTTGATGAAGGATGGGAATGCGACGGGGGAGGTGGGTTGACTCCTTTCCTTTTTTTTTTTTTTTTTTTGGCTTGATCTTTGGGCTCCCAACAAGTAGTCATGGCCTTACCGTTATCCCTGAATTCTTACATTTGGAAGTTGCTGACATGGAGTATTGATAGGTGGTGACGAGTCGCAGCGGTGCCCATCTGGTCTAGCCTCCCTACTGATACCTGGGTAGAGTCGGTAGACACCGGTATATTTAACGCCGTGGCAAAGGGAAAGGCCTGTCCCCGTAACCCCATCAGGAGTATACGGCGCGTAGAGTCATATTTTCATAGGTTTATTTGTTTGTTATTTGCTATTTGGCCTGAGTTATTGAGTGATTGCATGGATGTGAAAGGTGCATATGACGTAGCTATGAAAAATGACATAACTAACAAAATTTCTGCGCAATTAAATGTTCGCAACAACATTACCAAAACATAGAAATAAAGGCAAAAAGACTTCTTAAAAGACGAAAGAACAAGAAAAAAAGATCTCCGGTACGGGGAATCGAACCCCGAGCTCCTCGGTGAAAACGAGGTATGTTAACCGTTACACTATACCGGACTATGTCCGTAAAGCTGCTCGATTGTGCTCTACATATTTCTGGGGTCTAATTATGAGCTATATTTGTAACCTAGTGTGCTCATCGGCAGAATCCCGGGAAATTCCAACCATCATAATTTGTTGACTAAGTGTAATCTTGGACATAGTTAGCAGTAAGCGCTCTAGGTTAGCTCTCTAGCTTTACCTCCAAGAAAAACACCGCCCGGTATGCTGTGTACCTGACATATAGTAGGTACTAGGCATACATACATACATATATCCCTTCAAGTCTATGGTGATATCAAATTTATGTCTCCATTGCAATGGGTTGGATATTTGGATAAACCTACCCAAGGGAGGTAACCAGAAGTGTTAAGTAGTCAAGACTCTATCCAACGACGTCATACGCAAAGCAGCTGGCATTGTCGCCGGTTGGTACACATACTAGATACCTACATGTAGGTTAGTAGGTAGGCCAAGTAAAAAAATAACAAAATACGCCTACCTATCTCACAGCCCAATTCCAACATCTCACAGCTAAGGGAGGGCCCTTAAAATCAGCTTAAAATGAGCCTCTTATTCGCAACTTTCATGCTTAGAAGGTCACTTCCACTTTCATATAATCCGAAATACACCTGTAGATTCGTGGATAGAAGCTCATCGTACAATAATCGTCATCGTCATCATCATAATTACCCTCATCACCCTAATAATCACCGTCCCAAACACACCATGACAACCATAATCCTCAAAAACCCGGAAATCCCCGTCCACCTGCCCGAGGGTCTCTCCGAAGAGAAGCTCCTCGCGTTCGAGCATTTTACGGTCAGTCTCCCGTACCTACCTACCTACCTACCTACCTAAGCTTCCAAATCAACCAACCAACCAATCATTCAATTTTCTTTTATTAACAACCCCCCACCCCCTAGAACAGAACTGGATCAAAACCCTCACCCGCTCCCTAGCGCAGCAGCACCGCGCCACCAACCCCCCGCACCCCTTCCACGAGGACCCGTACTCCTTGCGCTCCATCACGATCCAGAGCTACGACCTGTGGGCCGTCCCCGGGAAGCCCTCGCCGCGCCTCGGCTTCCTCAAGCTCCTCGCCGACGTGCGCAACGCCGCCGGGGAGACGCTGCCGGGGAGCGTCTTCTTCCGCGGGCCCAGCGTCGCCGTCTTGTTCATCGTGGTCCCCGACGATGTCGAGAAGGAGGAGGAGGAGCGCTACGTGCTGCTGACGGTGCAGTCCCGCGTCCCGGCCGGCAGCCTCGAATTCGTCGAGCTGCCGGCGGGCATGGTGGACGAGGACGGCTCGTTTGTGGGCACGGCGGCGCGGGAGATCGAGGAGGAGCTCGGCGTCGAGGTAAAGGTTGAGGAGCTGGTGTCTTTGAGCGCTATGGCTGATGCTGCGGCTACTGGTGCTACTACTACCACCGCTGCCTCTGCTGCTGGCCCAAATAGTATAGGTGATGGCGATAATAACAGTACCGGTAACAGTGATGGAATAGAGGGCGAGGATGAGGGTGAGGGTGAGATTATACCGGTGGGAGTATTTCCCTCCGTGGGCGGCTGCGACGAGTTCATCCCGATTTTCATGCACGAGCGGCGGGTGCCGCGGACGAAGCTGGACGAATGGGAGGGGAAATGCACGGGGTTGCGGGAGGAGGGGGAGAGGATCAAGCTGAAGCTGGTGAAGATGAAGGATCTGTGGAAGGAGGGCGCGCGAGATGGCAAGTGTCTGTCCGCGCTGGCGTTGTGGGAAGGGTTGCGGCGGGAGGGTAGGCTGTAAGATTTCCATCATGATTCAAGATGCTAGAACGAGGGCAAAGGAGTTTAGTATTTTGAAGTGGGTATGAGGGTAGTTCGGGGTTTAGCTCATGAGGCGTTTTTAGGGGAGGGAGGAGAGCTATGGTTTTACAGCATCGTTTTTACAATTTCATAATTTCGGCACAATCACAATCATCTATATTGCTCGTAGTTCGCTGTGTCTCTAAGTTGCGCCTCGACCTTCTCTACCGTAGCCGGGTCATATACCTCCTCAGGTGTTTTGTCACCACGCAACACCTCTTTATCGTGTCGTATCGATTCTTCTTTGGTCATGCAAACCAGTTCATGAAGTTTGATGTTCGATGACTTCTGCTCGTCGGCGCCTTCCCCTATTCTCACCAGAATAGAACTCGTAGGCTGCCGCCACCGTACTAGGGTTAATCGGGTCGTAAGTCCGGTTATGGCACTTCGACCCTTGAAGATCTCTTCGACTAAGAACGCAGTGTCTCCTGCTGTAATTGGCACCTTTAGACCCAGCGTGATACTTGGGTCGCCACCGGTCATGTGTCGAAGGACTTTCTCCTCTCCTCCCTGCACCGCAGCCAGCAGACCTTCATACATCTTCTCACGGCCCTTTGCCGGTATGTAATCGTGCGGGTAACCTATATAAGGGTTAGCATCATGTGTTGAACGGAAAGAAATGTCAACATACCTGTGACAGATAAAATAACATGGTTCGCTACCGTGTACCCAAACACGGCCGGCATAGTTCCTAGCACAGGTAATATCCGCACTCGAAATTCTGGAAGGACGCCTAAATCTCCTACCTTCCCCTTCTGAAACTCATCTTCGGGAAGCGGGAGCAGCTCAGCCTTGCCATCTCCGGTCTTCTCCGTCGAGTACACCGTGGGGATGCCCTTGGTAACGCCTAGCAGTTTTAAGCGCCGGCGAGTGGATCTCGATAGCCCATCATCCGTACTAGTCCCAATATCGCCCACGATGATTCGGGTGGGGTCGCTTTTGCACCCTGCGCCCATAGATGATATTACGGGGAGATTATGGTCGTGGCAGTATTTCAGCAGCGCGACTTTGGTATCGATATTGTCAATCGCATCAACGACATAATCGGGTTTCTGTCCACCGTCCTTCCACGGTTCTAGTAGTCTATCGGCAGCCTGGTCCCAGAACTTCTCCTGCCGCAGATCGAAGTGTACCCATGGAGAGATAGCCAACAGCCGTTTTTGGAGACATTGAACTTTGGGTGAGCCCACATCGGCTAATGTAGCTACGGCGTGTCGGTTGAGGGAGCTCAATGTAACCTGATCAAAGTCAATCAGGCGAATCTTGGAAACGCCCGATCGTGCTAGCGCAGCCGCACAGTGGGATCCCACGCCTCCACATCCAACGATTATCACGAAAGCGTTGCGAAGCTTATCGAGGCCGTCTGGGGTAAGGAAGACGCGGTTACGCGCCAGTTGTTCGAGGATTAATTCATCGTCGTAATCGCCCGCTTGAGCCCGTCGTGCGAGCAATTCGTTTCGGAGATCTTCTTTATCGGCTTTCGAGGCACCGCCAAAACTGTTGAGCTACCTTGCGCAGGTCAATAAAGCACTTGGCAGTGGAAGAGAGGTTATCGTCGGTATCACCCACCCTTCGTTGTACTTCGGCCTCGTCGATTAGGGACGGAATCGAGTCTTTCAGTTGATTTACTCTCTCCTCTCGCTGTAGATGTTGATAGCCTAAGATTGTGCCAGCGACCACAACACCTGAGACAATGGCTGTCGCAGCTAATTGGATTTTGGAGCTCGAAGATGCTCGCTCTAAGAATGACGACATGGCTGTTATATTTTATTCGACATGTATAAAAAAGATGCAGATGCTGATAAAATTCTGGCGACAGTTACAAGTTAAGCCTGCTGCATGGATCCGTTGAATGACTTGGGTGAAAAATGGGTTTTTTATTTTAAGTCTCTTTATTTTCAACAAATTTCTGGACTATTTTTTTTCTAGGCGGGATGACGAAATGTCTGGGCATGCCGTCAGATAAGCAGGTACAAACCTAAGCTCAGTATCTTAGACTGTTGGGTAAGGTTAGTAGAGAATTAGTGGCGTTGTGCACTAATCTCCAGCTTGAAAATGCACTACATGCGCCTAGATAGGGCTTGGCTGTCGCTATTGTTTGGCAGGTGCAGCCCAGAGCTTGGCAAGGGAAAACCAAGAAGCCCCGACTCTTGGTTTGAAGCTTAACATGACAACTGCATTGGAAGTCTTATCTTGGAATTTAACTCATCTGAAACTTGGATATTTTCTTCTTCAATCTTCTTTTATACTCTGTACCTACCCTACAATGCCTACATTCCCAGGTCTATAAGGTATCTATTCCCAAGTCGATTCTAACCTACCCTACCTAGTAGTTAGTGTACTACATTCATAGTAGGCAAATAGTATTTAAAAAAAAACACCTCGAAATTTCATGTCGATCTCTCACGAAAAAGCCTCATTAGAAACCATATCAGGCATACACGGTCTTTTATTTCGTCCAAGCCTAACAGCATTATATGTATATGAGCAAAGAACTTTCGTCGAAATGTCCACACTTCCGTCATTATCAAATGCCACACAAAGCCGAGAGCCTGGCTTACTCTCTATCACATGTCCTTAATCCTTGATCCCTTCTAATTCCAAGACCCTGAAATTTTCCGACTCGACTACCCATCATTACCCCTTGTCAGATCACCATTGAACGGCACGCCTTCGTCGATGTATTGATGTGGTGTTAAGCGGTGCCTTTATGGCCAATGCTACTTCTCCGCCCAAGGCGAGTGAAAGCAGGTTCTGATCTCCCAGATTGTTCTGAGGGAACCTAGCGTTGAACCCAACCACGTCACGCACTGCTTGGTAGGTAGTCTTGGAGAGCCTGAGCTTCTCAGTTGCCACGGACCAGGCAACGCTTTCGGAGCACGGCGGCGTCGTGAGAGAGCCCGTATATCTTTGGAAGCTGCCAGCCTGTAAAACGTTGACCAACTCGGACATGACCAGAGGCTTAGTAGTAGTCTTGGTGCCAGGGGTGGCAATCTCTGCAATGGAAGAGAATATCGTTTCGAGGAAGGTCGTCGGGGCTGCTCGAGGAACAATGTGTACTTGAAGTACCGGAGCAGTGTCTACGAGGTCGACATAGACACCAATGACGGCGATCTCTTCATTCTCTCCACTGAACACCAAGTGCATTTCCACTGTCACGCTTGTCAGTCCGGCAGCCTAAACAGTTGAAGACGACATGTACTTACTGGGCATGCTAACACCGTTGTCCACGTGTTCGCTAGGATGATGGAAATGGAATTGCTGGAGCTCGAACGTCTTCCCCTCGAGAACAAAAGTGCCACCCTTTCCTTCCATAACAACCTCCACCGTCGATCCAAGGTTTTCGAACTCAGCGCCTTCCGGGACATCAGGGATAGTAAGCTGCGTGTCGGATGCCGGGATAAGTTGAAATTGTCCTTCCACCATGTTAATGGGGGACTGGTTAGTGCCTGTCGAGCATAGTTGGTTGGCCTCGGGGTCGAGCTGGGCCCACATGACAGGCCCTATTGTTGAAGTGTAGCCGAAAGTAGAGATGGGTACTCCTTCTCCTTCAGCCCTTCGGTCGAGATGTGTGTGCGCTCCGCAGAAAGCCAACGCCGGCGTCACAGACGCGGCTAGGAGGAAGAGACGAGCAAAAAGAGAAGACATGTTGACGAAAATACAATAGCTGCTAAAACACAGAGAAAGCAACACACGCAGTATGTTTAAAGATGGTAAAAACGAAAAGAATGGGGAATAAATAAAGTCGTAAATTAAGAAGCGAAAAAACCCGGGCTCCCTGGAGCGTACCGAGGATGTACAATGAAGAAATGAACGAAAAAAAAGACCGAAAGCACCGAAATATTGGTTCCCGCCCTAGCCTCACCGAAGTATGACGAACGGTGCTGACATTATATACTATTTGCAAATGCATATAATATTGCCCAGTTCTCTTGGCCGAAACTTCAGCCTCAAAGGGGCAATCAGATTTGGGCATTGCGACTTGACTACGGAACGGCTGCAAGATGCTAACACGTCTAGGGACCGACGCTACGATGAGCACCCTGCCGCGTAACGTCGGGCGAGAGCCATGTATCTACCTACCCCATGGAGTTTGGGGTTTCTCTTAGCCAAGGACCTCAGGAAGATCCAAGCGGACTAAGATGAAGGTACTGTACTCAATACCAAATCCCAACTGATTGGCCGCATAAGGAGGATGACATGGAGTTGTCAAGGGGGTTAAACACCCCGACGTGGAATTAGATCGTTTTACCACGTACCTAGAACATCTCTCACACGGATGGAAGCAAACGGAGGAGTTGCCAAGTAGTCCTTCTCGACAACCACAACTGTCTCGGAAGGGTAGAGAACTAGGAAATGATGGATGGTACTCGCCTCTCTTGGCCAAAGTTTCTTTGTGGCGGCCCCTGCATAATCCGTGAGCATGATTCCGCACGGTTTATGACAACCCCTGACCACTACCCGGGTTGGGTGCACATGTGACTGTCAGGTTGTAGGTACCTACCTACAACCTGACAGTCTGAGTGGTATTCTAAACGGTGAATCCGCAGAAATTCGACTGCTAGTTTGAAAAAGTCCCGCTGCGAAAAATGAGAAGGACGTTACCAGCGTCGGGCTCAACGACAGATTTACGTTAGTGTCCGTGGCCTAACGGGATCGGAGAGGCCTCATACCAAAAACATGACAGGGAAGCATACCGTTGGCTTTCTGGTTTTTTTTTTCTTCGTTTTCAATATGAGGCCCTGCGCGCAGCCGAAAGAAGGTGAAACAAAATGCCTGATGACGTTGTTAGATCTCAGAGAATGATGCATACGGCCGTGAGATCACAAATATGCGATTTGATTCTATTATTATCATCATAATTGTACGGAATACAGATGAAAAGTTGGTATGTATAACATCTGTTATATAGGTATAGGTAGGGAAATATTCCACTTGCTATGTAACGGAGAAAAATTTGGTTAACCATACCGATTGTAGTTGAAATGTCAGGCCATTTTCCCCCTGAGAAAGGCTTGGTGTTCTTGGCTTGGAGGTATGTATATTGGTCACGATCGAGACTCCAAAAAGTCATCTTTGGTACACCATGGCGCATCTCGAAGCTTGATGTTGGTTACTTACCTTAAGTAAGTATTTTTATTCGCAAGTTTAAATCATGAACGCGGCAGCTCCTTTCTTTTGTTTTCTTTTCTTTTCTACAATATTTTGTGTTGTTCAGTTTCTTGATGAAGCAGCAACTTTGCTCTTGAGTACATGGACAGATGATAACTTTGTTCTTCAAAAAGTTAAGTAATAGTAATTGCTCGGACCAATGAAATGCTCGTTGCTTTTCCCCAGATTCACGAACTAATTAGTTATAGGGGAAGTGGGACAGCAGTGGGTGTTCTAGGCCGGGCCTTCAACAAGTTCAACTAACTAAACTAATCTTTCCGGGAATTTTAGCGTGGAAGGCCTTCATCGTCTCAAGTACATAGTATGTGTTTGACATCGAAGTAAAATTTAGGCTTGGCGAACATCAAACAGATTTGACAATATTGGACTTGTTAAGTTAATGTCTTAATACAGGTTTTGTGTACCAGCTTTGTCCAACTCCCATCCCGAGATCTCCATAATACACCACCGCAAGGTTCATCCGATCCATAAATCGATCATTACTGTATTACTATGTACTTGCCAGTGAGTGGTGCTCCTTTTTCTATATTACAACATGGAAATGTACAGGCTTCCACGTCATTACCAGATCAACGGTTCTTCAATGAGGATTTACAACAACTGTTGGCGGGATATTATCGATCTCTCCGGTATTAACCGTTGATCTTACGTACCTACTTCAACGCTGTAAAGCTTGTTATTGTCCTCATCACGATCCATCCCGGAATAATATCTAATGGCATCTAGATGATAGATAATACCAGAAAACCACGGGATGCTTACTCCGACATCCCTACCCTTATTGTCTCTCTAGCTACACACTCATCCAGATCTCTACCTAAGTAGGTAGATATCCACCACCCTTTTCCTAGCCTCATCCATCCCGCTACACACACTTTACTATTCATCCCCTCAAAACCAAGACCTCATTCTCGTCGGGAAAAGTCGAAATCTAGCAAAGCATGAAGCCTTGGTCTTTCGGTATCTTCTACTCCGGTGTTTCTCTTCCCGTGTGCTAAATATAAGGGATTGCTCACCAGGTTTAGGTTGGATTATATGTTTTACCTACCTACCTGGGTAATATACGTTCCCTCCCGTTTCCTTGCCTCGCTATCACCCCAGCCAAGCTGTTTGGGTTCACTTGGCATCAGGGGGCTCCTATAGGATGACTGTTAAGGATCAGGCTGGCCTGGCCTGGCCTGGCCTTGCTGGCTGGCTGAGGTGCCGCTGCAACCGTCAAGTTTACAATAGTTAAACAGTAAGGCTCTTCTACATGATCGTGAGAGCAAGTGCATAGACCTGTTCTGTTTCTACGTGAGCTTCAGAGTGATATTAGGTTGGTAGTTGACGAGGGCGGTAGTCTCTTCAATATTGTTGTCATATCACTGGCCTATCACGCAATGCCTTGTTGGTTTGGTTTATACATTTCGAGGTGTAGGAAAATTCCGAGCACCTCACCCCATACGTAGCCTTGGCCTAATTCTCCCCTCTTTCCTTTTTCTGGGGACGTCGATGGAAAGCTGGGGAGGCCCCTATCCGACTCCAGAAATTCTCTTGGTCGTTGTCGATTTTCTCTGAGCCAACGATTTTTTTTTCTTTTTTTCTTTTTTTGTATCTTTTCTTTTCGCTACCCTCGGCGTACTGTTATTATTGACCCTCTTCGTAAATAATCGGACAATGAATTGATATCACCGGACTGGAGTTCGGAGTTTTAAGGAAGCTGATGATTATTGACAACATTTGCAAATTTATTGAGAAAAAAATCGCGAGGTAACCGATCGGACAAATAGCCTACCAGAAAGCAATACCGAGACGGCACCCCGCGTCTATACCACATCAAGCGCTCATTGCAACGCTCGCAACGCGATCACAAAATATGACCTGCGCGGTTTGCTTTACGAAATGGAAGCTCTTAATTCTCGTACATTATGTCGTTGTCGACCTACCTACATACCTACCTAATTAGATACCTACCTACAAAATTTACACAACACGGGCGCTGCTTCGGAAAGAATTGGGGGGTTTACGAAAAATAGCGACTGATGACTACAGAATGCCTAGATATTGTCATCCGATTTACTTTCTAGACTTCCAGGATTGACTTGAATTCGGTGCCCTCAAGAGAACTCCACGCCAAATATCTGATACCTAGCTACCCATGTAGGTAAGATGTGATCAAATCGTCCAATTTATCATGTGAAGGCTCTTCCGACCAGTCCTCGCATCTATCTACCAGAAAATGCATCCTGTTTACTGAGTTCCTACCTCACAACGCCGCCGTTAGCGAAGCACGTTTTCTTCTCTCTTCGGATTTTCTTGTTTTGTTTTCTTTTCTTTTCTTTTCCCCCGCGAGCAACGAAACGAAACGAGATCGAAGCCCCCTTGCGCTTTTGAGGATAATCATAGGGTAAGGGTAGATAGAGGTCGCTCAGCTCAGTGTATTCTATGTTTCTGGAGTGCCGGTGGTACAGAAGGTCTTACTGCCTGCCTAAGCTGTCTAAGATGCTGTATACCTACCTAGACAGGTATCTATTGTCTAACTATTACATGATATTTACATTTCCGTGATACATCATCTCTCGATACATCAAGCTTAGGTACATAGGTATATGACGATTCTCAATATCCTTAGGTTGGAATGTATGTATGTATGTATGTAGGTACACCCCCTTTTGAGTCAGAAATCTACATAGATAAATAACGTCCCCTTATTATCCAACAGCAAACATTTTTTTTTTCTCGGTTACAGCAGTGCTACGGTATTGCAGGATTAACGTGTAACATAAAAAACCAATTATTTATTGTCACAACCCAAACTCGACGCCGTCGAGGAACACAAACTCATTCATTGGCAATTAATTGGCACGTCTCCGTGCTCAAGAAAGACCACCACGGTGCTCCGACTTTGCGAGACTGGCGCGCTAGATCAACGATCCTCTTCGATAATGAGGGCGCTCTCTCCCGTTGAAGGAGCAGAAACCTATGTTCCTGGCTGTGATCGGAAGAAGATGGTGGTCCCAAGCTGTCTGTTGGGACTGGATGGATGTTCCGATCGTGGCTATGATTAGGTACCTAGGTGCCTACCTAGCCTTGGATGGAGGTAGGTAGGTAGGTAGGTAGGTATTGTACAGTACCTCGGTAGGGGGTCTGACAGACTGGACATCAGCGTATACATACCTACCTACCTACCTGCATGTCTTGCAGCAGGTACACACAAACGTGCGCAATACCCTCACGCTTACACTCCTCAACCCCCGAGACAGCGGCGAAAAGCGGCGATGAACTCAGCCGCAGCTGTAATCTCAGTCCCTTCTGCTTCTGCTTCTACTTGTGCTTGTGATTCTGCTTGTGATTCTGCTTGTGATTCTGCTTGTGATTCTGCTTGTGATTCTGCTTGTGATTCTGCTTATGCTTACCAAAAAAAAAAAGGAAGGGGGGCGGAGTCTTAACATTAGTACCCAAGTATGTATGTAAATAAAACTGGCCAGAAATAATAATCATTTATTCATTCATTCATTCATTCATTCATTCATTCCCATAGGTACATAGCTGAGGCAAGTAGGTAGGTATTCCAACGGGCATTAGACATAATCTCCGGCTCCTCTCGCTTGCCAAAAAAAAAAAAAAAAAAAAAAAAAAGCCGATGACTCGTCATACATTAGGTAGGTATGTAGTTAGGTGCGTGCGTGCGTGCGTGCGTGCGTGCGTGCGTGCGTGCGTGCGTAGTAGCTGTTGGGCTCAGGCTACAGCGCAGCGATGGGTCTACCAACTTAACTACCTAGTTATGTAGCAAACTTGTATACTCATTACGATAGATAGATAGATAGACCCGGAACAAAACTCTTCGGGCTTGATGAAGCTTTTGCGTCGTCACAGGAGTGAAAAATGTGTGTTGTTGCGGTTGGCACTTTTAGTTATCCGTGGATATTTTGTCTAGTAGTTACCTAGTTATTGGGCGCCTAGTTGGTGGATTGGTTGGTTGGTTGGTTGGTTGGTTGGTTGGTGGTTGTGCGTAGGCATCGCTGATGGCCAACATATGTACTGTAAGTAGCCCCAACTGGCCCAAACAACCCATGACTACTAGGTAGGTAGGTAGGTAAGCACCTATGCATTTCTATGAGGATCGAGCAGGATCGAGATTGGGATGTCTTGTGCCGTGGACGATACTCCGGACACATTAGATATATTACCTACCTACCTACCTACCAAGGTACCTACCTACCAGCCTACATATGCATCTCTATCTCCAGTAGTTATGTGCCAGCCAGGTCGAAACAAAAGATCATCATCAACCTTCAGGCGCTTTGTCATTCCTCGAAAAAGAAAAGTCTAGAAGCTAGGTATTCATGGACTGGTCTAACCTCTAGATAAATCTTTTCATCTCACGTTTCCCCTAGTAGTATAGAGTAATGCGGTAATATATATACCCTAGGTAAGTATGTACACACCTCGTTTTGTATGTATAACTATATTGGATGCTTCTCCTCGCTCCGAATTCGTGGGTAGGTACCTGAAATCTTCTCATTCGCCCTCTACTATCGCCACGGCCTTAGCCAGGTAGGTAGGTAGCCAGGTAGGTAGGCATCACGACCTCAATTCAAGATCGAAGGCAATGAACAGCCGAATGAGGAGATACCACGTACCCTACATCAACAGGTATACACTTTCCGTTTCTTCCCATCCACCACCACCACCACCACCACCCCCTAATTATTCGGCCTATTCCCATTAAACTGCACCAGCGCGCCCGTCGACGACGCCGCGACGTCCCTGTCCGCCAAGAAGAGACAGTACTTCGCCACGTCCCTCGTGCGGACGAAGTCCTGCGGCTGCGTGAACTTGGACGACACGCTGAGCTGGTAGGCGTCCTGGTTGAAGCCTCCCAGGGCCGCGAAGCCGTCCTGGATGTTGGTCTCCGGCATCCCGCCGATCATCAGGCCGATGGCGAAGATGCCGCGGTGCTCGTAGTTGCCCGCTGTGTTCTTCACGAGCCCGGCCACGCCGTGCTTGCTGACCTGGAAGAGGGGAGGGGGGGGTTAGTGATGGGTGGATATGTGTTTACTCGGGCGCGCTGGTGCAAAGGGAAAGGGGGGGATGGTATCTCGCCAGCTTATATCAAGCAAGGGAACGTAAACATACCGTGTAAGCGACACCCGAACTCATCCCATGGTACGAGCTCGTCGAGCAGATCTGCAGTATCGTCCCGCCAGAAGGCTCCTGCCTCAGCATCGCATTAACCGCCGCCTTCGTCGCCAAAAACGAGCCCGTCAGGTTCAAGCCGATGATCTTGTCCCAGTGGGCCTTGGAGAGCTCGCCGACGGGGTCGAACTTGTCCGTCATGCCGGCGTTGCTGACGAGGATGTCGAGGCGGCCGCCGAACCGCGCCACCACGTCGGCGACGAGCTGGGTCACGGCATCCTCGTCCGTCACGTCCGTCTTCGCGGCGAGGAAGCGCCCCGTGCCGTCTAGCTCCGCGCGCGTGGCGGCTAGCCGCTCCTCGTTGATGTCGCAGATGGCGACGTTGGCGCCCGCGTCGAGGTACGCGGTCGCGATCGCCTTGCCCAGGCCGCCTGCCCCGCCCGTCACGAGCACCGTGGTTCCTGAGAGGGTGTTGGCCATTTCTATATCCTTCTTCTTTTTTCCTTTGAAGCCTTGGAATACTTTTCTCCTGTCAAGAATATTTAAGGAATTTGGCACGTTTCTTCTTGTTGGTTGTTGAGTGGGCGGTCAGTTCTGTATAAGAAGAGGAAGACCATTTGAAATACTCAGCAATGATGTCTTTATATACCTAGTATATACAATATAATACCTATATACTAGGTAGCCCTTACATGGTTTATGGATACTGGCGCCTGTGTCCGCGCGAGTACGGCGTAAGTAATGTTGTTGAACGGCGCAAAATTCGTATTCGTATTCATGAGACGGACACCGATAAACGGGGCCGCTCCGCAGTGCCAATACTCTAACTAATAGTAGTAGTCTCGTGATCTTCGGGTATGAAGGTCCATATTTCGAGGAATTCAACGATACATATGTATTAGCTAGAAACTAAGTAATTACCTAAGTACCTAGTAAATAGATAGACTTGCTCATCGCTCTAGATTATCAATCTAGTCTCTCATCCTCGAGACTTGGCGAGTTGCTTTTGAGTTCCAAAGTACCAGGTGGTGACCTAGAGTGATGGTGGTATACAACATTACATGTAGAACACCTGAGGCGAGTGTGAGCTTTTGGACCTTCGCAACTAAAATTTATAAATTATTGTAGTTAGTCCCTAGGTAATTATCGGCATATTCGAAAAGGACAACACAACTTACTTCGGAAGTCTATTAATGATATGCCTATCTTTTTCTGGGCACATCTTTACCATTGCCATCGCTACACACCTTGGGCAAAACTTCCTTGGATACATGAACGTCATTGACATAGCAATGCGTGCTCCCGAGACAATGGATTTATCCCAGGTCTCGGGAGTGATAACATCATAGGGCGGGTCGGCACAGCTGATAATATAGAACCATTTTGCGACTTTCACTTCGAGAAAAGTTTCGAACCAACCACATTGCAACATCTTGTTTAAAGTCTAGGTGGATAGAGTCAATAAGTCAAATGGTCTACTCGTGAGAAAATGGATGTGGATAAGTTCATACTTCATGGGACCCGAAAATGTCCAACGGCAAAATGCTCAGCCGTCCAAGTGCATCTTCAAATTGGACTCCGTTTTCGAGAGACGTAAGAAGTCGTGGTGGAATAGATGTTCGCAATAAAGGCTGGATCACGGCTCGATAGTAGTTTAATATAAACGGCATAAGTAGGTACCTATTATCAATCAGTCATCTTATCTTCAATGCATTAGGTCTAACTTACATGAGCTCCCGGACGAGGACTAGCAAGCTGCTAAAAAACATCTGACCACCGTATAAGATATCTCGCAGAGCCAAATCTAACGGGCTTCGCTCCGTCTTGACGCTGGTGTGTTGGCTTAAAGATGGCAAATCGGGCGTGGCGTTGGCCATCGACTCAAGTAGCTCATTCGTCTTGTCGAGCTTTTGGTGAATACTTGAGGCATTCTCTTGGATATCTCCTCGCTGCCTACGAGGAAAACCGACACTCTGGCTCCCAACCATTCGGATATTTCGAGCAGTTATCTTGTTGGAACAAGCTTGTGAAGCGAGCATGTCTCTTATTTCAGACTTGATCGACACAACAGTATCGAGACTCGCATGGATCTGGCCCATAAACTCATGAGCGTCAAGGGATTTCTCTTCTAGTCGATGTAGTTGCCTTCCTAGTGGTTGGATTTGAGAGATTAGAGATTGGCTGAAGCATTTGATCTCTTCGGCCACTTTATGGTTCTCCGACGATTGCCGCTCAGAATTCTTGGTTGTGGTTTGAAGCAGTTCGCGAAGGAGTTGTAGCATGATGTTGGGGGATTGAACGTGATGTTCTAAAAAGGCGTCGGCAGTCACAAAGGTTGATTCTGTTAGAGGACGTATACGAGAATCTATCACAGTATCAATGGTATTTGCCAAGCGCATCTGGATCTCGCGTGGCATCCGAAGACAAGTCAGGCTTCCTAGAGTGTAAGTTGCAAAGTCAAGCTTGAGATTTATACGCTAATGCTTACACGATCTGTTGAGATAAAGTAATCTGGATTGCCAGAAGAGGCGTGGCGATCTTCTCCCGAAGACGCCTTACCTTCTTCGAGGTAGACAACGCCCACTGTATCCTCCGATGAGCTGTAAGCACTTTTGGTGCCGTGGTCTTCCATCCAAGCGAGCCATCGTAGCTATTTTCGATCCCGTCTACAAAAGCATGAATCGGCTCTTTTAGCTGTTTGTAATGGTCTTGGATGTTCTTGGACAGGTGGTCGTCTAGAGGACAAAGCTGTAAAGTATCCAGATGCTGAACAGTAAGCGAAAGGGCCTGAAGAAAGGATATCTCCTCTCGGTAGGAAGTCGAGGCTCCGTTAGAGTCCTGAAGCGCAATTCGAACATTGTTAAGAACAGTGAGAGCGGCGACAAAGTCACCAACAGAAAAGCCGAAGGACATCTTGATTCCTGTGATGTTCTAGTTCTTACCCAATCTGTCTGCATTTCGTTGCTAACAAGTGGAAGTTTTACATCTTGACTGATGCCGAAGAAATTCTTGAAATGGGGGTGAGACAACGTCGCCCCCAAGAGGCGCTCCTAAGGCAACATCATCGGGTTCCTTTGCTAAAAAAAAAAAAAGAAAAAAGGGTGCCTTGTTGTACGACATTCGTCAAGGAAAGACCTAAATAAGCCATTCAAATATGTGATGGCTGACACAGCCAGGAGAGCACCTATAAATAGGTTTTAGGATGTATGTAAGAGGAGAAGATAAACTCTACCTGGAGAGTTAGTACAGTGTACTTTGTTAAAGAGACCACATGTGCAGTTGACATTTCAATGTTGAACTTTGAATCAACAGCTAGGGTATCTAGGGTAGTTGTAGTTGAACCTTGAAATCCATGTTGCAGTCTGTCGCACTTTCCTTTGCATTTGCAGGTGCTCAGTGATTGCCCATTTGAATTAAACCTACCATATAGTGCTCTCATCATTGCGGAATAGACTATTCAATGTTACGATAAGATTCAGCAAATACTTCATATTAAGCCAACATTGAAAGGAAGATGAAGATGACAAACCCTGGAATAAACGCGAAATGCAAAACGCGGTACGCGATACGCGCTGAATATGGCATCACGTGACTGTGTATCAGAGTCACATGACTTTAGTCATCAAAGCTTACACCAATTCCTCCTACGCGCGCAACCCCCATACACATGTCACACACACGACCAACATCATACATACACAAGATAGCCGCTTTCTTTCGACAAAACAAACCGACAGATTCGGCTTACTAGGTCGTCTTGCATTTGACTTCGTCGAAACAGCCTGACTCCTCTATTGATGGGCTCGTGCCGAGCTTGTTTCGGATATATCTAAAACGAGGCTAGAGAATTTGATAAGAGACGGCGTTGGAAATGGCTGAGTCAACTTACTATCGGTAGGCGGACGGCGTGAAGGGGGTTTTGTGGCCTTTACTCCGGCCTCATACAATGGGCACGACTTGGTCAATCTCGCCTGCATAATACTCATAGCAGCAACGGAAGAGGTTGACATAATCGACGAATTGGTCATTGTCGATGAGGCATGTAGATTCCGAGGTGTTCGGCTGGTTATGGGCCTCAGCTCGTCTCGAACACAACTCACCGACACCGATATCAGTCAACAGGCTCTTTAAGTGTGTATTACTCGATCAACCGCACGCGCCTACGACTCTCGATACACGGCATGGATTGCATGCGTATTTGTCTCATTGGCCGTCCGGGTCTGGTGCCAGAAACGGTGACAACCAGGGCAAACAAATCCGGCCATGTGCGATCCTGCTGGTAGCTATTCTAAAAGCGTCTCCAACTTCGCGACGAAGCGTAAAAGTTGGCGATAGTGTCCTCGTCGAGAATCAGAGGCGGCTAGGCCGCATATGGCACGTCCATCTTCGTGTCGTAGCCTATTAGGAGACAGCGTGAGGATGGGTCATGCTCAGCTTTAGAAGGTGCCTCGTTTCAGGTAGGTATGTATCTAGGGTGAGAATCTTCAGTCAGCCACTCAAGTGAACAGACTAAACTTGGTTATCCGTACCGTACCGAGGCTGAAAAAGTGGCCGATATGACGTGTTACACACATGCAAGGGCGTGGGTAGCCCTCGAAGAGAAGACGCACAATTCAATATTGCCAACTATACGATTAATTGAGACTCATATGGGTGGCACAGCAGACTTGCTGTTAGCCCCTCTCAAGAGCGCTCGACGGTCAAGTACTACGCCGTACGGCACAGGTAGTTGAGCTTTGGCCGCATTGCGACCAAGTTGATATATCGCCGACTTCTCGGGATCTACATCTAAGTCGATGCTTCAACTTTTGGTTGAGAGGGGCGATGCTCGGATTACTGACCGAATAACTATTCTAGCATTCTATTCCTTCTCTTTGGATGTGACGTAGGTACTAGGTACCTGCCTAGGTAGGTAGACGCCCAATACTACTCCTTGAGATCCCGAATACGACGGACAACCCACTTCGCCAGTAAGAACATGGAATGATGACTAAGTTCCCGAGGGATGTGGTAGAGTATTCCCGTACCTGGGCAGGTAGGTGTGTTTGTAAGCAGGACATACTATGAACCTATGCAAACTTCAATGTCACGATCAGTATGCGGCATATGATGATTCAGGGGCAGAACAAATCAGTGATTCACGATGTTTGTGTATTGTGCCGGGAAATCCAACATATGGAAGACGGTAGTAGATTGGTAGAGTATCAGGTCTTAGCACTTCTCAACTAGTATAGACCATCGTGAATACCTATTATGGCAAAACCACCAAAGTCAAGCGGCTGGTGACCAGGCCGGTCGAGTTGGCTATCTTCTAGTAAATGCAAGAAGAGAGTGCCTATGCCATATTGACATCCAACTTTTCCGTCGTCAGAATCACCGTAACATACCTATGTATGTAGCACTAGAGGCCCCTATAACTCAACTTAGTAGCAAAGCAAACTAGCCAAAACCGAAGCCAGAGTCACTCGCTATTGACTGATTCTCGTGACGAGAGGCCTCGAAAGATACCTAGTCGAGGACGAACCAAAACACATACACAAACATGAATGACGATGGCTCGTGCCGTGACAAGATGTAGCCGTAGCTTCGTCCTCTGCTCTTCCTATATGAACATGGCCTTCGATGTCGGTAACTCATCTCCCCTCCTACCCTAAAACCGAAATGCTTCTCGGAACTCACAGAAAACATCAAGATGCATTACCTACTGCTTTCCCTCATGCCCCTCGTGGCCTACGCCACGTCCATCATCGACGCCACCCTCGCGGACCCATCGCCCCCGCGCCCGGACAAGCTGCCCGCCATCTCGCCGCCCTTCAACTACACGGCCATCGAGGCCGGGCTGGCGGAACATCTGTCTCTCGCCTCGTTTCGAATGGAGGGCTTGAACGCATCGGCTAGAATGATACCCCAGGCCTGCAAGGACAGAGCCAAGGACTACCACATGCAGCCTTCTGACTTACAGGTCTTTCGGTCGACGTACGACGACTGCGAGCAGCCTGTAAGTTGACATCCGTTGCTCCTAGCCAGAGATTTTCTGGGGCATGAATAGCTACCGAAGTTTGCGTGAAGTCAGCTGCTGATTTTGACTTTTAACAGTGGGTGATGTGCCGGCACAACAACGCGACCGTTAGCATGCAAGACATAACAACCGTATGACCCCCCTCCCCCCTCCCCCTTTTCCCACCACAACCGCTAACCACCCTCCCCAAGGTCTTCGGCCGCATCCCCCTCGGCATGCGCCAGTTCACGCGCCACCTGATCGTCCTCCCCAGCGCCTCCCTGCCCCCCGGCTGCGCAGGGGTAAGCAGCGACGACGCGATCGTGGTAGGCGACAGCGCGCTGAAGCACTTTGTCCTCGCGCACGAGATCTCGCACTCTCTCGACGCCCGCAACCGCCCCACCACCACCCCCACCCCCAACTCCAACTCCAACCTACCGATCGGCATAAGCATCTCCCCCACCTGGCGCGCCTCCTACGCCCTCGACTCCGCCACCGTCTCCGAGTACGCGCGCTCCGCGTGGCCCGAGCAGCTGGCCGAAACCGGCGTCGCCGCGCTGTACGACGCCGTCGTGCCGGGCGGGCTGGCCAGCGCCGGGAACCCGAGCTACGGCGGGGTGATGAATCAGGTTGGGGCCTGGAGGCGGGAGTTTGGGAGGTTTGTGGATGGGGAGGGGGGGTGCGGGTTGAGGAGGCCGGATTCGCCGATGGTGGGGTGGGATGATTGAGGTGAGGCTGGAGCTGGAGCTGGAGCTGGAGCTGGCTGGTGATGGGGTTATTAGGGTGAAGGGTGGGAGTCCGAAGAGGGGTGAGGTGAGTGAGGGGCGAGAAGAGGAGGTGGTGTGGGAGTGGGTGGGTGGGTGAGCAAAAAGGAGGGATGGGGTTGAGATGAGTTCTTCGAGTGAAGTGTACTATATAGGTGGTATATAGCTATATGATATTACGTCTACCTACCTATATATCATTCTTCGAGAAGAGCGACCACCGAGATGGGGTTAGTGATATTGAATTTGATGGAGGCGGGTAGGTAGGTGATAGATATATGTATACGTACTTGTAGGGGTAAAAACTTGAGAGGGCCATTGCATATCTTCATATTCCCAAGAGTCATTTCCATTGCGAAGGTATCAACATGAGAAAGGTTAGCTACGAAAAGCGTGCAGAGTTGCGGAAACTTACTTACCCAAGCAAAACGATACTAAGGAAGTTGGGCGTTCAATGGCCAAGTGAGGTTAGCTAAGAGCAGTCACATAAGATTCAAGCAGTCACACAAGTCCAGACAAAAAGGCAATGCCACGATACTCTAAGGTTGTATGATGTATTCAAAGGATTATTAGTTCAACTCCTATTTACAATGGAACGATATCACCAAACAGCCAACGACGCGCTACTTCTCCATTCGATGCACACACCTCTCCTTCCTCTTCGCTCTTCTTCCTCATTCACCCATCCACATCCTTCAACCATCCTCTGCACCCAGGCGAACAACCACTGTGCCACTATTCTCTACTCCTCACACTTCCACTCATTCAACAAAAACCATCCCAGACTCGTGAGCTGCACCGAGTCTCAAACTGCTTCTTCAGTTCAACAGTTCCCAGATTGCGTCTTGACCATTAAATCCAGAACACACCACTCATTGCATCCCTAGACACCTTATTTGGCGACGGGGTAGCCACCGCTGGGGGGAGGCGGGGGAGAGCGCTGAGTCGTGGTGACAGGCGGGGGAGGCTGGTTGGGGTACTGGGGTCCAGACGGCGGGGGAGCCGGGGGAGCGGTAGGAGGAGGGGGAGGGTGCTGAGTCTCAGTGGTCTTCGGGGGCGGGGGGCCAGTAGGAGGAGGAGGCTGGTTGGGGTACTGGGGTCCAGACGGCGGGGGAGCCGGGGGAGCAGTTGGCGGCGGGGGAGGGTGCTGAGTCTCAGTAGTCTTCGGGGGCGGGGGTCCAGTAGGGGGAGGCGGCTGGTTGGGGTACTCAGGGCCAGTTGGCGGCGGGGGCGCCGGGGGAGCAGTAGGCGGCGGGGGAGGGTGCTGAGTCTCAGTGGTCTTCGGGGGAGGCGGGGGGCCGGCAGGAGGGGGAGGAGGCTGGTTGGGGTACTTGGGAGGCGACGGCGGGGGCGCCGGGGGAGCAGTTGGCGGCGGGGGAGGGTGCTGGGTCTCCGTGGTCCTCGGCGGCGGGGGGCCGGTAGGAGGAGGCGGCTGGTTGGGGTACTCAGGCCCAGTTGGCGGCGGCGGCGCCGGGGGAGCAGTTGGTGGCGGCGGCGGGTGACGAGTCTCAGTGGTGCTCGTCGGCGGCTGAGGACCAGTGGGAGGCAGGTGAGGGTACTCCGGAGGAGGAGCCGGGGGGCCAGTAGGAGGGTGAACCGGGTGAGTGTTCTGCGTGGTGCTTGGCGGCGGCAGAGTCGTCAGGATAGACGTGGAAGGCGGGTAGCTCGGGGGAGGAGGGGGAGGCGCAGGAGGTCCCTCGGGAGGAGGAGGGAACGAAGGGTAGTTGCCCCTCCTAAGCTGACGGGACGGTGCAGCAAGCGCTGCGGAAGCGAGAGTAAGGGCACCGAGGAAATACATGGTGACTGATTTTTCTTAGCTGCAGTGCTATGCTGACTGAACCAGGTTGGAATTAATTAACGAGTGGAAGTTGGAACAGAGACCTCGATGGAGAAACCGAACCGCACTGAATAAAGGAGTGAAGGCTAACGATTGTAGTGGTGTGAGGACAAAAAAAAAGTTGGAAAGATGGAGGAGCGAACATCTCTATATATCTTGAAATTTCCCCTTTCCACTCTGGTACCAAGTCATCGGTCATCGAGTGTATGCCCCAATACACACGGCTCCTGGACCCTCAGTTGCCACGTCTCCAACCCGCTTAGGCTATTACGAGAGGGTATTGGAAAATGGAGATGGCTCTATTCCCGAGCAATTTCGCGCCTCTGTCGATCGAGTACTGAAAGAGGTCGTTTTTTTTATGACAGCCCCGTCCCACCCAAGCTTTCACCCCCTGCATGAAAATGCCGATCGACGTTCTAGCTGAGCTAGTTGAGGCTTCCATCTTCTCCGTCTTTTCAGTATTCTCACGAACAGGCGGTCGAGTGATGCTTGATACTAAGGCTGACGAAGCTGATTACCAACTAGAATGGGTTTTAGCCATCAATTCATCTATGTAATGACTAGGTGTCATACCTACAATACCTACATACCTTCAAGGTTGGTAATAACTAGTATTATCGGCAGATTTACCAGTGATTCGGGCTTCCAGCTGGCATCCACGTAGCACGCCCCTCATCATGGCGTGATTGTGCAAAGTCGACGATCACTATTTACATATCTTGCACATAGCCTCTCAGGAGCATAACCAAAAATCTTAACCATACTTCGCACATTCTCATACATAACTAACGTACATACTGTACATATTGAATAGACCTGTGGATAGCTATGTCATGAATTAGCGTGAGCCACGGACAAGTTCCAATTGGTGGGGACTCCGTCGAGTTGAGAAAAAGAAGTGAATTTGAATATACGAATCCCCTTATGAAATGTGAACAGGGGCTCATAAAATGACCTATGAGGTCAATTAAGTTGGCTAATGGCTTCTGGAAAAGGCGGCTCAATTTCTGGCATGGCAGGTCTGCGCTAAACCCCAGCTCCAGGGAGAGGTGCCGGCACCCTGGCTGCACGTTCCCGTTAATCCTACAGCACTGCCATGAGCCTTGGCAAAGCTTGGAGGGCCCTTGCCAAGCAAGGTAAAGCGTGGGAGAACCGTGGAAGAGCCCAAGAGGCGAACGTCTAGTGTAGTTGAAAAGGCTTCCAACCCCTTTCTTCGACTTTCTTCGAAACCTTCTGAGCCCTTGGAGCCTCAAGCTAGGAACCTCCTAGTCCCTCCTAGTAACTGCTCGTCTCCAGTATTTTCAGACACCAAATGTCGGACTTTGTTGCCTCCTGGGTACTTTCGGTAGGTATCATAGCCGGTCATATGATACATGCTACCCTAGGTACGCCGTATGTAGTACTTTGTGCAGATTTCGTTATGTAGTATCAATTCCGACTTATTCGATTTTTAATTCAAATGGCGAATTCCCTTTGTTGCAACCCAGCAACCCCCAGCAGCCTTAGGAAGAGTTAGCAATGAGAGCCCGAAAGAGTCCAAAGAGACCGTGCGTTGAATCGGTGACAGCTTGGCACAAATTAGCAGCTTAACAGCGTACCATTCCTCTTCGCTGGGTCCGCATCCAATAGTCAAATCGGCCCACTTAGTGTACATATATCCAATAAATGGTAAACAGCTAATAAAAGCAGAACGCTGAGAAGGGGGTTTTCCTGGGGTCGGGCTAGGAAGTGCCGTCTATGTTTGTTGTCCGTGCTTAAGAAAGTGTGTGGAAAAGGCTATTAGATCCATATGGATATTTGCCAGACTGGTTAGCGTGCAATGAGACCATTTTGATGGTAATGACCTCGTATACGATGGCATCTCCATCAATGAAAATAGTGTCGTGTGTGCGTCGAAAAGCAGACCGCCTTTAATGAGGCCCGCTCAGCTACTGAGCTACCAGCGCACAAGACACAAGACAGGAGACAGGAGACAGGAGACACAAGATTCCAATGCCTATTAACTACATGGCGCATGTAATTGTTCCTACATACTATGCAGGTAAGTATCGGTGAATGCGAGACCAACAAGTCCAAATGGCGTGCTCAAGTGACAGACTTCAGATGAGCTATCCTACCGGGTAGAATGGAAATTCGCAAGAGATGAAGATGTTGTTGCTGTTACTGGTTGTGTTGCGCATTTGTTAGAGATGCTTGACTTCCTACCTACCTATCGTGTGTATCGTATGTACGAAGTACGTGGATGATCAAGATAGGTTACTAGAAGGGGCCTAGTTTTATGGCGATATGTAGTTAAATGTTCACTTATGTTTTGCGAAGTGTGTATGAAGCGTAAGTCGAACAATGAGCTGAGATTTTAATGGTTGTTTCAATGGTTGTTTGAAAAGTAAACGTGAAGATTGAAAATAGTTAACTACTCGTGGTACAAGAAATGAAGATGAAAATGAGAGTGAATTCATTCAATCGGTGCTTATCGTGCTTATCGTGCTTATCGTGCTTATCACACGTGCACATGTCACTTCCAAGTTGCTTCAATGTTCAAATTGAATGTGGGTGTCTAAGCCTCTAAGGTACTATGTAAGTACTTGTGGCTTGTGCAATACATACTGTAGTTACATACCTGAGGTTACACATGTGTGACATATGTGACATATGACAAAAGTTCAAGGTAGAGGGGCAGCATTTTGAAGTTCCGATCTACAACTTTCAATGCGTTATGTTACCTGCTATGTGTAAAGTCATTGGACCCCAAGACTCACTCAAGCCATCAAACGCCATGGCATAAAAAGAAAAAAAAAGAAAAAAAAAACCATAACACCCTCCTCCTCCTCGAAACTACTGTGCCTTCCAAGAGACATCCTCATCATGCTCCCGGAGTATGTCGCCTACGTACCTAAGGAATGCATGGAAGCCGCCCTGCCCGCCACTATACTACACTTGGCCTGGGCGTCCAGTCGCGTGTTCTTCCGGCCCTCCCCGTACTTTTTAGTGTGCGCTACCGCGCGCCAGCTCGGGAACTGGGCCCGCGAGTCCCATCAGAACGAAGCCGAGTTAGCCGCCGGCCTACCCCGCGGCATCGACCACCTGACCTGATGGAGTTAGTTAGCCCTGCACCACAACTTCGGCCTCACCCTTTTCCAGCTAGCCATCTACGGCGAGCTGTTCGGGCCCGAGTTCGATCTCTTTCTCTCTCCTGACACTCAGGATGATGATGATGATGATGACGATGATGATGCCACCAGCAAAAGTAAGAAGAAGTAGAAGAGGAAGTTAAAGGTGGAGATGAGACTCGAGTTCATCAAGTAGTGCCTCCCCGACGATGCGACCATGAACTTTGAACATGCCAATGACATCCAGCGGGAGGATGGCAGCTTCGGCCCACGCCGTGCAGTTCAGTACGTGCCTAGCGGGCCGTACAGTGCTGGCAAAACCTTCGACGGCAACAGTAACAACGTCGCGCTCAAATGCCTGATGAAGAGCACCCGATGGCGTCCGCAGTGGAAGAACGGCACGGGTGGATGCCGGAGCTGCGCCGGACTCCTATGACGAGATATGCATGTGGTGGTATAAAGATGACGATAAAGATGAAGAAGACATGCACTGGCGGCAAGTGATGCTCGAGAACACCATGCAGTGCCAAGGGCTGGAGGATCTGTGGATGATCCGGCCCGGATCTGAGATGGCGGAGCGGTGGAAACCCAAGATCAGGGAGTGGAGGGAGAAGATCGCGACCTTGTCAGAACCTCCCAAAACCTGGGTGGGTGTCTGGGATACACACGAGTATCCCGATCTTTGGGGTGATCTGTGGATGTGCTCTGGTGGGTTTGTGCTAGATGCCTTGCTAGATGACTAAATCACGACCTCGTCGTCATGTACCTAGTTAAGAAAGTGTAAATGAATGCAGTGTCCTTTCACTAAACACCGATGAATGATGTGATTCCAAGGAAAGAGAAATGATAGCTTTTATGAATTGCTATTATCCTCTTGACTCTATAATACTAAAATCACAATATAATCAACAATCATTGAACTGGCAATATCACATAAACAAGAATGCAATAGCCTAATAGTAGACAAGTTATGAAAAGTGCGTTAATTCTAACGTTTATGAGTTTCATAGTGATGAACTACTATTATATTATAACAATAAACTTGAACTTCACTTTACTTCATGGTATATACCCTTAAACACTTTCCACATGTGTTGGCAACTTATTAAGGAAGATAATTTGTAATATATATAATATCAATTGCATATTGTAAACATCTACCTGATCATCAACATAACATATAAGTAACGCATATGTTATTATCTTTCCATAATCAGTCTCACCAACATAATCTCTTCTCCTTCTTAATACCACCTACTTTCCTAATGCTGAGACTACAAGTGAATCAAGATGGCCATACTATATAGCTGTCTCCAGGTGCGAGTGGTTCAAAAAACATATTCAGGCCGGAGTGCCAACAATAACTTATATATCACATATCAGCGTCAAGCTACATTGTGCTAAACCGTTCTTCATAACGAAATGCTTTTATTGGTTAGAAAGTCGCCTTATAAACACCTTAAAGCGTAATGATTCCTAAAAAAAAAAATACGTACTTGGTGAATTGGTTGAAGAAATAGAAATATATATATCTGGTATATGTATTTCTACCCTTCTCTTACCACACCCTAACCCAACAACATACTAATGACCTATAAAATAGATAATAACATTAAATAACTTAGCTACAGGAGTTATTTAGTATGTAAGTTAGCTGTCGAAGTATTTCTGTTTATACCGACTACCTAGTATATGTTCAGAATCTCAATATACCATATTATAAGTCCCTATGCTGATATCTAAGATAATATACCTACTATATACCCCTGAGAAGTTCACCAGGACAACCTAACATTACATTTCTTCTTGTTACGGCGTTAACGATGTTCGATAGGTAGGTACCTGAGATATGGATTGCTATATCGATATATCCTCCTCAACTAGGTAGCCTACCCCGGGTACCACCAATATGACCCCTATCTCACAAGCCTGTTATCAGGGAACGACAACATCAATGTTGATATCGATATCTAGTACTGAGCTTCACTTGCCTACCCAACTAGCTACCATAGATATCCAGGTGTTAGAAACCCATGGACATGCCCTACCAAATCCATCCCATATATCCACCGCTCAACTCCAACTACTTGCCTCCTCACAGGCAAGTACAAGTAGCTGATCTGGGGCGGCAGCACAGAGGTTAATTATCTACCTAGCTAGGTATCTACTCAGAGCCAGAACCATTTCCAAGCCAACTATTTCAACCTAGTAGCCTAGTTAGATCTGAACCGAACACCCCGAACGATCTATCTTCCTTACCTCCCTCCCCCTTTCCTCCCCCCCCCTTTTCAATCTTTTTTCTCGTCTCACCATCAAATCTAACACACCCTCCTCATGCCACTTATCAGCATTAACACCTAACCTAGTACTTTTGGGTACTACCTAAACATGCTTATTCCTTTCCAAGTTCGACACATACCCACCTCACCTCTCTCACACATACATATGTTAGATAGGTACCCAGACATCTACCCAAGGTGACCATCCCTCCTTCTCCCAATCACACCTCCTGATCCCTAGACACAGACAGACAGACAACTTCCCGCCTCATAATCATAATCATAATCATAATCATAATCATCGATGCCTACTTAACCTCACACAGAGATACACTACCCACCCACCTACCTACATACCTACCTAGATTGCTCCTGCGAACCCACTAACTACCTAGGTAGCAGCCTTCGCTGGACGACAAGTACTCTATATAGCTGCTCCGTACGTCCTCACGCTACCTAAGACATTAGCAGTCATCAATACATATTAAACGCATATTAACACAATGTCAACTTGATACTTTTAACTTTTTGTATTTATTTATTCTTTTTTTCGGAGTTCATGCCTACTTCCGTTACCGTCTAACCTTGAGGGGTATGTCCATAGCCCACAGCCTTTCGTCTCGTTGAGTCTTGCGAGGGGGTTTATTTTACCCTAGGGACATAAAAGAAAACTCCCCCATTCCCCGCATTGCTTGCTTTTCTTTCCTTGCTCACCAGCTCAAATCACTTGATTTGGTGGCGTATCGTTTCCGTGGAAAAGTTGCCCCATACCCTTCTCAGCCGTTCCGTGAATCTTTTCTGGGACTGAGGTGTTCATCCGCGCACCTTGCAATGCTGTCTATATATGCCATAACCTTTTCCCCCTTTCGTGCCCCCTTCGGTATCAGCCCCCTCTTGCACTGTTACAAACGTAAGGAAAACTCGGTCTCAGAACTGCATTCCAGTTAAATAACCGATTCGTACCGCCCAAATTAAGATCGAATATGCACTATACTTGGTCGCACCGCCAGATTTCTCATTCTAAGCGGTACGAGGAACTTCAATGCTCCCTCGCCTTCGTTCCTAGGTACACCATATCCGGATTCTTAGCCCGGCGCGTGACTCCAACTTCGAGCATATGTCGTCTTCACTCAGATGACACATGATCTTGACGACTGGGTATTAAATGATTATGGCTTCATTGGTGAGTAGACCAGTGCCCGAAGGCCAGAAAGTGGTATGACCTGGCTTAAGATGTTATCCACGTGGAGATAACCAGGTCTCCAATCATGTCCAATATACCGCCAGGCATCTCAGGAAGAGATTCATACTGAGAGCAGATGCCCACCAGCTCATCACAAGTGCCTTATCCAAAATATGGATAATGATGGCCATTTTAGATGTGAAGGTTCTTGATTCAACCACCCTTTCGTTCAGAATCATTCTTCGGCATCTGCTCGCTCTGCGGATATGCTTCGCTGCGGGATTTCGCCTCGTTGCCCCTCTTCTTACCCCGAGCCATCTTCTGCCACCCACTGCTGGCGTGGTCACTCTCGCTCTTGGCAGCTCGACTATGGCCATTTTCTTTCACCAAACCATTGATTCTTGGATTTGAAAGTGGTAATACATCGGCTTTAGACGGTGATGTCTCAGTTAGTGGCTTCTGCTTGCCCTTGACCAAAGAGTCGCCTTTGATTTCGGGTACAGGCTGTGCGACAGCGCTCGACAGTGGCGGGACGTGGTCAAAGGGTAGCTCTAACTTTCTAGTGAAGTTTGGCGAAGGGCTATTGGCTTCGTAAACTGGCGAAAGATGGGGGTACTCATTCGCCTGTAGACGATTCTCAGTCGCAAGGTCAAGTTGAGCAATGAGTGCACTCGGTGCCGAACGAAGAGGGAGTCGTTGAAATCCATTTTGCGGACCTATCACAGAACTGATGCCACCTTCTACACCAGGTGGCGGCATCATGGGCATATTCATGCCGTTGAAATAATTACCTGCAGGTGCCAAAGCCATGACATCTTGAGGAAAATGGGGACCAGATATCTGATTAGATACTGGTGTCGAATTATTCGACGAACCATTAACAACCACCGGCCGATCTGACGTCGGTGAATTTGCTTTACGAGGCACAGAATTGTGGTTGAGTATCGGTTCAGTGGATGGGCTGGCCATCTCCGCACGTTGGGAAATGTGAAGTGGGTTGTCATAGCCACTGTACTGAGTTGGTATAACTTCGCTCTGCAGTGGCTGATGAGGTGAGCTACCGTTTGATAGCTTTGACATGGAGCCGTTGACTACCAAAGGGGTTGTGTCACGACCTTGCGCTCCAGCAGTGGCAGGAGATGGCGTAGAAGCAAGAGGGGCAGGATTTCTACCTACAGAATAAGCTCTACCGTGGCCCAATGGCGAAGGAGAGCGGGAGTTCTGCTTAATCCTGTCCAGTATAGACTGGGGAAATTGGTCCGATGACAAGCGCCCTCTGCTCGTGGTTGGTGCCTGAGATCCAATATCGCCAAATGCCGGAATGTTGCTATTTGGAGCGATCGTTCGTTGGGACGGACTAGATGGGTCTGCATGATAATTATAGCCTCTCTCCTCCTCGCGAGGAGTGGTGGATGTCGTTCCATCTTGGTCATTATCATGCCCCTCGTCCGGAATAAAGCTGGGCACTGGAACTCCATTGACTTGTTGAGCAGGAATACTGGAAACTCCGTTGGCCAGGCCATGGGCAGTCGGAATGCTAGCACCAGTTCTCGCAGCCGGCTGGGACTGTGACCTCATAGAACTTCCAGACAAGGGGTGGCTGGGGTCGTTGGCAGTGGTAGATCTATGAGAGCTTCGTCGGAAATCGGCCGCATGATTAGTGGACGGTGATGATGGATAAGTAGGATAACCCTGCTGAGCGTAGTATCCATGTGGCAGTTGTGGTATGGGGTAGTAAAAAATCTCCGGTCGCATCTCGGGGCGAAGCGGTGCGCTGAGGGGAGGTGTGTCAAATGAGTTGGTCCTAGAACGCTCTGTTGATGAAGACTGGGTTGGCTGGGCGTTGCCCTGCATCATCTGAAGATGCTGGGTACCGAAGGCTTGCGACTGCGCATACTGCAGGAATCGAAGATTGTTCTCCTGCATTGTCAAGGCGGAAAGAGTCTGCGCCATCAGGTCAGATGTAGGCTGCATGTACATGGCTGCATCTTGAGGTGCCATAGTCATGGGATAGCCAACCGGAACGAACATGGGACTGCCGTTGTTGTCATAAGGTACACTTGAAGATGCTCTGCGACTATTACTGTTGCTGTTGTTATTATTATTATTGTTGTTGTTTCGATGCTGGTTCTGTCGATTACCACCTCGATACCCTCCATTTCGCCCCCCACGATGGGTTTGATGTTGGGAGGCGCTTCGTACCATAATGGGACGCGATATTGATGGTGGTTTTTGAAATATCCTCTCCTCTTCTTTCGGGTAGACGTATTGTTCACAGCATTCATCGAGTTTGCCTTCCGCAATGAGGTCAAATGCGCGGCGCAGTTCAAGATGAAGACCGCGGAACGCCGTATCGTCAGCAGTATTGCCAAGATTGCGAGTGGTGTTGAAGGGTTCCTCGATGCAGAGTTGGTTATTTAATGAAATATGCCAGCTCTTCTCCTTCTTTGTGATGATTTTCCCCAGTCGTACAGAGAGCGCACTCGTGCTGTAATCGAACTCGTGTGCATAGAATCGAAAGAATTGGAACAACAACTCTCCTAAAGAAGACTTGTTCTTGCTTCCAAACCCTCGTAGCTTATCAATATCGTCTGCGAACGAGGCAATCTCCCCGTCGGCCCTGGGAAGTTTCTGATGCGGCCGTTGATGTAATGCAGGTAAAACGGGAGGCTGCCGTAATTGTAGAAATGCAATGATCATACAGATCCATGTATAGGAGCTCAAGGTTCCGCCAAATGCTGTTTCTGTCAGTAAATTTGTCCAAAACTCTAATATCACTTCCAGAAGAAAAAAAAAAAAAAAAAAAAAAAACGGGCGGCTTGGGCGGCTTGGGCTGTCTCTCTTCACTTACCAGCATCGTTTACAATTCTGCGCCTAGTCCAGTGCTTAATAATCATAGCCAACGGCCGTACTCTCTCGTCGATCTCGACATATGTCTTGATCATTCGGGTATTCTCCAACGCCAACGTATTGTTCACATTCATGTCGCAAGCCAACTCTAGCTCTGGATCCCAGATTTTGACGATTGGGACTTTAGCCGATGACACACAAACAACCTTCTCCATTCCATCTAGACAACATATTAGCAAGTAGAAATCCAATATCTCGTACACTATCTCTTACGCTTAGAGAGCAAGTCCGCGAGCATGCAGACGCCTTCAAGCTCTTTCCACGGAGTTACTATGCATATATCCACTGAGAGAAGCGAGGTTAGTTGAGCACCAAAATAATCAGATCGGATATCACAAACCGTCGGAGTCGTCAGAGCACAACAAATTTCCTGACGAGCCGAAGAGGTGCACGCGAATGTCATGACCCGGCCAGGAATCATTTAGAAGCCTCTCGAGCTTCTGGACGAGCATACCCCGCTTAACCTCAACCTTTTCTGTCGGCTGTAACCGATCATAGAGCTCGCGCATGTCTGTGGTGAGCTTTCGCTCGTCATCCTCAGAAAGCTTGCTCTTGATAGTCTGTAAATCCAATCTCTCTAGCATATCAGTCCCCAAATTGTAGTGCATTCTCCGACGGGAATGCTTGAGTCCCGTCTCATACTTGCAATTACCCATGCGCGGAGGCAGTGGGCGCAAGTGTGAAACAGCGCCGCTAGCCTCGGAATACGCGGATCGGGGCGAGTGGGATGGGTTAGCGTTGGGAGAATGATCTCGCGACTCGAATGAAAATTTGCGCGCGTGTTGCTGCGGAGTCGAGGGAACAGAGTTGGGATGTGGAGGCAAGTTGGAAGGCGAGGTAGAGGGTTTCGGCCTCGAGGGAAAATGATGGGACAAATCCGACTTCTTGGGCGGCATCCTAGACGGCGCGTCCTTACCTGTTATAAGCACGCGGTCGGCTTTGCTGGCGATGTGGTTGCCTCTAGTAGCATGGCAATTCTGGGAGCTTTGCCTAGCGCGAGAATCCTTATTGTTAGACACCTTGGATGAAGAGCGAGATCTAGGCCCGACGTGGACGTTCTGAGCCGACAACAGAGGAGGCAAGGGGGCAGTTTGGAGACCACCACCTCGACCAGGCGCAATAAGCTTGTTGTACTGAAGGAGTTGAGCCTGGTAGAGGGAAGATTGTTGAGGAAATAGGATAGGAATCCAATCGACTTGGGTAGTCAAATACTGAGACGCAAGCAACGGATCTGGGGTGGAACGATTTGACGGTGAGAAAGAACTGAGCTTTGGCACGGCTGGACTTGAAGTTGACCTGGTCCAAAGAGGTTGAGATGGATAATTATGTTTTGAGTCTGCCGTTATAGGCCGGCCGTCCATTAAAGATGGGCCCCGCACAAACAACCGAGAGTGATCTGACTGGGGGGGAGGTCGAACGAATGGCTAATGACGCGACGGGGAACAAGATTCGACTTCTGCTCTTTGTAAGTCCTTGGTAACCACCGTAGCTCGTCGATAAGCGTAAAAACTCTTATAACTTGGGACGAACAGTTAACTCGAAAACCGTTAATTGTATCGACAACGGCGGTAGAGGACTTGGGACCGAGACTGGACTAAGACTGGAACAATGAAAAGTCGGGGGGATCGGCACAACGAGGCAAAAAAAAGGAGCGAGAATTCGGAGAACCTTTTAGTTGACTAGTTACTCAAGTGCGCTCAGTTCGGAATGAGACCAAACTGGATATCAATATAAGGGGCTATAGAATGTCTTTTTTTTTCCGGAATCGCTGGAATTGTAGAGAATGGCGAGTTCATGAGAAAGCAGTTCTCAACAGACGTCGGGAAGCATCAAAGAATCGATTGCCGAGGATGCTCGCATGGACTGGGAGTATTCACACTTGGCTTAGCTTGACCTGAGAGAGCGAGAGAGGCCTGGTAAATTAATGAGAAAGAAGGTAACAAAAGATTCAATTGAATGGAAAACGATTGAAATAAGCAACACAGACACACGAATCGACGTGTGGGTATAAAGGGGGTATCGTGAGAAGAAAAAGAATTCCGAATCTGCAAGAAACAAAAAAAGGTCGTAGCAGATCTCGTTTCGTTCCAAGTTTATTTTGCTGCTGGGCTATAGCATTCCCCTTCCCACTCCTGACTTCGAAAAGGAGGTAGAGTTCGGTATAGGTGGGTTGATACTAGGTCGATAGGTAGGCAGGCACTCAGACTGAGATAGATAGGTAGGTAGGTAGGTATGACCTAGGTTTTTGGTTGGTGGTATGTAGGTAGGTACTAGGTGAGGTTGGTAGATGTGGTAGAACAAGTTGTAACAAGCGTCGACGTGTGAAGTGTACTAAAAGGAGGTTCAATGTTAATAGAAGTGGTGAAGAGCGTAGGGCGGTTCCAACAATTGCAGCAAGAAAAAAAAAGACGTAAGTAGAAAGAGGAGGAATAACAATGGGTAAGTGTGTACTTACCTAGTAGCAGGTAGCGTAATGTTAATAATCTTGAATGTACAACTTGTAAGGGTACCTAGATAGAATAGGTACTATGTAATTTGAGTGAGGGTGATGAAAGTGCAAGTGCATTACATGTTCCAAGTGCCCATCATCTCTCCGCATATGTCCATAAGATACCCACATATAATGCATGTAGCAGCTAGTATCTTTGTCTTAAAACCTAGCATATGCTTAAAGGCTAGAAGACTGGGGCCTGCCTAGATCAGAATGATTGATTGATGGAAAGGGTCATCGGAAGTATGTATAAGGCGGGTCGTCCCAGAGTCATCCTTGCTAGTATTCTGTAAGTACATATGTATTGTATGTATTGTATGTATTATAATTTATAACTACATGTAATATGTATGTATTGTATTGTACAACATTGAACACGCTCACGCATGTCAGAAGTGCCTGGTACCTTGCTCCTCGCCTTGCAATGCTTTGTGACTTATGACCTGTGCCTGTGCGCAATACGGTCTTAACGGTCTAACTGGAGGAGACAGGCCACAATTACCAATCCTGGGTTGCAACCAATTATAAGGGGGTTAGCGTGCGGAGTGTGGCGCGTGCCAGTGGTTCAAACTTGGAACTTCCAGCCAGAGACAGACTGGAGTTCAAAGTTCTCTCCATTTTATGTACATAACTAGTTAGTACCTCAGGCAGTAACTATGCATCTAAGAGAAAGACTGAGTCTTCACGCTAAACGCGATGCTTTACAGCGTACAGGGAACAACATTTAAACTGAAAGGGCAAACTGGAAAGTCGTACCAGGTTTGGAGAAAAAAAGGGGCCAACAAGGTGTTCACGATAAGAGACTACCTAAGGTTAGCAGGTACTACCTATGTAGAACCTAGGTAGGCAGGTCACAGGTCGACTTGGTTCGTAATTATCAGACGTTATAGAGATATTAATAAGACGTTGAAACGTTGAAACGTTTTGTAACTACCTACCTAAGTTAATAAACTACTTAGGTAAACTTTTAACTGCCAAATAAGCGAAAGGAACAGTATTGAAAGCCATCAGCATACATAACCAGCATAGCCTTACTCGTATTTTGTGGACTAATGATGAGGTTATTCAACTACACGAGCAGCACTGAGATACATATGCCACACCTGTAGCGGTGGACTAGATTGACGCATACTACACATGTAGGTGAGGATGCATCAACACATATGTATGTACATATATGTATGTAGTAGGCTATTGTTACCAATTTCTCGTAACGTTTGGCCTCTAACAAGATAGAATAGGAGGTGCAAGACAAAGTGGAAATATACTACCTGGTAAGTGGTAATCGATATCGGAGGGAGACACCCTAGGTTAGTATGTACTACAAATATGCATATGTAATGTACAATTACTACAATACCGACAGGTAGGTACCTTAGTAAGGTCAGTTGTTCGATGTATGTTCTATTTTCTGTTTTGCTGCAGGTACCTTGTAAGGTAATAATTTCCCGACTTCGTTGTTTCCGCGCTGAGTTGAATTGGGCACTGGGCAGGCAGGGCTGGTTGGGTCAAATGATTTAAAGTTTATTACTTTAACGGATCTCCGGTTAGTAGCATCCAATCCCTTACCACTTATTAAAATGACACGATCTAACCATTTCATGATTTTCATCTATGTGCCTACCTGCCTTAGTACATGCCTAACCTAGGTACATAGGACCAGTCATAGGTAGACCGGAGTCACCAGACTACTATGTTAATTAACATAGTACACTGTGACACATAGTTACACATTACACTCCAACATTCTACAACATTTGAAAGATATTACCAACAGTTCCTTGAAATATTACTTTGCCACTCTTTTAGTGGTCGTCATTGTTGCTGCCGCTGTTGCTGATGATGGTGATGCATTATACCGTATTAACACATAACTACCTACATAATCCATCCAACCTTGGATACCTAACGTACCTAGAGGATAGCACGGATAGCACTCGAGGCAATGAACCAAAGGCATGGGACGACCTTGTCCCTGTCGATCAGTTACCAAAATAACCAAAAACAACTTCAATGCCCTCCGGATATCCAAGTCCTAATTAATCTAGAACTAGACTTACCGAGACTCAACCTAGTGTCAGTTCGAAGCTTGTCTTTTGAGGCTCTTGCACATATTTATTTAACTAGGTACTCTGTGCGTACAATCCCGCCATCTTTTGGCGTCTCTCATTCTTATCTACTTGCCCATTTACGCCGTACATACATAGGTATGATACATATTCATGAAGGAGAGCCGAGGTATACATATTCCTCAAGGCTCTCATATGTCCCAATGGCTACACATATTATATGATTATATGCAAAGGAGAGGTAATGTAACCTGACTAACCTCGTCAGCCTATGATGAACCATGCATCCTTGTCTTGGTCCATTTTGGGTATCTTAAATAAGCCTGAGGCAAAAGGCACCTCGCCATTTATGGCAAACTAAGAACCCGAATCTTCTACTTGTATGGATTTTGCCAGATTTACGTACCTAAGGTATGTATTTTTCGAACCCTCACCTCTAGTTGCCCTACTATGTCCTATGCACGCACGCTACCAAATGTCTAGTCCTTTGACGTCATACATTGCTTCCTTACCATAGGTAGAGGCTATGCAGTGCGTGCTCGGTATGGGATTAACCTTGAAAGCTCTTGATCACATTTAACTACTGACGCCTCGCTATTAATACCTAGCCTTAGGTACGTAGTCAGCAAGTCTGACATCAGTTCTACTGCTAGTATTGATATTTTACGACAGCTTTGCCAAAGACCACTATAAGTGATACAGATATATTGATGTTATATTCTTGACATTGCCTTACGCATAGGTTCTGAATGACGCTATCAATATGATCTAAGCCAGCAGCAAAACAACCTATGCTGACTTCAAGCCTTCATCTACTGGATCACGCCTCTCACGGTTGCAGCAGAGTCGGTCATACCCTTTTACGACCACAAGGCACAAGGGGCGCCTAGAAGTACTCCATCTATTTTCTACCTCGTTCCACCGGACCTAATCAGTGTTGCCCTTTTAGGCAACTTGGGTATGGAAGAATTCAGGTACAATTTTCTCCGATGCTACCAAAACATATATGCGGGGGACGAAGGGGGGGCCTCCCTTTTTCTTACGTTAGGGCTATCAGGTATCACAAAGAGTAACCTAAGTTTATCATCGCGCGACTAGACGATGGAATCGATTGGGAACTGAGACATGACATATGAATGACTAACATGAAAGTGGCGCGTCTTTACCATGGAAAGAATTGCCCTCACGGAATAGGGGCTCCGAGAACATGCCAGGTGGCTTCGCAACTCGCCCTCCGTCAACAAGATTTTCTTATATGGCAATTTGATCATGAACGGGCAACTGTGTTGGGATGAAATCTTCAGCCGGGAATCCAAGATGATGTGACGTGGGAGCTGAGCCGCCGTTTAAAGCCATTTCACATTTCATTGAGTGATGGAGTGCTGAGAAGTGAACCTCGAACCTCAGCGTTCCTCGCAGTGGAGAACCAACCAACATATGCGCCTCAGCGAAGACATTCAATAAGCCGAGCTACATATGGGTGTATGTAGTTATACAAGCTATGTACTAACCTAGGTTAGGTATGTAAATATCTTCAGTTGAGCTTGGCGAACCCCGCGTATTCGCTACACCTCCTAATTAGGTACTAACTCTTATTTGGCTCAATTCAACTTGGCATTTATGAGAGCGCGTCTTGTCAAGGCACGCTTGGCATCAGCCCCGCGAAACTCAAGGGTTCCAGCTAGGGGGCAGGGCCTGTAGGGGGTGTCGATGTCGAGACTAGGGATAGCACATAGTTATCGCCAGAGCAAAAAGTTGAGACGGTCTCTGTGTCAAGATCAAGGAGCTTCATCGGCCTTGTGCTTTGCTTTGCTTTGCTTTGCTTTGCTTTGGCGCTGGGGATCTTTTTCTTTTCTTTTCGTTTTTATGTTTCTTTTTATTCTCGTTGTTCAGAATATCATCTAATATTCATCTATTTTCTTCATTATTTTCACGATTTTTAAATCAAAATTTTGTATGAATACTGTGGCACGATATTGGTTCTATTTTTTTCGCATTGACATTATACTACTTATCTATTATTATATTACGAGCAAGGGGGTCGATAGTTCAAGATGTTCTCGAACTTAACCACGAAGCTGGCGATGAAGAAAGTCGGGTTATCGAGCGACGCATTCGACTTTTCATCGAAATCTAGCAAATCCCACGATGGTTCATTACCCGGTCTAGATGAACTGGAGAAATCGAACTCGAGCTCGAACTCTGGTTGGCCAGCCTGGACGAATACTAGGAAACTTCCACTCACAGCACAAGCCTGGCTATCGCCTGTCCCACCGCCAGTCCCTGTCGCGGAGTGTCCGAAGCCAGGTGATCTCGCACCTTTAGACCGAGACCGTCAACTCACATTCGGAAACGGAAAGCCCATCATCGTTCTTTTCATGCGATGTGTCGGCTGTGCATGTAGGACTCTCCGCCGTCCCCTCCACCTCTCTTTCTCTCTCCCGATATCGTAGTATATCATATACATGCATGCATACATACTAACCAGTCAAAATTCGCAGTTGCACAAAAGTCTTTCCTAGCCCTCCGGGAGCTCGCGGTCAAAAATCAAGGCAAACTAAGCTGCATCGCCGTGTCGCATTCGTCACCGGAGGCGACGCGTAAGTGGGTTGACTTACTAGGCGGCTCGTGGAACGTCGAAATTGTCATCGACGAGGATCGCGCCATCTACGCCGCTTGGGGGCTTGGGCTCGGCACCGTGTGGTCCATGTTCAACCCCACGACGCAGATACAGGGCTGGAAGGAGAAAGGGTGGCTGGGCATAAAGGTGGCCGATTCGCTGCAGAAGACGGCCAGTCTTAGGCAACAACCAAACTTGACTAACAACGCCGGCAACACTACTGCTAGTGGGAGAGGTGGTGGTGCAACCGGCGCGGGATCTCCACCAGAAGATGCAGTCGAGGGGCCATCGAACGTGATGGGGAATAAGTGGCAGCAGGCGGGCCTGTTTGCAGTAGACGGCCGGGGAACGGTGCTCTGGGGCGCGAAGGCGCTTCGTGCCGACGATGTGATGGACTTGGATGCTGCAGCGGCGGTGCTCGGTTTCTGATCTCGAAGCATGCCTACCTATCTACCTACAGGTATACGGTAGTAGATTTACATGCCCGTCGCGACATAATGAATGAATGTATTGGTATGCATACCCACCTATGGTATAGCGTCCGTGAGGCACCGGATGCTCTGGTCGATGAGGAGTCAGCGCTACTCCTGGATTGGAGTTCGGGAACTTCCTGGGCTTATTTTATCCCGGGCTAAACTCTTTAGGTAGCCATCTCAATGACAGGCGCTTGGCGCCATGAAGAACACAGTGATACTGAGTTCAGGAAATACTCGATACGGGATATGTTGGAGGGACGTATATTGTGAGCTTGCCTCGTGACATCTATATGGAAGATACGGATGGATCTCTTAGGATATACTCAAACTACCAGGTGCCTATGTAAGTGAGGGAGGATCGTAGGGCCTGCCAATCGAGTGTAACTCATACCATACAAGTATTCAATATTGCTCCATCTCCCCAATGCTAAGATCCCATTCCTTTCAATCGATACGAAACAAGGAATCCCACGTGTCGTATCCTACCCCTACCTGGTTCGGGTATGGTAGGTATGGTACTAGGTACAGTAAGATCTAGTGATGTAGGAGGAATATATATCTAAAAGGAATATATTTGTCACGGGCAACTAGCTTTCCCCTGACACTGTACTTGGTGCACTAGCTACCTACATAGCTAGGTAATGTGTAGGTACCTAGGTAAGGTAAGCTTATTCGCATCAGGTGTTGGTGATTCCAACCAGTCAGCACCCGGTACTGTACCTAGCTAAGCTAAGCTAGCTGACTTGTCTTGCGATACAATACAATACAATACAATACATAAACGAAGTCACAGATCGTTTCGTTTCGTTTCGTTTAGTCCTTCTCGATTTCAGGTAGTTACAGTAAGTTCTACCTTCTACCTTCTATATACCTACCTAAGTAGATATTGTTGACAGCACCGCGGCATCCTTAACGTGTGAGAAATGTACCTGGGGAGGAGGAAGAGGAGGAGCATCTTGGAGACCGTGACAGTGGTAAAAGACAACCGCCAGATTTTGCTCGACTTGACAAGTAACTTCCTAGGTTTAGTTAGTTTCAAGACTTCGAAAACATCCACGGGGCTTCCTAACCTGCCCTTCCCTTCCTTAACTCCCAGCCCCCCCCCCCCCCCCCCCCTCCTTTTTTTTTTTTTTTTTTTTTTTTTACAGTGTTGATAACAGTGTTGATAGATACCTACCTACGTACATACCTGAACATATAAAACTAACAGCCATTAACTAGGCAGGTAGGCAGGTAGGTAGCCGCCTAGATCATCGAACCCGCCTCGCCTCACATGCCATACAGCCAGCAACAGCAGTCTCTACAAACCCCCACAACCGATTCGAGCAAAAGCTTGACATGTTTAACCCCAGACAGGTACATACATACATACATAGGTAGGTAGGTAGGTAGGTTAGATGCTTAGCCACATCGGCAAATCCTCCTGGATCGTACACGTACGTACCTACCTACCTCCCTACACCCCTACACCCCTACATACTACCTAAGCACTCGACCTACATAGGTACCTACCTATACATAACTCGACAGAATGACGACGCTACCTAGGTATGTGTCTATTAATAGCTGTCACTCGGCTAGATCCGAAGATGTGACTGCTACTACCTATTCTAGGAAGTTCGGAACCTTGGGTCTACATAAGTCCAAGTACATATGTAATATCTCCGATCTCAAATTTGTAGAGGCGTAGAGGGAGGGGGGGGGGAGGCGGTAGGTACTCAGGTAAGTGCTATGTACCTAGTTATGTTTGTACAATATCTTGGAAACAAGCTGCGCTTACTACTTAGTACATAGTAGATACTACCTATCTAATATAGGTATTTGGTAAATATCGTGCCCTAAGCAGGTGGCCTTCATTAACGTCAACTCGAGTTACGTGAAACAAAGCCGAGCTAAGTCTATCAAGACCGACCAACAGCGTTAAGACCTCTACGCATACCTACTGCGATCAAACCATCACCACTCTCAACCTCTTAGCATGATAATCTAAGTCAGAACATACCTAATCACAATCACCCAATATGCCCGTAAGGCAATTCAGAGAACCCCAAACATACACGCACACATATACACCACACATAGAATACCACAAAACCAGCCAGTCCATTTTACCAATACTATCACCATGAGTTACCATCCTACCTACCTACCTACCCACCTACCCGACTATTCTGATGCCGAACCCTCTTCTGCTTCCTCTTCCTTTCAAAAATGAATAAATAATAGCCAAACTCCCCCATGCGGTAGACCGGAAACAAACACCCCCCTCTCCCTATCTCTTCCTCTCTCCCTCCTCTTCCTTCTTTCCACTATCAAACGCACACACAGATAGATGCCCGTAAACGACCAACCCCATATGAAACGGACGAAGAAACAAAAAGCAAACCCCCGGGGATGAAACCGCAACCGTGCCAAAAAAGAAATTCAAGATTCCAAAAGCCCACTTCTACCCTGCGTACGCACAAAATAGCCCATTCTTCCATTACCAGACCCTCCTTTTGATACTCAACAATTTGACTTGAGAAGAGGGGGAAACAGTAAAAGAAAAAATAGTAGTAAAAAAAAAAGATAAAACCCCTGCCATGCTTCCAAGACCATACGCCCCATTTTCTGAGTTATTTGCATCCCACCCGTCACCCCAGTCGCCCTATTAGTCACCAAGAATAACACAGCAGTAAGTTTGATGAGCAGGTAGATAGTTAGGTAACGTCCGTGTCCACCAGGCGTAAATTCGATTTGGGGACGCGTATTCTCTGGGGGATCATCGAACGCCAATCTTCCGAGTACTTTTGTGTATTGCTTGCATTAATAGGGGATGAGGAAAACCGTGCCGAGTGAGAATTGAGAAAACCAAGCCCCCGCTTTGAAACAATGAGGAAAAAAATATTGCAACCGCAAACCGCCACCAACTATGCCCTAAGCCTTTCCCCTTAGCCATACCAATTCCAAATACCCTTATCCACTATTTTCTTTTCTTTTCTCCTCCTAATCCGGCCGAACCTTCGCAGGTAGTAATAAGGGAACGAAAACGCCTTATATATCGTTCTTGTGTGGTGTAAAAGTTCTCTCTCTGTCTCGCTGCTTTGATGATCGCGAGATAATTGTAATAGGGGGGAAAAAAGGGGGAGGTATCATGGGTCGAAAAAGCAGGAAAGCAGAGAACTCCGATCAGAAAAAGAAAAACGCGTTTTCCGCCCTGGTTACCATATCTTTGTATCCGTGTCGTCAAAGGCCTGAACACCCATGCTGATGCTGGATATACCTTTCCCTCGTCCTTAGAAACCAACCAACCTGAACACCGATTTTTGTGCTGATTTCATCATTCGCTCCCCTCGCTCCCAGATGGATCAATGCATTCTCAGATTAGTTTGTCAAAACTTGGGCTAGCGGAGCGATCCCTAACCCCATACACTCGCCTGAACTCCTAAGTTGGATTTGTTGCCCCAAACACCTGAACGACTGCCCCATCCGCTGTACCCATCCGCGGCAGCACTAGGAGGGTTAGAGGGGGCCCCAGTAGTCGACACACCTGTATTAGCCTCATCACTGCCTGAGGCAGTGAAGCCGTGGCTTAGAGGTGATGGCAGCGGCGTAGTCGAGCGCTTGTTCAGTGCAGGATTCTGCGCCTGAGCTCCGGCAGGACGCGTTCCGATCGGGGCCACCGTACTACCTATAGGCTTAGAAACACCATTTCCTCGGGGTGGGGATCCACCAGTCGGAGACGAGTTGCTAGTACGATTAGTTTGCTGGCCAACAGCACTATCGAAAATGCCCATGTTGGCCGGTGGATTCGACTGAGGGCTCGCATTGCTGTTGGCGCGGGATAAACCCTGAGCGTCAGCGGACTGCGAGACACCTTCCGAGGCATTGGGGGCGTTGTTTCGTCCATAGTCGTAAGTCAGGGGCGACGGGCCCCGATGAGATGAGGAAGCCGGTGGCAAGCCAGGAATTCCAGACCGACTCGCACCAGACTCCTCAGGATAACCTCCTTCACCACCAAATAGAGCACTACGCTGGCGGGCGATCAAATCACGGCGTTCATCCTCGGACATGCTGCTGGGGCTTAGAGCACGATCGGGTTTGCCGGTATAGGACATATCAGCAAGAACATCTGTGAAGACAGAGTCAGCGTACATTCGCGGAGAGAAGGAGAGGAAATAGGGACGAAGGCGTGGTGATGTAAGGGCATATATCGCAACAAGTCGAATGGGGTTTACGGGAATTCAAGAGGCATGGAAATATCGCTTGCGAGTTCAGGGGAGACATGGAACATGTTGACTCCGCTGAATGAATTTCTTTTCTTGAATTGCGATGCAGATCTTGTGCTATACAGAAGAGGGTGGCCTACTTCGGTTATATTGCTGTTCTTGATGATAGTTGCGAAGTTCTCGCTCCCGCTGAGCTGCCATCCTCCGCTTGGCCTGCATCATCTGCTCCGCCTCGTTGGAGCCGCGCGAAGGTTGGTGACGTTGCGCAGCATAGAAATTCTGCAAATTGGGGCCAGAATGGCCGGTGCGCGGGTCGCCAAACTCCAGGGAATGAGGTCGCGGGCCATGCCCAGATGCAACTCGGCCGTCTATATACCCATCAGTGCCACTTCTTTCGAAAGGGAACCCCTCCTATCTCCCGCAGCGTACTCGATCTTTTCGGAGTCATGTTCGGGGTGAACTCACGTCGCCCTGGCGGGCCGTACATCTTCCCGCTCTTCACCAGGTTGTCGACAGCTCGTTCCACCTCTGCGAAATAATATTAGTAACCAAGCATAGGTAAATTATAGGGTCATCGTCAGAACATATGCCGTTTTGCTCCGCGCGACATTTGCCTTCGCCAACAATAACGACACCATCTTCCGATCGGAGATCTTGCTCGCGCGACACATCTTGGCATATGCTTCTAAATCCTCTCTTGCCTTGGTTTAACGTACCCTCAAATTGGTAGGCGAAAGCGATGGATTCGACTTCGCGCGGGATGGCAGAGCTGGCACCTGAGGCAATCAATGTTAACTAATGTGATCTTGCTGACAGCATAGGGGGGGGCCTTTTTTTTGTCTTACCAGATCGCGCGGGGGGCGGCGGAGGTGTCTGGTGATCCCAAGTAGATTGGGAAGGACCCGCGCCGGGCCATTGCGAATCTCCGTAGTATTGCTGCGACATTCTGTTTCGGCGTCTTGTCGTTTTGTCTAGTTGGATCTGGTCACGAAGAGTTCCTTGTTGGAGAAGGATAGATTCGTCTGAGATGTAGAGTTAGTCATATCATGACAGCGTCCAAGTGTAAATTAACGTAAAAGTAAGTAAGAAGAAGACAGTGTTGAGACAGTGCTAAAGTATTTGACGACCAATGTCTTGGGTATAGGGAAGATGTTCATCCAAACAATTATTTGGTGCCCAAGTATCCAATAGTATGTTTTCCTCTTCAATCTAGACTTGAATATACTAGGCAGTAGTAAAGACGGCAAGGCCGAGAATCGAAAATCGACAAAATCCTTTAGAAGCAAAAAAATACTATGCTAAAGTTTTCCGGTTCGATTGGTTTCGTCGGTCTGTCCACATCTTACTCCAAGCGCGTAGACGCCGAAAACTCTCTCCGGCCGCCGCGCAAGAGGGGGCGGGAAAATGAACAAAAATACATATACATATTCATATTCATATCAGAACACACACACAAGTTGTATGTAAGATGATAAATAAAACAAAACAAATACAACCAATAATGCAAAGAAATAAAAGTCTCTTTTTGACTTACCAAGAATTTCTTCAGCCCAAATATCCTTAGGCGACTCCTGTTTGGTTCGGCGATGGAAGTACTCGCCGAGGTCTATGAGGAAGTAGATAGGAAATTAGAAAAAAGTGAAAAAAAAGAAAAAAGAACTGCACCACTATTGCGCAGCACACGCGACGGGGGGACGAGACGTGGATTTGAAAAAGGGAGGCGGCAACGGTAACGGGAGATGGGCTACCTTCTACTAATTAATAGGAGTAATAAGAGAAATTATCGGAGGGGACAAGTGTTGTAGTGGTAGATCAACCAGACCGGGTCAGAATGGGGGAAGGGGGGAGGAGAGGATAAGATAGGTACCTGGGTTGGCAGAGATACTTTTTGTACATGTATGTACTAATCAAGTGTAGGGAATATCTAGAGAATACTTGCAATAATATGTACATACATGTATCTACTAGCCCTAGTACTAGGTATTGAATTCAAGTTGTAACATCAATTGAAGGGAAGTGTACTCCGTGTATGATACTCGTCTAGTACAGTGGTGTTACTTCTATGCTCTCTGTGAGTCTCTGATAATCTATTAGGTAAGTCTGTATCTTTAAGTATATACCTAGTATAGACTAGTTGGTAAGTGCTCCTCAGTGCTCAAGTCTGGTGCTTTTAATATTCAAGGTTCACTCTCTCAGTTGATGTTGCTCTACAACGTACATACATGTATCCATGGATGTAGAAGGTACGAAGTATGTACATATGTACAATACCGTTGGTGCGGTCCTTGCTTTAAAACCCCTGGCAGATTGACGACAGTGGGTGATTTATTTTTTTGATGGGGCAACAGATTAAGTAGTATGGATTTCTCTAGATCCGATGTGGTTGGCTGACGAATTTTTTAAGTCTTCCAGGGCTCTGGTCTTGTAAGGCAAGTAGGGTTATGAATAGGGTATTGTTCTATTCCTTCTAGGAAGTTGCCTCGCAGGGTATCAGGACTAAAGAGGCAAAGTTTCGTGGTAGGATGTTTTGCTACGTACTCCCGTACAGGTACGTAGATGAGTGTGGAGGAGGATCAAGTTGATCAACTTCATGTACCAGTTTGATGTACATACATGTAGTAAATCTTCGAAGGATCAATGCTCATGAACTTTAAAATCGACGATAATAGTAATCACAGCTGCATCCGATCTTTAACTACTTACACCTAGGTACATGACACTCATGTATCCTAACAAATAGTATACTACATATGATATATGTAATATTATGTATCAGTTGAGAGGACTTTTAAGGGTTCAATGTTCTTTCAAATCGGAAGATGAGAAAGTGAAGAAAGAGAAATTGACACACTAGTGAAATCCGGGCTTGGATTTTCTTTTACTATGTCGTAGAGAATGCAAGCAATTCTTAGCTCTAACGCTGTGATTGTCCGCTTATGGTACTGAATCAAACCCCACATAGTCTTTTCTTGATGATAGAAACAATCTTACTCCCTGATAGAAACTGCCTAACGGTCCTAACCTAGTAGGCATGTAGTATATAGAATTGATTGCCTAGGTCCTTCTGAATATGTAGCATGTTAATTGGTCATTGATAGGGGTTTGCAGAAAGTTGTCTCATCATTTGTCTCATTCATGATAGGTAGTGGGATGACAGCGAGGTTGGTGGTACTAAGAACTCTCTGCTGTTAAATGAGAGTATTGCTCAAACCTCCAGTGTCTTTCTTAGTGATGAGATATTATACCAGCATAATACCTTCTCTTGAATAAATAGGTACATTAGTAATTAGTATGCAGGATAGAGTACTATCACGGTGTATCACCAGGCTATACCTGCCAGTAATCAGCGGGAAACCAGGCTCAAAAGTGGGCATTACCAATGCACTTACTTCTGGGCAGGCAAACCACCTACATAATACATGTACCTGTTACATACATAGGCATGTAGACTCTAGAGTCTAGACATTTATATCTTGTCAGGTGCTGTCCCTGCTTGGAGTACGGTCTGGAAGCATGCGTGTGATTGATGGACATGATTTTTTCGTAAACGTCAGTAGGTAACCGCATCTTAAGAAACAATCACTTCAAATGTTTTTCCAAATTATCAAAATTAATGAAAGCTTGAAGACAACAACTTGAAGAGCCTGGAGGTCCCTCTAATACTTATGTGCCTACCTAGCACCGGAGTTTAATGCCGTTTGAACCGCCTCCCACTTTATTTATGCGTAGCGCAGCGGCCATCCTTTTAAGTTTCAATTATTCATTACCAAGACCCCCACAGAACCCACCAGTTCTTCTCCACAAAGGGATAGTTACCGATACACGTTGTAGCTACCTTAAAATCCTTACACGTAAGTAAGAGAAGGGGCGTATGCCATATGGTAACCTAGTAAACCTACGGCTATTATGTACCTAATATGTTTATTGCCTGTATCTTTCCACACAATGGCACACATAGAGCTGACTTTTAAATACAATGGAGTTACAAATATCTTCCATGCATGTGAGCCTTGAATCTTCACCTGCACGTATGGGCAACATTGAATGTTTTCGGTTTCTCTTTTGAAGAAGGTCCTCCCGCAATGTCTCGGGTCATACTTTTAGACCCTGCGACCCCGTTAGAATTGACTTGAGGCTCTCAGGTCTGTTTCAACTTACAAGCATCTACGGATCGAATTTGTTTTTTTGCTTGTTTTTTTTTCGTCTTTTTGCATTAACTCGGTTCTTCAGTAATTATACATATCAGCCCTAAAGGACTACATAATCTACTAATTAATACATCGTACGGATTCGTACCTACATACCTAGTATGTAGGTAGCGTTCGCCTCAACAAGTCCCATTTATTGAAGGTTGCTACAACGATAACAACACAAGTCCTAGGTTAGAGTCTTCGACTTACTACATGATATTATCAATCAACCCCTTCTAGAAGTCTTCATTCTCTCATCAAATTTTAGTTGATACACGTGGTGTTGTCCCACACTGACAAGTACATTCCTCGTTCCTTATTGGCCTCGTTGGTACGGTGTAACTTATCCAGAAAAAATTACACTCCTCTGTGTGCGATACCGCCAGTTCAGACCGACATGAAATCACTTCAAAAGCCCGCCTTCACACATAAGTGCCAATGGTCATGGGACAGTTCTTTTTCAATACAATGCAATGTCGTCAGCCTAGAAAAGTCGAGTCGGCCGAGTTTCGATATGTACATTCGGTAAAACAATCCCGAGCCCAGAATAAGTACATACTGTACTATCTACATAACTTCCCCGAGTTCGAATCTCATGTGTTTTTTGGGGTACGCCATACCCTGCGTATGCATAGAAGGTATGCCCCTTGCTTATAGCCTCACGGACGGTTAAGATCCTAGCAAATAGGGACTGAACAAAACGCCAAAAAAAAATAAAAAAAATACTGCAGTACTTTTATCAAAGTCTGTAGTGTATATACCGTGTCATCTTCCGAATATTTAAAACTTGAGTTATGATAGTTTCTAGTTGCACTTTTCCTCGCACCGCTACCGATCGAACGGGTACATACCGAAAGTTAGGGGAGAACAATTTGCTATGGTTAGGTAGGTATTGCATCCGCAGCCAGGACAACACACCATGAAAACGGATTTTCTACAGTGGGAAGCATATGCGCCGATCCCAACGGCCTACATAGGTTTATGTAACATCTCACAACCCATACCTACTACCTAGGCAAGGGTTTCTATGCATAACTGCAACTCCTATTCATTAGTTAGTGGTTCATTGTTCAACACCTTATGTGGAAGCTCATTCCAAAACACTGAAACTTTTGCCCAGCAGTGTGGTTCGCAGCGCAGTAGTGTCAAAGGACTAGACAAAGATGCATTTGGTTTAACAAAGTCACCTAGAAGCCAAAAGAGAAGGGTAGAACAAGTCAAATCCCGATGGTCTGGATGGGCTAAGTCTGATAACCAGGTCTGTCCTTTCTTACAGTTAACTAATTATTTACGTACCTACCTATGTAGGTATGTAAGGATTCGGATGTTCTCGGATTAGAATTAATAGCGGAAGTTCAAAAGTCCCGCGGGCAAATAGAAGGGGGGGAAACGAAAGAAAAAGAAAAGAAAAAACATCTCACGATAGCTCTGGTTTGTCGTTCCCATCCAAAATGTCTTATTTTCCGTCCTAGCGCCCTTAGCGACGATTAAATTTGAGGTGCTGTTAAAATCTAGTCAGGTTCAGTGGTTCAAAATATCCGAGGCTACCAACTTGTGGGATGGCCCGCCCATCTCAACCACTGATGCACCTTTCTCATTGTCATCAATTAATGAGTGGCCTGATCGCGTTACAGGGCCCTTGCACAGTATAATGCGATCCAGGAGCCAAGGTGACCGGCAAGAGACTAACCTAAGGTCCCTTCGGCGAGCCGATCGAAAAGGCCTGACCGTTGAATAGTCCCTTGAGCTTCCTGAAATGGCAAGCTTCTCCTTTCGGGTCAATGACGCTCGCAATTCCTGGGCCTTGGAAATCCACCACCCCCATTTTCATCCATCCATCCTAGGATTCCTAGCAGCTAGGCAGCCAGGGCTGTCAGGGGACTCAGGGCCTAGGGAGGGTTCAAAGTTAAGGCACGACGAATTCAAATACCACTCTACATATTGGATTTCGATGTTCTGAGCATCGCAAATATCAATGTCTATGATTTGATTTTAACTCCCTAGCAGACAGCCCACGCTCTCAGACGCTTCGCAGATCCGATGAATCGTTTTCCAGGGACCCGGTGTGCTGTATGCACAGATCCGTAGCGGGCATTCTCGTCACACCCACTTACGAACTAACTGGGCTAACTGAGCTAAAGAGATCTATGCAAAATACACAGATGGCGAATTCGAGGGGTAATAAAAAATGTGAAGAGTTCGGCCATTTCTTTACTTCCTGGGTAGTCCCCCCATAGGCTTAAGATTCTCTCTAATATATTCCAATTAAGGGAATATGACTAGCATTTATGATCTATGCCCTAGTCTTTGGATCCAGTCTGCCTTTTGAACAAGAGGTCTTGGTTTAGTTGCGAAGAAGCCATCAATCAGACGGCATATGTTTCTCTGCCATCTCACACATAGTATCCACTGGAGCCCCCCTCCCACATGTTCACTTCGTTGGAGCATCTCCTTACTAGATCTTGATGTCCCAACATAGGTACCTATCTATCTAGTGAAGACTATCTAGTAGGTAGAGAGGAAGAAGATGACTTTATAGGCTGCAACGATTCTCGTCTCCTGATGCTTTGTAGACATACTAGCCTCGGGCAAACCCACCCAGGGCGTAAATGATGACTGAGTTCCTCCAAATCATCATTTCAAGTTCCAGGTGCCAGGTGGTGTAGCTAAATTCGGCCCGGCTCGAGCTACCAATCATTAGCGCGATAAGGGGTAAAATGTCAGCCAACTCTTCGGTGATAGATCGAATCCCATACAATTCCAGAATCCCATCAGGATCTCTATCTATTATTCCAGGCCGCACTTAGTTACATCCCTCTTACATGCAGACGCGGGCGCAGTTGACATGTTCATGTTCATGTTCATGTGCAAGTGACAGCCCAGGGGTAAGTAGGTACCAAATCAGCTTTCCCGCTTCTAGATATGTAAGTCTTTTCCATTCGTTACTCCGTTCCCCCGGTACGGGATAACTACCTAACCTAGGTATCTAGTCAGAAGGCTGCCCAGCTCCCGTTGTTGGCAACGAACGATTACTGTAGTAGACAACCCCCCCCCCCCCCCCCCCCCCACACACACACACATTCAGCCAGGGCCTTCCGTACAGGTAAGTACAAGAATTTCGCCTTCGCTTAAAAACTAGGTTAAGGGATAGTTATGTAGGGCTTTTCCCCCGCGCCCTCGCTTCGTCCATGTCGGGGCCGCGAATCATCTTTCGTTGTTTTCGTCAGGCGATGACATACTGTATATATGTACCTAGGTATGATGATCCCCCCGTTCGGCGGGAAGCAAAGGCTCGGCAGATGGGATGAAGCCTCCGGCTCCGGCGCGGTGACGTAGATGGTGCTGTAGGTAGGTAGGTAGGTAGGTAGGTATATATTTTCGTGCCGTCCGTCGATTGATAGTATTTCTAGACGTTCTGTTGGTTCTACGGGCCAGTTGAGGGGTTTGTTTCTTTTTTACTCGGTATTGGAGATGGTCATACATACATACCCTGCATCATCTATATCTCACCAGGACCAAGGTGCCGGCTCAGCAGCTTATCCAGGGAAACTGACCAGGCAGGCAATTGGTTCTTACGGACAGGCAGATAAGTGGTAAGCCTTTCGGTATGCCTATTGTTCTGGCAATACAGGCTATGCCGTGGAGGACATGCAACACCACCCCCAGCCCTCCCGCCCTCCCACGCGCATACGATATCACAAAATACAGGACATCCATCATTGGTATAAGAGCACCAAGCACGTGCTTCGACACGTATCCAACGATGCGTGCAGGACCTGCTGCCAAGTTTTCTAGGGCTCATTCTCCCTCTTTTCCTCCCCCCTCCCCCCCCCAAAAAACAACTCCTTTCTTTTCCCCTGCCTGCTTCAGTTGACCCGACAGCCATGGGCAACAAGGCTCTTCTGAACCTGCGAAATGAAAGGTGATGTCTAGCTTAGTCCTCTACCGAAGACACCACCAACGGCATTGCGCCGCCACCCAACCCCGTATCGGGGCAAAGAGAAGTAAAAAAAAATATTATCGTAGTAGCTATCGTAAACGGCGTCCTGTAGAGCCGGTGTGGGGAGAGGGATCGAAATCTTCTTCGCTTAGTACCTGGTAAACATGTTCTCATTGCTCCTACGTAGGTAGGTAGGTACGTACGTACGTACGTATATAATGACCTCGTAGACGCCAGTGAGTCCTAGCAGATTTGTAGAATACATCCTCGAGCAGCGGCGGTGGTGACTTTTGTTTTGATGTCGTTTGATTTTTGTGTGTGAGGTTAGGCACAGACGCTGAGTACGTAACGTAGGCACTGCTTCCTGGACGTTGGTTAGGTAAGGTAGGTAAGGCATGGGCTCTATGATGAACTACCCGTTGATCGTAATAGCTACATTGCCTAACTGCCTAGCACCTACCGGCTTACGTACGTAGGCATCTACAGTCTTCATCCACATTCGCGGTAAAGCTGGCACGACTAACATCCCGTCGCTGCTAGTGCCTCCTGCGTTCCTCGTACTCAGCGTTGACGGATTAGGAGGGGGAAACCTTCCTACCTACCGGGGCTACACCGTCGAGTAACGACAAAGATGAATACCTACCTAAATACGCGTGTAGTATAGCGTTCTCGTGCAGTACTGTGTCTAGCCTGGCCTGGCATAGGCTTATGTGTCAGTTGGGTGATCGATAGGTAGGTATTGAGCAAATCTGGAGAAGTCGTGGATGAGGCCTACTCTCCTTAAACCTTACTACCTACCTGGGTACGCTACACTACGCTGACGAGGTTTATGATTTATTGAGATGGATTTTTGAAGTAAGCCGTCTTCTGACCGATATACTACTTACCAGATACGTAAGTAGGTATGTAAGTGGTAGCGAACAACTTATCGAGGTCATTCTAGGCTGGCCGTCTCCGAACAGGGGGCGGATTCGTCTCGGGACAGAATCGACCCCTTTCTCTCCCCCTTTCGACGAAGCTCCCTGAGTGTGGATCTTCTGAATATACGCGTGATATTCATGGCATGGAGATGGCCGCAGGTACGCCAGAGAGAAAAGTGCGACGCACTGTGGTCTTAGATTCGAGAACCTTCTAGTCATGTTCCGATCCTATAGATTTTCCTTTTCAATCTACAGCTCTTACACCACGTGTCTTATGGATAGCTAAAGCGCTGATATTATAGCTTATAGGTAGGTGTTTAGGTATGCAGTGATGGTGCGGAAGGGGCATCTACTAATGCTCTTGTTAGTCGGAGTTTGAATTCAAAACACTATATCTTACAGGCAGTGTTAGCTATCCTGAGCTGGCTTCTGGTCCCTAGACGTGCCGTCAGAATGCTCAAGCAAGCTTTTGTGCTAGGTAAATAGGGGCTTGAGGCTCGAGGCTCGAGTAGCCACGCGAGTAATACCGAGAGAGAAGCACCCACAGAATTTGGTGTCGAAAAGGGGGAAGGGGGTAAGCTGGGTAGTCAGCACAGAGGTTTACTCTATACGCAGACCCCTTAATTCATCATACCTACAAAGTCCTTTGACCAAATATGCGAAGGTTCAAGGCTATTCGTTCCTGGCTTACTGCACGGCTACTATCGCAGCCTGTGGAATACCATAGATAGAACTTTGGCTTAGGTACCTGGACATGGCCCTCTAGCTTTGATAGAGTAATGATGTCAGGGAGGTAGGTAGGTAAATGTTCACATAGAGCATGTAACTACTGGACAATGCGTTCAGAGGCACAGCTAGGGCTTCAGCTCAACTAGAGATGGCATCCAGGAGCCGTCCCTTTGATTTAAATGGGAGGTCTTGGCTTCTGGATAATCGATCAAGCAAGCCTTACGTTATCGAAACTCACTTTTTTATCTGAGAAGTCATACATTAGTTAAGTTGTTAGGTTAGTTGAGTATTCGAGAGAAGAAGTCCATGCAAACTTACTTAGCTCCTGACCTCAGATGTTCAAAGCCTCATTATAATTTTCATATTTTCTCCATTAAGTAGTGCATTAACAAGGTTGAAGCAATGATGTTGAGTAATGATGTTGAAGTAACGATGTTGAAGTAACGATGTTGAGTAACGATGTTGAAGTGTAAAGTCAAATACGTGAGTTTGAATTGAAACAAACAGATGAAACATAAAGTTAACGACCCTGCGCTAGGAGAATGTTACCAACAAAACTACTAACCTAACCTAGTATTATGCACGAATCCAATGGGAGCTCCCGCTGGTTAGGGTCTGGAAGGCTTGGAAACATGTGCTATTTGGTGGAGACCGGCGATAACCACGGCGAGCCCAGGGCAAGCCTTGTTCATTAAGCTGAGAAGAAGTGGGGCTGTTAGAGTCTTGACCAATGAAGATAAAGAATCTACGGAAGGAAGCTTGCTTGTGGTACCCCATGAGTCCCCATAATTAACGGAGGTGGTTTCCTAGATCTCTTTAACCCACTACGCCGACCGACGTACCCTGCTATTGTCCGCCGACCACTTCGAAGCAAAAGTTCTCTCTTTTTTTTCCAACTAATTTTTTTATACTTTGCCTCCTGTTTGTGTACATACGGCGTAGTATCTAAAGATAAGATACATCATACATGAGACCAGACGATATTTTAACTTCAGAAACTGACTACCTAGGTAACTAAACCCTAAGCTAGCGATTGGGTGTGTGTACTTATATCTGATCATAGCACGCCGTGCTCAACGCCATTCCTCCGCATATTGGCATTCTATAACACCTTTGCACCAACATCGCATAGTATTGTTTATGCTCTCTATGCGCCATTCTCACCCGCTACGGTAACTTAATTGCAAGCGACTTGAAGTCTTTGCGCTTGCAGTCTAAAGGGGACGAAGAAAGACTTGCCTGAGATTGTTGATCGATTCCTATTACCTACCTACTCATTCCGTGGATGAGTATATATATCTTGATACCCATTCGCTTTCGTTCTTGTTCATAACTTTTACATCCACACTTCACTTCACTTCACTTCGAAGCATACGTCTTCAGGTTGGTCGTGTTCACCAAGAACACGACCGCATACAGCTAATTCAGAATGGCGACTGAATACAACAAGCCGCAGTTTCAAGCTCCTTCCACCACCGTCGAGGTATCCGGCAGCAATGGTAGCGAGCACCACCACGACCAGGGTGTCGACCATGCGGTTGATACCAATGATGTAGTTGGCCAGGGTTTGCAGCACCTTGAGGCCAAGAAGATTCACTGGTATTCCTACCTCACCACCAAGGACTTCTGGATCGTTCTCTCGCTGGGCCAGATTCTTGCCCTCTGCATCACTGCCACTAACACCTTCTCGACCTTTCTGGTTAACTACGGCACCTCCATCCCTGCCTTCCAGACTGTGTTTATGTATATTCTGCTGTCTCTCGGTTACCTGCCTTACACCCTATACAAGTACGGTCCTAAGAAATATGGCCAGATTCTCCTCAAGGACGGCTGGAAGTACTTCATCCTTAGCTTCCTCGATGTGCAGGGAAACTACTTCACCGTCTTGGCCTACCGCTACACTAACATCCTCTCGGCGCAACTCATCAACTTCTGGGCCATCGTCTGCGTGGTCTTCGTCTCGTTCCTCCTGCTCCGCGTCCGCTACAAGCTCTTCCAGATCCTCGGAATCCTGATATGCTGCGGTGGCATGGGCCTCTTGCTCGCTAGCGACCACATCCAGGGCATCAACGGCGGCGCCGGAGAGAGCATCCTCAAGGGCGACCTGTTCGCCCTCGTCGGCGCCACCTGCTACGGCCTCACCAACGTCTTCGAGGAGTGGTACGTCAGCAAGCGCCCCATGTACGAGGTGCTCGCGTTCATGGGCCTGTTCGGCATGCTCATCAACGGCGTGCAGGCGGCCATCTTCGACCGCCAGAGCTTCCAGGAGGCGACGTGGAACGGCTCGGTCGCGGGCTACCTGGTCGGGTACACGCTCGTCCTCGCCTTCTTCTACTCGATCGTGCCCTTCCTGCTGCGCATCGCCTCTGCCGCATTTTACAACATCTCGCTCCTCACCGCCAACTTCTGGGGCACGATCATCGGCATCCACGTCTTCGGCTACGCCATCCATTACCTGTACCCCATCGCCTTTGTCCTCATCATCGTCGGCCTCACCGTCTACTTCCTTGCCGGCAGCATCCTCGGCGAGTCCAAGAAGCCGTGGCTCGGCGACAACCAGGAGGAGGGCGTCGTCGGCTTCGGAACCGCGAAGCTCAAGGCACTCAACATGGCGCGCAAGCAGGGCTTGGTTCAGGGCAACAACACTGTCTAAGTTTGGTTTTTCTAGGAAAGGGATAGGGTTGGGGGGTTAATAATATTAGGGTGGTGCATTTTGGTAGAATTGGAGCCTGGGGAGGAGGTTTCTATGATTGATGGAGGTACTTTTGATTTTGAAGAAATCGGGGTTTTGTCCTCGGGGACCTCTGTATTGGATGACTGAATAGTTTAGTTGTTGTTATAATTACTATTACTATTAAACCTACATGGAGTTTTGATGTATTATGCGATATGCAATGTGATATACGCTATGATTAGGTGCTTCTCTTTTCCTTTTCCTTTTTGGTGGCATTAGAGGCACCCCTTTCCAAGGGAGTGTCTGTGTCCTAGATTAGACCTTGGCCCATACAACCATAACCATACCAAGTTTAATAAACTCAGCGTCGTGTAGGTACCTGTTAGTTACCTAAGAAGAACAAGCTCATTGATTACGACGGTTCGTGATTGTGGGGTGGTAAAGAAAGGCAATGTCCATCCGAGGCCCGGATCCTTTGTTCACGTTAATGTCGATACGTGACTATACCTAGGTTAGTTATATTTGTCAATCATCGCGAATTGCCATCGCTCAACTGAGTGTATGTCGTTTCCTACTAGGTTAGCTACCTAATGAATAAATGGATGACATATTCCTTAGCTAGTCACGATCTGAACCCGCCCCCCTCGACCAAGTGTACAACACCCTCTTTCAGTATGCGAACGCAGACAACCAAACCAATACTCCTAAACATAGAAGCCTGTTTTTCGTGATATTTCCTTTTCTCATGATGCCTCGAGAAGTACGTGACTTGAGGCCAATAGCTTCCGGAGACCGGCCTAACCTAGGTACTTACATAGCTACGTGTATGATATGTGCTTGCACCAGTGACTGCTAACCTGTTCACACTTACACTTTTACGGATGCATGGTAAAATCACTCTTGGTACATAGAAAGCCATTCTTCGCAAGAAGCGTAGTTCCGGCGGTGATTTGGTAGCCCCAAGGACATACAGACATACGATACGTCACGAGTATACCTACCATCTAGCCCAAGTTTCTTCCGTGACTTCTATACTGGACATCTAGACGTCGTGCTTCATTTCCTTCCATAAAAGGGCCATCCTCCGCCTACCTTCTGAGGGAGCGGACACAGAGCAGAATCCTCAGACCGCACAGCCTGCACACTGGACAGAACATCACCCCATCACACACGCCTCTTCTTACCAACAAGTACTTAGAAGACTGTTCGTTTCCTCGCCTCCTGGTGTGCAAGAACGAGAATACCCAACAACAACAACAACAACAACACCAACGTGCCAACACCAAGGTCAGTACCAACGTCATCAAGAACAACAACACCACCACCACCAGCCCAACAAAAACAACACCAAACCCAAACCAAACCCCCCCCCCCCAAAAAAAAATCACCAGCAACAATGTGCCTCCGCCTGACCAAACTCGACAAATGCCCAACCTGCACCCTCTTCCACGGGGCCCCCAAGCACCTCGCGCAGAAGTGCGCTCTCGCGCGGTCGCTGCACAGCGTCCTCGGGTCGTGCGGCTCTCTCCTCGACCGCCCCAGCCCGGCCAGGAACCTGGTCGTCGAGTGCGCGCGATGCCGGGACGCGCGCGAGAATGGGGAGAGGCGGGAGTTTGTGCGGATGCTGTGGGGGAGCAAAGACAAAGACGGGGAGGTGGTGGTGATGGTGGAGGAGGGGAAGGTGGTGGAGGAGAGGAAGGTGGTGGAGATGAGGGAGGTGGAGGATGGGTGGGAGGTGGTTGAGCTCTAGGTGAGGATGAGGAGGAAGAGGGGAAGGAGAGCTGGTAGGGGAATAGGGGTAAGGGGGGAGTTAAAGATATTGATGTAAGCTTTCGCGAATGATCGATCGCGTTGCTTACGCTCGCCTAGTCTTTATAAAAATACATTTTACATAAATCGAATGAAGAAAAAAGTGATAGGCTGACGTGGAAGGTTGTTGTGGGTACAGAAACCAGCATATCGGGCAAGCTCTCATTGAGCTAGGTATAAAAATTGAACACCGGGTCCTTGGTAGCGAGGAGGTCGTTTGTTCTTCGTCTCTATTTTCTCTATAAGTGTCTAGGTCATCCATGTCTTCTTCCCTTTCCATTATCATATCACATCAAACATTACCTTTCCGCCGCTCGCCGGTCTGCCAAGGTGTAGAAGATACTCCCGTCATAAACACCCCGAATATCCTCCTTCATCATCTTCCCGTCCGCCGGCCAAAGCATAAGATACGTTGCGATCCCTAACATCTCCGCATTAGCATTTCTTGGTTCGTTCCCTACAGGTGAATAAAGCTAGAACAAAAAGCATACACTCAAAGAAAGCACCAAACGTTCCAACGGGATCCATGATGCACCGCTGGCCCTTCAGCAGGTTCTTGACGTCCCATATCGTCAGATAATTGCGGCCGTTGGCATACTTGGCAAACACATCCTCGAAGCGCTGCGGGATGAAGCGGCCCTCCGTGTCGTAGGTCCCGGTGTCGCTACCATGTTTGTCCTTGTGCACGTTCTTCAGGTAGATCCTAAAAAAGGGGTCTGGCAGCCAGCCTGACACGGTGGGGTACGAGAAGTTGCCGTGTATGATGAAGACAGAGATTAAGGATAAGAAGATGCCGAAGCCAATGCGGTGAAAGCCCAGGAATGTGTCTTGTGGCCATATTACACCGTCGTGGTCCTGAAGGGTTGTGGTGTTAGTTTCATGGAGTGGATGGTAAGGGAGTGTGATACTGAAATAGGGGTTGGCTTACTAAATCAAAGAACTCGCAGTGTTGCTGAAGCACTGTCTTGTTTTGATGCTGCTTGGCCCACCCGCCCTCTGTCGTTCCTAATGGTTTGTCATATGTGGCGGCGATATTGGCTCGAGCGGTGCCTACACAGGTACATATGAAATGGTTAATGTTGGTAATACAGCAAAGGGGGTTGCGAACTGAATAAATCGGTAGGCACATACCTGTATGTGGTAACCGTTGGTCGTCATCTGGTTGAAGAAATGGTTGCCTCTCGACTGTGACATTTACACTTGGAATGGAGCTTACAATTGGCGGGTGACGGCTTCTGTCGATCGGCTTCTCTATATCTGAGGTTTTTGTTTGAACTAGCATTGTTATTATTCCTACTAAGGTATTTGTAGGTAATTGTGATAAATCTATTGGTTGCAAGTATATTTATTTGGCTTTGAGTGTGTTTGGGTTCAATGTTTCAATGTTATCTTTAAGGGAAAAGTCTAACTACATACCTAGTACCTAGGGTACCTGTGTTCACTGTTCATCATATCATATGTCGTACAGACTTATACGTGTGCATGACGTCATTGAAGACCAAGGCAGGAGCAATTCTACCATCACCACTTTCCAATTGGAGCGGGTCCCTACTGCCGATGTAGATCATGTCTAAATGGCAATGACGGCCTCATAGAGGCTCATTACATACTGCGTAGTACATAGCATCGGCTACGTGCAACCTGTACCTGCTAGCCTACATGTATTGTCATGTAAGACTTTAGACTTTTTTTTGTACCTAGGTCATGTTTCGAACGGGCTGATAGGGAAATTTATCCGAAACAGAAACAATAATTACCATGTACCTGGGTAGTCCATGTAACTGCATGTTGCCGCTTACATGTAATCCAAGTACATGTGTACATATATGTATGTAGGGTTCGATTCAATGTTTCACTGGCTCAAACGTAGAGATTGCGTTACATTGATACTTGTTGGGCACGTAAAGAAGAGCGAGGAGGATTCGAAGGTACATATAACTTATATAAATGCGACGATTCGACAGATCTGAAGGACGTTGATTTGACGTGATCGAAATATTTCCCGGTTACCTTTACCGCACCCGAGATCTGAGCCGCCGCTCGCTTATAGATACTAACGACCTTCCGAATATGTTCTGTAATCCGTGCCAATGAACTTTCTAGTTCGTATCTTTAAGGGACTGGATAACGATAACTGTGTTATGATAGTTAGTACTTTCACCCTCTCGTGATTTATTGGTCTATAATTTGAATTACACCAATTTGTTATTAGTTAGGAATAGACAACTCGAGGAACACTGAAGTCTTCGGTGCCTAACTACTGGGCAAGCAACCTTGAAGGTAATGAGATGCGATGAACTGGCGGGGGATGACCGCCCCTCCTATGATGTCTGTGGCATCAAAGTAAGGGATTGAGTTTTTAGACTATTTTCTATTAAATCCATATTGATTTTCGTCTCAGCCGAGTTGCGATGGCACAGCTGTTTCAATAAGGCGGAGGAAAAGTCGAGCTAATGAATCAAATTGATAAGAAGGGATACACATGTTTATGGTGCCAACAACACCCTCACTGGTCCTTCAGAGTTGCGGGAAGACTCGAGTCTGTGTGCTACCAAAAAACAAAGGTCCCTAGTAGGTACTAGGTAGCTGACATCTTTTCCAATCAGCACAGGCTACCGCCAGCCTAACCTGGAAGTATCCAGGGTCCTTGTGCTAGGCAGCGGGAATGGTTCGGATGAATCCGAGTTACACTATCCTTGTCTGACTTCTAACAACGGGCCTTTATCTCTACCTAGGTACAGTAAACCTTGGCCATAACGATATGGAAAAAACACCACTCTTAATTCGTTATAGAGAGGTATCGTTATGTAGAGATGGACCCACTGTCATGGTCCGTGTACTTCCGTTGTACCTTTACTGCCATTTTATTGGAAAAGGTACTTACTATTTTATGAAAAATATTGTACAATAGATATTATGCAGTAAGCCAATTTTTCGGCGATTAGATATCGTGGCGGTGATTAGATTTACCTGAAAAAAGGACAGTCCAATTGGCTACCAAACGCAAAATTCCACTTATTCCACCAAAAATTTATCAAAATAAACGGTTTTTTACACATGGTCCATAACGATCTTGGTGGTGGCGGTCAAAAAATTAACGATATATCGCTAAGGTTAAAATATCGTTATTTCCCATACAAAATTGCAATGTTCCCAAAATTATATCGTTATACAAAAATATCGTTGTCTACCGAATCGTTATGGCCAAGGTTTACTGTAGTTATTTGATACAAGACGTTGAAGTTTCTTAACTTCACTGGACTTCCGGATAGTACGGTTCTCCTTATTGAGTGGATATACCATCACTGTGTTCAAGCCAGCTTCCCTTGTTTAAATAGGTATCCAGTATTGGGTAAGTAGTAATTCGTTATTACTAGCATCAACAATAATTAGCCAGACACCTAGACATGGTACAGATTTAAATACAGCAACTTATTATTAGTGTTTTAGTGCTAGTGGAGAGCACCAGACGGCTTTACCGAGATGTTGACTACCTGGGTAAATAGGATCACCATTGACAGACATATGAAATACGAACTGGTGGGAGGGTTGTATGAATTAGATGATTTTATGCCACGAGCACACCACATAGTACACTAATACTACTATGTATCTTTCTCCTTACTGCAACATTTTACTTTTTGACGGTTCCATATAAACAGTAGATAATCAAATCTCGTGCAGAAAATTCAATCTGATAGGATTGTACGTACTACGTAGTACGTACTATGTAGTTACCTGGGACCTGGTTAATGACACAACATGGAGCAAGGGGGTTCCCCTGCCAAGACTACCGACATGGGTTATCCGTCCCTTGTTAAGCCCTGTCAAGCCATTCCCCTGAATTTTATGGAGTCGTGGAACCATGACCTTTCCCTTTTGGGTCTGACATCTCCTGCGCTTTGGCTGACAATTTTCATCATTTCCATCATTTCCATCGTTTTTATCGTTTCCATCATTTCGAAGAGTGATCGATCAAGATAACATCTCTCTTGTCACCTATTCACACTGCTTCCCGTGCATAATGTCTAATATCCATCATATCCATCATATCCATCATATCCATCATCCTATCGCCGTGATAATTTCAATGCAGGTCTACACTATTTTTACTTCTCACGACAGCTTCTATTTCGGTCCAGCTATAGCTATATCACCTCCTCAGTAATAAAAAAAAGTCACAAGGTCCCATCAGGAAAGGAGAGCCCTGAGCCTTGGCGGCTTTGAATACTACCTATTTCACATCATCCACCCTGGTGGTGGTACTCAAAAAAATCACACAACTATCACGGACTCCTCTTTTCTCCCACGCCTGGTAAGCTTTTAGGAAACTTGAGAAACCCGGGTCCCGAGACTCTTCTACAAATAGAATTTAGTTTGTTCTTCGAGGGCCAAGGGTTTATTGAGACTCGAAGGAACACATGGCATCCTATCGTCTAACCTCGACAGCTGTATGAGGTTCTGCTTGGGTTCTCTATTGTGATCGACATGGATTGCTAGCATCCTCGTTTCAACCCCGCTGTTCAACACGTTCTTCTCGCCATCCTGGTTCCGAATCTGCGGTCCGAGCAATACCCTTCCTAAAGTCTACGGAGAGCTGAATTTATTTTTTTGCTTAATCATTCTATTCAGCTGCTCCTGTTGCTTCGACAGCTAGCTTCGACTTAGAGTACGGTAGACCTGGGAGGTGGAAAATAATGCATGTTTAGTTCTTTAGGAGGAAAAAATGGTGTCCTTTTTTGGGTTTAAGATTGGTGGTGAGAAGAAGAAGTGAGTTCATCAACAGATACTACAGAGATGTTTGATTAACAGGAGACAGGAAGTGCATGACCGAAGCAGAGCCGGCATCAGCTCAAGCGCGGAGGAAACATGAACACGATGTTCCAGGGGAGAGAGATATCGTTAACAGAGACGGCGGAAGAAATGCGCCGAGTGGTGGAAATGTTTACTCTGTTTCCCAGCCGGACGCACCACATATGTACAAGATCACGGCCACGCGAACGAACACAGCACAATCTATAGCCATTTCCGAAAACCCCCCCCAACCAAGCCAACCAAGTCACCCGGGTTTGAAGCATGCTGCTTCAACCCCGAACATAGGAAATAACTGGTACAGCTCCTCGGCACCAGAAGAAATACCACCGATACCGACACGAAACCCATCTCGACCGGCTACTCCCGTTAAGCAGCCAACAACCTGGATGAATCCCCTCGAAATGCACGCCGTCAAAGGCCCGCCCCCGTCTCTACTATCATCGTCAAAATCGCCGTTGGCTCAGTTTGAGTTAAGACAGGGCCTCTTCAGCGAACCAGCTTCTATGTTTGGAGACGACGACGATGAAGAACATTCTTCGCAACCTCACCAGATGAATAGACCTAGTCCCATTGGAGAAGGTTATGAATCTCCGCAAAATAGCGAAAGATCGGCAAATAAGCCGATATCTCCTCCACGGTCTATCGGGGCTTATGAGGAGGCCGACTATCCGGCTTTGGGACGACCAACTTTGCCCTGGGACGAAAATTACCGCCCGTCAAGTAGAGGCAGTCAAAGGAACGTACCGACCACACTTAAGGAAGTTCAAAACTGGGACATGTCATATTATTGCCCCCCTTCGCCGGTATCAAACCCTCGTGGTAGCGAGGAAAAATCCGGGAGTATTCTGATGGATTTGTTAGGTGAGCCCATCCAAACGGTTGGGGCTAGGCGTGACACTATGGCCTCCATGGCCTCCATAGCGCCTCGCAGACGTAGCGTGGCAATGCAGGTAGAGGGGTTGGGAGTAGGAATGGGGATAGGGATAGGGAGATCGTACACAGACGATCCGGTTCAGAGGGCAAGGGCGTCAAATGCAACTGCAAATGTGAATGCAGATGCGGATGCACTACAGGCGCGTGTGCGACCTCCGCCGTTACATATTGATACCCGTCCGAGGACACCGGACCGTGCTGGCACATATCCGCCCGCCCCTTTTATAACGAACCAGCAAACCCAGTCACCATTAGGTCAGAGTCCGCAAAGTCCGTACCGGGCACCTCGAAATCGAAACGGGCCACCACCCGCCGCAGTCGGTGCGCGCGGCAGACCAGGTAGACCGAATACCAAGGGCATCCACCGACCCACCTTCAACGAGTACGAAATCCAGCTGCAGTTGCATTCGCGGTCACAGCCGCATTCCCGTCACCCATCCCAGTCCGGCTCCGACGGCGAGCGCCCACCATCCCCAGACAGTCCTCTAATACCACTGACTGGCCCCCTCGCCAGCCCACGCTTCCCACCCGTCGAATCACAACTCGCGCCACCACCCCTTAAAGGCCCTGCTGCCGCTTCTAGGTACCGAACACGCGACCCGTCGCCATTAGGCGGATCTCCGGTCGAGAGGGACGAGCCCGAGTCTCCCATCCTCGCCGTACCACGACTAGGCACCCGTAACGTTCCCACCCCTGACTCCTCGGACTGGCCTCTACCGTCACCGGACGGGTCCGCTTTGGAGCATCCGTTCCGGACTGATTCACCATTCTTACGCAATGAATCACCGCTATCAGCTCTACAAATGCAGACGCCGCCGCGTGTGCTGCCAGGTTTGAACTCGCGCTCCGATTCCCCGTTCGGCATTCGCTCATTCAACTTCAGCCGACCTATGACGCCTACCTCATCCTCGCAGCATTCGCAGTCACCATGGCAGGAACATCCACAACCGCATCCATTGCGCGATGTAATGGTACCAAAACGCTCCGAGACTACGCCCATATCCCCTCAGTACCGTGACCCGGATTTGTCACCGTCACCCGGACAGCTGCCGCCTCCGCGCGCCAACACGGTGAATAGCAGAGGACTGAGGAGCCCAGCGATTGTAGGGGATGATTTTGGGGGTGGGTTTATTTAAAAGCCTTGCCCGCGTACGTCCTACGTTCTCCTATTACTACTGTACTATCTTTGTATAACGAACTGAACTGGCTAGCTGGCATTATATACCCGAGCGTCTGGGGTCGCTTCTTACGATAACTGGACTGGCTGCTGGACTCTTTTTTGGCCTCACACATGTTATTTCCATCTGGGTTTTTGATTTTTCCCTTTGTCACGATTTGCATCCGCATCCGCATCCGCATCGCATTTCATAGCAAGCGTATCTTTTCCGGCATAGCATGGCAATATCTTTTTTTTCCATATCCTATTCTGTTTTCTTTCCTCTTTTGTTTTGTATTGTTTTGTACGTATGTGTGTGTTATTTGCAATCAAAAGCCGAGATACCCCCTTTCTTCCCTGTACTGCACTCTTTTGTTGCTGCTCATTCTCTGTAACCTCATTTACGATATCTAGCACTTATACCATATATTTACACCATTAGCATTACCATATACCTATATCCATGTTTTTTGATTCTTTTTAGTTTGCATATACCACAAAAAAGATACAAGAAAAAAAAGAGACCTAGGCGTTTGAAAATTTGGGGGATGGGACAAAAAGGAGTGGAAATTTTAGATAAAAGGGGCTAGACCGTACTGTACGTACTGTACATACTGTACCCAGGGCTTAGATATGGAAAGGGATGGAGGTGTTGGGAGGAGGAGGAGGAGGAGGAGGAGGAGATGGAGGTAGCGCTGGTGAAAATTAGAGAAAAGCAAGCGTTTTGTATATTGGTTTTTTTTATAGTTTATATATACTTACCTATATATATATATCATCGTCGTCGTTGTCGTTGTTACATTGTTGCTTTTTATGTCATGGCAGCGTTGCATTGTGTGTGCCTAGGGAGGTAGGGAGATACTCGGTACATTCGCCTTCATAGGCATAGGAGAGAGGACATGGGAAAGGAGAAAAGGGGGTATGTGTGTGTATAGCGTAGGAGAGCATAGCATACCTAGTCTCTAAACTATTCACATGTCTGGATATATGCCTAGGTTGGGTATCTACGGCTTCATATATGCAGTCCCAAGTCAACAGAGCAGGTAGTCAGGAGTTCATGCATCATTAGGTACCTATTCATCATCTCTCTTTCCACGTTAAACCTATCTATCCATCTGGTATCTAGGGAGGTAGGCAACATTACATGACATTTCCTCGGAAAACAGTATACACTAACTACCTAGGTACCTAGGGTAGAGTGTATATCTATTATCTACCTGCCTAACCTTACATGTATCTACATGTGTATGCATGATGTAGGTTAGTAGGCATCTGTAGATAGATATACACGACCTACCTTAGTATGCAGGCATATACCGAGCACCCAAGTATCTAGGTACTCAGCATGCATGCATGGATGCAATCAGCTCATCAGCGTCCTGCCCAAAACCAATTAATCAAGCAAGCCAGGAAGCAACTAGGCATGCTACACAGCACAAATCCAGAACAGTCCAAGGATGATGTGATGTGATGTCCTGTCCAGCCCATTCATTACAACGCCATGCATGCTCCCTATCCCATCCCAAGCATTAACACAATCACAATCCCAATCCCAATCCCAATCCCAACTACAACCCCTTACCCTTACCCTTACCCTCCTCCTCCTCTTCCACCGCAGGCTTCAGCGGCTCATAACTCAACGTCGGCTTTTCTTCCAGCCCTTCCTGCTGCCCCCCCAGCCCCCTACCCTCCCCCCCCTTTCCACCTTCCACCAACCCCCCTTCACCTTTCTCGCCGTCACCAGTGCTCTTTCGCGCATCAGCTGCTTGAGGATCTTTCTTATTATCATCGCAGCTCTGAGATTCTTCTTGTTTTCTTTCTTCTTTTTCTGCATCTTTTGGTTCGTGTCTTGCAAGGCTTCTTTCTGTTTCTTCTGCCGTAGTTGCATTTGCTTCTGTTTTATCTGCTGCTGCTGTTGTTGTTGCTGTTGCACTTGCTGTACTTGCGGTATTTGCTGCGATTCTTGACGTAGCCACGTCAGTTGCCGCGAAAGCTGCTGCTGATGCTCTTCTTCTTGCAGCAGCATCAGCACCCCCCGCCTGTTCCTGCATCGGCGCGTTAGCATCGGGCTCGTAGTAGGCCTCAGCGGTGGCGGTGGTGGTGGGCTCGAACATGTCCAACTTAGTCACCACGTCATCGGTCAGATCGTTCAGCTCCTTCTCCTTCTCCTTCTCCTTATCCTTACCCTCTTCTTCTTTCTGTTCTTGTTCTTGCTCTTGTTCTTGTTCTTGTTCTTGTTCTTGTTCCCGCGATTCATGAGTCAGCTGTCGGTTCGCCTCCTTCTCTCCCACAATCTTGCGCCACGTGGCCTCTAGCTCGTCCCGCCAGCCGAGCGCGTCAGCTAGTTGTCGAACCCCGGAGTCGCAATCTCCGAGACACAGGACATCGTCCGCGCGCGTTCCCAAGTCGCCGACGCGCTGAAGGTTAAACAGAACGCGGGGGACGCCGTCCTGGGCGCGGCTCGGCAAGGTCGCAAAAGGCTGCACCTGCAAGCTGGTGCCCATGATGAGCATGAGATCCGCGTCGCCGGGGACCGATAGGTTCGCGTAGAACTTCTCAGGCAGCTGTTCGCCGAAGAAGACGATGTCGGGCTTGACGAGGCCGTTGCAGTCCTCCTTGACGCAGTGCGGGGGCTCGCCGCGCTTGACGTGCTCGCGCATGCGGTCGTCGGGGAACTCGGTGCGGCAGTCGATGCAGCGCTGCGTGGCGAAGCTGCCGTGGGCCTCGACGATGCGGTCGCCGGGGACGCCGGCGGCGCGCTCGAGGCAGTCGATGTTCTGCGTGAAGAGCATGCGGAGGAGACCCTTCTTGGCCAGCAAGGCGATGAACACGTGGGAGACGGTGGGGTGGAAATTGCCCGGGTATAATTCTTTGGCTAGGAGATAGAAGGGCTCTGGATTGTTACGGAAGAAATCGATCTCGAAAACGGCCTCGGGGTGCGGTAGTTTGAGACGCGCGAGATTGTGATAGAGACCTGTATTGGGGGAGCGGAAATCGGGGACTGCATTTACTGGTCAGCTACGTTGCTCGAATATGCCATTTATCTGCCATATAATGCGAAAATAACATACTTCCAGCGGCGGTGGATATACCAGCACCGGTCATGACGACAACGTTTAACGAATCGCCATCGTTGATAAATTCGGCAACAGCCTCGAGGCTGCGGTCCGATAAAGTCTCGGTGGGTGTGTCCGGGTTGATAGGTTGCGATGCTTCTTGACCCATCTTCCACGGCGTACGCGAGCGTGAACTCGGCCCTTTTTGGTGACGAGGCTTCTTTTTGCGACCTATCCTGTTGGATTTTTTAATACTACGTACTGTATAATAGGAACAGCTTGTAAGGTAACCAGTTAGAATGATGGGAAAGTGCTGTAGCTTAAAAGGGGTTCGTAGAAGCTGTGTGAAAATGGTATGGAATGTGTTCATTTGCCATGAAAAAAAAAATCACATATAACTAGTTAGGTATGTAGTATGTAGATAGTTAGGTAGTAGATACCTCAGGTGCTAAATATGTATTTACCAGGTGTACTATGGATGCCTGCATACCTACCTTACATCATCTTACGCTGTATTAGGTAATAGGACATACTTAATATCTGATAAGATCGTCGCTCATGCGGCTCAGGGGCATTGTACAGCACTACTGAGATATATATAATACACGGCGTAAAGTATGTGGTACTTATTTGTAGATGCTTTTCAATTCGCCACTGTTCTATACAATCCTATCAAGCACAATTGCTTGATATCTGCTATGCTACCAGACTCCTAGTGCTCGCAAAACTTGCATTCCAATCCTTAAGTAATTATCTCAAAGGACTTTTTAATCAATGTACAATATGGCCGCACTAATGAAGGGAATACTGATTCGGGTCGCCCGTCACTCTCCTGAGCTCGGTATTGGACATGTTGGTTTTAGTCCTTGCCCTGTCCTGCCATCGGTTACAATTTCCATGTATATCTCAAATGCTAAGCCAAGCCCAAGCCCAAGCCCGTTTCCCTATGAAATTTTATAATCCGGTCCCTTTTTTTGGTCTTTTTTAAAATGTTTTCGTTTCGGACATCGCACATCGCACTGGGTATATTACATTCGTAAAGGGATCATCGACACCTTTAACCACTCAACTGAGCCCACTCCACAGTCTCTAGGGCTATCATAACAAGCACCAGCGTGGAAGGGAGGATCCTATTTATAATGTTAGATATTTCATTAATCAATTTTTGTTGATAAGGGTGGAAGCAAACTTACCAGATAACGTAGCTCTGGAATAATATTTTCGACATAACTCCCTCATAGACCTCATTTATTTGGCAAATCTGTGCCAATTGTAAAGCGCTGGGGGCACCTGTGAGGAGGAAGCAGACGATGACAAAGATCGGGTCATCGAGTATGCTAACCGGCACATACTTGGCAAAGAGCGCTAGGACAGGCGCCATGATAAGGGTAGGTAGAAGCATGCGGCTGATGAGCGAGGCCACGAGTAGCTTCTTCCCTATCTGTTCTTCCTCGGGATCCCTAACCTCTTGGGTTTGCGTGTTTCGAGCCAGATTGGCACCCAATACTACCAAGATAAGTGGTACAGCGACACCGCCAGTCTGCGTTACCGCCCTCGTTACACTGTTATTGACAAACGTTCCTTCCGAGAAGAAAACCCTCTGCAGATCGGGCACCGAAGCAACGACAATAGCGATGAGCATAGCCCATAGTGGCGGATTCATGAACTCCCAAAGGAAGCCGTACACTCGAAGCCATACTTTCCACGTCGTAGCCAAAACCTTCTGAACTGGGTTTGGTAGGCGCTGGTACACACGTCCAGAGCACAACGCAATGCGTTGCTTGGTAGATGTCATGGCTTTGTTGATACGAAGGCTCGCACGAACGAAACAACCCTGGAGCCCAGTGGGAACATCTGACTCGTTATCGCCTACCCGGGGAAATGACACCATGTCGCCGTTTATACCATTGCCGTATTTCTTTGGCGCTGATCGTCTCCTAGGTGTGCTAGCCTCATCATCTGAGTCAACGGGTGTTGTGAGTGACGTTCCGGCTACAGGGGTTCGACCAGCTGGCTCGTATGCGTCGGAATCATCCGAGGCATCTGAATGGCCATCCCCAAGAGTATGCTCATCCAGGCCTGGTATCAATGCTTCGGGCACATCATCGACATCATCGCGGTATCTGCCTTCCTCGACCGTCTCATCTTGATATTCTTCATATCGACTCTTAGGGGCCAACAAAACATGGTATCCCCAACTCCATCTGACCAACTGTCCGAGTTGTTGGAAAATCAAGAGATATAATATACCCCTTGCTGCCACCTCATCGTCGTTGTCGCCTGGTATTCTGTCCCAGTGGAGTCCCTTCAAGGTTTGCGACAAGGAGATAACCAGAGAAATCGGTAAAGAGTTGGAGTTGCCAAACACGCCCATAGCCGTCACAAAATTGGCGGGACGCTTCGCGAATCGGAATGCCTTGGACACGCCAACGGATACCACATATGAAACTAGAGTCTGGATGATAAAAATAACAGGTATGACTGCAAGATCGACTAGTTTGTCGGCGTTGAGTTGCGATGCTAGCTTTGTGAAGACTGCGAACTTGTTAGCGCGCGATGGGGGGTGATAACAGAAGTGGCATGAACGTACTTAGGCATGGTGTGAATAGCATGACATTCAAATTCGCGAGAAACTTCTGCTTTTCGGCATCGAAGTGTCCCAATCTTGCAATGACATAACCGGGCAAGCTGACACACACAACCTCCAAGACAGCCTCAAATACTAGCAATACTAGATGATCGATGGAGGGATGAGCGTCGTGGTTATTTTCGGCCATCACCATGGGGAGTGGGTCGAGTGTCCAGTTGGTGATCGCATTGTTGACTCGAAAGGGAGTCGGCTTCGTAAGTGTCCAATCCATCCTGTAAGTGTGAGGTTGAGCGATTACGGATGAGGTTGAAGAAGGTAGAGTGAGGTGGGATATATTAATGCCGTCGTGGTACGTTTTGGGCACTGTTAGTCTTTTCCCTTGGCGCAAGCTAGCGTATTCGTACGAACAAAGGAACGGGATTCCCGGGACTAAGCTTTGCCCCGTGGATCGATATGGACTACGGGCGAAGAAGAACAAGTTCTTCAAGGTTCCAAGTTTCAGGTGCCAAGCCGTGTATAATACTTGATTCCTCTTATCGAATATTGATTTCGTCAAGAAATCCCAGCACTATCCAGACCTGCTGCAGAGCTGTCAAGGTAAGACCTAAGAAGAATATATGATTTCCAGTGATAATAAGATAAATGAATTAAGAAAAGGAGGATATTGTAATCCTAGAGGAAAGGAAGGAAGGGGAATGGGGTAATGGTGTAAAGGGAAAGGGAAGGAGAGGAGGAAGAGGTAGAGGTAGAGGTAGAAAAAAAGGTAAAATGAAGAAGAGCAAGTTCTTTAAGTGAGGCTATTGTTCCTTTTTTTTCTTATTATATACGAAGTATGTATGATGACTTGGGTCTGAGCACAAGAAGAGAAAATGGATTAGTTCTACCTAGGGTAGTGAGTGAGCAGGGGGGGAAATGGATGGGATTAAAATGATTAAAATGATTCAGAACAAAATCCATGAAAGGATTATTAAATAAAGTACAGGGACGTTGAACTCCGGGATGAGCTGTTTTTGGCTTTTCGCCCTGGAGATCTCGAACTTACAAGCTTTTAGAAAGTAAAGTCGTACCGAATGAAACATCCATGGATCGGATCGCGTATTTTGTAGTGGCTAGTGTCATTTTTAGTGAGCATCTGGACTTCTTCGGGGGCTGGCTTAAAGCCGCCAAGCATGGCCTGGTTACAGCAGTGCGGCAGACCTGCAGGTCCCCTATGAAACAATTTGGCTTGAACCTTTGGTGTTAATTGATTGGTCCATTTGGTATCATCTAGTGCACTAAAAGTACTAAAACAGAATTGTCTGGTTACCGTCGTCGTAGTGTGGGGCGTGGATCAACCACTTCTAGGGCCTATTGGGGAAGTATCATTGATGGATGCACCGGAAATGGTACATGCACATACATTAACATACATGTGTACCCATAGTATCTCGCATCGGAGACCTCAATTATGTGTGTACACCATGTACCACCTTACCACCTACCTTAGGTTATGTACATAATATAGCGTTTGAACCGAAGAATCAGTGCCACGCTATGACGCTTCTGTCTCGGGTACTTACAGTGAAAGTGTAACGGGTAGAATTTAAGATACACGTGCATGGTTGTATGGTGTATGTTCAATGTTGATTTATCAATATGTAGCCCGTGCCGTGCCGTCCTTCATGATGCCTACATATATATGTATGATGTCTGGTCTTCAATATTCCTATATACCACTATGCCTACAAATCTATTTCCAACTACATATACTTCCCTATACTTGCTATTTCATTGCATGTAGCATATCGTCACTATCGTCACTATCGTCAGTATAGATGCAAATGACCTCTTTAGGCGCTAAAGTTGTGCATGTGGCTAGCTGGAGGCATTGAATGTTGCAACTTCAAGGAACCATGATGTTGTCGGCTATGGTACCTGTGCTTACTCAGTGCATTTCGCGCTCGGTATAATACTCACATCTACGGATGCAGCCAAGGGCTCGCCTACTGACCTTGGCAATACTTAGTATCATGAGATTTTGAGCGAGCAGGATCCGGAGCTACATACATAAATACAACCGTATCCTATTCAACAATCTTCCTCATAGGCTCTTCACCCACGCATCCTTGACTCACAGACATGACTTACAGGCATCCCCAGCGCTATGTAACCTAGCACGCGAACTCTCCTCTATACCTGCCCAGCGCGGAACAGAATTCAGTTCACGATACTGAGGAGTTCAAACCTCTCTTTAACGGACATCGCGATCAGTCAGCCGATGATCAACATACACATATGTGCCAAGTATTGTTTTTGCTCATTTTGTTCGCAGCGATGTATGTATTGTAACTCGAACGATGCAGCCGAAAGTGTGCTGTCCTACGGGCTGTGAAGTCGCCAAGCTGGAAGAGCGGTATAAAAATCCTTAGCCAAGAGGCAACAACACCCATATACCTGTTAACATCCGGGTAGAAACTTTTGGGTATCTACATAGCCTCAATGTTGGGTGTTGGCAGAGAAAGTGATGACGACCATGTGGCGATATGTGGCGATATGTGGCGATGATGCTATCTTATCTTATCAGCTTCTAATAAGTATGTAGGTACGTACCTACATAAATCGCAAATTCATACGTAATACTTGTGGCTTGGTAAAGCGGCTAATAATTTATGTTTGTAGTTACTACTTACCCACTTATACTACTATGTACTATGTTTTACCAGTAACCGTTATCGTGAAAACTTCAAGGTTCTTACAATGTCATGAAGCTTCCATACCAGACAGCTCAGAGTCAGAGAGCATGACCGAATTGTCTTCAAATTCGATGCGGAATATATAGTGCATTGCTACTTTGATAGCATCATTTGCGGGGTGGCTTACCAAGCTTTCTTATGCAAAAGGAAAGATCGTCGAGTGCTGCCAATGCTGGCATTGGGCTGTTCGTGATGTGATGTATTGCAACTTACCCAAACATCCGATTTATTTCTATTCCCCAGCTACACCCCTACTATGTAAGTTGGCTCGTGATAATTGTTGATGTCTCCCCCACTTACTACCTAGGGTAGATGGGTTTTTGTTCGTTAGGTAGGATTGATCATGCCGTTCCTGATTTCTCCAACCATCCCTCGAGCTTTTGTGTTTTTCTTCGACAGCCAACCTGCCAGCCTGCCAGCCTGCCAGCCTACCTTGAATCTGCGAGTCAACCGGTTTACCTAGGGTGCCCCATAATAATGACGCAAATGACTCTTCATGTTTTTTTCTCAGTCCTACTCTAACTGGCTATGTAGGCGCAATACGATAGTTGTATGTAATGAGGAATTTTGAACTAGAAGAAGAGAGATTGTCTTAGAAAAGAGAATCCATTTCTGAAGATCCGCGGCTAGAGTTACCTATATGTGCTATCATTGTTAAAGGTTTCGTATCATTAAAAGTTATCAGAATCGTTTGATTTGATTCAATGTTACCTAGTAGAAACTAAAAGTCTACTATGCACATAGGGTATCTAGGGTAGTTATCTACAAGCTTAGATCACGTGAAATAAATAGTTACTTGAGTATGTATTCTTAGAGTTTTCACAGGCCTCCCAAGACATTTTCAGCAACATTGAACTTCAAAACTTCAACAGAGAGAAAGTAGAAACGCGGGGCATTTTTGTCGCTCCCCCCATCATCAGGTTCCACATTCAAAAGCCATCCACTAAAAAAACATTAATCATTGTATCAGACTAGTTATCAGTCTATCTGCCACTGCAAGTTTACGGACCACCACCATTGAAATATTTCCCCATCATTAATTCATCTATCTCCAACAATCACCACTTTTTTTTTTTTTTTTTTTTTTTTTCTAAAAGAAGAAAAAAATATTATAACAGTTACTAGACTGAAACTCCAAAACTTGAAGATTGGAAGGTCCAAGGAAGAACAGACACGTCTGAGAGGTTCCACAACTCTATGCTTTGTCAACTTGGTCTTGGTCTTTAACAAAATTCCCCCATTCACCAATTCAACCTGGTTTCCTCCCACCAAAACACCATCACCTTACCTACCTACCTACAACTTCTAGGAACCAAACAGTTAAAGCAGCCATTACATTACGTACTACAAAAAAGTCGGAAAACTGATGAATATCACAATTGGGCAGCTCAAGCTAGTGTCTCGGATTTGACAAGGTTTGTGCAGCCCTACATGTTGCTTACTTACCCTCTCTACCCAGCCAGCCAGCCAGTCTACCTTGGCGACATCTAAGGGATTTTCAAGTTACTTTCCACGGCTACCATATTCCATTAGTTGTCCACGACATGCTAAAGCCTACCTACATATCCTAATATCACATGTTCCTGCCTACCTTTACCTACATAGGTACCTACAACTTACAGATATACATCATACACACATATACACATATATCAATACCTTCACATCATACTTACCCTCCCTTCTTCGTACTTGTCTACTTCAATAAAATAGCCTAAGCTCTGCCTTCGTTTCGAACCATGACCGCTAATAAAAATAAAAGTACATAGTAATAATCCTACCTATTGTAGACGACTCAAGATTCTTGCCGTCGACGAATCGGCCATTGCGCCCTGAGCCAATTTCTTCATGTACAGATTGAACTTCCTTCCTTCTACCTGATACTCGATTACTAGAGAACTCAATCAATAGTCTCGCCTAGTCATCAAGGCACTCTATCATTAGGCTTTAGTGTTTGTCGGTGCTGCTATCCCCCCCGCCTTCCATCATCCGCCCGCTCGTCTTACTAGATCAGATCTTCCAACACCACCACCTCTATCACTACTACCGCTACAATCACTTCTACTCTACCAATATCAACCCAATTCTCCATCGTTCTATACTAGTTGGTGATGATACGAAAGCCGCGTCATTAGACTGTCCATTTTCCCCTTATTTGGCGCCGAAACCTTCACTATGGCCGGCGTACATGACGATCCGGACTCAATGCCCGCGACGCCGGATGAGATGATAGACAAGGAGATTCTAGGCAGCCCTGGATCTCCTGGTTCTGTCGACTCTTCAGAAGCTGGCACGCCGCTCGAGACACCCGAGGAGCTCTCAGACGAGCCACCTAAGAGAATGCCGTCATTACGATCCATATCCGACCCCCAAAACACAGGTCATCAAATGTCCGCGTCGTCGACGCATGTGGGTGTATTATCTAATGCAAGGCGCCCTCCTGCTGCTGCGCATATGTCCAGTGGCCGTCTACCGGATGACATTAATGCAAAGATGCGAGCTTTTCACCTCTCTCGCCAAGGCGGTCCTCCTATGAGCTCTCCTCAACCTACCCCGCCTTCGGGGCCTTCTCCGGGTGGCCCGGTCATTGGTGGTCTACCTAGACATATGCCAATTCCCGGAGCTGTTCGTCCTGGTGCTCCCTCATTTCCCAAATCAGCCCCTAACGTACCCTCCATGCCGCAGGGAGGAGGACTGGCCGGGAAGAGGCGGTTCGGGTTGAAACTTGGGGATATGGGGGGAGGGACTTCACCGGCGTCTTCTGCTTCTTCCGGCTCTGGCATAAATCCTCAGCAGCAGCTGAACCAAAATGGAAGAGGTCATATGTCACAGATGAAGCAATTCGAAGAGTACATCGATTCCGAAAAGGGGTACCTCACCTTCAAGGGGAAGGCGATCATCACCAACAAAGGAGTTGACTTCTCGGACGGGTCGGTCTTCAGAATATCACTCGACGAAATTGAAAAGTTAGATGAGCTAGGGAAAGGAAATTACGGCATCGTATATAAAGTAAAGCATATGAAACCAAGAGTCCCACGCTTTGGTCCGGGCCTTTCTGGCCTCAAATCTACGTCTTTGCAGGGATTACCAACAGGTGCACAGGATCAAGAAGACAGTGATACCAGCACAAAGTCTAGTTCCGGGATGGTCATGGCTATGAAAGAGATACGTCTTGAGCTAGACGAAGCGAAATTGACGACGATATTGAAAGAATTGGTCATCCTACACGAATGTGCGTCCCCATACATCATCGAATTCTACGGGGCCTTTTTTCAAGAAAGTGCCGTGTACATGTGTCTCGAATATATGGACGGCGGTTCCATTGACAAGCTATACTCTGGGGGCATTCCGGAAAATGTGCTTCGCAAGATTACATATTGCACCGTAATGGGTCTTAAGGAATTGAAGGACAAGCACAACATAATTCACCGTGACGTCAAACCTACGAATATTCTCATCAATACGAAAGGACAGGTCAAGATCTGCGATTTCGGTGTGAGCGGCAATCTTGTGGCCAGCATCGCCAAGACCAACATTGGATGCCAAAGTTATATGGCACCTGAGCGAATTTCTGGTGGTTCATTTATGCATGCCGGCGCTGGAGACGGAACTTACAGCGTACAAAGTGATATATGGAGTTTGGGTCTAACGATCATCGAGTGCGGCATGGGGAAATATCCATACCCCCCTGAAGTATCGTCGACTATTTTCAGTCAGCTAAGCGTAAGAATAAGCTCAACGCCCCCTTTTGAATTATCAGTTCAACTAACATATATGTGTGTTAGGCCATCGTCGAAGGAGACCCGCCGGATCTACCGGATCGATATTCCGAAGCAGCATGCGAATTCGTCCACGGTTGTCTCAACAAAATCCCCAAACTGAGACCAACGTATCAGGCACTATTATCTTCTGTGTGGCTTGAGGATCTGGCGAAACCGGAGACGATTGCCGAAGAAGAGGAAGAAGTAGAGGAGAATGATGCGAGCGCCGAAGCAGTGGCCGGTGCAGCTGGGAAGTTTGACTTCAGCCACTCGACCACTGATGATTCTGAGGTGGCTACTTGGGTTCGGGAGGTGCTAGAGAAGAAACAGAGTGGGCAGTACGGCGAGATAGAAGGGCAGCCAGCGCTCCACCACGCCCCATTTGACGCTGTAAGCCCTTTAGCCAGCCCACGAATTGGAGTTTAGCGATGGTATGGAGCAATATTCCCCATTAGACGAGGACGATAATGATAAGGGAGGATATTCCTGTGGCATTGGTGGTGGAGCAGGTTCTCCGCGGTCCTCTCACGAATACTTCGAGAACATAGCATCATTTGGCGTACAGACTTCTTTAACACATAGCAGATCATGGGCGGCATACTATCTCAATTTTTTCCACTCACCATTGTTTCCCTTTCAACTCCACATACTAGGGATTATTAAGGGGTTTGAAAATGGCAATATGGGCGGAAAGAGACGTCCCTGTACACGTATTCGGGATAAGGAAGGATGGCAATATTCGGATAGGGGCAACACATATGAGAATAGGTAGGCCATGTGATATTATACAAATTTTGGCATGAAGGAAGAGCAGTTCTAATCAGCAATGGCAATTTCGAGAGGTTTTTTCTTTTTCCTTTTCCAACAAGCAATTATTGTACATCTCGGTGGCTCTTTTTGTTTTGGCCTTACACTCGGGAGGAATAAAGCTGGACTGCAAATCTTTTTTTTGTCGTCATCCATAATTTCATGCCTGCCATCGAGTGCCTTTCAACAGTCGGCAACAATCAGCAACAGACATGGGCGAATAATCGAAGGTTACCAGGGGAAGTATATTTCGCGCAGAAGCAGAAGACAAGAAAGAGACAAGAGACAAGAGACAATCGGGAATTTGTATTCTATACGGAGTTTTAAGGAAGGAGGGAGGGTAAAGCGCATACATGCCTACCTATATACATAGGAGGAGGGAAACAAGACCTTTTTTTGTCGACCTCGCTGAGTTCAGATTGAAGAGAAATAAGGAGAAGAGAATATTGCCACTACCTAAGTACTTATGGTTATACTTGTTATTGCCTGTTCGAAGAGTGGGATGGATTGTGTGTGGTGAGGTGGGGGAGTATAGTGAAGTGAAGGGAAGGGAAGGGAAGGGAAGGGAAGGGAAGGGGAGGGGAGTAAGGAGTAAACAACGATTTAATTAATTTGCGAGGAAGGTGAGGAGGTAAGGAGGTGTTGGCGAAAAGATTGAGAAAAGTGAGGTAGATAGGTGTCTACGGAGACAAGCAAGAAAGCAAGCAGAATATAAAAATCGTGGTTGTCATCGTCGATGTTGTTGTTGTCGAGACTACGAAGATTTGGAGATTACCTACCTAGACAGGTACGTGCTTAACCTGACATAAGTTCGATCATCTGGGCAGTCAGTCAGTGAAGCTTGAAAGTGTGCTTGATGTGAAGTGAAGTGAGATGAACTGTTGTTTGTCTACCTGGTAAGTACCTACCTAACCTAGGTACCTAAGACATGTCGTTAAGGGTTGGTTGGCTGGTTGGCTGGTTGGGTTGATACCTACCTCACCTAGGCACAGACTAACCTTGGAAGTAGGGAAGTAAATTAAGGATAATGCTAGGAAAGGGGTAAATAGACACCTAGGTACCTAAGGTGCTAAGACTTTAGAAGATATCTACATATTTCGATGTCTCCCAGACACGATATCGAGGAAAATAGGTACCCAACCCATTAACCACCGATATAGTAGGCACGGAGGTCAAGCCTACGCTCTTGACAAGTCCATCCAGCCGAGTTCCAACACAGCCGTGCAGACCACACCAAGAACCAGATAACCGCCAAAACTACCTATACCTACCTACCTACTCACCCACCCACCGTGAACAGGGCAAACACTCGTGGATACGAACTAGGGTGCCAATATCTCCCACGACAGGTCTCAACCACACCACCTTAGACAACGAGTCACCTACCTATAATACGGCTCCAAGGTATACATATATATATATATGTCCAACACTACCTAGGTAGGTACGTAAGTTGCTTACATCCAGATTACAATCAGAAGCAGCTAACTACCAGGTAACGCACACAAGCCTCAACATGTCTTAGCTGGACTTTGACTACCTACCTACCTAACCCTAGGGTACCTACCACCCCCCTCCTATCCAACTTTAATATTACCTCCCCCATCCACAGTAAACGAGCTTAGCAACCAGACAACAACATATTAACCCCCTACCCCTACCCCTTATTCCTCTCTACGCAACTACATCTCCTTCCCACTTACCTACCTACCTACCTACTCACTTACCATACATACATACATACATACATACACACATACATACACACAAATCCCAAACCCAGATATAGGTAGACAGGCAGGCAGGCAGGCAGCTTACCTAGCAACTAGATAGTTAGGTGAAGTCTAACCTAGTTACATACCTACCACCAACCACACCATGATCATTTAGCTCAGGGGCCGCTGATTACGTAGCCCCCCCTTCCCCCTTCCCCCTTCCCCTTTAGCTAGTAGCCCAACTACTACTACTACTACTACAAAAAAAAAAAAAAAGGGGGGGGAGAACAAGTTACCGAGACAAGTCTTAAGATCAATTACTACTAGTTATTGTCAGATAAGTTAGTTAGTTACATCGAAGCAGCATCTTGAGACATTGGCCCTCAAGTGAAACCAACCAACAAACAAACAAAATTATAGGTAGGTACAGTACCTGCATACGTAGGCTCGCACGTGTATCGATAGTTTGTGCTGTCTAATTTCCTTTCTATGTAGGTACCTACGAATTACGTACCTATACCTAGTATACTAGTAAGTTAGGTAGTACCTACATAGGTTACCTGAACTCGAGAGGGAGGGATACACCGCCAAAATATATTCCTCGAATGATTGAAAAATAATTCATCAGTATTAGTTATTTAGTTTTAGTTTGTAGTTATCTAGCATAACGATCGAGGCTTAGCTAACCACACCACCGCAGTGCAGTGACAGCTAGTGAACTAGTTAGAGGTTTGGTATCTCAAGATTATTACATCCCCTACGTCCTCAGTCAAGATCATTTCCATCTTCATCTTCATCCTCTGTTTTCTCTGCAACGAACAAACAGACTTAGTAATCATAGATAAACCCCCTACTTCCCTTTAGAATATCTCATCTTGTCGTCTGTCCGTTTCATTATTATCGTCATTAGTATCCCCCTCATTCATTCCCCTTGTGCCGAGCCAAGTGTTGCGTAGAAAACCAACGGCGTGCGTGATGGTAGTAGTAAGTAATAAGTGATAGGCGGAATTATTAATCAAATTCCCCTATTTCGTGTATTGTTTGAATTTTTTTCTTGATTGTTGAAAGTTATATCGTGAATATCGCATCCTTTCGTTTCGTTTTCTCGCCATGTCTCGTTTCGGGGAATATCAACGTCTCTGGCTTTTGTTCTCGTTCTCGCAGCTACCTCCCAAACCCTCACTCAACCTCGAGTAGTTTAAGCGTAGTCTTCCTTGACCCGTCGGCCATTCATATCATAACTCCGTCGGCTCCTAACGCTCCTCTGGCGCCCCCATCGTCGGCCACCACTGCCACTTCCACTACCATAGGTACCTTCCTTGCTGCCTCGGATTCCAATGCAAAAGAGTATCGTAGCGATCAGCAGCGCGGTCCAGCTACCCCAGCTAAAGCCAAAGGCATACCGGCCTAGACTTGCCTCGCGGCCATTCGCGATGAAAATGTTGCGCATGCGGACGAAGACGGCAGTCATCAAGGAAACGGCGATGGTGTGGAAGAAGAGCGCAACAAGAGCCATGAGTCCGGCGATGGCGGAGCCCAAGCGACCGCAGCACGCGACGAATCCGGAAAAGAAGGCCAGGATAGAGAAGACAAGGGCGATGAGATAGAAGACCCAACCAAAGCGCCACATATAAAAGAAGTATTCGCTGGTGGTGTCACCACCGTGTTCGCCGATAAGTTCCGAAGGCGCATTTTCCGGGTTGCCAGACCAGGCCCAACCCAACGGGGGAGCAGGAGTTGCTTTGCTGCAGTCCTGGTTGTTCTCGCCGCAGATATAAAAGTAGGCCCATTGCGTGACGGAACGGGCGCCAGTAATACCGTCGGTGTTGGCGGAGAGGAAGTAGGTTTCTTGTAAAGGCGAGGTGGTGGTTACGGCGGATAATATGACGAAGAATAGCATAGCCAGCGAGCCGGCAAGGAATAATAGGGAAAGAGGCGCCAGGTAAGTATCTATATGATGGTTAGCGACAGCGCATGCGACGAGGATATCTGGGGGTGCGAAAGACTTACTTGCCCGCGCCATTTTGGGTGTGGATTGCCGGTCAAGCCGGAAGGGTTGCACAAGAGGCGGCGCGCTTTTTATTTAGAAAGAACAATCAAATGCTCGAAGCTGGGACGAGGAAATGTGTTAGATGGTCGAGTCTTAAGGTTTGAAGGAAATGAGTTGAATATGCAAGATCAAGATCTTGACCTTGGCAAGGGCGACATAATAGCCTTTAAAAAAAGGATTTGACTGGGGTTCAAAGACATTGTTCAGAAACACTCACCTTTTTTTGAGAACCCTGGTTTGTTCTGGATCGTCTTAGATTACGATGTCTTAGATACGAATCCGGAAGTCGGTGTGTGCGTATGTGTATGGGTATGAGAGAGGGAGAGATCAAAGCCAAGCAAGTGTATCCAAATGGTATCCAGATGGTATGTATGGTGGATTATCTCTTGATGCTGTTGAGGTTGGCTTTTTTTGGCTTGTGCTCTGCAAGTTCTGGATTAGATAAAAAAGAATATACTGTGTTGATAGCAAACAGGATTATTCTGGTTAAGCAGAGTACTCTAGATTATGGAAGTATATTATCGAAAAGAGAGGGAATCAAGATGCTGATATGACGGAAATACCAAATAGAAAAACCCTTAAGAATGGAAGAAAGAAGAATAAGAGAACAAGCTTAATCGACCCATATGAAGCCACTCAGCTGTTGATGTTGGAAAGGAAAAAAAAGGACAAAAAAAAAAGGTCGCGCCCGTCCCGTCGTCAAAGAGTGGGTACACGGAGCTAGTGCTAATAGGTGGGGCAGCTGGGGCAGCAATGACGACACTGACCTTACTGACGAAGCTACTGGAAGAAGCTCGTTACCTGAAAAGGACTAGTGCTGTGAGCTTAGCCTGAACCAGCTAAGGGAACAAAGTTCTAAACTCAATGCTAATATCCATGGAACTTGAACCTGAATTTAATGAGTCTACCATGGTACGATAGTACATAGTTAACTACAGCATTGATATAATTATCCATTTACCGTCTTTTTACTAACGTTCCCAGTTTTGATGTTCGAATGTTACCTGTCTAGCCCTGCTTCCAGCCTAGTACTATGTAAGTAGTAAGCTATTAACAAGCTAACAAGCTAATAAGCTAACAAGCTAGCAAGTTAAGGTCACGAGTTAATAACTTCAATGTTAACAAGATACGAATAAGAAGAAAAAGAGTATAAATATGAATACGTCACCTACTCAGCCCAAAATTCGCAATTCAACAAAGAAACAATAAAAGCTATGCATCTCCATACCTAGTATGTATCTATCCTGTAAATGCCTAACCTAACCATCGCAAACATCATCAATAGGCTAATCATCACCATGATGTCGAGGCGTCGTCACCTCCTTCTAGAGGCTTAGTTGGACGATTACGATAACGTGGTTGCATCGCCCTGTTTGCTTATGTATACTGTCTCCCGCCATATCCGAACTCTCAGTGCTGTCACTTATTAGTTATCTTACTACTAACTAGTAGTACATAGCAAGTAGTTGTTATGCATATACATTATGAAAGCAATTGGCTTACATAACTGCTCAACTACGTATCAGTATTCTATTGGTCTGAGACAGACATCTGGAGGACCAGCGACAGGGAAAGCATTGAAGTCTTCATATGGATAGTAGCAACTTCGCAAGTGACACTGAGGAATAACGTCACCCCAAGAGAGACTGTAGAGGCAATAGCAATAGAACCCTCAGCACTCACTCAAAAGAGGCACGCAAGTCAAGGCATCAGCATAGCTAGATTCCTGAATCGCATTGTTCACCTACCTTGTCTACACGATCAAAACATGAAAGAATTCCTTTGTTCCATGCCATGTTTCCTTGTCGCCCGCCCTTTTAGAATGACATTATCCTCAGCGCTCTCTTCATTGTTGTATAGCGCTCTAAAGCGCCCCAAGGTAGGGCATCAATGAAGAATCCCTAAGTGACAATACCCTTCCCCGGGCTGAACATCCGTATTGTTTGCATATATACCCCCATCAACCGCTCGTTGGGGGTACCCATGAGGATGAAGAGAGAGGTGTATAGAGACAGAGAGACAGAGTTGCAAAAGTACCTATTAATCGAATCCCTTTGAATGAACCCACCGAAAACGAAACCCCTAATATCGACGCAAGCAACTCGAATCCAACTGTCTCTGTAGAGCCCCCCTCCCCCTTTTCCTTTCGTCTTTTCCCTTTTCGGTACCTGTGAAGTGTCGCGCGACATAGGTGGGTGATCTGTAATCTGCTCTATAAAGGAGCTACCTAATTGCCTAATACCTACCTACTATCTCCATACCTATCAACCTACCACGTGCTACAGCAACACCTACCTACCTACCTACAAAATGCCTTACATAACCACAACCCCCCTCGAAACCCCCACAACACCAACACCACACGCCCCTAGAATCGGAAAACACCAGGAATCCATCTACGCAGACCCCTGGCACGTGTTCATCCTCTGGGTCCTCGCCGGCGTCTTCTGCGGCGTCGTCCTCGCCTACGTGAAGGATTACTGCGCTGCGCGGGCGCGCTGCCGGATACCTGCTGTTGCCACCACTGCTGCTGCTACTGATATGGCTGCTTCTGTTGTTAGTATTGCTGACGACGCTGCTAGTGTCACTACGGTTATAATGGTTGACGAGCGGACGAGCCTCCTGAGGTGGGCGTCGAATTACACGGCTGATGACGAGATGAGCCTGGACGAGTCGAGTGGGTATGGGGCTTGCGTGGATAGAAGTGAGGTAGGTGGTGGTCCCTCGGTCTATGGTTGCTCGGTCTAGATTTTCTTTTTTTCTTTTTTTCTTTTTTTCTTTTTTTCTTCTTTTCTTTTGTTCCTTTTGGAAGTTGGTGGTGGTGGTGGTGGTGGGTATGTTAGGTAACCACCTGTCCAGACTGGGCTCTGTGTAAGTATACGCCGTGGGATATGGGCCATTGCTGGGTATTGCGTTTGGAAATAGGATGTCTTTAAAAGGTAGTATAGGTTGCATACTATGTACATTAGGCGTTTGTAGCCATGGTTTAGGAGAAGAGGAGAGCGATCTGATATTCTTGAACCCGGGGGATAGAAAGCAAAAAGGAGAGGAGATATGGTCAAGCGATCACTTCACTGGAACCGATACCACTCATTACATATAACAACTTTTTCTATGTAGTTAATATTATATACAATACTCACGCAGTTGCTTTGTTCTGTACATACATACTAAGGGTCCTAGTAATAGTTATAGTAAAAGGGGTAACCCAAAACAGCCTTGTCCTTGTTCTTGTATAGAGACACCTGTAAGTCAATCTATCAAAACTCTTCCCTGTTATACTTGATTTCTAGTATGTAGGTATATAGAAGTTAGTGTAAAAGCATTCACATGAAAAAAGGGTTGACGGGTCGTGTAGGTGAAACCCTCACTGTTGAATAACCTAGAAAGAAGCTTGCGAGGCTAATGTAGAAACAACCATCAGTTAATTGATATATACATACCTAGGTAGGCTGTTACGTTTGAAACACTCTATGCTATCTGCTCAAAGTATATCTCCTCGATACGATATTTATATTCTTTCCACGGACAGTCCTTGTTACTTGCTCGGGCTGGTGGCGTCATATGGATAAAACCCGTAAAGCCAATACCTATGAGACTGCACATATTCGGCAAACAGGACATCCTCATTCCAAGATGAGTGTCACGAGGCGGAACCTAGAAGACGCAGAATGATATTGCTCTTGCGCGGGGGCCTCTACAATCTCCCTGGGGCTATGTAGGCTATGAATTCTACAAAAGCTATGTATGCTGTCTTTGTTCTATGGATATGACCCCCCACGTAGTCCCGGGCATACACTTGACCATGAGTAGGTACCAGGAGCTACCTATATAATAGCTAGCTAAGGCTTTTACCTAGCTGCTGAGTAACGGAGCACACAGCGCGTATACATTGGGTATATAAAGGGGCGGCACGCCCCCTTCTCTCCGACTTGGGAGTAGAAGGTAGGCGTCAATTCAGTTAACTTTCCTATCACAGCCCCTAGACTAGCTTCTAACCTATCTAGCTACTGAGTTACTGCTGTACACTTGCTATCACCCGATGCAAGACCTCTAGCATGGGATAAACCCTGACAATGAGCCAGTAGCCGTGCTGGTGCTACTCACCCATTCACATCACCGGAATCAATTCTACGTTACTCGCCTCTCCTATACTTCTTCTAGTAGGTAACTACTCTTATTGCCATGTAACCTAGGTAACGCAGTATGCATTTAGGGAGATAACAGCGAGTTTTATCCTGTTTAAAGCTTTTACATAGACTACGGCTATATCACAATATATCACCAGCGCTAAAAACCTGAAATACCCATGCTTTGCCTTATAATTCACCTCACATAGATTAGCAGAGCAATAAAGACAGCTGCTACTGTTCCGAGGTTATCATGCTAGTCGCGGTGTCTGGTGCCGACAGCAATCGTTCGGTAGATATGCTCGTGTATAGCCTACCATCATGCATCGAATACAGCTATTTTACACCAGAGGGCAGTATTACCTATGAATCCTCTAAAACTGGTATGCGTGACTGTCGAAACTTTCCGTATTGTACTGTGCTCTGATCACCAACCATCTAAGCAATACGGAATGTGTCAAACGGCAGCCAGCTCCAACCACAAGATGACCTCGATATTATTGCTGATCCTTCTCACAACACAACACATGTCAGCTGGAATCGTGTCTCCTAACCTACCTGCCGCGCATGGAGGTGAATGATCTGACTTATATAGAAGCAACCAGGTAGCCAGTTAGCTAGGTAGTAGACGAAGCTCGCATTGCCTTGCTCAACCTGGACGAATCTACTAGGTTAGGTACCTGCGTAACACATAGCACCTGACGAGCAACCATAATATAGTAAGCAGGTAAGCATGTGTATACCTACATATATACCTAGGTAGGTACACACTTCTTCCGGTTAAAAACAGAGCAAAAATCGGCGAATCCGGAAACACCCACGTGGACTACCTACCTAGTACCTCCTACCCAGGAGCGGGACCCTTGCCATCCCGTCATCACAACCGATCTAACCCCCCCCTATTCCCGTCTCACGACATCATCGCGAGAGCTGACGGCGATCCTCCCAGGTTACAACAACCACTATAACAACGACAACCTAATAAAAATAGCAATGATACTAACTAGGCTAGGTGGCAATAGTAACAACACACACTAGACATCCGAATGAAGCACCCAGGACCTATGCATGCCCGAGAAGAGGATCACGGTAGCGCTTATGCGGTCTTGTCCCATGATCTGATTTGATCCCAAGGTTAGACAGCAGTGTCGCGCACCTTCCATCAACTTCTTTACCTACCTTCCTACCTACCTACAGGTTTTCTTTCCTTCTTCTACGTGTAATGTAAGCACCGCGCTCCAAGGCTAGATCCATAGGTATGCTTCTATTCTAGCAAGGAGAACAAACCACCCTGGCTTTAGCAGAATCGCGATTATATACCTAGGTATACCACCTACACGTACCTACCTACACTACAGTACTACCCAGGTAACTAGGTAAAAGTAAGGACCCAGCTTACTCCCGAGAAAGCGCCCATGACTGCCGAACAACCAACTTACCAACTAGGTAGTTAACCTGGGTGTCCGTTTTCGTTCATATTCCCAAGGGGGAAATTAAATACACGTGTAGTAGGTTACCTAGGGCTTAATCACGGCTACTATAGCCCCCCCCTTGTCACTTACGGGTTGGGAAAGATGAAAGTTGGCGAGAAAAGTTGTATTAACTTACTTAAATAACGTGTGTTGGCTGTTACACATGTTAATAATAAGTCGAGTTTTATACGGCCGGCCCAACGCACCTAACTCACCTTGAAACCAGTATGTTAGAATGGGAAAGGGCATATAACCTACCTACCTACTATGTAGTAGGTTATAACGTGCTACATGAATGTCTACATCTCTAACTAACTACCGAGGTGCCTAGGTTAGGTATGTATCTAAGTCAAGGCCATAATGCCATAACCGCAGCTAACCAGCTTACCTACTCAGGCAAGGGGGCTCACTCAGGAATCATCGCGCGGAGCCGGCGGACGTCCCGTTCGGACCCGAACGCGGCCGGTGGGAAGAGAAAGTGTCGTGTGAAAATACGCACGGGACCGCTGGATGCAAGCGGGAATATGGAAGAGGCGAGGTCTGCAGTCTGCGTTAGGCGAACCTACCCTCTGTCTCCGGAGGTTGACAATTCGAGTGCAATTGTAAGCCCACTTGTGAAGATCTGACTCTGTGCGTCTGATTGGTGGGATATTCCCGTTCTCGTTACCTCGGATCTTTTTACTAGGTTGGTAGGTAGGTTGGGACGGGGTAACCTGTCAGTAAGCGAGAAGTCACGGACCCGAGCGATGGACCCGTCAGAACCCGGGCACGTGCCGGGAATGCAGCGGCTGTGGTATGGATGGCGTATGGTAAGTGACTCCATCGTCAGCCATCAGTCATATGTTTAATACGTACACCTACATTAGCTACTCGGTAGATAGTAGGTAAATAGGTTAGTAACCTCGGCCTGTCGGTCGACTGCTCCTAAGGCGCATACTCTTGCCCCAACGTACGAGAATGTTTGGGGCTGGTCTGTCGGTCTCATGGGAACAGGTACGTATGTAGGTATGTATGTATGTACGTACATATTGCGAGTTTAACCTACGACTTGCTAACTTGCGCGCACTGTTACACGTAGGCCCGGCACCCCCCTGGTCGCTGGACCATGGTCCCGTAGGTTCTGGTCCGAACGGAGCCGCGAGATTGGAATCTGCCGCACGGACAAAGTGACAGAATTGGACGCACTATCCCTCCTTCCCCCCCTTCACTAACCGAGCAGATCATACCAGGGAGGTTGTTCAATAGAGCTTGGCGTCCAATAAAGGCATTCCGGATTGGGCAATGAGAGACCCAGATGGGCGGTGGTTTTCTGACAGACTTGTACCGCGGAAGTACCTGGCAGTCGTGGGGAATGTACTCAGATGTAGGTTGGGACTTTTGGATAATTCTGGATATGATAGGTACTTTGCGGCTGATGTGAGCCAAATAAAAAAGGGGGTGACCATCGGTGGTCATGTGCGCGATCCATCCTGCGGTGAGCAAGGCTGGAATGATTAGTTAGGTTGCAACGCACAAGCCAAGCGCTGACATGTATCTCGACATGTATCCAGGAAGTATCTTGGAAGGGGCGGATGATATGGGATAGGACGGGATGGGATGTCTATCGTCAACATCAGAAGATGGGGTTAAAAGGAAGATTGACGATGTGGCATAATCGTATAGGTGGTATGTGTTCTAAGCCGGTAGGAGTCTTCTAGAAAGAAGATCTGATAAAAGCCGAATACTCTATTTGGTATATGATCTTTATGATTTGGAAAGTCATTACCATGAAGGACGATTTGCATTCTATGTAGCTGCTGTGTATGTTTATGTATTCGTATGTTAAGAAGGAAAATGGAAGGATTCCATCTGTGATACAGTCGGTACTTACTGTAGCCTATTGTTATGTGGTACTATGTATGTAGTAATAATGGTAGGTTGTAGTCTTGGATAGGAAGTAACTAAAGAAAGTAACTAAAGAAAGTAACTAAAGAAAGTAACTAAAGAAAGTAAAAGAATAATATGCTAGTGTAGAAAATAAAAATTAGCCCTACTACTAGTAGTAAATCGTGGGAAAAGTGACACATCACAAAAACACCTGTTCGTTTTCTGATAAGAACAAGGATTATCCCTTCATCCCTGCTGGATCGTCCCGTGCCAGCGTCACCGTTTTGGGGGGTGGGAAGGAACCTTGGAAGCAATGGAGCTTAAGCTCCAACGGTTTGTAATAAAAGGCTTGGGAGCTTAACCTAAGCTTGAGCACGGGCCACTTTGTTGAATCTATCATTGATGTTACATACTATGCAGTAACTATTGTTAATAATTGAATTGTGGCTGCTATGTAGTTAACTATCATTGAAAGCGTTCAATATATGTCAAGCCACTGTTAAGCCATAAGCAACCACTATCATCATTTCTTCAACGGGCCTCAACTCCGTTACCTACCTAGTATCCCTTACTTACTTACACACTTCCAGTCCTCACTGCGTACATACATGTAGTAAGTTAGATAGGTACCTAGATACCTAACCTAGATTAGTAAAATTGATTGCCGCAGCCCAAACTCCAACCCTCCAACAACTCCAACAACTTAACTTCTCCAATCCAATGTCACTCCGCCACATCGCCATCCCCTCGTGCTCAAGGTCCCGCACATCTCTCCTGTATCCAACCTATGCCCTGGCAACGCGCGTCCAGTCAAAGCTGCAGCAGGGTCTGCTAGCTTGGAAGGCTGGCGCATCTGACCCCCATCACCAGCATCATCCACAGCAGCATCTACGATCCACCCCGCCGCTTCCCACCCTGCTTTCCTTCACCCCCGCCCCGACTTACACCCTAGGCCGCCGACAAACCGAGCCGCTTTCCGAACCCGAAGTCGCCCGTCTGCGCGCACCATTGACTGTGTACTCAACGGACACCACCACCCGCGCATTCGTCCCCGAACTGCTTCACGCCCCCCGCGGCGGCCTCACCACCTACCACGGCCCGGGCCAAGTTGTCCTCTGGCCCGTAATTGACCTCCGGTCGCCTTTACACACACACTTCACCGTGCGTGACTACACCTGCCTACTCGAGAAGACCACTATCGCGACGCTCGGTCGTCTCTATCAAATAACGGGATTCACTACTTCCAACCCCGGTGTATGGGTGCGGGCCGACGGGGATGGGAGAGAGGAGCGCAAGATCTCGGCTTTGGGAGTGCATCTCCGGCGACATGTCACCGGCCTAGGAGTTGCCATCAACTTCGGCATGCCGGTCACTGGTCCCGAGTCCGTAAACCCTTGGGCGCGCATTGTGGCCTGTGGGCTTGGCGACAAGACCGTCACGAGCGTCGCGGCGCACCTTGACTTGTCGCCCCTGACGGTGCGCGCCGAGGACATCGCCCTGGCGTGGGCCGACGAGTTCGCCACTCGGCTGGGCCTGCGTGATGCAGACGGGGGCTCTGGTGTGGAGTGTGATGATTGGGGGAGATGGGAAGAGGAATTGTGTCCTAATCAAGCAAACGGAGACTACGTTGAGGCCCAGCCGCTGGGGACATAATTGGTGCTACCGTGCCTCTCAATTCCTTTATAGAGGCACCTCCTAGCTACATCACACACCTCCCTCGTCTCTCATCATCCCCCTTCCCAAGTCGTCCAACCTCGAGCAGAGCGGGTCGCTGCCCGTAACACTTGATAGGGTTTAATGGAGTGTCGAGACGATGGCTGGCTGGGAACCTCCCCGCGACGTTCCCGGGACGACTCGGCATTGGGCGAGTGCAGATTTCCCATGAAACACTTGGTTTCACGGGATGCGCGCCGAACAGGTTTGCATTACTTACCTGTCAACTACCTGTAAACCGATCCAACGTTCTCCCCAATACGGCCCCCATTCCGCGAAGGGTTTCGAAGGAAAGAAAGAAAACCATCAACAAACCCCCCTCCCTTTACCACTTCACCCCCTTTCGTGAAGCTACTACTTATGTATTATGTACACGCTGGTGGGAGTGCGTATATTAAAAAAAAAAAAAGAACAACCAAACCGCGATACTCCCACCTCCCGGTGCCGAAAGTCTTCTTAACTTCGTAACAGAAAACCCTACATGCAGCCATTATCAGGTAGGCCAAAAGAGTAAGGAGTCTAGAGAGAGAGAGAGAGAGAGAGAGTATGTGTGTAAATCCCACCTTTCATTCTTCGTGACCCCCCACGTCTACTACTACACACGTCTAGAACCCGGGTTTGGGGGGCTATTGACCCCATTCGATCAACCTTTCTAGACCTTTTCTCCTCTTTTTCTTCTTCTTCTTCCTCCTCTTCTCTCCCCCAGAAAACGAATCGAACCAATATATATTTTCCTTGTTTCTTTTTCTTTTCTTTTTTTTTTTAAAAAAAAAAAACCTTTTCCATGGTATGAAAAAAAAAGAAAAAAAAAACCAAACATTTTGTCTACGTTGCATTCCGTCCTCTTCCGCGGCCGAGATCGGCGGTCGCGCAGCTGGCTAGTAGCAATAGTAGCAACCGTAGCAGTAGTAGTTATGTTGGACGTTGAAACGTGATCACGATCTACCTAACTACCTACCTAACCTACTTTCTTTCACTCTCTGTCTGTCTGTCTGTCTGTCTGTCTGTCTGTCTCTCCATCCAAGATTCCGTACCAACTAAACAACTACCTATCTACCTACTTCCTAACTAACTACCAATCCAGCTACTTTACCCATGTAACTAGGTTAGGCAAGTAATGGATCTTTCTAAGTCTTCCATCTAGGTACCTACCTACCTACCTACCTACTCGATCTAATCATCCCAACAACATTATACATACACATACACATACACATACATGTACAACAGCAGCAAGCAAGCAAGCAAACAACACATACCTCCCCTGACGCCTTAGTGACTGACTTACTTCCTCGACCCCCTGGCTGCATAAACCTTAACTGGCCGCGCTACCAGGACTACCAGCACTAGCCCCTTGTACTAGAGATGCTTAACCTAGATAAATGTATTTAAAAAAAGAACAGCAACAACAACAACAACGACGACGACGACGAAACAGAAAACACACATTACACATAGGTACACATCAACACACTAAACTCCCCCCTACATTACCGACGGGCCTACATCCATCCATAGCTTTTACATTAACAGAAGCAAGAAAGTAGGTGTAGTTGAACAAATCCAAATAAATTCCAAAAATAAAAATACGAAGGGAGAAGATCAAAAAAAAAAAAAAAACTTTTCCCCCAATCCCCCCTTCCCCTAAGTTAGTAGAATTAGTAGTACCAGAGACCCGGAAACCCGCGGTCCTATAATTTGTATCGACGTGGCTTGACTTACTTTGCTTTGCCTTTCCCGTATCGTCTCGCAACTATTCCTGCCTCTCTCGTCCCCAATGTTCCCAACGTACGTGCGATGGTTGCGTGATGAGCCGCTGCCACTTGGTCTGGTAGCTCCAGCTGGCCCTCCATCGCTTTTGCCCCCCCCTCCTCTCGGTCATGATGGAGCAAGTAAGGCATAATTATGTAATTCTCGTTAGTCTGTGCTGGCGCGTGACTTCATGCTGCTTTCTCAATAGTGCTTTTGCTTTGCTTTCTGCTACTTCTCGACCCCTTACTCGTCCATAAGGGGGGCCCTTCTTCAGCGCATTTCAATTGTCAAAATCTTATAATAGATAGGCAAGACATCACGAACATCGATATTCCAATGTGAGGTAGAAATTAATATCGTATTACTTTTCGGCTCGAACTTTATCAACTTAATCTGCGTTCAGCTTCGCCGATTCTTTCTTTGTCGAGGGCAGTGGAATGGCGTCGGCGAAAACCTCATTCCGCTGCCCTCCGATCCATAATTAAGTACCAAACTCATGCTGTTATCCCGTTCTTTATAAAATTATCGATGCCTCGACGACATCCTGCCTCATTATTTCGTCTTGATGGTATAGTGTCGTACCGGGTCGTCAAATCAACCTGGTACCTCGCAGTCTTTCATTACCAAGGTTAAACTCCAGGGGGGGTTGGGGGTGGTTGGGGGGAGGGGGGGGGATGTGATATATCAGAATTGCTGCCGACCTCCAAACGGAAGAATGCATATGAGATGAGGAAGGGGAAAAACACCTCTAACTCCGGTTCTCTTTTTTGATGACCGCACAATGCTCAGTACTCCGTTTCCGGCCACCGCTCCTTCCGTGCGGTATCTCTTCTTCCGCCTCGGGCCTGTACATCTCGGGCTGGAAATTCATGTTGTTGTAGTGGGCTACATTGAAGTGGCTATTCTTGAATGTGTTCGTGGTAAAGGCGGGTTCGTGGAAGGTGCTCGTCTCGACCAAGTCAGGAAAGTTGTACTTGCTGAAACGAAGTGGGTGGACCGTCATGGGTGTCGTGGGTTGTTGTTGTTGAGGACTTGGCTGCTGTTGTGGGGGCGCGGTTGCCAACCCATCCGAAAATGGCTGTGGTATCCATGGGGATGGGGGAGAAGGAGAGTAAGGGTCCGACATGGGAGATGGTGCAGCGGGGGGTGATGCTAATGGGGACATCTCGGGCGCGGCGAAGCCTGGTATCAAGGCTAAGGCGCTCATGTCCACTGAGAAATCTTGTAGCTGCTGCGGAATGCTTGTTTCGATCTCGTGGTGGTGGGTGAAGGAAGTTGCGCGGTTGATGGATAGGGTGGTTGGTGTGGGTGGTAGGGGTGGAGGTTGGATGATAGAGTCGCGATATAGAATATCATAGTGGCCTGGACGGTACAACAGATAAATCATGGGCCCCAATACAGCCGGGTCCTGACCAATAGTCTCATCTGGCATTCGGTGCACATTGACTTCCACGCCTTCACTCCGATCCAAATAGGCGATCTCTAGCACTATATTTGCTGGTTTGAGCAGCACATCGTGAAGAAGCGACACACCTATGTGATCAATCTCCCTGTCGATTGGCATGATGGTGTCCGAAATGTAGTGGTCGACGCTACTGGTTATCCATGGTTCGTATTGAGCAAAGTTGCCTTTCAACCATGACGAAGCAAGCAAGCGTTGGTGGTAGACGATGGACTGCGACGATTCTATGTTATTAAATTTCTCCATCACGAATGGCATTCCGTCTTGACCGCTTGACATGGCGGCGATAATCGAATTGAACAAGTCGAACGTTTCCGCTACCATATCCTCAAATAACCAAGCGTCATGGCCACCAACGTTCTCGATGAAGTTGTTCAAGCTGGTTAGCCGGGCTAGCTCGCCTTGGGCTTGATTTATGTCGCCGCATCGTACCATGGTCTCGAAATATGCGAATGCGATTGCTATAACCAAATCGTAAAGTTAACTCGGACCTTCAAAGCTCAGACTTGGATATAGCAAGCGGGGTGGAGCGAAGTTACGAGACTCATAATTGTCCTGAGTATCTGGATCCGTCTTCACGCCGGTTGATCGACGATCGAGGATTCAATGAATCTGATCGAAGAAGCATCGTAGATAAGGCAGATATAGACGCAGACCCCAATTTGCCATAGCCACGGTACCTAACACGCATTGGACTGCGGGGTACATGATGCAAAAAGAATACTCAGGACGGGTAAAAGAATAAAAACACCAAAAGCTTACCTCGCCAACCGCAGTTGCCATCTCCCTGAATGGGGCGATAGTGAGAGTAGGTCTGAGGTAGCGCCTGTGATAAATCAAGAGTCAATTGGCGGGGTTCGACTTTTTTGAAGCTCGATTTCGGTTAACTGACCATAGTTTTGGCGACATATATCGGATCTGCTTTAGCATATTCCTCCGTAATTGCCGTGCTTGGTTTCCTGTCGCCAACTAGAGGACCCTATTCGCAATTGAAAATAATTAAGTATTTTGATGCTACTGGTCGATGTGGGGAAAGGGAGGGAACAAATAACAAAAGAAAAAAGAGAAAAAAGAGCCGCGATGCATTGGTGTATTACTAACCTCTAATTGAGGCTTGAATTCGCGAGCTGCAGCCTCCTGCTGGGCGAGATCAGTTGGGTGATTAGGTTCCATCTTTAGATTGGGATGATTTTGGTGGTGGCCGTGGGGTATTGAGTTGGTATTGCTGTTGTTGTAAGAAAGATGGCTGGGATTATTGGCAGTAGGTATTAGTGAATTATGGCTGTGAAAGATTGGCGAGGTGAAGATGTCGGCTGTTGTTGGTCCACCAACTGCGCCTGCATCAGCACCAGCACCAGCACCACCAGCGTGACCAGCCCCAAATTGTCCCAGTGGAGTAGGTTGGAAGGCGTATTCGGGAATCTCTGCGTTGGCTACGTGAATTCCATATGAAGCGTATGAAGAATACGGAGCTGGTTGAGGCTGGAACATGCCTGTGCCTGTGCCTGGGCTTGAGGGGCCAAAGCTCGACCTGTCGTCATGAAAGCTTAAGCTCAAGTAACGGGGAAATGTTGTTCAAAGTATAGACCAGTATGATTCCCAGCTATAGTAAGCGGACTGGAGCCCATACGGTATGGTGAATTGATACCTAGTAGGTAAGGCAAGGTAAGGCCAAGGTAGGGCAGATGGAATACTCTCGTGCGTGAATTAGGGATTCCCTTCGGGCTGTAACCAGCAGCGACAGTTGAAGAGAAACGAGATTGAGCTATGAGAGCATGAGAGCATGAGATCATGAAAAGCAGAGGGAGGGGAGAGATGGAAGTGGGAAAGAGAGGAAAGAGCAAAATAAGAAAAAGAGTAGAATCTTAGGAAAGAATCCAGAGAGTTGGTTAATGGGCGGGCTTTTGTTCTAAAAGGAAGATGAAGACCGAGGATTAATCAGTCGACCCAAGAAGTCGGGGTTACACCAAGCGAAAGCAAGCAACAGCAACCAGCAACTATGGGTGTACAGTATCTACCGTCTACCAGCAAAAAGAAGCAACAGCAAGTAAGAGTTACGGCATAACCCCTGTAATGTAAGGTAGATAGTGTAGGTAGGAACATTGAAGGTACTGGAGCTGTTGTATCAAGTTGCTATCAACTTGTATGGAATCATGGATGTATTGCAAGTATTGCAACAAGGTAAGTGCGAAGCAAGCTACATTACGTACCCGTCTAGGTATCCACGCGTGTATCTACATGTACATTTAATATGGTACAAATCCCCAGAGAAAGAGGGGAAATTTCGATACCTACATGTAATAATGGATTATTTTTATTTTAATCCCCGAAGCTCGAAACGACATTGAGTGCTACCTAATACCCTGGTCCATACATGTAGATGCTAAAATGCTATTTTTTTCTTTTTTTCTATTATTCCCCCATACATGCAGTGCCTACTACCTACATACATGTATGTATTACTACTACATAACTATTATATACCTGCTATCTAAGGTAGCCATGTAGTAACCTACCTACCTTATGTACATCCCATACATCCTAGACAACATCTCCATCGTCGAGACGTCAAATGTTGTTGACTATCATGGCCCATGTAAGAGTCAAGTAAGGTCCACGGGTACTTTTATCTCATCCACTTCAATCAATGTCAATACCTAGTATTGAGTGATTGTACCGCCGATGTAGCTACATAGTAGGTAGTAGGTACCAGGCATGTATGCACCTACCTAGGTATTATACAGTAGTTTGTATTGATTATCCATATGTATATCCACACGCTTAAGATCTTGAACGGGAACTTCCCGCCTAACCAAACCATCCCAGGCTTCGTCAAAATTGAAAGACATGGTATGTACCCCACCAAAGCTACGTGTAAGCGCGTTAGAAGGATTATACATTTACCTATTACCTATCTATTGCATGCACCGCCTTGCTTCTTACATTGTTCGCAAGGTGTTCCTTACGAAGCAGATGCCTATAGGATGTGGACGGGCCGCTAGAGACCTCAATCATGGATATGTCGCTGTTGGCCTATCCAATCTATTCGCAATATGTAAGAGAAGAAAGTCCACGACTTAAACGTACAGGAGCATTTTGGACCCCTGACTCTAAGGTTCTGAGAGTTACCCAGCAGTCCAGCAGTCCAGCAGCCCAGCCCGAGGTATCTTACAAAGTCCACCCCTGTTAATCAGAGAAACCACTGGAGGTCTGTGCTCCGCACTAGCAGGCCTGACGTCGGCGAGCCATCTCTTTAATGTTGTACTGTGTCGTACTTACGTAGGTATAACATTGAATGTACCTGTTAACAAGAAACGGTAAGTGCGAGGTGCATACTAACTATGTACCATCGCCTAGAAATCGTCGACAATATCAGTAAGTTCGATGCACTTGGATTAGGAACCTTGGAACTACATATGTAACATGTATTGTACATAAATATGTACCGGAAACTTTACGTCTTTCAATGTTCAAAATTCTTTGACCTGCAAATAAGTATAAGATCAACATTGAACGTCAACATTGAACGTCGAATGCATAACTTATCACATCTTGAACTTTTGTTATGGCTTACATACCTACATGGACAGCTCTAGATCAACTGTCACTTACGACATGGTACCTACCTGAGTATCTATATCGGCAATCTCAGGTTTCATTGGAATGCAATCCAGTCCTTTCGCACTATTTGTCGTACAATACGAAGAGCCAGCATACATATATGTGGTCAAGTACTGTAACCAGCTTCTCGGTTCCAGCAGATCCAAACTACATGTAGGTATGATACCTATACCTGGGCATATGTAACTAGACAGAACCTGCATATCGGGGTGTTACGAACCCGACAGTTCAAGCCATTTTTTGCTACAGATCCGTACACGATACAAGCTGAAAAGCGGCAAAAGACCATCGGCCGACATACAACCTACATACATATGTACAGGTAGCGAACGTCATAGACGCTGACTTTTTCTCACCCAGCTTGAATAGTTTCAGTGTTGGAGGTATGTATCAGGTATTGGCACCTGCCTGCCTATGGGTTTGTTATGGCAGAGTCATCATGACCCTTTGTCAGCGCATCATATGAGCTGTAAAAGCTGGCTAACACGAGCTTCGTCAAGTTCATTATACCCACTAACCAGTTTGCCCGTATAGTAATCCCGACTTCGGGTCCCAGTTAATTGGTTTGACCTTTCGCTTAACCCGTCGGTCCGTCAGCTTCAAGCATCCCTTCATACTCTCTTGGACATGTATGGCGGCTTAACTGCGGTTCAATGTTGGTTTCAAGGTTGTGTTTTTGGAGCCCGCGGAATTCTTGATGCCATCCATTGAAACCCCAACATGGCTCATCCACTCACTCTAGAATCCCAGATCTTTCCTTACCCCAGACTGGTGCTTACGATGGATGCGGCACCAAGCTCTGATGGGTTAGGTATAACTATAACCAAGACTAATACGTACCACAGTACCTTGTATATCACGCTCATGGGTTGCAGGGATGCTTGAGTATGATGATCGCGCGACATATTCGACTTCACACGGCATTAAGCGTGTGAGCTCAATGCATTCATACTACTAGGTATTCGCCGCCTGCCTGAAACTTGTTGCTCTCCTGGCTACCTGATCATCATTCGAGAAATTCGGCGACCGCTCCGGTAGAGCGGTAGTAACCGGACCTGTTTATTCGCACATGCGGTAGATAGGGATGAGAAATAAAGGTTCCCCGATGGGAAGAGAAATCTTCAGCGGCTGAAGCGTTACAGAATCTCCCAGCCGAAAAAGCAGGGCAAGCGAGCAAGCAAGCCAGAGCAAACCACAGACAGCGGGGCACGTCATTTGGTGGCAATTCTCCTTGCTAAATACTTACATATGCAACATGTGATACACTATGCTGTCGGTCCACGAACTCCCATTAGCGTAATACCATACATACATGTATGTATGTCGCATGAAGTCGGGATATGTGTTGGTGGCACAAGGGGTAGACAAGCATAGCGAAAGTCACCGTAACACAGCGCCACAAGCGAACATAGAAGCACTATTCATGGATGTTTATAATGTTTACCCTGGTGTCCAATGATACCAAGCTGGACCACTTCGCCGCGAAAGCATTTTACCCGACGTTAAGCTTTTGACGAAAGAAAAAGAAAGGAAACGGAAGGAAAAGAAAAGGAGACGATAGATACTCGGATCAGCCTCATCACGGCGTGAGAAGGGGTAGAAAGAGCTATCTAATCGTCCAATCGCCAAGCAACCCTCTATTATCAATCTTGCTAAAGAAATCGGCAAGCGAAGCTTTTATGACCTAAACAATTGCAGTTAGTATCAGAACTCCGTGGCTTGCTGGAAAACATCAGGACCTGCAAGACCCGGACCAAGGCACACCGTGGAACTTGCCTCGCTCTTAAGAGGATTTGATTAATACTCTCTAGGGCTGAAAAGACGGTGTGAGATGAAGTTACATTTGTATGCTGTCTTTTGAAAGGAAACCCCCAGAAATTGCCTACCTTGGTATCTGACAGATGTCAAGATTGGCGAAATCAAGATACAACTCCTTGAGGGCTCTTTCCCCCCACCACCTACTTCGTATCTTCTAGGGTTAAAAGTCACAAGAACTTGACTTTGCAAGACTCGGGCCCGTATCTGATATCCATTAGTTGAAGGATCGTGGTCGAGCTCCAACAGCCAGTGCCAAGCTTCTATTACTACTACGTTCTTGCTTTAACCCCACCATTCCTCCGCCACTACAGCACAGTACTGGATCAATCTAAGACAATCAGGGCTACATGGAATAGACAAATGTCGATACTAGGTACGCCAAGATACAATGGGTAAAGAATTGCAAGTTTCTTGGTGCCATAATATCTTACATATAGGTAAAAACCGTTATTCAGTGTCACAGATTACCTCAAGTCAAGGTGCTAAACGTTCTACAAACCGGTGGGGATATCAGCACCTACATACATACCTAACCTAGTGAATCTTACAATTGCCAGGATAAGGCCATCTACACATATTGATGCACAATAACTAACCTCCAGTACTTACATTACATGAGACATCAACTCTAGAATCGGCACTTTTCCTGCCTGCTGGTTACACATTCAGGGGTTATCCGCAACTATTAGGAAGTTGAGTTTCAGGCGTCGCCGATTCATGCCGAACCCGTCCATAAGACCTAGGTATGCACTCTTAAGCTAACATTGGTAGGTTAGATGTATGGTTCTTTGTTGAAATACTTCTAGGTCATTATAACTCCGCGCTTACATATGTATGTCAGGCTTGCCTGCCTCAGGCAAGGGTACCATCTCTTAAGGCATTGCAACATGATTCCCGGGCGCTATGCTATCGCTGGTTGTTATTATAATCGGTTATCATGGATCAAGCCACCCCGGCAATACCCAGGAGCACCGATCTACTCGCTTCCAAGGTTAACTATAAGCAAATAGGTGTATACAAGTTGTTATGTACGCCAAACGATATCAAGAGCCTCAAAATTAGGAGCAAGTTGCGGGCCGGACAGACCTTCATGTTTTGGTTTTGCATCATGGGCATTGAGGTGAGTATATCACCATCTCAAGTTTGATACTGCTTCAAGTCATGACCAACATTAAACTACATACCACCCACGTGTTGAACAGGGCCGATGCTTATTGTGGGGGCCATGGATGTTGCCGTTATATCTGCACAAAATCGAAGGATCGACATCATGAGTGCTGATAGATCGAAATGGCAGACCTTATTGGCCACGAACTGACCCAAAATGCTGTCCTACTAGGTACTGTCACTTCCCCGTTTCTGGATCACTGAAACGTACATGTATCGTCTTTCTATCACATATTCTGCAGAGGCGCATAGCTACATGACCTCCCACAACTTCTCGTACGTGAGCTATAGATCGCACAACTCCAACGGCGTCTGTCAGTTTGCTCTGCTGTACATACGGTACACTTCTGTCACGTACGACCGTTTGAGTGCTACAAGGTATGCTGACGACAAGAAGTTAAGGCGTATAGAGAATGCATAAGCGTCCGCATACTAATCGCGCCTTGCTCGAGCTAGATCCAATCCGGAGACCTGCCCTATTGAATGAGCGGAACGGAGCAGTTATTACTTACTAGTACCCCCCTCGTATCTACCTATGTATATTTAATAAACGATTCCGGATAAACCAACAC